AATTGCGGTTGCAGATACGGTCAACTATTCGATAATTATTTCACAGTTGCGAGGGTGGACTATTCAAGTTGTAGAGTGAGTATCGCAAGTTTTTCCTGCCTTTTGCCCTTGATTTACGGAAGCTTTTGGGCTCCTGGAGGATCTACATGTGATGGAAAAAGGATACCTGTTTAGGTAAGTAGAGCCGTAAAGCTGCAGTGCTTTGCAGTTTGGTATGCTTTCGAAATTTCTGCCGAAAGTGATGAAAAATCCGCTGATTTTATTTTGCCATGTACATATTGTACTGCTGTTACTACGATAGCGCTCGCTTTAGTTTTTTTTTGGTTGAATGTTGATTGCCGCCTACCTAAATGTTGCAGAGCAGTTTGCAAATTTTCTCAACAAACCGGTAATTTTCAGGTGCATGTACATATTTATGTCCTGTGTCCTAGACTGAAGTAGTCGCTCTTTTTAGCTAGTGAGAAAGGTAAACAATCGCTCTTCAGGACAGCTGAGACGAGTGTCCACCTTAGTTTAACACGCAACGTCTATCTGCTAAATAGCCTTTTCAAAACTGAATAGAGTTTACGCACGCGTTTTAATACAGCACCAAGAAGCTGCGTCGTAGTTATCAAATGCTTCTTGTATGATAACAAATAAAGTTCGCTTGCTTGGCCGCCAAATGAACTGTGATGATTGTTAATCATGGAAATTCGCGTAAGGACACTTAAAATCGGTTGATTATTAGTTTATTACCACTTTCTGCTTGACTGTAATCGGTAACAGCATCCACAGTGCCTTTGCATTGCGATGGCTTTTGAAAAAGGCGTTTCTAAAAATGATGTTTGAAAGCCGTTTAAGCGGTTGAATTTGTTTTATTGTTACATTTTAAAAGATCGTTTAAATGTGTCAAACTTCATTAAATTATGTGATTAAGTATCCATAAAAGTTAAGCTAGAGAATTTTTTATAAAAAAGTAAGTTTAAATGCGTTATTGACCACGTGCACACTGTGCAGTGCGATTATTTATGTTTGGTTAATTTATACCATGTAATTTACAAATACTAACATTGTTGTTGTCGAATACTAACAACCAGTTTCAATGTATTTTTATGATAAAATTTTTAATTGCCGTCTGGATATGGCTTCGAACTTAGAAGTGGTCTTGCGCCGTTATAGATGAGAGCAAAAGTTTAAAGAATTCGAACTTACGTACAACTTTAATATTAATGACAGTTGCTAACCATTTTTAAAGGGCAACAAATAGCGTGAGCATTATTATTTATTCGGTACGGCATTCATTTTTCTGCCGGCACCCGACCGTTGGACCGCTTTTGTCAATGTGCGACAATTTTACAAACAATGAAAATGTCTATTTCAATTAGCGAAGGAAATAAAACAAGTTTCATCACCTTATTAAATATTGTGCTAATAATTTATATCAAAGAGACGGCTGTACGGTAGACTTGTATAACTCTGTAGCGCAATACAACTAAAGAATCAGTTCTGTAGCAGTAATCCTTTGTTCGTTGCAAAAAAAGTGCTTGCATGCATCTTGTAGTAGCTGTGACTTTTATCTTCCATCATAAGAGAGGTAATCGCTAATAATTCAGTTTTAAAAATTTGCTTAGGAAACATCCAGTATTTTTAATTTTGGCTTCGTAGTACTTGTGTACCATGCGTAATGTATTAAATTAAAATTGCATGTAATTTTTTGCGGGATGATCTTGCATGCTTATAACGTGTTCCATAATGTAGATCACTAACACGAGTACTAAGGATTGATAAAGTAATAATTATCGTTCCTTCATGTTTACGCATGGACAACAATGTCGCAAATAATTTGAATAGGTCTGGACAGCCTTGCGCTGCTTTTGGCCAGTGCGATCACTTATGATTAGTTTTCCCATTCATGGTGAGTTTTCTTGTGCATACCTGACATTCTTCGCCGCGATTCGTAATCGTGTATTTTCGTTTTCCTTAATATTTTAAGCCAGACTGATGAATAATCCTTGTTTTCTTTAGCCGTTCGTTTTCTATCAGTTATGCGAGGTGGCCGGTAAATGGCTGATAAACCTTGGCTTCGACATTGTAATAATTTTGGCGTTTTATGAGCGTATGACGTGCGCCGAGTGTACATACACGTGCCTTTGTACTGAGCACAATCCGGAACCGTCATAAAGCAGTACGAGAAATAAATTTGAGTGCTCTAAAGTCTAAACCGCATCTACGTAGCACATGAAATTCTAGGAGCACACTAGTCCCAGTTAAAAAAATAAAAATGAAATCAAATTTGCAAAAAATTAATGCGATCGATCATCCCTTCCAATTTCCCCTGCGAGCGATCCCTTCCAATTTTTCAGCTACGTACGGTTATCAGAAAGACAATAAATCTGCTGTTGTAACTGTAAGCCCTAGTAAAACAGTTTGTTAAAAAAACGTTTGTTCAACGTTAGTCAAACGTTAGTTAAAGGCCAAAATTCGAACATGTTCGAATTTTGGCCTTTAACTAACGTTTAGCTAGCGTTTTTTTTACAAACTGTTTTACTCGGGAAGGATGCACGCATAATGCGAGAGATGAGGAAACAGTTCGGATTTTTCGCTGGTATATTTTAAATTCATTCTGTGTACAGTACTGTGTAAGCCAAACAAACTGTGGTATGATTCGGAAATCCTTAATTCAGATCCCATGGGCATCTTGGTAGCAGAGCATTAAGGCATTAAGTATGATTGATGACGATTGTGAGTGTATCGTAGTCAGGAGCGCTCTTTCTCAGACTGGGGAATTCTTTCTGCCATCCATCCACTGATAACATTAGAGATTATAATAGATGGAATAACTGACCATTTTGCTGATTCTTTACGATTGAAAATATTCGTTTAATTTTGCAAAGCGTTTGGTTTATCTCCGCTCTGTTCAGTCTATTCATCCTGGCTGAATACATTTTAGCGGCTTTTGCCACAGGCTTATTTAAGATGCAGACTGCTGGATGTCGGTTGTCAGGAATTTTTACAACACGTTCCCTAATGCTTCCTTGCAGCTGTGCCCGAAATCGCCGGTATTGTTGATTTGTGCTAACGGTAGTAGCCGGAGTGGAGGAAAGAGTGCCGAGCTTTTAGGATATTTGTGGGATATACAAAATACTAATCTTACAAAATTAATTCTTTGTGTGCAAATAGCTATTTGCACACAAGTCATCCTATAGGATGACTTGAAAACTGAGCGGCCAGTTGCGATATGATTTTTTTCCCATTTTTTGAGCTGTCATTACAACGAACGCTACACTGACTACACAATTACATTCGTTAATAAATTTATTAAGCAAAATATTAAACATTTGTCCCGTTAATTGTGGAATACGTTTTTTTGTGATTACTTTTCTGTAAATACTTTCTGGCGATTTGAATTTCCGGCTCGCACAGTGTGATAATGTGTATCTGTTTGTTGTGTCGACCGGAAAATTTGCATTCACCGATAAAACTATCGCGTAGTTGCCCAATCTAAATAGCGGGACGTCTACTTGCACTTACATTGGATGAAAGATTTGCACACAATCGATTGCTGTTTGCTGCTACAATCTTATCTTTTTATTTTCTACACCGTCAGCTGGAAGTATTATAAGTTAAATAATATTTTAAGGTTCGGCGTCGTTTGTAACCTTAACGGTCATGCGATTCCACTGCTGTTTGAAGAATCGAAAATCGATCCACAGGAAGACCGACGATGACCGCTTAGTGCTGGGGAAAACTGAGCATCCCGCTCGATGGAATTAAGGTTGTTAAGGGATTTGGTGGCCTCTGTCCGGTACCGTCTTGTAAATACATATATCGTGTATAGTTGCAAAATGCAGGGCAAGCAATCTCTTGAAAGATATTGGGGGGTTTAGGCCATATGAAAGCCCGTCGAAACGGCATACGATAGGGTATAGCTTTGTTCAGGTTGGCTTGTGATTGAAGGGCTGCACACCATCTGCTGGTTGGAGAATCATTTAACCATTACGGTTTCGCTTAAGCAGATCTTGACAGATTTTGATTTTCTGAAGACAGCCTCGGACATTACTTCACTGCAAATAATATCCTCAAATCGTTGGGAGGATAATTCTTGGCGCTAAATGTCCACAGCCTCCAACACGTCCAGTATGTGCCGCTGTTTAGAGTCGTTGACGCGATTTTGCACTCTGCGTATACGTAGCACGTGCGGGTTTTTTTCCGCTGGTATCTTACAGTCGTTTGTAAATTATTTAATGAACAAAAAAAATTTGCCTTTTAACTGGTCTATTGATACTTCGAAGTATCGAAAGAAAATACTGGATTACCGCTCTCACAAGTCAGTAAAGTTGTAGCGCTGCTGCATTACCTAATTGTAAGTTGAATTGGTAGCGCATAATTAAAATGAGATCATATGTTCCGTGCGTGCAAGCAAGTTTTCAATTATAACAACAGAAAAAATAGAAAAACTCCGGTCTTTATGGCTTAGGAAGTGCAGCTGCTATAACGGATTAGCTAAAGTGGTTACCGATAACGAGAATAATGCGGTAGTGTACTAAGGAGTTGGAAAACTGCTTGTGAACGCTCTAATTGATTAATTGCCACTTAGAGCGATACGCGATCTGCTTCTGGTCGACAATAATGGAGTGTGTTGCGGTTGTAAGGAAGAAACGTCAAGTTGTCCTGCGCGGTAGCAGTCGTACTTCCTGTGGTCGAGTGACTTGATAAATCACCCAGGCTTACGGAATAAATCTTATGCTGTCGACTCTGTTTGGAAATTTGTTACAAGAGGGATCTTGTTAAGAATTCACAAGACTAAATTGGGTCAAACTTTAAAACAGGACTTGATTTCGTGCTTGATCCGTGCTAGGACTGCATATGGTAGTATTCTGTTTTCGCTTCTGGTACAAATTTTGGGCGTATTCATTGCCAAAATGCGAATACCGTAAAGCTAACTGTTCGTGCAGTATCCTAGTGACACAGCTCACAATAATTTATGAAAATGTACGGCGCTGTCGTTAAGCGCTGACTGTGGACTTTGTAGCACATTTTCAAATCGAAGTTTGAACTTGTTTTGAATATTGGAATCGGCTGATTAACTGTTCTGTGCCAGTTAGGGCGTTGTCCCGCGTAGCCGTTTACTCATTTATGCACATTAAATTGGCGATGATTAAACCGCCTTTTGCGTGTTGTGTATGGGCTCGGTGATAGATGTTCGGCTACGCCGAGTGTTAACCAAATGAATAGGATAATAGGAAACAGATTAGTGAATGGGTGCAAATTTTGTAATTGTGCTTGTGGAAAAATAGCGGTAATCAATCTGGCGGCTAGTGAAGATATAAGGTGTCAGAGCACAGTAGAAAATTGATGGATTACTGAAACTGGCCAGGGGAAGGAAAAGTGTCCAAGCCGGCGGTTATTTTTGTTGCATCTCATTTTGGGTGTTGCGGACATTGCACATTGCGCAGTGCGTTCAATAGACCGACATATGTGCGCATGTACAAGCGGCAACTGGACAGCATCGTTCATGCTGCATACGTTTAACTACTCTTCCCACAAGGAGAGAGATTACTGGCAGCAAAAGGGGAAAAGCAGGATATCGGCGTTTTTGACAGGAGTGATGGACTCTTGTGGTCACTTCCCATGAGATCCACTGTAAACGGATTTTGATATGACCGACTGCCTGACCACTTCAGGCACGTGCTGTGTGTACATCGCTGTGGCTGGGCTTGGAAATTGACATGTATACCGCTCATGTGTAGTTGTGGAGAGTAGCATATAGCTCTCCTGCCTCTGTTTCTACTTCATCTTCTACGCACCATCAAACATCTGCGTCCACCGCACGTGGTCCGTCTCGTAAAACTTCATGAACTATACTTGAAATCCTTAATTTCCTTATTTTTGACAACTGCTGACGGGTCTGGCAGGACCTGGCCCATCGCTTTATTACATATGCAGCCGCGGCTATCTCTGCTATACAGCTTCCAGTGGTGTAGTAGCCGTTTGGAGCTGTCCACTTCCTTCTTACTTGACCGGTTCTGCCAAATGTATGCGAAATCAGTAATGGATTTGTCTGGGCCCGATGTTAGCAATTATCGCTCCTACATCTTCACAACTGCATAATACTCGCCGTATTTACTTGAATCCACACCCTACGAACTCCCGCTGGTATGTGCCCATGCTGCGAGTTTCATTGATCATTTTCGAGATTTTTTGTTTGTCTGAATATGGCACTAATCTGCAGAGTTACTTTAATTATAGTCCGGTAGCTAATAAGTGTCAATGAGTTCATATATCATCAGAATAGTCGCGGAACGTTCGCGGATATATGTTGAGATATGTAAATATGGTAATGTCTCATACGTAAAATACACTTTGCGACATACTGTATATAAGTATATTATTATATATATAGCAGCCTTATGTAGGTGCGGACGGAGTATAGGCTTCTACTTGAATATATGAAATTCTGGTTTAATTAGATTTTTAATTTCAGTTAAAATCTACCGTGCATATGCTTTTATAGAGCTGTGCTGCCATGATATGTCATTTGTCTGCTAACTGCTGAGGTAAAAGTGGGTAAATAAACTGCGATACGGCTGGTACGAGTACGAAGTATACTTCGTGAGAACTATTTTTCTGAAAACTCTTCCACCTCTTTGTAATTATGTTTTTATTAGGCAGTAAAATTGCCAGTCTGTCGATAAATTATGTTCCGTTTTTTCTGTGTGCGGGTGTACTTAATAAAAGATACCATCAAGGTGGAGGTGCGAATATACATATACTGCCGGTTAATTCAGCATTCTGAGCGTGGGCATAAATTTTCTTTGAAGTTTATGGTCGTTGGGGCGACAGAACCGAATGTAAAATCACCGGAGGATTCAGTCGCATATTGTATCATGCGATTTTGTAGCAGGACAAGTTCATTATAGCCTCTACAATCATTATCCAGCAAATCATTTATTGTAGCGTTCGCAAGTTGAAATCTTTGCCTGAACGTTCCTTTGACCGCGAAATATGAATTTATGAATTCGCTCTCTTCACTGCCACTGCCGTGCATCGAGCAAGTTTGTTGTAGTTATGTTTTTGCAATTTGATTGCCAGAGTGTGGCAGTACTTGTCATAAATGACCACTGCGTGAACGCATAACGAGACAATGACCAGTACACTTGCATCATGGAACATAATGTGCTCTGCAACATTTCTGTAGTGCTGTCAAATAAGCCTGCTTGTTCATATTCATTTTTCGTGTGTATGACATCTTATTTGCTCCATTTTTTGCTCCAGTGTCGATAACAACCTTAATTGTTCTAGGAATCTATATTTTGCCGTTTGATGCACACGTGCGAAAGTGAGGAACTGGAATTTCTTACGCGGTGAGTGACTTCTCTTTAAAGGATTTACAAAATACAGGAAAATGCGGCTTTAATCGGCTCATTTGGGAACATTTTTTGAGAGCAAATGCTCATTTTATGTTCATTAAACTGTAGATGTTGTGATTTGCTGGTGAACTTTGTTTTATTCGCGGTCAACACCGAAAGCGGTGCATTTCCGGTACGGTACTGGTGCATACAGTAAGGAAGTGCTTTAAATAAGCCGGGTTGTTATGGACTAGCAAGTATTGAAAATCGATTTATGAAGATGGAAGCTTGAGGCTGTGTGGAAGATTTCATGTTAGACGATGTTTACGTTTTACTGATTCACCATCTTGTATTTATGAACCAATGGAGATCGGTAGAGTAATATGGGGTTAATCAAATAATCCTGCTTAACTTAATTATCATACTCATTGAGATAAGAAACAATTGAGCGGCCTTGTATCATCGAAATGTACATTTGCCGTATACATATATATACTTCACTGGTAGGATGCTGCCCCGCATTGCACATATTTGTAACATTCAGGAAGTAATTTTACCAAGGGTACACTTATATTGTAAATACAGAGACAATTATGTGAAACAAAGTGGGCGACGGGCGAGAAAACAAGAAATGTGCTTTGGTTTCATTCATTAGTTGCTAGAAGTTTGAAGGTTCCCTTTTGCGCTGACATTATGCCCAAACGCGCCAGATCATGAGAATTTGTGTTGGAAAACAAATGATGAAATGAATTCAGTTGGGCCTCCTAGGCGATAGACAGTTAATTCCCTTGCAGCTAGTTTACCACTTAGACGGACATTTCAGTGATTGTCAGAATCTAACCAAAGATAAGAAATGCGATCCGCTAGCGATACAGACATTCCCGTCTGCATCTTAACTTATTATACGTAGTAGAAGATCTATCTGGCCCCGCGCCGGATGCCAGCTATAAAACTAGTAAATATATGACTTGAAACAATTACTTGACCAGAAGTCACTTGGCGTGAACTCTCTGACAGACAGCGCAATAATTCTTGCAGAGTGCGAAGAGCAAAACAAGATTCGTGTATCTGTAATATTTGGTTGTTCACGGTGCGAGTCGACTTCGGATACATTTTTATGAACATCCCCAGCAACGCAGTAACGCTATGGTGCTAGTAGCAGAGCGATCATGTCGCTTTATTGACGAATTGAACTAATATAAACAAATACGACATAATTTTTATGGTTTTTATTTATTGGAAGCATGTGCTTAAGTTATTGTCAACGCTGACGACGCATAACGATTATATTGTCTGTCTGTTTATTAAATGTGTTCGGTTCTACGTGCGGCTTCTTTTTTGTGCGAAATTAGTTTGGAGTTTGTTAAAGGCTTCGTTTAACGTAAAAGAATAATTATTTATGAGTTTTTGAAGTTATGGTTTTCGAATTGTTTCCGGTTGGATTCTCATCAGTTGCCGACAGAAGGTGCCAATGTAGAAGCTATGTACTGTAGTTTGTGATAACATGTGGAGCTGGCATACTGGAGTTTTTAATGGACTTCCTCTGGTACACTGGACGTTGTCCAAATTGACAGCCTTATATCATTTCTCGGATAAACAATTTATATATTGATAATTCATAATTGCTTACACGGCGCTTTCGCACATTTTTGAAAAGAGTCATCTGCCAACCCGTCCGATTAGGCTGACCATGCCGTAGCAATCCTTTTGTCCATTTGGATGGCATCACCGATCCACTAATGGTGGGTGTTCCGGTACAAACATTTCCCTTCGTAGAGGGGAATGCGGTCTGATAGGTCTGACACATCCCCAACAAATGAATGTACTTCGTAATAACATCTTTCGCATCTGTAAGCAGCAGTAGCAAAAGTAAACAGTTTTAACGGTTTTATGATGGGCAGTATTCAAGATGCTGTTTGCATAATTACACATGCCTATGCAGGTAAAAGGATATGACTGTATTGCACTGGTTGATGTTCAGCTTGAAAAGAAATATTGCTTTTTAAATTTTATGCTAAAACCGATCAGGCTCTGGCGTAGAATAATATAACTTTTTCATCGATTATCAATTGCTAAGCGCTTTGTGGTCCAGAATCCAGATTACGAATCAGGAGGTTTTGTAATTGCAATAGAAAACTTTCATGAACAGTTAATCAGTTTGCGTAAATGAAGCTTTGAAAAACGGTGTTGTTTTACGGAAAAATTAGTTTGTTATTCATTTTTAAGTATAATGTGTTTCTGTAACCATGTGCTTCGGAAAATTTAAATCCAATTTACACATTGTTAATTTTACGGGTGAGACTTCTACGGGCTGCATGATAACTTTGAATTACGGTACGTAGCTTCAGCAAAATGTACTCGTATAGATTTTAGATACCATGAATAAAATTCTAACATCAGAATTTATCGAGAAATGAAGGAGAGAAAGAAGCGGCACAGCAGACAATTTTATGATGAGAAATGTGCCGGTAATGGTACGACTCGGGGCATACCTTTGGTGAGATGAGCTATCAACGACTGCGAATAAACATTGACTTCCCACGCTGTATTAGATCGGTAGCAGTTTCACATTTTCTTAAGAATGTACCTATTTGAAAATTATTTGCATATTATTCCTGAAAACCTTTTCAATGTGTTCATAATACGCTATCGACTCAGTCTACTGTGCAATTTTCGAGGATAGTAAGCGTTTAAGGGCATTGCAAATATGCAGGCCGACTTGATCCCGTTCCTTGTCAACACAGGTCGTGCGAAGGTCACACGTAAAAGTGGCTGAATATTCATGTAATAGTTTTTCGAAGTGTTTATGAGTACTCGAGACGGTAGATTTTAAATCAGTTTTTGAACATTTTATAAAAATTGTACGGTGTAGATTTAATTGTACCTAGCCATGGTGTGGTGCTTCTTCGATTGTGTGCATCACACGGTTTTCCGCGCGCATACTGTTAGCTCGAGAAATGTTAGTACACATTAAAAGCCTCATGGAAATTTTTAACAAGCGACATATGAAAAAGTTTTTATGTTTGCTAGCAGTTTCGGACAGCGTATCGTTGTTGATTTAGCAAACTACAACTCGTCGTCGACCGGTATCCTAAACACGTGCCTTTTATGTGCCAGGTCGTCTCCACATACACAAGATTCTTTTTTGTCGTATAGATCTCTCACCTGCACACTCCCGCCAGTGATTTATATTAATATTGCCTCTGCTAAATTAACATTGGCACACACACTGCAAGCTTCCACTGAAGCAAAGAAATTTTAAAAAGAAGGTCAAAAGCCTATTATCTCATATAAACTAATTTCAGTGTAACCTTGCAGCCCTTACTATGCATTACTTGACGATACTTCACTGTGTTATCCAACTGAATGACTCGACGCAGTTTATTGTGTTTCAGCTTATAGCGACCATCGTCCAAATGGTAAATAACACAGTCACGGTATTCAAAAACTTTTGCAACACGAGGCTAGATAGCTGTAATATTTTCACAGAATATTGACCCAGATAAAACACTTCCGGTGCCTGTGTAACGGCGTAATAATTGCATTTTGCTTCGCTTCGGTGTACACCTACTAGTGGGCATTAGGCGGTCGATCCCCATTTATGATCAGTGCATATGCAGAGGCGCAGCGAGAATATACTGTACGTGGACGATGTTGGAGGTACAAATTTTATTGAATCTTGATATTATGGTTTATCTGATTGTGGGAGTTAAGTGTAAGGATACGTGCGCTCAGCATACAACGGTAATAAATTGTATTGAGCGCACATGCGTTTGCCAATATGTAAAGGAAGTTTATGACCAGATGACCTGCGGCTAACCGGTCAGCGCCGGGGTATTGAAATCGAATGTTTCCACATCGTTACATTGTGTATTTGCGGTTAACACCTTGACGGTATGGGAGGGTCGCCATTGTGGCTATCGCACGTTTTATGAAGTGCAAGGGAAATACAACTCAAGGCATCTCTCGCTTGGTTAACATAGAACAACCCCTTCTCTGTATAGTTCTCTGTCGATTTCGCATTTCCTTGCTGTTTAATGGCAGTGGCTACCGTATGCTCAAACCGGCTCCCGAATCGCTCTTTGTGTTGCGTTTTGAGGAGTCGGGTCTTCAAGCCAGCCCAGAGAAGTCTACTTAACTGACCAGTGGATGTATGTCTCAGGCCTGACAGACAGAAATGATTAACTTGGTCAAATATGGATCCGTGCGTATATACAGACACATAGCAAATATTGTGGCCAGCGCTTTGTTAAATGCACAGGTTTTCTCCGGCCACAGCGCTAAGATCAATGCATTCTTAAGACACAGAATTGCCGGTTATGTACTCGCATCCGCTGTCGCAGTAATTCCGCGATTGAAATGTAGGCAGAGTTTGTATGTATGTGTAATTGTGTATACATGTGTGTGCCGTACGAGAAACGGCTGCTCATGCGAGTACGGCTCGGATCATATCCTCAGTCAAGTGTTCTCAGTTCTTATTCAGTGCGTTGCGGGATTTTATGTGCTTATGATTTTGTATTCGAAGTGAACCGATTAATATTTTGTTGTAACCGTTTTTGATTGCAAGCGTTCGGCATGGTATCTACGATGCAGGTATGATTCTGCAGCGTGATATTTAATACTTGGTGGATGGGGGGTAAAAAACACTACCATTGTCAAATGTGCCGTTGAAATCTGCAATCCATCCCTCCATAAATCATTGCATTGATTATTGTTTTTATGTGATCATTTGCTTATCTGCTTTTGACAGCAAATCGGTTGCATGTGTATGTGCGTTAACTAACCACAAAAACTCAGCGCGAACGGAATATTGAATTTTGATTATGATTACCAGATCGCTGTAAAAGGAATCGTCATGCGAGTCCACATTTTGTCATCCATCGTGTATTGATCTGCTGTGTTAATGGGAAAGCCAAAAAACTTTCATGGTCAGTAAAGTCCTTTTTTCCCATGAATCGTGTTTGTGTGATCTGTACACGTACCGCAGATCACACAGCATAAACAGGAATTGAATTAGATATTATCATATTGTTGCAATGCTTACGTTTACCTTGTTTTAACGTTGCTCGGATTGAATTTCTTCCGATTCGTAAGTTTCGATAACCGATCCATGTATCCGGTCTGCCTCTGTTTATCGTATTCACAAAATCGGCGTAAGCTGAAAAATTAATTTTATTTCCCACTACAAACTCGTACACACGGTTCGCGAAGCTGTTGATCATCGCAGTATTATAGATGTTTTGCGCGTAATTTTGCAGATAATCTGAGCTGCTGAGTCAACGAGAAATTTCGTTAGCCGGTCATCGTTAGCCGGGATTGCAACGGAAAATTAAATTTATCTTTAACTAGCGCTTTTGTTTTTTCCCCTAACATCTTTATAGCGCCAGCTATAGGATAATGATTGCCTTGGTGGTTAGGAAGCACATAATGGACTGGGATTGTGGTAATGGGCCGCTCGCAGAGGAAAGTGATCGATTAAGTACGAAGTTCAGTTGGCAGTGTGTGCCAGCCAGCCAGTTTCATGCCGGACACCATCGGCACAGCAAGCGGTCTCCAGCGTCCGTAAAATGTCAGTCGTCTGGCTACAAAACATTTTTCCCATTCTTTTGTCCAGTGCGCCCGAGTCAATGCGAACGTTTTAAAGTGTTTAATCAAATCTGTTCTTCTTTATTCTTTTCTTTACTGGGAAAATTGTAGTCAGATGGCCATGTAAACATTGCATCTAACAGCTTGATAACATTCACTGCTGGTCGATCGAAATTTCCAGTCACGCACCACTGAACTGCATCACAGTCATTTCGGGACTCGGATATACATTTGCTACCGCAGTAGCTTAATTCCTTTAGACCGGGATTGTGGGAATTAGGTAATGCAGTAGCGGTAGTGGGGCGAACGGGAAGGCTTTAGTTTTGGGAAACATTTTTTCGGGAAATTGTTTTGTCTCTTGACTGCATTAGTAAAAGGATTGCATAAATGTTGCTGGAGTTTTGAAAAGCAGTCCGCGTAATCTATCAGGAAAAATGGATAGCTGGAGGGATACGATACAATATGATCAATTGTCCACTAGGAACATTTGGAGAGCGATGCTTCTATTTGCACAGTATAATCAACAGCGTATAAAGTATGTATATTCTCTGTTGTCCGAAACTCTTAATTCCTCTTGCATCACTTCTTTTTCCGTATTTTAATGTACACTCACTTTAGACCTTGTTATTCGCTGTGCAGTTGGATTAACAGAAAAATTCCACCGCTTTATTGGCTATTTTTTGGGCAAAACGCTTCATTTCCTGAATGCTGAGACTGCAGCGGAAGTGAGGTTACTAGCGGATCACTGGTGACAATTCACGATTACCGGTTCCGTTGGCGTATATACCGAGGGGTGAAAACAGAGTTAACGTTTAATGCAGCTGCTACATTTTCGGCTTCGATTTTCGAGGTGTGAAGCTGGTCAATCGTTGTTGATACGCATTAGCGCGCACTTTCCCCGGCACGGTGCATCGCATCTGTGCCTAAATGTTATTTTTTACGTAACCGTATAAAAGCATTTGCGCGCGGTGACTTTGTTGTTCCATGCTGCTCAGGTTACCACACAGTGGATACATGTCGATAGGAAGTCGTTATAATGATTTTTTTCTGCTTCCTCTGTTTCCCGACTGTAACAGCAAGGTTGCGTGCTGTTGACTGGGCAAATTTCCTCCAGGCGAATCCGGCAATCAGTGTTCGTAAAACAGGAGCATTAATGGGGCAAAAAGGGCAAAGGAGGATTTTATTGAAAGCTAGCTCAATATTATAGACCCACTTGAGTTTAATTGCTTGATTATCAATTTTCGGTGCCAGAGAGAGGAATTGCCAGCGCGATATATCACAGCCATCGCGATCTGTCCTGTTTGGTCATAAAAGTTTTAATTCGCAGTGAAAACAGTGTATTGGGGATGCCCTAGTGCAGCTACCTCTCACGCGTTTATCTCACTAGTCAAACAAGCCAAGCTGTGTTAGCTAGCGTGTTTCTGTCAGTTTTACTGCTTTTTCGTGCTGTGGGGAATGTCGACGTGAATTTTGCGTGGGATTCTTGAAATGCATACTTTGATAAGTGCCGCCTTCTAGCCGGATATGAAACCTTTACCGGTAGATATTTGTGGGAATAATTTATCGTTATTAGGCCGTCGACAATAGGTCACGTATTTACCTTACCCCCGTGCATGCAAAACGTTTCCTTAATGAAAGAATTTTTCCTTGTTTGTACGAAATGTTGCCGTTTAATAATTCTGTATTGTACCAAAACCCGTATAAGTGTGGTGTAAGAGCTGCGGAATCCTTGACTGTAAAAATATAATTTGTAAAACGCTAATTTTTTAATAGACAAGTAGCTAAAACTAAAACTTTTCAAGTTTTGTTGTTTATTCTATGATTCTATCAAATAAAATTAATGAATAGGATGTACCTAAGTGGAGTTTGATGAGCTGTATGTTGCAATCAAACTGGCAAGCGTATGCGTTTGGTCAAAACTTTTACACGATTAACCTTTCATGTCAAGACTGGGGGCTGATATCGACCTCTTTGTATATGCGCTTATGTGATATTTCTCTAAGAGATTTTGACAGCCAGCGACTATCAGTACTACACATCTCTGTGTATAATTAATTAATATCTCAAGCATTTCGTCTAACGATTTTGCTGCTACCGTGGATATCTGTCGAGTAATTAATCTTGATTATTGCAGGAGAATTTTCTTATCCACAGCATCGCATGCATTTCAGCGCCGTCAGTCAACGAATTGACTTGTACTATTGGTGATTAAAGCGTCGCGGATGATGGTGTGAATGTCTTGACCAGTGGTCAACGTTATCGGGAATACTACACTGCCCGGAACCTTATTTGCCACTTCAACGGATATAATTTGGGGAAGCGAGAAAGATTAATTGCGCGCTCTGACCAGAATACATCGCCCGATTGCATTACTATGTGGATATAAATTGGCACAATCGAGAGCATCATTTACTTGAAGGTATAGAGCAGTCAAGTCATAATTTCACACTTGAAAGCTCCTGCTAAAAGCCATACACACACTACCAGATGACTTTTTATGTCAAATAATAAGCTATCGGAATTTTTTCCATTGTGCCGGTTTGCTCTTCCATCGCATGGCATGTGTGAACTAGTAAACCGGTTCGGAATACATCTACACATCTTCACGGAAAAACAGGTGGTAGTTCATTTGTTTTTACATGGAAGAAAAAAGCCCGCGTTCACGTATCATCTAGTTCGGCAAAACAATTTTTTTATCAAACAGAAAAATTGTAGCATCGTATTTTCCGACCGCTTGGTCGTGTGTACCGTGGCCCGCGCACACCATACAGCATTTTGCCGGTCTAGCTTGTAAAAATATTGAATAAGTAATGTTCAGCATAGACTGGCGATCGGCACTGTGACAGATTTTTCTTGGTCAATATCCGAAATTACCTGCAATATTTATTTACGCTGGTATTACAGCATAAGCCCGTAGTAATTGCAAACATCCGTTTCACATAATATGACATGATTACGAGGGAGGTGATGGGATGGATAAACGCCGTGCGTGTACACAACAGCCTATTTTTGGTATTTCCAAATTATGGCTAAATCATAGGCATATCGTCTCAGATTGCAAATATTTACGGAATGTTCTGCAAGGGTAAATTTTTGCAGGGCTTGACGATAACGATGTCTCGCCGCAAGGGATCTCCGGCCAGATGTGATATGGTCGCTATGATATGGCTGCAACTGATCATCGGTCTGGCCGTCGTCCGGACCCAGTCCACGCGGGTCGACTATCCGTATCAGTGCCCCGAAGAGTGCCACTGTCAGACGACGCTGAGAAACGGGGTGTTTGTGGAATGTGCCCTCCTGTCCATTGGGTTATGGTCGGATTTCCGGGCTATCCAGGCCAACTTCACGCAAGGTCTCCTAATTCAGTGCGATGCCCGGCATCTTGACAGTGAGTTATAATACGACGTTTATGACCTTGCGCATAGCGAAATACTGGAATTACTCGATAGTAATAAAAAGAAATTCTACCGGAAAATAACAGAAGAACTGGTGGAGTAATAAAACTTCAAAAAAATAAGGCAATAAAAACGCGAACTCACATCTTCATATCAATAAACTTATTTCGCAATCATAAAATAAAAGTACTGTACAGATCTATGCCCTACAAAAAAAGAACGGACGATAAAATGAACTGAAAAAATTTGAGATATCGTGGAATAAACTTATTAGATTAAAATATTCATATATATGATAAAGTATCTTGTGTGAATACATGTGAGTATACGCGCAAGAGTCGATTTTGTGTCAATAGTGAAGCGTTTATTTATATTGGCATAGCCTAAATGTTATAATTTTTAGGTAAACTCCTTGAAGGAGCTTTTGCCCATCTGACTGATTTGGAGAAGCTATCCCTGGTGGATTGCGCTTTTACGCGTATCCCGAAGGATGCCTTTGCCGGGCTGCGCAATCTCAAGACACTGACCATCAGCACCCGCTCGCCCACTGCCCAAATGCACATTGAGCCGGGCGCACTGCGCCGTCTGGAGCAACTGGAAACACTCGACCTGCACCGCTCCAATATCGCCAAATTTCCGGCCGGGGAATTGTGTGCACTGCAGCGTCTCAAATTTCTCCATCTACAAGACAACAGTGTGAACAATCTGCTGCAGTTAGGCACAAGTGGGGCTTGTTTGACCAGCCTAGAAGCGGTGTATTTGGATGGTAACAGTGTCCGGACGTTGGAGAGTGATGTGGCCGAGTATCTCAGCCCGAAACTGCGCACATTGTCCTTATCGCGCAACAAACTGGACAGCGTGAGTGATAGCGCACTGGCCCGGCTGGAGCAGTTAACCGAGCTGGATCTTTCGCTGAATCAACTGGAATCCCTGTCGGACGGGCTACTGCAGCATCAGACCCAATTGGAGCGCCTATGGTTGAACGGGAATCAAGTCAAATCCCTTCCGGTTAATGCATTTGTCATGTTGAGCCAGCTGCGCGTGTTGAACTTGAGTCAGAATGCCTTAACCAATCAGTGGATCAATGGGGAACTGGTAAGAAATTGTCTGCAGTTGCACTCACTCGACTTATCCCACAATCAACTGACCCACATTGACCGTTCGCTACTGCGTAATCTGCTTAATTTAAATCAACTCCATCTCCATCATAATCGTATTGAATGGCTGGAACCGCAGGCTTTCACTTATCAGCACAAAATGGAACAGTTGGATTTGAGTCAGAATCTCCTGGCCAGTGTGGAGGATGAGGCGCTGGATGGGCTGTTTGCCTTATCGCTGCTGAATATGAGCATTAACCAGCTCAAATCACTGCCGGATGGTTTGCTGGCTGATGCGAAAAAGCTGACGGTGTTGGATGTGGGCCATAATCAGCTGCAGCAGCTATCCAGTGATGTCTTCAGTCCGGTACGGGCGCTGCAATGGCTGGGATTAAGCCGTAACCAGTTGAGCGCACTCCAGCCGGCGCTTTTACGCAATCTAATTGATCTGCAAGTGTTGGATGTGTCGGAAAACCGGCTGAAAAGTCTCCCAGCTGGACTGTTGAACAACAAACCAAATCTAAAGGTTGTCATATTATCCAACAATGACGTGAGTGAATGGCGCGAGGATATTGTCGACGGGAGTCTGACACGCTTAGAAGACCTGCAGTTGGATGGGAATCTACTGCAGACCGTGGGCAACTGGACGGCCGGGAAGTTGAGTAATTTGTTACGTCTGAATGTGTCTAACAATCAAATTAGCCAATTACAACTGGCGGATCTGCCGCGCTCCTTACTGCATTTGGATGCCCATTCCAATTCCATCGTACAATTAAGCCTGGCCAGTGCCGCCTCGGCGCACAACTACAACGAGCTGCAATTACGTCATTTAGATGTGTCCAGTAATCAAATCACCAGTGTGGGCCCCAAAGATTTGCCGGCCTCATTGCAGGTTATCAATTTGGCTGACAACCGTATTGTTAACATTGAACGCTATACATTCTACAACAAGCCCCGATTAGCGGCGGTTAATTTGCAACGCAATCGGCTGGAAGCGCTGGATGAGTATGCCCTTAAGATCAGTCCGCTGGAAGCCAGCGAGCAGCTTCCGGAGTTCCACATCGGAAGCAATCCCTTTTTATGTGATTGTCAAATGGTCTACATGAAAAAGGTAAAAAGCATACACACGACAGTAGCTCTGATTATACTGTTGCGCTTGACTAAGCATAGGAATCGATATAGAGCTGCTATTGCTGCCGGCAAGCGGTGGCAGTTTTGTGCTTATACAGCTGGTGCAAGCAGGCGGCAACGAACGTGCAACAAGAAAATTATGCAAGTAGGACAGTGATGTGATCTTTTCCGTAAATGGTTCTGTTTGTCACAGATTAACCAATATCGTTTTGGGCAAATAATGTACTTACGAAAATCAATTATTGTGCGAAAGCTGACCGCTTTTCCCAGCACTATTAGACGAATGCGTGGTGACCCTTTTTAGGGAGTTGTACTGAAATAGAAATATTTAAAGCTGATTCACGTTTCGAAATTTACTGCCTAATGCGATTTGTTGAATATTTACTTGTACAATCCATTTTTTCACAAAATGCCGGCCGCCAGTCGGAGACTGTAGGCTGTAATAACATTTTCATGGTCCATTTGCTGATGTGTACTGCTTACCTTTCAGGCGTATCGAATGCAGCAGTTGTTGATCTAAAAATATTTTGTCAAATAATAATAAATGTCCATGAACGAAATTGTAGGTTTATTATCGAAATAAAAGTAAAGTGAGCAAGACTGTTGTATTGTGACCGCCAGCGCCAAGACAATGAATCACGATTTTTATGCACTGGTGTCGAATATTTATTTTTGGATTCGTTATAGAAATTCGTTATTTATTTATTATTTGCTGTTTCGAATTCTCGTATAATCGATGGAATTATTATTTATACAGAATGCGATAACTGTGATTAATTTATGCCTGATCAATAATTGTAATTTATTCAGGTAATTATGGCTGCATAATTTGATTAAATTGGTTTCATGTCACTCATATCAACTATTGTGCGGTAGTATACTGCAGAGGGAAAGCGCATCCGTAATTTAATTACCCATGAGTTTTATTCAGCTTTTGCCAAAATTTGGACGATTTGTTATTAAATCAGTGCGCAGTCAGAATTTTGAGATATTTTGAAATCATAAACGTTCTGCGACTTCTGTCTAACGTCAAAACGCTCACTGTTACGAATATAAGGTCGTATAAACAGTATACATTCTGCGGTATTTTTTGGTAATTAATTGTTGATTTTTTTGCAGATGAACAGCAAAAACCTGAAGAGTTATCTGCGCGAAAATCCCAATATTGCCGACCTCGACAGCGTGGAATGCGTTGAGATGCGGAGCAAGGCCAGCCGGCGGATGTTGGACGTGCCGGACGACGCGTTTGTTTGCCCATACAACGAGCAGTGTGTGCCCAGCTGTCACTGTTGCGATTACGCCGCCTGCGACTGCAAGATGACGTGTCCGGATAACTGTACATGCTATCATGACGCCAAGTGGGAGAGGAACATCATCGACTGCTCCGCCCGTCAACTGGACACCATTCCCCTGATGGTGCCCATGGACTCCACCGACGTCTTCCTGGACGGCAACATCCTCACCGCACTCCCGGAGCACGCGCTGATCGCCCGCAGCCGGCTGAATGCACTGTACCTCAATCACTCGCAAATCCAGCGGATTGATAATCGAACATTTAACGGATTAGCCCATCTGAAGATCCTCCACCTCCATCACAACCAGCTCACCGTCCTCCGGGGATACGAGTTCAGTCAGTTGGAGTCACTGGAGATGCTGGATCTGTCGTGGAACGACATCCACGCCATTCATCCCCATACATTCACCGCGCTGAACCGACTGCGCATGCTGAATTTAGCCGGCAATCAGCTGGATGCGCTGGTGACCCTGCCGCTTCCGGTCAATACGGTGCAACTGTATCTGGCCAATAATATGTGGGAGTGCTGGTGCAATGAGGAGCGCGAGAAGACATTGACGGAGTGGCTGGAGAAGAATACGGCGCGCATCGCCGACATGGCCAACATGCACTGTTACGATCGCAGTCAGTATCCGGCGCTGTTGCGCGATATGAAGAAGCCCCGTGAGCGCTGTTCCAGCGTGGAGGCGTTGACCCGTGAGACCGGCCAGCATACATTCCCGGTGGTCAGTGAATCGTCCAATCAAGTCCTGCTGCTGGTAGGCTCCATCCTGGGGTGTGTTTGTGTGGTGGCCTTCGTGGCGGTGGTGGTGATTCTGCGCTACCGCTACGAGATCCAAGTACGGCTGCATTCGCGCTTCCGGGTACGATTATGCTCGTCATTAAGCGATGAGGATGAGGAGAGTAGTGATTATGCGTATGAAAAGATCTGTGATGCCTTTATCTCCTACTCGGATGAGGATGATCCGCTGGTCTTGGGGGAATTGGCGCCGCGGCTGGAGTTTGGCGTGCCGAAATACAAATTATTCCTCCATTATCGCGATTATCCACTGGGAGTACGGACGCCGGAATCAATTATACAGGGTGTACAGTTGAGCCGGCGGACCATACTCATCCTGTCGGAGAATTATCTGAAGCGGGAATGGGCCAAAATGGACTACCGGCTGGCGCATCAGCAGGTGTTCAAGGACCGGAAGAACAAAATCATCATTGTCCTGGTGGGGAACATCCAGATGAAGGATCTGGATGTGGATCTGCGGATGTATCTCAAATCCAACCCCTGCTTGCAGTGGGGTGAGAAGATGTTCTGGAAGAAGCTGTACTACGCCCTTCCGGATCCGGAACCGGTTCTGGAGGACCATTATTCACGGACGCTGTCCTCGGTGAGAAATGGGCATATCTACAGTTATCCCATTACGGATTTGTGAGACAGCGGGGAAGGGGATAGATGGATGTGTGTGCATGCGTTTCGTAATGGGGTTTGCTCAACTGTGGTGGCGAAGGAAATGCAGAGACAGAGAGACTTAATGAGCGTTGTGTATGTTATGATGGATGCGATAAGCGGGATGCTGGGAAGTAAATGGATTGATCTGATTTTGGTTGTCCTATTTAGTGGTGGAATATTTGTCTCTTCTCCTGATGATCTAATTTGAATAATAATTAATTTTTAATGCTGGCTGCATTTTCTCTGTACAAATTATTTCCCGGCCCGCGCCAGATGTTGCGGGAATTGTTAGAATTATTCTTTGTAACTTGTACACGATGCTGTTCCTTGCTCTGCGTTTGTTTCCGTCATGACTGACCAAAATTTTCTCGAAATGAAAATAATGTGATAATTAATACGATTATCATCAGTTCCGGCGATTAATATGCATTGAAACGTACGGCGTTACACACACACAAAACAACGATAGCTGGTACGGTACTTTGATAAGCTGCGGAGACATAAGAACAAGACTGTACTGTACAATGTTTATGATATTATATTCTGTATTGTTATACTGTACACTAAAATAATTACTCAATAACAAGCGTACACTTAACACTTAAAATAAAACACGACGCACAGTAATGTACGATATACGATAATTAATGCAAAATCATGAGAACGTACACGATAATAGTTATATCCGTTTTGTAATTTCCGCTAGAGTTACAAACCTGACTGTTACCGGATCTACAAAAAAATTAATGACATTTATATCATGGGCATACAATGACAAAAAAAACATTTATCGATCTTTATAAGACTTCTTAACACTCACATTTTTCGGCTTTCAAGAAAAAGGGAAAGCAAGAAGTGCACGTGTTACCACAAATCAATATTTAAAATTAGTGAATCTGACATGCAGTTTTTCTGCTCCTCTCAAACCTTGAACCCACTCATCAACAGTAATAAAAGGGGCATGAAAATTCATATGGCAGATAAGAACAGCGACAAAGGGCGTTTTGTGAACAACACGCCTATGTAATTTCATAAATTTTCTGAAAGGTCACGGTGGCGGACTCGTTAACCAGCAACATGCAGTTACTGTAGGAGAGCATTGCTATCATCGCCATTATCCTAGCTCAATTAGCCGTTTCGTAATCGTGGGTACAGTGCACCGCAACTACCTACCCTAGTCATTTGAGGAAAAAAGGCTCATGCCGCCCTGCGGCAGTTCCGATTCCACTGCATCGAAAATGTGCACAAACAATGATTTCCGGCTGGACAGCGCTCCTAACATCTACACACTACAACACATCCGTGCAACTGCACTGTATGCGTCAATTTGACTTATGTTGATCGCCTGCGTCGAATTAAGGAAAGTGACCCGGTACATATCATATTCGAATTCGTTACTATCATATTCGTAGACATCCACACAAATTTTGCTTTTGCGCTTAGAATTTCGCTTTCGCGCACTCCCAAACTGTTTTGTTTTGCGTTTTCCATGACATTTTGCAGCCAAGTTAGCCAAACTATTTGAACACATTGACGTGAAAAGCGTTTGGTGCGCAACATCCGATTGGGTGAAGTGAGACTCACGATCAGAATGAGATTTTTGGTGCACCTGTTCGCATTTAGTTTTGCATCTTATTTCACCCATAACTTTCCAACCGGATGTTGCACACACAGACTTATTTTACACCAGTATGCACAAATCAATTGGCTATTAAATACAATGAAACAATGCAAAAATCTGTTTGGGAATGCGCGAAAGCGAAAGTTTCCTTAAGATGTATTACGAGTACGAATATGGTACCACGTACTGGGTCATGGGCGCAGTTGTTCGTGTCTTTTTATTACTGTAGCTACCCGATGGCTGTGGTAATCTTTTATATTGCAAGAATTTTGAGCTCGAAGCCAGATTTTCTTTTGCCATAGGCAGAATTTCAAAAACTTCCGAAACTGAAGATGCGATCTCTGCCATCGATAGCAGACTCTAAAAATTAATCAAGACCGTTTAGCGAGACGGCTTTAAATTCTTCTTCATCTTGTACAAGAACCCCATTAGCAGCAGTTCACAGTGGCAGTGATCACCACCAGCCGGCCCGTGACCTTCTCAATAACACAGCAAGTATAGCTGGCTTTGTGTCAAAATTCTTCCAAAATTCGAAAATAGAAATTGGCAATTTTATATACTCAGAAAGTACTATCGACGAGGTATACTTTTTGACTGATCCCATTTGCATATAAGGTGATGTAGAAATTGTCTGACTTTTTCGTGCGAGTGTTATCGAGTAAATCTTTTAGTTTAATAGACTATATATTTAAATAACCGAAAGTGCTATGCGTTAGGAAATTTTCTTGCGCATAATTAATTTGCTATGTGCCCGGAAAATTCCTGGCGCGTTGTCAGGTTGTGTTTATTTTTACTTTAACGCACAACTTACTACGACAAAAACTACAACAGGACTAAAGATTTTCATAAACTAGTAAATAATAGCGTCACTTTTCCTCTGATACACATCTTCTCCATTTCGAAATAATTAACCCGCTGTTTATTTGTACTTACAATTAGCATTACATTACATTTTGTTTGTTAAAATTAGAAGTACTGTACTCGTAGTTTCATACTGTACGTGATTTGCACACGGAAGTAACCTTAGTATTTAAGAGCCGCTATTCACAGCAGAAGCGGCGTTATTCATTCAGAGCCAAATTTGAAGATCTGTTAACAACAGTTTTTGAGCTGCGCGATTGAAAAATGTTTAGTCTGGTATTAAAACAGTTTTTAAACGCGCTCAGTGGAACCGAAAGTCCAGAACTGAGATTTTGGAAGTCACCATCCTTCAGAAACATTCGCATTTAACGTTCACATTTCGCACCTGTGCGAAGGAAGGTTTCATGAAACTGCAAGGTTGCAATTCTTTCGCCTTTTGTATCTATGCATTTGACCCAATCTTTTTAAAGCAAAAGGATCGGTGGACCGTGGATGCAGCTTACTGACCAAGGTTACGGTTTTACTAGTATACCTGGTCTGGTGGTTCTGAACTTCTGGTACGCTTCTAGATCTGATTTTTCACCAGGAAAATCGAACTTCTCGCGTAAAACGGTTTTTCGACGACTAAAACAAACTTTGATCTTAAATTTTGTCCACCCGGGTTTTCGTGCTGCTGCCGTAATCCGAAATCTTCTGTTTTCGGCGGACACTTTAGTGGGCATAAAAACTTATCATGAAGACAAAATTTTGGCCGGTACTTGGCGAAATGTTGTATCTTGATTTCATTCGTTGCTTGCCTCGAATTTTAAATTTTAAAATTTGCAAGCATCAACAAATTCAATACTTTATGCTAATCTACAACTTTGTAGCCAACTTTTGCTTTGTTTTTAAGAATTCTTTAAGCAAGCTGGAATATATTAGAGATTTAATCTCCTATGCACCTTAATGGTAGCAGTAACAAATTTCGGCGAGGAATTTCCGGGCGCATAGAGCAAATTTACTTTGCGCCAGGCAATTTCCTTACAGAAATCTGTAATATATTTTTCAAGTACCGCATCATGTACGTCGGAATTGGGCAGTTAGACACATTTAACAATCCCTCGTAGAAGTACCGCTGATTATAGTTCTCGTAAGATTTGAAAGTATATACCGGGTGTTAAAGATGCAAAACAGAGGTTTTGAAATTATTGTTGTTTCTTCGTGACCACAGGATGCGCCTGAAAAATCATAAAAATCCAAAATTTTAATGGAAACAGTCTGTGGAATTTTGTGATATTTTGTGGAACCGCTAACTGAAAAAAGCATTACGTTTACAATTTCTGGAAAATTAAGGGGCTACTCGCCGCCGATTACGATACCAAAGCCTTCTGTTAGCATATTTATTTGGAGGCAAAGAAATCAGCTTTCATGCACTAATTTAATTCATGTCCGTGACGAATATCAGTTCAAATTTTGTACTTTCATTACACACGATTGGATGGTAAATTAGTGAATACTAAGTTATTACCAACCCTTAAATCACATTTCATGATCAGGCAGTATCCGTGGCCCATGCCATGATGCCGGTGAATCTGTATATTGTATTGTATCTACGTCAAAAAATGGTGCTTTTATATTGCGGCTAGCGGGAAGCGGTGGATGCCGTTTGGGTTATTTGTCATCGTCAAGATTATCTTGAACGCGGAATCAGAATTAGATAACTATCCGGCGCTTGTCAGTGATAATACTAATTGATTATTTCAAGAAACACATGGGTGGCGCGGTAATATTGTGTAATGTTACGGATGTATATATTAGCTATGACAGAAAAAGTTGTAAGTATTTATGTGCCGGTGTAACAGCACGTGTAAAATTATACAGACATACTGTACCAATCAGCGGTGAGTGTAGAAGTCTCAAGGCGGCGCAAATAAATACGTATACATATGTAGTTACGGTGCGTTGTGAGAAACAGACGCTAAATGCAGCAAAAAACATGAATCTCTAGATTCGTCTCTGGTTGCCTTCATATCTTGACATACTTTTGGTATCAATCTACCGCCGTCCATTTGCAATTACCATTTACGCATGCTACAATTTTTTGCCGATCAACATTCCATGCATTTGTTTACTAAGCGTTGAAGCAATGACCGATGCATTCCGGTAAACAGTCGACTCGCTGGGCTGGATTCTGGTGATTTTGTGATTAAGCTGGACTTTTTCTGACATCGCTGGTCGATTGTCACGGAATCTTATGGCTAGAAAAAGGAACCCTACTCTACGTTTTCGAATGCCATTCTGACGTCTCCCTGCGTTATCTGAATCTTCATTAACGTTTACGGTATGTACAACACAATGCGTCTATAAAAAGAGCTGAATTGTGATTTAAAAGACTGTTATGAAATACGAATAAATACAAATTTATTCTCAATATGTACAGCAACGAGCACCACTCAGTATAATATAATCAAAATAAATTGAACAGTTTGTTGATTTAGCGAATATTTTTCGCGGTGTTAGAAGTATCATTAATCTCCCTACTGGTAGCAGTCTTCTGCCAAAGCCCGGCTTCATGTTTTTGCAGCAGCATTAATCAACGTTTTATATATCACACAACAAAACCGTAATAAATAAAATAATAGTTTTTGTGTTGCGTTTTGGGAATAACAATCACAGCTTACCGGTTTTTTAACACTTTTCACTCATTTTGTTACTATTTAAAATTCCAAATAAAAATGGTATCTCCATAACATCTAGCTTTTTGCCACCCGCAGAGAACAAACATCTATTGTGCAATACAGTATAATTGTTTAGTGTATCATTAAATAAGGTAGGCAATGCTTCACCTGACCAGTGGCCACGGAAGATTTCCGAAAATGGCTTTTTATTATTTGTTACAGTGCGTTCATTACGATTCCACTTTAGGCATGCTAATTTTGTACGTACTTCATTTGCGAATCGAATGAGTTTACTTTGGGATGACAACGTAAATATTGAGTACAACCCTAAATATTATGTAAGATCCGGGTAGTGGTGATGACTGATTCATAAAATGGTAATCTCAACAGATCTGAGAATTACGATTGACCTGGTTTATTTCGTTCTTCTGGTCAACCATATGGATTTGATTACAGACTATGGTCGTTCGTGTATTGCATGTATGAGACAGATTTACCTGTCGTTCCGTATTACGCAACCGGTAAAATCCGATTGCTTTTTTCACCTGTTGCTGCTTAAAGCCCGAACGATGCTGTACTTCTACTGACAGAATAGTGACTATTTAACTGAAAGTACATGATTGCTCTTGTACATACAACTATATATCTATATAGCGAACACATTTCGAAGATTTCACTTTCTTCCCGTGACTCCAGTTGTTCACAAAAAAATGCATTGTCTTTTTGCCGTGGCTTGAAAGATTTCGTTCGGTTGGTGTTCGGTATAATAAAGTAGGAAACCGTCAATGTGGACACCCTGCCCGCCCCGTTTATTATAGGCACCTCTTTTGCACCTTACTACGTATTGTAGCAGCGACAAGGACAAATTGGGGAGATAGCGTGGATGTCGAAGTCTTCCTTGGAATTCCCGCTTGTTCTCAATGAGCTAAAAACAAAGCAGAGCACAGAACGACCGCGTACTACCATCGACATGCGAGAAAGAACTTTCCATAATTAACATCCCGTTGCACAAGACAATAAATTAAATAACATACTCGCATAATAACAGGAAACGCAAACTGGATCTTTAATTACAGATAATTAGATAGGTAAAGCCATCTCGCGGTTAAATCTCTGCGACAATATGCACCACCACTGGAGACAGCAACGGAACAGATAAACTGAAAACCGTCAACCTGGCGGAGAAGTGAGAACGACATAAGTCCGTTTCGCATTTTAAAGCGTAAAATTCTGTCGGAGAAGTTATATATCCATACATGTAGAGCAATATATGAATATCCTACTGTCGCCGCAAGTGCAGCTCCAGCTTTTGATGCTGTATATTTCAAACAAAAGACGGTGGTCCAGCTTCGACTGCCGGAATCGAAGAGTACGGACAAAAAGTTCGAATATATCCTTGGTCGAACTGGCCTCTGGACCATCGCCCTTTAACATCGTATTCGCCGTATCCGGAGCTTCCGAAGCTATGACGAAGAGGAGCTGGTTGGCAAAAGGCAAAAGTGATACAGTCTGCAAAGGCCGAACGATTACATTGCACGTCGCCCAGGGCGGCCAGGAAGGAAGCTGGCAAATGGGCTACCGAACGCCAGAGATGACCTTCTGGTCACTGTGGAAGACGCATTAATAATTCGCTAAATTAGGTGACATACCGAATCCCTAATTATCGGCGGCTGAAAAGTGAAAAGCTAAGTGTTTTAACGGGCAAATTCATAATTTATTCGCGGTACCCGAATAAAAAGTACCATTTTTGAATTTTACTGCTACTTATTTTCTTAAACTGAAATGGAAAAAGGGCGCTTAATCCCTAGAAGTATAATTAGCCAGCTGGTGCGAAAAGTGGTGCCTATAATGTGCGGGAGTGGGAAGAGGTGCCTATATATATATATATACGAGTACCCAGGAAAGTAAGGAACCTAGATTGCTGCAATCAGTAAAGAAAGTTATCTTTCAACTACTCAGTACCCATAATTTTTTCAAAAGCTCGTGTTAATACTGATGTTAATGTAAATGCGTGAAAATATTGACCTGCCGTTATGGTAATTGCTTTTCGACGGTCGATGGTCAGCTGGTAAGCTGTACGCAGCATTTCCGTCTAAGCATGGAGGATCTGCAAGGTGGTTTTCACTTAATCGTACGAGCCCACCACTTTTCGACTAGTTTTCTTTTCTATGCAAATGACTCAGTGCATGCTTAAGACAGTGGTGCAGCCTGATTGGCTTCCGCGTTAGTTCGCCGCTTATGTGCCCATATGTCCACTGCGGTTCCGGATGCGAAAGTTGGTTGGCGCTCGTTATAGACCGATTTAATGATGGGCCAGTCAGTTACTTACTGCACACTTGTTATTTGTTGCAGTTATGTTCATTTTCTAAACCCTCGTTGTTAGGTGTTTTAATTGTACATCTGCCTGCACAACTGACTGCAAATCATTTGGCACTTTGATGCTTGTTTACTCGCGGAACTGTTACTCAATTTCGCAGCGTATAATGAATACGCTTACTAATCGTTATATAGTATACTGTATATCTGACTTATGCAGATGTTCTAATTAATCACTACTAACTTTTCTGTTCTGCTGACTGACCATTAGAGTGATTTTTTTTATTTTGATTACACATATATATGCAGTATACGTGCTACCAAATTTTACGAATTCTGCCGGCATTTCGTTGCAAAATCTTCGGAAGTAACAGCCGCTATGCAGTGACTGCAATCGGTTATCGGTGATATCCCGGGATGCTACAGTTGTGTGAGTTTTTATACCGCTCTTCTCCTGCAAACTTTTAGAAATGTAAAAGAAAAGTGTTCCATAATAATTGAGTTCCTTTCTTAATTAAAATGATTTTACAAGGACGGCAGCATATGTTTACGTTCTTGATTAAATTAAGATGCTCTGCATTCTATGCAGTACGAGTACAATTTAAAAAAAGTCGATCACTTACAAGACGTGAATCACGTGATGTATTTTCGATTACTATTATCTCAACCTTAAACAATTTTTCCGTTTTAATAAAACATGATCTGATGTTAGCATTTAATTACGAAATTTATTAAATGTTTATACTTCGCTGGCATGCACATCACTCGCTTTTCCGGCATGGCAGTTGGATGCCTATTAAAGTGCACCGTAATTCGACAACATTATGCAATTTATTGCAAGAGTATAACATGTACCTGTGACGCACGTACATAATTATTCTATGTGGACAGGCTTTATTGTGCTTTTTTCGCCGGCGACACTCGTCGCAAAGCTTTATTCATTGGGTTTATTATGATGCCATTCTTTTCTTACGATCACTTTACTTGTCTTACAATAGCATTACATATTAACGGTTACAGACAGTTACAGCATTACTCCTCATTGCCGCACAGTTGCTTTGGGTAACTCTGAATTGACCCATTAATATTATTCATTTTGCCACTATTGATGTCACGCTGCTGTGATTCCGGAATTAAAAATGCATTCGATTTAATTTTCAGGTCGAATCTCTGCTGATTACAGTTAACTTGCACTGGATTCTTATATTCATCATTATTTTGGATGGTGGTCTACTTCATCATTTTCCTTATTAGTGGATTATTTTGACTGGGATATAATTCACCGCCATGAGGAATCTTATATTAAATTGTTTTTCGTTGATTTTATCTTGTTTTATCTGTTTGTTGCGATTAATCTCTGCCGGTAAGCACGAAATTCCTAAATACGTGATTTTTTCTCGGAAGAACGCGGTTTTTTTGACAGATATATTAAAGGAAGGATTATGTGCTCCGCCGCATAAACTGTTTATTACGGGCGATATTCAGAAATGTTCCAATGATCTCGATTGTCCTTATGACCTCAAATGCTGCGAATCGAAGAGTCGCATCAAAGTTTGCTCACCACCGCAGCCAGCATTTACCGGTATGCCGTCCGACAATTTTCGGAATGATTTTCGTGGTTGAAATTCCGCGGTAAAAACCATTCTTGTCGTTCCAGCCTGTCAACACCAAAAAACAGCGGTGGTGGAAATCGCTCGCAGTATAGATGGAGCCGCTGGTTTCCAGCCGGAATGCGACGAGCGAACCGGCGGATTTACTCCCATCCAGTGCAGTGAAAATAAGAATCGCTGCTGGTGTGTCGATGAGGCCGGATTCGAAATTCCCGGAACAAGAGCCGCACTGGGCACACCCATTAACTGTTCCGGTAAGAACTGATTCTTGATTTTTAATTAAATTTCTTAGCTTTAAGTAGATCATAAACAGGGAATATCCAGTTTTGTTATCCTTAAATTCAGAATGTGGACTAGAAGTACAGAAATTTTTTAATCAAATGCAAGCGATTTTTGTAATACGAGTATATTTTGCTGTAATTGTGTTTTCCTTAATTACTAGCATAAAAGTAAAGATATGCTGTATATTTGTTGTGCTCGTATTATTTTTTTAAAATTTTTAATAAGTGGTTTCTTTAATTTCAGCTCCGCGTGCCTGTCCGCATCCCGAATGCCGAATGCTGTGCCCGCAGTCGTTCCAAATGGACAAAGACGGATGTCCAGTGTGCTCGTGCTACGACGCGTGCGAAGTAATTACTATACACTTGAGAAAGCGAGTCCGAAAAAAACAGACTGATCTTGTAGCGGCAATTGTCCGCCTTTTGACTCGCATTACCAGTGCCAAACTGATGGGGTGAATCAATCTTGTAGGACATCAAATGTCCAAGGAGTACGCGCTGTATCACTGAAGATGTCAGATGTGTAACCGATCCATGTCCTCCTATTAGCAAATGTACGTCCACGCATGTTACACCGTACAGACCGGCGCGGATTAGGTTTCCGTCACGAGATTGACACTTTTTCTGACAAGCACCGATATCATTCACTAGGCCACTCGATATCATTTGTACACCGTATATACGATCAGAGTGGTGTAATGTTCTTCTTTGACTGGCGACAGGTGCGGCTCGCGCCGTCGACGATGTGGACTGTCCGAACGGTCTTCCGGCGCTGGTTGATAGCAACAGAAAAGACTACTTCCTGTGCAGCCTATTGGATACTATCAAAACATCCAAATGTCCAGCTGGCTTTGATTGCCACGTTCGTCCTAACAAAGAGTTCGGTGTCTGTTGCCCGCAGACGCCGCAGAACAGTACGTTGAGAACTGATTTATTAGTCGGCTGTGTGGTGGTGTTGATATGTCGTTTGTAGGTGTATATACGAGTATGATCACTTGATTGATAAAAAATGCAGCAGCTACGAACGCTGTAGAGAACTAATTTTTTAAATAATGCTGCCTAGTGCACTTGACATTACGCTGTGATTTTTGTGCGGGTAAACAACAGCCTTCGCGGAACTGAAGTTGCAGCAAATTCGCCTAAAAATGTCAAAAAATAATTTGTTTCCTTTAACCCATAAACCAAAAAATTTCAAGGAAATTACTTCTTAATGATTTCCAAATATGCAGAGCTTTAAAAAGTAATGTCACTAGAAAAATGTGTCTACATAATGTTGTCTGAATATATTGTATGTAAAGCTTTTGACCAAAACTGTTTGCGAAAAATGTTCACAAAATTTTATCGAAGATTGTGAAGCAGGGTAACTGCTATTTATGTGTTATGTTTCTTATTAAAATGTTTGTGTTTTCAGTTCTCAAGCCGGGGCAGTGTCCGCCTCTTCAGCGCGCTAACGACAACAGTTGTGTGGTTGAGTGCCAAGTCGATCAAGATTGTTACGATGATGCCAAGTGCTGTTCGGATAACTGCACGTCGCTTTGTTTAGCACCGTTGACCATAACCCGTAAGAACGGTTTTGGCTATAAATAAGCCGTGTTTATCTGTTGACGAGCCCAAGTCATCAGTCTGATTATTTTAGCCTGTCAAGCACAGCGGAGAGGTTCAGAGAAAGTTCCCGGTGTCTTCGTACCGCACTGCGACCCCAATGGTCAATATGCCGGCGTCCAGTGCTTCGGCAGTAAATGCTGGTGCGTCGATGCGGTGACGGGGGTGGAGAAATTCGGCACGAGACGGCTGGATGGCTCTCGACCGAACTGCTCGGGTAATGAATTAAGCTAATTTCCGACCGAAAATCATAATCAGTACTAAACACAATTTAAATATGACTAGTAGACAGCATGGTATATCGTACGTGTTAACTTTTTATCCGCATTATCGAAAGTCAAAATTAGATTTTAATTTTTCTTGCTTCCTTACAAGCCAACGATTGCTTATGATTAAGTAAAACAGATGTGCGGCTTTAGCATTATATTCACAAAATGTTCCTAATTTTCTGCCGTATAAGCTGCTTGAATATTGAATATTATCTTGTCATGATACTGTATGTGCAAGTAGGTAACGAGTGGTATTTCGCGTAACTCTAAACTATATAGTTATTCGCTTATGTCTTAGCCGCTATACTGCTTGCACGCGTTTTTTTTGCCGCTGAGCATGCACCGACAACGGTTTTTTTCTGTGACAGCTCCAACATCTTGCGGGGAAATGAAATGTGATCTGCAGTGCTCACACGGCTACCAATTTGATGCCGATGGTTGTCCGATTTGCGCTTGCCACTTACCATGCGAAGTAAATGATTAAACCCACAGTATACTGTAAACTAGCCTGTGAAGTGACATAAACAAGCATGATTGTGCTTATTATCAGGAAATGGGCTGTCCAAATGGATGTAATCTTCTTGAGCTTGATTGCGGTGAAGCGTCCTGTCCAACGATTGCAACATGTAAACAGCAAACAAACAAATAATTTTTGCGCCGTTAATGCTGTTTTTTGTTTTTGGCAAAGCGTGGTTTTTTCTGTATAGGTAAAGAAGGCCGTAATATTGACCATCCGTGCATTTACGGCTCGCCGGCGCGTGACAACCGAACGCAGGATTACATGATTTGCGGTGACACAGCTGATGCGACGCAGTGCCCGGATCATACCAAATGTGAACCGATGGATGCGGAAGGACACGGTGTCTGCTGTCCGCTACCAGGTAAGCATCTGATGCGTAATAGAATACAAACAGTTTTTTCTAATTATGTGTCATCAATGGCATTTTTTTCCAGTTTTTTCTATCTGTTATTCGCTGAATTGAGTATTGCACATAAATACGAGTATTCGTTTTTATATTATGTAGCTAAAAGTTTAATATCTGTACGTCATCTATCATGGACATTCAGTAATCTTTCCAAATAATGTCAACGATAACCGCGTAATTGTTGCAAAAATTCAAAGCAGTTTTGTTCTCGCTTTAAATCCCCGCAAAAATTAATAATTAATTTTGCATTAAATATTACACTAAATTTCACTAACCAGTTACGTATAGGCAGCTGTACGCTGTAGTAAAATGTGTATCTCTGTAGGTACTCCATCGAAACCGGCAAAGACGACAAACCACGAGCTGCAATTAACGAAACCAGTTGATCACCTCGGAAAGTGCCCTGCGGTGACCTCCAATCCTAACGGTCCACAACAGTGCGGAAATGTATGCAGCAAGGATCGGGAATGTTCGGACACGGAGAAATGCTGTGAAAGCGCTTGCGGATTGACATGCATGGCCGCCATTACCAAAACAGGTTATTTTCTCATTAAACTGTACTTGGCAATAAGATGACTAAACTTTGCATATTTCCTTAAGCACGGAATAACTGTCAAGTGTGACTGAACGCAAATTGTACATGTTTACTTTGACAACCCATATAGCTTGTCAAGTGCATGCCGAATTGTTTGGGAAGCTGGCCGCAACATCGCCACGGCTGCCCGTACCGCGTTGTGATGCCAAAGGCAGCTATGAAGAACAACAATGTTTTAATGGATTATGCTGGTGTGTTGATAACCTTGGCCGTGAACAGCCTGGCACAAGAACGAAGGAAGGCCGGCCGCTGGACTGCGCAAGTATGTGGAGGATTGTTCCGGACTGTTATTACGGCATCCAAATTCTTTTCGTTTTATTGCAGAGCCCCGAGAATGCAATCCACAGTGCCGCATATTTTGCCCGTATGATTTAGCACTGGACGAGGAAACCGGTTGTCCGGTTTGTGATTGCGCCAATCCTTGCGGAGTGAGCATAGAAAATAAAAAGCTTGTTGCAACCATAAGAAAACATCATAATTTTTGTATTTTCTTGTATTCATGGTGTGCGTTTGTTGGAGGAGTAGAAGTGAACGAAAGCTTTATACCAAACATTTAATTTTCCTTCTTAACACCATGCCATAACTTCTTGTCTTCAGTAGTTTCAGTTTTGCGTATTTGTCCGTAGAATATCAACTGTCCTACTGGAAGTGAATGTAAACTTGTAACGACAACTTGCGCTAAAGATCCATGCCCAAATCTTCCACAGTGTAAGTATGGGAAATGTTTAAACTTTTTTGGTGAACATGATTTTAGCAATGGACTTTTTTGTGAGATAAAATTCTTTTGTTGGAGCTTGTGTTAAGCATGTATACATCATAGGTGCGGAGAAAAAAGTGTCAAATGCTAGTATCGCCACGAATCCATGCTCCTTCGGAAGTGCACTGGAAGACGAGCGCACTCGCAGTCTCATAATGTGTGGCCCCAAATCAGCACAGCCCAACTGTCCCGTTACGCACGAGTGTGTTTTGGATCCTGCGCAATCCGAGCATGGTGTGTGCTGTCAGCGCGAAACCGTGGACGTGTGCAGTTTTCCTAAGGATTCTGGACCATGTCGAGCGGCATTCCCACGCTGGTATTATGACAATAAGCTGGGAGAGTGCAAGGAGTTTCTGTACGGTGGATGTGAGGGGAACGTGAATAATTTCCATAGCAAAGAATTGTGCGATTCCTTATGCAAAGGTACTTAGTAGTAATTATTACTTGGGGAGTTATTAAATAGTTACAGAACTAAGCTGTTTAGGATTTACGAATTACACTGTGCCACAATTTGTGGGGGAAATAAATTTTTAAACATTTTTTGATTAAATTTAAATAAACTGTCGAAGTTTAAAAAAATAGATTTGTATTGTGTAGCAAGCTGGGTGGCTCATCCTGTGTAACCGAATGGTATAATATAATTTGCACTGCGCGAAATAAGTATGCGATTTTGCCGGCGTCTGCTAATTTAATTCTTGTTTTGCAGGGCCGGTTGTAAAGAAGCCTGGACACTGTCCAGTGCCGGCCATGGATGGCCGCGGCAGTTGCCAACAAGAATGTGAATCGGATGGCGACTGCCCGGGATTATCGAAATGCTGTTCCAACGGTTGCGGACGCACCTGCACTGAAGGAGCTTACCAAACAGGTAAGAAAATACGGAAACAGTTTGTCAATTAGTATGTACATTGCTATACAAATTTCGGCAAACTGCCATAAAAAAGGTATCCGTGTAAAGAGCACTTCATGATTTGTTTTTACGCTTTTAGTGTGCGATCAGCAAAAATCATTGTACACTCGAATGTCTCAATTTGCCAAGCCGGATTCAGTTGGCAGACTCTTTATTCCCCAGTGTCTTCCGGGTGGGGCTTTTGAACCGCAACAATGCGATAATCGTAAGGAAATGTGCTGGTGTGTTGATGATCGGGGACAGGAAATCGACGGAACACGGAGAAAGTTTGCCGAGAATGTCACCTGCGCCATGTTGGGTAAGGTTAACGTTTGCACAGATTATTGCACTGCACCAATTTGGTACAATGCACCAAATTGCCAATAGGATGTTGACAATTCATTTTTGAAATGAGTAATTGATTTGTATCTGAATATGAGTAATTGACGGGATTGCGCGGTACGAGTGTTCAGTTTGCGATTATAGAAGATTATCTAAGTCAGATTGTAGAACATGCTTATTATAATTTATTAGCAAACGTTTGCGCAATCGAATGGTGACATTTATTGCACCACTTGGTAATGGTGTTTATTATGTTCGTTCCCGCTTTAGATGAACATGCATGTGACCAAACACTGATGTGCCGAATGGATTGTCCTTTTGGTTTTGTACGTAATGCGACTGATGGATGTCCTGAATGCGAATGCGAAGACAAATGCGATGTGCGTTACGAAAAATATTTTTGTCGAAAACGACAACGAAATGCAGATATAGAAATTACTGGAAAATCCTTACGCCTGTGCATTTACTTCTAGATGTACGAATGCCCGCCTCTTCACGAGTGCAAAGTGATGGAGCTTCCCTCTTTACATGGCATCGTTTCGCGGGTTCCAGTGTGCGCTCCCTTACCCACACCAGTGCAGACATGTCCGTTTGGTGAACCACTTCGGTCAGCTAATTCCAATCAGCCCCGTGAATGCGTCAGCGACAGCGCTTGTCCCAGTGCATATACGTGCTCCAAAGCCACCGGAAACCGTGCTGGAGTGTGTTGCTCTAAAGAATGTATGCTTCGCGACAGAATTATATATTTATTTAGGACTTATGCGCATACAGTAATGATGTTATGTTGATTATTTTACCTTGTTTTAAATTTGTTGCTTATTTCACTTCAAGTTAACAAACGCCGGTGTAAGCGAATTTCATTCTGAAGATATGGTTGACCTTTTAGCCACCGTCTGTCTGTTACCTTTGGAAACCGGTCCATGCCGCGGCACCATTCCGCGCTGGGGCTACGATCCTGTCCAACGGGCATGTAAAACATTTTTGTATGGCGGCTGTCAGAGCAACGGTAACAACTTTGCCACGACGGAGGAGTGCGAGAAGATCTGCAGTGTCGGCACAACGGACACCGTCACCGATTCTCCAACCGCCACCGGTCATACCAAGAAACAGCTCTCTCACACCCACGCACCAGCGGAAGAACGAATGGATACGGATTTCTGTCTGGTGGGAAAACCGCTGGCTCCGACCGCTGTATCGCTCTCTGACAGTTCGACGGAGTTGTGTGGTGGAAACGCTGGATGCCCTCTTAGTCATGTGTGCACGAACCATTCCGGAACCACTATGTGTTGCCCGAAAACATGTAAGAAACTTTCGGTGACCGTATTGCGTTAACATAATGTGAGCGTAAAAGCGTCATGTTTTCATTCTAGCGGATGAATGTTTCTTACCTGTCGTCCGCGGAACATGTACTTCGTCCATTCTGCGTTATTACTTCGATCAAAAAAGCAAGAATTGCCTACAGTTTACGTATTCCGGTTGTGACGCCAATGGAAATAATTTTGCATCCGAAACTCAGTGTCGTGACTTGTGCCCAGGTAATTGGGTGGTGCCTTATCTGCACTCGCATTTATACAATTGTATTAATTTTGTACTGTCGCAACGCATAAGAGTACCAAGATACTCATACATATCTGGCGAGTGCCATATAAAATTAATATTTTTCATCCTAATAATAAGTACAACATTACATTACTTACAATAATTTGTCATTATACAACTCGTACTATAATATTATTTGTTGTAGTAATGTCCACGTGTGAAAATGAACGGCTGACCGCAGTTGAACGACAGACAGTCAGTCGTGTCCCGGTGTTTATCCCGGATTGTGACGAGTACGATGGTTCATGGTTGCCGGTACAATGTCAGCCAGCGCTGGGATTGTGTTGGTGTGTGGATCATGATGGAAAGGCCGACATGTCCACAGCCGTACGGGGCTATCCTGATTGCAACAGAAGTATGCAGTGTTGTGTTGCACGGTTGAGACATTTTGCGGGCGAAAAAAATTTACGTTACCGCTTTTTAGACGTGATAGCTTCCAATGTCTCCGCGGAAATTTGCTCAGAGAACGAGCCAGTACAGTTCTGTGATCCTCAGATGTGCCATCACCAAATTTGTCTGGGAAATCCGAAAGCTCAGTGTAAAGTCAGTCCATGCGGAGCATGCAGAATTGATTTCTACGGCGGAAATAACGAAAAAGTCGACTGTTTCGAAGGTTAGTAGTAAATAAATGGCTCAGACTGTAGGAAATTAAATGGCCAGAAGGAAATTAATGCAGCTGGCCAAAGATCAGAAGGCGTAGATTAGGCTGTTGCATGCATTGTGTTTTGCTTACTTTCTTTTTTTGGCTAAGCATGAATAAATGTTTTGTATAAGTCGATAAAAATTTTATTAAATTTACCGTGAACCTCTGACTTTTTCGTGTCCTGATAAGCGCCAGTCATTTTGTTATGATGTTTGTTTTATATTAGTCTGTGTGATTTTAGGACTCACCGAATGTCAGAAAGATTTTCTCTCTGCGATGTACTCACCGAACTTTGCTAAACTCAAAATACCTCCTCCCCTGATGGCTCCCGGAACGAAATCAAGCGCTGATGGATCGAGTAAGTCCTTAATCTTCAACGTGCATGAGCAGCATAGATTCTTACAGAGGTTTTGTAACAATTACAGAAATCGTTCATATCGTACCGCCCGGTAATGTCACATCCGATAAGGCCGGTTTCTGCCCACCATATTTCGCGATGCCCCACGAAGGTTGTGCCATTGAATGCCACGGGGATTCACAGTGCCAGGGTGATGCCAAGTGCTGTTTTGCCGGGTGTGGATACACGTGCGTCCCGGCCATCCCAGTGGCGACCACGAAACCCGGCCAGTGCCCTTTCCAGCATGCCGGCGACGTAGTAGGCCTCTCGCCGGCTTCACCGCAGGATGTACGGACTTGCACTAAAGCATGCGTTAGCGATCTGGAATGTCCGGGAAACAGCAAATGTTGCTCTCAGAACAGTTGTGACTTGGTCTGCACAGAACCAGTTGGTAAGCTGCTTTTTTGTAAATTATATTCAAGCATAACCCTAAATTGGTAAACTGACAGAAAGCTTAAATAGCGCAACATGTTACTCTTTAAATAACAAAATCGTCAACTGTATAAATATTGAAAAAATTGTACCAAACATTGTCTGCTTCTAGTGGAACATGTATTGATGCCGGTGTATCTGCCAACGTGCAACATCAAAGGCGACTACGAATGGACACAGTGCAGTGGTGAGGTTTGCTGGTGTGTGGATGAAAAGGGCAGTGTCAAACCGGAAACCGTTGTTCGCGGACAAATTCAGTGTAATTCAAACGGAATTATTGCTGGCGCCCACCGACCGCTGTGTCCAGCTGGCCAGCCGCCCAAGGTATGCCAAGATGCCTGCCGCAATGCCACTTGTCCAAACCGTCCCGACGCTTTCTGTGCTGCTGATCCGTGCAACGAATGTGCGGTGACCTTTGTGGATTCCGTTGGTAAAAGCGTGGACTGTCAAGGTACTGAGTAAACACTTTGAAATTGTACTGACGTGGGTAACGACGAGATTAATTCGTAGATACCTGCAGCCAAAAAGTCCAAACAGGATCATGCAACGGAAGCCTGGAGCGGTTCCATTTCAACATGTTTACCCAAGAATGTCATTCTTTCAATTATTCAGGCTGTGATGGTAATGACAACAACTTTGTTAACCTGGATGAATGCAGAGAAAGATGCTTACGTAAGTGCTGATCACGGAAATCTGCAATTTCATTTCACAGAGAACGCTGCTTTGCATCAATAATTATTTGTGGAAAATAATGCATGGACAAAAACAGGAAACAGCAGAATTTTTGTATTAGTAAAATGTATTGCAGCGGAAGATATATGCATGCAAGATATGAGCGTTGGACCGTGTCGTGCTTTAATTGACCGCTGGTTCTATAACAAAAATACCCATCAGTGTGAGCAATTTGGTTATGGAGGATGTCACGGCAATGGCAACAACTTCCATACTAAAGAAGCATGCGAATCAAGATGCCCACGTAAGTGACCTTTAGGTTGGTAATGGTTTAAGCTTCGATCAACTGGAAGCCGAGCGCTTCTCCAGTTTTTAATCGGTTATCTTAACTCAACAGTCTTTGCTTTATTTCTCAAGGTGCGGTTATATTTTTGGTGTAACAATTTAAATTCGTGAATTAAGTTGAATATGAGTGTGTACGCCGAAGCATAGGGATATTAAGCTTTTGGCGCTGTAGTTGTACACATTATTGTTCTCATGCCTCTGTTTTTTTCATGGACATAATAATACCGCATTTGTGTTTTCAGAATTACTGGTTTGTCCAAAATTATCATCTGGCGTCGGTGTGAAAACCTGCAATCGCACCGGACTGTGCGAAAATGCCAAATGTGCGCACCCACTGGCGCAGTGCCGTGTTAATCCATGCACATGTCAGGCCGAATTTGTCGACAAATGGGGCCGCGAATTGCGATGCGATGCACTGCCAACGAAATGCCAGCACGAATCGATGGAGCGCTCCGTTATGGCCGATATTTATCATCCTCAGTGTCATGACAATGGCAAATACCGACCGCTTCAGTGCTTTGCTGATCATTTCTCCGAAAAATGTTGGTGCGTTGATGAATCCGGAAATGCCCTGGACGAGAGCAAATTCTCCCGTGGAGAACGCGATTGTGGTATGTGGATCGAAACTTCTTGAAAAGAAGCGACTGACCGGCTTATCCGCAATAAAAACAGCCTGGTTATTTATTAAACCGTGTTACATTTGTAGTTCACTGCAGCGTGCAGTATACGTATCCATCTTTCTTTTATAGCACCTGTTGAAATCGCAGCAGTACGAGTGCTGATGCGATTCGCTCCAAATGTGGACAAACCGGAAATGACGGAGGAGTTCATTAAGGCGACGATGACCCAAATGCTCAATGACCTTTCTCATCAAAATATTGTGGACAACATGTTGTTAACCACAGCACAGCACCACATCGCCTTGTCCATGCTTTTACGCGGAGATCGCTCGGCGGATGTTGCATACTTTTTCTCTAAAATGGTATAAGCCCTAACCACATAAAATTCCTGCTATAATTAGTAATTTTTCGTGTGTTGTGTCTTTTCAGCTAAACCGCAGTACGTCCGCGGCCGACTTACAGCTGCTGCAGTTCCATACGGAATTTGAATACACAAATAGAAATGACCTGGTGCCAAATCGAGCGTTATTGCCAATTCATCAGCCCGACGGTTCCACCAATGTTCCAGTGGTGCAAGCTCATGATCCCGATCTTCTTCCGTTATTGGCACTCCTGGTGCTTGCAGTTATTCTGGCAGCACTTATCGGCATTTTTGTAAGTGCAATTTTAAAAAAAATTCTTACTTGATATTTTACGAATGTTTTTCAACTTCCAGGTAACCGTGCACTAAAATGCAATGTTATTCGCTTAAGTTTGGCACGACAGATTATATAGCGCGTATTTCACGATTTTAATATTTATCACTTGACAAAAACGCGCAAATATAAAAATGTGTTAAGTTTTCCACATATTGAGTAGTTATGGCGTAAAAGTTTTGATGTTGTAACCAAAACGTACATTAAGCGTTTTTTTACAGATGTACCGAAGAAGACGGACCGGTAGTTACACAAACGAACAAACGGTAAGCTAATATTCAGCCGCTGGTCTGTTGTTTGCATCATTATTTAATGCAAATTACCTAAATAGATTTCGGAACCAATTGTGAAAACTTTACCAAACGATTACGTCACACATTCCACAGTGACTTCCGGCCGTTCTTTGGATCACATATACGAACTGCCGAAATCGAACAATTTAGATATTGCAAAGTCCAATTCGTGATTTTATTGCCGATTTCTAGCGATTTTTGTTCGCTTTTTTTGCCCAAAGACTATGTATGACCTTTCAGATATGGTGTTCCTGTTGAATGTTACTTTTTCTTGAGTCTTATTAATCAAATTACTCTTTGAACCTTTTAATGCTCCTCAGATTTAAAATAAAAATATCAAGTTTACAAACAATACAAAAGCGGGAATTGGTTAATTATAATTCATGAACGATGATGAGTTTCGTTATGGTCAATGTCGACGCGTTCGTGATTGGAAAAACAACAGCGACGCCGTCATAACAAGCAATACGTAAACACATCATAATTTTGCTTTTTATTAATGACATGCATGATGTCACAGAAGATTTGCAAGCACCATCCAAACAACTGACGCCTTCTCGGTGCAGATTTTATTTTTCACGTAATGCACCTTATTGTGATAAAAATTTCCTCAAGCTGCAGCGGACTGATCACGACCTGGATGCATGCGAATGCATACCGGCTTCGCCCTGGGCAGCAAAATCCAACTGACCTTCTTGATGTATTTCGTTGCAGCACAGTTTTTTGTATGCAATAACTTAGGACCGTGTGCGAACGTCGAACATCGAGTCACAACGCCCATAGCAAGGTATGTATGATTGGCTTAAATTCACAGAAATGTTATGCTAAATGTTAAATTTTGTCGTGCCTTACCCGAGTTTGCGAATTTGCCAATTTTTGTCCGTCTCTACCGTATGTGCGGCTTGTATTGCTAACTTTTGGATTATATACTGTAAGTAATTGTCTCTGGGTTAAATGTGTGCTCATCCTGACATTCCATATTTAGAATAATATAGACATTTTGATTCGGAGACTTTCGTAATTAAATACCAAAAACGCTTTATTTTTTTAGATCATGGTACAGCTAATTGAACCAGGTTCTGTTTCGCAACGCGGCTACAAACATTCACACCACGGTTTTGGCTGATAAACCACAAAACAAAATTACATTTTCACAAACAACACAAACATTCAACACATTCGAAACGTTACCGTAAATTTTTTTCAGCTGAATTATTAATTTGTGATCCTGCACGCAATACGCAAATATAATAACGTACATAAAGAACTGAACTCTGAGAACGGGAATCGGTTTGGTGTAGAAGAGGAAGTTTGGCGAATCACGGAAGCGGCTGCCTGCTCCAAGCTGCACATAAATACTACAAACAACAGCGGCCCGCTAACGGGCCGGGCGCGGGCTTAACCGGTGGATGTGGTTGGGCTGGAGCAGGTGCTCGGACCGGATTCGTTACCGGTACTGTATGTACTATCCGCATCGGTGTCGCCGTTGTCTTTTCGCAACCCCTTCCCGTTGCCCTTGCCCGTTTTGCGCGGCCGTTGCGGTGGGAAGCCGTCGGGTTTGCGGTGCTTCCGGCGGGCGGTACGGGCGGGCCGGTTGGTACGGCTCTGTGCCAGCATTTGCTGGGCCAGGAGATTTCGTTTGCCCTCCGACATGCGCTGATGGAATTCCGCAATCAAGCGACGGGCCAGGGTACAGTTTTCCTCGGGTTCCCAGGAATTTACTGAATCGGGATAGCCCACCCATTTCACTAGGTAGGTCAGTTTGCCCTTGACGTCGACTTTGACGTCTTTGATCTCCTCCACCAGCCAGTAGGGCTCTTCGTCGATCATGCACACGGCCCGTGCGTCATCCGAATAACTGCTGTCCATGGTGCAGTCCTCATCGGGGTCATCCGTGCCGTTGGTTTGGGGGCACTTTGGTGTCGGCGTGCTAGGCTTCTCTGTTGTGGCAGGACAAACGGATTTGGGGGGAGTGGATTTTTCCGCCATGACCGTGGTCCCGGCTTTCTGCAATCCACAAACAACACTGTGAATAAAATCTTCGGCGACTGCTTTTGAAATGTCCAAAACTCCATATGACGGGATCTAACGCATTTGATCGAAAATCAAAAACAGGAGAAACACGGGATAAACATTAAAATGGCTTTAGTAATATTTAATAAATTGGCTTAACAAATACACACACGAAGATGCAGTACTTATTCATAGACACAGCCAACGTCGACGCTCAACGTCGGCGTCATACCACGTCAACATATACACAGTTGCACACAACTTATCATATGAATCAAAAGCTGGCGACACTTGACCCGCGAATAAAAGGTTTACTACTTTGTAGTAATGCAATCGTAGTCGGCGTTACGCCCGTAATTATGGCAAATTACCGGAGATCAATATTTTTGGAAGCATTGTAGAACTTACAGGATTATCTAAATCCGTGATAAATATCTCATCGAAGCTAACATCATCGATAATAAGACTCGCTCCCATTCTTGTGCGTGCCCAGTCTGGGACGCAAGAAAACCTTACTCAATAGAAAAAACGTTCCAGTGTATCTGTATATATATTGCGCAAAAAGTCTAACTGCAGACCGATGGTCGGCGCTACAAACCGTGCGACCATAGTACAGATAGCATGCCGATCTTTAGATATCTGTAGTTTTATATGATACCCGGCAGCCGTAGGTTTCCGTCTGCATCGCAAAAGAACAATCAGGTCATCCGTTGCAACTTACAAGTGACAACCAACAATGCATGGACAATCATTTGTTCTGCCGAAAATCTATCATTTCATACCTTGCCATGTGCACATATACGGCTCACAGTGTTATTTGACCATGGGTTTAATTTACGCGTGTGTGTCATTAGCAGACAGATATATGCTGTGCAAAATATAACGCATGTGTATTATAATCAGTGACAATAATCGAGAAACTCTTCGTGCAGTAAAACGCGGGCGTTCACCTATATTTAACCTTTCTGTTGTCCTGACTAATTTCTCCAAACACAGATTAATAAGAAAATTTTACTTTCGACATTGGTAAAAGAACGAGGCCAAGACACTACCGAAAGTTCCTTGATCAGCATGATAACACCTCGATTTCCAACACAACGTTGCACGCGCGCAACAAATGCGAAACCTAATGAAATCATATAGACCATATGCTCTTTGGATATGTCCGCGTGGCTTTTGTACAGGAAGAAAACATCGAAACATAACTGCCACACTATACCATAATATGTACTAATGTACATATACCGAAAATGAGATAACAGTAACAGCTATAACATTGCCCTTCCTGGGCTCTGCTTTCCCTGTTTGCTGCTGACTGGTGTTTGAAAATTGAAAGTATGAGCATATGCAATCACATCACAAATTCGTTTGCTTCGATAATAATTAAAATATTTCTAAACTTCGGCACTTTCGCTCAGAATAACACAACGAATGGCTTTGTTTAACTACTGTACAATAAAGTTAATATCTGCCACAAATTCGTACACGAAAAACACGACCGTTGCCCCGCCTCGACGAGTAAACGAATTCAATTTGAATCCGTACATTACTTTAAAGAAGTACGCGGAGAACTAATCATACGTATTAACTGATGTGCATTTACGTACAGGTTAATAATTTTTTCATCCTCAGAATGATGTGCTGGAATATAAGCACTGTAGAAATAGGTTTTCTATAAATACACTACATGCGAATCAAAACATTCAGATTCGAAGAATGGGAAGGAAACAAGTTTTAGCATCTTGCAATGAACCGTCGCTAATTATGTTCTACACGTCACGCGGTCATTTCAACATTTGTGCATGTGATTATTATATTGTACTTATCTAACTGGTGCAACCTACCTATAGAAGCACTGTATTTTGCATCTAGATGTATGCACATGCACATGCAAGTCAAAAAAACTCCCAGTATTGCACAATTATTCATAAGATCATTATTTGTTGTTAAAACTAACTTGTACTCAATACTGTCTAGCATTATGTACTTAAAGCTTTAAAATTTGTAATTTCATATTCATTTTAAGATGGAAAAGCGTCCGAATGTTCAACATTCTCTACTGTTTTTAATGTGTAATAAATTCTCCATTATGATTATGCGTACCATATGAAATTAAAACCTGGAAATCTCTTTACTGGATATCTCTGGATTATACCGTAGTGCTACTTGCGCTAACGTAATAATTTACGCTAATTGCATAACAGTGTTCCCTACACTCATAAAGACATCATTGCCATAATAAAACTGTATGTGTGGTAGGTTACCGATTTCCAACTGAATTTGTTGCCGGTAAATCTATCCTATCGTTTTCGCGTAGTGATAGCTCAAGATAGTGATGATCGTATCGGATCCATATGTATCAGGCGTCGAAAAAAGCATTCTAACATGATCTTATAGCAGGAGTTTCAGAAGTTGTTTGACGTTTCTGTGCTAACTGGACAAAAGAGCCCAAGATGCGCTGCTAACACGATAAACGGTGGAAACAGGCGAATAAAACATGAGCGAATGTTGAACATTGTGCAGACTTACAGCTGCTCTCTGGATCGTAAAATATAGAATTTCGTATGTTACTCAAACGAGAATACAATGCGGCATAAAAGGAGCAACAGGTGAATGTAAGTACATATTTGCCGATCAAAAATTCGAGAATACAGGACAAACTCGAACATTGGTGGTAAAACTAGATCTGGCATAAAATTAACAAAACATTATAAATTTGGTGCAGTTTTATTATTTATGATGACTGTTGTAAATGGGAGCAGACTTAGGCTGACATGTTCAACTGCAGATATTGTACCCTAAGGTAGAATTTGCAAATTTGCACCGGTGCCAGTGTAGACTGTAGAACGTTACCAATGTTATGAAAACTTAGCGAGTCAAGTATTCTCTCCTTTTCTAAAAGAAGCCATTCTATTTGAAACAGTAATTCTTAATATTTTTTGAAGTATTTACTGTGATGGAAAATGTGTAGAGCCGCAAAGTAATCCTGTCACTGCAAAAAAATGGGAACCATCCAACCGCACTTTTATTGCAAATCCAAAAAACTCCATCTGCCGGCAGTCCCGGTACGTTTAGAAATTTGCATCAAAACTGTTGCTGCATTCAGGAAATATAATCCATCACAAATCTCCCAAGAAAGGAACAAAAACTCAAATTTCAACAATAATCTCTTTACAGTAAGGATTTAACGACAACAAAACAACAACGTAAGGCATCTTCAGTCTCCAAAAAACAAATGCATTCACCAGATCACTATAAAACAATGAACAAAATGCTAGAAAACAATTCCGATATTTTCATGACAGGATGTAACCCTTTCAGTCCTCTAATCCATGTTCCCGGTTGTATGCGTCAATCAGAGTCTCGCACTCACAACCTTCCGCGGGTTCCCAGGAATTATAATTCGGCCCATATCCCATCCATTGCACAAAATATTCAACGCCACCGTGCTCATTGACTCGTCGCCCGAGAATCTTCTCAACCCACCTACAATACAATGACACTAATAATAATTTCACAAATTATACAGGAAAAAATTCTAGCAGCACAATCAACCGGGCTGTGCGACTGCTGCAAAATCCCGAAGCTGAACGTGCGGCGTACGCCAGCCAAATTATCATCATTACAACAATTAAGCGATGCCACATTAGCATGGCGCCATCACAGGACAAAACAGAACAATCACTGGCTCACCATTTCGCCGACCCATCAGGAGCAATCACAGCCGGCCTCTGTTCTGCTGCCCCTTCGTCCTCCGTCGATAAGAAATCCGATCCCGAGCCGGTGGAGTTTCGGTTCTTGCGGGCATGGACGGTCTTTCTTTTCTTCGCCTTGGGAGCACTCTCACTGCTGTCACTGTCATCCTCCGCGTCCTCGTCGAAGTGATACTGCACTTGGCGGGGCTTGCTCCGCAGGGAATAAGCCAAAGCGCGTAAATCCCTAACCGTTCCGCCTAAACAGGGAAAAACAATAGTGTCCCTATCGTATCAATGATTAATGTAACTCTACACAAAATTAAAAATCAAATTATGTCAAATCAAAAAATACTTCTCCCACATTTAAAATAGTAAGACGATACACCATTAACTTCTGCAGTTACGCAAACAGATTTCTAAACCATTTATTTTTTTCTAATGGTGACCCCCTAAGAAATTGAAACATGTAACGGCGTATTTAAGAGTTTTAAGCCAACAATCACGTAAAACGTTGACATTTGCTAAACTGCTTTTTATTGTCGATCGTCAAAAAATACAACGGCCACTATGCAATATTTACAAAACGCGCTAATTACAGTAGTTACTAATTTATATGCACTGCAAGGAAACTGTTACTATGTCAACTTAAGCAAAAGTTCCCAAAATACTTATACGGGTTCGCTCATAAATTAAGGCACTGATCTTTTCCTAGCACATTTAAACCAAGATAATATATATCTCGCTTAAAGCCTTAAACTGTGAAGCCTGGAACGTAAACCAACCTGTATTCGTTGCCTCATCACTGCAAGAATCGTCATGTTCAGGCTTCAATCGTCGTCTGGCTTTTTTTGCGGTTCTTTTCTTATCCGATCCTTCTTTCTCCAGCTCCATTCCTACTGATTGGAGAAACATCAATAAAACTTGAGACTACGTTCTTGCCAATAGTTTTACTCATCGATCAAACATCTGGAAATTGCAAATTAAGGCATTCTACTGAAAGCACCAGGCACGAAATGAGTGATGTATGAAATGTGGAGACAAGTGTACAGATTATGGAAAAGTACAACCACTCGGAGCCTCGGACCCTAAAGCGCGAGTACTGCAACATCGACAATCATTCACAACGGTCAAGCTGCATCTGGCATTTTACGTACCTTCACGAACAACAGTCACAACACCGTCAGTGAATCAAATGATGCAAGAGTGAAGACACCAAGTTGAGACACAACAAATCCCTCACAATTTCACAAAGCAACTGAGCATTAAACTGTTTAACAGGCAATTAATGATTCAACACATATATTGATAAAACTTCAGAAACACCAATTGTCTGAGTTCTGACGGTCATGCAAGAATGGATCATGCAAGATTCAAGAATGGATAAATTCCGGGACAGAAGTAATGATAACTGATACGGCACCGGATGACGGAAACATGCGTTCTCCTGCCTTTTAGAAAAGTATCGTAATGACTGTGCAAACTACAAAACCGAGATGACGGGTCGTAGTAAAACATCCAATTGTCAGAACTGTCAGTAAAATATCCAGTCATAATAAGTCAACCAGGGTCGACTGAATCCGCTCAACAACATCCGCTAATAACTATGTTCTGTTATCAGAACGGTTTATCGAATAAGCAGCACGTAGAGTCGTGTAGACAGTAGAAGTGATAAGCTATGCAGTACAATGCCATATGTGATACGTGCTCAACCGCCAACCGGCATGCTATGGATTGCGCCTGCGATTAAAAGCGATAAGTGAAGCGACGACGCAATGGGCTGTACACCTGACTGGTCCTGACAAGTGTTTAATATTCAATTAAACGTAAAAACACCATCGACGATGACCAACTGCAATATGCTGCATGTGTAGTACTGATACCGATCATCGTGATAGTGATGACCACACACACCGCCACGATTTATAATTAATTTTACGGTATTGTACGTACGTAATTTTTACGCAAGTACTCAAAATTCAAAGCACGATTACAGCATGTGTATTGTACATACCATACAACTTATTGTACAAGACTATAAAAATAAAGTCTTCAAAAGCCAAAACGAAGACCGCTTCTTCCACAAGGTCTTAGCTGATCGAGCATCATGCAGTCAAGCAGCAACATTTTTCAGCCAAGGGAAATCAAAGTCAAGACTCAGAGTACTCGTACAGCCCGTACTTGTACACAAATTTGCATGCAGTAAAAACGAATTCGCTGATCCATTTTCATCACTATCACGACACTATGTATCTTCGATTTTAAAAAGGAGATTATTTTCCCCGAGTAAGATTCTTCCAAATAACAGTGCGGTGATAGCGTGGGCAACAAAGAACAGGAACGCGAAGAAACCATGCAGAACAGATAATCAGACCAGTCGTACCAACTAGCGCAAATAAAAAACAACCGCACTGTACAACAATAACAGCTCGATAAGAGTCTTATTACATTACAACTGGGGTCACCAGACCCTCACAAGGAAGCGACACCGAGCTGGGCAAGACGATAATTCTGTCTCGGAAACTGACGATTAAACAGACACGGATGATGCTTTTCTTTTATCACATTAATTTTACAAAAGAAAGACAAAACTGAACTATAAATTAACACATCAGCAACAGAAGAGCGAACACGGATGAAGCAAAACAACAGCATCTCATTAGCAAAGTCAGAAGTTTACAAGCTTATTGTTAATTCAAGCTCTCAAAACAGAAGCAGTTTGTCAAAACTTACCACTACTTTTACTGAGCTTCTTCGCAAACTTTGACGACAGCGCTAGACTTTTCCCGCTGCGGCTATAGGAATTAAGCGCAGTATGGATAATCACTTTCGGAACTGGACTGGCAACAATCGGTGGGGAAGACAAGAGATCACACATATCAGTATCTGTCAAATCTGTAAGGCAGAGCAGAATCAGATTTTAGAATTCACGGTATTCGAAAACTGAACGATTTTAGCTCATAAATTTGCACACTATGCCTTACTTTTCTTGCTTTCATTCGAGGCCGCCCTTTTTTTAACAGTTGAGGTGCTGGATTCAGCACCCTCTTCCGCCTGTCTAGCGTAATTATGTTCGCCGTAGCGGAACAAGTCTGCACCATCTACGCTGACTGATGCCTCTGTAGTTGAGCCCGCCGTTTCTTGAGCAACACGAGAACTGGGCTCAGCATCCTGTGTCGAATAACTGTGATCTCCAGAACTCAGCATGTCTGCATCATCTTCTCCAGTGAAGGATGCAGAACCGTTAGGAACTTCTCCAAACATCACCATGTTGTATTCATTATCAAAACGCTGCATCCAGCGTGACTTCGCCTTCCGCAACGACGACGTACCCATAAACCTTCCATCTAAAATTTCTCTTTAATTGGTTACTTAATAATGCGGGAATGTGAATATTTATGTAAATCCAACTTTCAATACTGTATTTTAAAAATATCTATTCGAACAAAACGGTTCAAGTCGGAAACTGTTTAAGTCAAAATTCGAAAAAAATCGTTCTCCTATTGGATACGACTATAATTACAGTAACAAAAAATAAACAATACATAAAAAATTAAAGCGCATCATTTTTCTTCCACAACGTTAACAGTTCGATTTCATTTTTACTGACCTGGATACTGTACATGATTCTTCATGCGAGTGCCGTCACTAACAGACAACACACAGGAAGCAAAGGGAAGGACAAAGCCTTCCGGGTCATAGCAGGAAGAGTCAATACTGGCCTCCACAACTTCCGCGTCGGCTCTTGTTTCGGCAGCAGGTGAGCGTTCAACAGAGATTGGTCCAGGAGAGAATGCCGGCGTGGGGTCCGCTGCGTCCAGCGCTAGCTCATCTGCGAAAGACATGCCGCTATAAAAGGGTATAACAACCCTAATCAACAATATAAAACCAATATCCCAACCCAATTAACTCAATTAACATTCGCTTGTCAGACATTAATTTCAATTAGCGGTGAAGGAATAAAAGTTTTTACACAGAACTGAGAGAAACAAAATATCCTCTCCGGTCTATTATAATTATGCAGTAAATCTACGTACTGGTGTCATGGACTGAATCCTCGGGGCTGTGTGAGATTCGATCAGAGTGGACCGCATTATTGGAAGCGGCGGCAATCGACTGGTCAATAACAGAGCCGGCTAGCTGATTTGGATACGGTGACCGGCTCGTCTCACTGTCAATCCCCGTTATCTTGCTGGTCAATATCACATGGACTCTAACGATTTTCCTGAGCCTTTCTTTTTCTTCGGCAGATGGTGTCTTGCCGACGAAACCGAAGAAGTCGCCCAGTGGAATGTATCGCGTGGCCTTCTGACGGTCGGTATCGCTATCTGCCATGTTGCCGGTGATATGGGCCATGGGGATTCACGAAAATGTCAAATATTCGCTACATCTACAATATCATAAATATCAGGGAGAAGAAAATGCATTTGTTATTTTGTGGAAGCTGGCGAAACAATGGGATCAAAGATACCGAGATACATCTAGATCTAACTCTCACAAGTTAGCCTGTGACAAACAAACAAAACAAACGATCACAAAATCAACTGAATGCGAACAATATCTGTACTAACCAATTTAACGTCATATAAATACCGTAAAACTTCCACCCTGCACTGGCAACTCTACAAAAAAATGAGGGTCACTACTGTTGCACATACTTATCTGCTTATTAAAAAGTAGCAAGTGTTAAGAAGGATGATTACACCGGTGAAGCACGCTCCCATGAAATTTGCGACAGCACTTGTCGATAGAAATTCAACGGGGAAACGCGGCGGGCTGGATAAATTGAATGAGAAAATTCTTTTTTTGTAGTTTTACGAGGTTCTTTTCATTATTTTGTGTATTAAGTATCATTTGACCAATAACAATCCCACGAAATAGGATGATTATTACCGTAACAGCTGTGTAACTGCGTTTATTAACATAGACGACATTACTGGAATCGAATTAATTAGAGTCCGAGCAAGGTATGACTGCTGTGACACAATAATTACACCGTACAATTAATTCCTGCACAAAGTTAAGCTTTCAGCTTATTCAGTATATTTTACTGTAATATCGGTCGATATAATCTGATCCCGCAATTTTTTTCGGTCACTATAACATGAATGTCTTTCAAAAAGCCTAAAAACATAACTTATTTCTCATCATCAGCACCAAACGATACAGGCGTCAATAAGTGACCAAATTGCTATGCCGTCACGACTACGAGTGCGCTTACTGCTGTTTAGCATACTCAATAAAATTATTAAAATATTATTGTGATTCGTAAACTTTAACCAACACAAATAACAACAGAAAACAGCAAACATTCCGATTCAGTAATGAAGTAATATGCAAAGTACCGTGCAAGTATTAATTAATTAACATTAAACTAAGCTGTAGCAGAGTGAATGAGCAGACACACAATACACGCCAGGTCTGCTAACTTCTGAAGCAGCAGGAATATTACACCAAATCAGAAAATATGTCGACCCCGAATAACAAAAACGACGAATAACAAAATTTCTGTCCTAGCTAGAAGCCTAAGGATTTTTTCTGCAGGTTGCTCGCATTTCGATTTTTTGTCAAAATAGATCAGCGACAAGTCACACAAATTTCGCAGATCGGTTAATACACGCACCACACGTTAGTCGTTCTCGGCAAAGTAAAACGAAAGCTTGCTGGTTAATTCGGACTTTATTTCACCTGAAACAGTACTTCAACAACTTCACGGCTTATTTTAAGATGTCCTTCAAGTTCCAAAATTCAGTTAAATCTATTTAAAGCGCGTAAAAGAATTGAAAACACCATTGTTATTAAAAAAAATACGCAGCTGGGAGTTACCACTTACCAGAGTTTAGCGCCAATCATGCATATTAGCGCGGATCTCCAAAACTCCGGAGGACGAGCATTTCGCCAGGTGTGATGCGGAAAATCCACAACACCAAGGAAACAGCCACTGAACAGATTAAGTATTTACTAATTTACATTTTTGTAACCGTAAGTCGGAAAAAAAGGAAAATATCAGGATATCGCTGTACTGTCTCCAGAAAATACTAATGTAGTTTATTTAGGCAAATCGAGCTTGCAAAGAAAGCAAGTGCACAAGTCCAATTGACAGTGCGCGCAATAAACAGCTGACAATAGGAACGCGTTCCATTCCTAAAAAGGAGGTCTTCTAAGTCTTCTTGAATGAAGAAGCTGCTGGTACTCCAAAACCAGCAGTATTTGTCACAAAAATCGGAATCAGATAAATAAAACAATAACTGGATTCTGTTGGTCCCACTTCCAAAATCTTGAAGTTAAATAACAAATGTGTTGACTTTGTTGAAAATTCTAAACTTCTTAGCTTCTATTGAATCTATTCTCTAAAATCTCGATCAGTCTACTAGTTCGTTTTGCCAAGGCTTATGCTCACGACGTTCAGTATACTTCCTAACCAGTAACCACCCATTTTTCGATCCTGAGCGCCCTGTCTATTTAGCAACCGCACGTGCTACGGTCTTAGGCTGCTCCGCTGAGAAATTAGGGCGTGGCCGTCACCGGCACCTTAAAATTGGTATCGTAATCGCCGTGCCAGGTGTGGTCACTATAGTGTCACCCATTTCTACACGTAGGTGGCGCTTCTGTGACTGCTTTACGGTCTACTAACTCACTACTATCGATAGATTTACTACGTGACGGTGGGAAGTGCGAAGTTGCGAACTAGAGCGTTTTGTTCTTGTCAGTTGAGACTTGAGAGTTCGCTGTCAGCCTATCAGTCTTGCAGAACGTTGAAGAGTTATTAAATTGTAAAAGTGCCCATAATTTCTTGATTTTTGAATGCAACATTGGTTTCTTTTAAAGTTTTTGTGGTAATTTTATTGCCGATTGTTGAAAGTCGCCTAAAGTAAGTAGTGTCACACTGTAAGCCGAATCAGAAATTCAGATACTGCATCGAAAGGATCTGATTCTGATGTTTTCGCTGATTTGCCACCGCCTTCAGTTTTATTTTTGGTTGTTTTCGATATTAACGTTAAACCTCTTTCACGAACACTTCTAAATAAGAACGAATGTAAAATCTAGATACTGTGATCTGCCTAACCGTTGAATCATTTTCGGATTATCAGACTGCCACTGTTTGTAAATAGTGCTGCTCTGTAGTCTGTATGGGATTGGGCACTGCATAGCAGGTGTTCAACTGTTCCGTTGGGGATTTGTTTTACTTTAACTTCTTGAGCTTGCTAAGAACGCAATATATAAACATCAGCCCCTTCGTAATTTCACGAATTTTCTCGGCTACCATTTTGATTGATGCTCAGCTGTATTTCTGCAGGACTCAAAATGCCGCGCACCAAACAGCCTGCTCCGTCGCAGGGTCGACTGCGTAAATCCATCGTTGCGCCGCGACGACGCGATGAGACCCCGGAAGAGCGAGAGTCCACTCCGGATCCGGAAGAGGAGCAGCAGGAAGAGGAGCAGGAGAACATGCAGACCGACGACGAGGACACGGCCAGTCAGCAGTCGGCGGCCAGCGATACCACCGTTGTGGAGAGTGTGCATGAACGGCCATCACGAGCGCCTGCCTCGTCGCAGAAAACGGGCACTAGCACCCGTCCGCAGGTGGCTCGTAAGCACGTCCGTCAGAGCGCAGACATGGCCCGCAAGCGCGTCACCTCGCAGCCGGAGGTGCCGCGTCCGCGTACACGGGAAGGCCATCGTTCCGCGACGAAGCAGGTGGCCTACAAGAGCAACAAGAGCCGTAAAGTCAGCTCACAGGATTCCGCGTCCAGCAGTCGCCCGGCTAACAAGACTAAGCGACGCACGCGCCCGGGCGTGTTGGTGCTGCGCGATATTCGTCGTCTGCAGAATTCCACGGCACTTCTGATTCCGCGCTTGTCCTTTGGACGGCTGGTGCGCGAAATCACCGCCAAATTCGCCAAAGATATGCGCTTCCAGCCCGTTGCACTGCAGGCCATTCAGGTAAATCAGCATAATTTCTTTTTGGCAGCACAAACATGTGACAGTGCTTTTTGGTGTATCGAAAAATTTTTTTGCGAGGCGCGTTGACTTGAAATTAATTAGAATGTGTTTCGTTTAGGAGGCGGCGGAATTCTTTCTGGTTTCACTGTTCGAGGACGTTAACTTAGCAGCTATTCACGGGCGCCGCGTGACAGTCATGCCGCGGGATATGAGCTTGGTTCTGAAGAGTATGTTTTCGTAAACTGGGTGTAAAGACTATAGGCTGCCATGTTTTCTGCTGCAAGTATCACATTCATCTCCTTGTTAATTTTTTTGTAGTTCGTGGAGACGCCAGCTATCGTGTCCTCGCCGCCCGCATGTAAAACCGCGGATTGCTGCTTCATCGGAGGGATGAAGACAGTCATGAAGTTTCCTGCAGTTTAGCCGTATTTTGGCAGCCATAATCACTGACGCACTTCACGTTTTTTCACTCTTCTTGCATTGTATAGTTTCCCACTTTCTCATGATAGCGTATTTAACTAATAATTATTACTGTTACTGAGGATCTTTATTACGTGCTTAATTTTTATTAATAATTATCAGTTAAAAGTAACATACTAATGAAACTTCCTGCGGCTCGGCTCTTCTTTGTTCAGTATCTTCGATTTTGGTAAAGTTGTTGCTGTTGGAAAACTTGCCATCTCTGGACCATGTTCTGTTTAACATGGAGTGAAGATTTTTGGGGTAGTTTTCTTGCTATAACCGTTTCAGTATTTCAGCACTCAATAAGGATTAAAATTGATAACGATATCTGCGATGTTAGATCGATAATTTTGAAGAAAAGGTGGTTAAAAAAACCAACGAATCCCAATTTATCAACTCATTACAAATCGCCATTTTATCAGGGATGCCATCCAGTGATGTCCCGTTTTTTTCACGGGCTCGGTAAATCACGGGAATTTCCCGCATCCCGCACCCGCTTTTGCTCGGAAAGCGGTGCGGGAGGCTTTCTGCTCGGATCGGGTGCGGTCGGGAATATAGCCTGATTAGTACGCCCGCCCGCTACTCGGGAAAAACACGGGATTTCTTTGAATTAAAAATTTTTATAGAATTTCTAGCAATTTTCGCAGCCAAAAAAGTGTGTCAGCTTGCGCTTCGCGCGAAAGTTAATGTCTTAGGTGGGTCTCTGATTCAAAGCGAATCCAGTTGCGATACAGCGATTTGATAAGCGGCGGCTAGCTCCGTAGCTCCTGTGACGCAAACGTCGGTTTCGAAAAGAAAATATATTTACGGCAATTGTATAAGTTATAATTAAGAGCCAAGTTCAGTTTTTTTGAAAAGTAAAAGTAAGATCATCATGCAGGTATAGTCTTCTAAAAAAAATGCGTATCCATTAAACTTTTCGACGAAACTTTGTCACAAAATTTTTTGTAATAGATTTGTAACAATTATTAAAATTATTGATTCATTGAAAATCAGGGAACGGAGCGGGTTGCAGGACGGTCGAGCGCTCAGGTGCGGGGCAGGAAAGTTTTGATCGTGAAAGTGCGGTCGGGACATGAAAAACTGCAAACGGGACATCACTGGCCATCAGGCCTGTCGTTTGGCATGTCCCATTTTCAATCAAAACTTTCACGCAACATCAACAGTCCACACGACTCCGACCTCAACCATCAATTTTTTAACCATGTTATTGTTACAGCCTTTTTGTTAAAATGTTTCAAGTATGCCATACGTTTGGAAAGTTATTATTTTTCAACCTGCATCGTAAATCTTACTTTTAAGAAATTTCACCCTTACTTGAAATTATAGTATCGCCGTACATTTTATTATCACCGTCAACTATTCAGCTTTCTCTTACCACCACATTTAAATCACCATCTAACCGCCGCGTATCAATACTACAAAACTGTAATCTCGAAATGCTCATCCGAAGTTTTTAATCTCCCGTTACTGAGCAAAATTCCCGCAACACTAAACATCTGTTCGACGTCAGCGGTCGTTGCTGGAGCGCATAAAACTTGTTTGGCAAGAATTTTCAAACGTGGCAAGCAGGCCGCTTCAGCACTTTTCCAGAATTCCAGGGGTTCGTCCCTATCCACGAAGAGGCAATATACATCTCTAGTTCAGTTTCGCACGTTGCAGTTTTGTCACTTCCGCTGTCCTGTTGCATCGACAAACGGCCGCTCAAGCTATACTTTATCCTCTGTATAAAAAGTTCAGGAAATCCGGACCGACAAAACTATTCTGCCTAAACATAAATAAATAATCAATATGCGGAAAGAATAAACGAATGATTCAGTAAAATTCAAACACGACTTAATACTTAATTAGTTTTAACTGTGATTCTTTTTCACTTATTTTCTTTAAACTGCGTCTTGACTGCAGCCAACTTCTGCATCATACCATGAGCGCCTTGGTTTTGATAACCATCTCAGCAGATTTTCAGGTCCAAAGCTATTACACCACAGGCTTATATTTGGGATCCAAAAAGCAGCGGAAGGTACAGGCTTGTCTTTTTCCCACAGCACCAAATCTTTCGTCTAGTTGTTTCAGCAAGCCTTTCATAAAATCTTGCAATAACACGAAGTCTATATTCTTTTGGCATGTTTTGATATGCCTGCGAAGTCCACATAAAATAGGAATAACGTCTCCAATTACAGGATAGTCGGCCGTCTGCAGAATCTTAAACGATGCATTGAAAACTTCCATAAGATTTACAAACGCTTGCAATACAAGGCGGTGCGCAGGTTTCAAAATATTTTTCTGAGAGAGTCCACATCTTTCCCAATCAAATTCCTCCAGAATGGTTGTCTCCGACTGCGAATGCTTAACACGGTTAACGATCCCAGCAAGACCTTCAATAACGGTTGATAACCTGCGCATCTGCCATTGCGCTACCAATGGCCGAAGATAAGGTGCGCGCCGCGCACCGGACCTATACGAAAAACAAAATGATTACAAATCAAAATTAAAAAAATCACAAATAAACTATGCGGCAGTACGCGCGAGGACAAATACAACAAACAGTATATAGAAAAACTAAACTTTTTATGCAAATACTAAATACGAAAGATGAATAAGCCAAGAAATCACTATAACACAAAACACACCGTACGGTTCAACTTTTATCACAGAAACGGGACATCAGGGATGCCATACTAAGAGTGAGCACTCAATTTGGAAGACATTCAATGTACCGCTGCCAGTACCACCATCTCCTTAAAAGAACTACAAGTAGAAATCTTTCTGGCTAACAAAGGAAAACTTTAAAAAACAAATGTACAAGATGAACACTGAAAACATCAAACGTTTGTAACACACAGATCCACGGCAATGCGTACACACGCGGCAGTGGAGCAAAAAATATTGGAACAATAGAATACTGTACAATAAAACATTTCTTAACTTAAAACGGGATGGAATCAATCCCGGGAAGATCTCTGGGCAGCGTGGAAAAGGCATGGCTCCCGTAGGGAGACCCACTATACACAGGTGCTAGGTTTGGATTATACGACGCTGTCGCAACTTTGGTACTGGTGGGACCCTCGTCCTGCATTCGCTGACTGTCGAATTTAAGCTGACGAACTTGATTTTCCAGGGCTAACCTATCCTCTCTTTCCTACAAAATACACTGGTAAATCCTTCATAATGTCGCTCATCTAAAAGTGGGATAGGCATACCAGATGCATTTGTCTGTAAGGAGCATAAAGTAGCATTTAAAAGAAAAGAAAGGCAAGGGGCAACAGAAGAGAACACAAACAGGACAGTGACCAAAACAAATGGTTTCATTACGCACCTTATTGAGATCTTGTATTAATTTGGTAACGGTGCTTTCCAGCTCTCGAATTCTCGCATCCGACATGAATCGATCAGGCTGAAATTCCCCACTGACAGGACGTGAAAGGTGCCTGCAGTCGCACAAAATTTCGTAAATCAATCATAAGCGGGAAAACAATTAATTAAATTTAAATCCAATACCTTCTTGAGGAACTTCGCGGGCGCAATGGAGGAGGGGACGGTTTGGGGGCCGACGTCAACATATCCGGAGACGTCGAGGACGACTCCGAGCTGACGTGGGGATATGGGACATCTACAATAAGATCCGTATTCAACATCTTTTCTTTGTGCAGAAAAACGGGTTTCCACACTAACCATTTGCGTTTTTCGCAGCTCGTTCGGCTGTACTGACTAGCGTCCTCCAGTCAAGCGGCTGAGCATGCAGCGGAATGGGAAGCGCTTCAAGAGATCTAGCAATAAATACAGACATTAATGATGCCCTGATCGCCGAATTAACAGAAAAACGGATGATTTCAATATTAAAAGAAACGATAAAATTTAAGGAAGTTCACGTGAACAAATTCGCAATTACTTGGAAGTAGGCAATGGTAAGTCATCAACCGGCTGGCTGCGACGATGTGAAGTTTCATCACTCGCTCGACGAATTCCATCAACATACGACGGTATAGGATCCCCGAACGTCTGTGTGGCAATTACGCAATTTTATTCCGAAGGTACGGTACCCAAGCACTGATTATTAAATCTTACCATACGATCCGTGTCAATCAGATCAGGGTTGATCAGCCGCAATAGATCCTCCTGGAAATTGCCAACCGGTCGAGCCCCTTTCTTAGAGCTTTTATTGGGACTATTTCTGATCGCTGTTCGAGAGGGAGGTGACTGTACTGTCGGTGGTGGTCGGAAACCTGGGTCAGTTTTATGATGGCGAAACTGTCTTCGCGCTGAAGGACTGAGTGACTGCCCAACACCATTATTCTCTGTAAACAATCAAACGCTTTGCTTTAAAATTGATCAACCAGACGTCAAGCACCATGATTTGACTGCAAAAACATCATCACATTATTAAATTCGTTTAGCATAATTCTCCATTTAACGACAAAAGAAAACTGATAACATTTCAATTTAAAGAACCGAATAATCAGTTATCTCCAAATAAGTGGAAACTGGAAAACGTCCAACTTTTACGCCATAGTAGTGAAACCTACCTTTCTGGGATCGTGTGGACGATTTGCTGGTCGTACTGGACATCGTGTCTGTGCCGGAATCAAACAACGGTAATCCAGTGTTAGGTGACAACTTTCTTTCAAAAGGCCGTGCTGGATGCAAATCCAAAGATTCTTTATTAGACAGTTCGCCGTAAGAGCGCAAAGGTTCGCGGGGCAAAGAAGCTCGCTCCCACACGGGAGCAACCGCTGGTGGTGCCTGAGTTAACATATCATCCAATCGAGCCGTCGCTTCCGACATTTGCAGAACCCACCAGCGCGATTCCGCTTCCAGGTCGTCCAGGCTGGGCTGCGTTTCTGAGTCGTAGTCAAAAGGCGGAACCGGGACAGCACGGGCTGGTGCCACAACAGGAGACTCGGATCTATACAGATAATACAAAATTTACTGCTGTACTTAAAAACCATATGCACTGATTAATTATCAGCGATATTGAAATATATACATTCGAAGATCCGTACTGTAAGGCAGGAATGAGTATCATTGTATATTTACTTTAAATAGAATGCAATATGACCATCCAGAACGCCTGAAGTGGAGCGGCTGGCCACCGGATGTACTGTGGTCGCCTGTGACGGCATCTGTTCTGGCATCGTAAGCGGATCCGACAGATTGTCATAGTTAGCGCTTAAAATATGTTCCGGTGGTTTCATGCAGGCCGGACGACTACATCCGCTGCAAACAAATTGGAAACCACAAATAAATATACTGCGGATAATAATAAACGACATCCAACAAAAACGCATAACATTCTTCAAGAGCACACGGCATCTCTGCCCGGCAGATAAGCTCACCGTCTTGGCAGTCCGCTGTCGAGCGGGGGTAACACCGCCACACTGACAGGATTAGTACGCCGCAATAGGTCAGTCATGGTATTATGGTCAAGAGAAATGACACTGCGGCCGCAAATCTGTCAAAAATCATCAAACACATATTAAACTGTGGCGTGCAAGTCGTAACAAATTAGTGGCCACTTGTCTCCGCGACAAGGCCAACAAGCGCCATTGCCTCACCTCAAGCAGCCGGCATCCCTTTCGTAATCCTGCAGCAGCAGCATTACTATGTGGATCAACGTCCGTAATAATGCCGTTAAATTGAGTATGAAAACCGAGATGACCATGAGCATTCCTCGATAGTGGCAATTCAATAACCTAAGCCCAACAGCAACACACTCTCACATCGGCAGTCACATTATCATTCAGTCGACTGTCGTTAATATTTCAAGAATGAACAATGGCAATAAAACACACCTCACATCCACTTGTAACAACCTTCAATCGTTGAATAATTTCGCGCCAATCATCAGCGGAATCGCACAGTATTTGCATATTTTCTCCAACGTGGTAATACACCGTCAGACTATATAAGTAAATGCATTGTCAGCCACAAGATAATTAGAACAACCTAAAATTCGCGCCATAACGCGCACTGCGTTACCTTTCTTCTTGACTTTTCCATGCCATAATATTGCTGTTAGGGACAATTTTCATTACCATGCCTGATGTAGGATCCATCAAAACAACGTAATTGGCTGAAATGCCTAAAGTCAGCCGCGCACTGAGCGGTACCGACAGATCTGACTCTCTTGCCTACAAATGAGCAATGATTCTTATAATACAATAACACGCAAACAGATAACTAAATCGCCTCATTAGACAGTAAACGTATACCTGTACGCTCCAGGCCAAGGCACCCCGCAACGTTGCGTCGGGCAGAAAGTTCATTATTGGTTTGTCCTTTTTCTTATGTGACAACGAAAACATGGCTGCAAAGCGAGATATACTTTGTCAGGTAATAAGTCAATTCTGGTCAGTCGGTACTATCGAGCCTCACATAATTTTCCGAGACCCATGTCGATACCGGAATGGGTGCTGTGATTGTTCGCCAACTCTTTCAGGTATTCCTGCCGTGTGCGAATGGCTAGCGCCATAAACTTATCCGATTTGTGCGCAGCATTTTCCGCATTTATCACTGCAAGGTAGTCCATCCATTAAATTACAATAGCACGCGTGAACCAGCTGCCCTTGTTTATGCTATTTCAACGGTCTCCCATAAATAAACCTTTCCCAAGAAACGACCGCTTTTATTGGTTGCGAAGTTTTAAAAAGTATACGCTTCTCACCTACTAAAAAATCGTGTTACCAAAATTGCAATTACCCATGCTTGAATCGATTGTAACGAAAAGACAGGAATACTGTTTATTAACGCACCTTTGGTTAAAATAAAATCCACAAACTCGGATCCCTTAGCAAAGACGCCAGATGCCGGTAGCGGCGGCCCGAACTGCGGCACATCACGCGATCTCGACACAGACACCCTATGAATTCAACCATGGTCATCGCTTTCATTACTTTTGCAAGTACCCCTCTAATAAATCAAATTGAATGAGACGTTTCTAAACTGACACCAGCTCAACTAATTTCCTTCTTCAAAACTTCCTTGTACACTCGTGTTCTTAAGCGTATAGCTCATGCGGTAAGTTTAAAAATGTGACACCTTACCTGTATCGTGTATATTCTGTATTCGGATTTTCCACCCGCACCACAATAAAGACGTGCTGGAAATTGGAACGGATAGTCTTTGGTGAGAATGGTAGCGCTCCAGGTTCTTGGAAGACAATGGTAATAATATCATTGCCAATGTGTCGTTTCCGAAGAAGCTGCGCAAAACAAACAATCATGCATATGCTGGCACAGGTAAACAGACACAACAAGGTGAGCTAGGTAACCACCCACCTGTTGCTTATTGCTGGGCGTAAACGGAAGCATTGTTGATACGTGAAACATGATTTCATAGTCTTGGAAGGTCGTATATAGCGAATATAAACCCGTTGAATCAGCTGGAATCAGACCGACCACCGTCAGCACAGATGTACAAGGCACAAGAGATTATTTCAAGTGCTAATAAAAGCATTAGGAACCGGCTTACATTTATTATCCAGTTGTGCACGGTATTTATCAAAGCTTTTCAATCGTATACGCTGACCAAGCAGATCCAAAAACTCGTCAAATGCAGGTCCGGCAGTCTCTGTGCATGTGAATCACTCATCAACATATCAATCTCATCTTATAATGCAAGAAGAACAGGTCAAGACTCACTCACCGTTGTTGTACATTTCTTCTTCCGTACACTGCCCAGCTTTGCAGTACATGATACCAACTTTATAATGCTTAGGAACCTATACATGAAATTAGCTCAATCTCAAACCAGTGACTGGCTTTCTTAAAGATTTGCATCTTACAGTTTGCTCATCCAGCTTCAGCAGCAGCTCTTCGGTTTTCAGATCAGCCGTTCCCAAACGAAGGGAGGATGTCTGAATTTCTGGGGCCACACATTCCAAAACATCCTTAGGTTTCACACCATCTTTATTCAATCGTGCTAGGCTGTTTTCCAGTACAGATCCTCGCAGTACGGCCAGCTGTATCAAATACCAAATTACCATACTTTAGCAGCAGGATGTCGGGCAAAATTACGGCTAAAACTACAAGATGCACTGTGACCACAAGTAATATTAACCAACGGTCAATCTATGGAAGTTACACAATTCACAAAATTGTTACCAGTTATACGGTTAATTAAATACAACAAAATTAATCATCCATTTGAAATTAAATCTGTCACTCACATCGCTGGTACGCACGATTGTCCGATACAGTGTGCGACTGTTTGCTCCAGAAGGCTTTTCTTTCTTCAAGCTCACCGCAACCGGTCCAAACGTCTCATCAATACCAAAATAATTCCAGTGCTCTTCTCCATGGAAATACTTTCGATAATAAAAGGCTCCATTATCAATGAACTCAAATCGCGGCTGTGATAACTGCACACATTTAATCTTCGCACTGGGATTATCATCTTCCAAAACTAACGATCCGCAGTATGGCCGAAACGCCGTGGGATATATTCTTCTTCCGGGAGGTCTGCGGATAGTTATCCCACTATAAGTCGACACTGGTGACTCGGACTGTGAGGAATTCTCCGCAGCGACTTCGTTACGAAAATACGGACAACTGGTCACCAGCGCATTGGACTTTCCATCCCCTTCATCGGCTTCAATACCCGGATGGGAGTCCGAACTGTTCTCCGCAGATGGTAGGACGCAACGGGTGGTGAGATGGGCCGCTGATGCTCCCGTGACTAGTTTCCGTGAGAGGGCCATCTGCATTTCATCCGTTCGACCGAATTTCGTAAACAAACTCTGCGTGTCATAATAGGCGAAGATTCTGCGGCGGATGCGTTCCCCATCGCTGACGGATGTGGTCGATGCGGGTTCAGGCTCGATCAATCCGGAGCTGACTTCCGACTGTGAACCACCACGCATCTTACGAAAAATGGATGAACGTGATCGGATGGAGCTTTTCTTTGGCTTATCTTTCCCGTTTTTTGCACGTTTTGACGCACATAGTATCCCGGAACCACTGCCGTCGGAATTTTGTAAAGAAGCCAAGGAATTTGAGCTGCTGTTACTGGTAATAGGTTTTCCATGTTTCAGCTGGTCTAAAATCATCCTAATATTTCCACCAACTGCAAAAGACAAAACCATCTATAATCATGCAGGCAGGATCAATAAGATTTGAAAGACACCATAAAAATATGCAGAGTACAGAGCAGTGCGCGTCTTTACTCTCGTCCTGAAAGAATTAAGCACACTATTTGTGGCCAATAAAAATTCAAATGAAAACACGTACAATGCTGAGTATTAGTTAACAGACAGCCGTGCTTTTACCACGTTTGCGACCGTGGCAACTCATGATAAAATAAAAGACATAATCGCTGCGTTAGCATGTTTCCTTAACCGGCTCAAATAAACCACCCATTCTTACGTACTTGTTTTGCTAAAGTCAATTGACGAAGCACTTCCACTGAATTCCTTCAGCAAGGTGGGCTTGGGGGTGTCATCCTCTTCCATTGACACATCCAAACTACTGACACTGCGATGATGATGATACCGTCTTGCCATTGGATTAGCAATGATTTCCGCATCGGCCACCTTGTAACGACCGCCAGTCACTGTAACGGCTCGGGCTGACCGATCATCATACACCGGTCGAACGACGGCCGTCAGGTGCCGTGGACTCTTGGGACTGCGGGCTAATGCTTCCTTGTACGGAGGGGGCGCTAATCCGCCTCCGTATCCAGTTGGGATAGATTGTCCTATTGGAATTCCCGACATGGCAGCTGTATTTTGCATTGACTGATAATAAAATCCCGCATCCACACTAGCCGACATTGACGTAGCAGCACCGTATTGAGAACACTTCAGGGCGCCACGGGATAGTTATTTAGCTTTCTTCACGCATAATGCCACCAGTCCTGTAAGACAGAATGAGAATGTGAAATTCGATATGCTCTACAATGCGCTATTAATGTCGTTCCCATCGATACGAAAGCAGCAAATTTCCCCAAGGATGAGAACAATCACGGCATGCCATACTGCACCCCACAGGTAAACTGGTATCTCTATTAGCCGGATTGTACTGAACACCAACCTATTCACAAAAGCAAGGACAAAAGCATGAAAATGGTCTAATTAAATGAATCTCTTTTTCATCATATCTAATAATCTTTCAATCAGCCTCGCTGATCACGTTGCTTATCAGCATGAGCGGAAATCTGAGACCAAATGAAACGGCCAAAAAATTAACACTGTTGCTGTTACGGACAAGAACCATGCAGGAAAGCAATGGTAGCAGGTAGCCATAAATTAAAGTGCAAAATGATTTTAGGAAATTAGTATTTTTTCCTGCATACAATTCATGTTTACAAGTCAACCTACTGCACAAACGATGCTCGAAACAGGCCATCTTTACAGAAAGCGAATGCATTTAATTTAACCGATGGTAATGCATCACTACGCATCCGCAAAATGCCGTGCATACATTCTATCGACCATCACACGAAATGCTAGCTATAAATTCTCTGAGCATATTAATATCGTAACACATCCTGTAAATGAATGCACCGATGGTACCATATAAGGTATGCTGAAAACTTACAATTAGTCAAATAGCCCGTAATCACTAATCAGGTCTTCTGATAAATCTTAAACAAAAGTCTAATTTTATCCAGTAACAAGGCATTAGGTAACATATATTAAACCAATAAACGACACGTGAAATAAAAAACTTCCACAATTTAAAATTTGGAACAATGACAGTAAATAATACTGCCACATTCCTAATTATTACTACATACAACCACAAAAAGCATGCCGAAACCGATATCATATTCAGCGAGCTATACGAAACGAAAAACATTTTTTTGTAACCGAAAAGCTTAAAAATATCAGGTATTAGTTAACTGCATATCCTTAGTAACTTACAATCATGAACGAACAGCGGTAAACCTTAGCTCCATTATCCATTTATCAGATACATAGTGACCGTCCAAAATTGGTACGGCGTCTGGAGGCGTAAAACTCGCTTCGACATTCCCAAGTTTTCCGTATACGACTTTTATCGTTGACTGACACACGAAAACTACGCAACACCAGTTTAGAATCTACGCGAGGAGTAGATAATCACAGCAATCATCTAACTACTATTCCAACTGAGCCCAAAATTCCGCACCAACACTTAATAACTGCTCATGAACAGCCGGTTTTCAAGGCGAAAGAGACTGTGCGAAATGTGTAATTGTGAGCACTATACTGTATGCCTGTCTTTCGGTGATGCCGTGATTTGACTGTTCAAAGCGCTTCAAGTCGCACGATATACGATTACCCTCTCAACCCGCAAAGCAAAACCTGCAGTACGGTTATCATACACAGCTTGCATATTTGCACAACAACCGTCGCGGTACGGCATGAGGCAATATGTCAATATCGCAAATGAATTTGTGATCACGATTTCATATAAGTCAGCGTTTTCGTCCATTCATATAAACAGCCAAAATAACACCTACGCCAACGAATCCGTTTTCGCAAAGATGCTGCTGAATTTACTGGTAGCCAGAGAGCGTGCCGCTAGAAAGATTTTTGTTGACAATACTGCTAATTTAAGGTGCCTTCAGTGGCATATCATAAAATATATACTTTATATCGAAGTACCGTACTGAAGTACGTATACTTTGACTAAAGAATTAAAACTGGAAGTTGAATGCCGGAAACCGTAGCTATTATTTTTAATTAAGCCTAACAAAAACCTCAAACATGTGGCACCTTATTGTGGTCACTAATTACGAGAACATTTAAAACCATTAATTCCAATCCGACAGTTAGCAAATCAATCAAACCAACAGCTAGTTAAAATTTACACAGGTAAGATCGTCGTTGCGATCAAACGGTATGGAGCCGGCAGCCACAAAATTTGCGCGCCAACGCATGAAAATCGCACATTAAATCTGTATCACTAACAACGTGACCTGTAATAGCTGTCACCGAAATAATGAACAAATGTCGGAAACGAGGCCCTTTGAAAATAAATTAAAAAAGTAGGACAAGAGATACATGTGTTAATATACCGCATCACATCTTAATGGTAGCCATTATTTGCAAATATCGTTCGGCCTAAAAACACAGCTGGGGTAACACTCTACAATAAAAGCATTACATTACAAATCGAGCAATAAAACATGACAAGCGTACAGAATGATCTTAACTGCTTCAGAAAAAAAAGCAAAATTCACAAGCGAACACATGCCCGTACACGTACTTCAAGACAACGAAACATTAGTTTTGCGGGAGTTTATTGTACTGAACATAATGTCAGCATTTCGCACAACTGCGTATGTAATATTAATTTATGGACAACCGCAGAATACCGTGGTGTACTACACATCCAGTCTGCAAAGCTTTTCCAAATGCAGGTCTTCCAATTTACTGCAATATTTCACACAAACAATTTTTAAAACAGTTTTGTTAAGTTTTGGGTGTTATCGCTGTAAAACATGGAAATTTCAAGTTTAAGTACAGTACTGGACAGCGAAGCCAGCGCAACCTGTTGACAAAAAATCTGTTGACAAAAAATATCACTTACGGAACAATGGTTATGTCATAATCTTTTGACCCATTATTTTCGTGAAATGTTCGAGTTTTGCATAAATCCACTTAAGTGCGTCCAAACACTACCGTCAAGCAGATTTGAAGAAATGCAATTTCCCAGGCCCTCATGCAAAAGTATGGTCGATATTTCGCACGATCGTTAACAGTCAGGCGAAGTCAAAAGTCGCACAAACACACACTAAAGAATATAAAATTTCCGAACGGCAAATATCTGTCAGTTTTCCTGGCTATCAATCTAATTCAAATTGTTAAGAATGTGCCACAGCAGCCATACGGAACCTCATGGTGCAGGTTGTCCCGTGGTTCATCGTATAAACGCACTGTAATGTGACTGTATAAGGAATCAGGACGTAAATGCATAATTACTATGAATGTGCAACTACTGAAATAAACTAAAAATAACTTAAATTTCCGGTATCCTATCAAACATGCTATGGAACAATCCTTGTTGCAAAAGATCGAACTTGAAACTTTCCATTCGCTAAAATGTGTTGTAAATTTTACATCACAACAGCCATACAACTGGTAGGTAGTAGGTACGAAACGTCGTACTAAACGTCCTTCCCACAAGCCCCACAACTCCACAAAGTTCAACCAAGGTTCAAGTTACATATACGGCATACCAAAAGGGATAACAACTAACAAGGGAATCGAATCACTTCCGTTATTTAAGGCAATGAAATCTGCACAGCACATACGGTAGATCCACAAGTGTTTGTAAAATTAAATTAAAGTAACGATAAGTAAACAAATCTATTGTGATCGATTAAACAGCACGAAAAACCGTACGACAGCCACGGAAACGAAATAAAGCGATAAAAAATTTAAAAAGAACAGCAAAGTTGCCGGTATATCCAGTTAGAAGTTCTGACCACCACTCGCGAGCGCTACGCAGGGCAATCCACAGCAGCTTAACGACCTATAATCCGCTTTACTTTACGAAAAAACTGTGCACCTTACCACTTAATGGTCCAATTCGTGCTTGCTTATCACATCAATAAATGTGATTATGAGGCCGAACAACAGCTTGGCAATAAGCCATTCTTGGTGGAAAGCATATTACTCCTGCCAATAACAGCACCTTTTGGAAAAAAGTTCCGCCATTATAAATTTAAACCTGGTAAATTAGGGCATGACAAATTTTATAAATCAACCGACCGATGATACAGAGAGCCTCAGCCAAACCACTAAGTAACGCACTGTTAAAGTTATCAATCCAGTTTGTATGTAAGAACATAAACAATACGAGTGCAGAGTACTAGAAAGGAGAATACTTAACTCTTGTTATACTATTATGCCTCTACATAAATCATATTGCATAAATTTGAAATTACACGACCGAAAGCAATTTTAAACCTAACTACATTGCACTGATGTGCAATAGGTTAGGCGTACATGTGTACAAGTAAGCAGTGCACGCACTTCTGTCGCAAAGGTATAGTTTTAAAATGTACATGAAACGCTCCACACGTGCAGAAAATCTTTATTTTGGATCATGCCAGAAAGCGTCACATGCTCACTTGCAACTACAGGAAAACGATCATTGGCAAAATTGCAGTGTGGGCACACAAGCGATTGACCATGGGTCAATAAGTCCATTACTGCTCAAGAGGCATGCGCACATCTGCATGCCTTTTATTCAGTCAAACTACCAAAGCAAATCTTTGTGAAGTCACACAACGCAATTTTGCCCAAAGCACATCAAAATGATCAAATGAGACTACACCGCCGCATACTTTTACTTTTTGAATTAAACTCTTAAGAAAAACATACAAACCATACAAAATTTAAAATACTTACAGTTAACTAAAAATATGACTTGGTGCAACAGAAGTCAGAAAACAATTTCTACGGAACGAATCAATTATTAAACGAAAATAAGCGATCTCAATGCAGACCAGCTTTTCATAATCAATCTAAACCAGCTGAAAACACTACAAAAAAATCGGGAAGAAGCGTGCTCCATACCGGATGCCCCATATTGACCCTCGAAAAGCGGCATATGGAATCAAACAGCTGAAACGCACATTCGGACAAGCTGCATGCACCGACGGAGAGTGATTACCATAAACGAATGCCCGTATCAATAACATCATCTGAGTCCGCGTCAAGTCTGTAATAAGCGTCCTGTCATTACGGCCCAAACCAAACAGATGGTCATTTGTAAGCATATTCCACATTCCTAATCCTTATAATTTCCTCTAGCTAGTATTTCGGATAGGCGGCTTTCCCTTAGTCCATCGATTTCACATTAAAACACAGTTCGGTAATCACATGCCAGCCAATGCAAAAAGTGGCTTTATACTGGAATCCAATGAATATTTACGGTATGGTCCAGATTCTCAGAACAGTCCGTACCATTCCGTCCAAATCGTTCGCGAGTGCGCGTGATAATTTGGTTATACATAAATAAGTGTATCATTGCAAAAACGATACAAATCCTGAACAGCGCTGTTATTATTAATAAAAACGCATAAAATTACTAGTACAAAAGAGGTTTATCAGTGTAGGCATAAGTGAGTGACGGCATAACTATGAGCAATCGCCAATCGGTATCTTGGCGATTAAATTGTTGTTAATAATTGTTCCTATTTCGTCAATGATTCGTCGTATTTTTCTAGTGATATAACAAAAAAAAACCGCTCAGCGCAAAAAAGTAGCAGCATATCCTTTGAATTTTGACAAAGTGATCACAATAAATGAAACATTAAGTGTCGAAGGAGCGATTACTTTTAATCGAATTACATATTTACTAATTACGCACTTAATTAATTCGATATTTAACGCGCCGACTTAATATCAGCGCGTGAAAAAATTCGTCAAATACTCAATTGTACAAAAACATTCTCAATTATCCTGCCCACTGAATTGCATGAATACGCAGGAATCGACATTCGCCAAAATTTTGGAAATGGTGCGTTCAAAGCAGACAACTAGACATTAAATTTGTAAGCTGAAGAAACTCCAGAGAAATTTCATTTGCAAAGAATTCCGTGGTAAAGCACGGTAGTAGTAACGATTCCACTGTACCTTCGTTCCAAGCTCCAACGGACTTAATATCGTACACTGGGCAGCTTGATATGGGTTGATAATCCTATCGCATCATTTTGTGCTTCCAGATTCCATGAGCAAAGACTGAAGATTAAACAGAAAAATGAACAAGGAAATCATAAAAACGTTGGCAGTTACTCATAATCTAATCAACAATGTCCCACTGTTAATTTGTTGCAACTACCATCGCCTTTTTTCCGCTACGCGACAGAATACGGCAGTGCAATAATATTTCCTCGAGCTACAGTTGTAAATTATAGCGTTCCATGAGAGAGACACTCTTCTAAAGCCGATATTCACTCACCAACACAACCGCCGCTGCTGGTGCTTTCGTACTTTGATATTATTGCCGCTCTCAACGTTCGACTCGGCGTCGCTGCAATGTTTTCAGCATGAGTGATAAGCATTTGAAAAATTTACGATTCCGTTGAAGTTAAGCGTGTGCGGCTGTTTAAGCGGACAGCATTATGATGTAACCCAAAGTCACAGTTAGTTTTAAAGTGCACGCACCGTTACTTTTCAGCAACGTTACTGTCGCTACAGTATAACATCCTGTGTCGAAGTTAACTGGAGAATTTCTGCGCTAAGACTGCATCTTTGAGTAGCTCGTAACGTCTTAATGGAGCACATAGAGAAAATCAGTGGAAAAAAGGCATCGTTTTTTCTCTCAAACCGCTCGTACACAACCGCAATCCCACGCAGGAGGGTTTTTCAGCTGACACGACTGTTCAGTGACACGATACGACATTTTTCACCGACAGATGAAGATAAATATAGAAGCGACATTTTGTCAACATATCATTACCGCACTGGAAACAAGCGGTCTCTAAGAAACTACCCTTCCCATCAGTCGCAACTCAGCTGCCGGAAATTATCGATTTCTGCCCCGGATAGTCTACAGACTATACTGAATTGAGCCAATACACTGGCAACATGTCCGTGACATATGCAGCTGCAAAAACGATTCGTTAATCCCAACAAACCTCACTTACCAAATAAAAAGCCTCTACATGAAGGTCCAGCTTCTCACTTGTCTTGACAGCTTCGCGTTCGGTGCGCATAGCATGCAAACGGATAACAAAGTTGCTTCAAACGTTCCATTTCATCCTGGAAACCACATTAGTAACTGCACTAGAGCCTTCATAAAAAACAACTTCATTGGTGAAAGACCCATTTCAACTGGGAAAGCAACCCTTTCACTTTCCGAATCAAAAAGGGCGGTATAAAGACTGTAGAATGCAGATGCTCCCTAAGTACGGATAAATAATAAATCAGTAATTATTAATTTATTTATCCTCATTATTATCATCATTATATGTCAATGATCAGACAAACCTACCCAATCCCTGGTAATAAAATGAAAAACGAGCGTATGTATTCCGTACTCGTACGGTCGTACCCATCAAAAATAAAATCTTTGTTCATTAAAATTTGTATTAATTTTGTAATTCACATTTCAGATTTCAGAAACTTGGAAAAAATAATAAACAAACGTCAGCGTCAAGTGGTCCAGTACTGTTGGGAAATTATTATGTCCAAGCAGGTGACCGCCGTATAGCAGGTCGTCATATGATTGATATACAGAGAAACGACCGCATAAAAAGCGAATAAAAACCAGAAATATGTAGCAACGAATAAAATCAATGCGCAGGTTTTGTACCCTGTTCTTATCTGTATGGCGGGCCGTTTAGGTCAGATTTGAAACATCAAATTCACAAACCACAAACAATCATCAATTCTGCGGTGATCGATTTCCAAGGCATCAAATACACGAAACACAAACATCAAATCACCGGTGATCAATTTCAAAATCATCAGTTACACGGAACCATAAACATCAAATCTTCGATGATCAGTTTTACAAAGATCAATTACAAAAACATCAATTCAACGATGATCAATTTCGGAAACATCAAATACGCGAAACACAAAAAAACCAAAGGGTGTAGTGGTATTCAAAAACGCCAAAAATTTTCCAAGTCCGAAAATTTTTTGTGTTTCGTGTAATTGATGTTTTTGAAATCGATCACCAAAGATCCGATGTTTCGTGTAATTGATGTTTGTAAAACTGCTCACCGGTGATTTGATGTTTGTGGTTTGTGTAATTGATGTTTTAGAAACTGATCACCGACGATTTGATGTGTGTGGTTCATGAAGTTGATGTCTGTGAAAGCATGTGTTTTGATGTTTCGTGTTTCGATGCATAAGAATTTGATCAAGCTGACCCAAACGGCCCGCCATATATCTGTGTCGGCTTTTACGATTTCTTTATCCCGGAACTGAGTTCGACCTTATTCGCAGTATCCGACTGGTTATTCGAGCAAAAAAATAAGTACTATTGAACACTGAAATGCAGGTTGTACTTCATTTTGCAGAACTTTCTTGGAATAAACACTTTTCGCAAGCTAAAGTGATTTCATTTTTGATATTTTGACCTCCTCATAGTTGTGAGTAATCATAATAGTTTTCGTTAACAAGAAAACCTAAAATACGAAGACCGCTGTAATGGCTTCCTCGCGCCGGGAAGCCGTATCCTACGGCGACCTAGAAATGGCTGATCCCCCACCGTATGTGGAACCTGTAGGTTTCACGGATTCTGACGCTGCGCTCACCCCACCGGAAGCAGCAAATGGACAGGATTCGCAAACAGCAGTAAGACGGAACCGCGGAAACATCTGGGCTGAAGCTCCCCGCAGCCGCAGGTAAACAACAAGAAATCTGCAAAATAGTAGACAGAAAAACTGCCAAAACCAATCACTGTATTAAACCAGTAACCCATACCACTGCCGCCGCTGTTAGAAAACTTCTTGCTTAATGTCATTCTTCTTGCTTAGCTGCTTAAACATTTCAGACTATTTGGCGATCCCTGCGCCGATGACAGAAATGGCGGCTTCAAATTAAGCGTCTTTTGTATCGGTATGTGGGTCCTTCTTTTTCTCTAAGTCTCAGCCTGCCATTTGCAGTTATTCCATATCTGTTATAGCGGCGTCTGTCGATGCCGAGCGCCTAAAAGCTCTTTTTGGAGAATACGGAACCGTAAAAGACGCTTTCGTTAAAGAAGGAGAGAAAGGCAAGTTCGGATTCGTCACAATGGAAACCGTAGAGGAATGCGAAAAAGCAGCTTCGGAGTTGGGTGGAAAGTATGTGGTATCTAACTTAAATTTAAATTGCACATCTTAATCGTTGTGATCTGGTTAGAGATGTCGACGGTTCGCGATTAAAAATTAGTTGGGCACGACCGCGTCCTGGCGGCGGCAACGGCGCTCCGGGCGCGAGAGGAGGTGGATCCAACTGCTTTAAATGCAACCAGCCTGGACATCGGGCGAACAACTGCCCTGGTGCGGCTGATTCTTCCTCGGCTTCGGTCAAAGCGGTAACATTAAATAATTAATGATTGATGCTGAACTAAACATTTATTACATGATGTCTGATTGTTGCAGGATGATGCTGGCTGGAATTCCGCTGCGAAGTCTGCGCCTGCTGAAAATTCATCTGGCTGGGGAGACTCTGCAAGTACTAGCGCTGCTCCATCAACCGATAGCGCGTCGTCTGGATGGGGGGCCCTTCCGTCTGGCGATCAGACGGCAGTTAGTTCTGTTGGTGCCTGGGGCGCCTCTGCGGGTATGTCGTATATTGCCGGGCGCCGATTTTATTATGTTGTAACTGAATTTGGCTTGTATAGGTGGCAGTGCCGGTCAGAGCTGGGGATCCGACTCAAACATGTCCACTTCGGACAGTGGTGTTAATAGGTCTGACAATGCTGGGCGCAATCGAAACACGGGGTAATTGTTAAATAATTATTTTGGGACGTGAATTTACTCGTCTTGCTTAACTGGTAATCATTTCAGACTTACTGGCGAACCCTGTCCTGACGATAGACACGGTGGCTTTAAATTAAGCGTCTTTTGTGTCGGTGTGTATTTCCTCTTCATTCCAGCCTGCGTGTGATTACTCTAAATGTTTTATTATTTCACTTTATAGCGCCGTCTGTTGATGCCGAGCGCCTTAAAACAATTTTTGGATCATGCGGAACCGTGAAAGACGCATTTGTTAAAGACGGCGAGAAGGGAAAGTTTGCTTTCGTCACCATGGAAACAGTAGCCGAATGTGAAAAAGCGGCTGCCGAGCTAGGGGGAAGGTATGTCGCTTTTGTAGTTGATGTAGTTTAGCCTTTAGCGTTTTTTTTTATCAAGTTCTTATTAGGGATGTCGATGGTTCGCGCTTGCGGATTGGTTGGGCAAGACCGCGCCCTGGCGGCGGCAACGGCGCTCCGGGAGCTAGAAGTGGATCCAACTGCTTTAAATGCAACCAGCCTGGACATCGGGCGAACAACTGTCCTGGTGCCGCTGATGCTTCCTCGGCTTCTGCCAAAGCGGTAACATTGAATAATGGTTGGAGCTAAATTAAACATTTGTTAGGTGATGTTCGATTGTTGCAGGATGATGCTGGCTGGAATTCCGCTCCAAAGTCTGCACCTGCTGAAGATTCATCTGGCTGGGGCGAGTCGGTAAGCACAACCGCTCCTCCTTCTACGGATAGCGCGTCGTCTGGATGGGGTGCTCTTCCATCAGGCGATCAGACTGCTGTTAGTTCTGATGGTGGCTGGGGCGCCTCTGCAGGTTTGTCGTATATTGCCGTTGAATTACTTTTGTAACTGCATTATAATTTTTTAGGTGGCAGTGCCGGTCAGAGCTGGGAATCGAACTCAGACACTTCTACTCCGGCAAGCTCTGTTAATGGTCGAGACAATGCCGGACGAAGTCGAAGCATCGGGTAATTGTTAACCAATACGTTGTAATGTAAATTTACTCTCAGACCATCTTTATTTACTGGTTAAGCATTTCAGGCTTGTTGGCGAACCCTGCCCAGATGACAGGCATGGTGGCTTTAAATTAAGCGTCTTTTCTGTCGGTACGTAGGTTTTTCTTCTGTATTCGAGCTTGCAAGCAGTAACTGGGAATTTTTATTATTTAACTTTTATAGCGCCGTCTGTTGATGCCGAGCGCCTGAAAACGGTTTTTGAATCATGTGGAAGCGTTAAAGACGCATTTGTTAAAGACGGCGAGAAGGGAAAGTTCGCTTTCGTCACAATGGAAACGGTAGCCGAATGCGAAAAAGCGGCGGCTGAGCTTGGGGGAAAGTATGTCGCTTTCGCAGTTCATGTTTCGTTCAGGGTTATTATTGATCAAGTTTCTAATTAGAGATATCGATGGTTCGCGCTTGCGGATTAGTTGGGCACGACCTCGTCCAGCTGACTCGAACGGCACTCCTGGAGCTGGAGCGAGGGGTGGGGGATCGAATTGCTTCAAATGCCACCAGCCTGGGCACCGGGCCAACAACTGCCCTGGTACAGCATTTTCGACGCCTTCTACAAGCTTCACGCCGGTGAGACATTCTGACAATTTGGGGAATATTGAAGACAGTAATTGATTATGAGATTGTCTTTCTCTTGACGAGATATGGGATGTTGCAGGGTGATGCTGGCTGGGATTCCGCTCCGAAGTCTGCACCTGCTGAAGATTCATCTGGCTGGGGCGACTCTGCAAGTACTACCTCTGCTCCATCAACCGATAGCACGACGTCTGGATGGGGTGCTGCTCCGTCTGGTGAGCAAGCTGCTGCCGATAGTTCTAGTGGGGGCGGTTGGGGAGACTCTGCAGGTGTGTCGTGCATTGCCGGGTGTTCAGTTATTTTTGTAATTGATTTTAATTTTGTAGGTGGCAGCGCCGGTCAGAGCTGGGGATCGAACTCGGACACTTCTACTCCGGCTAGCTCTGTTAATGGGCGAGACAATGCTGGACGCAGTGGAAGCATCGGGTAATTGTTAAACAATGCGTTTTTAATGTAAATTAACTCTCCTAAGACCATCTTTATTAATTGGTAAATATTTCAGGCTTGTGGGCGAACCCTGCCCAGATGACAGACATGGTGGCTTTAAATTAAGTGTCTTTTCTGTCGGTACGTAGGTTTTTCCTCTTTATTCCAGCTTGCGAGTGGTAACTGGGAATTTTCATTATTTAACTTTTATAGCGCCGTCTGTTGATGCCGAGCGCTTGAAATCTGTTTTTGGATCATGCGGAACCGTAAAAGACGCATTTGTTAAAGAAGGCGAGAAGGGAAAGTTCGCTTTCGTCACAATGGAAACGGTAGCCGAATGCGAAAAAGCAGCGGCTGAGCTGGGGGGAAAGTATGTCAGTTTTGATGTTAATGTTTCGTTCAATCGATTTGAAAGGTCTTCCCTGATAAAAATCTCATTAGGGATATCGATGGTTCGCGGTTGCGAATTGGGTGGGCACGACCGCGTCCTGGTGGCAGTAACAGCACTCCTGGAGCGGGTAGCGGTGGATCGTGTTGTTTCAAATGCAACCAGCCTGGACATCGAGCGAATAACTGTCCTGGACCAAGCGCTGTTTCTACGGCCGCAGTCAGTTATTCATTCCTAACTGGTTATCGAATCTTACCTCTGGAATTCCTGAGTACGATGAAAATCGAATGGCTGGGGTTACAATTCTGGTTGAATTCTGCTAGCGAGCGCTTCATGACTCTGCAGTAGTATCTACAGGGCATCTCGCACGGCTTCTTGCGTGCTGAGGGAGCAATGAATGCTGGATTCGATGCGACTGATACGCTGCTCTGCTGAGCTCCTGGCGCTGTGTGGTTGGCGAAATCTTCGGCAGTATCGATCAGAGCATTCTGGCTGCCGTCTCAAATGCTGAGCGCAGTATCGGAAATGCTGGAGTCATTGAAAGACGGTTTTGTTAAAGACGGAGAGAAAGGCAAGTTCGGATTCGTCACAATGGAAACCGTAGTGGAATGCGAAAAAGCAGCTTCGGAGTTGGGTGGAAAGTATGTGATATTATGATAAATTTAAATTGCATTTCTTAACCGTTGTGATCTGGATAGAGATATCGACGGTTCACGATTAAGAATTAGTTGGGCGAGACCGCGTCCTGGCGGCGGTAACGGCGCCCCGGGAGCTAGAGGAGGTGGATCGAACTGCTTTAAGTGCAACCAGCCTGGACATCGGGCGAACAACTGCCCTGGTGCGGCTGATGCTTCCTCGGCTTCAGTCAAAGCGGTAACATTTGAATACTTAAATAATGATTGATGCTGGTAAACATTTTTTACGAGATCCTCGAACGTTGCAGGATGATGCTGGCTGGGATTCCGCTCGAAGTCTGCACCTACTGAAAACTCATCTGGCTGGGGCGACTCCGCAAGTACTACCGCTACACCGTCTACTGAAAGCATGTCGTCTGGATGGGGTGATCCTCCGTCTGGCGATCAATCTTCTGCCGTTAGTTCTGATGGTGGCTGGGGCGACTCTACGGGCATGTCATACATTGCCGGCTGTTGAATTTATTTTTTTGAAAGAATTTCGATGTTTTAGGTGGCAGTGCCGTTCAGAGCTGGGGATCTAACGCAAGCATGTCCACTTCGGATAGCGGTGTTAATAGGTCAGACAATGCTGGACGCAATCGAAGCATGGGGTAACTGTTAAACAGTATTTTTGGAGCGTGAATTTATTGAATTTATTCGTCTTGGTAAATTATTTCAGACTTACTGGCGAACCCTGTCCTGATGATAGACACGGTGGCTTCAAATTAAGCGTCTTTTGTATCGGTGTGTATTTTCTTTTTATTCCCGCCTGTGAGTTTTATTGTTAATGTTTTGTTATTAAACTTTTATAGCGCCGTCTGTTGATGCCGAACGCTTGAAAACCGTTTTTGGATCATGCGGAACCGTGAAAGACGCTTTTGTCAAAGACGGCGAGAAGGGAAAGTTCGGATTCGTCACAATGGAAACAGTAGCAGAATGTGAAAAAGCGGCTTCGGAATTGAATGGAAAGTATGTCGTTTTGCAGTTGATGTTTACTTTGAAATTGTTTTTATTGATAAAGTTCTCTTTAGAGATATCGATGGCTCTCGATTGCGGATTAGTTGGGCGCGACCGCGTCCAGGTGGCTCAAACGGCACTCCTGGAGCGAGGGGTGGGGGGTCGAATTGTTTCAAATGTCAGCAGCCTGGGCATCGGGCCAATAACTGCCCTGGTTCAGGCACAGCTTTTTCGACGCTTTCTGCTAGCTCCACATCGGTGAGATGCTCTGGCAATTTTATAAATAATTAAAATGGTAATTGATTATGAGACTGTCATTCTCTTGACGATATATGGGATGTTGCAGGATGATTCTGGCTGGGATTCCGTACCCAAACCCAATCCGGTGCCTGCTGAAGATTCATCTGGCTGGGGCGACTCTGCAAGTACTACCGCTGCTCTTCCGTCAACTGATAATAGCACGGCGTCTGGATGGGGTGCTCCACCGTCTGGCGATCAAGCTACTGCCGATAGTTCTGGTGGCTGGGGAGACTCTGCGGGTATGTCATATATTTAGCATTGCCGAGTTGCGGAAATTCAATATAATATTAATTTTTTCCAGGTGGTAGTGCCGGTCAGAGCTGGGGATCGGACTCCAACGCGTCTGTTTCGGCAGGTTCTGTTTATAGGTCAGACAATGCTGGCCGCAATCGAAACATGGGGTAAGTCTTTAAACGATGTTTTATGACGTGTTTTATGAATTGTTCTCTTCTTTTAAATGCTCAAGATTTCAGGCTTGTTGGCGAACCTTGCCCAGATGATAGGCACGGTGGTTTTAAGTTAAGCGTCTTTTGTATCGGTATGTTTGCCTTTTGTTTCGCTCAGGCTGGCATTTGCAGTTATTACCAATCTATTGTAGCTGCGTCTGTCGATGCCGACCGCCTTAGGACTGTTTTTGGAGCATACGGAACCGTGAAAGACGCTTTTGTTAAAGACGGAGAGAAAGGCAAGTTCGGATTCGTCACAATGGAAGCAGTAGCGGAATGCGAAAAAGCAGCTTCGGAGTTGAGTGGAAAGTATGTGGTATTTATATTAAACTTAAATTGCATTTTTTTAACAGTTGTATTCTCGTTAGAGATATCGACGGTTCGCGATTGAGAATTAGTTGGGCACGACCGCGTCCTGGCGGCGGCAACGGCGCTCCGGGCGCGAGAGGAGGTGGATCCAACTGCTTTAAATGCAACCAGCCTGGACATCGGGCAAACAACTGTCCTGGTGCGGCTGATTCTTCCTCGCCTTCGGCCAAAACGGTACATTGAATAATGATTGGTGCTAAATTATTCGTTACTTGATGTCGATTGGTGCAGGATGATGCTGGCTGGGATTCCGCTCCGACGTCTGCACCTACTGAAAATTCATCTGGCTGGGGCGAGTCGGCAAATGCTACCGCTGCACCGTCTACCGATAGCATGTCGTCTGGATGGGGTGCTCCTCCGTCTGGCGATCAATCTGCTGCCGTTAGTTCTGATGGTGGCTGGGGCGAGCCTACGGGTATGTCGTATTTCGCCGGGTGATGGATTGATTTTTATTATTTGAAATTTTCTATGTTTTAGGTGGCAGTGTCGGTCAGAGCTGGGGATCAGACTCACACACATCCACTGCGGGGGAGAGCAGTGTTAATAGCTCGGACATTGCTGGGCGCAATCGAAGCATGGGGTAATTGTTGAACAATGATTTTTGGACATGAATTTACTCGTCTTGCTCAACTGGTAGATCTTTTCAGACTTACTGGCGAACCCTGTCCGGATGACAGACACGGTGGCTTTAAATTAAGCGTCTTTTGTGTCGGTACGTATTTCTGTGTTTTTGTCCCAGCCTGGCTGGATTTTGTCAACGGTAAACTGTATGTTTTTGTAGCTCCGTCTGTTGATGCCGAGCGCTTGAAATCTGTATTTGGATCATGCGGAACCGTGAAAGACACATTTGTCAAAGACGGCGAGAAGGGAAAGTTCGCTTTCGTCACAATGGAAACGGTAGCCGAATGTGAGAAAGCGGCGACTGAACTAGGGGGAAAGTATGTCGTTTTTGCAGTTTATATTTACTTGGAAGTTTGAGGGGTGTTCATTGATTATGTTCTCGTTAGGGATATTGATGGTTCGCGCTTGCGGATTAGTTGGGCACGACCGCGTGCAGGTGGCGCAAACAGTACTCCTGGAGCTGGAGCGAGAGGTGGGGGATCGAATTGCTTCAAATGCCACCAGCCTGGACATCGGGCTAATAACTGCCCTGGTAATGGGGCTGCTTCTTCTACGCCTTCTGCTATGTTCAAGCCGGTGAGATTTTTGATGATCTGATAACGGAGTAAAATGGTAATTGATTGTATAAGCCAGTCATCCTCTTGACGGGATATGGTATATTACAGGATGATTCTGGTTGGGATTCTGCTCCCAAGCCCTCTACTGATAATGATGCGTCGGGTTGGGGTGAATCCGCTGGTGGTACTGCTGTTTCAACTGCCGCATCGTCCGGTTGGGAGAATTCTGACAATAAATCTGCTGCTGCGGGTTCTGGTGGCGGCTGGGATGACTCTGCCCGTATGGCGAATTTGATTGCTGAATTTTAATTTTTTATAATAATTTATTTATGTACGTTCCGGTTGCAGCTAGTGGTGACAGTGGATGGAATAATGCGACGTCACCATCTAAATCTACCAACGATTGGGGTAAGTATTGCAAAAAGTATCATTCATTGTAACACTGCGATTGTGGGTTTTCTCTTTATGGTGGAATGTATTTATTACTGAGCGTTTCACCGATGTTGTGCTATATTTTTAGCTAAGTCGAAATCAAATGAAAACTCCCTGGACGCGGAGATGTCTGGGCTGCAAGAATTTCTGTTGATGAAAAAGCAGAAGAACATGGAGGAAAAAGCACGTATACTGGAAGAGATTCGTCAGGAAAGAGTTGAAATGGAAAAGCTAAAACGGGAAAGGGTAATCCAGGCTATCCAGATGGAACGAATCAAAAACTCTGCACCAAAAGTACTTACTGTTAATTAATTGCCCATACGGTGAATGTGCCGGTGTATGTATGTATATCCTTTTGGACGTGATGATACAACAGCGGTTTTGTAGCTTCCGCCAGCGCCGAAGTCTTTGCGAAAAAGTGAAATGTATCCCGATTTGTTTAGCGCGGAAGAGCGTGAGAAAGCAGCTAGAGAGTACGGCATGAGCAAAAGACCCAGATATCTTGATCGGGAGCATCTGTTGTTCTCTGGAGAACGCTCAAAAGGTCAGTTAAAATTTTGTGAACGGTATGGTTGTATGGGCATGTTGTTGCCAAGTGTTTGTTTGTTTTTGTTATAACATGCTTGGGAATGTTCATGGTGTATTGTTAATATATTAGTTATGAATTTTGTTCTTGTCATTTCAAGTAATTAAGTTGATTCTGATTTTGACCGACAGAACAAATCATGGCGGACGCGGAGGCATTTATGGGCGGTGTCGTGACTTTCCGGAAACGATCTCTCTCGCCCGAGGACGAGAACGATTACAAAACACCCACGGCGCGAACGCGTAAGCGTATACCGGCTGCGAACAGCGGTACCGGCGTTGTTCGTTCAGCAACACATCGCGGTGGCAAGTCGAAAGATGAATCGCCTGAATTCTCTGAACCCAATTCACCGCCGTCCGACGAGGACGACGAGGAGTACAAGCCCACATCGGCGACGGCTGGACGAAAGCGTAAATCGGTTAGCTTTGACAACAGTGTGAAGGTCTTTGAATCGGCTGTGAATGATTTGTTCAAGCCGGATCAACCGGTCAGGACCACGCAGTCACCGGCTGACTCGTCCACCGGCAAAACGTCGGGATCCAAACGCAAGGCTCCGGACTCGTCGGGTAATACGAAGAAAGCTTTCAAGGTCAGTGTAGAATTAGTGCCGCCACCTGAAGGAGCGCGTTATGCCACACGCAGTAGGAAGCAGCCGGCATCGAATGTGGTGGATCTTAACAGCACACCTATTCTCGACGTCATCAAGCGCATGTCCGAGACTTCAAAACAATCCAAGTGAGCGAAGGCAGCGATCTCGTTGGTTGGCCATTATGATTTTGTGAGTGATTTTGCTGATTGGAACTGGAGTGAGTTTTTGTCTTTGATTGTATAGTTGGAATGGATTCTCTATTTTGTATCCACATGGTTGCCTTTTACTGTACAGAAGTTTCCTTTTGATACGCCTCTGATGCTGTTCACTGTAAATGTATTCTTATTAATAGCCTGTTTCCTATGCTATCACTTTCTTCATATGAGGACTATTATGCAGAAAAAGAATTACTTTGTTGTATAATAATGTTTGTTGGGATCGGCATTGATAATCAGTACTCGTACACATTAAACAGTTCTGAAAGGGTAAGCAATGCGTAAGGGCGTCTCCTGGCAAGTACTGTTTTTCCCAGTTTTTCCCGTCAGAAAATTATATTAAACCAGATTTCGCTAAAAAAAAGAGTGGTAGTGACCACGGTGATAATGATAATTACTGGAGATACGGCATTGCCGTGAGAAAATCCCAAAGCGGCAAATAGCACGCATGTTTGTGCTATTTTTGGTGCGATAATTTTTCGCATTGGGGAAATTGTGATTGACCGGAAACGATCCTGAAGGCTGCCGTACGAGTTTAACACGGGGCTGTCGAATGCGTGTTTTGTATTTGTGCTAAAAGAATAGACCAAACAACGCCCTTCTCATAAATAAATTTCCGGGCGGTGTTGTCAGCGTCACTGACTTACGGGCGTAGTTGCGATTGACAGGACTCAAGTGACCAACGTCAAACTTTGTGCGCACTAGTTGGCAGCATGCGATGTGCTACAGTTTGGGGAGAAATTTGCGACGTAATGGGCTCCCTCTCTCACTTTTTAACGCGAATACACAGAAGATTAATGGATTGGGATACCGCAAACAAACTTGTACTTCCGGTCTGGGCCGGGGGCATTAGCTGGGTTTCGGTCTGGAACAGCTAACCGGCGCTATCATACAGCACCCACATACGTACATAAGTACAGACGTGATGTAAATCGTATAAAGCCGTCACTGTGCAGGAAACGGCTTCTTATCCGCATCCATGTAAATACTGTGTGAAACGCTCTCTGTTACATCGCTTTGTTAAAGTTGTTGTTCTGCCTCGAACAACATGTAGGGTTAAACAAAACATACCGACTTTATCCAGAAAAGCGACAATGCTATTAATTCCATCGTTTGTTGTCTTCGCACTGCAGGCTTCCACGCTGACTTCTGGTCTACCGTTTCGCCCGGCATTTCATATTCGTACTACAGACGATGGGAACGCTTTGGTAAGAATGTACTTTGATTTAGTGCGCTCAGTTTGCTCTACTGGTCAAGATTTAACAGTTTAGTTTATTGTTTAAAATTTCAGTTATTTCTGCGGAATATTATTGGGAAGCAGCTCAATGCTTTCTGCATATTCATGACCTTTGACATTGTCACTTGAAGATTTAAGGGGATCACTATGAGATAACTTTCATATAAATGGGTTATCGGTATTAACATCAGCTTGTAGGAAATTTTTCGGGCTTTCAAATAGTATGTCTCGATGGGATATATTGTATTGCGATCATAAGTTATTAGTAAAAAAACAAGACCGGGTCAGCATAGGCGAAGTAAGTGCAATGATGTTATCGGCTAGCCATGGCCAGCCGCATGGCAGATAGACCTGGACAGCAGAACAGAACGCCTCATGCTGTCCTGTGGCCGGAGCCAAGCTGATTCTTCCCTCTCTAGCTATGCTCTGTCTGATCTCTATCCTGCAAAACGCGGGCTTGGGTAGCCGGCTCTGCCACACATTGCTGCCGGTCAATCAGCAAGCCTTTCATTCAGCTGCCGTTTTCCAAAACTTGTGAAATGGCTTTAAAAATCGATAACTCCATTGTAAAACTTGCTACACTTTCCAAATGGGCATCAGATAATGTGTTATTTTCTAGAAAGCTTATATACCGAGACACTGCCATAGTCCAATAAGGCATGTTTGAATAAACTCAAAAAACACTTTTCAAAAGTGTTTTCTCGATTTTGTAAACTAACAGCATTTTTTATTAGCATGTTGGAGAATATAAGCTTTCTAGGCTAAAACACATCCAATGATGTGTATCACATCTACTTTGTAATTTGAAAAAACTTTCTCATTCGACTTTTGAATTCAAAGTTTTTCCTTTGTTTCTTGAATAGCTCTGTCCAGAGAGAGTGTAGACAAGATCGCAATACACCATTGTGTAGCCAAACCCTTTGCGCATGCAGTCAGAACAATGGAAACAATGATCTTCCAGTTGTTTTTAACCTATTCATGTTTTGCCAGACCCACTTTCATCTCATAGGGATCCCCTTAATGATATTTTGTCACTTTTGGGCTGCATTTTGTAGTGCAATAATGCTTTTCCATTAAGATGGTTATTGCAAGTCTTGATATGTTAGCGCCTTCGGAACAGTAATATGTGCATTCCTGTTTCCTGATTCGTTATAAAATAAATAAACATAAGCTGTCATGTCCAGTACAATTAATTAATTTTAATTCTGGATTTTATGAGCAGCTAGGTATATGTAGGACTGCAGGCCTACCAGAAGCTGCAATCTTCGTGAGAACTGACCAGTGTGAACCACTTTCTACTGCATCTTATGTGTTTTACTTATATCTCAACATGAACAGTGTAAACTGATTCAATGCAAAATATTACCAGATTTGCACAATCAAGGAAAACAAAAACGCGGTGCATAGTGAGAAAGTATCGCAAGCTTTAAGCTTTCGATCACTTTTGGAGTCGGCAATGAACCAGTTAGCACTGTCTAAAACATCATACGGCACCGCTAATAAGTATACAAAAACTTAAGGGGCACGAGTTATGGAAGAACTGGAAACATTATTTTAGATAGTGGATGATTTCGAAACTCACTACATGTGTCGCAGCAGGCCAGTTGTTTTAACACAATTTTCGTCAGGGTGCCTTACTTCGTCCGGTCACTCATCGACAAAGTACACATCCGGGACAGTATTACGGATAATTACAAATTAGTTTACATGCTGTATCAGTTGATTAAGTGCTGCTAAAAAAGGTATCACTAACAAGGATGGATGGCTCCCAAGCGTATCTGATAACAGGCGCCCGGAGACATGTGTTTGTTCCGGTCGGGTGTATTTTTATAAAAACTTCCCAAAGGTGAAAATCTGTATAAACACCCAACCCACCAACTAACAGACCAGGGCGACAGCCAATCGATACGGAGCAGAGTACTACCTTCCTCAGTAGTCTTGTTATGATAGCTAATTTACTTCCGGTTGCAAAGGTAAATATTTGGGCTGTGGGATGAAACACTGCAATTAGGCAGATAGCACTGCAGATGCTGAAGAATCCACTTCATTGATTGGAATAATTTTAAAAATGAATAATTTTACATGAGAAATGCAAGGTCATAAATTACTTATCTGAAAAATGAACTAAGTTTTTGCGAATTTTGGCTGTCAGTAGATTGGTATCAACACCAGCTTTATGAATGACCGGGAGTGGTGAGCAAGGTGTGTTTTGTTCACAGGGATGGAATCGTTTAAGCCATTTGCGTGTTTCATCAACATGCGCTCCCGATGCGCAGTGCATGTGGCCGGCACATTCGGGGTCGTCGCTCTTCCGGCTGTTCCGCGGCCGGCGATCCATTGCACGCATTGGTCCCGAGCTGATGCTGCCGTCGCTGAGTATTGCCGGCTGGGACACCGGTCAACTGCCGACCGGACCCTTCGCATCGTATGGACTGCCCTGGAATACGAAACCGTTTGACACGACCTTTGCTGTTCGCCGCGGACCAGGAGGATTCACCAACAAAATACCGGGAACACGACTGGCTTTGCGTCCGGTAAAAATCATAATTCGGATGTAGTTACAATGCTGTAATAACACCTACTCGTGCTGTATGTACCGTATACCTGGAATCGGTTGAGCTACCGTTACAGCTAACATACTGATTTTAGGTAGCCTTAGCAAACTGCTCCGCTCTTGTAGCAGTAGCATGATAATTTATTTTGTGAAAACAGTAATTTTTTAATTTTTATTCAATATATGTTTTATTTGTTACATCAGTTTGCGTACAGGGCGCCCTTACAAGTAGCACTGTGCTGTACGGTGGTTTTCAGCTGCAGGTGTTCGTGAAAGTCTACGACAAGGAAGGGGAAGAGTACAGTGTTACGGTGTCGTTACGTCCGCAGATGTCGATTTCCGATGCTCTGTACCAGGCATCGGCCATGTTCCGTGACAAGCATCCTAAATCAAAGATCAATCCCTTTTTGATAAGTATTAACAGTCCCGATGACAGGAGCGAAGACTGCGGTGAAATTGTGCAAGTTGGCCCGTGGCCCAAATCACCGGATGGAGTGTGGAACGTTGTCGTCAAGGATAGCAAAGGCCGTGTAAGTTCGCACCAACTACCGTAATGTACAGATTTATTTATGATCTCTAAGCTGAAACGGAAATTATTAAGCGCAAAAGTAGAAAACTAGCAGTAACAGAAAACTGATAATTCTTGCAGTATGTACAGTACTTCATGATAGGAAGGCCGCAGAAAATTAACCATAATTAATTATGCGTCATTGTATGCATGCTTATGATTTTTAATGTAAAAGTCCTCACGTCTGCATCGCGTCGGTAAATTACGAGCATAGGTTAAAACATTTAATAATTTTGCAAAACTGCACAACATTGTACTCTTAGTTATTACAGTATGGGATGGCTATGTATACGAAAAACTTTCATAAATTTGTATATCTTTGTACAATGGTTAAATTAGGTACTGTACGGAATATACGTTACTCTTTATACGTAGACTCACCAATACTTTGTTTCTCTTTATTAAATTTGCTTTATTAGACGTGTAAATACTAATAACGCAATTGCATAATATATATTTTGTATAAGCATTCAGTTGAAGCTTTTAGGTGTGGTGCTGGTTGAAAAATTAGATGGGTACTTACTTAAATGTGTACTTCTATTGTCTATTTTTGTTTTTGCAGTTGGTCACAGTAGAAGCGTGCTTCGAATCCCTGATGAATACCTTTGTTTATCCGGGATATATTATTAGTGTAAAGCACGCGCTGGTGGAAGACCGAATAAATGAATAATACCGCACAAGCCTGCACTTCACGATGGAAGAAAAGCCTTCTGATGCTGGTTTTCTACTACTTTGTACCTACAAATTTGTTATGAAAGTAATTGCAGTATGCGTACCATAAATTCTTAATACATTTTTTCAACCATACTGTTTGAAGTAATAATTTTTCCTGTGCAGTGATATAATGCTGTGGATGTTTTGTGAAAGCAATAAGTGTCAGTTGTGGTACACAATTTAATACCGCGAAGGGCCGCACATCGTGTATTTGCTAATAATTATAAGGCTAATTCAGCAGAGGTACATAATAATCCCAGTGGTGCTGTGAAATTTGCTTATACTCCTGATCAATTTTGTTATGCAAACTTGCAGTTTCGTTGGCGTAAGGAATAAAGTGTTGCGTATTCGGTTCTTCAGAAATACATTTATACTACACGAATAAAATCTGTAATAACAGAAGTGGAAAGAAATAAGGTTTTGCTAAAACCGTTAGGATCGGAACAGTCATACTGCAGTAAATTAGTCAGCAAGAATGGCAAAGTCACCACCGGACCTGACTGATGGATAATGAAATTGTACTATTTTACTGTAATTATTTTTAGATTAACCATGCGCTATTATAATCAGTTCAGTTGGCATAGCGTAATCTGTGACCTTTATTGAAATTAATATAATATACGTTGTTAGGTAGGGTGGTATGTAACGCCTGTGTTGTGCATTCAGATTTTGCATAATTATAATATTATGTTTCCTACTTTCAGTCTTATTTGTCCAGGTGAAGAATGTAGCATTTGTTTTGCTAACAACCGGCGCTTTTGTCAACTTTTGCAGCTTTTGCAAAGAGTGGGTGTGAATTATCACCCAGTTGCAACCCATTATCAGTTTGCATTCTCCGATGATACTGTACGTAATTTGTTTAAAATCAGTGTAACAAAAAAAATCGCACCAGTGTTTTCGCCGCTTCTGCTACACAGGTGGACAAAAGGTCAATACTAGGCAGTCAGTTATAATTTATAAATGCATTTGCAGTGCTGGTACTACATCAATTCGTTAATCTCAACATGCCACGTAGTGCTGTTTAGCACTTTGACTATAGTCCGGAAAACGTTCACACGAATATTTTCTTTTCTATTAGTATATTTTTTCTGCAACAAAGGCTGCAGATCATTTAATACAGCAATCCACGCTTGGAACGAAATCCGTAGAGGCATCCACAAGCCAAGGAAATATTAACTTAAATGACTCCCGGGATTATTTTGTAGGGCACCAGTTGACGGTATTGCTGCCAGAATACTCCATATTTCTTACTGCATTTCAGTTCATCCCGAAAGGCGCGATGCGTAAGCAGTACGGTGAGAAAAATTGTATAGAAAAAGGGTGAAAAGTAATCCAAACCGGTAGCACAGCTCCATAGGAATGCCGCGGAGATTTCCGGAAGATAATGAAAATGGCTGGATATGCCCCAGAAACCCGATGCTAACAACAAATTACTCTTTTTCTCTCCGGTTTCGGTCAAATAATCCGCCTCAATTAAGACGGGCTTTTTTCCCCAGATCTTCGTGTTGCCATGTGTGGCCCGTACAATTTGGCGCTGGTGATCAGCCCAGTAGTTGACCAGAATGGCGGCCAATCCCAGGACGAAAATAGCGGTAGCGGCTGCAAAAGACAGTCCAACGGGATGTCGCACCATGAACATGACCGGCGATGTATACACTGCCGGCACCCACATCATACACCTGCACAACACGAAAATTAAAGATGTGCTGTAAATCAAAACATTTGAAGTTCTAAACTGCAAACAAACTAAATTAAAATCAGAAAACTACAGTATAACCATGCGTAAATTTTCAAGAAGATTCTGTAACCGAAGTAAATGTATCGTCAGTGTTTTGATCGAATATTCGTATAGCTACAGATAAATGTTTAAAAATCGAAAAATAACTTAGTAATCACTGTAAAGGTAAACGTTAAAATTCTGCTGCATTTTATGTTTCGCACGACATCTGTACTACGTATTATAAAATATTTATCATTCGTGATTTAACCAATAACCGTTGAATAACTTTAGGTATTTACTATATGTACGTACACATATGCATGTATAAGAAGCATGTTGCTCGTCTGCCCGTCTGCAGCACCCGTGTATTTATGAGTGTAATTTTCATGGCCGGTACTTGTTGAATAAAATAACATGTTTTACGAAACCCCGGTGAGTGATGTAAATGTGAATTGTTTATTATGAATAATTTATTTGATCAAGTGAACGCCTGCATTATTGAAGTTTTCTTATTGGTCGAGTTCATCGTCACATACCCCCAGCACAACATAAAACCTCCTCGATCCACGATAATATCCATGGATCGCATGTATCCCGATTCCCACAAGAAAAATTTCAACAGATAAATAACAATTAGCGACGCCGAAACAATAATTGACCAGTCGGCTTTCCCATAAATCTCTTTCTGTGCGAAAGCAAAGGAAGTCACAGAAACGGCCCAACCGGTCATTCCAAACCGGCAGTTGGTAAACTTTTTCACATCACATCCTAAAATCCTGGGATACAGTTCCGTTCCCCAGTAATAATCAAAAATAAAATTTCCCGTTGAACTATTATCCGTGCTCGAGGGAAAATAAATGCCTTTAAAATAGAGAAACAAACAAAATGCCAATGCCGTCAGATTCAAGGCGCCGAGAATATCGCCAAGATTGTCATAGATGAGAGACGGTCTGAATAAACCGAATCCGAGAGATCCCGTGAAAAACAGCGCAAAGGTGACAATGTACGATGACAGACCGTTATCAGTGTACTCCGGTAGGTTTCCCATGGGCGTTATGGTCCCATAATATCGCCTTCCCGGTAATGCGCGCATTAAAAAAATTTGCAGTGCCGCAAAAATTCCGATAATTTTCCATGCGGTCACCGAGCCATAGAAGCGTGGCGACCATACGTCAGCAATTTCTCTAAGAATGCCCTTTTCCTGTATCTCTTGTCCCAAACGTGCAAAAGAGCCGTCGAGGTGGACATTGGTATGATAGATCAGCATGGTGAACGGCGGACAGATCAGGATCAGGAACAACGGGACGATGACGCGGGTGAATGCATTCTTACCGGTTAAAAACAAATTCACTTGGGAATACATTTTTTAACGATCTGCTTAATTTGCCGCCCAGTGTGCAGCAAATGCAAAACAATCGAAACCTGTTTTTCACAGTTCACACAGAATGGGATTATTCCGAACGCGGTTTGCTTAAATATCGCGTGAGCATAGCACAGCTATCGCATCTTATCAGTGCGCTATATGTCAGTAAACGATTATTATAATAACGTTCATGTCAAAAATGCCATTGCTCCCAAGAAAATATCCACGCTCCTCGGAATTGCACGGAATGCACTGGTTTTTAATCAATAATACGATTATTGTTCATAATATAGCACACATCTAAGGCCCATATCAATAATTATCTGATGATCATGTAAGTCGGAGCGACTGCTTATTGGCCGAAGCGAGGTGGTGCGTTTGCACTTCAGTTAGCGGTGCGACGGGTACATCGACAAAAGCATAAAAGAACCACTGTTTTCACCTATTGATCTACATTTAATTGCGTACAACTACATACTGCAATATCAGCGGTTACTGTTAGCAACTTGAATTCGGCCCGAATCGGTCCGATTACAGCGGTGACGGTATAGTTTAGCAAAGGTTGTACCTTAAGGTTATGTGCTGACATTAGTCGTTTTACATTAACAGAACCGGTGGAAACTCAAATATTGATCACCGAGCTACCACCGGAAAATGACACAGATAATTTTTATGCATTATTGTACTGTTGTGTCTGTGTGAGAAACATTTCTGCCGACCGTAGGTTTTACTTTTATAACTGATTGAACTTACTTACTTACATAAGGTGGAGGCACATGTCCCACTCAAAAAAATGTACTTGCTGTAACGTAATGCAGCAATCTGTTAAAATACTAATCCGTAATCTGTTAAAATACGTAAATCTGTTAAAATACTAGCGAAATAGTACAGTACTGCCATAGCAATATTGCCTTGGTAATACTACGTATCTTTAATCATTCATCGATATTATAATTAATTAGTTATTGTGTAAGAAAGCACTACCCGGATAGTTTCGAAAGTTGGGTTATATGAATGTTAAAATTTTCAAATATCTATATAGGCTTTTGCGCTGTATTAAAAATGTAGTAAGTAATCCAAATTTCACGATTGCAACAGAACAGTGAAGAAAATCTGTGGTCATAAAACAAGATCAGTTTACGAGGCAAGTCCAGAAATGTCAATCAGCAAATTAATTTAATGCGCATGTAGTGCGAATCCACTGTCATCCAGAATCGGTTACATGTATCATCACAAACATTCCTGATTATCCATATGAACCAGTCGCATTTTGTTTTTTTGGTATCTGAATTTTTAGTTCTTTTTTTAAAACATATTTAATTCTATGGGTGTTGTCAACAGGTTTGCAGATACGCGAGTAATCGTACAGTAACAGTATCGTATAATCTTTCGCTTTCGATCCAATTGCGGCACAACATTACCACGCTCCTTACAGATTTCTTGCATTTCAACCCGGCAAATTAAACGTACGGCTGGAGCCAAGAATTTTATGATATCTATATACGAGTACTATTAATGATAGCTGGTAGCCTGGTACGCACGCTGCAGCGCTGATTTCATAATACAAAAATTAATGTTTTTAAAGTCAAAATCAAAGGCACTGCTTCGTATACTAGAGTTATAGAGTAAGATCTACTTACTGTAAGAATATTGTAAGAAGTGTCGCAACCAGCAAGTCAAAGGAATGTTTTTAGACAACTTATTAACGTACTAATGATCACTGAACTCACATAATTCGGACTGTTATGTTTTTGCACCGGAATTATAACGAAAATAATGTAAACATATAAATGTAAATGCATAGATGTTGTATAGAAATTGGGCTTAATTACTAGAGTAATACTGGAGTAGTTAAATTATGAACATCTATAGATATATAGTATACTTAATATAAAATGTTCATATAAGATACATGTACATCCCTTTTTTATGCATTCCTAGGATTAAAAGCACAGAGCACTCAACGGTTTTACTTCACAAAATGGTTCAGAATATTTTTGAATCGAAATACTTATGAATATCGATTGTACTAACAAGTCGCCGCTTCTGAATTAGTACTCGTGCTTACTTCGGAAGTCGGAACCCTACAAGTACGATACAGAACGTTTATTCTGAACATGTGACGTGTGTGTACACATGGTCGATCGGCTGTAAATGCAGCTACATTTCCAGTTCCATTCATATTGTGATGCTACCTACAGTTTGTGACTTGCGTTTAATAATCTTATTGATTCCTGGATGCATCATCTAAGAATTAACCGTGTGTTTTAGTGTTTTTATCCCCCGTCCTTGTGGTATGCACAGTGGGTTCCATGTGCGGAATTCAATCGATAAACCTTACAGCCATAATATACAAGTTAACCATCAACGCTGGCAACATCACGAAAACCTGCAGCGCGCAGCAGCAGCTCGGCGCGTTTTATGTCAGTGAGTGTGCTTAACAGCTGGTCGTTCCGGAACTTTCACCTTCGAAAATTAGTCGATGACGCGGGATGCGCAGCGCCCATTATGATCTGTCCTGTGTCGTAATTGTGTTAGCGGACATATATGTAAAAAAGGATATATCCCGAGGATTCGGCCGGGGCCTGACAGCATAATCAGTACAACACGGCGGTTATGAATTCGCAGCCCAGCAAGAACAGCGCTCAGGCAGATAAAACAGCGGCGAAAGCTGCGGCGGCTACGTCAGCTGTTCAGCGTCATGAGGCACCCAATGCATTCCCCTTTCTGGATAGCGCCTGTCGCGTCTGTAAATCCCCCTCCACCGGCGTCCACTATGGCGTGGCGACGTGTACGTCCGTAGTGTTTCTTTTTTTTTCAAAATGCAGTATTCATAACGTTGTGATTTTTTCAGGTGAAGGTGCGTATTGACACTTGCACAATTGCATTTCACTGCTGATTGCCGAATACTGGGTTAAACACGGGTTTTTTGCTTTCCTGCATCGCTTTATAGGTTGCAAGGTAAGCTACGAAATTCATATCAGCTGGAGTGGTGTTTCATTCGGACTCTTTAATTAGGGCTTTTTCAAACGAAGCATTCCGAAGAGCCAACATTATAAATGCTATTTTGGTGAGTGATATGTTGATTTGGCATTTTGAAATAATAGTCTATGAATGTATAGAACCATGAATAAATAAATTATAAATAAAATAAATCTAATCTGGCTGCTTATGTTTAGGTGGAGATTGCGAAATCAATAGGTTGGCTGGAGTAAAACTGGAAATCTGGAAGTGAAGTGGCCGGTAGAAACTTGATTTCTTTTCTATAGGGAAACCCGTAATCGCTGCAAGGCATGCAGATTCCAGAGGTGCGTCCAAGTGGGTATGGCACTGGAAGGTAAGTCTGCAGCCTGAACTACGATTATTTACGCAGATTTGTTGTAATTTCTTTGATTGTGTTTTTGCGATTCGAACTAACATAGTTAGTATCACTATCGTCTGATCAGAGTAAACCATCAATATCGTAGACCATCTCGATGAAAAAATGTGCCATGCATAATGTAGAATTGTATCGCATGGTTTTAGAGGAAGGTAGAATTTAAGTTGTTCATTCATTCAGCGGCATGTTCTTGCTTTTGATCTGCAAACTTTCCATTGACTGTGGTTGATACGGAATAATTTTTGCTGGCTTTCGGCATATCAAGTTATGTTCTATGATGACTACACCGTTTTACGGCGGCATGGTTTTTTTGCCGTAAGGCGTTGCAGTATGAAGACAGTCTTGAAATTTATCAGCCTGTAGGCATCTGCCACTAGATGTATCAAAGAAAAATGAAGAACGCAAAAGGTGTTTAAGTGTTGCTTTAAATATTTACTGCTGCTTTTAACAATTGTTGCGACATATTTTAGTTGAATTTTTTATTGCTTGTTATGGTATATAGGATGGTTTTTGATGCTACCATTTTGATTTGACCGTATTTGGATTCTGTCGGACCTATACGCGAATGATAATGGGAAATCAGTGAAATTTTTCATAGCTGAACTAGCCTTTGGTCACTTTGCAATTTAAAATGTATTTTATACCACACCTGTTAATCTTGAAGTCTTCTGCGTAGAGTAAAAGTCTCGATATGCGCCGTAGCATTAAACTATTTTGGCAGATTCCGGGATTTCTTCGCTGGTTTCACCGCATTGCAGCGTTCCGTCATCGTTAGGAACGCTGCAGGCTATTAGTACCATGTGTACTAGTTATATGGGCGTGTGTTTCGGATTATTTCACCATTTTCCTCTTAAATAAATCGAGATTTCGTGGTTAGGATAGGAAGTTACATGCTAGCGAAGGACTGCACTAAATCTTTCGGAGTCGCCCAGTGAGAAATACTTACTAACAATAACTTTTCCCTGCATATTTATTTTGTCAGCATATTTTGACGTCAGAATGTTTCGCGAAGCCGGTCTTTTCAGTGCAAGCCCGTTTCTGCGAGCTCACGCCTGATAATCGATGAGATCTGTATACAATTTGTGTTCGGCAGCTATAATTCTTTAACGGCATACAGCTCTGAACATAACACCTATCTGTACCTGGCAAATGTTTATAGTGATCGTAAACATTTGTGGGTAGTTCGTTCAGTTAACTGAAATTTTTCGGTACGCCATAAATCACAAAGGGCAATGATAATCATCTCACACGACTTCACGGGTACTATACTGAGGTTTTCTGATGTACGCACGCTGCAACCATTCTTAACATAATAGAAAAATGGAATTATAATTATACTGTATAGATATTGCACGCCGCAACCAGTCTGTATTTTAAATATTCAGATACTGCACAAACAGCACTTGAAGTGTAGTTTTGAATTTCTGTATTCCTTTGGGACTTTTTTGCGTACAAGTGTGCGAACTTTTTCTGAGGATCCAATTTTTCTGGTTATGGAAAAATTAAGCAAAATGCATCGTAATACTCATTTTCGCAGCTGTTGAGGTTCAATGCGGAAGTGATTGATTTTAATTTTGCAAAGCTCTTAAGAAAACGTCTTACCTATTGTGTGTGCTGAAGATCGAGTAAAGTTGAAGCGATGTCTGATAGGAAGATTACCATCGATTCCTGGCAAGAGTGGTAGCTAGTCAGAGTTTTACCAACTGCTGTCGCAGACTTTGTCTGCATTTTCTATGCAAACTGGTCTTAGACCGTATACGATATGATTAAAATGCATATTATTCATAATCGTTTTTCATCCTCGAATTCTCGTCAGACGGCACTAGAGGTTCATACTGGATGTGCAATGGTAACGTTAAATGTGGCAGAAATTATTCACTTCACTTTAGCGGTCAAGATGGGCCGAATTCCCAAAGGCGAAAAAGAGCGCGCTATGCGCCTCCTCGAAGCATCGGAGGCAGGGATCTCGTCCGAAGAACGACCTACCAAGTGCCTTAAAGACGCTAGCACCAGCCGCCACCACCGCCAGCTCGATACCGTTATCGACATTACTACCCTTGTCCAGTCCTATCTCATCCGCGCCTATTATGGGCACCTCAATTGCAAAAGTATTTCCGCCTTCGAATCCTCCTAGTGCACCATCTATCACTCATCCTGCATTTTCCTCGGCGACTGACGTACCATCTGTGCTACGACTGCAACAAAGTGCCAAAGCGACGGACGATGTCCGGAATGGTGATTACGGGCAGGAAATCAACCATTGGCTAGCCTCTCTACCGTCGACGAGCAGTTTGCATTCTCCCGTGAAGAGGGAGTCTGTGGAGTGTTACGGCGGCAGCTGGTATGCGGATAACACTATGACCGGTCAGAAACCCATGACAAGTCATGCGGAAATACCCAGCGGCCACCCGAAGCTCGTACCGTATCGTTCGCATCCCGTGCCAACATCCTCCTTTTCCGGAGGAGAGGCTGTGAATATTAGTCGTTCAGAAGCTGTCAAACGGAGAGAAATTGCTCGCTCACTGTCCGATGGTCCGCGGACGGTATCCAGCGTTGTACAAAATACATTTCGTTCTGTGCATTCACCTCTGGATACTCTACACCTGCCAACATCCGGTGCAACATATTCCCAGCCGGACTTAATGCGTCTGTGTATCAGTCAGAATGATACGGAGCGCGATCTGTTTGGACAGTGCTCACCGGCGCCTTCATCGTTATCTCTCCCGCTAACTCCCCTGACTCACTCAGGTAATCAAGCGTGTGGTGGTGGTGCGTCTTCGTCTTGTATGAGCATAACCGATTCGGGATTTGGCTCGCGTCCAGAGAGCACCTTTACTAGCTGTAATTTTGATATCGATCTTACCGACGACCAAAGCTTTCCAGATTTGAATTCGACCGCTGCTGTAGCATCTGCTGCTTCCGGTCCTGATCATTTTAATCAGGGAATAGATTCATTTAATCATTCATGGATGAAATGCGACCCTGTGGGCCAACAGCCGGCACCATCACCACACGACAGCCTTTCCTCCTCACGGCACCTCAATGGTACATTACTGTCAGTATTTGCTAATGTCGCGGATAAGGACCGGGCGGCTTTGCTGGATGATGTGGTAGTCAAGATCGATAGGGTTGGGAATGATGTCTACCAACAGGATACCAGTGACAGTGTGGAATTCATGGTGAAAATGTGGCAGGAAGGCCGGTTGAATGGAACGGTAAGCTTCATTTGAATGCCGCACAATGTTGTGAGGAATAAATACGTACTGCCTTTCTATATGGAATATATATAGTAGAGTAATTGCGGTTGTCGTTATTGTCAGGTGCACAATAAAACTGCATTTTAATTTCAGTCGTTTTCTTTGATTGCGTGTGACCTTCATTATAGTTTGGCAGAGATCTAACATGCATAGATATGAATGAAATCAAATCAAAGTAATGAATCAGCGAAAACTATGAAATCTTTTTCTTCACAATATTCTCTAAAGATTCACCATTTTTCCTTAAATAGATATAATAAATCACTCGGCATAATAGCAGCAGATACAATAAAATTTCTTTTCCGGTTTTTGGTACGTATTGAATGTTGATTGCAGTTATGTTGTTGTATCTTTCTACCTTTGTTATTTACAATTTGTAAACTGCTCAAGTCAGATTTTAGGTTTATGGCAATCATGAGAATCTGATGAAATATTCCGCAAATCACTTGCTTATTATTTTGTTAAAAAGGTTTACTTAATATGCTGTTTCTGTCATTAACCTGCTTGTCATAATTTGAACAACCGAATAGATATTCAGTGGTGTATAACAGCTTTTGAATTGTCATCTGTTCCTCTTCCAATTACGGCTGGAAATTTTGTTGACTTGATGCGCAGTTCTTTCAGGAACGGATTAATGATCCCGATATAACTGTTCTGGTGATTCGGGATCATATTAAAATAAGCTTGGATCGGATTGTCAGCTCCATTATGCAGTTTGCATCTGGATTACCCGGTACAACAGATCTCCCTGAGACGGATTTCCAGCGTTTATTGGAGCAGTGTGTCTTCGAAATTTGGATGGTGAGATTTCGTGTAATAGTTACTCGGTGTCAACTTCTTTGGTGTGTGATTATTATAGATGAGAATAATAATTCCCATGTTGTCGATGGAAACTGACGATGTTTAATGCCAAAAGCTGCTACTTAACTGCGAGTTACTTGATTCGTAATATTTTTTTGCTGGTTGTAGATTCAGTATGCTGCATTTCTTGTCAACAACGAAAGCTATATTATGCTCCGCTCACCGGAACGTACGATACAGTACAATCGGTACTGGATGTCACAGTTTCTACCGGAGAGGATGATCGACAGTATTATGAAATTTGCTGATGAAATTAATCCGTGTCAGTTCACATTTTTGGAATTGAACATTCTGAAAGCCATTGTAATTGCCTGTCCATGTAAGTAACAGCTAGCTTTAACTTTTGTTGTTTTTGACTCAGTTTGCTGCTTTTGCTTTGCAGATCGGGAAGGTTTAGGTGATGCCAAAAACGTACATTCCCTTCGAAATCTGTATCAGCACACGCTGTATCAGGTGTTCAAACGGCGTGGTACTGCCTTAATAGCGGATGAGATGATGGCCAACGTGAATGTTTTGATGCCCAAATTGACCGCTCTTAATGAACTGCATAAGAAATGTATCGCACCAATAGTGCTGGATAAAGATGAGCAATGGAAAGTGGATGAAAATAATTATAAATGAAAGAGGAATAGTGAGGTTTTTTAAATTTGTCTTTCTGTATAGAGTTTGCTATTTGTGTAGGGGAAACTGATTAACAAAACTGTATTTTTCGTTCAATTTTTGACAATTGTTTTTGGCAATCATTGTGCGAATAGTCGTGCGCCAGATGGATTTGCCGCCGGTCTCGCAGTTTTCAGTGATATTATTATGGATTTTTAACGCACCGTCCCTGAACCATTTTGATGTTTTGCACCGGGAAGTGAAAATTTATCGTTTGAAAATGTATTTATTTTTGGGTTCTGCCTGGAATCCGGAGAAATTGTTGTTAGAAGTTAGAACTAACTGGTTATGTGGATTATTTGTAATAATCCGTCCAATAGTTTGACAGTATTGTGCGATGAATATAAAACTTTAGAAGATTCGATGTTATTTACTGCCGACTTGTGTTTCCGACGTAGAAACTGGTAGCACATACGCCCGCTAATACCAATTAACAAAAACGACAAAGTGAACTTATTAATACAAACACTATTAGTGCCGGTTTTGCCAAACTGTGCTTCATAAATGGTACCATAACCAAAATCTGACGCACTTTTTAATACGCTGAACTGAACTCTTTATCATGAAAAGATATGTTCTGTGGAAAATAATAGCTATTTAACTATGAGAAAAATTTCGCTGTAATTCTGGATCGCCTTTGACTTCTGCTCCGCCGCATTTTGATGTTTGAGTCTGTAATATCGCTGCTGGTGTCTTTTTCATGAGGACTGAAAGTCACTGAATCCGAACTGCAAGATGTGCGTCACCGCAAACAAAGTGCATGCACAATCAGATTTTCTCGAAAGAAATACGTGAAAACCGCGTATAAATTTAAACATTCTAAAACATACAATTCTCATGTATTCAGTATTCTCTACAGCATAATCTATAAATCTGTTATCAGTATGGTGTTTTAACCTACAGTCTACGGATATAGGACATCTTCGACATGTAATGTGACGTTAGAATTAATAAGCGCCGCCCATGATTGTTCTGCTCGCTTCCCATATCAAAAAACTGCAGCAATAAAAACTAATGACTGCAGTGCATGAATTATTGGCTACCTTCTTCTTAAAAGCACGTCACCAAAGTTTTTCGCGCTGAACCTTACTTTCACCTAACAGCCGGCATTTAGCAAATGTACAGCAATATGGTCGGAAGTATCCCAGTATGCCACGCTCTCGAACTGTACAACCATTTCAACTGGTCATAACTCATACCGGAGCGATACTACGCACACGGCGAAGAATTGAACGGCCCCGCGCATACTTTGCACACTCTTTCCATATAAAGAAGGGCCTTCACAGACATGCTGTTTCCGAAGTCTCTCGATGAAGAGCTGAGACAGAAATCTGCCAAGGATAAATTTAGATTCCCGGAGCATTACGCCATGATATTTTTCAGAGCTCTACCCGGCCCTGTGTGCCGCACTATACACGTCCGGCTGGGTAGCGGTTGTATATGGCGTCTGCATCTCCGCTTGCTATAAGCGGTTTTTTTCTTGTAGGCGCGTTTACAGAGTTTATAGGCCGCTGTTGGTGCTGTGCAGCATCATCAAGATTCTGCGTAATCAGATCGCAAACACAGCGCAGATAGGGAGCAAAAGTGGTCACCACCATCATCCGAAACATCCTCGCCCACTTCGTGTCGTGTGTGCAGTGTGCTTCCGCTTTAAACGGACATCTTGGCTAATTTGGGCGGCTGGAGGATCCACAGCATAACAGCGCAACGTATTGTTCATTACAAGGATATACTTGGGAATAACCACGTAGATCCGCCTTTCCAGTTGTATTTGCTGTTTATTCGGTAGGCCTACCAGGTAAGAATCAGTCAATATGATCATTAAAATTAACAATGTGCCCAAAGTGTCTAGAATCTGTATATGAGCTAAAACAACATTTATTATAACCCTGGCTAGATTAATTTTTTTTTGCGGCATACAATTTACCAGCCCACCTTATTGGTTAGCAGAAAATCTGAATGAAAATTTGACTGAATGTGCCGGTTCCGCCGACTGCCGAGCTAACTTTACCAGTCAAATATGCTCCGAATTAAAGCACGGCTAATAACGGCTGGTAGTCTGCGTGTAAAATAATCAAAATCTTTATTCCAGGTTTTATTTTTTATTTATATTTTGAAAAAAAAACACGTACTTAACAACTGGTAGCTGGTTTCAGTTGCTCAGATATTTTTTGAGGGATGCATGATTTATAAGTTGCATTAAGAAAATCCAGCGTACTACAAACATGTCACTGTAATTATTTAATGCATTGATTTGAAATGGCCTTCTTATTGTATAGACAAAAACAAAATTATATAAAAAATCTTTATAAAAAGTTGATGCAGAACGTCGTCCGGTAGTAAACTCTGCAATAGCCTTAGCCAGCTTGCATTTCAAAGGTGTATTACTTACGTAAGCTGATAATTTCTGGCAGGCGGCATCAATGATTTTGACAAGCTGAATTGCGCACAGGTCATACAATTTCAAGAGCGATAAAATTTTGGTATGATTTCTAAATTAAATCGTGACAATAACATGGTTTCGTGTTCACTGAGTTTGTGTACCTGTGTTCACTAAGTTTGTGTCCATCGACTGACCGCTAATGCAGTAGGATGACACTTTGTATCAAATTATTAAACACTCCCCTCCTTTCCTTGCGCTGTTATTCCATACTTCTATAGGTGTTACATATGTATTTTATAATATTACAAACCACTCGGTACAGCCAAGGATTAATTCAGTTCAAGTAATTTTAGATTTTCGACTTATCTATATCTATGATCATAATTATATTTAATATTCTGATTTGTTCTTCGGTAATAAGAATTTGTTATCTATTAAACTGAAAAAAAACTTGCTATTCGAATTGGGCAGAATGCGAACCGTACAGGCAATTTATTGACAGGCGATTTTTGCTTTCGCGGCATCATTGTCGGATATATTTACTTCGTAATTTATGACAAACTGTAAGACATTATTGCACGTAAAAGTTTTTGCTTACCCCAAAATCTAGGAGCGATACGCTATAATTTATTGCGGTGTTGTAAGAAGAAGTTTAAAACTGCGATAACAGTTTTGCGAAACAAGTTCTTAATTACTGTAGACGTATCGAGCAAACATAATTAAGGTGCTCGTACTGACGTAGTGCTGCCAAGTTAAGGTTCGGCAAAGCCGATTCCTGTTCGCGAGTATGCGTAATTAAAAAATAAGCAACCAAATATACGCACAATCTAATTTACCGATTTACATTCAAACACTTGGATATTTGCGTTAATTTTCAGCTATCAAGATGTCGGACGACCGCGATGCCCGGAGGTCGGCTCGGGACGCGTAAGTGCACGTGCACCTTGCTGTTTCCCAGCATAAAGAGAAGTTATTCAAGACATTTCTCGATTTGCAGTCGCCGAGGCCAAGCGTCCCAAGAGGAGACCGAAGATGTAAGGAAATTGTCTCGATAACTACGTCTGACATTTGCGTTAATTCAACTCACCTCTCTCAAGTGTATTATACATGTGAAGAATGTCGTTTCACGCAGTTATTTACTTCGTGACCTTTCCGTTGTTTGGACTTGTCTTATAGTGTTTCTCTGGTCTAACCGTTGCGGTTTATTTTAGGAAGCCCGTGCCAAACGCGAAGAGAAGGAGCGTAAGAAAGCCGAAGTGCGGAAGCGTTTGGAGGAGGCGTCGAAGGCCAAGAAGGGCGTCAAGAAAGGCTTCTTGAATCCCGAACGCAAGCGCAAGCTCAGAGTACGCATGCACAGCAGCAACCCTGTTTATTAATTGCGCAGTTACTGCATAAATGCATGTTTTCATGTGCAGTTTGTTTATGTGATATGTTGCACTTTTGTCCAGACTCTTTTGATGAAAAAAGCCGCTGATGATATGAAAGCCGAACAAGAGCGCAAAGCACAGGAACGTCGTCGTATTCTCGAAGAGCGCATCGGTGCCGATCAGCATAACGGTGTGGATTCGGAGTCACACCTCAAAGAAGTATGCAAGAAATATCACGATCGCATTCGCGAACTGGAGGAGACACGATATGACCTGGAAGTCAAAGTTCGCGCTAAGGATTACGAAGTATGCATCACGTAAACGTAATAAGTGTATCTTGAGAATGTACGTATTTTGCTGAACGTTAGCTGCAATGGTTTTCGTTTTCACAGCTGAACGAGTTGACTATCCAAGTCAACGATTTACGAGGCAAATTCGTTAAACCCACGCTGAAGAAAGTGGCCAAATACGAAACCAAGTATGAAAACATTATGCAAATTATTAATATAAATTTTGTCGGCATTTTAATGTTCTGTTAGGTTTTCCAAAATGGAAAAGAAAGGCGAAGCCGGCGCAGTGGATTTCAGAAGCAATCTCAAATCTACGGGTATCAACAAGTTTGCACTGGAGGAGGAAACTAAAGTACGCATATGTTTAATAGTTCACAAATAGTCAAATACAGTCTAACAAAGACACACGAAAAGGTCAAAATTTTTTTCTCACAGGATAAAACCAAACCGGAATGGGCTGCCAAGAAGGAGGAGGAAGCTGTGGAAGCTTAGATCATCCGCTTTTTGCGACAGCGCGCTGTGTATTTTTTGGGAATATGCAAAAAAAACTGTCGAATTGTGGCGAAACCGCTTGTCATATTTGTACGGAGAACGTTAAATGCGTAACGGAGCCTTCTACTATGATAACCATAATTTCCCAGCAGCTTCAGTCGTTTACTTTTTATGTTATCTGTCCAATGGTGAAATGCGGTTAACCTGTAGCATCAGCGCTATTTTATTACTTATCACTTTATTGATACTGATGGTGTATCGTTCTGCTGAGTATCAAGCATTCGTTCAGTTTTCCATTCGAAACCGTAATAATGCATAAAACATTGGCACTTCTACCTGTCCACAAAGGTGCTGAAATGTGGGAATTATTTACATCTTTCAAATTCAGCTCTCGAAGATTGTACTGATATTTGCCTGATCGTAACAAATAATGCCTACAGGAAACTAGAAATACAGAGTAAAAGTGCGAGGATTATCATACTCTAATGCCCGTCAAAAGTTATAGCTGTCATGAAAATATCCCTCTTTCTCCTTTCACAATAACACATTAATACTATTTGTAGTAAGTTTTTGCCTTTTCGGTCAAACATTATCGGTAAAGTTATTAACGTATTTGGAATTGAACTCTGGATACTTTCTAACGACAGATGAAAAATAATTACTCCAGTTGTGCATGATGTTTTCTTCGAATAAGCGGGGTTTTTTATTACCGCACCGGATTAACGCCGATAGTTTCTAAATGACATCAACTTTCGCATAGTAATTTCGTAATTGCAGACATATCATATACGTACTAATAAGAGCTTACTGATAATATTTCACACGTGCAGTTCTCGACATCGGACGATTCTTTCGCATAAAATTGTCGGGAACAGAGGATAAACCGCTGACCGGTCTAACATCATAATTAGTCGAATTTTGCAAGATGTATGGCTGTTAACCAATTCATCAAAAACATTAATCAGTAGATTTTCATTCAAGTATAGCAAACACATACAATATGCTCGATAATTTAGCCGTTTTTCTTCAAAGTCACCTTTTTATACTCGCGTAATTCACTCAAATGTGCAATCACAAATAAGAAAACCAATAAATACAAAGATTAGATTGTAAATACATAAAAATAAGTAAAGGGAAGTGCATACAAAACCACCGAGTGTGCAAGTACGAGTAAAGCAGCATAAAACGGTTTAAATCGAGAAAATCAGCTTGTCAATAAATCCATTTTCAGAACGGGTAAGGAATGAACAGGTACAACGTCATTAATAAACATCCATGGTTGGCGGACAACGAAGCTCGGTGAATTCTTATTAATCTACTCCAGGCGGGTCCGTATAATCCTCAAAAGCTCCGGAATAACTCAATTACGTATTGCGAATTTTCCCGGGCACGTAGTTCTTATCGATATTCGGGTCCTGTAAGAACATATGCAGACAGCGTTCGTTCTGCGCAAGCGGATGTCCAGCGATCCTATAACAAGCATTCAAAGAAGTCACAAAATAAACAGTTGCTAATCAGTGTAAAATTGCCAATTTACACAAACACAAATAGAGCATATTCAATAAGCTGCTTTAACAGTAATCACACACATTTCCTGCTTATGGACATATCAAAAACTGTACCAATATTCCTAAAACAGCATTAAACTACGCGAAAATGCAGCTAGGTCATCAATTCTAAATCGTTTTTATAATTTTAACACTTTACTTTGGTGCCTAGCTATACCGTATGATATCGATTTCAGTGAATTCAGTTACGAATACGATACAAACAGCAAGGAATCCCAAGATTACAGGCGAAACATTAAAAGTCATTCGTTTCAAGTTCTAACGCACTCATGAAAACTTACATATAGCAAGTACTACATCGGCCATTGATGAAAAACCGTACAGAAGAGAAATCTCTGCACAAAGAAAATTCACTCACTTGTTGATAAAGACCTCCAGTCCTTTCCGTCTTTCCTCGATGAACTCTTCCTCGTAGATGCCATCGTCCTGTCGGAAAGGCAGCTGTCGTTTGAACGCTTTGGAAGGCAACGGAGGCACTACGATCTGCGAAAACCATCCCTTGAATCTACCTAAACCGTTTCAAGAGCAATAAACAATTTCCCACCTTGCTATCGCGCTCCAGTTCATTTCTGAGCCACTCAAAATCGCTGTAACGACGGCGGACATTGGATTCCTTCTGCTTGAACACGGGAAGATTTGTCTGTTCAAAGATACGAAACACTCGTCACGAATGGCTTACCAACACATTTTTCTTCGGCGAACTTGTGCATTATCGGCTGTGTTACCCGCATTCGAACTTCGTAGTCGGTATAGCGTTTCTTTCCCAGTCCGTGGGTAACGGGATTAATAACGTCTATCTCGAGAAAATTAGCAGGGGCCGCGTAAGCGTCGTCCAAGGTCTGTCGCTTCACATTCAGTCTGCGCGTGGCTTCCGAGTTATTTTCGGCCATTTGAAAGCTTTGGTGGTTTAAATGAGATAAACTGTCCGATGTAAAGGTTCTGAAACAGGTGTTGCGCTAAAAAACTCACTTTTTGCCAAAGACCATGAAAAAGCCACTTCGCAGTTCACGGAAAATATAGTTTTGTTTTCGGGGAGGGTAGATGATCGACTGAAGCATTAGTATCACTACAGGGAAACTGCAGTCCGAGCCGGAAGTGGTGCACCATAAGCAAATCTTTCTTATTAGTTATTATTCAAAAAATTAATAATACTAAACACTTCTAAATATTTTCTTTTGCATATTATCATTGATTTCATTAAATATATATTGCATTAATTGACCCTTCTAAATACTTAACGTTACTTCTGCAAGCTGCAAACGATGCCAGTAAAATTGTAAATCATTAAGCACTGCGAGTTTGGAAGTATTTGTTATGACATAAGTTTGTAAGGTATTTTAAATTTTGAGTATTTTCAACTACGTATCTGCTCGTAAGATGGGGGCATCTCTGGAAATCTACATAATTACGTATTTGTTAATTTCTAGTAAAATTAGAACGTCGAACCCTAAAAGCAGTTTTGCGGCACTGGATTACGCTTTTTGTTTCGTCATCAATACCTACTTATTTAGTCATTTGTCCATTATGTGAGGCGAAAACTGAAATCGCTTTTATCGAAATATAAATACTATATTTGAAACCTGCATTGCATGTGGGTGCATGAAAGGTCAACAGACGTGAATAAACAAAACATCCTCCACAGCGCAAAAAAACGCCATACATAGCATAGCAAACTATGATTCCAACTTCCAAGCCCTAACAGGCTTCCGAAGTCCCGATAAGCTCAAATTGATTTAAAAAAATTATCGATGATATTGTCATTGATAACAGGAGTCAGGAGATCTCGTGCACATCCTAAAGCGATGAAGGTGATAACACTATGACGACGCTTACAATCAGAATCTGCTAGCTTTTCTTTCATTCCTGTATTCCAAAAAGTACAAACCATAAAAAGACGTCGCATGTAAAATTACCAATCAAATGAAACTACCGAGAAAAATTTGCATTGCTACCTCACCGAAAACAGCAAAATATAAACTCATGTCAAAAAAGAAAATTTCTGCAACCACGTACAAAGCAATAGGTCCACATTTTTAAGCTGGAAACAAATAGCTAAGAAGAAAGAACTGGAACTATGGCAAGAAAAAATATCAAACGCCACTCGTACAGGAGTTATCCATTCACGACTGCACGGATCGTTCGGTCTTAGCGGCGGTACCAGGCCTCTCCTTGGCCATTGTTATAGTACTGGCTTCCTACAAAGACAAGAAATCCGTCACGACTGATCGAAATGAATTGTCTCGATTAATGCCCAATAATTATGTCGAACGCAGTCAAGGAAATGATAAGCAAATTGATCCAGCGAAAACACTGTCGTATTACTTTTGATCATTATTTATTAGATAACTACTCAGTTACTACGGGCACAACCAAATCACGTAAGTACTTACCGTTTGGATTCTGGTAATAGTAAGATCCATTGGAGTTGGAGTAATGGTACGAGTTAGGGGCATTCCCGCCATAATCTCGGGTGCAGTAGTGATTCCCCTGGAAAAACATCACAACGTTTTCACAGTCCACAGATGCCAAAAGCATACGTTCTTAAAATTTCTGAGTATCACGCCACAAAAAAACGCTTAATCTAACCTGCTGATTCGTGCCATGTCTAGTGACACGGTAGTCGGGATGGGAAGGTGGGCCGTAGGAAGATCCGTTTCCCTGCGGCTGTCCGCTCTGCTGGCTGTTGTTTCCGCTGTTCTGGCTCGACATGTCTGCTGCTCCGCAAAGCTCAAAGAAGTTCTAGTGGAGAAGCTTTAGTGACCTTACAAGGCGAGAACTCAGTAGGTAGTCTGACCGGACCAGAACCGCAGAAGGATACCAACAAACTCAAGTCAAACTGTCAAAGTGCAGTATCGACTGTCACTATCTCCAGCAGCAACTGCGCCAAAAATGGCAAAACTAAAAATGCGCTGTTTTGGTCGCTTTGTTTGGCTTTTATACGCTCAGCTGGCAAAAGTGTACTTTCTTATAACGCGTCTGAACGTGTTGCACTGATCCGTTTGCACTGCACGTCTGCACCGCGGACAACGTTGCACGTCTGCAACAAACGGCTGGTTAGTAGCAAACGAGCAGAGCACGTTCCATCGGTTCTACCCGCCGTACGGTATAAGGCGGGAACGTTGCAAGTGAAAGCGGAAACGGATGTGCATTGTGCACGTGGCGCGGCCACTTCGTCGATTCGTCCATAGCTCCACCCACATCACAAAACACGCCCAGGAACAGGATGAATCGGTACCTCAGAAAAACTAAGTACGCGGATGTACACATAAATTTTCAAGGAACAGACTTTAAAGCAGGAAAGCATCTATAAAAACGCTGTTAATTCAGTTCGCGTTTTTTGTTTACGGAAACTACAGTCCTTAATTTGTTCAGCCATGGAAGTGTTTTAAGTCTATCAGTTTTTATGCATAATCTTAGGTACATATGAGCTCCAGGAAGTGGGGCATTTACGGATGCGGTTTCCCTTCGTACTTATTATTGCATTGGTTGACCGTGAGGCTGCTGAGCTGTTTGTTATATACTGCACTGAAAGTACTCTGGATCAAGGATATCTTAATAATCTTCTCCTTCTGACTTTTACTGAGGAACCAATCTGCTTTATTAAAACAAGAATATTATAATGCGTGGATGTGCGGGAAAGGGACCCGACTGGATGTCCGTCCTCGATTAGGGTCTGTATACACAATATGAACGGCCTTCTCGTTGTTTGCACGCCGGTATATCTGTACTAGTACTTCTAAAGAATCTGGTCAGATAAAATATTAAAAATAAGCAACCGGTACGTACCGTAGGTACTGTAGATTTATAGATTTACTGCACTAGTCCATAATAGCTGTTTACTAATTAATTATGCCAGAATAGCTTTGACCTTTCGATATGTTTACTTTTGACGTATGGTAGTCATAAACATTTTATTGCGGTGTCGATCTGTGCCAAATGGTGCATTTTTTATTTAGAAGAGAAGTGCACGACGCAGAAAATAGAACTATAAAGCGTTATAGTCGCACTTAAATAAGGTTGCTTAATTCAGCTAGATAATTGTAACAGAGGAACTACCACAAATAATTATTTTAATAAGTCGAAAACAAGGATAACAGGGATGTCGGCAAGCTGTAAGTTTACAGGTTCATGCAGAGTTGTTCGACCCAAGAATCTGGGATTCCAAATATAAACTTCATATGCTAATTTTTGCAATCCTTGCAGCGAAATCAGCATTTATGATTTACCGCATCTGTTTTGGTTTGGCCAATCCATTTTCCCTCTGAAGTTTAATAGGAGTATCCTCAGTGGCATTTCAATGGTCATATAACTGTTATTAATCACGATCAACTGCGTTTGCAGTAAAATGCCGACACACTGCTGAACCATCCCAAGCTGCCGGATGTTTTTTTGGGATATTTAATTTGGAAATTTTTTTGCCATGTACATTGTATTCTGAAAAGGGATAAATGTTTCATACGCTATTACTGGATGGTACCATGCTTCGTATAAAAACAGAATATGATTACTTCGCGTACACATTGTCGCAAAGTAATGAAGAAGTAATATTTTTAATTTATCTGCATGAAGATGTTTTATGAGTGGCTTCGGACTGTTGTGCTGATCTTATCGATACTACCGCCAACGTGAACGAATTCCATTTCTTGACGATCTCATTTAAAGTGCACCATGAGATTTCCGGACTGCAGAGAAGTAATTATTATGACAATGGGAGTGGAAATGGGATTATTTCTGTCTGTCGTGTCATCATCTCCTGCAAATCGTACGGAAATTTGATTATATACGGCAAAACGACTAGTGGTTCTATGGGGAAAAATACGCCTAATGCGACTTATGCAATGTGCCAATATAAATGCGCCGGCTAGAGCCAACTACTTTTCTTGCTTAGGATTTTACATAACACTGTGTTTTTGTCTCATTCCTGTATAGCGGCAGCAGATGGGAATGATGGGAGAATGCCTGTCAACCAAACATATTACACGTCTATACAGACCAACGGAAGCCGATCACCGGAGGAAGTCAAACACAATCAAAATGTTGTTGTGGCTATCCATCCTCCCTTTTCCCACGCGAATTTGCGAAGTGACCAAAGTATGTTTAAATAATACGGACTCTCTTAGAAACGTCAAAATAAATTTACTCTAATTGAATAACGTCCTCTGAACACAAAGAAGTCCCCTTCGGAGACTCGTCTTCCAACATATTATACTGACTGCACACAAAGCTATCGTATTTTATTTGCGTTTTCCAGATCTTGTAGAAATGAAGACACCGGAAGGGAACACAAAGGTTAGCGCAAATATCGACAGGAATAAATTTCGTGTTTTTTTTTTAAAACGAAGAATAAGCGCCGATTGCCTGACATCTCAAAGAGATATGATAAATTATAATAAATATTTTGTACACTTTTCCGGCAATATTTTTTATTGTGGATGTACGTACTATGTATACTGAAGGAGTAGAGATAGCAGCGTTATTCCGACAGGTTCCCTTGACATTCATTGTGCTACTGCTAATTTCGGACTTTGGTTATTGCTTATTGCATGTTTATTTGTGAAGTCCAAATTCTGTGCTTCACGAGCAGTATTTGCATTTATTTTGTCATTAGCAAACATTTTCTCTCATATACAGACAGCACTTATAATTTAGTATTGACGAGGTACAACACTTTTCAGAACGTTTACTGTGTAATTTATCCACTGATAATTCCAGCATTTTATTAGTATAACACCGAACACGACGGTCTGGAGCGCCTGAAAGTGCCGGTATTCTGTGCGGCGATTGCCACCTTTATATTCGGAGTGATACTTTTCGTGAGGAAAGCACTGCACATGGACATTAAATCCGAAGCATACTATCAAGATGTAAGTGATGCAAGCATCATGTGAAAAGTGAGAAGGCGATCATCAGTGTCTTATTAGGATTACGACAGCGATGGGAATTTAAAAGAAACTATTGATTGCTTTGTACAACTGAAATGTAATTAAACAGTAGCGGATCCAGCAGTGGTGGTTACTTTAAAACTCGTAAATATTCCATTATGAGGCAAAGTACAATGGTTTGCCATCAACGCGCCGCCTAATCTGCTGTCGTTTGTTTTAAAATCCATCAATAACGATCCGAGAACTACAAACCACTTTCCCATAAAATTAACACTTTAACGCAGCCTTGCGGCGTTATATTATGTGTTGTAATCGTATTATTATTCGGCAGAGATGTAGTTTTCCTATTTCTTTGACTAACGCCCCATCCGCTTGTAAAAGCGGACAGAACATTTTCTCAGCGTAATATGATTTATTGGAATAGATAGTCTGTTGCTTTTATAAGTAAGTATCTAAGTTTGTTCTACCGCGCCTTATGCAATCTGTGTGCAATAATACTAAGTACTGTGTAATAATAATACTAACTACTACTGTCTATACTACTACTGTGTAATAATAAAACTAATAATCTGTGTGTCTTACCGATATACGAGTATGATCTTTGACAATAACTTGGTAACATTAATTTTATCATAGCTACTTCATTTGCAACGATAACACACCCCTATACTGTACCTGCAAAATTTACGCAGTTGTGCAATTAATTTTTATCGGTGTAATGGGCGATGTCAGAAACTCAAAACACGTGCAGTAACAGTGAGTTAACGATTTAAATAATCAAAAGACATCACAAAGATATAAGAGATTTATTCAAACGTTAAAGTACATCGGAAGGCGACGTACTTTTCTGTAACAGTAGGTCTGTGACTCAAAATGCCGACCGAAGTTTACTAATGTCAAACCTATTTAACAATAATTTACAAGTTTTAATTATATATATATTAGATTAAAGATTAAAAGATATATTAGATTAAAATGTCGTTAAAAGATTAAAAGATATATTAGATTAAAATGATTAAGCTCTATATTAGATTAAAATGTCGTTAATTTCATGTAAAAAATTTTGTGTAAGTATTGAAATCGTCACACTAAGTATCACGGTACGAGTACAAACTATGCACAGAGTAGTATGCAATTGATCAGTTATTACAGTTTTTTGTACATAGATATTCAAATCGTCATCTATTTAAGGCCTGACGTATAGTAAACGCACAGGATGCCAAAATGTTTTTTCTCTCTGTAAGAATAATTAGTTTTTGGCGTTTGATCTCCTAAACTGTGAAGTTTTTACTTACATACTTAAATATATATTTCGACAAGATTACGAAAAACCGCCTGAACTAGCAAGTTCAGCACTGCTTAAGGAAGGAAAGCGGTTGAATCATTAGCTTATCACTCGGATCAAAGCTCGCTTACCAAAAAATCGTACTGGACTTTCGTACAGTAATATTATGTGATGTGTTACAGTAAATAACTTGCTTTTGCTGTTCCCACGTATAGAAGTAGTGCATGCAGAACTAATCCAGAATCGCTTTCATTAATTCCGACATAGTTCTCGAGGATTACATCGACAACTTATTCCAGCTAGTCCTTCGTCTAAGTACGAAACGACTGTAACTAGTCTCGAGGGAATTTCTGCATAACGAATGACCATAAGAATAACGTCAGCTACTGTAGCTGTAGATGCGGTATTCATAGTGTATCCTGTAAGCTAGCACCAAATTTATATAAGCCGGCTTACATTTACTTTCAGTGGCACTTATAAGTTTATCTTGATCGTCAATTTATGTATACAGTGCACTTATTGTGTCCAATTGCCAAAATTTCCATGTGTAACCTTTAACGAACATATTCTTCAAACAGTGCAAGTTTTTCATTAATGCATGAATGCGAAACATCTTTTGGTTTTCAGATCGATAATTGTGGATTGAAGTGTGTAGTGTACGACGCTCAGCAGGAGCTGGTAAAATCTCTAATAATCCCCTCTAGTCTTTCCACAGCTGTTACAGCTCCGGGGACTGATAAACTAATCTTTTACGCACGATTACATGCTTCTGGACTTTTCTTACGGCACTCGTCAAAATGCATAACGTTTCGTAACCATCAAAAAGTCATTCGGCTTTAAAGAATCCATAATTTTTGTTAATGAGCAAACAGCAAATCGGCAACGCAAGCTTCGATTTTTTGAAAGCAGGTATAATTTGACAATTGTCAGCTACGGACAGCCTATGGGACGAGTATAGTTCGTATTATGTAAATTTCACATCCAAATTTGTAAATATGCCTTATCGGCGGCTTACGACTCGAATTCATTGTAAGCAAATAAGGATATGCTTGTACTACGCGCTTGCTTTTCCGGAGCACAAAATTGTGCTCACATCAGTTTCATCTGTTGAGAGTTTAATCACTAATAAGTTTTGTCCTAATTACAATGAATGCACAAAATGTGTACTGTATCTGTACGTGTGTTACTATTCCCTATATGCAGTGAAGTAAGTTTAAAGCTTATACGGTTCATTTGGCGCCGGTATCACTGCTCGATCAGTATTTTCTTTATAGCTGCTAATATTCAAAACTGCTGCTGCTGCTGCGGTCGAAACTCCTACTCGTACTGCTTCTAAATTTCTAGACATTGCTTAAACTCCAGGTAGTTCTGACTCGATAAAAATTCTAACTCATAACTTGTATGTTCACACCAAAGCTAATAAGTTTGCTACTACGGGGTCGACGTATGAAAACACCTAAATCATGAGTACCCATTCATATTATAAATTTATTTTATATGCAGTTGGTTGAATAATTTCTGGCCTCACTCTCTTTCATCGTATGAAGAAATAGAATTACAAATTCATCTTAATAATTATAATAATTTATAATTATTCATATAATTATTCAACATATTATTCATTATTATTCATTATAATTATTCATTCATATTTTATACTTATTCTTCATTATAATTATTCATCTTAATAATTTATTAAGATGTTAGAGTGTCAGTGAAAGAAGTCGGCAAGCGGCTTCAGCTGCATTCAGACGAACCCACTTGCATCAACAATAAGCGTTCATGTAATACAAATACACAAGCAATATAGCGACATAGCACTAAACAAGGACAAAATGGGCTCATACTGCTTATTACAGCAGACAAATCTCATTGATCTCCTGATCCTCCATGATCCCGATTCCCGAACACAGATACCGCATTGTCTTGTTGAATGTTTAGTGACCAGCGTTAAAGTTAACAAAGAAACTTGTGAAAATGGGTTAACAGAAACTAATAAGAACAAGAAACATTGCGCGTAAAATTTATAGCACCAAACTACAGTGAGCCATTTCCGGTTTGACGTGCAGAGCGTTAATGGTCATTAACATAAAGCAGTCCGCGTCTGGCACTCATTTTACCTTGGTCATAGCTGGTCGTGACTCGTAAGAACCGACGTAGGATATCGAACAATACGATATATGTCTATAGTTATGAAACAATGTATGCAAAGTGAAACATTTAACAATCTTTATGGTTTTATTTTTCAGAATGGTCAGGAATCTCAGGATAACGAAAACGTGCTCGTTAATGGCGACGACGTGATGTACATTTACGACGAGCATGATCCCGAGTACTCAGACAGTTGCGGCGTTCATGTCGGTTACGAAAGCACCGAGTTCAGATGTGCCGAAATTCCTTTGGAATTAACCGAAGAAGACACCGAACATGGCCACTGCGGAGTGTGATTCTTTTCAATTCCCAAAGCACGAGACTTAAAATATATGTTTATATTCTAAATTATGCCCATGCTGGCATTTGCGTTAGTCGAAAATCTGTCTTCATCCTTCGTACTACTTCAGTTTCTGCAGATGATGGTTGTATATCATGCCTGCGCTATAAAAGCTGATTCTACCACTAATTAACTGTGCACGATTTTTCTTACATAATATATGCAAGCGCTGCACGGTACTATTTGGACACAACCTAAATGGACGGTACTTAATTAGGATAACAATAAATAGTGAAAATAGAATTGACTGTATGCATTATTCATTAGCCAAATGAACTACAGGATCCATCCTTTTGAGACAAATTTTACATAATGCAGGATATCCGCGCTCCAGAAGAAGTTATCATGCCGTACAGCAAATCGTGCAATAAATGCAAAAATTAATATTAAGTATTGTACGTAAGTATATAATTATATAATGTCAGTTATCTATATATAATTTTGCACGCCACAGTGCCACACCGATACTGAATCAGTCATTTGACATAACTGTACGTACAGAGCTGCACCAGTTTATTTACTTTATTTTGATGTTATATTAAAGAACTTTAAGATTGGCGATACACATTTCTACATTAATCAAATTTATCTTTTTTTCCCGAAAAAGAAACACTGGTTGAAGCTTATTAGTGTGTTCGACCATAAGATAACCGCTCCCGCAGAACGTTTTACGATTACATGGTTTATAGTGTCGTATAACATATAAATTATCGTAGTTGTTATAGAAGTCATGGTACGTATGTAAGTATGTGTCGTAACAATTCTAAATACTGGCTCATAGACTTAATAATAAGTAATTTATTATAATTTTTTACACCTGGAGCATGCTAGGTGTGATGCCCAGACCAGCATCACTATTCCCGCAAACCCGTTATAGTGCAGTATACCGGTAAGTGTGACAGCAGACATCGGGCGTACACAGCCTGAATACCTGATTCCTTTCAGATATTGATGGTTGGTTATCCCATCATCCCATGCCATGCACAGTTGCACAGAGCTGCAACGGCAGTGCAGACAGGCAAAATCAAAACAGTGCAAAATTTTGCAGGTGTTGCAGTGACACTTTGACCTATAATAGTAGTGGCATCGTTAATTCATTCTACTGCAGGCGCACACTTTTCCGTGCAGGACTCGTTGTGATTCCTGGATGTTTTAAAAAAACAGCCATGGATCCTCTTTTCGTGTGTCTTCGGCTGTTTGATATGCGCAAGTACGATGACGTCAACAAAATCACCACAGCTCTCCTGGAGAGGAACCCCCAGGACGAAGCAGCCTGGACCCTGAAGATGCGTGCCCTTACCCAGCAAGTGTACATTGACGAGTACGAAATGGAGTACGATGGCGCTGTGGATCAGCTGATGGATGAAAGCGCCATGGCCGCCAATCCCAAACCAGGCACTTCGCTGCGCCAGACAGCCAAGCCTGGACCGGGAGCCGGAGCCCGACCGATGTCGCGACGCACGGGTCGACCTGTCAGCGGAATGCTGCGACCGTCCAGTCGCACGGTAACAGGGCTGGGTAAAGTGACCACCGGCAGGGCGGTGAGTGGTCAGCCGTTGAGTGCGAAAATTGGCCGGATGCTCAGACAAGGCATGTGAAAAACTGAATTACTTGTACATCTGTTACAAGTTAGAATACTAGGCAGTGGCAGGCACTACCATTGGTATGTGGTTTCCCAGTTTCTTACGCAGTCAAGTAAATTTCTTGCGTCGAATTAGGTACGGCATCCATGATTACATCGCCTAACGGTCCATTTATAAATCTTTCCCGACTGAACCTCACTAAATACTCACAGAAGAAGTACCTCGCGAAGGCGCTGTTTGAGTATATTTTCTATCACGATCATGAAACATCGATGGGTCTGCAGATGGCTAATGAGGGTGTTCAAGTGGATGATAAAGACTGGTGGTGGCATCGAGCACGGTAATTTCCCGTCCTTGAACTGGCACACTTCGACGGGCTAATGTGACTTCCTGCACTCTTTTATTCAGTGCGCTCTGTCATTATCGACTGGCCCTGTATCGAGAAGCGGAAAAGGACATTCGAGAAGCCATGAAACTCCAAGCACATCCTGAACACTTCCTATATCTGGCAAAGATTTATGCGAAGATTGATCTGCCCATACAGGCTATCGAAACCTATAAGAGTGTTGGTGCCTTGGTGTTGTTTGATTCTCCATCTATGCGATGTGCTTCCTGGTTTCAAGTAGAATTTGCATATTATGCGCGCGCCGGTCATGATGTGCTTTTCAGGGTCGGCTGACATTTCCCATGGAACCAGCCATGCTAATCGGTGCCGCCAGGATACTGGAAGATATGGATGACTTAACCAATTCCAGTCTCTACTACCGCGATGCCCTGAAAATCGATGCAATGAATTTTGAGGCGCTGGCATGCGTCGGGATGGAGAATTACTATGCGGATCAGCCAGAGCTCGCTCTGCGTTATTACAGGTATGTACAGCAGACATGCTGCACCATCTTTAATTTGCATACGAGTACGTTTTACTGCAACACCGGTTTCTGCGTAAATACGAAACGATACTGGTTTTGTTTGACAGCTGCCCCAAACTGAAGCGTAATTCCTACGCCCTCAATATAAAAGTATTTGCGCAGTTGTAACGGTTTTTCGTATAGCAATAAATATGTTTACCCTGCAAACGTAGGTATGTCCTGTTTATACTCGAGAGGCATATTGATGCAAGTTTAATTTCAATCCAGTGCATAAAAATCGGTACACCGTACATGTATATAAATTTATATAGATATGAACGAGGGCTATTCCGCTGTCCAAATCTGTTCCCAGTATGATGAAAGGTCAAGACTGTTCCGCAAAGTCTGCGCTAGGATATCACGCGCACTTAGAGTTACACTATACCACCAATTTTCCAATCACAAAACATTCATGACATCACAAATTATATTGTTGGTTTTTTAGTGCCACTTCTATGCAAGAAACTTTTTGCTGCCGTCAGACTTTGTAGAGTCGGGGTGCTGTTTATCGGCTTGTCTTGGGCATAGTGTTAATAAGACTTACTACTTGCCATTTTTGCTCTGGGGTCCACAACGCAGACTTTAACGAAAGAAGCAAAATTATTCGCAAAGGTCGAGAAGCTAAGGGGCCTGTTCTTACTTTGTAACCGTTTACAGAGAACCTCCGCTGTAAAAAAGAAAAAAAACTGGTGTTTATATTTTCACAGGAGAATCTTGCAAATGGGTGCCCACAGCCCGGAGGTTTTCATCAACGTTGGAATGTGCTGCTTTGTCAGTCACCAGATGGACTTGGTAGGAGTACGAGTACACAAAATATACTACTGAAAAACACGAAGTGGCGTTTTCTTGTCTGCTTCGCAGACAGCGAAAACATTCCGTCGCGGACTCGCTGTGCAAATTACGTATTATTCGTGTACTATAAATTTGTAATTAACGGTACAGTTAGGGACCATACACAAACTACGTACAGAACGAATTTTCGGGAACGTAGTTTTTAGATAGTCCCTTACAGTATCTTCCTTTGTGTAACTTGATGCTTGTGCTGTGCTAAACCATCCCCCTAAAATGTGCGAATCAGAATCGTGTAACATTTTGGTTACAGACTTTTTCCATAGACCGGACGAAAACAAGCCGTAAACTAAAAACTAAATAGTGTACAAAGACTAGTCTTCAAAGACTAGTCTTTGTAATTATTCTAGTTTAACCGACTGCCAACTGGTGTCAGTCCGCTCCGGAGAAAACTACAAAGTACTGTATTTTCGCAGTCACTAATGCGTTTGTGCAAACTTATAACGATAGCCGTTTTGTTTTTTTTATTTTTAAATATGTAATTGTTCTCAGCTATTTCATGTGATTAATTATTAAGATTTTGAGTATTTGCAATTGTTTACGTACAATTTTACCGTAAGTTTGTAAACGCTCATAAAGCTTTGATATCAGTACTGGCCATGGTACAGCACCTGCTGTTTTGGAATTATAAATTCTTTTTCATGCTTCGGCTTGCAGTTTGTAGAAATATTACGATCTCGCAGTAACTGTATTAACCATAACTGATAGATGTGGCAAGCTTTCGAAAGCACTTTCGCCATGGCCAATAAAGATCAGCTGGGCGATTTGTATTACAATCTGGGATATATCTGCATATGCAGTGGCGAAATGGAATACGCCAAGCGATGCTTCCGGCTTGCTGTATCCTGCAGTCCCAGCAATGCGGAGGCTTTGGCGGCATTAGGTCAACTAGCCTATAATGAGGGAGACCGTCAAAAGGCAGTTACCTTGTTCAACGCCAGCATTACAGCTTCAACCAAAGAAGATGCATCGCATGAAATATTTTACAACCTCAGTATCTGCTACGAAGATCTGGGCGATTTCGACAACGCGTTGAAAAACGCTATCCTGGCTCACGATAATCCAAGCGGTCTGGGCCAGTGGGACAAGGATATTAAAGATGTACTTTTTCGCTTGCAGGCAGAAGTCAACGCTTTATGAAATACCTACGTATATTTTGTAGTTTTACTTAGTTGTAAATTGAATACGACTCGATGGATTAACAAACGATGCATGAGTTCTAGAGATCGATCGTTTTCTGTGGGATGTACAAATGACCTGTGAACTTGAAGGGGATTTGTTTCTCGTATGTTTTTCCATATACAAAAATATTGTATAAATTCTGATGCCGAAATTCAGCGAACTTCAGACGTTGTTCTGGGGAACAATCTACTGACTAAATTGCAGTAGCTTTCGGTTATAAGTAAGATTCAAACGCAGCTTATAAGTTTTTGAAAAATTTTGCAGTGGCGATAAAATGCTTGGCCACGTCCCGCCACGATGCCCTGCCCAGTTTAATGGTACCGGCGGTACGAGTAGTTACGAAAAGGGTAGCCAGGTGCGCTACTGGTCACATTTCTGAAATGTGACAATATTATTCCAAGTACGAGGGAATGTGTGTAACATAACTTGCGAGGGAACTGATGGCTGCAAGTTGCAGCCTGCAGGGTATCTTCACTTAACCCCTGCAGTTAAGTGAAGATACCCTGCAGCCTGCAACTATCATCGGTCAGCTAAACTACTGTACTAAACTACGTACTTCAAAGAGAAAATATTCTGCACCACCGGCAGGCCTGCAGTATACAGTGCAACAAATTTACGGCTGTAAATACTGTAATGTAATAAATAAAAGTAAGTGCAGTAATCAAACCTTTAATATTCAATTAACCTTTAATATTCAGTTAAGTAAATAATTGAATAACCGGAGTAAGTACTAAGTACTACTTAGTACTTACTAAGTAGTAAGTACGTTAAGTGCGTTGAATAAATCTGATATGCGTACAATAATAACTTAAATTAATAAGTGATAATTATTACTGTAATAATAGAATTAAAGTAGAAGGAATCTTTAATTTATTAGCAGTGATCGCTGTCTTCTGGGGGAGAACAGGACTCGCACTCTAGAATATCCCAGATTTCAACGTATTCCAACGACTTGCAGCTCCTATTTCGCTGTTCCGAAAAGAAACAGCAGTACTTACTTACAATTTAAATAATACGGACCTTTCGGTGGCTAGTATGCTGTTAGCGGTATTCGTAGTACTGTACAATACGCCATACGGTATCATAAATACATGCGCAGAAAGTTCCGCTGCATTGCGGCACTCCATAAAGTGTAGTTGCAACTTGTGAAAAGAATGCGCCTTTGGCTTTGGGGAATTCAAGTACGGTACGGCATTCCAAAATTTCCTGGCAAAAATCCAGCCTCCACGGTGCACTGATCGGTCAACCCGGGCTCAGAACTTCCGGTTGACAAAAGCCTGAGGAGAGAGCTTGCACCAAGCCATGCAGTCTGTAGTCCATACGATGCCCTTACGATTCAGAGCTTAGTTATCAGAGGACGAGTGAGCGACAGTGTCGCCCTCTAAACTGTGTTTTGAAGCGAGCAGATCTCTAGCGTTTTTTAACTCGACGCCACTTGAGTATTTCAGTTTGTGAAATTTCCGCAATTTTGGGGTTTCGGTCGTAGGTTCGCCAATTGACACCTTCTCTTCACGTTTATCTGTGATCCATCTCTTTTCTCTACTGTTTCTCACAATTATCGCTTCAGCGTAATTATTATTAGAATTTTTACGGGCTTTTAGCCGTCATCTGCAGGAATGGTGGAAGGAGAGCAGTTAAATGTGGACGATCTCATAAGTCGCCTACTTGAAGGTACGAACTTTCTTGCCAGACCCTTACAGAACTTGCTGTGCGTGTAGTCGTGCGCTGTGAATTGCAGAAATTATTTTGGTTTCAGATAAAAATTTGTGTTCCTTGTTGTATGCTTATACGCCTGGTGCTGCCGTTAATAATAAGAGCTGAAAATAAGAATATTTTAACCGGTCATGAGAGTGGAAAGGGATATTCTGGAGAATTAAACTTTGAAAGAATTTGAACCATTTGACTTGAAAATAAGATTGTAGATTTTGTAGAACGTATCGAACGTCATATCGAGCAGGCGATGAAGTTGAAAACTTTTGAATTTTCCTAAAATTTGCGCTGATGTTTATTGTTGGAAAATAGCCTAAAGTGCTGTAGAAGTGCTGCAGCAAAAAAACTAAACTGATTTAGTCATATTTTAATGATTGTATAATTATTTGTATTTTCTGGAATGTGCGCTATACGAGCAGCAATAAATATTCAGAATTGAAAATTAAAGGGTTTAATAGCAGTTGGCTTTCAGCTTAGCTTCCTTAAGTCATTATTTTAACTGTTAATTTCGTTAACAAAAAATATTTTTGCAGTGTAATACCTAATACGAGAACATTCTAAAAAGTAAATAAAGAATTAATTTTATAGATAATCTTGGATATTTATAATTTATAAATTCCTGCTTATATAATTTATAAATTCCTGCTTTAATTCAGTAATAATTATAGTATTCTCTTAAAATAATTCATTTCGGTTGAGTCTGTTTGTCAGTTTAATTGACTTGGTTTTGTCTCTGCGAATGTTAAGTGCGTGTGTGTTATTGCAGTAACCTGTAACTGTTGTGCAAGTTAGTGTCTGCATTATGCCGTTGAAACTTAATTCAAGTTTAGTTGTAGTAACTTGTTATCTGAACTTCTTTCCTTCGCTTTTGTGTATGCTCTAAGCTGCAAGAAAACATTCTCAGGAGTCAGGATAGGGCAAATTTGCAGATACAGAACGATCGGCCTTGACTGTGAACAGCGATTTACTCGTTAAATGTGCCTTGTTGTTTGTTGGCCATTCACTATGACTGCATGTGCTAATTCTGTGAAAGATGGATTCAGCTTTTAAGCACTGATCTGATTTCTGGCTCTCTTTTACAGTCCGGGGCTTACGGCCGGGAAAGACCGTGCAGATGTCGGAGGTATGGAATTGGAAGCTGTCAAGTGCTCTGCTTGATGATGGTTGATCGATGAACTTTCGGTGTGTTTAAGTGATCCGCTCTTGCAGGCAGAAGTACGGGGACTCTGTATAAAATCTCGTGAAATATTCCTGTCACAACCTATCCTACTGGAACTCGAAGCTCCACTAAAGATATGCGGTAAGAGAAAAACAGAAATAAAAAATCAGTTGGTTTGGTTTGTGCACAAAAGACAGCGATTCCTGCGCATTGCTCCGTGTTGAGTATTTTGGCAGGTGCAGTACCATCTTGCGTACTTTTTGCGAAATTCGATTTTTTCTGTTTGTCACATCGGCAAATATCAGTTACATCTGATAAGGTCTAGTTCCGTCGCTATCTGTCGGTGACTACTGCAGCGTGGTGATTAATCTAGTGTTTCTTCATTGCCCGATACGAACCGAACACCGAAGATGTTATCGGTCAAGTAGATGGTTGTAACTTGTCAGCGTTCGTTGTATAGAGTAGCCAACTGCAGTCAGATTTCGCGTCGTATTGGGCGGAAGTGGTGGCCGTCATCCTTTGGGAATATGCATACAATATATGATTTTGCATGACAATGTGAGCGTTGTCAACTGGAAGTATGACACTCGGATGGATATGCATTGTAATCTGATCAAAGACCTCGGCTGGGGATTAAAGGATCGTGGTGTAGGTGTATGATGATGGAGAGGAGTGCGCGAAGTGACATTGTTTTTGCGCGACTGCTGTGCTGATTGCCAGTTGCTCTCCGGAGTGCGTTGGTGGCAGTCTACCTGTCTGCTGCATCAATCGTCATACAGACTTGTAATATATCGAAAAGTGGTACGCTGTGTCAGCAGCGCGTTTCAGTGTCATTTTGTATTTTTGTTGGTCGCGCCGAGTTCAGTTACGTGTTGTTGCTCGTGATTTGATACATACAATGGGGTGATTCCAAGGTTAACCATTGATACCTTTTACCAGGCGGCGGTGTAAGTGGTTTTGGCACAGTAGCCAAGAATTTTTGCAAGCTCGGAAAGTTGCTGACGGTCTAGTTAGTGTGTGGAGTTATTTCTGACTTACGGGGGCTGAAGCCGCGTATTTAGTGCGTGCAAAATCGCAAATCTCTGGGGCTTTTAGACACTTTCGCGGTTCGGTTAAAGTTCTGATGTTGTACTACGCCCAGCTATTTGACTTCACAACATCGTTGGCAAATCGCTCTGGCGGTTTTCGGGTCTTGTTGATTGTTTACAAAACTCAACCCCAGTGTTTCTGACTTCTTATTGAGGTTGTGCACGAGGAACTGGAATGATGCAGCGAGTAAATTTGTAGGCAACATTGATTGTGCAACACATCAGCTCTATTGCCGTGGTTTGCGAGTAATTGCTTGCCGTCGTCATTTAATACGAAAACAAAATAAAAATTATTGAAATGATGTACGCAACGATCGCAATTACCGATCGCTGTTAGTGTGTACGGAAGTTAGAGCTAGGGACATCGTCACATCAGCCGTTCACCAAGAAAGATCCGAGAACTGACTTTGTGCAGTTCGTTGCTTTGTTAACCGTTTGTGTTACCACCATTCGAATTCTGTGGAGTTTAAACAGCTTAATAGTTTTTAAAATGGACTGAAAGTAAGTTTTCCTAATCTCCGCATACGGTGAGCGTCATATGACATTTTGCATAGTAGCTAAAAATACGGAATGCTTTGACGAAACACCGCTTTTGTTTTCCAAATTAGCGACAAGATGGCTTGTAACCGGTTTCATTGCTGTTACTGTTATGTATATGAGCATCACGATATTATCAGCGTGTTTTTTCCTTTAAAGGAGACATTCACGGTCAGTACACGGATCTGTTACGGTTGTTCGAGTATGGGGGATTTCCGCCAGAAGCCAATTACCTCTTTCTGGGCGACTATGTGGATCGCGGGAAACAGTCATTGGAAACAATTTGTTTGCTCTTGGCGTATAAAATCAAATATCCGGAAAATTTCTTCCTTCTTCGTGGCAATCACGAATGCGCCAGTATAAACCGCATATATGGATTTTATGACGAATGTATGTGTTATGTCGTACTGTTGCATAACTTCGTTTTTATGAGATAGGATTCTGATGGAGCACACTGTGTTATTTGTACCATTGAAAGCGGTATTTTTTAGGCAAGCGGCGTTATAATATCAAATTATGGAAAACGTTTACAGATTGCTTCAATTGGTATGTAATTTCACTAAATATTCCGTTGCTAAACCCATAACTCGATTGAGTAAATATTATTATGATATAGCTAATAGTAGTTGTTTGTGTTCGCTTACTGGTTGCTGGAAAATTGGTTTATTATTTTTGTTTATGCAATTGAAGGTTGTTATATTTAGAACTTTTTTAGCCTTCCGATAGCTGCTATAATTGACGAAAAGATTTTTTGTTGTCACGGAGGACTTTCTCCTGACCTTCAGTCGATGGAGCAGATTCGCAGAATTATGCGACCCACGGATGTTCCAGACACAGGTGCGTGAATGTAACTTTTTGTCTGTAATTTCGGTGAGAATTTATAGAGGTAGAAGAAGCGTGTAGGTGAAGGCACGAAATATTTTATCACAGATAAGTTAGAGTTTTCATGATTTTCGTTCCAGGATTGTTGTGCGATTTGCTGTGGTCGGATCCGGATAAAGATGTTGTAGGTTGGGGCGAAAACGACCGCGGAGTGTCATTCACGTTCGGAGCCGACATCGTCACGAAGTTTTTGAACCGCCATGATCTAGATCTCATCTGTCGTGCCCACCAGGTTGTCGAGGATGGTTACGAATTCTTTGCAAAACGACAACTAGTCACCTTGTTTTCGGCTCCAAATTACTGCGGAGAATTCGACAATGCCGGCGGGATGATGTCGGTTGACGAATCCCTAATGTGTTCCTTTCAGGTGAGTTGAGTTATGTACGGTAGCTGAAGACCTCTTCGTAGAATTTGACCGTACGAAGAAGATTTGACTGTCGTTGAATTTAACCATAGAGATCGTACGAATTTGACATTGTTATGTTATGGTGTGTCCATTCTGAGGTGGTTCAAAGTTAACACAGTTTTTTATCACCGTAGATATTAAAGCCTTCCGAGAAGAAAGCGAAATATCAGTACGGGGGAATGCCAGCTGGCCGACCGACAACGCCCCCGCGTAACGCAAAAAACAATAAGAAATAACGAATGTGTCACAGCTGTTCGATCTTCCATATCCGACTAACATCGTCACCACGGCTCTTCATATGACCGAGTCTTCGACGATTGTTTTGCGCCTTTTTAATACTTTCATCTGATAGAGGAATAATGACATCGGCTGTCTGAACAGGACAATTGTTCATTATTTCTTACGGAATTGTCAATATTTTAATATAATAGCAACCTGCTTTGTAATTATTTTGCTATATGCTCTCCATGGTTTTCCAGCGATTCCTTTTTGCCCATTGAGTGTGGCTTTGGTTTACCGACGCTTTCGTGCCCCATTGCTTTATTTTTAGGCATTGCGACCGTAATAAAATATTGGTTTGAAGGTGGCCGGATACCGTTTTCTGTTTCCGTAAAAATAAATACTTTCGATTGTAAGCCCCAATCTCAATGTCATCTTTTTCGATTCAAGCGAGCTGTTCTGAATGGCTCTGTAGTTCCAGTGGATGAAATTTAAATTACTGTACTTCCAGCCTCCAGGTACCTGAACAATCTGCCGTGAATAAAAAGTAGATTAGGCAGTCAGACCCAGCGTGGCAGTGTACACGCAACAGTATTTGCGACAGGTCTGCAACGTGATTAAGTTAAAATTAAGGGAGCTAGAAGGTTCGAAGGCGAATCATTTACAAATTGATTTCAGAACGTACGTGAGTGATAGTCGGTTGACATGGTAGATATATGCAAGCGGTACAGAAATCTGACATGGCACCTGAACAAGCGTTTTTAAAACACTCAGTTGCAACTTCAAGAGGGACACCGTCTGCTACTACTTCCGGCTTCGAAAGTTCGGTCTATGGCTGCTTCGACCGCTGCCGGCAGCATTCAGCAAATTTCCTGAAATTACTTGTATTATGTATAGCTCTGTCATATTCGGAAAAAACTTTCAACCAGATTCAGTGTCGAATGTTGATCATATCAGTATCATTTTTTTCACCGCTATCAAATCAAACTGGATTGACTTGCGTTAAAATTCACTAACGAAATTACGATTAATACGCCAAACATTTAATGGGCATTTCGCGTGCCAGCTTGAAAAGTTGAAACGTGATTTTTGCTGCTTCCCTTTAATTTGTACCACTCGTACAGTAATTTAATTGCCTGATGGAAAACGTATATGTACATTTCGGGATTGTGAGGATTAAACAAAACTCTTACTCATTCCAGAAATCTGTTATTAATTTAATTGGATAACAGTATTTGATATGCGACCAGCGAAAATAATAAAAAGTGCCGCGTTTTGCTGACCGTGGGTCCAGACTACATACTGCTCGAGTTTACCCTTTACCCCACTTTGCGATACAACGTGTACTACCGGCGATGTCACTTATTATTTGTTGTCAATTTCTGATTTCACCGGATGCTTCGAGGGATGAATCCTTAGAAATTAGGTGAGTTAGTTCTGATAGTTAAACCAGACAGACATTTTTTTAATTAGCTACTGTTTTCATCAAATCCCCAGTTTCTGCAATTGAAAAGAAGTGAATGTAGCAGGTCACGAGATGTACTCGTACATATCCCTTTAGCTCATTAATTTTAATGCTCGTAGTTCTAGTATTTTTGAAATTTTGACTACAGGCTGAAGAGATGTATGGTATTTTGGATGAAGTCATTGGACTTCGACCCATAACGTCATAAATAAAATTCAAGGTTATGAACCTGATGATTAAGTTTGCGAATGTGATAGATAGTAGGCAGCATGTGCTTGCCTCGATTTGTTCTTATCTTTTTAAACAGTCCTTCTGCGGTTTACTAATTCATGACGAGCGAAAAAATCAGTATCCACAAATAACTGGTCTTGAAAAAGATGATTCGTTGTGGTTTTTCCTGTTGTAATTTATCCAGTTGGGCAGTAACGTTTACTAACCCGCAGCGAAAATAATTTTGCTCTGGTGAGATTGCATCAGCTTCCCTTTTTATTGCATCATTCTAGACTTCTACGATATGATTCATAACAGAATTAGGCCGGCAATACTTATCACATGTGAAAAAACACAGCCGTACTTTGCAATTGCTTTATTCGGCTGGTTGTTTCGAAAACGGCTAGTACTAACCATAAGTACTGTACCTTTACGACGTCGAGAACGGTCAGAACCGTCTTCGAGACTTCGACGCAGCGTGGTGGTGTATGTATTTACGTGTAAATTTCGAAAAAATGTACTGTGAATCTGTGATAACGATAACTAGTGTACTTATTTAAATACCTAAAAGTCGAATTCCTTTTGCTGAACCCTTTAGGTGACGCGCGCTGACGTCATTATATTAGACAGCTCAGCTGGCGATACCAAAAACTTCTACTCTGTAGCTGCTTTATGTGGTTAAATTAAAACAAATAAAATAATAGCAATGTGGTACAATTACATATTCTTGAAACGTTGGCCGATTACAGCACTATATGTGTAGATATAATTGTACAAGTAATTGTAAAAACAAGATTGCATCACACGAATAAAATTAAACACATCATATACTTACGAGAGCCCACGCACTATAAAAACAAGTTTTCAGGCACTGGATTGTTGTTCCGATAATATGAAAAGGTTCCCGGGCGCTTGTTACGTGAAGCGCGTACGACCGTATTTTTGAACCGTACTGACTGGTGAGACTTTTGAACGTACTGGTACTGTACACACGTCCATACTCCATAGCAGAACAAAAACTACGATACAATACCTACGACTACGATACGATACAAACTACGATACAAGTCTTTAAGGGGGGATCCATAAATTACGTGCGCAGCGAACCAGGGAGGGACGGGTCCAAAAAATGTGACAAGCTGTGACGGCCCCGGCGAACCCAGGGGGAGGGGGTGGTCAGCTCCATGTATTACGATTGAGCGAACCTGGGGGGAGGGGTCAAGCAAACGTGACGAACCGCTACCAAGGGGGGGGGGGGAAGGGGTGAAAAAAGCGTGGTTTTCTGCGTACGTAATTTATGGATGCCCCCTAACCTCGTACATACGTTGTGCTTTTCTGCACTATAAAATTGCGAATGCTGTTCATTTGGTGTTCCATTTTCGAAGCGGATTAATTATTTGTATTTTGTTATCAATTAAGTTTCTCGTTGTAGAATATTTTTGAACCAAGCCTGCGGTTGTTGGTGCTGCACGTTTCCAACAGTATTCTGGGCGGATCTGGATTCTGGCTGACTGGATCCGAAAATAGCACCAACATTCGTTAACCGCAGTCAGCTGGAAAAGGGCGATTTGAAAGTCATTCAAACTGAGCGTTTGTTGTGGTTGTGGAAAGTGTCTTAATGAGAACAGCATTGGAACGAGAAAACTGAACTAGTTGGGCCGAGGCCTGGGATTCGAATTTTCTTGATTTTCGTTGGGAGTTCCATTAAGTATTGTCGCGACGATCACACCAAAACGAGAGAACAATAATTCATAAATGGTAAGTTGCTCGTATTTTACTGGTTAGTTTGAGTTACAGTCTTACAGTAGTTTTTATCCTTCCCTTTTTATCCTTCTTAAACTCTTTCTAACAATAAGTTCTTGCACGAAAATGACATCATGAGATATGGCACAAGCATTTTAGCGTTAGTTGTTTATATCCAGTGTCACCAGTGTGTAGTTATTTCTAATAAAATCTGGAAATATATAACTGGGATGTGTTGGTGTTTTGTGTTCTTGATGGTTTTTACATTAATGAAAATTAATCATAACCAGAAAATGAGCGTTTGACGAAGTAATCAGTAATGTTGACTAATTTGCTTTTCCCTTTATAAAATAGGATGTGTCACAACTCACTAAATACGCACTTTTGATCTTATCGCACAGCGAAAAAGATCTGCGTTAAAATGAGACACGATGTCGTCATATCTTTTCCGCTCCGCTGTTTCTGACTGGGTTTCATTGTTGTAGCATTTTTTAAACATTTAGCATTTTTCGCTTTGTAGTACACAATTGTAATAAGGTTAGATTTGTTTCGTTTTGTTAAACCTGATCCGTAATGGTTATGAAAGAGGAACGTGTGCAGGTGAAGTGGATTGAGCGGAATGCAGCTGTATTTCGTATATTTGTGGTTTTCTGCATTCTAAATGTGTTTGTTGATATGTTAAGTGAGCGGTTGTTGTCGATTGCAGACCCTCGATGTGCCTGAAGTGGCCCAGTTGGGGTTCCATTTTCCCGTCGTAAATGGACAATTGCCGCCTGAGGTACCGTCATATTCACGTCGCTTCGTGGTTGCATTTATTTTCAATTTTTTATGATTATTTTGTAGCCTCCTCTGGGCAACATCGAATATAAGGTGAGTAATGTTCGTGCATTTTGTGGTTGGTTAGTATAATGTGGTTTTGTTCGTGACAGCTCAAGCTCGTTCCCGCTAATGATACCCGCCTGCAACACCTGACTTCGCAGCTGAAATGGCGATTACGAGAGGGTCTGGGAGAAGCCATCTACGAAATCGGTGTGGGCGACGATGGGAAGCTGGTGGGGTTGAGCGACGAAGAGATGGAGGCATCATTGTCGACCATCAGTCAGATGGCAAAAAAGTATTTCACTTCTATTGCAAATTTTCAGATAAACAGTGATTTGATTTTTATGCATCGTGTGATTTCAAATTTCTGTGCATCGGGATAATATTTGGTTAAATTGGATTGCATTTGGCAAAGCTTCCCAGTTTTGCACATTTTATTACATTTTATTCTGGTGGCGTTAACTTGCTTGCATTTGATTGAAATTAGTATGATTACTCATTACTGTAAGTGATTACTGCAAGACAACAAGAGTATGTTGCCTAATTAGCAATCTATATCGCAGCAGTTTCAGTCTTTTTGTTGTTTGGTTGCGTATATTTCATGTGTGTAATTATGGTTTGTATATGTTACAGTTTGGGGGCAGAGATTCTGTTGATACAAGAGTTCATTCATAATGGAAAGCGAATTGCCGAAGTAATGCTTCGTCAGACTCCAGATGATCCAGATGAGGTAACAGTGTACAGATGACATGTATGGAAAAAGAAAATATATAACGCTGCTGTAATCCAGTTTGTGGACTTTCGAATCTCCGTTCTGGGAGCGGTTGACAGTGGGAAAAGTACAACAATCGGTGTTCTTTCGTCTGGAGAACTGGATAACGGTCGCGGAAAAGCAAGGTTGAATCTTTTTCAACATCCTCATGAAATTCAGACCGGGCGGACGTCAAGCGTGTGTCGGGAAATGATCGGGTTTTCAACAAACGGTCAGGTAATACTGGACTCCTTTGCATAGTTAGTTTTTTCTTGGTAATGCTGGATTTTTTGCATAGGTTATGAATTATCAATTTTGTTCGATATTCTGAAACAGGAACAGTAGAGAAAGTTTGTCGAGTTCTGCGGATTTTTCGTTAACTCTATTATTACTATTTATACTATTTACTAAAAAGTTTTAGTATTTACTAAGAAGTTAAAACATGAACATTACGTTGGACAGTTTCACAGCGCGATAGCTGGGCAGTGAGCACGTAGTCTGCAATTCTATCCCACTTTTCCACGGTAAAAGCCGTGTGAAGGAATATTGTAACAACATGTTTACCACGATTTCCTGCTTAATAAGTATTGTAAGGATTTTTGCTCATAAGAAAACTCATTTACTGTTTTTCTAAAACTGATTTTGATTGTCGACTAATTTTCTTCAGGTGGTTAACTACAGTATTTCGGACACGCCCGAACAGATTTTTCAGCAGTCGTTCAAGCTCATTACGTAAGTTTTGGCACGCATTTTTAACAATGAGAGCGTGCATTGCGCATATGCAACACCTTATATGTTGACAATTTCGTTTTGGTATGCAGATTTACGGATCTTGCCGGTCATCAGAAATATTTTCGCTCGACTATTTCCGGCCTGATGGCTTCGAAGCCAGATTTTGTGATGTTAGTGATCAGTGGTCTCAGCGATTGCAATCAGAACACCGCGGAATATTTGGCATTGGTAGCAGCTCTTCGACTGCCGGTGTTCGTGGTGATAACGAAAGCAGATTGTTGCGAAGCTGCGCGACTGGCAGTGGTTATGAAATCCCTTCGAAGTGCTTTGGAAGTGTCAGCCTTGGGACTGAATACACTACTGCCGGTTGGAACGGAAGATGATTGTATCGGCGCGGCATTGCGATTGGCCTGCGAATCCGTTATCCCCGTATTCAGTATCTCAAATGTTACTGGGCAAAATTTGAATTTATTGACAAAGTTTCTCAGTATGCTTCCATGCACGGTGGCCGCCAAATCGAGAGATTTGTCGACGCAGGAGCCCGCAGAATTTCAGGTAATTAACATTCATTCACCTGTTACTACATTTTATGCTAAAGCGCTGTTGTGTATCTAACCGTATTTTTTGGCAGATACATAAGTCTTATAAAATGGATGGTGTTGGCATTGTTATTACGGGAATATTAATGAGGTAATGGCCTTGCGTTACCCTATCATGTCTGTATGCATTTTCCTGAGTTCGCCATCGCTTTAAAATGGAAATCAGCATAATGTATCAATTTGATGGCATCCGTGTATCGATACGGCTTTCTGTATCCCTGTGTTTGTCACATTAAGATTGATCAAGTTTTATTAATTTGTTTGCCTGGCTTATTTATCTTCAGTATGCATAACGCCTCATTATTTTTTCTTTGTTGCATTGTGATTTTGCATTGACTTTACCACGATACTGGGTTTTCGCAGGGGCTCGATCTCTGCTGATGATCTTCTAGTTATTGGCCCTACAGCCGATGGCCAGTACACCAAAGCTCGGATAAAAAGCATTCAACGCAGTCATGCTCCCTGCAAAATGTAAGAAAGGAACAACAATCCGTTTCCTGGGGTGTCTTTTGCTTTGGGGAATTTGTTTTCTATAGTTTTTCGGAGGTTAGCAGAAATGTATTGTAATTGCAGTATACGAACCGGCCAGTTTGCCGCAGTTGGTTTGGTAGTGGAAGACGAAAGGTTTCCTATCCGACGAGTAAGTGCTACCTGGATTCGCGTGATCCAATTTTTCCCCAGAGTCAGCTGCGGTTGTTTCTTTCCAGGGCATGGTACTGACTGATCCTACCTCGGCGCTGGTGCCGTGCTACGTATTCAGCGCAGTCCTAAGGATTCTCACGCACACGAAACTGGTCTCAGCTGGCCTCCAGGGAACGGTGCATTGCGGTTATATTCGACAGACAGCTGTGATTGCACATGTCGATAGTCAGGTACAAGAGAGAACATAAAGGTCTTCCTGCGCATAGTAATATAAATTCCCGGATGGGAAGATGAATGAAACACAGTGTAGATGTATTTGATGGTAATTTTCTGCTTCCGTAGAATGGCGGAGTGGCTGCTAACCCGACCAGTGTGGGATTGAAGTTCATCAAACAACCGGAATGTCTGCGGCCGGGTGATCAGTTCATCTTTCGTGATGGGAAGTTGAAGGCGTTCGGGATCGTTGAAGTTGTTGTGCCCTTGTCATAAAACAGTGATTGGCAATTTGGCTTCGTGTATATATATTGTGTTTCGTTATGAAAATGGATGCTGGCATTTGTGCCTACATTTCGTTGCAAAATGTGCGATGACGATTTTCAGTTCGCCTCGTAGTAATTAATTGGAATCTGGTGGTGGATAGTGCAGATCTGTAGTATTCAGTCAGTATCCCGTGAGCATAACTGGTCCTAGATTTCCTTTGAGGATACACCTATTATGGTACCTTTCAGTTAATTGTTATGGTTTGATGTTATTGGTATTACTGCAAAGGATGCGAGTATTTAAGATCGTATTAAAGAATTTATTGAGTATGAGTTATTAAAGGCATCGGAGTCAGAGTGCGAATTTATTTCCAGTTTGTAGAATGCGAGACCAGGATAAGAAGAGCAAAAAGGGATTCATTCATGCCGCTATACTGCCATATTAGCACACGGATAGATTGAACTTGACATTATTATGTTTGTAATCAGTTCACGAACTCAAATGCTACCGTGCCATCTAGCTCATGTCACTGTCCATTTGGAGTCCGTTAGTTTACAGAGTGTACAATCCATATTTCAATATTGTTTTTGAGTATTGTACGTACATCAGGGGAAATACCATTAAGTCATATAGGAACAATTTTAGCTTTACGGTCTATTACGGATCGATCCTATCGATAGATGCCGTATGAGTCCATGGATGAAAGGTCACTGACAAATGCCCCTCCACTCCGCTGGCCACCGGCACTTAGCGCGGACATATGACCGGACATGGGATGACCTTGTCCGGCCATGGGTAAATGCTGGGAAAACTGCGGCATATGTTGACTATGGTGATGGTGATTGGGCGCGCTGCCCATGGGAGACAGGTATTCGACGCTCATATTGGGATAATTATATGGTGACGGGTAGGATGCCGCGCCGGTCGACCAGTGACTGACAACCGGCTGCAAATCCGCCATCTGCAGGCATTTATTCTGATGCATCCCGGCGAAGGAGCCGGGTCCGGCGCTGCGCTGCATGCAGTTCCCACTGAGATCAGCGGCGGCATGGGCGATAGATGCCGGATTCCAGATGGCCGAACCAGCGGCATTGGCGGGGTTGTTCTCGTATTTGGAGGTAATACTGCCGGCCAGCACCGGGCTGGCACTGCTACTGTGTACATGACCGGTTTTATAGGAAGCAGGCGCAGGCGGTGGCGAGTGGGTGGCTTCCGTCTTGATGCCACTCGGTGGAGTGGATGCGCCGCCGTTGCCGGATGACGAAACGGGTGTACTGGAGGCGCTGCCGTTGGAGTTGGTTGTGGGGGATTTGGACTTCTTTGGGCGTGTCTTGGTCTGGTGGGCGCCGGTTTGCTGCTGCTGTTGGCGGCATTTAGCCCTTCGATTTTTGAACCATACCTGTAATTCAGTTTGACTGTCAGTAAAAGATAAAATGCGTAAAGGACAGACGTCACTCATTTTTTTAGCAGAATTACAGATACGAAAAAGCTTGAATAACGCTGAATAATTGCAGAACAACATTCTGTTTTGATTATAGCGGGGTTGTTAACCGCACATGTGCCAGTTACGCGCCGTGACCTTAAAAATTTGCGTGTAGCATATATCCGTTAAAGGTCGAGTATTTCATTGCGAATTCATCTTTTGTAACACTTATTTCCTTTTATGACATATAAGATCTGTGAATCGTCAACATCCACCAGACTGTTTGATTGCTTCAACGATGTATGCAACTGTCACTTTACTTCGGAAGTTCGCGTATGTATCATAATGTGACAATGTTCCATGCATCCGGCAGTGGGAAGCGTGAATGCCGGCTGAGACAAGCGGTGCATCGTGTGACCTTTCGTGGTATGTGCAAACTGTAACATTAGCGGAGCCCACCCAGACTTTTAACACGTTTGTACTGTCAAAGATAAATACTGTAGAAACGGCTTCCGCGGTAGTTAATACTATGGCGGGAACTGCTGTCAGAAAAATGTTCCCGGGAAAGGCAAATTCAAACTGCAGTGAACTGTCAAGAATTTGTTGCAGTCGATTAACTTTCGGGAGATGTCGACAGTGCACCCGGGAAACATTCCTACCGTCTGATGGTATGTCCTGCCAGGGAATATATCTGTGTATGTTTGCTGTTTGTCTTTAAGCTGAACTGTTGCTAGCGATAATGTTACATTTATACACATGCATGCACAGACTGTACCACCGACATTTTAAGCGAAACACCCAGCATCAGCCTGTGGCAATTGAATTGTGAAGAATTTATGATTATTACACTGCCCCGATGCAAACAGATCCATGACACTCGGCAATGGTATGGCAGCTCCCAAGAGACATACAGACAACCCAGGTTTCATCCCGGCCGTCATACATACCACAACAGATTAAAAGGGACGCACATTACACCGGCGCTGCTTGCATGCGCGTTCAATCACGTCGCCATGGCCCGATACGGTCAGCTGCAGTTGGCGATGCAGTCGGCGCGCTAACGGCCTGCGTCCGACACAGTATATGTGTGCGAGTGTGTGTACCGAATGCGAGATGAACCACTTGACCGCTCCGCCATACAAACAATTTATTTCGTTTATTTACCACCGGTATTTGAATTTTAAATTTCAACCCAAGACATTTTGTCACAATTGGCGTGTGCTTGAGCTCATTTTTTTTATCCAGCGCGACCTGTTCAACCGACGCACTTGTGTGTACTGGGGCGACCTATTTTGTGTATGTTGGGAGAAAGCACACACACGGTTGGAAAATCCGCGCTGTCAACAGTCATCAGTTAATTCGTCGAGTAATCTTTAAGTGTACCTGGCATAGTGTAGCACCGCGGCCGCAGCATAATATATGGAGGCAACACGCAAAAAAATTAAATGGCTACATTTATAATCCCATTGTTATCTGGTTGGGTTTTATCTGCGGTTTTTCTAATCTCATAATCGTCACGGTTTCAACGGCTAATCTGCTTGTAATACGCCGCATAACGCGCAGATCAAAATCAGTATCACGAAGAAACTTAGCGCTCATTATCATATGATAAGTCCGTCGTGTACATTCATTTAGGTACGCGTAATAGAAAATGCTGAATCCACACGTTACAGATCAACTCTCACCTGTACACGGGGTTCCGGTAAATTAATCTTCATAGCCACTTCTTCGCGCATAAAAATGTCGGGGTAGCGAGTTTTGGAAAACAGTGCTTCCAGATAATCCAGCTGATTGCGCGTAAAGGTCGTCCTTTCTCGGCGCTGTTTGCGCGGTGCGGTAACAGGCGGAAAAAAGGAATCTGTTGCACAAAGAAAATAATATGCCATTAAAAAACTGAATGCGGACTGTAAAACCTAATCAGATTAAATTTTTCATTCTTTATTAATCTGCTGTGTACCTAGAATTCTGCACGGAATCACATGTCTCATAAACACAAACGCTTTTTCATCCCTTTTTTTCCTATCTTTAAATCCTCATTTCTTGTGTGCAAAATTTGCTAGTGTTTTTAGTGTGTCCGTGATGCAAAAACTAGATCAGCTGACCTTTCCATGTCAGACAGCTTGTCTCGCGTTGCGTCCATTTTTATGCTAGCAAATTTTGTATCATTTCGTCCAGCTCCACTGAACGATTGTAAGGCAACACATTCTGCCATGCCCGCATTATACCAATGAAACCAGTATGTTTGAAAAGAAAACCTTGGCGTAATTTAATGTTACGTCGGTTAGAGACAGCTGCAAGCTCAAGGATCGTCCTACGGTAAAAATACGAGCACACTAATCCCCAGCGTCAACACAAGGACTGTGCAAACTGCATGGAAGCTTTTTTACTGTCATTTGTCTTTCCCCACGTTCTCGTAAGACATACATGAAATTCAAGAGGCCCTACCAAGCACACACATACACACAAGAAAAAAGCAACCGACGAGCAAAGGAGTGCAAATACAAAGGGAAAATAAAGACAGCAAGGAAAAGAGCGGAAACTGCGCGCCGCGGCTTAAGTCTGCGCGCAGCCGACGACTACGCCAAACGAACTCTATGTGTGTGTGTCGTCAAATTTCCCCATGGTAAACATGGTGCAATTAACATCATCATCTCAAGTAAATGTTAGTACTTCATAAAAATCAATGAATAATGGCGTTGGTAAATTAAGGACATACTTCAGTGCGCGGTTTCAAAAAACGCCGGTTTCCCTTCACTGAGAGGGTCACTCAGGTTTTCTCATCTTGGTAGTTTTCTGTAATTAATTACTTATCTTTTCCGAACTTCCAATATAGGAAAAAAACTAGATAGGCAAATTTTCTGCATTCCTACGAGCAAGGTATATAAGAGATCTCTTATATACCTATATATACCTCTACAAGTATGAGATGGAATAATCCTAATAGTAAAGTGCACCAAGTAACCTTTCAACGTGTAATCGACAAGAGCGTATAAACAGAAGAAGCAGCTATATACACTAAAATAATATTCAAATAAATGTAGTAGAAATGAATTTGTACTGCAATATGTCGCCTAATGACGGCATGCAGATGATAACAATAAAATCTTACACATTCAGAGCATTTACAGGTGTAATAATTAAAGTTAAGCGTATAATATGGAATGACAGCTACCTTGCTGAAACATTTACTACTTGAAAAATGAGCGAGTTATTGATATAATTATGTCGATGAATGATAAATAAGCTATAATAGCGAATGGCCGATTTAAAGTTTATAGTGCCATGAAATCCTGATCATTTTCTTACGCTTTGAGCAATTAGTATGGTTTTATGATAGTTGCAACAAGAATAATAAGATGATTAGAAGTTATTTTGAACCATTCAGCACGTTAGACACCGAAGTGTTTCCATCCACATTACTGATACCGTTTGGTGTTTGAGACCCAGGTAAGTTTACATGAAAAAGACAAACGATAACGCTTTGAACATAGGATGATCTCGGCTTTGCTTAGTCAATTCTGGGGATAAGCATACGTGCCAGTGCGCATTGTTCGCAATTTCCGAGCGCAAATCTGGATTTTTCTAGATTATCTTTTGGCCAAGGCGGTGTGTATCCAATTTGAAAACAATGTTTGGTATAATCACTTACAGCTCAGCGTTATGGTCACATTTTAACGTTATAAACCAGAAAACTACTTATTCCACCAATTGACTTTATTATGCAACATTCCGAGCTGTTGCATCCGAGCATCAGTTTAGAAGCGCACAAGAAAACTATTATATTTCATTTACCTTGTTGCATTTCGGAGATGTCATTCCACAATTCGAATGTCGCAGTTTTAAAAACTGATATTGTTTATGTTTTTAATTCGTGTGGTATGTTTTAGTTTTACTAAATTATAGTCAAAATAATTATGAAATATCCAAGTCAGCTGCAATTATAATTTACAGTCAAACTTTCAAATCCGTTTTTTGTATACGAAATGCTCCATGACATGGAGTTTTGTCTGGCAACTGCATATGTTACGTGTATATATACAGCCTGCGGCCAGTCAAAAAAATATAAGTAGCCGACGCTGCCGCAACTTTGCTGTCTGAGGCCGTGGCACAAAATGTACTTCCGTATTTTTGTCGCATACAGAGTACTTCTACTTGATGTCTTGCATTCTACATCAACTGCGAATATGCAGTTGCACTTTTTGGATCAGTCCCGATGAATTAACTATATTTCGGCAAAAACAAAACCGTTTCAAGTTGTTGTTGCTGAGGATATTCGTACTCGGAAGTTTTGTTTAAGCACATGTACAATCGCTAAATCTGTCGTAAACTGTAATTCAAATCAAATATTTGATGCAAACCTATTTTAAATTAATTTTTTGTAGTAAAGGACGTTTAAAATGTTCAACCTATTTACAATTAGTTTCCGTGACCGTATTATTGTGGTTGCCACTTGCCAGTTGAATGGCTCTAAGTAATTTTCGAATAAATGATAAAGTTGCAATTTACCATTGGTGTAGCCCATATTCTGATGGAGTAGATCAGCCGCCGTGGAGAGTCCCATGGCGTTGACAGAGTAGGGATTTTGACTTTTTAGGTAGGCCATCGAGGATGAGTTGGGACCGGCTCCTGCCATGCCGCCTAGTCCATTTAAGGAACCATAACCGTCCGATTTCATGTAGGCCATCATTCGGTCGTCGCTGGCATCCGATTAGAGCTCCTATTCAGGACCAAATGTGTGTGTATGTGTATCCGAATTCGTTGCAGATGGTTTGAAGGAATAAGGGATTATCAGAAGTGGAGATATCGGCAAATAAGGATACAGAATTGTCGCTTGTCCACGGCTTAACAACGGGATTTATTTTGATATGATCAGGTAAATGTGATGCGCCGCGGTTAGGAGAGAAAATCCCTTGGAAAAGAAAAAATATTTAAGCAGGCATTTACAATACGCACTTGACAAAAGGCAGAGATTATTGTCGGACGCTGATTAGCACACGGACTTCATGTATCGAGAAAGGTCGGAAACAACGGCCACATGCACCATCGTTTTATTGAGTTAAGCCAGTAAAACCCTGAGTTGATGCGCGTGAACACAGAATTTACACACCGTAGCTGTAAGCCAGAGGAAGACATATGCTCTCCGCTCACATAATGACGCTAAATTACTCAGTCGTACGCTGATTGGCCCTTATTGCGGCTTGTCCACCCCTATCTGACGACGCGTTGTCCAATGAATGCTAACACTCTGAATCAGAGCTATTCGGGAGAACTAAAGGTCATTCTGATAAGCTCATCTATTGCATTAAGTAGTACTTAATACCATTTCAAAAGCACATAATTAGATTGTCTACTTCACGATAGCTAATTAATTTGCTAACCAACACTAATTTAACCGGATTGTGCTTCATAGCAAAAGCTGCAGCAAAGTTACAACAAAGTAGCTGCAACAAATCAAGAAATAATTTCCTGTATATTTATGCGTTAATATAAGCCCGTTTTGTACAGTTACCCATGAAATGGTTACTGCAAACTTTTTATTTCGCTTACCATTTATATGTTGTAAACGCCAGTGTTCCTCATTCATTTTTTACTGAGAAATTATTAATTGTGCTCGCATTTGTGTGCGGTTACGATTATAAACAAGCTTGTGTATACTCTGTAGATAAAATATGATAAAAAAATACTTTGAACCGGATTTAACACTTTCAATTTTAAAGTATCCATAGCTGCACATTCTCATATTATCTTTGTTTAATTTTTACCTATGCATTTCAACAGGTTTGATTTTTGCGATAATTATAAGACTTGCTGTACGACGTGCGCATATAATCAATCATTTGGAGGCAGTCAGTCAATTTGTCGTAATGAAGTGATAATTAATTGTTTTACTGGTGCCGGCAAATTGGTCTCATTAAGGCATAGTAATTGTTTGGGATGTGCTTGCGGGATTTTAACCAGAATATGTCGGAAAGCGGCGGCACAAACGCGCCGACTGAAGGAGCTGAAATTCGCCCGGCACATTCAACATGGAACGGAAATTATCCACTCAAGCTGCTACTTTATCTAAACTTATACACCTCTTGAAATTGGCGAATAATTGAAACTGTTCAAGTAAAATCGGATGAATGCACTCCACTTTGTTTATTTCTGCATTTCTACCAACAAGTTTATTCTTTACATGATCGCACGTGCCGGTGTGTAGTTGAAATGATATCTGCATTGAAACTACAAATAAAGCAAGTACCTTACAAGGAGTATGGAGTCAATCATTGTTTACGAAAAAACACGGACCTAATTAACTGATGCCACAGATATGACATCGGTACCCGACGCAATAAATTCTGATATTTTTAAACAAGCACAAATCCAGTATTTTATAAAGCTTCATATACCGCTAATCATTACAGTTATTTTGTTTTTCTCGGGTTAAGTATGCACGCCAATGCCTGAATTATTAATTTTACGCTGCAGTATTTAAAAAATTACCGCTTTGTTATAAGCATTCAAGCACACCGCTTGGTTATTATAAAAGAAATGCGCTAAGGTTACAGTTGCACAGAAGCACAGCAAAGCTGAGTTCGGACAATAGCTGGGTTCTGGTGAGACGTCGTTCTGCCCCGTCAAATTACAAGAGCAATATCGTTATCTATGTACTGAACCTGAAAATTTAGCCTATTTATATTCCGGCAGAAAGCTACCTGGAAATGGCCGGTAAATTGGTGAGGCTGTTCCCGCCTGTGGGCATCTTTTCTTGCATATAATGCAACAATTGCCGTTTTTCAGGCAATTTGCCTATCGATACGTATGCCGGCCGCTGCGTTGTTCCCTCTTGACTCTGCTCTCTCAATGCAATACTGCCTACAAGTACAAGCTGCCTGCCAGGCTCACTCGACTTGATTAATTTTGATGGCGCAGCGGAATGCATAAATGTATGCGGACAATACAATGCAGACTACCGTTCCGTACCTTGGCCGCTGTTGCTGCTTTTTCCGCTTGTGGCATGATTACCTGTGAACGAATATGTATTTCTGCTATTTGGTTTGATCTCAATCAGCAGACGACTGGCGTGGCTGCACACAAAGACCGCAAGACAAAGAGTAAAACTCTTTAATTAGCGGACTCATCACTGCTTAACGACATGAGAACTAATGACTGCGGAATGTTATTGCAGTTTGTATATGCACTTAATGCGCCAAGATGCAAAAAATTGTAGAAAAATAATTACACCACTTTTCCAATAATACCTTTTCCATGTTCGGTCAACGTCGACGGTAGTTAATTCATAAAATTTGCATGTATTTATACGGCATACTCTGTTTTGTTTTGATTTATGTCAAGACCGGGGAAAGATGAACAGTTATTTTTTTTATCAGAGTCTGCAAAATTTATAATGATCGTTAGCAAACCTTGCTAAAAAATTCTTTCCTGATAACATCGTTAAATAAGAATTTAGTGAATCTTTACAGCTGCCTTTGACCATTGCTTTCTTTCCATACTTTTTGGTAAATTTGCAGAGAAAATGTGTTTCTATGTTTATGGGGGAAAAGCAAACCATGGCTGTGCCGTTTACTTAGGTTAAGAAGTTGCGCAACTTAATGCATCAGACTTGACAGAGTGGTCAGCTTTCGTAATGTATAGTGCATGGAGCGGCATGCCACAAGGGAACCACGAAGACAGAAAAATATATATATATTGTTTGGCTGTCTGGGACGAACGAATCTCTGAGTTGTTTTAACAAGAACGTCGCAAATTGCTGCGTAAACACTTTATCACTGCAGCTTGAGCGTTTCTAATTGCACATATAGCACGTAAATTAGCTCATATCAGCACAACTGATTGTTCACTTTACGGAAATTTGCCATCACCCACGCATCGACATTCATCGTGTTTGTTTTAAACGACTATGCCAAAACTGACGACATTCAGCGTCAATAATTTCAGGCTATCGTGTAGCGGATATCGATAGACTGCAAAATCACAGTTGTCAAGCTTTCATAATCAAACCGGCGAATCGAATATTAAGAAACCGAGCTACGCTTGGGGTAATACGACCAACAATTGTACTCTGTATTATGAGTACTGTGCCGATACATATTGTACAGTAACTTTCCTGAGTATTAATTTTACGTTCGTTTGATATTCGAAATTTTAAAAATGTATACTATGTTGATTGGTGCCAGCTTATGTATCTCAGTAGTAAGTATAAAAATGCTCGTATAAATTGTGGAGAGATTTACTTGTGCGGTTGGCCGGTGTCGATACCTTGCAGTACAAAGCCATTATTAGCCATATATATAAAAAGTCAGAATGCAGTGTTTATATTGAAGCAGCCTAAGCATTCACGGAGACGTATATTTGATTTTCCTAGATTGTGTTTCTAAAGTTTACACAGGATACTGAAAAATATTGACGGACAGCGAATGTGCCGCTGATCGTAAGTGCATCTTGCCCCGTCCGGCAGAATAACAGCGGTCCGCTACTGTGTTGGGCTGCTTAGACGTAACAAATACTAAATTTGCAGAAAGAAATTTTTGAAATAATTAGATTTGTTTTACCTCGTAATATGGAAAAAGCTGATTTTGTATAAACGGTTTCGAATTTTAAGCACCGTTATTACGAATATGGCTTCTACCTGTATTGGCACAATTCTACGACGGCGAAGTGCTAATCACTTCGTTAAAGTTTAATTACCAGGCAAAAACTGTCATGCATGATTGGAATCGACTATTCAAATTTCTGTTGTACGACAGCGGTAGTTACATGTGGAACAGTATCTAATGGTAAGTCGTAAAAAATGCACAATACATATGACAAGCACGGTGTGTAGGTTATTCGGATGTGTTCTTTGAGCGCGAATGCGCGATACATATTATACAGCTGTCCATACCGGTGTAACGCCATGCAAATGTGTAATGAATAAATCCATTGCGGTAAAACGCGAGATGGTTGCTTACCGTTTGTCATCGACTGCTCAGCGGAATACAGAGGATAATCCTTACGAAGAACTTAAACAAGGATTGCAATAAAATCCTACTTACATTGGCTTATACCTTCTTCTTTGCCTTCAGCTTTATACGTGTAACAAACAAAAGATTTGTGATTCCGTATAAGCAGCGGTTGGCGATGATGGTAACAAATGCACTGCTACCGATTTTCGGAAGATGCCAGTGCGGTAAATCAGTCAGGACAGATTACAAATACACTATTCAGCTGGTCTTTTAATGTTTCGTTATAACCAGTCCACTGCGAAACAAGCTAGAATACTTGTTAATTGCCATGAAGTAACACTAATCAAATGATTTTGATGTGACCGTATTCGTAACAAGCAACTAAATCAAAGATTCCCCTGCATCATGCCGATATCGGAATATGTTTTAACTGCGCGCCACGGATCACCGGAAACTGTGCTTACATTGACCGTGTACGAGAAATCTCCCTTGACCAATCCGAGAGTGTGATAACGTTTGAAAGCAAACGGAACTCGTCAAATTGGATAATGTGGACATACATTCTACGATGAAGCATCTCCTATAAGGTAATACCGTGCCCTAGCAGTACATCCCGTAAAACCGTTTCATGAAATTCTGAATTTCTCATTCTGAATTTCTCGTTTTGAATTTCTCAAAGTGAAGAACTCCTTAAAAAGCAAATCACGCGAAAATAGTTCATGGTTGGGTGAAACATTTTCCTGCCTATTGTGTAGCGCATAACGTTTTGATGTGAAACCATATTAATGTTTCTAAAAATCTCCCAAAAAAATTCCTTTATAATTTATTCCGGCTTCTTCTTTTTTTTGAGGTTAGTACATTTTTAAAAGGTACTTTATGATAGTAAAGGATCCGTTTGTGATTTTTCTTGGTTGTCTCAGTTTGCTGCAACGAACTCATTACTGCAATTAAAAATGTTGTCAAATTACAATTTCAAATTATTTAATTAGTAAAATAAGTGTTTTTGTAAAATTCAGACAAATAAAACTAAATTTTGGCTAATGCACGAAAATGTTAGTTGTAGTTAAAAATTTTGTACATAGATTAACTTTGCCCTTACGTTACGCATCAGTAAATTTATGCTGTTCTGCGCAGGTTACGTCAGTTACTGATTACATGCGCTCAGATCAGATCAGTGCAAACCTAACAATAATGAAAAAAAGCCAAGCCTGTTCTGCCATTGTAGTGTAACTCGGTGGTCGCAATATTCAAGTCTGTACTGTGACTGTTTACTAAACGCGGGTTCAGCGTTGTATCTCTGTAAATTTCTCAACTCCCAGCAGCTCGTTTCAGCAATTGCACAGATTCATTCACGATATCATCACTTGTATAATTACTTACTCTTTTTGCCTGTTGACTATCAGCATCTTTTGTGCGTAAAAGAGAAATGTGAATTAACATAAGAATAAATCTTTTATATGATTCAGCTATAGTATTTCTTCCAGTCTCCAGCTCGGTTCACACTCCGATCCAGGTGATCGTGTAGGTGCACCATCCGCATACGCGATCTATGGTACATCCCGACCCATTAATTTCAGCCCTTGCCAATTGGAATACACTGGAATAGACGTTTTTGTTTCTGACCACCTCAATCGTTTCTGAACAAACACAGCCACAATTGAACCATCGAAAAGAATGACTGCTAGATTGAGCCTCTTTTATTCAGTTTATTCAATTTAATGAAAAAGGACACCTCACAATCAGAAGACGAGCGAGTCAGGGTCCATTATACTCCAAGATCAGTGAGAAATTATTCCGCATATGTACGGATTTTTGCACATGTTACACTGTGAGAAAGAGACTTGAGCGAATAAGTATTTAAAGATTAATAACACATTTACGGATCGCCATAAATCAGTGCTAATGTACGTACAATATAATGCAATATAATTAAAAAAGGAAGAATAAAGCATATACGTGTGCTTTGGGATGATTCTTTTGGTCTCTTTTTGTTTATGTAACTTCTTGAAACAGCCTACTCTAGTTTATATTTTTATTCTTTACAATTTTTTTTATCTTATTCTTAATTTTTTTAGCCTTTATAAAAAATGCCTATAATATGTTATGAGTAAAAAGTAAATAATAACGTTATGTATGTTTCCTAACTACCGAAGAAAGGCGGATCTGAAAGGTCACCACCGCTTTCTGCAACGTGTCATTAAGGAAAGCAGTGTAGGAATTATTAATTCATATTAACTGAACTTGATGTAGGCATCTTCTCGACTCTACCAGACTTATGAATCTGACACGTTCTGTGGATTAGCTCGAAATGTTTATACCTATGTTTAAGTGACTACTTTTGTTTCAAGGAAAATCTGCTCCTTTGGACGCATAAGAATAGAAAGTATGCACAATCGAGTTGACTTTAAGAATTAGCTGCAAAAGTGATGGTCTAATATTTTAGTTCCGTGCATGCGCATAGGTTGACACTGCCGCTGGGACACCGGGACATACTTATGTCCATCCGAACCTGACCTTCCCGCCATCTGACGGACAGTGCAGGAGCTGAGCCGAATAATTCCGGTTGCATCCGCATACATATATGCAGCCAGGTAATTTAATCGTTTGATCATAATAATCATTGCACACACAGCATAGACTGGAGTAATATTTAACTTCGTTATTAACAATCGTCCCACTTTTGTGCATATATAATATATATGCTGTGCTCCATGGTTGTAATTTTTAAAGTCAGGCCGGACCATTTTCTTCAGCATAATAGTAATGCAGGCCAAGGGTAGCATATCAAAGAACAGCAAGTTTATTTGCGGTGCTCTAACAAAAGCCGCAGTTTAAAAGGTCTTTAAGTGTGCAATACTACACCATCCTGACAAGAATGGCGTAATAAATGACTACTTGTCGGCAACCTGTTCACAACACAGGTGGCTGCTTTAAACTTTTCTCTGCGCAAGTAAAAAGCGAAATGTTTGTTAAGCAGTTATAGCGCAATATTGAAAAGAGGTTACTCGAACGACTATTTTGTGCAATACTTCTATGTCGAGTGCTCCAGTGATGGACATCGTGTAACGACAGTCGAATCAGATACGTGGTGGCCAATGTTGCCATTAATATTGGCTTATGGTCATATTCGACAACAGTGATCAACTCACGCAACCGGAAGAAAAAACATCTGAATTAAGCAGTAGGATAAAATTAAATTATATTATGATAAGTAAAATAACAAACTCTGCAGTTTTTACGCTTTTTCAAGCTCGCTAGCAAAATTAATTATGTAATCGTCACAGTCAACATTCACAAAACCAAAAATTTTGCTTTGCGAATAATTATTTGTACAGGTATCTGTAGCTTGATCGGAATATTTTAGTGGTCTTGATGAATATACAGAGTAGCACCACGATATCTAAGTACCTTTGGATATTTGGTGCAATGACTTGGACGTTTTGCAAATGGAAAACTAAATTAGAATTTAGTTAGAAATAGAACAAAATTGAAAAAGCCAGATTAAAATTTATTCAGGGTAGACAGGGTACCCGTCTACAACCGGCAATGATGGCTGACAATAATAAGACAGTCTTTTGCCCACAAATTTATTGATGCTATCACCCAACAGGCAACTGGATGCGATTATTATTGGAAAATATGGCTTTGTCCGGATACAAAAGCGCTGTACGTTTCGTAATTATATTTTGAAGACGATATCATATTGTTCAATCCTAACTTGCTACTAGATTCTTTCAAGAAGTACATAAACGCATTGTTAGTGCTCTGGCGGAACTGATTGTTTGCCTGCAGGTTACCTTTCGTGCACTGCATGTTTTGCTGTTAAACAGTAACCGGCATTTGTACTTATTATACAAGTGTAAAGGATGGCGCGGTATATTTTACGAATTCCAAATTATCGAAATTATTACGCTTCGGCTATGTACAAGTCTCGTGTCGTATTGTAATAGCCAGACGATGCAAGGTCAGGCGAATAATTTAAGATAAACGGAGAGTTTTCGGTGGGCTCGGATAAAACGAGCTTGGAAGCATATGTACTACCCCACCAAGAAAGGTCACTTAAAGTTGCCCTGTCGAAAATTCGTCTTATATAGAAATCCTTGCTTGATGTTATCAATTATCACTTATGTGGCTATGCAATCTAGAACGTCCGAACAAAAACTGAAATTGAACGCTCAGCGTTTTTTCGGATGACTTTTGCGATTCTGCACATTTTTCGTTTCCCAGCGCATAGAGCACAGCGTGTTTTGCATTTTGCAACGGAAAACGATTTCAAGGCAACAAAGGCATACCAAATATGCGTGCATACGCGAAAGCGCCGCATCTTCAATAAATCAAGCATTGACCTTTTCTAGAGTGTTTTTGTTTTGCATCCAGCGATCGCTTCCGGAATAAGTGCATACTTAGACACGTGAACTAATCTGTTGGAAATAGCTATCGTATGCTACAATTTGTCGACTTTGAAAGGCAGTAAAGCGCACAATCTAAACAAATTAATTGATCCGATGATGACAGCGGTCTTGATCCAGAACGCCGCGTTGTGCCCGGCTGCAGTGATTCCCATGGTTTATGCTCACTGGCTCAGATAGTACCACTGTTTCCGTAATCAAACATGCAATCTGTGGGGTCAGTTATTGCTTTCCAATTGAAAGAATTGTCGTTTGGATAACAGTCAATACCGCTCGCACAGATATTATGTGTGCAGTATATAAACATCATATTCAAAGAAATTAAAAATTTATAACGTTCTTGATTCCCATTGGAATTTATTTTTGTTACTAGAACTAACAGTCTATTGCGTTCGTTTTCGTATGATTTCAATTTTCAAGAAAGTATTCGACAGCTGAGTCTGAAACTCGTTAACCTCCAACGAAAACTTGATGATGATAAATATTAGCAATAATTTTCTTGCAGACGACATCGGAAAAATCGCAGCTATTGGAATACATGTACCGTACATGTGCAGCTGAACATCCCAAAACGACAGATAGCGCGCGTCAACCGCTACAAAACGCCGATGCTTATCACAAGCAGCAGGAGCAGATGTTTAAAATCGATCAGTAAGCATAATGACCGCGTTGCTAACGTCAACAAGAAATTGATGGGAGGCAAACCCGCTTGACTGGATAAATCACTGCTTTAGGCCGTTGCTGCTGCTGATATACGCCGGCTACTGTTGCGCACCCCGGCAATACATGGCCGTTTTTCCGCATGGCTGTACATTGCGTCAGAAACGGAAAACGACCTGCCGTGCTTCCCATAACAAGCATTAAGAATCAGGGAATGCCATGCGCCTGATCATCAAACACGCACATTTGGTCAAACAGTATTTGTTATGGCTTCAGTGATTTCTGGGTAAACTTATGCATTTTATCAGTTTTTATGTAAGCAACACTCCGACAGCCAAATATCTGTAATTCGTTGTACAGTATTCGCTAAAAAGTTTTGTGTAAAGTCCATCTGTTTTGTTAAAACTGCATTCAACGCGCCCATAAACTGCAAAACTTAGAGTTAGAAGAACGCGTCCGTGCTTTCGGTCAAGGTATCAATACATTATGGGGTAACTCTCGTGGATAATATACGGTATTTTATTTCTAAACAAACTCTGCAGAAACAGAACGAAAAAACAAAGAAAGAGAATTATCTTCCCAAAACGCAACACAAAATTCTCTTTTCACCAAATACTGGCATCCAACGTCTGCAATCCAACGTTGTCATCCCTTTGCTGTTTTATGACAATTCTCCAATTATCTCTACCATCAACATCTGTTCTCTGCGGCGGTTAGCATCGGTTTTTTGCCAATCTACAAATAATCACACATTTTTACGAAAATACGATGGGTTATGAAAGACGAACTAAATTTAGACAGCCTACTAAACACTAATGAGGAATTCTAAGTTTATAAAATATAATAAGATAAATGTTTATCATTTGGTAGAAAATCCAAGGCCAATTTTATTCACCTTCGAGCGCCAACAGCGATCGCAGCTCTTGGTTAAGTTTCTCATGTCGGGCTTCCAAGTCCGATTCCTTTTCCCTGAAATCATGTAATTCGGTGAGAAATACACAAATACCAAGTTAATTAATAAAAGGGGATCATCCCCCGCCAGTTACGTCCACATCTGGTCGGCATGTTGTCGTCAATGAACGAGCAAGGTCAGTTACATCACCTTGTAATACAGTACAATGCATGTGAGGACACTGGGCTAACTTTATTAACGCTTAAAGACCGGATTTTCTATCCTTTTCACCAGACAACAAACGGATAATCTAATGAAGTAGTGTAACCGGGGCCTCGAGTCGAGTAGGCAACTAATTAATCACTTTACCAAATAAACACCTAACCCCACTGTTTCCATAAGCTGGAAGCATACAAATGTCAGTTCCGAATTACATGTCATCCACCTACGCCAGACGCGCGGAACTGCTACCGCGCGTTATCTGTACAATTTTTTTATTTTCGGGATATTCGATTATCTGTAGATACTAACTTATTTCATGTTTCTCTTCGTGAGGCGAACTCATGGCAATCCAACCTGTTTTCGATTTCTGAAAATACTTAGTGAAAAATCGCCAATATCTGCCCAATGAATAGTTATTATGTCGTGATAACTATCTACAAGGATATTTTGCTGCGAAAATTTTCTTTCAAATCACAGCACTTCCTAATCCAAAACATCTTTCATCAGTAAAACCTGTTCAAAACGCTCAGCGCAATTGTCCTCATCCAACTGTCTGATTCTGTAATTAGTCTCCCTGGTGCAACACACTGCACCAGTCAAAATGCTACTCTAACACAAACGCGGCTCTGTCAAATCAAGAAGAAATTTTAATCCCCCAAGCTTATCCTAATCATCGGCGCTTTTTCGTGCAGCGCACGCAGCTACAATCTCCGCTGCAGCTGATGCCGCTTTCGCGGGGTGACAATCCCATGTCTTCATCACGTCGCATCGTGAGAGATTTGTCTCTTCCCTCCAATAACCAACTATACTAAATCCAAAGGTGTGTCGCCAAGTGCACTCTCCTTGGCGTTTTAATAACGTTCAAAGAGAATTAGCCACGGTGATGGCTATCGGGATATGCGCACATACGGAAAAGCCTATACGCAAAAATCAGTGCCGTCACTGACATCGCAGAGCCATTTGCTTCTTTCTCGCCCATTGTTAGCGAACGGCAGGCATTATAACCACATCTTAACTCCACAGCCAGGGGCTTTATGTCCACTGTTTCCACTCTACTTTTACGTTCCGCTCCCGACAAAGAACAACTGGGGAGCATGGCGTCCGATCAGTATCCGGCATGTCTGCACCGCGCCGGACGCATGGAGAAAACGATACCGTTTTCAACTTTTATTCGCCATATAAGCGGCTTAAACCTTCATAACACCCCCACTGCTTTTCCCCCATCATCAGCAAGAAAATTGCTATACGAGAGAGAGTAACGATTTACTAAACTTGACAACCGGCCTCGATAATTAACCAACACACACACCGCAACCAGACGACATGCATCAACGCCCAATTAATTTCCCGACCGGGGCCAATTTACTCCTCTTTTCCTCCCCCCACGCACTACAAGTGAAGAGCGAAAGAGGAAGGCAATTAATCAAAATCCCACTTGGTACCCAACCATACAAGATAATCAACCATGGCTCATTCACCTGGAAAACGCACTGACAGATTTTTCCATCTGTACCACATATTAGCCTGCTCCCGCGCTGCTCTCACTCCATGCAGAATGGGACAGGCGGGTGTACAATAGCAATGAAGATGAAAAATACAAAACAGGGAACAGGGATTTATCTCCCATTTCTATTGGAATCAATTATCTGAAGACCTCAGACAGACAATACACATTTTCCCTCGTTTGTCCCCGAAAGATACAAGCACTTTTCATTGCGGTTGCGGCTCCTCTGTGCCCGCCTTCCTCATCAGCGCCTAATAACGCTTGAATAGAGTGCGGGACATTCTTTGTCTCTGTGGCGCAGCGACACAATAATCAAACTGTCAATAGCCCACTCTCCTCAAGCACCATGACAGTCATAACAATAAACAATTATAAAATACTGCCGCCACAGCAGATACCTATTTCCTTATTGAGGTGTGTGCACAATAAAGGGCTTCAGTTGAGACGAGAGCGCATCTTGCCGCGTTCGAATCACTTGAAAATGCGCATCGCACCGACGCTTATTTATGCAGTTAACAGGCTTTGCCCGCTGCTTTCCCCTGTGTACAGAGATGGCCACCACAACCAGGCTTTTTAAAAGGCACATATTTTACTCTCTCACCACATATCCAATCAACCATGAATTAAGGCTATTAAACCGGTGGCTGAAGCTGAAAAATTCCGAAGTGCGTCTTCAAAATCTGTGCACAAAATACTTAATGTTACGATTTACAAGCCACAACCCCTAATTTTACCTGAAGAAACCGAGAAAGCAATGCGGAACAACCACAAAGCAGTCCCTCCGGCCAAAGTGGTGATTTTTTACGAAGACAAAATAACTCCTGTTGCGAAAACCTTGGCTCACTGCGGCAAATAATTTCTCTAAAAAAACTAAACAAAAAGTAAACCGAAAAGAAATACATATCATTTTTGTAACAATCTGCAACCCCCCAACGAAATATTATAGTGGACTTCGTTTTTTCCTCCAAATGCAAGTCATCTCTACCAGGCACAATCACAACTCCCGAAGTCACATTTAGTTACTCTTAATTCGCTAATAGGTTTACCCTGAAGGCTGCACACGCATTTTAAAATTCACAACGAGCAATTCCAGCGATCAAAACAGAAACTCTTTAATCCCTCCGAACTGAATATTATCCCAATCTGTCATCTCTGTCACACATACTAGCAGTACCCATCCTGTCGCCAGGTAGCCCTTTCTAATCTGTATAGTAATCATCATATAGATTCCTTAATATTTTCACTTGCGGCTTCCGCCAGCAAATCCGAAAAATATACACACAACACACGGTGCAACGAATATTAACACGTGACCGGCACCTATCAATCAGCCATCCTCCTAACCCTGTCAAGGAGGCAATCCTTGTTTTTAGGATTAAAAGCTCACTCTCTCATACTCATTCAGCCATCGTCATGGAAAGATGGACTTTCCAGAAATCCCCAATCAGTTAATATACACCATTGCGAAGGTGGACGTAGCTGATTAGCACTACTTAATCAACTCTTACATATTGTTCAGCTTGTCAAGTTCGCGGATAATCGCATTGCGCTTATTAACCAGTATGAACCATTCCTGGAGAATCGGCTCTTCGGCCTCATTGGCGCCTGCAAAACAAATTGGTCATTTTCACTATGACGCACGCAGAGCACAGACAGGAAATTCGGTCAATTTAACCTGGTTCCATAGCGTTTCGCAGTCGCGCCTCCACTTCTGCCGCACGGGAATCTATCTGTCGCTGTTCAGCTTCCAGCAAAGCAATCTCTTCCGCCAAACTTCGGTGGTCCTGAAGAGAGCGGAAGCAGTCTCATCTGTCGCCTTATATCTATCGAACAGAGATTACAATGAAAGCAAGAATTTACCGTAGGTGGTTCGGAATTCTGCCCATTCTCTTTCATGGTCATGAGGTTTTTGGATACATCTGAAAAAAAAACGGTTGCTACAACCCCGTATACCCAAAACACTATTAATCTGCTAGGAGTTCTGCATGCAAATAAAACGTGTTTCAGAAACGAGAACGGGCCACAGATTCAGAAATGAAGATACCTTTACTATCTTTTAATAAAGGCGAAAATTCGGATGCGTTACGACTGGATATCACAGCAGCATGTTTGGCAGCTTTCGGAACTGCATCCCGTAAAACCCCTTCTTTCGATTCACCGCCATTCCTGGCCTAAAAATAAATAAAAAGTAAAACAAAATTAAAAAATACTCACCATTTCACCATTCATCGTCGACCGACGAAACAATCAGTATCAGTACACCCGGGCGATTACGCCGATCGTCGAAGCAAAACAGATTCATTGTTTTCCGGCATTTAATCACATCTGCATACAAACTCATGCCAAATTTTACCACCCACCTTCGGCTCAAATTCTGGAACATTTCGAATCACAGAAACTGCATCTTGACCAGATTTGGTGGCGGCGCTAGAAGATTCTCCAACGGCAACCGGAGAATCAACTGAAAAAAAGGAAACAAATTTATCATCACTATGAGCAAACCTCTGTAATCCAATAGCTTCACAGCCGCGGTGCAATTAAAATAAGCAAACAAACCAACAAAGCTTGCAACTGCAATAAGGCTCACCTAATTTCTTGAACTGGTAAAACTGGATGGACACTGGGATTTATCCATGCAACATAAAAGTGCGAGTTAGTGATGAGAATGCAAGAAATGCAAACGATAGTAAAATGCCGTAATCAAATGGTCAATCAACTAAAATCGTGAAGGAAGACAAGAAACATGCAAGAACCAGAGAAGCAAGCATTTAAAAATAATAATCAGAACAGAAAATGAACGGGATAATAACGGTGTACCCGCAGCAGATTTGGCTTTAGAAACTCGCAGTGCAGGCGAAATTGGAATGGACACGGGCGATGTAGGACTGGATTTCTTGGCTGTGTCCATCAAACGTTTAGCACGCTCTCTCAGTTCTTTCTGCCTTTCCACTTCCTCCTAAAATAATCTCTTTTGAAACCGTAATGCCGAATTTAACTACCAAGACCAAGCCAGCAGAAGTGATACTATAAATAGCACTAAATGTTAACTGAGATATCCCAAAAGCAAGTGCAAAAAGTCCCTAAGAAATTATCTTAAAACTACTTGAATTCGTCCAGCTAAAATCGCTACCAAATTTCACAATGATTTCTTCGGCTATATCATAATATAAAAATGTACGAAAATCTCATAATTTGCTGTTTACTCATCGAGCAAATATCAACTCTCGCTATTTTAACTTGCAGCTCGACTCGAACTTTAAAAAAACATTAAGCAATGGAATTACCGGACTAAGATCGCTAGTAGGCGATGATGGATGAGATCTGGCCTGCTCGATGAGTTCACGAGCCCGTAACCTCAAATCTTCTTCCCGATTCACGGCCTCAATGAAACAAAACCACAGTCAGCTGTCAAAAATAGTAAAGATTGTGATCAGGCGTAAAAACATTACAGCTACCTTTCTACCAGGAGAAGAAACCGCCCGCGGACTTGTCGGCGGCGATTTTGGCGTTGCTGTTGCTGTCACAGCAACATGCTCTAGCGAGTTTTCTTTGACTGCTTTCGGTATGGAGCCATTTGGCTTTTTAGGTTCATCTTCGTCATCCGATGAAAATGGATCGACCAACTGCTGCCTGGTCATTACACTCGGACTGGTTGGCACATTGCTGTGGTTGGCATCCATTTTCTTGGGTGAGCTGTCCTTCTTCAGTTGGCGCACTAACGATTTCACCGGCGATCCGCCAAAATCGAAATTCTTTTTTTCTTTCGGGGAGAGGATTTTTCGCTCTTTATGCGGCGGCGATTCGCCGTTCACTGGGGATGATTCCTTCAAAACTCCGGGCGGGGAAGACTTCTCGAAGGAAAACAACCGGTGTTTCCAGTTGGTGCCCTTTTTCAAGGGCCCTTCACCTGGAGTTTCTGCTACCGGCGTATACGTTATTTCCTTGGCATCACGCGCTATTCGATCAATCTGCAGGTGTTGTCCAGTGAAATGTGCACGCATCTGGTACAGGTAGGTCATCACAGCTAAACGATCAGGAGTCTGGCGCTGCAGCATATCCTGGGGATCAATCAATTTGGGAATTCCCAAACTGGCCGCCACGTCAAATGCCAATTTACAATTGCCTCTTATGTCGTGCGGGGAAAGCGCTGAGTAATTTCTGGAAAAATTATTACAAGTAAGTGTTAAACGTTCACAATTACTGCCGATTTCAACTGAAATAATAAAATATGAAGATTCCCGTACAACGGCATGGGGCTAAAAAATCGGGTCGTATTTGTCGTACTCACATTAAATCAGGATGGAAATGATGGATGATGGCACAAAAGGCCAAACCATTCCTCCATGAACTAGTTAAATTCGTAATGCGAACACCACGGGCACCTTTCGTGACGTCCTTACACCATGCCAGCAAATCTTCCGCTTGACCAGACCCAATTCGATTGCTGATCTGCAATGTGTTATTCGTAGTAGTACTGAGGCAGAAAAATATAAAAAAAATATCCAACACAGCGCCACAATAACGACATTCTAAAGTGCAAACTGATTACACGGAACGATGCTATTAAAGTTCTAAAACAATTACAAACATACAGTATCGCCATCGCCTATTGCGTTCATTTCCGGTTGGGCATCGGGAGTTTGTTCAAATATCGTGTCTGTGGCCCTATAATGTCAACACTTGCTAAATTGGCATTTTAAAAAATCAAGCACTTTTCCAGACACTAGCTTCGCTTATCGTACTTAACGAAATTGTTTCAGGAATATATACATTTCAACAGAAAAAATTACACACTTTACCAATTTGTTCTATTATCCCTCGTGCTCCCGTTGAGATGACGGTGGAAAGGCGAAGGCGACGCTTTTGCGGCATCCATCAGCTGCAGGGAATCTGGTCGATTGGGCGTTTTGGTTGTATCCCCACTTGTCATCGTATCCAGTGAGTGCGATGAGTGAACGGAACTGGAAATCGCTGCAAACACCAAGGCATCCATCTGCAGGTTGTAACAAGCAATTATCGGACGATGCCTCAATCCAAAACCTACACTGTCTGTGAGATCCATTAGAAGCTGCTTTGTCGCTGAGATTCTCATTAAAGATGCCAAAGCTCGAAGCCAACTCCGAAATCTTCTGTGATGTCTGCCGTCGACTCAGCGTCCCCACCGGGGATTCATCATCGAAATCCGCCATATTGCCAATATCAGCGTATGGCTGCTGCAGACTCATTAGACTAGCCAAACTTTGCATATCCTCGTCGCTAAACACAAGTTACGTGATTTGTCATTTGTCGATTAAATTAACGAAAAACTAACAGTTCACTTACGTAGCTTTTCCTTCCCGTAAAAGAGTCGACAGGAATGTCACATTGATAGTGGCTTCCAAAACCTTTTTATTTGTGGGTTTCAGTTTGATGACGGCATGGGTTTGCGAAGGCTCCAGTGAGGCATATAACTTCATATTTACATTGGCGCACGCCAAGGGTCGTCTCTTGCCGAGAGACTCAATCTATCAAGGCAAATATACATCGTAAACAAAAACGATCATCTATTTCGGCACACTACCATTACGCAAGATCGTAACACATAAACCAATTTACAAGAGCATCATACGGATTTTATAATAAAGTTAATAATCTTCGAGCGCCTGCAGGATTCGCAGAGTCAAGTTTAACGATCCCTGCTGAAAGCACCTCTTCAAGGACGATTTGCCAGTCCTTGTTTTCAAATTCCGTGGCTCGGTTATCTTTATACAAAGTCGACGTGAACTCCAGCCGTTCTGGTGTAGTCCACACGACAATCCCCCGAAACAGGTTACTAATAGTGGGTTCCCAATCGTGAGCCTGTAAAATTTTATGGAAACCAATCGCGATCAATAGACAAATTTCAACTTTTTCATTTAGAAAAACTGTATAGCAGTGCCTAATAACCACATCACCAAGAATCTCTCAAATAATCTAACAGCAACAACTGTAACAGTTTCCATCCTCGACGGTTAATTTCTGCAACTTATCAGTAGAAATATTCCAGCACTGTTCTCGGTGCACAAAAATTGTCAATATAATACAGAGACTGCGATCGGCAATTTTTCTTATCACGAGAAGCTGCTTATCATTAGACCGATATTCGATATCTCAATTTCAAATTCACTTAGACAACTTCATTTCGTTTACAAACCCCGTAAGGTAGAAATAGTAGTAGTAACAAAAGCGGTTGCTAATCAGATGGAGTAAGTAGTTCACCGACTGATGGTTCGAGTTCAAGTAAAAATGTTACCTGACTACAAAAAACAATTTACGACTCCAATAAACACTAAGCTCAAACCGCAAAAGAGCATCGTTCACATTAACTCTTTCGGCGGCGTTACTTTCCGACTGTATTCCAAGGTCAACGGACAATTTTCCCAGATTGCACGTCCATTATGAACAGATACTGTAAATCAATCATTTCTGACGAACACTGGAGCGCGCATGCATATATATGATCGCGTCTCGTATGCCTGATCACTGATGTTTCGCAATATCTTGTGAAAAACTGGCTGGTATATACATTAGTTTTATTTTTATAAAAACATTTACTTTAAATTGCTAAAAGCGCAAAGTAAAAAGCGAAAATTCATGCTTCATAAAATACCTGAGTACAATACCGGCGATTCCGTCGACAAATCATAATTCCTAGCTTGTTTGGTTTCCTTCAAAAGACAAACACATCAAATCCGACACCACACATGGATAAAAGTACAATCGATACGAACCATGTGCCTTTAGTGCACTCCAGTGTTAGCTCGTGGAACGATACAACAAACTGAAATTTCCCGGCGTGTTTACCAACACGCTGGAAACGCTTCCAGACGCTCATTTTCTGCGGCACTCAAAAATGGTCCCACTAAAGTATCACAACGATCCTCACATCCTGATAAATAACAGCGACATAAATGTGGCGCTTCTTATAAGTCAATTCCACGCTGAAACAACAAAAAAACTGTTACCAAAATTCAAATTCTGGAAATGCGAAATCTTTTTTTATCGTATCATGTTCGCTTATAGGAACTCCAGAAGACAGTGCTCATCTCCAGCATGCGAGCAGTTCCAGATATAAACGGAAAATCAGAGTGCAGTGTATAAATTATCCTGTATCCACTCCATTTGTAGATAAAATATCTCAAGAAATTGCTTCAGTAGTTTTAGTATGAAAATTCACAATAAATTTCACGAAAAATTTATCCAGAGGACAAGCAAATTTGGAGTGAAATTCCTGACCTATTCTAGCTGACCATGAGCTAAATCAAAGCGACTAAACTGTATTTGTTGATGCAATCTGGAAGTTTTAAAGAAAGCCAGATAATCATATCTGTCAACAGACGAACGGCATCATGCCGCGGTCGCGCCGACATATTCCTCCAAGTTTAAAACAGTTTTATCCACATTTACGACATATCGTTTATCGCAGCCAGCGATCATGCGGTACATCAGACGGTGTACCGTATCACTGATGTATTCTATCCTTGCATGTTTTCAGCCCTGTGTACACAATCATCTGCGTGGGGGATGCAGCTGAAAACTGATGCCGTCAGGAAGCTGAACTTGGTCATCTAACCACTGCACCGCCTATGGCTATAAGACAAATTTAGATCAAGAATCAGCAGATTATACTTGCAAACCGATGCTTACTAGAATTTCCACAACAAACAGCCATTAGCCGCGCAGAACACTGATTTACGACGGTTACGTAAACATTACTGCAGCTGTGATTCTGTACCGATGTGCGCACGGGAAAACTGCTTACATTCCGAAATAACCGAAAAATAATAATTAATGCCACCTCCTCCGTCTAATTAAAATGATAACCCTACTTGATTTAATCAATTTTAACAGAATTTCTTAACAAAACATTACTAGGCGCGTCAGGCGACGTGTTCGCGTGCTGAATGCTTGAGAAAGAAAAGTTTTTTTTTTTCTCCAACTGGAAAAAAGCAAGCTTCGTTGAAGTCTAACAAAATTACAAACATGCAATTAAATAATTAAATAACTTTCTTACCATTCTACGGTAAACTTTTGACGTTCCTCGCAAGTCCCAGCAGTTATGGAAATTAAAATGGAAAGATGAAAGAAACTGGAGTCAGGAGGTTTCAATTCCAAACCAACAAAGGTATATCTTCGAATTTTTTCCAGAAGGATGCCACGAGTGGCAAAAAGATCTTTCAGATGATTATTTGTCTGTGTCGTGATGCGTCATCCAATGTTAACTGTGAGTTTCGTCCATGAATCAGCCATGATACCAATAGTAAACAAAGACAACAAGGTAATAAATTGGAAACAAATTTGCGATAAAATAACAGCGAAGCGGCAAAACAGCCTCATATTTGTCTACCTGGTAATTAATGCATGATTTCTCCACATTTTGGACAGGGCTCCACCAAAACGCACCAACAAAGTTATTTCAACTAATTCCGCATGATTTTACGATCATCAATCAAAATCAGATTAACAGCAAAAACGAGAATCGTTTTACGTTTCTAATTCAGACTTCCTTTGGGAAAGCGCCAGCAATCATAAACAGAAGATGTTAAACGCTTATTCTGAACACTACTGGTACAGTGGTACTGGCCTACTGGGTAAACGAGCTAGGAATTAGAATCAACGTGTTATTGATTAAAACGTGTCCAACAAGAGCTGCACCGATACAACGGGAACAGAAAAATAAGATAAAAAACCTATTATTTTTAAATTTTTAAGGGTAAAAAATCCATTCTGCATTGCACGTAGTTCCTCATAAACAGTTCCTACGAGCAACATCCAAATGGTGCACCAAGGGTGCCTTACACATTTTCCAGTGCGTTCGGCTCACCACATGGCATACCGACTGGCATCCCGCAGCCACTGCCAGACAGGGCGGGCACGATTTCAATCCTAAGTGACCCTTGTAGCTGTGGAAGTTGTCCATAACGCCATTTTGCAGCAAAATCTGCTGTATGTTTCTCAACAAATTTCATGAAGGAATTCCAAGGGAAAGCGAGAGACTGCATGTAAATCTGCCGTATTTTACGGTTAATATGGAATATTGTAGGCTATAATATTCGGTTACGATTTTACATATATCAATACCAGTTACGTACTATTCGGCTGTGAAGAGCACAGAAAAACTAACGGTATTTTATAAATGGTATGAAGCAAATAATTTTCCAGACACATCTGTGCGAAATTCTAAAAATTTGCAATTACAGAGGCAAGTGTTCATGGCGGTTTTTGCAATTGTGTTTTAATTATAGATGCTTCACATACAAATGAGTGATAACTGGCTTTGACACACTGCGACAACTTATGACAAGACGAAAAACTCCCACAGCTCACAACCCAAAATATAAACTACTTTTCGATCAACGGGGATGAATCTGGTGCGACTACTAACTAAAAAAACAGAATAACAATCACAGATCAACAAAAAGGGTCGAACCACTTTCACGGTTAGTCAGCTTATCAAGGAGTGCCAAATCCTTGACCTTTTACATCTGAAGCACGCCGACTTAAATTCCGTGCACCTTAGTGAGAAAGACCATTTCCATCTTTTACACGCATTCGTCTGATGTTATCTAAAATAATTGTTGAAAACATCGCTACGATCTCTTAGAAAAAACGGATTAAATATATTGAAAGTATTCCAGTTGGACGCAACAGTTGTCTCAATCCAGTCCTTTAAGAACCAGATATTGGTGTAGATTCCCGGTACATTTTCTTTTCCGCATCCGTAACCTTTGCTGACAATTCCAACAATCTCCCAAAACTGACCTTTAGTCAGCGCGAGCAGTGGTCCACCCGAATCACCCTAATAAAATAAACACGAAAACGTACGTAACGGATGAAAAAAATGTGTGCACTGTACATGTAGCCCATACAATTGCATTTGTTAAGCAATTAAAGGCCTGCCACAAATAAAAGGTACTCTACGTACAAAAAAAATTTTGTAACTTGATCAACATACAAAACAATTTATGATACACGCGTTCCGAATGAAATACTTGTGGTTGTTCTCACTTTTTATCGAAAGTTGACATCGGAAAAGTACCCGTTGGTAAGACATAATACGTATCACCTTTTAATCGAGTCTACAAGTGTTATACTACTGCTTGCCCTGAATTGTCGGAGCTGCCAGATAAGAAAATGATTTATGGCAAAATCGTGATCTCACTCGACAAGCATCTTGGTTGGCTTTGCCACCGGCACAAACGAATTGCGGTCCAACATCGTCGAAGATCTTATTGCTTCGCAGTTCGAGAATGCATTGCCATGGGTAAAGTATCGGCATGTCGACTTCCTGAAGTACCGTCGGTAAATTGGAGCGGTCATCAGCTGAGCCAAACAAGATCGTCAGAAAAAACTACGCTTACGGCCTATCTAAGACATTTACAGAACAGTTACTCTTCCCAGATTGTTTATCTATTCTATACAGGTGCAGTACATCGGCGCCCGTTACGCTACACTATGCTGAATCGACGTAAAGGTCAAAAGGATGAAATAATAATTATATGCACTCGATAAAACTTTTTGCCACTTAATATATTTTGCGAAACACTCCTCATGTGCAAAATGTTGTAAAAGAAAGTACTGCTTACTTTCTTTTCTTTTTCCCCACCCCAGCACTGTTCCCATTTCGCCCACGTGCTCAAAACTGGGTAAACAGATTGGTTTAATATGTGGCTTGAACACAATGGGTTGTGTCAGCTGAATGAGTGCGACATCAAAGGAGGACTGCGACGTATTGAATAGTGGATGAATGAAAACGCGCAGGATTCGGACGGTTTCCGGTTGGAATTGCGGCGGCTGATAATCATCCATACTGAAGATGCCGATCTGCACGCTGAGATCCTGATAATAGCCATATTGAAAATTCTTGTAAACACAGTGGGCTGCGGTCACGAGGAACTGTTCATTGAGAATTGTTGCACCGCACCGCAGACGTTTCGAACTGGAAATCACTGCCTGCCAATGAAAATCGAAATCAAATAATTTTTTAAACAAACAAATAACAAATAAATAAAAATAATAAAACCACGTTCGAGTTAAAATAAAGTAAGTTAGTTCGAGTTAATACAGATGCATGTTAACACAATCCATAAGTCACACAAACATTCTTGCAAATTTTAATCTTCGATTAAATTTATGAATAATACACATACGAATGCAAAATTTACAACGTTTTGTGGTTAATTACCATCCACGGCCAAGCACCAAATTCAGACGGTCGTCCTCCCAATACTCGCGGTGACCGTCCCTGTGTGAACAAATTATCCCTCACTCCACAAAATGTTTGTTGAGTGTCACTAGGGATCCCTGGTGGATTACTGGATGGAGCTGGTGCGGGCATCGGCGGTGGCACTGGCGGATTTTGTTGCAAAACTGTGTAATTCTGAGCAGGCTGCGCTGGTTGGAACAATTGGGCGGAAGGAAAACCGGAGAATGTCTGAATGAGCTGACCATTTTGCTGCACCATTTCGATTACTGGTCGATTTTGACCACCCGGAAAAGCGGGAAATGGATTGCCAGCTGCGATCACAAGTTGTCATGAAACACATACAAAACAGGTATTTATACAACTGTCTATGTGACTTATATGTCTTATCATTGCAAAATAACATTAGCCGATTAAGATGCTGCAGTAGATTTGTTTATGTGTGATAATTGTTACGTATGCAAATGTGCAGCAGTTTTCCCCGTTTTACGAAAGGTTGCAGTAATATTTATTAGCGTTGTAAATAATAAGGCACAAGCTAGAACGCACGTCACCCAATAAATTCTGTATTTAAATATAGCGTTTTCAAAAATGTTTCAGATGGAATTTACTATACCTAAATTGGGCAGTATTCCCATTGTGTTCTGGACACCTGTGCTCTGCATCGGTTGCGCTGGCGCGGCCGGTATTTGCTGTACTGGCCACTGCATAGGCATCTGCGGTGGCTGCGGGGAAACCGGTGCATTGTAAATTTGTTGTACCGGTGCATTGTACTGCTGCTGATTCGTTGGTACTGAGTAGACCCACTGGGGTTGTGGAGGACTAAACCCGCCTGCAGGAAGTGGTTGGGGAGTGGTGTTGGGCGGTGGTGTTTCCTGCGAGATGGCAGCGGTTTGGAACAACACCTGGGTGTTTGGTGCGTCGTTCGATGGCGGCGGTGGATTTTGATTTGCAGTTGCACTGATGGGTTTCGGCGGCGGAGGAGTGAGGACGGCAAGAGGCACTGAGCCCTCAATCGGTAATTTTGAAGGCTCTGTTGCGACTGGTTTTGGTATCATTAACTCGTCCTATATCAAAAGGCGGTTGTTAAAAAAACTGTTATGAATTGTTGCCGCTGTTAAGTTGTACATTTACTGGTGGGCTTTACTGGGCAACTCGCAATCAAATATGGCACGTATGTACTTTATAGTGATAATTATGCAAGAATAATTTAAAATGCAAGAATAATTATTTAGAATGAAGGATTATCAAGTAATATTACTGAAAGTCTGAAAGTAATTAAAATAATCTATAATTTACCAAGGAGTACCAACAAATGCTTAACATTTGCTTAACAAAGTTAATATTAATTAGTAGTCTTCAATGATCACAACCTAATTTTTTCTTTAATTATGGAAAGCTCACCCACCATAATTTGACATAAAAAAACCGGCGCGGTTTACTGTAGATACAATATGCTGTGATAGCGTGCAAATAACGGAAATTCGAACTGGAGTGCGCTGTATACACATACCGCAGCAGGCACAACTGCATCCATTTTTTGCTTAATTTTATTGACCGGCGCTTCTCCTGGAATGTAGCTAACGGACGATTCCTTTCCAGGATCGGTAAAAATCAGCGGGGTTTTGCTACCGGGCGCATAATGCACGCCGGCGGAATTGGGGGACTGGACAAAATTCACAAGATGACCTGATTTCCGGTTGCTGTTGGGAAGATAACTGGACTCTCCAGAAGTGACGGGGGTAAACAGAGATGTTTGCGAGTTGACCATCGTATCTGCACTGCTAGCGGCAGACATTTTGGTGCGACAACACACTCCGCCCGGAAGACGCATACTAATGGCCGACTGCATTTCGTTGAGTGCTACATCACAGCGCACCGTCGGCTGTACACGGCGTAATGTGGTGCACTTGGACATAAATGTACACTCGGAATTGGCCGGGCATGTATCGTAGCTGCGAAGTGATTCCGTTCGGGCGGTTCTGGTCGCACCTGCAAAATGGCACACAGCAATTATTAAGCGTAAATTTTTTTGATTGCCAAGTCTAATTCAAAATTTACCCATCGCGCTTCATTAAGTATGTCAATACACACACAGAGGAAACGGAAGTGAGGATTCTGACAAGTTAAAAGAACTTGCGACCGGTGCCGTACGCATTAATAACCCGTTGCGGACACATTAACCAATGCGTAAGCCATTAAGCGCAACTCTCGCTGCATAAAATTACTAAATATACTCGAATATATGTATTTGTACGATTTAAAAATTAATACTGTGGCTTGCAACTTTGCATATTAAGTATATATATCTATACAAAGCGATAAATACATAAATTTCGTACATTCCCATCAGTTCAAGCACTGGTGCAGAGTTGTTAACAATAAGTACAACATTAATTATCAAAATACATTTCTGATGACCAGATCACGAAACGTATATTGGAACAAACATCTGGTAAGCAAAGTAAGTGAGATGGAAGTGTATGTCCTTTGGATCTCTACTCCTACGTCTGCATATTAAGTAAACAGCGAAATATTGCTGGATAATTGAAAATCATCTTCTAAAAACGCGAAGCGAAACATAGCATCGTTCGTAAAACCGGAGCTAGAGACCAACTGGCAGTAAGGGTTTAATAAGATTGCCATGAAGTGAAGACAATTAAATAAATCAGTAAATGTATTAGGATTATAAGTATTGCTCAAGCTTGCAGGGTTTATGAATTATATTATCCCTGCATAATATATGAGAAAAAGTAAAATGAAAAATAGCAACTGATCAATAAAAATTTTTACTTATCGTACAAACGCAATTACTGAAGTTCCGCTTTTGTGACAATCAAAAGTAATTTTCGGAAGCTTCTGCGTGATAAATTTAAACGGACAAATACATAGTGGACGAATAAAAATTATACAGATTGTAGGTGAGCTCAAATATACCCCAACCCAACAAAACACTAAATAATACTACTACCTAGAGTGACTATTTTACTGCTAGACGAGTACGACTACTCTCGAACTCTTCGAAGTTGCCATACAGCCAGCGTGTAGTTCATGGATTAAGACGTAACCATAAATAAAAATGCCGCGGCATAGGTTGGTGTTTGAAGACGAAATAATAGCCAAATCAGAATGAGTATCTGCATACGAGAAACTTTATATACGCATACCCATAATGTTAGTTCCATCCCGCAACCGTAAAAGGTTTTCGGAAAAGGGAAGCCTCGGAACTGCACTGTAACTTATGTACTGTAGCGGGGCGGACTGAATATCCTGAGCATCGACCGGGCGTAGATAGAGAAGCGGGCAAATTACAATAAAAGCAGCGGGATAAAACGTCAACAGCCAATACGGAACCATTTCAAGCCCAACCTGTCACACACACGACAGGTCGAGCGGAAAAAAGCGGACTATAACAACTGTGGACGTTTAGTGGCGATATAATTACAATGTTCTGTATTCCGGAAAATTCCAATATGCAACATGAATACACAAAATCACACAACCATAAGCAGATGCTAACGCGTGCGCATATCCGCTACTTAATTCCGATTAAGCATAAGTATCCACCGGCATCACTGTCACGCTTGATTAGGCTTTGTTGCTCAAGAAATTATGATGCCGATAGAAAAGTGGGTAACAAACCACGCAAAACACAGTAAATTTAACAATTTACTCCAGACACACAATATAATACACACCGAATGAAGTCGGCATTCAACCGATAATCTGTACAGTTTAGTTGGCCTTATACTGTTACAGTTGATCTAATAGACATCTGCAACGAGCGTCTGTCTTCACACACAAACTCACAACAATATCGTGGCCTTAATAAGGTGGCATCGGAAACTAGGTCTTAATTGTATGAATTATCGTACAAGAATCAGAAGATTTCATACACGCTCTCTGATTTTTCCGAGCAGACGCGCACGAACACATCAACAGGCGCAACCTTTCAAATGACTGAAAGATGCCGTTGATCACTAGCGTTTACCGACGGATGCTGATCGAATACGTTGTCGGTGCGCTGCATGTACAGGTACACACTGGGCATCGTAAGCGTAGTCTACTCTTTCTTGTAGACAAGATGGCATTTTTTTTCTTATGCTGAATATAATGCGCTGGACATGCGAAGATGATTGAGACCGCGTTACAGCTAAAGAACACTTTATTGTTGGTGTTTCTTTGATGTTCTTCTTGATTAAATCCGATGATTAAGCCGGTGGCTATTAGCGACTGGGTTGTACTTGCAGGTTGTAAGCGCCGTGCTGCGCAATTATAAGCCTTTTGTATAGTGCAGACTAATAACACCATCCATCTAATTTTGCATAACTGCCGAAGATCACTTTCAAAACTTTCCCCTATCACATAATAATTATAGATGTAAACATTGTGCAGTATACCGCTATAAAAGCTTTTTTGTCCTGATGCAACTGACTGTTTTCCGGCAGTTTCAAAAGGTAAAGATCGATCTTTTTCCGAAACAGTGTACCTGTGCCGGTTAGTAAGATAGAATTTAATATGAAAGCAATTTTCTTTCACATCGAATTCCATGTGGACAACTTCTTCCTGTATAGAACGTGACGTAAATTAAAACCACAACTTCAAGAAGTTCTATATCAAAGCTCCTTTCTCCACATAAACTGGAGAAGACATGCTACAACGAAAAAATCTAAGGGTAGAGAACCATTCTATGCAACGGCATTAATAGCAATTCAGTCGAGTAAACAGTATATCGTGTTTTGATTCTTGCCAAAGTCAAAGTAAAACGAAAACGATACCGACGTAATAATAACGTTTGTGATTAATAATAATACTGTGCAGATCGCTAGTCCGACATCCGCCTCTATTAATCATCCACTAATTATCTCTAAGTTTAATAATATGTGTCGCATATCTTAACGAAAGCGAAAATATACGTGCCAGATACACAATATGCAGGCGAGCTAATGGTGAAAAATGATCTGGTAAAAAACGTTGAAGTGCTCTTCGCAATCCATGCAGTTAGCCAGCAGTGTTACGTTTCCAGTATTGATGGTAGCTGTCTAGCGTCAACATTAACACAATTTTTTGCGAATCAATTATTTTTTATTGGGTTAACGAGAAATAAATAAAGGCAGTCAACGCTTGTTAAGAAAAGCATTCCGTGATCAAGAAAAAGCACGGCAGGACAGTATCGACACTTTTACGCTAATTGTGCATCACCAGCTGCAGCTGTGGTAGACATTACTGATGCACATGCAGTACTGTAATAGGGTACAAGGTACAGCAAAAGCTAACTGTAATGGTAAGAAATAATAAGGAAAATTTATGTACTCGTACAATACTGTATGATATTGCATTGTATTGTATAGTGTGCTTTCCGCAGTGTGCTTTCCGCAGTTCGCCGTCTGCTGTCTTGTTGTACGAGTGTCACGTACTGCATTACAACTCTATGGCGTTTAAAACCGGTAACTTGTTCATGTTGTTATACTGTTATGCTCCCCGCATAGTTTAATTAATTTTAGTGCTTTTTTTAAAGTGGTAAACTCATGCGCATATATGTTAAGGACCGTCTGTCATGTATTTCAGTTAATAATCAAGTATGTTGTATAGCACTGTATACTGCACAGTATTTACTGCACGGTCACTAGCAGAGAGGGTAACTCTCTGCTAGTGACCTTATGCAAAAACATTAGCCTTTTTGCGCTTACAATTATAAAGGCACTTCAGCTATATAGGGAAGTTGCTTACTAAACCGTAGCATTTAGGTAACAAAATATATTGACTGCATAGCCACTTGACCTTTACGAATGCACTGGAGCCACCTTACCATAAATTATTGGTATACAACACAATTAAAGTTAAAGCAAAAGATTTAAAAGTCAAAGTCAGATCGTAGCGATTCGAAAATAAAGAATGTATCAGAATTGCGGCTTGACATGTCAGTTAACAGTTTTTAGTTCAAGGCTATCTATAAACATCTATCGTTGAACCACAAATCCGGTGGCAATCAGCTTGTCCAAGAAGAACTTAATATCGGACAATTCGGCATCGGAAATCCCCAGCCCGTGGAGATCTTCTGTGTTCCCGGATTCGGTGGCAGTTAAAATGTTTCGAAATCGTTCAATGTTTTCCTGACCCATGTTTGTAGCAGCGCCAAAGTCGTTGATGGTTGGGCTTCCTGCAGTAAGCAATGGGATGTGTTTGAGTAAAATATTTTTGTCATATCTTTGATGGGGTTTATATTTGTGGGTTGCATCATTCATGCGCATGTTCGATCATATCTAAGAAAAATTTCGTAAGCATAGTAAGAGTGCATCGTTAATACTTAAATTTTCGATTTGAAAATGGACTGTGTAAACATTTAAAAGCGCATATTTCTCTATTCCTTAAATAAGTGTGGAAATTTGTTCTAAAAGTAACGTCAATTCAGGTTAGACGAAATAGACTAGTTTTATACGGACAAGCTTATTTTAACTACCCAGTAGAAGGTAAGTAGTGGTTTTGCAGTTAAGCAATTGTACATTGTATGAAATTAACCTTAAGATCCAAATATTCTCTACCGTCTTTGATTGATAATTACATGATCAGGTTCAAATATTGGGCCCCATATGAGCTTACCGGACAAAGCAACAGCAACATTAGCCACTCCACCCATTTTTTCCATGTTGTTTTTTGCCACCGGTCCGAAAACCTTTTCCAGAAAGTTCGATCCATGCGATTTCAGGAGGTTATGAAAGAAAGTCGCCGTTTCTTGGACAGGTGGACGCTTTGCTGTTAAGACACACTGTTTAATAATTCAGTTGTATTTATTATGCATTTGTAATACTGTTTTCCTGTCTATATTTGTAATGCTGTCTGCGTTCAGGACCAAATTACGCATGTGTTATACCTGAAATTAAATACAAATGTAGGTGATTTTTTTTAATATATCCTTCATATGAGTTATTTCTGTTTGGTAGACGTACATATTCGGTGCTTAATAATTTTTAGTTTTTTATATGCATACATTATTATATAAACTCATGAGCATTATATAGCTCATTACTTGTACTTCCAGTGTTGTACACTGGTAATTTATTAATTTTCATAATAATATAGATGCGTTGTTGTCTTTGTAAATCTGACAACAAGCAAATCAGGTCTGTCAATTATCTAATTACGTTTACAAATGAAGTTCCCTACACAAGGAGGGCTAGCGTCTGTAATGATGAATTAAGGAGTCATATAAAACTAACTACAACAGATGAAAATTAAGGGTGCGCTCACCAGTCAGTATTATGCTCTAAAAACTCGGCATGCGTGACTATTGTCTAGCAAGAGAAGTATTAAAATGTGCGTGAGTGCAAAAAGGGACGCGTTTTGGGATAGACAAGCGCCCTTGGCCACAATAGCACAATGCATCGGGTTTTCTCCCGTTGATTTGCTTGAAGTCATCATTTATGGACCAATTTCATGGATCATTAAATTTATTTTATGATTTATACTAGCGTAATTCCAGTAAAAGATGGTTGAGTAGCGTAGAGTGTTGCGTCAAGTGCCCTGGGGTGTTAAATTTATATGAGCCATTAATATTGAATTTCGTGCAGTATAATATCTATATTCTGTAATTTGAGTACTTTCCAACACATATCCGCGTTGCGCATGCTGCCGGCTTACGTTTTCCACTACTGGAAGTTGCTACTTAAATAGATACTACGAGTAGTGCAAGATAAAGTTGCCCTTTCTACATATACAAATATACCCTTATAACTTTCGGCCTTTTTGTGTACTTCATCTGTTCAAACGTTAGGCAATAAAAATTGTCAAATAATTTAGAAAAATAATTTAATAATCTTGGTTATTAAGGATAGTTCGCGCAGTCTATGTAAGAGTGCGTGCGGGACTTCTGCCCTTGACCTTAAAGTTTCACATAACATAAACATAGCATAGGACAAATTTTACAGCCACGCGGCCGGGATTACTAACTTTAAATCCTTAAGAATTATAACGTAGCAGCAATCAGATTCTACAGCGACTCAGTAAGGAGCTTAGCGGTAGCCGTTCCTAGTTTACCGTTAGTTGGCTCGAGCATTCAGTTTTACCTGCTGAGCACAAGGCTTTGTTTTCATCATATCCATCCGGACAATCAGGACTACCATCACATACGAAGCCGAGAGAGATGCATTTTTTGACAATTCCGGGACACATGAACGGTTCCGTGGGAGGACAGGCAGCCACTACCGCTTTGGAAAAACATTTCACAAAGGTCAACTTGGCACATATAGATGTAAAAGTATTCTTACCATTGCGCCGGACAAATCGTATTCCAAAAGGAAGTCGAGCAAAATTATCGAATTCACTGGGATCGTTCTCCACGTTCTCGGTATATCCACGACTTCCAGACAGGCAAATTGCAAAGGTCACCAATGCAAAGCATACCTTTAGACTCGTCGCTGGACAGTTATACATGATTGACTCGGAATATCAAAAAATAAAAGAGCAAGTAAGGCTTTTCCCCAATATGTTCAACCGGAACACTAGAATATTCGCTGCAGTGTGACCTGTGAAGAGAAAAGCTCTTACTGGCTCACAGATTGGAATATGCCGAGGTCTTTAATAAATCAGGAACCCAGTTGAAGAGGAAGAGAGGGATGAATTAGTGACGCACTTGCCTGTGTGCGACCTGATCTGGATTATCACTTTACTCGGGGAAGCTGCTAGATCACGCCCTTCTGTGGGATAGCCGGCGCAGCGCGCGCCAACAACGCATTGTGCTGGTGCGATCCGCCGACAGTAATGCTGTGCCCACAAAATGATTTCGTGACGGTAATATAGAGTCCAAACATCACACGGCCAGTTAATGTCTGTTGAGTTGATTTCCAAATTAAAAAACCATATTTTCATGATGCACTTAAGCGAATACTAATGGGTTTTACTGTATAAATGCGGGATTAATAAATATGCAATGCCATTTCAACAGGAATTCTGGCTAATGTCTTGCACAAACAGAGTTATATCGGCAGCTGCGCCGGTGTACCCATAATTTTACCTTTTAGTTGTTATATACTGGCATAGAGGGCGGACAGCGTGATTACTTGAATACACACTTTTTGCATTTATCACCTCCAAATACAGATGTAAAAATAGCTGGGTTGCACGATATTTTTTTCAAGTCTAAAGTGTCCTCGAAATTCCCACGTATTAGATTCAGCTTGTGTACAATACGGATAAACGGTATTTCGAATTTCGATCTTATTAAAAATGAGTTAGCCATTGATTTTGCTGAGGATCTATGATTCCATTTCGGTTTTGTAATAACATTAGTATTTATTTCACTATCGCAACATGCGTAGCAGTGCAGGCTGCTAGAAACGCTAAAACGCCAGCCTTTCAATTTACTGTAATGTTCACCCATAAACTGTGGATGAATATTTATGAATCTGACAAATCTTGAGATTACCGGCCAGCCGCATTTATTGGCGAACAAAAGCCCGCACGCCCAGGGAGACTCGGGGAATACAAAAATACCCCGTAGGAATTGTTGACTTCGAAACAGCGACAATGCCAAAGAAGGGACAGTATTCAGCAGCGCAGCCACATGGGTGCAGTGCAGCAGTAATCATTGTCACACAGAACAGTTGTAAACTGCAAAATTGCTGTCGTATACCCTGTATTTATTCCATTGCACATGAAAATTATTACTTTGGTTCTGGAACAGCAGTACTTTCGAAACTGTATTTCCAGTTCAGAGAATACTTTTTTTCACATATAATTATTTATCTGAAAATCTTTGTTGATACAGCTTATTCCGGAACAGGAATATCTGTACAGGAAGTCAGCTGTAAATGTTCGAGTAATCTGCAAATAGCGCACGTGGAATTTGGTGCTTCGGTACAATTAAGCGCGCTCTGTGAGTGACCAAAGAAAATCACGTCGGACACGAAAAGTCAACACTTCGACTGGAAGCCGGCAGCTCTGCCTTCGCAGCAAGTCTTTCGCAACATTCTAATGCCTACATGCAGACTGTTTCTAGTGTGATATTATTCTTCCACACCGGTCTCAATCCGAATTCTTCAACACCAAACCGAATTATAAAATTAATATAAATCACAGTCTGTATTCCTCACTCATTTTGAATTATGTTCACAAAATGTTATGTCCGTTTAATTTACGGACGTTCAATTTGAGCAGTGGAGAATTCTTATTTAGCTAAATCATTTTCTCGAGAATTCAGAATACGGATGGCTATTTTTTTATTTTTAAAATAACGTGGAGAGTTAAAGCAAAGGCAGTAGGAACGTTTGTAATAAAATTACTATGGTGATTTGTGCTCAAGTGTGTGATTTAGAAGGTCACCTTCAAAGTATTACGTGGGTTTTCCGTGGCACCTTCAACTTACCACACGAGTGCGCAACATCTTCTGTAATAAATTTAGCCAAGGCTTATTCGTATTTCGAAGTAGTTCAACCAACCCAGTTTTAATTAAAAAGTACGAAAGCGCTGGTTTGACCGTTTAAGGTTTCTCAGGCTCAAATTAAACGAGAATTTTACCGCATGCATCTACGTAATCGCAAGAGCTTTAGGAACAACAATTCATTTTTGCAGCTGCTGTTATGGTCACCTTGAATGTTTGTTTGTTGCAGTGGCCCACTTAACGTTGCCCTTAACACACTATGTAGACACGTAAGTACAAGAAAAAGCATTACCAATAATTGTGCGAAAAAAGCATTTTTTGTAGATTTGTTTTGCACGGACAATTCTTTCTTGAATTTACATAATTATGACATATGCCGAGGTGAGACTTAGTAACAAACTTAATAAAATTAAACATAAGTTTTTTTGTGACAATAGCGGTGTTTGCAAACGCTTAATTAAGCCCATAATAACTATTACGTCAATTGAAGTAATCAAAAGATGGCAATGAAAAAATGCCGTACTTCACCATACACTCTTGCGTATTGTTTGTTCAGCTTATTAGTCATGTGACACGTGATACAAAAACAATATATTTATATCTGCAAAATACGTTTGCCTCATAAGGTTCATGAAACCGGCAAAAAATAAGAACGCCCACATTGCGCATTACCTGAAATTGAAAGACTGGATTACTGCACTAACGCAACAACAACTGCCACTGGAAGACGTTATAAGTGGGCATCGAGCCTTGAAGGGGAAGGAAGATTTAGATTTAATTAACGAGCCTCTGGATAAGTACCGGAACTTGGCTTACCGACCCCCTAAGCCACAATGTGTAGCAGAAAGCGCAAGCTGGAACAAAAATATCGAAAACCTATACAGATATCGCACTGCCGGCTACTGCGATGAAGTTTATTACTGGATAATACATAAAAGCGCAGGTAACATTGTAAATACGATAGATACAATTAGAAGCGCAGTTTTGCTATTTTGGTGGATATTGCCTGATGGGAAGCAGGATTGGATGTTACCTGTATAGGTTAAGTACTTGTTTATAGAAGTTAATGGGCTTTATTTATGTCTTCATATTCGTCCAGTTCGCCGTAACTTTACTTTTGCAAATTGCAGTAAATCTGCATTTTCCTTAAGCCCATGTTCCCGTGCCAGTGGTTAACGCGATAATTAATTTCAAAACAACAGAATCAGGAGGAAAAAAACTTACTGTATTTATTATGACTTAAAAAAAATTAATGAAACTAATTTCTTATGTCCCTAGCAAAGCAATGGGAGCTAAATGGGTTCATTAAGGAACTTCCAAGTCTACAAAAAGGACGCAGGATTCGAATTGGTCCATTCCGAGAATGCACTGATAATAAACTCAGCCAGCTTCGCCTTAATTATTACGACGAACGATACATGCGGAAAGATCAGAACATTATAGAGATACTGCAACAAGGGCTGGCCGGAGCTCAAAATGACCTGATAAAAAAATCTGCTAATGCTGTTTCGGCAGATCATGACAAATTAGCCAAGAAAAAAGACCCAAAAGTAAAGATCAACGGCAAAAAACAGAATGCGCCATCCGCTGCGGACGTTGTGCCTCGGTGAACGAAAACGAAGGTGACGTAAAAGTGAGCAAAAGCTTTAATACTCGCATAACTTGGTTCTAAAATAATATTATCGCCAGTGTTAATACCCATGCGAAAAAATTACAAAAGCTACAAGGTGCACAAACTTTCACATGTATGTGTAAAAAACTAGTAAATATGATAAACAACATTCATCCAAAGAAGACAAAAACCTAATACAATACCAATAGAAAAAAGTATAAAAATCTTCCAGCAGAAACAAATGTCACGGGTCGAATATGCCAGGAACAATCCAGAATATCACAAAAAGCATTCATAATATAGAAATCGTTTACTCTGGAATTAGCCAAGAAGGGAGGCGGCAGGTGATTCTAACGCATCCGGATACGTAACGTTGCGGTCCTTGTGAAACTTTACAACATATCCCGGATGAGGAATGTTCTCGTAGCACGGATTGGTCTGGCTACCGGTGATACAAGAGGGTTGACGGCGTGCTTTTGGTCGCAGTGATTCCACGTCGTAATCGAAAAGAAGGCTTTTCTCATCACCGTATTCCGCTCGGCGAAGGTGTTTTCGGAATATAATAATAGCCACGGCGATTACTATTACGCACAAAATACACGCACAAATTATTCCGGCCACGGTGGACGAGCTGTACTTTCCCTGATTAGGCGCAACCAAAGCTTCCCGCTGAATATGATCATCCAAGAGCACACACTTGGTATCGTTCACCAGCTGATAGCCACTCTGACAGACGCAAGTGTAATAGTGAGAGACACGAGCCAGGCATATTTGGTCGCAGAGACTAACAGCGGGTTCGCAAGGAGAATCGAAATGGGGCTGCCGCGATGGATGCACAGCCACTATTCCCAACGGACGCATCGACATGTCGTGCACTAGCTGGAAATCGCTCCCGTTGGTCAGTACGCTGTAAATGCCCCGGTGCGTCCACTCCGTCCAGTAGAGACGATTGCCGATCATTGTTAAGCCGAACGGATGTGAGGATGCCATGCGGAAAACCGTGCGCCGGTCGTCCCCGCTGTATGATACTGATTCAATCCAGTCTAACTGAGCATCAATAAAATACAAGCGATCCCAGATATAATCGATTACCAAAGCGTTCGGCCATAACACTTTATGGGAAACGACAACAACTCCTAAACAATAAAACATGTGCACAGTTAGAAATTTAACAAAAAAAAGCAATGCGGCCAGAATTCGGCCTTCTAGTTACGCGGTAGTTATTAATCAATATCACAAGCACTACGTCATTTTCAACTTCTTGCAAAAAAAACCGACAAACTACTGTACACCTATTCGTAAGCTCTTTTCCCAACTTTTTAGCTGTTTTAGCATTAGCAAATCATAATTCACATAATTTTTTCGTATTTCCCATGACTTCGTTACTTACTTGCACTACCGTCCAGCCATGAACGCTCAATCTTCGGCTGTGATCCCCACTGAGCGAAGAACAACAAACGTTTTCCTGGATGAACCGCCAATCCGCGAGGATTATCAATTTCAGCATCGATCACGGGAGCACAATGCGCTGATTTCCTGCTGACAGAACACACTCCAATCTCCGGCTTGCCGGCATCCACGTAATAGAGATTTTCGCTGACCCAGTCGAATGCGATGCTTTCCGGCATGACCATATTCTTGAGAACAACGCTCCGTTCGTGGGTAGATTCGTAGCGGATTATGTGTTTCCGGTCAGCATCGCTGTAGAAAATCTGGAAAATAATGTCATCTCAAATAGCAAGCATCTCCAAAGACTTGCATCTGCACTAAATATCTCCCTACCGTGCTGGATTCAAAGCTATTATTCTGCTTCCAGTCTAGTCCTACAGTCATGGTGGTCAGTTTCCCTTCTGTAAAGAGATCATTATGCCGAAAACCCTCCGTTTCCATGTACCGAATCTCCCCGTCAGTGGAATACATGAGCAACGGAACGTGATGGGCCGATTTGCACGTATGACCATCAAATTCCAGGAGGAAACCGGGAGCGCAGTGACATTTGTACGAGCCTTTCAGATTGATGCACAACTGACTGCAAGGGCCTCCAAGTTGTGAGCCGCTTGTTGCACATTCATCGATATCAGCGCAGGCTCTTCCGTCGGGAGACAGAACATACCTACATAAGGAATTTGCAACATAATTCAGCAGCAATAGTACTTCACAGTCGTAGTATTTCAGTTTCATAGTAAGAATATAAACAATAACACGTCACCGTTATAATCACCATGGCTTTAAATTCTCTCTGCAAACGCAGAGAATGTTTTTGTACTCAAGTTTAAACAATTTAAAGTTACAGTCGAGTAGTAAATAAACAATTGTAAAAACTTTGTTGGTTAGATCAAAGGCAGATTAATTTTTGTTATGGTAATACTGTATTTACCAATAATTTACATTATAAGAGTACATACCCGCGAGGACAAGAACATTTCCGACCCGCCGGAGTAAGGTTACACTTATGGCTGCATTGTCCGTTGTTCTTCTCGCACTCCTTCTCCGCCAGTTTGCAACCAAAGCCCTCGTCCGTTCCGTTTTTACAGTCATTATGATGATCGCAAACCTTACTCAACGGCAGGCACATTGCGGTCCCGTTTAGGGCATCACAGTGGAACTGGTCATGAGCGCAGGTCAACGCCGACACGGCATGGAGAGCTGCGGAATTGGGAGGCAGCGTCCACGCGCCCGGACAGTTGTGTTCATCGCTGCCATCAGCGCAATCAGCGCCCTGATCACACCGCCACGACCTGGGGATGCACTCTCCATTTGCGCAAGCGAAATCAGTACTCGGACACTGCGCTGAGCTAGCAGTTGTGGAGATTTCTACCGTTCCAAGTTCTGCATTAAAATCATGAATCTGTATTACAAATCATTAACCATGAATCTTTATCATCTTAATCAACCTGTATCTTGGCAAATGATTTTATAAAAATAGTTATATCAAGTACAACAATAAATCTACAATAAACTATATATCTGAAAAAAATTATCCAAGCGCACCCTACCGGCCATATATCCGCCTCCAGTTTTGTCTATTTTCTTGCTGACACTGCAGTCCGCCAGGGTTTCATCCGTACCATCGTCGCAGTCCTTGGTCCCGTCGCACACCCACGCTCCTGGTATGCAACGCCCATTTCCACAGCGAAATTCATTTCCGTGACAAGGCGGAAGGGGCGTTGTCGAGCGGCACTCATCGTTCTCCTCATCGGACCTGTCTTTGCAGTCGTGTTTCCCGTCGCACCATTCTTTCTGAGGGATGCACTCCATCTTACTGGCGCACATTCGCTCACCCACGAAGCATGCGTTCGTCTTTGCGCATAATTCCACGTCTTCGTCTTCGTTATCCGGACAATCTTTGGCGTTGTCGCACTTCCAGTGTAGCGGAATGCACATATGACCTGTGATGCAACCAGGTAGCGGTCATTATATCACAGATATGCGGTAACATCCAGACGCTTATTTAAGCGGCTGGAGCTGAATCTTGCAGATCAATTAACCTTTGAATTCTGTATGTTTATATCGCTGGTCGGAACTTACATTAACATAAACTAAAAGTCTGACACTAAATACACTGAACAGCACAATCAATTAAAACGCAAACCATTATTTAGTGAATGCAGTTATTTCAGAAAATTATTTTGATGTATATATGCTACGTACTTTTGGGCATTATTCACGCAATTGCTTGTATTAAGATTCCAGAGGGATACAGTTGCGCCACTACTATCTTGCTATTCATACTACTTTGTCTTGCAGTACATACATACAAATTTCCAGACACACATGCAAACAGCGATTGTCCAGACGCTGACCTTATTTTCATCGATACTACATATACAAACGAGGCATTTGCTTCATTCACATTTGAGCCACACCTTATGAAACTGCGAGCGCACGGTCGCTGATTAATGATAAAAAACACCGTATTTATTAATTATAGTACGCGGTAAGTATCCGAAAGTCGAACAACATGTGTATTGCCAGCAAAACCGCATATTATTATTATAAAAACGATATTATTTTTTGCATACATTATTGTACACAACCTTTCACAAGTGGGAAAAGAAATGTGTGAAGAAACCTTTAAAAAAATCAGGCCTTTTCAGTCTCCCGAATCACAATTTAGATTTACCGTGTTCGTTTCAGAAGGGCTGCAGAAGGAGTTGCAGAAATATTGTACTACTGTCAACAATAAACTATTGTACTTGTCCTTGTATTGTACAACGAAGTGCAATGTTTTGAGATCGCACCTAGCTGTTGACATCGGGATCGAATGTTTCGATGGTTTTTCGGAAACCAATGTTTTCCAGCCGGATTTGTTTTTTCAGCAGTATTAGATGTATGAAACCTGTAGCTTCTGTTCAAAGTTTTGTGCCATGGATGCAGAAAATTGAACATAAAATTGTCGGCATATTCTACTTTAACTGTAAGTAAGTTCAATTCTGTTACAGCAAAAAAAGCATGACTTTCGTCTTTATCATTCGAAATAGCAAAGTTTTGGCTTTAACCGATAATCATTCGGTTGCGTTATAGTACGCCCTGATCGTTATTGTTTAGGACCTCCACGCATTACCAAGAGAAAAATTTTAAGTCTAGTTTTAGGCTTTTAGCCTTTAGGTACCAATTTCTAAAACTATTACTTACTGTATCGCTTTCTGTAAATACTGATAAATTAGCAGTGCCGTCACTCGAACTGCATGTAAATGCACAATAATATAATAAAGAACTTTATTTTCATTCAGCCTGCGTAGGTAGAAGGGACTGCGCTAGAAAAATGCTGTTGACAAAATAAATAGTTTTCTATTTTAAAAAGAACTTAACTTAGAAGAATGAAATACAAGTTTTCTATCAGTCTCTTAATCTGTATTGTATAAAGTGTTATGTTAAAGAGTTCCTACAAACAGGATTAAAATTAAATATTGGTAAGCGTTTTTGTTTCCATGTTTCTTGTTTTCTCGACGTACCGTAGCACGCGCTTTATTATTATGAACGTTTCCGGTAACAATGAATTCCAGCCATTTCCAGTGTCTTGATTTATACCGCGCACCGGGTGACTCACCGCGCTCACACAAAGTGCAAGTTGCAAGTGCAATGGGCGTGTTCGAAGAAAAGTTGTGAATCGGTGCTCTGGCTTCATTCATCTGTCTATCAATCGAATTTGAGAATGGACCAAATAGGACAGACCAGCCCGTATGAGACCGTACTGGCTGTCTAATAACTGAGCCGGTCTGTGTGGCTTATTCAATGTGGAAAAGTGGCAAATCGACAGCCCATAGCGTTATCTCCCATTCAGTTCCGCAGCTTCTGCATATGGCTTTGGTTCTTCCGAGGAAAACTCAGCAATAGCATAAATGAATCCATGGCCAAAATCTCTACTGGCATAGTTCGTAAATTGGATTCATAGGTCCATTCATTTTGTAGTGGATTTTCGGTTTAGTAGTGGAACGTCCTCATGCTGTAGCGGTGTGGCCCGTTAATGTACTGTTTTGGTTTTCATTCGGAATTTGCTTCCACGCTGTGGAAATGATGGTCCATTAAGCTGACATTGGGAAGCCTGGCCCAGTTATCCAACACATCCGGAGCCGTTCAATACGTCTTGGAACAACCAGTTTGTTGTGGCCGAGTTCAGCAGAATGTCAACAGCAACAGCCTTAAGGATTTAGTGGGCATTAATAAGCTTGCAGTCATGAATGAAGAAAGCTTAAGCAGGTACTGTACGTGTGCCAATTAATCGTAAATTCAATACCAGTCGACATTGATTTAAGTTTGAAATTTTCTTTTAATACTGTATGCTGTGACTTAGTAAAATTAGTGTCGCATGTAATGGTTGCAGTGGTACATTTTATCTCAATAATATGATATGCTATGCGCAGTATCGGAATAATTAAATCGGTGGTAATTGGTTAATTATTGTTATTTACTTCAGTAATCAATTGATTACAGATGCTGTATATACTAATAGGTTGAAAATTACCACTGTAACATCCATATAAAGAAGATAAAACAAAATTTTGAGTAGTTCAACTTTCAAATGGAACACACGTGAGCTGTAAATCGTACTGAGTATCGCAGTAATATTTTTTGTTTTCAATTAGGAACATTGTTATTTGTTTCGGCTAATATTGAAAAGTTCTATTGATCGCACTGTCGTACTTATAATATAATGCATATACTGGATATCTGCAGACTGCAGAGGCTCACAGCATGAGCAGTTTTAACAAAAAAATCCGTTTCAAAACTTCGTTCCAGGCTCCAGCAGACCAGCATAAACTGGCATTTTCTCATGTATTGTTATTGTTGTACAAGCACAAGTGAGCAACTGTGTACTGTAACACTGTTTTTCGAAGCTGTAATTGTACGTAGGTTTATTCACTATTGTAATATTTTAATAATTTTGGTCCTTATAGGCCAATTCAGACAGAAACTTACGCGGGATGGCGATCTTGAAAAATCTTAGAAACAGTGAACTACGTAATTTTAAATTACTAAAATTGATTTTTTATTCAGTGTTTCAAGGATTATCATCAACGTTAACGATAGTGTGCGCTCTTGAAAAAATCTAAGATGCACGAGTGTTGCAGTTTTCAAGAGCACGATTGCAGCGCAAATGGTGTCTGTGCGTGGTTTTTGTGTTTGTTGTGAACTGAAATAGAAATCGTGAAGAACGAAATTGCTTTCCAAGTAACTTATAATATATTTCAATTTTAACTGTGACATAGTGTACCTGCGCTCGCAACTATTTTTTTAATATAATTAGTTGTTGCAGAATTTTTTCTGTTTTCTTATGCTAGTGCAAGATGACATGCAGTAGCTTGTAGCATAGAAGTATCAATAGTGCTCCTTTAGGCTTTAGCTATAGGTTTTTCTACTGAGTCTGTTTTTGCTCTTAAATTAAGTTACTCGTTTAGGGGGAATATCGTAAAACTAAACATGCAAACCATTGCAAGGTATTATTCTTTTACTTGACATTGCAGATTTGTAATTTATTGTTTGCTGCATGCTCTGAAAGCGAATTATATCATTTCAGCGCAAGCACAGTGCCGCGCCTATCGCTGGCAGTAAAATTCTTTCTATGTTATCGCGCTTCTTATCGTTTTCCGCTGATTTGTTGGTTGGATCATGTTAAAAGCTACAAATGAAATCCGACGCTCATTAATGTATGAACTGGTCTGGCAAGTGAACTTGCTTGTTTACCGCATTGCAGGAAGTAATTAGATCGAAGTGCTGTCTGGACATGAAATATTCATTTCCAGTGAACTCGTTTTGATGAGATTTGCTCCAGCTAGCTGTACATCTGGTGATCGGCAACAGTACTGTACCGTGTTGATTTTCCCGTCAGTTCAGCAGACATGAAGTCTTGTTGGCCTATATGGCATTACAGGGAGACCATGGCGTAGTACGTATTCACATTCATTAAAGCACGTTAAGGAAGTGGTCATCCGTGACGTGTTACGCTTATTACAACGTTACCGTTGTTTAACATCTTTCAGTTGGAAAGGCAATGTTGCGTAATCGAGCTTTGTATAAGCATAGTGAATAAACGTGCGAATTGATGATATGTTATTCTCATGAAGCTTGCTTTTTGACGTTTGTAATATGCCTGCAGGTGTTTGCGTTTAGCGTAAAAGACAGGCATCGAGACAGTACAGAAGTGCACTATCGCACTTTGTATGTGTGCACGATGGAACAGCAACCTTGAACTATTTTAATATTAATTGCAATTTCGCGTCCAGTGACACTTTCCTTGACAGCAGCAAGGTAATTAAATAAATATAATTGATAATTAGTCAGTCACAAATTGACGCTGCCGCTAAGCGATTTATGGACTGTTTGCTCTTATCAGTCTGGTACTGTAGTGGCTCGCACATCTTGTACCACAGAGTTGGTGTACGGGAAAAATGTGCATCCAATATACACACTCTAACCGGGCAAAACGCACGATTCGCAATCGGCGTGCATTGATAAATTTCTGATGTTTCTCAACTTCTGGTCTGGAGAACCTTCTTGAATATTAAAAAAATTAGAGCTCTAATAATTATTAACTAAATTTATGCTCAAAAGCTGCCATTAACTTAAATCTTGCTATCAGCTCGAATTCAAACACTGATTTGTTGTGGTTTTGGGGTGCCCTGCAGAGTGAGGGGCACGTTCAGCGTCAACATTCTACAGCTACAGAACAATTCGAGTTCTCAGATACAGAGCTTCTTTTCTAAGGTGAATTACAATTTTAAAGAAAATGTTTGATTCTGGACAGATTCAGAAGGAGAGTTCATCTTGAAGTCAAATCAAGCATTATTTCGTAGGCGTGCATTTTGCCCGGTTAGAGTGTGTATATTGGATGCACATTTTTCCCGTACACCAACTCTGTGGTACAAGATGTGCGAGCCACTACAGTACAATAAAAAAAAGACTATGAACGGACACAGAATTCATGCACAGCACTGACAGCAGTGACTGCATCATTTTGGTTACCGGCTTTATCACCCTACAGAACATTAAACACTGGGACTTTCAAAGGGTTAACTTGGGTGTAAACTCTGAAAGTAGCAGGTTGGCAACTTCTAATTTTTTATCCACTGTTTTACTTTTTAGGGTATGACGAACTCTTTCCATGGAGCTGTGAAAAAAAATACAGAGTACATTACTTTTATTACTTATTACCGATTTTGCAAGGCGCGCAGGCCAGAGTAGTATTACTAGTAGTAGTAGTTTATCATATTGCAATATCCCTCCCTATAGCTGCAAGTAGAAAGAAGCCAAAACACAGTAACTTACCTATATGCATAAGTACTGTATTGTATGTTATTAAACTTACCAGTTAGTATTTAAAAGTTACGGATCAACTTTCTCTGGCTAACCAAAAACCCGCTACCTATCTAACGTACATGATACATGTTATTTATAAATTTCCTTTTCAAATATTAAAAGAAAATAATCCGGGAAAAAAGGAAAGTGGAGGAAACTTATTAGTTACCGATTTTAAATGGGCCTCGCTGTAAGGCTTTGCGGTCTGGAGTCGCCCATTGCGCACTTTTTTTAATTCGCAGATCTTATTCTTACTTTTTTTAATTCGCTGATTTTATGAGATACGTATTCTGTACGGTATTTGCATTGGTAGCAGCGTATATAATTTTAACTTTCACCGTACATTTTTATTTCTTAATTGGTTACTGACTGCGATGAAAAACGCCGTCAGTATGTGATTTATGTGTAACAACGAAACCGTGAACTGCTTTGCAAAACCGATTGTAAGGAATAGGAGTACCGGAATAGATCATTATTGCCAACTTAAAATTTTAAGAATAACCCAGAATGGAACATTCGGGGACTGTGTACTTTGATTTAGCAGTGTATGGGTAGCTTTTAATTGTCGCCTTCGCCGCCCATAAATACGAGTAGTCTTATTAAAAACCGCCACATACTTGCGGGCTAGTATTGTAAAGATATAATATCTATATTATGTTTATTTGGAGGAGTGCCATACTGCAGCTTCTGTACGTCTAAGCATTTCCCGCAAATTAGCTGTAATAATGTGGTTTGATGTTTTAATATTCATTTCTTTTCTCTGCGAAGCCTGTATGCGTCAGATTACTGATCATCAAGGTATGCTGATCGGAGTGATTACACATTATTAACTGAATTTAGCCGGTTTGTTACGTGTCCAGCGAAATGAAGGCTACTTGTGGATTTCTTTTAGTGATACCTGCTTGGTGCGTGTTCGGGCGCAAGTTATGACTCGGGACGATTCCACCGGTGGATGGGTACCTGTGGGAGGAGGTGGATTGAGTTATGTGGAACTTCGGCGTATTGCTTTATTAGCCGGGGAGAGTACCAACGTCAGCGATCAGCCAGCCAAACCAAAAATTGAGTTTCTTATCATCGGACGTCGTATAACCGATAACAGCGTAAGTGCTTTGTTTTCCCAACTTTTTCCCTCGGATCCTACGCGGCCTAGATGGGCACCTGGTTGTCGATGCCTCGAAAACAATCTGCGTAACCACTGACGGCAGCTATTGATTTGTTGAATTTGTGCGCTGGTGTTTTCTGATTAGCTTCTGGCGAGTTGCTTACCTAATATTTGTTTGAGGTTTTCTGAAAGTGATGTTCAAACTTAGCCATTGATTTTATATCGGGCCCTGGAAAGATAGTGGGGAAATTGCTGTTTTGGAAGCTAGTTTTAAACTTTGCTGTGAACATGATCTTTTGTGTTTTGGTGGGTATTTAGCAGCTTTGAGTAGTCAGCGTTGTTACATTTTGGACGGAGCTGCATGTATTATCTGTATGCTCCTTTTACCGGATTACTGTTAACACCATAATTCAGTTCTGACAGATGTGCCTATCGTTTATTACAGGTGTGCCTTTCTTGTGCTTTCAAGCGACCGATACAATACAATCAAGTGACACCAACTTTTCGACACTGGCAAATTCAGAATAAAAAGTTTGGATTGACTTTCCAAGCCCAGGGAGATGCAAAAACATTTGACGTGGCCGTTATCGGTGCCATTGCGGAATTAAAAGAGCGTTAGTATCTTGTAAATCTATCCGTTCATCGAGTTATGAAAGTAAGTTTAAGTTTTCATTGTAGTCACACCGGAACCTTCTCCGCGGTCCAGCAGGGCGTATCTGAGTCTGGACAACTCAGACACCGAAAGCGTTTCCGTGGTAAGACAAAGCTGTCCTTTGTGGTTTAGGTTTAAATTTCCATTAATTTCTACACATTCTGACGGTATAACTTCTTTTAATCAATTTTCTACCGATTTTCGTCTGTCTGGGCGCTGGATCATTTTTTGTTGGCATCTGACTTCAACATCTTCGGAATTATACATGTTTACGTCTGCGTTCTGCTGTTGTCAGTACTGTATCAGTGCTTTCATTCTAAAACTGAATGAAGCAGTGCTGGTACCATTGTTGTACTGTTAGTTAACTCGGTCGGGTATTCTACCGTTAGTATTCTACCGTGTCCTTGATGTTTTGTGCTTTTCACCGGTTGTTTATCCAGTGTTATTTGTGTAAATAAAAATTCATTTTCCAGGAGAGCGATGAGCCATCTAGAGGCTCCTATAACCGGCAGACGTACGGTTTTCTCGGCAAGCCTACAATTGGCGAACGGCGCTCGGCTAGCCCGCAACTGTCCTCCGTGTCCGTGCCTTTACCTCTGCGTACCACGCGCTCCAATCAGTCCGCTCAAATGTTGTCCCAACCAGCCGCCAAACGACTCTTGTCCTTGCCAGCCAACATGACCAAATCTCTTTCTTCCCCTTTACATAACGCCACCGTACCGGTACAGCGCGAGACATTTGCACTGCGCAACTCCACCACTCTCTCGCCAGCGGCCTCGGGCAGTCTCAGTGTCCGGAATGCAGCACAGGCCCCACTGTTACCATACTCAAACGCCACCCCCAGCACAACATCCATGGAAAAATACACCTATGTTGATGTTATCAGCACGAAACACGACGATCGCTCATCAACGGCCACCCATTCCGATCCGGCCAGCGGCTCAACACAATCGCATGACTACCACTATCCGGTTGTGGGTGGTGTACAGGGCCAGAAACCGGGTAAACGCGACTCTCTTAGCAGTATTAAAGTGCACAATCTGGACATGATGGCCAGTCATCGGCCGCCGATGCTGCCCATCAAAAGCAAACGCAGTCGCAGCAAAAAACGTGATAATCGCAGCAGTGGCACAAATAAATACTGCCGCAGTGAAAGGAGCCGGTGTAAATACTGCCATGAATTCTACTCGTTGGATAACAATGAGCGGGGGGCATGTGAATTTGCGCCGGATCGTGTGAAGGACGGTATCAACCAGATTACCTGTGTACCGGCTGCGGGACGGATTCTGTGCCATTGTATGCGGGATCCCGAGGGCGAAGGGACGCATCCGTGCAGTTGTGATAGTCTTGGGAAGAGCTGCTTTGGACGCTGGTTAATCGTTGCTGCCTTATCCCTTATTATGCCTTGTTTGTGTTGTTATTATCCCCTGAAGGGATGCTATGAACTCGGCTTGGCCTGTGGAGTATGTGGGGGCAAGCACGAGCCTATGGATCATAGGTGAACCGTGAAGGTTGCTTACGGTTGTTGTTTTTGCTGTGTACAATAAATGTAAATTGTACATGTACAGCAGGCGCTCTTGCAGTTTGCCAATGTTATGAATACTGTTACGGAAATATATTTAATTTTAGACTGTCCTCATGCTGAACAAGTGATAAAATTATGTACTTTTACGGCGGTTCATGATTATATAAATTTTTTTATGCGTTGTGTAGATGAGCAACCTGTTTTTTGTAGGCGATGTGAAAATAAAAACTTGAATAGAATGTGGGGATCTTCTTGGTGCTGTTTTTGTACACCATACCTGTAGTCACCTGCAAGTACGCAGTAGATTTGTGTTTTTGTAACGTGTATTATAACGTCAACGCGCGCACAAAGAAATTATTAACTTTCAAGATGCTTTTATGCAAAACACAGGTTATGATTAAAGTGAACACATAGTGATGAGTATAATGGTTAAGTTATGCCTTCGCAATGATTGTAACGCTTACAAATAAAAATATAAAGGTTGTGTAAAGCTCGTGTACGTGCATCGAGGCGATATTCGGTTGTAATTCTTATTCTGGAGTTAAAACTATCTAAAATCAACTCTTTCCGCCTGCAGTATCAGGATATTTTGTTGGCGTCCTTTATCCTTCATTAACCTACTTCACCAGGATCGAACTGTTTCCGAGTGTGTCCCAGGTTTTGAATATCTCGAGCGCTTATTTATGTAGATGCGTGATTCTGCTAATAAGCCAAGGACTTGCCGTTATTAATTTACTATGCGGTTAAGAAACAAGGTTAGTTGCCGACACCATAACAAACAATCGCACCCTTATTTTCGCTTCCGTAATCGGAACATGTAATATAAGCTTATTTCTGCATCCAGCACGCCCACCACACGGCGTTTGCTTTCAGAGTTTGCGATCCCATGGCCTCAATAGACAATCCAAGAAGCGCAAAATGCCGTAACGTGCATTAAAAACCTGTAAGTGATTACGTACAGCTGTTTCGGCTTGTAACTTCTGAAAATCAAACCGCCCGCATATATTATTAGCCTATTGTAATAAAGTTGATGTATTTTTCACAAACTTGTATTATTACTGGCAACGTTTTCAAAATACCAGCTTTCGCTCAAATCGTCATCGCTGCGATCCCATATGGTGCATGATGTTCATGCGAAAAAGTGTGTTTTCTGTCTGCAAATGGCTTCCCCTAACCGCTGCATATGGTGCGCCATTCTATTCCCATCACGGTATTTTGCTGCACGCAGCATAGGACTCAACATCGATTGACGCGCTGGCAAATCCTTGGCATCAAACGGTATATACGCACAGGAACGAACGCTGGATACCGGGTCCGGTGTACAGATACGTAACGGCATAAGGATTGTATGTTTCTACATTGTACAATACTTAGCTGCCGTACTGTTGGACGATCAATGCGACTTACGTCACTGCTCGTGCCAGCGAGTGGGAAGAGCCTTGCTCTGCCTATGATTAACATCCTATCCTGTTGTGCGCGAGTATTTTTGCGGAAAGGTTCGCTTTGGAGCAGGATAATACCAGCAAGATAGAGAGCGAAAGAGAGGAGAAGACTGAAAGCCTTTTCAATATCCTATTATCGTCACGCGCTCGTATATTGGAGAGCAGCGAGCACCGTTTTGTCTAAAACCTAGGTTTCCGTTTAACTCCGTTATTTCGTGTTATTGTAGTCATATGGTGTGATGTCGGTCTTATCCTTATATTAGCGTCTAGTTTATGCATTGTCAGTAATATACTACGGCGCCAGTTTACACCTAAATTAGCCCAGTGTTTTGCACATTAATAAGTTTGTGCTAATTGCTGGTATATATATACTCAAAGGTCACCCTCGAAGGGATAGCATGTCGGTTCCACGATGTTGTCGAATGAATAATATTGCTGTATTTGCCGGGATATTAGTTAGTTGTGGCATAATAATCGTCTTGATACCCGCACCAGCTAGTGCTACGCGCGTCTTCACCAATTCCTTTCTGGTGGAGTTCCATGATGACGTCAGTAAAAGTGAAGCGGACAAGATTGCTCGGGAACATGGTTTTGAGAACGCGGGACCGGTAAGGCGGGTTGCGGAGGTGTCCATATGGCACACGAAAGTAGCCAGAAGTACAATTCTTGTTGTTGTTCGCTCATAATTCATGCTGTCCACATATTGGTACTGCGTTCTGCTAATTGTGCAAGTTCATACAGGATAATTCAATAGACCGTAAACCAATCGCAGTGATGGAATGTTTTCAGTTATGGAAGTAAATTCAGTATCTATAACGTGATGAATTCGTCAAAGCATCTTTCCTAATCTCACTCTAATTTGCGGTTTATTGGTTTTTTGAAGAGTTAGACTGTACGTTATGGATTTTAATAATAGGTCTATCTATTTTAATAATTTTAATAATAGATAGAGTGAGCTATCATTAAAAAAAACCAGTAAATTAAACCAGTAAAACGAAAAAAGAAAAAAAACCAGTAAACCGAAAAACTGAGTTTCTGGTTTTCGATTGTGACTTTTCATAGCATGACAACTCGACAAACCATCAATTATTCTCATTTATCGTTGGATGATTCCTTTACTTATTACTAAACAGTAAATGGTGCAGAATGCAGAAAACTACTCCGGTTTCCGTTTTACGTGTTTTAAACAGGTTGATATTATTACAAGTAATTTCATAAAATTTAATGCTGGCAAATTAGAATTCATTGGGACTTCGTCACTTGACCAATAAAAGACAGCTGTTAATGAAGGTCAAAACTGCAAATTGTTTCCTAGAACGCGTATTTGACGCAACTTCCGGTATCACATAGACATAATCGTCTCGCTGCTTGCATAATTAATTGACACTATTCTTCAATTGCATTTGACAGCTGATGAGATCCAAACGGGAATACCACTTCATTCACCGCGGGCTGCCGGCAAGATCCAAGCGCAGTATTCCTCATCATCGAAACCTGAAAAGCAACGAAAAGGTATAGTCCGCATCTAAATAACCATAAGCACGTCGATATGATAGAGGAAACTATCGTATTGTTGTGATTTTATAGATAAAACTAGTGGCTCAACAACCTGGATTTAAACGTTCTAAGCGCGGATATGGACCTCTTATACATAAAGGTCAGGTTGCACTCGACAAATCCGCAGAGCCAACCGATCCTTATTTCCAGTTCCAATGGTATTTGGTAAGTCGAGCTTATTACTGTACTTGTTTTTAAAAATGAAATACGAATGCTGCAGACGCACGTTTTACAAAACTAGTCGGAAGAATTTTGTTAACGCCTTTTCACAAGTGTAACCAGCGGGTGCAAGCCTGTTTCTGACATATACATTTGCAAATGGATTATTACTCTGACATCGGATCTTAAGCTACTTAACAATTGGAAGCGTTCCTCGCGTTTTTCTCGTAATGTAATTACGTAAAGTCTCTTCTACCGTTATTACATATATTACACATTCTAGAAAAATGACGGCAGTCTCGGTGGTAAACCACGCTTGGATCTCAATGTGGAAGCTGCTTGGGCACAGGGTGCCACAGGGAAGAATATCACTACAGCAATTATGGATGATGGTAGGTAAAATAATTACGTACTCTGTACATGTAACAAATATGCGCTGTCGGAATTATGCGCCATATTGTTGGCATCAGTCACCATACAATCTGCTTGCATTAAGCAAAGAAAATGCAAACATCTGATGACTTACTTATTGCCATTATGAGATATTTTGTTATTTACCGTTTGCCCACATTTATTTTGATTAGAATAATTTTCTGGTGTGTGTTTGTTCTGTGAGCGTGGGCTTCTTCGCATTCTCTAAGTAGAAAAATGGGAATGTTTATAATCCATAATGGATGTGCATACGTAACGAAATTGAACATTATCATTAACGTCTGCTATTACGCGTTTTCAGGAATCGATTATCTTCATCCCGATCTAAAATTCAACTATGTAAGACAAACAAGCATTTTTCGTGGAATCAACAACCACGCGACATATACACGGTTGGCGTAACTGCTAATCAAAATCTTTTAACATTTTGCAGAATGCAAAGGCCAGCTATGACTTCAGCAGTAATGATCCATTTCCGTATCCCCGCTACACTGATGACTGGTTCAACAGGTAAACCGCGCATTAAACCACCATATGTTTCCGTATTTGAAACCTTTAATGTATTTGTCAAGCACTTCTTATATATACCAGTATATACGGATACCAGCCAGCTCGCAGTAAATCAATAATTCTCCCTTTTCTCTCCGTGCAGCCATGGAACGCGCTGTGCCGGGGAAGTGGCGGCTGCGCGGGATAATGGAGTATGCGGTGTGGGTGTGGCGTACGACAGTAAAGTTGCTGGTGCGTAAATGTAGCTGACTTCCTGTTTTCGGGATGCCGGTGCTGGTCTTACGCCGCATACGGCTGTATATGTGTGCTGCACTGTGCTGCGGCCAGATTGTGGCTCTGATTAATTCCGGTGGTATGATTGTCTCTGCACAACAGGCATTAGGATGCTCGATCAGCCCTATATGACCGACTTGATTGAGGCCAATTCCATGGGCCATGAACCCAATCTCATCGACATTTACAGCGCAAGCTGGGGTCCCACCGATGACGGAAAGACGGTGGACGGGCCGCGTAATGCCACAATGCGCGCAATTGTCAAAGGAGTCAACGAAGTATGAATGTCATCTAGTTGTGTCGTAAATTAAAACGCAAACGTATCGATCGTCACCACATAATAACTCATCGCCAAAGTTCTGCATTATGCGCTTTCAGCCGATCTAAAGTATTGCAGCTAATTAATCAGACACAGCCTGCAACAATTTATTTGAGAATTACAGTAGTCTAAGTCACTAGGCTTAACTGTTATGCCTTTATTAATAAGCAATTATTTAATCATTCAAGGGTTAATTTAAACTTCTGTATAATGCCTTATGCTGTCAGACAGGCTTCTGTTACTTTAAAAACGCTACTACGCTACCACTTAATAAGAACACCAAAAGGTCACCCTCCTTGCGTACCATCATACGCGATCATTATTCTCCACCAAAAGTTCGCGATAGACAATATAAATCACTAATACAAAGTTATTTATGTTTCCATTTAATTGTTATCAAGCCAAACGAAATTATCGCAAAGCTCTTTTTTTACGACTTATTTTGGGGAATTAATTAACTGTACATCACAAGTCGGCTTTTGCAGGGAAGGAACGGGCTGGGTAACATTTATGTGTGGGCCTCTGGCGATGGCGGCGAAGATGATGATTGTAATTGTGACGGATATGCTGCCAGCATGTGGACCATCTCTATTAATTCAGCTATTAATAATGGGCAAAATGCCCATTACGACGAATCCTGCACATCCACCTTAGCGTCGACGTTCAGCAACGGCGGAGGTGACCCGAAGACCGGTGTCGCCACAACCGATCTCTATGGCCGCTGCACCAAGACCCATTCCGGCACTTCCGCAGCGGCACCGGAAGCAGCTGGTGTTTTTGCTTTGGCTCTCGAAGTCAAGTAAGGTTTTATTACTGCGGCACCTGCAGCATTACAGAGTTTTTTATGATTAAGACTTGATCTGTAGAATTACTGAACGAACACCAACGTCAATTCTGACATGATCAGCACGCGTTATAGTTATTGAAGATTCTCATACGGTATCCCATATATTGCATTATTACGTATTCAGATATTCGCATTCTCACGGATTTCATTTTTCACATTCTCAAGATGAAATGTGGAATAATTAATTGTCACAAGTATAGCGCCTATGCATATATATTTCACGACGTCACATTGCAGCCGAAATTTAACCTGGCGGGACATCCAACATCTCACTGTGTTGACGTCAAAGCGGAACTCGCTGTATGATGGCAAAGGCTATTTCAAGTGGCAGATGAACGGTGTGGGTCTGGAATTCAATCATTTATTTGGTTATGGAGTTCTGGATGCCGGTGCAATGGTAGCTATGGCCAAGGACTGGATTACCGTGCCCCAGCGTTACCATTGTGATGGCGGTAAAGTCAACAAAACCTTGTAAGTCATACATATAATGCATAAATAACGCATTATTATACGGTTATTGCCGACCAAGCCCATACATGAAAAATAGCCGGCATATTTCCGGTATTTACATAGATCATGTCTCAACCATGTTGGTCTGTAACATTCACACAGATCGATACCTACCAACGGATCCCTGACGCTCTTCATCGATACCCACGCCTGTCGGGGCACGGAAAACCAAGTCGACTATCTGGAGCATGTGCAGGCTGTCATTACGCTGAATAGCTCCAGACGGGGTGAAGTGATAATGCATCTGGTTTCACCAATGGGCACACGGTAAGGTTTTTTTATTTTGATAATTAGTAATTATTTGTATATCTCAGTAGTTGCCCGCGCGTTTGGCCATTATTTAACATGGCTCGAAATGAAAATCCAAAGGTCACAGTGTGAGAGATAGTACTATTGCACTGTACGCCGTAGCATTGACGCAGGATTAATTATTCTTTATACGATACTGCATTTTGCACGGTTTGTTCAATTCTGGCAATTTGCTTACCAAGGTCGATGATCCTCAGTCGCAGACCGAACGATGACGATCACACGGACGGATTTGCCAAATGGCCATTTATGGTACATACTTTCATTTTGTAAAGTTTTCGATATTTCTTTGGATAATATGGATTGCTCCAACGGCCCAACTGACCATTTAAAAGGTCATAGCGTTATCGAAATAATATTCGCTCATCGTTTTTAATATTACGTAGACAACTCATACGTGGGGTGAAAATCCACGGGGGCGCTGGAAGCTGGAAATCAAATTCAACAGCCCAAACACACAGACTGGCTTCATCAAGGAATGGGATCTATTGTTGCACGGCACCCGTGAAGCGCCATACAAAGATCTAGCTGTGGCTGATCCTCATTCTAAATTGGCTATTGTTAAGAAAGCTCACGAGGATCGCCGTTGAGTGGTTGCTGAGCATCAGATGTACACGCCGTACATAGATCGCCCATCCGGGAAAGCACATTCACAATGTGACCTCGCTGCTAATTTCCAACGGATTACTTGCATACTGTTTTATCATCATTACAGCACTCCATTCCAAAAGCACACGTCGACATTAGCGCTAAATTAAATCCACCAGATCAAAAAACCATTCGGCTTGCCTAATTCCAGAGTTTTATATCGGCTTTTTTGAGTTCATTTCCGGTTCTCTGTTGACCTTTGCATCTGCTAGATTTTTTTTGTTACAAGAGTTTACTTATTTTATTAGTCTTTCTTTCGTGGCTGCATGCATATAAGATCATGAAGGCATCTGGTTTTGATTTGGAACTGACTTTCCATCTTATCAACTGAGCTGTTATGCATTATGGGTAGATCGGCAACATCGCCTGAACTGACTTCAAATCGAGATTAATTGTACTATGTAAGTAAAGTATGCAGCAGTATGTGCGGGATGAAAACAGAATCGCTGCTGCTAATTGTATGCTAATATACAGATAGACCGTTGTAATATATACATGCTAGACCAGTATAGTGCAGACATATGATTAATATGAGGGATGGTTTTGGGAGTGTGATGATAGGGACAAATTGCAGTTTAAGACAAAACAGCGGACACCTGTATCCTCACATGAACATGATGCTCCAATTCGAATTATATAATGATCGGATAGCGCATTAACGAAAAACGTTAAGTAGAGCTTCTGAAGGGCTAAAATATTTAGCAAATTACGGTTATTAGTTACGTATTGGTATAATTATGCATAATAACTGGCAAGTTCACGGACATAATAATTATGAGCACTCTCTCGGGTTATAAGTAAGCTACTCTTCCTCTTCTTCTACGGCTTCTTCGGATCCATTGACATCACCGATATCTTCATCACTCCATCGCTTCTTTTTTGTCACAGGTGGGATGTTCTCTTCCTCCTCTTCTTCGTACTGTTTAAAAATATGGTTTCATCGTACAAGAATATGTGAATTGTAAAAAATAAACATATGTGAACAATCAAGAAAAACGAAACCTACTTCGAGGGCGTCACCAGTTCCGTTTTCTTCGATAAACTCGCGCTCTTCTACAAAAAGTATAACATATAATATTCTAGGCAAACAGCTTTTCAAATTACACAATTGACTGGGACAGACTATCCAACCGGAAATACACCAGATTACTGGCGCATGCCATTGTTTAAAATGGATTTTTTTACGGGAGCATGTCATGTTCTATTAATTAAAGCTTGCACAAATTACCTGTAACCTCTTCTTCATATTCCTCCACTACTTCCTCTTCATACGTCGTCTCTGTGGTTGTTTTAGTCGTGGTGGTCGTAGTGACCTTTCGGCCGCCGACTTCTTCCTCAGTCTGCCATTCGAATTCTTCCTCTGTTTGCTCCGGTTCGGCAGCTTCCGCGGGCTGCTCTTCTTCTTCCACCGGCTCTACCTCTTCTTCCTGCACAGGCGATGCCTCGCGTTCTTCAACTGGTTCCTCTTCCGCCGGGGCCTCTTCCTCGGGTTCCGGTTCAGGTTCGGGTTCAGCTTCTGGCTCCGGTTCCGGTTCGGGTTCAGGCTCCGCTTCTTCCACCGGTTCTTCCTCTACCGGTTCTGGTTCCGGTTCCGGCTCGGGTTCGGGTTCCTCAAAGACTTGTTCAGGTTCTTCTTCGGGCGCCGGGGAGGGTTCCCGTTCTTCTTCTGGTTCTTCGGCGACAGATGGTTTGGGGGATTTTGCCGACGTGACGGAGGCGCGAGGTGTCGGTTCTTCCGCCAGCGACCGCCGTGGAGTTGACGGTTTTGAGGGCTGCTCACTGACGGACGCGCGAGGCGATGGAGCTGGTGGTTCATCGGTCACTGACCGTCGAGGCGACTTGACCACGGGTGATTTGGGCTCTTCATCGGCGAATCGGCGGGGCGATCTGGGAGTGGCTGGCGGCTCTTCGGCCAAAGATGGGCGTTTGGGAGTTTTCTGTCCCTCCACCGATTTTTGTGGCTCGAGCGGAGGAATTCGACGTTTCTCCAGGCTCGGTTCTTCTGGTTCTGGTCGGGGTGCAGCACGTTCCGGTCGGCTTGGTCGTTCTTCTGGCTCTTCTTCCACCGGTTTACGTCGTGATTCTGTTGCAAAAAGACAAATTAAAACCGCCGAAAATTTCTATGCGATACGAAAAAAATTTTTGTTTCGCTGGCTAAGCGAGAACGATTATGTATAACTGTAAGTATACAACATGTTTAAAATCGTTATGTATTGCAAGTGACCCTGCAACTGCTAGCTACGAAATTCACGCGCTATGCAGCTTGCAGATACAGCTGTCAATACGTATGTAGAAGGAAAAACATGGAAACAGCTATCATAATAGCATTCTTCGAATTTAATTTATTAGGATAATTTTAAATGATATTTCAATAATACTGGCCTGTGTCAAGATTTCTGGAAACAGTCTAAAGCTCACCTCGTGCCGGTGGAGAAGGTTCTCGGGTCGGCCGTGATTCACGTGCTCTCGGCCTTTCGGAAACCGGTTCTTCTGCGAACGATGTAACCCTCTGTAAGGAAGCGGAGCACGGTAAAAGCAAAGATCCCATAAAAGCCACTAAAACGAATTACCGGGGTTCTGGGTTTGGCTGGTTCTTCCGGTTCGGAGCGGTACGGTTTACGTTCCGGAGCCGAGTACGCTGGTGTTGGTGTTCGGTCGACCGATGCTGGCTCGCGTGTCTTGTAACTGTATTTCTTTGTCGGACTGAACGACCGTCCTCGATAGCCTGGGCTCGGTGACGAGTAGCCATACGCTAAAAATGACAAAAACTTAATAAAATTATGATTTTGCAGATGTGTTTTTGTCTCTTTTGGGTCTATTGTTTAAGGATTTGAATTTTTTTAGTACTGTATATTAAATTTGTCTTCTTTGATCATAATATTTTGAATTTCATTTTATGTCATTTTCTTGCCTAGACGAGCAAATAATGGCAATCTTCAGATACTGTGTCCAATAATCTTGTATTATTATGTAAAAAGATTAGCCAGATACTGATTTTATAATTTGTATTTTTTAGGTATTATTTCTTGTAGGATTTTCTGATATGGACTGAGCATTTTACGTACAGCTTGGACGACCAGTGCTATAGCTGCGTGTCGACGGTGACGGAGCACCAAAATATCTGTCCGGCACCTGGAAATCGAACGGTGACGTCTTGACCCAGTCTTCATGCGAATCCAAATAGGATAGCCCTTTAATGGGCTTCCGCGGCCGCCTAAGGGAAAGAAAAACATTCACGTAAGAATATCGCCAAATAATCTACTCAATAATTACCACAACAAACGGCCAGCTCGTCCGTGACGAACTGAATTCATCCTTCATAGCACCGCACATTATACACCCGACTGGGCAGTCCTTAACAAGCGCATGTGTGCTGTGTCTGGGTGGAGATCACTTGCATAGTGTAACAGCAATACAAGGTCGTGCGTGCAGTTTCCTTTACTTTTGTCCGTTCATGTTGGAGGAGATTGATCAAGAGTGCCACGACCACGATCACTCTTACGTTTTTTCAGGTTCAGTATGATCAAACGAGAATCGTAGTTCGAGGGCTTTTGTTGGGGACGATTAGTAGCGGGTGTGCAACAAAATTCTTGGATACCGGTCAATCACGGTTACGGGTTACAAACTGAGGTGTTTCTTGCAGATAAATCAGTAACAATAATCTGGTGCAAATATTATGTCTCAATGTTAATGTTATTTTTTATCTTTATGTATTATATGTTAATTTCGTATTTTACTGATTGTCGATTTTGCTCACTTAGTTTTTATGATGCATCGCAGAACTAAACTGGTTAAATACGATTATTTATTGGGGCAGCAGAAAGGCAGCTGATTGCTGATTACTGAACATCACACGACAAAAGTTTTGGGCCTTCGAACACAAGACCTACGACTGAACGAGCACACAGAACCTGATGGCTAACAATTAGACATGCACAGGCAGGACAAACATTCCACACTTAACCATGGTACACAACAATGGGAAAATATAACAAAGCCGCGCGTACATTAAGCGTATGTATGGTATTCGTTGGGATCATAGATGGTGAAAATGAAGGGCCAACGCTGGGTAAACCTGATGGTGAAGTCAAATACCAAAAACACAGTTCATTCATTGTGGTAGGTATGCGATGGGAACAAGGAACAAGAGAGAACATTTGCGGTGATCGTGCTACAGACACTGTTGACTGTTTAGGACACACAGGGATCCACTTACGGACGATGCGAAGGAAACAGATAGTCCTTTACTTCCTCATACAAACTGGGCTGCACACTGATCGGTCCGTAGGGCGATCGGCGCGGAAGGCCCGGATGATCGTTCAAGCGTCCCTAAAAACGTCGAACATTATACGGAAATGCAAAGGTCACGGTCACGGAACCAGAACAGAATTAACAGCAACGTACTGGCTGCAACCTCTGGATTAGTACGACTTATGACCGTTAAAATTTGTGTACCCGGTGCAGTACGTCATAATCGTAGTGCAGATCGTTCAGCGCTTCATTGTTCCAGCGCGATCGGCGACTCAGTCGCGCGTTGGAAAAATTATCCTTAACGTAATCAGACACATAGGGTCTTCCGTTAGTTGCCGGATAGTACATGTCCAGCCTATCCTGCCACGTATCGGCTTTAGCATCCCTGGAATAAAATCGAGTTGTAATTCCCACTGCGATATACAAAGCATGTCAGCCAAAAAAGGTTACCGCATTTTTCTGCTGGGAAACTGGCCGTCTGAGGCAAGATGCGGCGGACGAAAACGGTTCAATTCATAGTGGATATCGTCCACCAAACGTTTCTACAGCACAAGAGCTATTATTACAACACATTTTATATCTTCTCATTCATGTTAACCACTAAGTATATAGTTTATGTATCAACAGATACGCAATATTATGTAACTATTTTTAGTACAATTGCATTTATTTATTGTGCTATGATATTGCACTTGCGTTTCCCTTAACGTTCCAACGATGTGGGAAAGGCTTACCCGGCTGATGTTGGTATCTTTCGACGCCAGCCTTGACTTTAAACTGCTTGATGGAGCGTACAAATCTTCGTATGCGCCATAATACCAGTCTCGCTTCTGTAAACAGCCGCCAATCAGTCCCAAGAGTTTATGACAGATTTGGAAAATTTGCAACTTTTCTATGGGCACACCATAAAATGTCAGACAGTTTTTAAAGGTCGAAGGCAAAAAGCGCTTTTGGTTGATATATTTTTAGCTGCTGGGAGAAAACGAACGTTTAGATGACACTCATTTTGTGGTATGCTGCACGCGTGTTATGTCACGGGCCCAGATGTTTAGAACACTGACAAGATCCGATATGCATCTACAGATATGCATCCCGCACTGCGTTAATCTAGACAATTTCTGAATGATTTTTGTAAAAATGTTAAGTACACCTTCTAAATCACAAGAATAAAATAATGATAACCCGCATATTGAACACCCATTATGATTTACACATTATACTGCGAGCTTGTTGTTGCTAAAGGTTTTGCTATTTGTAAAACAAACTTGGTATTTATGCCCTGTTAATCCTCGGATATGAAGCTACACCACGTAAAAGCGCTAAGTTTTGTAATACAAAGTTTTGTAGCACAATCGGAAAACCAGGGCTTTGCCCATTGCAGTCTCATAAGCAGGATTTGCTAAAAATGTGTTGCTTTGCTTATTTGCTATAATTTTCAAATTAGGTAGCAAGCCGAAGTTCTGTTAATTAAAGCTATTACAGCAATGGCTCTTAAAAAAGCTGCAGTTCTAGCTGTAGCAATAGGCACACCGCACACGCGTATTGTCCACAAGAATGAAAACGACCACCCAAAAAGAAATTTCGGGAATAAGTACTGTACGGACTACGGAGCAAGCGGGTAAAACCGAGACGCCCACACCAATACAAAGCCTTACCGGCATCCAGTATGTCGTGGTTGGATTCCAGTCGCGGTCCGTCGGAGGTTGTGAGTAACCTCGATTTTTTGACTTCCGGTCAAGATTTGTCTGTTGATAAAAGGCAGAAGTACGGTAAGTTATACATATGCGTTTGGCTGAGACAACGCCTTTTGTTGTACCGTTGTTATGTACGAATACGTTGAACGGGGCACATACGCCCGCCCGTAGCGAATCTCCGGATCCATGACTGCGTTAAGCGATGTTCCGGGAAACCGTAAGGATATGCACAAGGCTATATAATTCAAATGTGGCTTTTCTTCCCTGTCGCAGAAATTTGAGAGTATATATTTTAGAACAATCTCATTCAGGTTTCGCCACAAACTACTTGAAATAAAAGCGGTTGCAATGACTCTTGTGGGACCAACCCGGCCGTTTAGAATTTGGTTAAGCAAACAAACTTTCCATTAACGCAAGCATGTGAAAAATACCCACCAATGGTGTGGGAGGTATTTAATGACGTTGTTCACGGTTCCGCTGACACATGCACAACCACATTCCAGTGTTCACTCCCAGCTCCCGAGTGTCTGTAAGTTTGGCGGCTTTGATTTATAGTAATGCTCTTAAAATAAACTGTTCCTAGACGCAAAGTCTTTCTTTAAAAAATTAACTAAATCGCACAGAAATTGTGTGTTCTTGAGCCGTTTTTCTTGCATACATAACCGAAATTCATTCTAATTAGAAGCACCCCTTAATTATAGCTGCCGTAGCATGATCTTCATATGTAAAGGTGTGTCCTGTGGTTTTGTGAAGGCAAGTTTGTTATCTTCAATTCCCCCGTGTTTGAGGCATCAGTTTTTCATTCTGTGAATTTTTGCTATTATTTAAACTAGCCGCAACGATTTTTTCCTGTTTTTGTATACTGTTATCTGTACATAATGCATATTGCATATGCCCTTTCAGCCTGCGATAAACAATTTACCAGAACTTGTAAGCAATCTCTCGACGCGCCAATACTTATGTCCTTGAGCGTGCTATGCTTATACATCCCGACATATGTACAGACAAGCTGACGGTATAATACGGTACACATACGCATGGCCAACAACATGGGCAAGTTGGCATTAGCCGACGTGTGCGCTTCCGGTCGAGTTCAAAACATACCGTGCGCACTGTAGGTTCTGTGGGATTTTTCGGCTATTTTCGTTCCGATGGCTGATGGGCTGCTCGGGCTAAATATGGCAAGGCGTGTAATCTCTGACGTAATGCGTATTTTTTAACTCGGTCTATGGAGCGTGTAATACAACCTTGCAGCATCTGTACGGACATCCATCTACTCCTTCCCTTCTTGACGAATCTTTTCTCGTAAGTCGTAAGCCCCATGATATCGCTTCAAAACACTTTCTTGCGCGCAGGTATAAGTGTTGATAGCTCGCTTTGCGTAAGTATTTGCTAACAAGTCCAGTATCAGTCTACGGAACTGACCTGAATACACGGGAAGCATATACTTGAATGCCACTACAGAACTTGTACAATGGCACGTTATGCAACACGACTTCAAAGCAGTATTTTGGTTCGGAGTTACTCCAATCCGGTTTCACTACTTCTACGCTAATATATTTTCGTTGCTATTTAAATTGCCTCAATCTAGCTTAATTGTATTGGGCAATATAATTAAGGTGACTGCTATGCGCCTCGACAACCGGGCGCATAGAATTTAGCTATACGCCCCGAATTTCCGGGCGCAGAAAATCGCCAGAAATATCGGCGATTTTCTAATTTTCTGACGCTTTTACTTTGTTTGGCTTCTTTTATGTATTTAGCCACTTATTTCCCGTCGTGTTGTAGAATACGCTATATTGTTTGATGATGTCATATACCAGAATGCATCCAGACTTTAGGCAACAGGCGCTTTCCAAATGCATAGTAATCAGTAGACTTCCGTGTCGTCTTAGATGGCCTGTAGCCGTTGTTACGCACATGACGGACAAACCAGTGTTGCTTATTTGCTTACTATAAAACTACTGAAAATCAGGATCTGTCAGATTGATTCTGTGATGTTTTGGAAATTTTTTCAATAAACCAGCCGATAAAAAGGCGATTAACTGAACGAAAACGTACCTATTAAGTGTCCTGAGATTAGCTAGCTAAATTCTATGCGCCCGGGGGCGCATAGAGAGTCCGGGGCGCATAGCTAAATTCTATGCGCCCGGTTTGTCGGGGCGCACAGCCATTTCGTATAATTACTGTATTGTCGAGTCAACTTGCCACCTTTTTTTACAGTGAGTCGTATCCGATTAGCATACAACTCGCTGTAAGAAAAGGTGGCAAGTTGACTCGACAATACAGTAATTTGAGCTGCACGGTGTTTTTAAATTAATAATGTCCACCGACTCTGTACTTTCAGATTTGCACACCGCAGAAGAGAACATTCGCGTGTACTTTGCTAACCTGTACTTTTCTTTTCGACATCATGAAAATTAATGATAAACAGTTCTGGACATACGGAATTACTCGCAAGCTGAGAGTATTCAGAAGGAACGAAATTGACAATCAGCTAACTTTACTTTCGAAAGCCTTTAGAAATACAGTGCGATACGATACGAAGTAGCCACTAGGCACAAAAATTAACTATTAAACTTAATTAAAGTTTTTTTCTACGAATTGCTTTAATCCAGATCTGGGGTAGAAAAGTCACAAGTTTTCTCTAAAAATTTGTCTGTACAAATACGAGTACGAGAACAGACTGTACAGTAGCGTTTCAGAAATCGAATTTGAATCCAAGAAATGTTGCCGTAATATTTATATATTGCAGTATTTCTTTAGTATGAGTACTTTTATAAGTACAGTAGTTATTAGTTTAATACCGTGTTTTACCTGATCCCCTTCTGGAATCTCCACAGAAAGAATCCCGCTTTTCGTAAGTAAAAACTAAAAAGTGAATAGTAGAATACGGATTTCCCGCGGCTGGCAGTCACTTAGGAGGGATCAGCTGTCCATACAGTTGAAATTTTAAATTTTTTACCGTATAGTACAGGCACAAACAAAATATTCTGCAGAAATTGTTTCCTTTTATTGCTCGTTGTTCGGAAAATGATCCCGGGAATTAATTCATTCCTGCTACGCGGGATCGGGAAATGCGTGGCAGATGGATTTCCATCACTGTTTACCGCCAGACACCGCTGTGCTTATTTTGCAAGTTCTGCGAATCAGACACTGCAGCCGAAAGAGCATGAGAATGCTGGTGAGCTGCAGCTGCATGCGAAATTACGAATACTTTATTAGACACCGCTCTTATTTTGCAAGTTCTGCGAATCAGACACTGCAGCCGAAAGAGCATGAGAATGCTGGTGAGCTGCAGCTGCATGCGAAATTACGAATACTTTATTATTTTTTTCGCTTTTGACAGCACTCAAACCTGGGTTCTTCTTGCAGACACGTCATTCCAGAACGTTATTGTGTGTAGGAAAGGCAGCGAGCAGAATGTTGGCTACATCCAGCTAAACCGTCCAAAGCAGCACAATGCTATGTAAAGCAGGCATCTATACTCTACTGTAACTTGATTTAAGCAGCGGTAATTCGGGTTCCACCTGCTCGGAATACTCCGGTGCGTTCTTTTTCAGTTCGTACGAGACGTCGAAAGAACTACATCGTGCTTTGGAAATTTTTGAAAACGATGACAACATCGGCGCGGTAGTGTACACGGGGGGCGAGCGGATTTTCACCGTTGGCGCTGACATCACGCAGATGGAAGGAATGTCATTCCTGCGCTTTTTCCGCACCTTTCAGGGCGACTTTAGCGCGTTCTGGGATAAACTGTACACATTCCGAAAGCCCATTATAGCTGCCGTCAATGGTTACTGCGTAAAAAATTTGATTTAGGTAACCTAAACTTTCCTACGTTTTCACGGGGGTTTTTTTAGGTCGGCGGTGGAACCGAAACGATAATGATGTGTGATATTGTTTATGCTGGTGAACGAGCTCAGTTTGGACAGCCTGAAATTAATATTGGAACCCTTCCAGGTACGAGTTGAATTTTTGTATGGACATACAGATACGGCACGGTACTGCGGGGCAGTTGTTTGTAGAATTGAACGTTAAAGAGAAGTAAAAATTGTTTTTAGATTTTGGAACTACGGTATAAAGAAATGAAATCATATTCCTGTATAATGTACTGTAATAGCGACGATTCGGCAGTAGGCAGAAATGTAAAAATAGTAGGACGTGTATAGCTTTTCTTGGTGTTCACTTTCAGTTTTTAAGGCTTCTGAAAATTATTTATTCCACTTTGAGAAAGAGGAATAAACATGTTTATAAGATTCAAAACCGGACTTTATCTTTCTTTTTGAAAAATCGGAAAGACTCTTTCTGTTTTTTTTTTTCTGTAAGAAAGTCTCTCCGATTTTTTTTTATAAGAAAAGCATGAAGTTGGTGAGAAGATAACCATTCGAAAGCTGTTCTATTTTTGATTTTCGATAACTGTGCAGGCGCTGGAGGAACGCAGCGATTGACCAGAGCTGTTGGCAAATCGAAAGCCATGGAAATGATCCTGACTGGGCAACGTATAACGGCCAGCGAAGCCGAAGCATGGGGTAATTAACGACTAGCGATATTCAGGTTTTTACGGATTAATATGATTGATTTCCTTTGATCGAATGATTGAACCCCTTGTAGTGTACAGGTGTATAGGTGGGTGACTCTTTTCCAGTTTGAACAAGTTCTCGTTTGGTTTAATGCTTGTCTCACGTCGCAAAAATATGGCATTAGCAGGAGTCTGACCGCAGAGTACAAAATGTTTCTTCTACATAAAAATCCTGCACATTGTACACAGTCCTATACATTTTAAATTTAATGGTGGAAAGTGACAAAGTCTTTTGGGGGATATAGAATTTAGAATCGATTGACTATGATTCAATAATACAGCCGTGCTGTTTTACAGGTTTGGTGAGCAAGGTGTTTCCCCCGGGGCGTGTCATCCCGGAAGCTATCAGTCTAGCTGAAAAAATTGCGAAAAAGCCGCGAATCGCTGTCCTTATGGCAAAAGAAGCCGTTAAAGCTTGTAAAAGTTTCTGCCGTTTCATTGTGCTTGATCTGGTTATACGTTTTCTCCGTTATCATTTTCAGCTGAGGAAACTTCGCTCAAGCAAGGGCTGTTGTTGGAAGGTGTACTGTCTTGTGCCACTCGAGCTACGGTTAGACTGCACAACTTTTTTTATTTCATCGAAATTATTTAAATTTGCTTTTGGTTAAGCAACTAGACAGCTCCAAGCAAGTTGTCACAGCTGTTACAGTTGTTTTTGTTGTTGCTGTACATTAGTTTCGGCATGTCTTTGTAACGCGCGCGTGGTTACTGCATGGTCAACCTCCTACATTTTTTGTCTTCTAAAGTGTTTCAGAAGTCAGCGTTACCATTTTTGCAGAAAGACTTTCACGAAGGAATGACAGCATTTGTGTCCAAAAGGCCGCCGAAATTTCAAGACTGATCCTGAAAAGGTTTAATTTGTGATTAACAAGGTTTCAAGATAAATCACGACCATGAAACCTATGTAACAGGAGATCTACTATTTGGGAATTACCGATGTTGAGATGAATGTTCTTTTACTTGTTTTACATCTTTAGCAAACATATGTGAAATGCTGGTGATAGCAAAAATCGATTTCAACCAAATAGCACAGGTTGACCTTAAATGTAACAAATATACGACAGTATTTTTACACAATGTTTTGTAGTTTGCAATGAGCATGCAGTGAAGATCGGAGTCAGATCCCATCCACTGCGTGGAAAGTACAGCGTCACTAGGGAATGCGGAAAATCCCTGGAAGGGAGCCGCGATCAGTACTTTAACTAGTCAACATGATTACATTTTTGTAGTTATATTTGTTTAAACGCCGGGTTTTCGCTTGCTTATTATTTGATTAAAGGTACCATATTACTGACAAAACGTAGATCATATGGTATACTGAGATCATGTGGGCGACAATTCAGCAATTTGGAAATACAATTAAATACGGAAGCCGAGTGACATTTGACGTACAGCATGGATTTATGGAGATGGTCCCTGCTTCCGTCGTTGGTACGGCTGTTCTAATCAATCGCCTAATACAAGCCACACGCAATCGAATTGTCTGCCAAGAATTTTTTATCCTCCATACCGGACTAAATATACTCTTGGGAGACATTTTAATATTCCAGTTTGACAGCACCGCCTTGCGCTCTTACTGTTATAAACTTGCCCTTTTACCAGGCAGATATCGACCTATTCAAATGCTTTGTCGTCAGTACAACCAGTCAAGTAAATTATAGATCACTATTGCCTTGTAAAAACTCCTTTTATTCTCGAAGCGGGAATAATATCCGGCAAAGAAAAACGTTAATGCACATTCAACAATTTCCTTGCACTATCTATTTTTGGCTTTGAATTACCAGTAACTGTGATACCATATTCGTAGTACTGTAATTAGTTATTTCACATTCTTTTGTAGCCAATATTTAAAATGTGAAAGCGTTTCAACGGTTAATGTGAAAACAATCTGCCGTGAAATCTCTTACACGTTTGTCTTCATCTCAGTAATTTTTTTGTGACAAAACGGATTGTCTGCAGGAATTTCTGTAGATTGTCTTAATCGTCCGTCATGCACGAACCATAACCCGGAGCTTCCTTAACACTAACACCAAATTTTTAAGAATTTAATTTATTTTACAATTTGCTGACGTCTCAGGCTGTTGGAATGCGACTTCGCATCGAAACTTATACTAACTTAAAAGTTACAGCCTACGATAGAAATTATTGTGGCGATTAAGAAAACGGGTAATAAAATATATGCAGTCAATATAATAACAATAGATCTGGTATATGCGGATGCATTAGCGATTTGTCAGTGAATTTCGATCTTTCTTTTGAAAGAAGCGATACGTCATGTGTAAAATTTGCTGTTGCATATTTGTATTCGGTTGTATGCAAACAAGTAGGCTGATCAATGAAATGCTTGGATTTATTTCTCATTGACGCTGTGGATAGGACGGGTATTCCGCTTTCGTTAAATTGAGAGAAAACATTTTTGATCAGCGAATCAATGATGTTAAATGCAACAAACACTGCAATGGGGGGATGATCGGGTGCATTCTTCCGTTTCAACAACTGACACAACTATTCCATCTCGACTCGTCTATACCGGCCACCGTTATGACCGCAAACATGGATGTTTATCCAGCCCTCATCCGTGACTAACTTACCATACCATTAAGATGCTTTCTCTTGATCATCTTTTGAAACGTATATAGATGTATGCTGCGGGAAGGCAAAGAAAAACAACTGGGCCCTACAGGCACAGCGTATACGGCAAGTTAACGCCATTGGGCGGGAAATTATGGGAAACGCTATAGAATTCCGTACACACGGAACGACGTGCCGGCTATGTAATGCTGGTGCACAGCGCGTAAGCTCGGGTAGTTCGTATATAAAAATACAAATGCACAACGCATCTTGTCATGCAGATGTCAAACTGCTCTCTGTGCTTTCTTCTTCCTTTCCGGTTCGCTTTATGAGTTACGAGGCATTTCTGATGCGGCGCGCGCGCGCATTCTGCGTTATGTATCCAATCCATATTCTGTAGGATTTCATTTTTTACCGGCGGAAGAAGATACAGTAGCCTTTCCCAGGCAGTCAAAGTTCGAAACACAGCTCGGCAATATTTTTCAATGTGATTACATGTCTTCTGTTATAAGTTGGTATTAACATTTTATGAAGATGCATTTGACGGGTGGTTCTTGACGGCGACATTGCCAAGAAACTATATTTGGCTGATGTCTTACATCTAAAAAGATACTCATTTGCCTGAAAATAAACTGGGTAAGTTGGCTAATGGAATTTACCCAGTGTGAGTTACAGTATATTGTTCTATGCATAGTGAAAAACTGAAACGATAACGTTAGTACGTTACTAATGCTATTCATAATTCTACCAGTTATAATACTGTCACATAACTGTGGCACTTTTACTCGTAGTAACTGTTAACAGATTATCGAACATACATATTTTATCAGTATAATAAAAATTGTTAAACTATAATTTCGTACACTCGTATTTAGCCGGTGCAATCAATATCGGTGCGACTAAATCGATCGATCATTTACGCTAACATCAGAAAAATAATCGGCTGATGTTCTTTAATCGGAGCCGGTGGGTTTACCATATCGTAGAGTGGGATGGAATTGCCGTTTAACTGATCTCAGTAATTGCTTGTGCGTAAATTACAAGTACCTACCGTAGGAGTTTGAGATTTCGTGGATTCACTTCAATATACCATAAATGTGATATTCAACAGATCGATTAATTTACACTGTAAAAAAATTGCCGAAATTTGCTCCATGAATTAGCCTTTTCGTTTGTGTCAGATTATGCATCCCATACAAAACTACATGTTCAATAAGCACTTTATTTCAGTAGGTGCTCAGCATTTTCCGGCGTTGATCAACTTGTGGATCAGTCCGTAATTCATTATAATATATTGTATCATTCCAAAATCTTCTCATCATGTCGACTATGTTTGTGAAATTTGATAAAAAGGAGAAAAAGCCACGGAAGAATGCCAATTTAACCCATGCAGCATCCAAAGACAGATCCCGTTCATCAAGTGTAGCGTCACTCGACGTCCATGCCATCCCAAAGGTACTGTAGCGATAGAATTTGTACAACTTTGTACTGTAAACGTACTGGTTGTGCGAGGTCAACGTATACTATGAAATACGGATAAAGTTTTTCCTCGTACAGCGTGAGAGTGCTAAGTGCTAACCTAGAAATTAATCAGATACGCAAAACACGATACTTACATAATTTAAGTTTGCTTACGTATAATAATTTATTTATGATTTATTTTGTTGTGGTATCCGCAGTAGATTTGAACATAAAATAAAAAATTGTTCGCTGCGAGCTATGGTTAGGAATAGGTTAAAAATAATTTTTGGAAGGAAGGGTAATTATGTATGTTACTACAATAAGAAAATGTTACGTACAATAAGTAAATCAGTTGTATGATAACCTGCTTTCTGGTTTGACAACGTATCTGCTAAATATAGATCTACATGTTGTTGGCTGAAATTATACTAATATTCGCAAGTACGTATGGCAGTATAGGATATTAGTACATAGGCCTGTGCATGTAATTATACTGAATCCTTCTAGTTATAACTTTACTTTAAGAAAAGCCAAATACTTGTAATGCAAATGTAAAATAACAATATAATGAAATTTCTAAGACAACAATTTGTGCTAAAATTTTCAGATTTCCGTATCGGATTGTCAGTTTCAAGACAACTCTGCTTAATAGTGCCGCAACCTTTTCGGTGCTTTATAAAGCTAGCAACATTTGTATCGTTTAAATCGTTTATGTAGCAGTGGATGCAGCACTCAGAAGGTTCTACAAAATAAACTCTGTAGGCTGATAGTTTTACGCCATTTAGGAGTAGCTTATGTGCATTATAGTCGATGGAAGTCGTGACATGCAGCACGATTATCGCTTTTACAGCAACATAAAGCAAACGTGCAGAAGTAACTAGATCGCTGATCCGGATAAATCGGAAATATCAGTTTACTCCTTACACTTTTTTAGTTTAAACTTCGCAGCGACTTATAAGCTTATAAACTCTTACGGCGATATCGCGGATTGCTGTTACCAACTGTGTGGTATGAAAGGTCAGTTTAGGTTCACACTTTGGTTCATTAGGCATTATGCTCACTCAAAATACTTGTTGCCAACACTATGTTCAATTCATATTTGAAACCAAAGCTCATGTTTGTTTATTTAGTTAAAAAACGTAGCAATATTTTGGCCTCGACAAGTTTTACGGTACGCTTATAACTGAAAAGGTACTTTAAGTTTTAAATTACGGGTAGGCATATACTGGAATTGCAGACAACTTTTGTAAGGGAAAGTTATATGCGCTATATTTATTTAGTTTGCTTACAAAGCTTTTTCGAAATATCTATATTTAGTTTAGCTTACAAGAGTTATCGTCTAATACACGAACATTTTTGACCAGGATTGTGGTATTATTATTAGCTTAATGATGTCGACAAGAGTGAAAGCTTAAACGAGAAAAAAGTGCTTTCCTTTAAAACGATAAGATTGGCTGATAAATGAGTCTCTGGACGCTGGCGCGCGTAAGTGTGTTTGCCGTTTCGATGCCGGCATCAGATGTTGGGCGAATCCATGTAAACGAGGACACGGCGAAATTGCATCATCGGTTTTTGATGGCACCACACTTCCGATCGCCTTTTACTAAAGCGGAGACACCACGGATAATGGCTCCAGCTGCAGTTCTCTACAGTGTACATCAAATATTCTTGCTGATCGATCGATTATGTCTGATGACACACTCGTCATTGCAATTGTACTACAAAAATTAAGCAATTATCTCCAGCACACTCATTCAGTAAACAGCTTAAGTCGAAGACTTGCAGATTAAATTCATGCATTTATAATTAACTTATTAATATTATTAATAATAAACAATAACTTTCTTTTCCATCTAGTACTGTATTCGTTATGCACAGTTTTTGCAGATAAATTCGATAGCGACTTCGTTGTAGTAGGTGCACTGTCTAATTGTCATCTGTGTGTGTATATCGTTCACGAGCATGAAGTTTTTATACTGTACTTTACGTTGCGTACGTGAGACCAAATAATTGTTAACTTGTCGCATAAATGTTGTAAAGTGCAGTAAAATTACTGTCAGCTGCTGTACGACTACTCTGGTGAATAGTCCCGCTGAGAGTGCTGTTTCGCAAAAGTTCTATATGTTTTTCTTTGCGATAGTTACATAGGTACCTATGTTTACGATGAGTAACAGCTTGGTATTTTTCTTAATTAACGAATCAGTAATGTAGCTCAGTTGTTGAACGCTTTTCAATTTCCACGCTGTCGTTGTTGATGTGGCTGCATATTTTAAATTTTATGGACTACAAGCAGGTAAATTTTCAATATTTATTCATTTGTGATTTTTCTGCAGAACCACTCTCGTGTCAGCTTATCCCACATCCATAGTTCAGAGTTCAATTTGCGCGGCTATCTGGAATCCACGGGTGTCAATGTGGACGCGTCAAAAAGCTATGTCCGCGTGGAGGATTCGACGATTCGCGGCTACTTACAAAAGCTAAGTCATCGCTGGAAAGTCTGGAACCGACGCTGGTTTGTTCTCGACTGGCGGGCCGGAACTTTGATTTACTACAAGTAAGCACAATACTTGACATTTGTCTGCGTGGTATATTGCCGTTTTGCGTCATCGTAACGGCTGTCTGTTTTTTCCACGTTTGTCCACCTAATATGCTTGCTCGTGCAGGACCAATAAAGAGCACGGCTCCGCCCAGGTTATCCCATTCCGTCACATTATGGGCGTTTCCACCGACTCTTCCTCCAGATCAGAGCCCAAGTTCTGCTTGAAAACCACACAAAAGAGCTACGTCCTCATGGCGCCCACAGCGGAAGTTCTGCGTATATGGCTGGATTTTCTTATGCTGGTTATTGACAACAAAGACAAATAAGTCTGCACCGCACAGCCGGCTGTCTGACTGCACATTGTTCCCCGTGTATATTTTGGGAGTTTATATGGCCAAAAACATAGCGTTATCAACGTGGTGTCAGCATTTAAAAAACACGATTTGCATATTTTAAAAACTGGGCGAAAAATCGTGCACAGCTTGTTCTGCTCTGTAGTGTTGATTCCTGAACCGGAAAATGTTCTATTCCACTTTAATACAACAGACAGTTTTCACTGTTTTGTGCGGCGTTTGACAAAATATGTTATTGTTTCATAATGCAAGATGTTCTGTTAGACCTTGGCAGTCGCTGTTTCTTAATTGCAATCTGTAATAAACTACTTTTACTTTGATGTGGTATACAATCTACACTGTAATCCAAACCATACTTTATGCAAATTTCATTTTCGCCACGGTTTTCATTTCGGATACCAAACTGTTTTCCAACTGTACAGTGCATTCTATTTCTCAGACACTGTCCTGACACCCAGTAGGATGGCAATGTCAACAGCAGAAAAAAAGGGTTTCTTTAAAACCACACATTTGCACTGATTATTAGTAAATCTGCATATGTAAACATCCCAGCGGCTTCTATGGAAATCCTACTGCGCCACCAAACACGCTCAATTAAGCGTTGGGAGAGTCGACGCCTTAGCTTGACTGATTTGGTAGCAATTTTGTTCCGCTGTGCCAGTCAGTATCATGGCTGTTACTGCAATTAGATCCAAGCTGTAGTTATTAGCAATTATTATTTTTTGGTGCAAGGCACGAGTATTGCTTACCGGTCCAGGGAAATACTACGAGTAGATGAAAGACCTGCAACAAATTCTTTTTGTACATAGCATCTTACATGTACAATATACAGACTAAACTGTCTGTTGGTGATACGAAGAAGCACTGAACAAGTTTAAATGCAGTACACTATTCTTTATTTGTATTCATTTAGCAAGTCACATCAAAATATTCAAATAGTCAAATCTTCGTTTTAGGAGAGTGCGTTAATAAATGTTTGAAATATCTCTAAGTCATGTATGTCTTGTAAGTAACATATGCGATAAGTAAGCTTGTTCATGCTCATCAAAATATTCTTTGGATACTTACATAAGGGATTGTCCGTGACGGGCATTTTGCTTGAATTTATTTCAAGCAACGGAAGCGGCGGAGCATCTACATCCGGCACTGGAGCGGAGATCACGCTTGTCAATCCCATAAATCCCAATAAACTACGGATAATGGAAGAAAAGCTTTTCCTATCTGCAGGATTTTTGTGCCAGCAATCCTGCATAAGATCGTATCTGCAACAGTGGAAAGTTACATACCGATATGCACAATTTATGTATACTCTGTATCGTACCACCAGTTTTAGTCATGAATTTTAAAAGATTCCCCCACGTAACTATGCCGTTAAAGGTGCATTTGGTTACCCTATCTATCACATAAAATTTGTCCAAGTACACCAATTTTCTAAGCACTAACATTTCAGGGGGACAGTGGCTACTTGGTAGGTTTAGCCTGCAAAAAAGAGCAGCGATAAAAACCAGAAACCCGTGGATGTTATATTATTTTTCTAAACAATTCACGTATTTTCGTTACACAAATAGAATTTTAATTTTACAAATTTTCATGTACCGTCCTCCCGCTCGTATGTAGCTGACCACTTCAGCGTTATTCATAGATGAATACGGCGAACATCCCAGAGAAAATACCTGTACAAGCGGCACAAGTTCGCATAATGATTTAATAAAAGAGTGGTCAATATGCGAAGTATCAGCATAAGTGCTCATCTTCATGATTATTTGCGAAAATAAATCCAGCACAATTGTTATTGGCGCGTATTATTGTGCAGAGTGTTTTGAAACCCAGATAAAACTCTTATTACACTCGCACAAAAAGATTTGTGAATCTTGATATCCATATCTCACCTCCCAGAGCAGCACCCCGAATCCCCTGAATGACATAATATACTGTACACTCTAAAGCAGTACAATGCAGTCAAATTCAAAATCAACAGAATTTTACCAAATGTCGGATTTCGAACTGAAAATTCCTTCGTCCACCGCTTCCGGTGGCATCCATTTAATCGGCAGAAGCAGCTGAGTGTTTCTGCGATAGTATTCAGATCTATAGTGGGACAAATTTTTGTTAATAACGCAAAACTTATTGGTTCATAGTCCGGTTATGTACATGTAATCTAACGCGGCATACATCATGACAGTCTATGTTGTAAATACTAATTTCGTACCTGATGACATCTCTTGCCATTCCGAAATCGGCAACCTTTGCTACTCGACTGCGCTCGGTTGTTGTCAGCAGACAATTCCTTGCTGCTATATCCCTAACAACATTGGATACGGTAAAGAGTGCTGCGCTACTGGACACATAACAAGCTTAAATCTCGCACCTATGCACAAAATGATGTTGCTCCAAGTATTGGCAACCTTTGGCAATGTCGGCAGAAATTTCCAATAGTTCCAACATAGTAACTGTACAAGTCTGAAATATATGCACAAGTGACAATAATATCTATGAGGTAAAACCGCTGAAAGATTTTATACTGCATTATACAAAAGTGCTACTTGTTTCCAAAAGTGACATACTTTTGAATTTCGATAACTGCGGAGGAATGAGCGCACATCTCCTCCAGACAACAATTCCAGGATGATGTACTTCGGGTTTTGAGCAAAGCTGACGCCGAAACATTGGACAATGTTGGGATGATGGAAACGACTGACGATCAGCGCTTCAGCCGCGAAGTCCGTTTCGGCATCTGGGTTTGCATGTGTTGGCAACGACTAAATAATGAGTTAGCTTAGCGTAATTTTATAGACCTTCAACGATACCGGCGCCCGAAATGAAACAATAGTTTTCTGTTTCAGTGTAACTGTCATAAACACAAAAATATTTCCTACTAATGTATTACTATTCAAAATATTTACTTTTACACATAATAAGTTTTGAATGAAATATTTTTATTCCGATTATATAAAAACGAAACACCTCGTGCGCATTCACCACATACTTTCACAGCCACGGATATTAGTCCGGTATCGGTTTTCATCAGTCCTTGATAGACAATTCCAAAGGCACCTGACAGCAAAACGGGGACAAACATGTAATCGATTACATGGCTGTATACTAATCCGAGCAGCTGTAATTAGACAAAAATCATTTGAATTCCACCTTGTCCGATCGATTGCTTGAGCTGAATGGTCTTTTTCGGTATTTCCTTAAGGTCACCATATCCATGTACGGCATTAATTCCATACAACTGATTAAGCTCAATATTATTATGATTATTCAGTCGTTGCAGAAGGGTCGGATCTGCATTAACTTCCGGTGAACCAGACACACATGACCAAATCCGAGATTTCCGATGGATGCGCTTGGCCGAGCTCTTTCGAAGTCCAAAATACACTGAAGAAAAAACAAAAAATAGAATTCTGTACACTGCGCATATCATTTCATAAAGCTAGATGAGCGATGAAGCTGACTGCTTAATCAGCTGCACTTACAGCAAACTGAAGTCCCAATCACAGTTCCTACGAAAAATAATACTCCCAGGACAATTAAGAGGATTAGCGAATCCGTTTGTGACAGTGAGTTCTGCGAGCCTGGCAATGGTAAATTTACAAGTATTTCAATTATTGCTTCCTGTATTTTTATTTCCTGTTATGTGAAGAAGGACAGAAGGTAGGAAAAAACATGTTACCCTCATTATGCATCGGGCAGTATAGTTCGGCTGATCCCTTGCGAATGCGGCAAGGAACGGAGCAATTGCAAACCATAGTTATTGTAACCTGCAAAACATAAGGGAATTGTAAGAATGCAGTACAATACATCTTGTCAATCACATGCAAAGACGATGTCGCCAGATTCAGCGATTAAGAATCTTCCACATTGTCATTCAGCGCAAAATATTACCCGTCCACCCAGAGAGTCGCTTGATGGCCAGAAACTGAACGCTAATGCATAATCAAGGTTAACGGCGGACGTTCCTGCTTCTGCTGGTTCGTGATCGGTTCCAGGTCGTCCACCTGAACCAAATTTAGAATTCGAATTAAACAAAGTTGCGGACTATTACGAAATTCGATAACTAAATCAGGTTTAGTCCAATGAATCACTGTTTACATATTGACACAATAATCAAGTTTACAAATCTCCAACGAAACAAAGAATGAATGGGTTTTCATAGCAATGTTATGCATCCAGATGATAGTTTCATTAAATTTTGTGTCAGATACTTTACCTTCGTAGCCGCCTCCTCCTCCACCGAAAGACTCTACCATGTATATAAATGTGAGTTTTGTCGTATAACTTTCCAAATAAAGGTGCACCATCAGCTTAAAATGATTACGGAAAATAGATGTAATACATTTTTTCTGCCCCCGTGAACTTAAACATGACATTTAACTTACCACATCCCGCGCCGCCTCCTCCGTAACCACCGGCAGCCATCACAAGGTGCGCTTCTGCGCAGTACCGGCTTCCGGTGGCACCTTCCACGCGAAGTCCTTTGATTTCGGACTGGTTACCAAACAATCTGACCACACTTCCTCCCTGACCTGAATTGCCATGGGAAAATGTATCAAATTACTTTCCACGGTTTTCTCCAATAAATAAAAGTAAAATGACAAACCGGGAAGCATTGTTGCGGCTGCCACGTTCAGATCTGCTGATCGTATTTGGACCGTTCGCCCTACGCATTTCCGTTCTGTTTCCACCGAGCTACTCCCACCTCCACCGCCGGCTGCTATCAGAGGTATCGCGTGTCCAGTTCCTTCATCCAATTTAAAAACTAAGGTGCCACCGCCTCCGCCACCTGTGCGACACAGAGAGCGATTCGACGAAATTTTTGCCGTGCATGATTCTCCTTCTTGTCCGACCAGAAACAACAACTCTTCTCCAGTTCGTAAAGAAATCAATGAGGATGCTGTATTAGCGGGACATCCATTGTGGCCGCCTCCGTTAGCTCCAGCAGCCGAGATACTGTTTACCAAATAACATTTTCTTATACAGTTATGATTGAATAGTATCAATATTATGAGCCAGAGCAGATGAAAGGTACAGTAAACCTTTGATTAAATATTAAAAGGTTATACTTGTATATGCTCGTGATGGGAACTCGCCAGCGTTGAACCCCCGTGGTACTGTTATGAGTGTTATCTGACGGGACAAAATCTATTGGTTGGTTTAATGCAGCGTATTGACCAGTGCAGTCATGTAATCCTGGTCCACGCGGGCCACTTCGTCCACACGTTGTGATCGTAAACGATGTCTCTAATAAAATTATGACAAACAACAGTCATAGACGTACCACTGTTATGCCCATATTAGGCGATATAAAGAAAAATATTGTCCCCTTGCGATAATTAATTCCAGCGATTACCCAAAATACGTCAGGGACTTACCGAAATGTAGGTCAAAGGGGTCGTCGTTATTATTTCCCATGGGTGTTTTCTCTTGTGCGTCTGTGAAAAGGTCAGAATTACCGAATTGCGGCTTACAAACATTTTGAGAATTTTCGTGCAATTTACCAGCTGAAAAGCAAGGTGAGCTGAGCGAAATGTCGTCTGAAAACAACCAGTTGGTCAGATTACGCTTGATTGGATATCAGTGCCTGTAGACTACAGTGACTGTACGAAGTACGGCTGGAGCATAATATTGCTGTACCCAAGAAATTTTTGGCTTAACTTCCTTCGAATAAAAAATTTTCGTGGTAACTAAATGCCAGAAAGAAGCCTTCAGTTCTTATATTGAAAGTGTAGCAATGATTTACCAATTAGAAAGTTGCCGGTTCTTTGTCCAGGTATGCCCCAAAATCGTAGAAAATATCTGTAAATAACACATCAAAAATAGATACTGTTGAATACTCGCAGTGCGTACAACAAATACAGATACGTACGGAGAATGCAAATTGCGCAGTGGAACATTAGCGCGAATCCAGCCGCTCCGAGGAACATTGCGAGAACGATACTTCCATACTATTTCATGCTGTAGTGATGACGATTTGAAATAATTCACTGTTAAAAAAATTCCGTTGTCCATCACACCGGTGGCCATGTAATAAAATCGAACCTAGATTTACAAAATGGCTTTACGGATTTACGATTGCTTCTGTTTTGGGCATCGTCGGATGTAAACAAAAATAGAAACAATGTTCTGACCTTGCAAGAATTTCTTGAATCATTGTATCCTTGAGGAAATGCCGGGAAGACCGGACTTCGAAATTCGGATATGGCTTCCTGTTGATGAGTGGGAAAAATATGCAGATAAAGGAAGCGACCACGGCGGGTTCCAGTTGTATGGTCGACCAAATTTTCGTAGCCAACAAACCCCTGAAAGAAAAATAATTTGAAAAATTGATCGAAAGGCTTAGCAGTAAACAACAATCCTCATGATCAACCCCAACGCCAAATATATCGCCTGTTTGAAAATCTGAAATCGTTACATATGCAGTATTCTCTCTAATTCTATTGCAGTACTCGTATGCTTTTCCTAATATATTACAGTAAAGTTGCCTATCCTGATATCATGCTCGACAAGAATCTTAAAAGTTTTTTCTAGCAAAAATAGGTTTAATAGGTGCCGCTCGCAATTAACAGAATTAGATTTAGCGGATGTTGCCCGATCTTACCAGAAGCGTGCTATTTCCGGCTTCTTCCCGTCCCCATACTGGATGACCGTTTTTAGCATCGGCCTGATACCAGTGACAAAAATCTAATTCAAAATTGCAGCGGCTTCCCTGTGGAAATGACTCTGCAAGTAGAGATAATTAGGCGACCAGTGGGAGTACTCGTACATTTCGGATAGTTGCGAGGCCAATTATTATTATACAGTATCCATACCGCAGATGCTCGCTTCATCGGATGCATTGGGACAGTCATTAATGTAATCACAAACGGCATCAGTATCAAGGCACGACTGCAGCGGCACACAAGCGATTTGGCCTTCCGCACACGAGTTATTGCGCATGGGCTCTGCGGGGAAAACAAAGAGATAAAAAACAGCAAATCAAAAATCGATTATTTTTCACGGGAAATGAGTCCTTATTGAAACATGTGCGTACTAGCATAAGATGCAGAAGGTATTCGAATGAAAACATTAATATTTCAAAAAGTTGTTTTCTGAAAGAATTACATATTGAAACACTAGCGAAGTATGCAGGCGAGTGCTAGAATAATGGTAAAATAAACAGCCGGTCTCATGGGTATTTGCAAAAAAGGTCACCACCGGAAGTGGATACCCCTACCTGGGAAACAGTAATCGAAACTCAAATTATCCAACGCCAGCAGCGGTTTCCAGTCATGCTGTTTAGCACGTGAAAGATTCGGAGATGTATTGACGCACATTATCTCCAGAATTAGCTGATAGGTTTCGGTCACGGTTCCCAACGCTAGTCGATAATGTTGCCACCTGGATAACGATATGATTGTGTGTTTACTAGATATATACACACTACGGCACGCCTCACAATAAGTTAAAAAAAGAATCCCGGCTAAAATTTCTTACTGACTTGTTGACAACAGTCTTGGCTTCATCGGCCACTGACCACAAAATTTGATCCCGGCTGGGGTGCGCTTTCCGGAGAACTACTTCGAAGGTCTCCAGTAAACCATGATCAAATACAATTAAATCAAACGTGAAAGCGCAACTGCTGGATGTGGAATTTATTAATACGCTTTCCACCATGATCGGTGCTATGAATTCGGATGTGGGACATTTTGCTACCAACACTTTTCCTACAAAAAAATTATTATATCTTGCAACTTTCTATGGAAGTGTATAAGGTATGGTTTCTGAAACAATAAAGAAACATTATGACGTATGAATGCAAGTGTGATCAAGCTTATTTGCACTGATACAAGATCCTCCTAATTAATTTCATTTATGTTTGAGGAGAACATAAGAGTGGTCTTTGCTGCCCAAGTGAGCAAAGTAGTAAATTGAGGGTATCAAGAGTATCGAAGTGCCGAAAGAAAGTTATCACAATTGCAGATTAATGGCCATCGATACCGAAGTTTTCGTGCGCATGAAAGCTGTTTCAATTTGGTTGCCAAAACCATCAATCACTACTAATGTAATTGCTCTCAAAATTGCAAACACAAATCCATAAAAAAGCCAAATTACTACTCGTAGGCGACTCAGTAAGTGATTATTTAAAACTGACAATTTAATTTTTCCTGCAAACCAAACAATTATGTATGCACATATTCCATATTAAAAATTTGCAGCATCTGTAATCATCAACAGCATTGCTACTTTTACATTTTAGAATAAGATTGCAGATACTAGGTACGGAGCACTATCAGATACATGGCTTACCTGTTTCAGTTTTGAGATTTTGAGCCGACAAATGTCCGTCGGAAATCTGCTTTACACCGGATGAGATCTGGTCGTCAAAGTTAAGCACATCCACAGATAAGGATAAATTATGTTTAAAATTCCACATAAAACAGGTAGCATTCCCATCAAAAGAACATCTCCTTTCCACCGTGACTGCAGCCGCGTCTGGATTATTTGCGTATATACACAACACCCAAATAAACAAAATTATCGGCGGCATGTCTGCTGCATTATAAGCGAAAGCTATTTTTCAGGTAATGTCATGTAAAAATAATTACAGACCAAGATGATCACAAAGTCACGCTTCCGACCGACACTCAGATTCGCATTAATTGGTCAAATCTCTGGATCAGTCGTACACGTGTTCCTTTACAAGTGAGAAGTGACTGTGAATTTAAGACCGGCATAATTCGGCTTGCACAAGATCACAGCGATCGCATCAAAAACAACCGGCAATGCTAATAACAGCCGGCACAGGAAACGATCATGATATTCCAACTTCCCAGTTTTTGATCGGTGCACTGAATTTCACGTACCCGGCTTTTTTGTGAATTTTGCGATCTGGACATATTCAAAAGACGCTGTAAATGCGATCGGATGGAAGTTTTTATCCATCCAGTAAAAGCCCATTCAAAGCCGACCAACAATGGCACGTTATATGGTAAACGTCGACAGCGGTGACATTAAGGATAAATAACAGCTCCCACAATCAATAAACTGATTTGTGCCCCATAGAAAACCACAGCCGCTGTTGTGCACTACATCAAATCGCCCGGGTGATAAGTACCTTTCCCTTGCCAGTGCAGATCCTGAATGTATGTATGTTTTCACAAAGATGTCAGTCAGCAGATAGCCTGCTTAATTAGCCACTCACAAACCCTGAATGCTTGACAGAATCTGTCAATGTACGGATCTCGGTGCAGGGGTGAATCAACGGAAGTACAGCTGCCAGGGCGGCTTTACGGTGCAGCGTTGTGATGCTGCAGCCGCGGAAAAACGCATTAACTTGTAAACGATCGCGATCGTCTTTTACAGAACACATCAAATGTCCACATTCGGTATGTGTCGGCGTTATCAACAAAGATTTGTATGTCAGGAATTTTAACGACAGTGCAGGATTAGACGATACCACGGAAGTGGTGTCTGGGAAAACAATCGTATTACTGCGCGGTGCTGGTTTATCCCTTTTTTCCTGCTAATATTAATTTTCTTTCCGTCGTCACTGGTGCGGAGAGTTACAAGCGTATCGTGTGTTCTTTAAGAACAAGGTCTGCTAAATTATAGTAATCTAATTATACTGTACGCGGTTTCGCTCCGCCAGTCTCGATATATTGAGCGAGCACTGGTCATGTTATCAAAGTGACAAAAAATGGCTGTTTATCCAGTTGTCGATGCGGTATTGTCGGGGTCGTCCCTCGATATCCTTGAACCGCGCTAGCGCCATTTTCAAGTGGGAGTCCTTTATACAATGCCGTCTGTAATTCACTTGGCACTGGCAGATGTATTCAGTTTGTACCCAGTACAACATCTGAGATGCGAAAATCCGAAATTTACCATCTTTCCTTAAGGTTTTAGTACTGTAATCGCTATAGCCTATAAGTAGTCATAATTTCCGACTCATAAATAATGCAAATCGACATTAGCACAAAACTTATGCCAGTTTGAACTGCGAACCGACAGATATCATAAAATGGAGTTCTTTTTTACCATCATTTTATTAATTTTGTACTAAACTGTGAGTAATTGTGCTTTTAATTTCCATTCATGGGCATACAAAATTATTCATAATTATGACAGCTACCCTAGAGATACAGATACTTATAACTGCACCGGTAACTGTAAAAATTCAAAGCGCTCTAGGGCGGAGCTGACAACTGGCTCGCACTTTCAGTCATTACCCATTAGCGTCAGCCGGTGGCCGTCACTGCACCGTAACACGTAATAATTCCGTTTAACAATATTTTGAAGGATCATAAAAATATCTATGTATCTGTATAGTCGTAGTTTTAAGCGTTGCTTACTGGCATGGATTTGATTGTGAGATGAAAAAGGTAAAACAATTAGTAAATCGACGAAGGACAAGATTAACTGAAGTTTACTTACAAATTCAGAAACCTCAGCAGTGACCTTAATGATGCCAGAACATTGCCGTCTTATTGTCGTGTGCTATTATGCTGTATCCGCTTGAAAGAAGATGCATAAAGATATAAACAGAAGTTACAAAATGGAAAACTCACGAACCAACTAGAAAAACAGGTAGAAAGTCACTGAGTAGTAAAACAAAATATCCTCTTCCGGATCTACAGGGGAATTTTTAACCTTCAAAATTTTAAACAACCAAAACAGAAACCAACTCGAGATAACTCATAAACAGTACGACCATCAGACAAAAGTTGGTCCCAACCGACAGTATTTACACCGCATCGCGCGCACAGCTTCTAAAGGTGCCTGTAACATCCCCAAATCAGCGCTTAGATTTGCTTCCATTCATGGCAAACGCCAGCTTCATCTGCGAAACACCATAACGCTCCTGAATATCGCTGAGTCGCCACGAGTGGTCCAAAGGTTCGTAGCGCTTGTTCCCCACACGCATGTACATCCTGACCAATTTATCGGAAATTGAGGATAATCTGGTAAGATCTGAGGAATGCTTCTGTTCCGCAATTAGGCGTACAACGATGTACTGGCACACGTGCGCCACTAGAAAAAGCAGTACACAACAATGAAAACAGAGGCATAAATTCGTACAAAAACTTAAAAATACCTGTCGCACACGCCTTCACGTTCACAAATCGAACGCCCCATTTATCCACCAACTGACGGTGTTTAGACGGCTCAAAAGGCACAATCTTCATACTGGCCATGCGTTCTTCAGTCTTCTTGGATTTTTTGCGTTTCTTGCTGGGAGCACCATTCAACATATCATCACCCAAGGCGGATTCGCCTCTTTCCGATGAATTGCGATCATAGAAGCCACCCCGCACCGATCCTGCTTCGGAGGTAGAAGCGGACGCCATACTCTCCCCCATCATTTCCTGCGAAGATTCCTTGCTGATACGGCGCGGCGCTCGCGTTCCTTTGGCGCCGCGCTGCTCCGCTTGATGGCGCATTCCCTCCTCCATGCTGCTCAGCAGCGCCTTATTGTCCAGTTTGGCCAGGAGCTGCGACTGCTGTCGATCCAGTTCGGCGCGATTGGGAATAAGAGTGCGGATGATCTCGTCGAAGAGCGGATCGGGACGCAGTGAGCGCATGGAGACCAGCTTCTTGCGACAGTTTGGACATTCTTTGTTGCCACTGCGAAGAGCCTGACTGATGCATTCGTCGCAGAAGCGATGCAGGCACTCTTTGGTGGTACGCGTGTTGCGCAGAATGTCCAGACATATGGCGCACGATAATTCTGTTTCCAGAAATCGTTGAGTTGTGGTGATTTCACGGTTACCTTGAGGTACTGGCTGTGGCTGGCGGACTTTCTCGTAAGGTGTCAATTCCCACTGTCTTCGTTCTGTTTCCATTGTACAACCACGAATTCTCGATTCCTCGGAAAGTAGCCTGCCCGAGCTAGTTGGTTAACCAATTATAAACATTGTACGGTGGTTGAGCGTCACGACAATCTAACGAGAAACCATAAATTCCCATACGAATTTTAAGTGGGAAACTGACACTTCCATATTCGAATCTTCGATGATTTGCATTTGCGATTATAGACTACAGTACTTTCAGAGCTGGCTGCTGAAGTAAGCAAAACTGCTGGCCATGCTTGCACGGCAGGCCTACGGACACGGACACGTTATCCCGTATTCGTAGTGTGGCACAGGACTTCGACAAAGACGCACAAGGCGCCACCCTGCCATCCGGTGATTACGTTAGCTTTGAAAAATTTTCTTCGACACAGACATTCAAAACTCAAAAACGATTCAAAAGAAAAAGTCAAAAGAGTTTCAAAAGATCAAAACTAGCCTTGTGGGAAGTAAAGCCTTAAAAAGTTTCGTGGTTTGTCACTCTGTCTTATTCTAAGTGTAATTTCGGAATCCGAAACGTTTTTTCAACAGAGAACCCTGCAGTATAAGTGCGTCGTGTGGGCTGGTGATTTGATACTCTGTTCCTTTGAGGAGTTCCAGTTCGCCGTCTGCCTCTAGAAATGGAGACGAAGGTGGTGCAGGTTACCAATATTTGCCCCAATATCAATGTGGAACAGCTAAAGACGTTTCTTGGCTTTGTGGGTCGACTGGAGCAAATCCGCCTGTATCCCGAGCGTGTCCAGATCACTCCAGGCGGAATGAGTCCGGGAACCACGAAAGTGTGCTACGCTAAATTCCACAAGCAAGAAGACGCAGCCGTGGCCCTGCATCTGACCAACACCGTCTTCATTGACCGGGCACTAATAGTCGTGCCCGTAGAGACAGGAGTCATTCCGGATGAGCAGGAAGGTCTGAGAAATGCGGCACAAATGGGATACGCGGGGTACCTGACAAACTCATCTGCCAACGATGTTTTTGGCCAACTTGACGGTACGTTTGCACCGGAGCGGTTAGCTATGGCTTAACTCTTAAGCTACGGAGACCAGGCATAGATTTTTTTTAAAAACGGGCAATTACATCTGTAATCTGTATCTGCAGTCTTGAGATTACTTTGGTATGATTGTTTTATGAGACGATTTTATGTTGAGAAATTTCTTTTGTTGCGCCGGAAATAGATAAAAACTCAGAAATGCTTGACAATATTAATGATGCGTCTATCTGTCTGCATTGTTGTGTCTGTCTGCAGTAATTATTTAAACTTAGCATCTTATTTAAGGATTGTTAATTTGTCTTACACTGGAAATGAAATTTCGCATGTAATGCATACTAAAAAATTAGTTTTTTACTTCTTAGTACGAATTAAAAAGTTAGTAAATTTTGTTAGCGTTACTGTGTAATTGTACTGTACAATTGGTTTTGTTTCGATGCTTCTGTTATAACTTTGCAAGCCTAGATAAGACGTAAGAATTGACAATTAATTTTATCCTCCTCATGTGTAGGTGCGTCGATGGATGCCTTTGCAGATTCTAGTGACGAACTAAGTCGCACCGTGTACATTGACAATTTATCGCCGGATGCGGTGTCCAAACCGGAAATGTTGCTAGACTTTTGCAACCAAATCGGCGAAGTTAAATACGTTCGTCTGGCTGGCGATAATCCCGTGAAGGCCGCTTTCGTCGAATTCTCCAGCCAGGCCTCTGCACAGGAAGCACTGAGCCAGGACGGTGTGCTATTCTGTGAACAGCCAATCCGTATTAGTCTTTCCAATTCTCTCATTGACAAACCTCAGCTGAAGAGTAATTCGGATGCTCAGAAGGAGATTGAAGCCGCCATGGATCAGGTGCGACGAGCGGAAAGTCTCATTACTGCCCATGCCTCCATCACCGATCCGATTCCGCTGCCTGGCAGCATCAACAAATCGGCCATTCGGCCACGCACCAAGAGCCGTTCACCTCCTCCGAAACGGCGAAGTCCTTCGCCGCCTCCAAAGCGCAGCAGTCGCCGTGAGTCGGAAAAGGAGTCGTCGCGTCGACGGAGCAGTCGCAGTCGTTCACCCAGGCGACGGTCCAGAACCCGATCCCCTGATAGGTCGAGGTATGCGGTTAGAACGGTAACAGATAAGCATTTGAAATTTTACTATTAGTTGAGTTTTATTCTATCAAAATTAACAATATTACCGAAGTCGAAATAAAAAAACTGTCAGTTTGGAAAACTGCAGAGCTCTGTTAACTGCGTCCGGTATGGGGGCTTATACAGAATACACCGAAGTTAAAAAAAATTAGCCGGGCAAACTTCAGCGGTCGCTCGTTCGACCAACGGGCAGTTCATACATCCGGACGGTCGTCCCGGTTATAACTTCATAATGCCCATTTCCCAAATTTAGGGCTGCAGGCTGCTCTGTAGAAAATGAAATATTATGTACCTACTTATTGTTAGTTAAAATCGCTCTAACATCAGCAGTGCTGCGCCTCGGTTATACAGTGCCCGCTAACAGCTACCCTAGTTCTCACTAGTATATACATTATAATAATTATAATCATATATTATTCCTCATTGTCATGTCTCGTTTAAACTGTGCGTCAACTGCTTGTTGCCTGTGGATAACGGTTCTTGGTGAATTAGGCAGAAGTTGCGACTATTTTTAAAAGCCAAAACTAATAATGTTGATCGTAGACTTTGTTAGGAAAATTAATTTAAGTGCCAGTAGAAGATCAAGACAAGTAACATTGATAATGGTATCACTTAACACATTTAATAATCGTACTTGAGATACTTACAAGTTACAGAGTACATATTAAGAACTATCATGTGCGTTACATGAACCTCGATTGATAGGTTAGTGCGAAGTACAGTTTCGATCCTTCTTTGGACATAAGCTGGTATAAAATATGTAAGAGTAATATGATGATGAGCATTTGCGATACCCTTTGGATTGCTTGGATTTTCTTTGGCTTCTTCTGTATACTTTATTGATTTTCGCAAAGAAAGCGAAACGTTCGATTGTGTCACTACGCGATAATAAATTTTTATATAAGAGGAAAAGCTATAAACTGTTGGAATTTTCCCACTCCTTTTATAAAATTGTTCATATATAACCCCTTTTTAAACGAAAAACTGGTCTTCGCATTTCCAAAATAAATAATGGTTCGATCTCGTGAGTTTTTAACACTCTAACACAAACCGCCTCAGACTCGTTAACAGAATATGGGTTGGTTTTTATTACAAGTTTTCATTTATTTTTAAGCATTTTCGCATCAGTCTATAGAAAAACTTCCCAGCAGATAAAGCGAGCATTTACACAACTAGCAGTCTTTCGTGCTCTTGTCATCGGAGAATGAACCTTTACTTCGTGTCCCGGACAAAGCTTCAAGTACATGGTTTAAGATGTGCCTTTTCGTTTTCCCTTGTTTAATTAGTTAGTTATGCTTTAATTTGACGGCGCGTCATGTGATGACAACGGTACTTGTGCATGCTCTCTTCCTCTTCGTGCAAAAGGTTTCCGGCCTACGCTGTATTTGTTAGTGAATTGTAAAGGTCAAGTAAAATATTATCCTTGTTTTCCCAGCTAACAAGTAAGAAGAAAATTAATAAAAATTTGTGTTTTGCAATTACCTGATCACGTTGCTGCGTGGATGGATTGATGTATACAATTCACTGAACGCGTCCCAGTTATTCGTATTTGCAGTGTATCTCGATTAACACTTTGTTCGTGTTAATTATAAATTTCATTTCAGTCGACGCCGTAGAAGCTCCAGAAGCCGCGAACGTTCCATTGAAAATCGCAGAAAAGAAAGAGAAAAATCGAGAGAGCGTGAAAGAGAACGAGAAAGGGAGCGAGAACGTGAACGTGAGCGCGAACGAGAAAAAGAGCGAGAACGGGAAAGAGAACGCGAAAAGGTAAGGTTGACCAATAATTTAAATATTACTTGTTTGTGTATTGCACTTCGCTTTGAGACAAGTAGTCGTTCACGACGGATTTCTCCAAAAAAGATTATCCAGAGCAAAATGTTTGCACGGTTCGGGAAATTTGTTTGTTACAGAAAATGTTATTGTGATGCAGTAATGAATTTTACCCAGTATGCAAAACAATACTGTCTATCGAGCAAAATTACAAATTACGATTCACAGGAAAAGGAACGTGAGCGTGAGAAACGCGACAAGGAGAGATCGAAAGAGAAGTCACGAAAGCAAAAGGAGCGTGATAGGTCAGAATCCGAGGAACGACCTTCGCACAAAAAGAAGCACAAGAAAGAAAAGAAGCGCAAACATAAGTAGGGTGTCTTCGTCCGGTATTACACAAGAGCTCCGCTAACTGTTACACCTCTTTATGCAGGGATTCTTCCCGATCTCGGTCGCGCGAACGGGATGCGAAAAACAACGGCAACGGTTCCGGGGCCAAAGTTAAATCTCGAAAGTAAGCAGGCTTCTATTGTCACCTGAGTAAATGAGTTTTTGAATTTGTTTTTCACTGTCACCTCACCAGGTCTAAAACGCCCGATTCTTTGGGGGGAAAATCACCCAGCCGGGCCAGTCATCGGAGTGACGCCATGGAATCCAGCCCGTAGAGCTGTGTAATATAACAATGATGTTCTCTTTACTTTACTACTGGATAATTTTAGAAGATTTGTAATTGTAAATGAGCTCTCGGTTCCGGCACTAATGTTTTACAATTTGACTACTTTCGTTTTTGTTAAAGTTAGTTTTCGGAATGATGCTATGACCCGAATCAACCGTAGCGCAGTTACTAATCATCCTGACTCCACCGGATAGGTGCACTTGTAAGGTAATATGGATTAAAACGCGTTGCGATGGGTATTGATTGCAGCAGGTACATTTATCACCACTCGCGTATAGCAGTATAGTACAGACTACAGTACATTTGAAAGTGACATGTATCGTATTATTTTTGTAAAAGCCGGTACATTTTGCTGTAATAGGAGCACTGCAAATACACTCATAATAATTATTACTTTTATATTCTCGTAGATACCGCTTGTACTTTGAAAAGGGTAAATTTGTTATCTCGTAAGTTGCAGATTTTTAAGAATGCAACCACCACACGAAGATTCTGGTCGCATCTATGTATGTATCCGTGCCAAAGATTATGCGCCGCACAATGATCCTGTTGACGGTGTACGGACCAGATGCTCCGTAGAAGCGCCATGCATTTCCTGAGTTTATGTAATATTCAGACGAATGTAAGATGTTTAGGAAAAAAGATTACGCACTTTGGTATGGTTGGGCTGCAGCTCTCCAGAATGCCGATCAATCGATTGACGGCTATACCGTTTGTGTGTGAGTGAAAGTGTGAGTGTGTGTGCGTATGTGCGTGAGTGAGTGTTGAGCTCGGCATAGCGCTATCGATCGCTTCCGACTGTGTTTTTGGGAAAAACGAGGAGACGCTCAGCGAGTAGCTTTGAGCCATTTGAAACAGAGCCCCGGCGCACAGAGACAGGCATACACACATACAGCATACTGGTTCTTTTAATACATACAGTAGATACTTTTTGCATTGCCATACGCTCAAGCCCTGTTGTCCCTACCTAGTAAAACAGTTCCGGTTGCAGTTCCCTAATCCTTATTCCTTATTCGTACCACCCTTGAGCGGTGCAACAGCGGATACAGTGTGTCACGACACGAAACAGAGCGGTATTTCTTCGCCAAAGCTTGCGTTCAATTACTTATATTCAACACAGCGGTCACAGTAAATTGCCGACTATGCGTTCTGTTTCTGTGTTATTTAATCTAGGGCTAATAAAGATATTAAAAATTAATTTGCTTCGAAAAAACTAGAATATCTACAACCGCTTTAACACACCGCTTCCTTGCGAATTGTTTACTGAATCATTGTTTTTTGATAAATTGTACATTGAACAGCCAGCCCAGGGCGTGGTGCCTGTCTGTAATACTGGCCAATTCCCTGTTCTCGATTTTCCGTGTGTGAGCTTGAGGGATTTAAAATTCATTTAATAACAAAATATTTTTCACTCCTCTGTGCACCGCTCTGGACATTTGAACTTGTTTATCCCGTTTCTGAGTGTTTTTCACGATTTATAAGGGGAACATTTTTGATTCATTAAGCCCTGTCCTCTACATCCGGGCTGTACTGGTTGAGATTTTTCTAGACGTCCATTAAATTGCATTTATTGAACAGTGGGAAGTGTTCTCAATGGTATCATTTGGTCTGTGCATCGCACACTTGAAACCCAATGCTCAGTCTGGCAGACATATGTAGCGCCAACATGCTTACTCGCATCCCGCGTGCAGCGACTGGATGAGGTGAGCGGCACCGTTATCATTGTGCATGATCAGAATTTCCAGGTGAACTGACAGGGAACAGCTTTCTGCACCACGGTCTTTCAGTTATGATAAGATTGTCCTGGTTTGTGTTGGCTGACGATCCATTCAGTCAAGCGTGCTGTTGATTTTATTGTGATCAGCGATCTGAAGCGCTGCTGCATTCCTGGTTGATCCATATTTGTGTGTAAATTATATGCTGAGAATTCTGATTCTGTGACGAGTGGATAGAGTTTTTTCTCTCCCTGTATTATTGATCATTACCTCATACATGTTGCCAAAATAGAAGCAGATCAGCATCGATCAGGCTGTACTCTGGGCAGGGGAGTACGTAATCGCGGGGAATTGGTCTAATTACGGAAGTGCCAATTAGAGCGGGGATAGCGCTAATTGTGCAATTACAGCATGACGGCGTTTACGGGCACCCTGAAGCTGCGCATCGTGGAGGCGACGGAGCTGAAGCCGACCGAGTACGCGATTCGACTGCCTGGCACCAAGAAGACGACTCTGGATCCCTACGTGTCCATCGCCATCCAGAAGGGCCAGCCCGAGTGCTTCAAGACCACCACCAAGTCCAAGACCTGCACGCCCGTGTGGAATGAGGAGTTCTGCGCGGAGGTGCAGGGCGGCCAGGCGCTCAGTCTGGCCGTCTTCGATGATCGGCCACTTCCGCCCGATGAGTTTGTCGCCGACTGCACCATAGCCTTCGATGACATGATCGGCCAGACTGTTTCCGATGTTTGGGTATGTACTGTATGTGCTTGATGAATGGGTTCGTTTAGAGAAATTAAATCTTCCTTTTCCATGCATCTATGTTGCATGCATTGCGTGTTTATCTTGGGTATTACTTACTGGATCACGATGACTGTATGGTTGTACAGTATATGCGCAGGCGTGAAGACATTTTGAAATTATTCCAGCGGTTATTGTACTTCAACTGCGCATTTGAAAGCATTTGACATAATCAAGAGAATGTGCCTAAGAATCACATTAACTCGACGCATTATGTTAATTTCATGGTCGCTGCTGTAATTGAAAACATCATTTTTAATATGTACCCAGAATAAATACTAGGGTAGTATTGCAACCATATTGCACTTTCATTAACCTGTTTAGAGATAACCGGTGACATATTTTGTTTAATTTGAAAGGAAGCGTTTTAAAAAATTCTGTTTTCATCGTGAACTAGTCATATTTCATTTATTCATTCGGTACAGACTATTCTTGTTCTGTTTTCCTCTTTTGTTTTATTTTGTGCTCATTTAAGCGCATATTTTTACATAGCTCCTTAGCTAGTCAGCGAATAATCAAAAAAGGTTATTGCAGTTCACAGCGCAACTGCGTTTGTGTATGAAATGGGTATACATAGTTTAAAAGGTACGGCTGTAATTGCGTGCTTAGTCCGAAAAGAGATAACGGTTGAAATTTAAAGAATAAGAAGATGGTAGCAATCATCTGGAAATGTGAGGGATTTATGGTATCTTACAAAGGACTTGATGGACAGTTTATTGATTAGAGATGTAGGATATGATAGGGACTTGATGATTGGGTCTTTTCTCAACAATTTGGGTGTTCTTGGCTTTTATAGTTTGAAATGGAACCCAGTGGTAGAATACACGTTGTTATGGAACTGCTGGGATCGACTTCTGATGGTAAGTGTAAAACGAACATCAGTTCCGGCAAATCTCCATAAATATAGTGTGCTAATGCACTACGCTCTATTATAATCTTGTTTTGCATGCTGTTCCATTCAGCGGAGGCACGATGCTCCGACGAGCTTACATCGTTGTTTTCAATTTCCAGAGTTTATTAGACTTTAGATTACTGACAGGACCAAATTGCGCGCAATTGTTCCTCTTGTGTAGTTATGCAGCTCAATCAAAAAAGTGTTAATTTGCCCTATTGGGTATCTTACTTCCAGTTCGAAGCAGCAGGAAACAGTTGTTGAGATATTTGCATATAATGTTAAGCTTGCTTATATTTAATTTCTTCTTTGAAAATTTGAAATGATAGGCAAGATAATTTTTAAGCTTGTAACCTGTTAGTATGAATGCTTTTGGTTTTCGGTAATTGTTTGTTGCTTGAGGTCAGTAAGGTGGTACAGTATGGATTATCGGTTAGATTTGAATGCAGCATTTAATTCTTGGGCTTGATGAGGATGGATAAATGGTAATTCTAAAACGTCGGTATGGCGGTATGGTATTGTGGTTGACATTTGGGAGATGCGATTTTTGCTACCGGCTTGAAAAGAGGATTTAATTAGGTGGTCACTGAAATGCGTCTCGCCATGAGCCCATTGCGCTCGATAAAAGCGCGGGGGCTGATGTCAAACGTAAAAGACATCTACGGAGCACGGTAGACAGAAAACCTTTTCCCAATCGTCCATTATTAGTTGTTTGAGGAAAATCTGTCGTTGTATGCACGATTCAGTGAGCTGTTGTACCTACAGGGATTTGTGAATTGATTCGGTGTGGTATGGTTGGAGCGCATGTATATAAACTGTATATAATGATCCGCTAGATGATTCTAGTAGTGCTTCGATCAATATTTCTCCCTGCTCTGATGGGAGATACTCTTCAAAGCTCATGCTGAATTTATGATTCGGCTAGTGTCGCTTTTATCAGCTCAAGAATTGACTTTCATGGCGTTTTGAGTGGCAACATTTGCTGGTCTTCGGTAAACAGCTGTACCAGTATTATGCACTTTTGCATAAATCAGAGTCCCGGTGCCCAGTATTTTTGTACCGGCACCTTGTACAGAGTACAGCAGCTTGGAGGCATAAAGAAAACAGAGATAAAAAAAACATACGCAGAGAACAGAGTGCGTCACCGTTGTTAATTTGGTTTTGTTTTTGCAATTAATACAAAAGGTACTGATTTGCAGTAAACTATACAGTCTGACCTTTCAGTGATTTGGCAACCGAAAAAGTTTTACGGAAGTTTCTTTGTTTTGGATTGTTTTGCTTTGGTTTTGGGAGATCTTGTGATTTACCGAAAATGATCCATGATTTATGCTGTGCTGATTATTTTGATTTGCTTTTTTTCCAGCAGTCGACAATGCCCCTGCAAGCGCAACAACATCGCCCCGAGTTTTCAAGGAACGGCAGGGCGTGGTGTTCAACAAGCGTCGCGGTGCTATGCGTCGCCGAGTACACGAAATTAATGGGCACAAATTCATGGCCACATTTCTTGGCCAGCCAACGTTTTGTTCACACTGCAAGGAATTTATATGGTATGCAACTCGGTGCAGCAGAATCGGTGACTTTCTATGTAAGACTTTCATATTGTAAATCTTTTAATAGGGGCGTTTTCAAGAAGCAAGCATACCAATGCCAAGGTACAGAAGAGATCTGGCATGGCCAGTGAATATTGGTGCATATTGTTACGCAATTTAAATGATTTTGGTTTTTTGGGTGTATACAGTGTGCACATGTGTCGTGCACAAGCGTTGCCATGAATCGGTGGTATGGAAATGTCCTGGCATGAAAGAGTCAGCTGCAGAAGATGTAAGCAAATCTTTTTTCGTATCTTTCCTTACAGCTGGTCAGCAGCAGTCTTTGTCCACAGACGTCTTCATCACGATTCAGTATTAATGTGCCACACCGGTTTTCGGTTCACAATTACAAACGGCCGACATTTTGTGATCACTGTGGCTCGTTATTGTATGGAATCATGAAGCAGGGACTGCAGTGCGAAAGTAGGCTGATCTTTGTGCAGTGTTAAATGGGACTCACCCGGAAGAATTTTTTGGCTTGTATAGCTTGCAGACTGAACGTTCATCACCGGTGTAAGAAAAATGTGGCCAATAATTGTGGAATTGATACGAAAGCAATGGCAGCTGTTCTCTTGGAAATGGGTCTGCGTCCAGGCGCTTCTGCCCGACCCAAAAGCGTCAAGCCGTCATCCGATGGACGCAAGTTAGGTCCTCGAGTAAGTACAGTAATCTTTTCATGTATTCTGTTTGGCGTTTTTTGCACTGAATTTTACTAATATATCGATATGGAGTTTGTTTTGATGCATTTACTAATCGTCGCAATAAAACTAATATCCAGTACTATCTCCAGTAGTATCTACTGGTATTGAAGGTGGGATGGGTTTGGACTCAATTTTAGCACATTATTATTTCGGGGTGAATCACAAAGTAGGCAAAATTTGTGACCTGGAAGTCCTTTAGCCGATTTCGGTATATTACTACAAAAAGCTTCGTTTTTAATCCTATTTAGTAAATCTAGGCATGCTTGAATAAGGGCTTTCTACATAATATTTGTTGTACCGTTAGCTTGATGTTCTTTTTTCGCAGCAAACTTCCGCTGGTGGTAGCACGGAATCCCAACCGAATAGTGCTCCTGTTGGTGGATTACAGCCTCCGTTCTCTAAGCCTAAGTCTGGATCATTGCCATCAGCTGGTAAGTCATTACATCTGTTTATCTTCCATTCGGTTATTTGCTAGCAACATGGGAATTTTTGAAGTTCCGTCCACAGAAGAACAGACACTTCGGAGCCTGGAAATTGCCAAAACACTTGCTGGACAAAGCATCAGAACGACCGGGCGTTTTGGATTGCCGGATTTTAAATTTTTGAAAGTCCTTGGAAAGGGCAGCTTCGGAAAGGTATTTGACTGATCCGACTCTGTAATAATTAGATATTGGGGTTTTTAAACTGCGGAAAGTACGTCACGGACGGCCTTTCTTTAGGTTATGCTCGCCGAACTTGTTAGTAAACCTGAACCAGGTGGTAGTGGCGAGGATCTGTACGCCGTGAAGGTGCTGAAAAAAGACACAATTATTCAGGACGACGATGTCGAATGCACTATGACGGAGAAACGCATTTTGGCTCTGTCAGCGCGACATCCTTTCCTAACTGCGCTATATTGCTGCTTCCAGACAGCTGTATGATAATCTGATTTTGAAATGATTTGGTTTGCGGTTGAAGGTCATTGTCAAGTTTTTGATGTACGTTTTAGGACCGTTTGTTTTTCGTCATGGAATATGTGAACGGTGGAGATCTGATGTTCCAAATTCAAAGAGCTCGCAAGTTTGATGAGCCACGTGCGCGGTTTTACGCTGCAGAAGTGGTTTTAGCACTTCAGTTCCTTCATCGTCACGGAGTAATTTATCGGTGAATATTTATTATTTTTTCCTTTGTGTACATAAAAAATGTATTCTTACAGCGTCCTAATGCAATCCCTGATAAGAATAACTGATAAAAAGGTTTGGTTTGGAATACATGTATTACCGGTGAATTTTTGTAGAATTTACCTTATTATTTTTGGTTGTTCTGTCGACTGAAGGCCTTGTGCTTAATTACAGTGACCTCAAACTTGATAATATTCTACTGGACAACGAGGGCCATGTTAAGTTGGCTGATTTTGGAATGTGCAAGGAAGGCATATCTGACGGGAACCTAACATCAACATTTTGCGGCACACCAGATTATATTGCTCCAGAAGTAAATTAGGAGACTAGCTTTTCTCTGTTGGGTTTTGAAAGATGTTGGTATTTGGTAGGGCGTAATTTTTGACGTTGTTTTAGATTCTCCAAGAGTTGGAATATGGCTCTTCGGTAGATTGGTGGGCGTTGGGTGTTTTGATGTACGAAATGATGGCTGGGCAGCCGCCTTTTGAGGCTGATAACGAAGACGATTTATTTGAATCCATACTTCACGACGATGTTTTGTATCCGGTGTGGCTATCCAAAGAGGCAGTTTCCGTTCTTAAAGGAGTGAGTTTTGCTTATCATAGTTATGGCCATCTTTTAATGAGTTCGTCTGCAACAGCATATATGCTTATACGTGCGCAAACCAGTGTTAATGAGGTGTATTTTACAGTTTATGACAAAAAACCCCGTGAAACGGTTGGGATGCGTCCAGGTCCAAGGCTACGAAAAAGCGATCTTGGTCCATCCGTTCTTTCGAGAGATTGATTTTGAATCTTTGGAGCAACGCAAAATCAAACCACCCTTCAAGCCAAAAATCGTACGTAATGCAAAAAATCGCATTTACATAGACATTCACAGCGACGGGAATTGTGCTACGCTCTCGCGAACCCGTAGTAATTAATTTTGAATACTGTCTTTTCAGAAATCGAAGCGAACAACAGAGAATTTTGATCCGGAATTCACCAAGGAAGATCCCGTTTTAACGCCCATTGATTCCACCATCGTACAAGGCATCAATCAGGAAGAATTTGTGGGATTCTCTTTTGTTAACGACGATTTTCTTGGCGATAACAAGCGCAACTCCATGGCTAGCAGTGCGTCGGGCAACAGCAGCGTAACGAATAATTCTAACAGTAATTCGATGGATGCATTGTTAAGTTGATTCCGAATGGTGTGGCCGATGTTTCTTATCCGCTCAAAGAATTTGACGATTTTCTCTCACCTTCGCACCACTGGAATAGGTTGCCCAAAGTATTGCAGATATTCAGCCAAAACAAAGAAATGATCGGGACAGCCGTCAGAGAATGTATTTTGCTAATTATTGCTCTTTCCAAACACTCATCTGGCCATCACGAGTCCTACGTTTCCAGTGCGGTTGTCTCTCGTGGTTATTTAGTCCTTTGGACGTTCTTGCCGGTTATTCGAAGCGTTAGTGTAGTTTGTGAAAACTGCACGTGGCCATCGAGTTTGGAGCGGCGTTTGCGCTACGCACTCGTCGGAACGATGTCGTATAGTCGTAAAATTAATTTTTTCTCCTTGTTTTTTGTTTTACTTTCTTACCGTGTTATGTTCTCCCGGTCGCAAGTAGAACTTTGTGATTTATCGAAAGAAGGCTTATGATTCTTCTACCGACTCAGTAAGGATTTTTACAAACTGGTTTTTCGTTGTTTTTTTTTCTTGCTTTGTGTTTTGCATGAGGCACTTTTATTTGTCGGACAGTTTGTCATACTGTTGCACGGTGTAGTCGTTACGGCATTTGTTGTTCTTTATTTTGAATGGATAATATTGTATGTATAGAGTGTACCGTCATAACTATTTGTTACGAAAATTAAGGACAGAACAATTAAACCGCTAACGCGCATATTCAACGGTCACGGCTAGCTTAACGGCAGAAAGGAAGGAACTACCCGCCACCCGGTTTGTGCCTGTTTCATGCAAAGGACTGCGCGGCACAGCCACAGATATGACCCAAAAACATACAACGAATTTGTAGTTTCCTTTAACACGTGCATAGTTTCTTAAGTGTTCAATGCCAGTCCGATAGCCATTTTAGTTTAACTGCCCACTCAGTGAAAAATGAAAATTAGATGTTTTGCTACTTTACGTTTTGCTACTATGAAAAGGTTTCTTATAATGATTACTGGGAATATGAAAGTACAGTATTTTGAAATATTTACATGCAACAGTGTCGTAGTAAAATAAATTCATTCGTTCTCCAAGTTAAAATCTGTAAAAATAGTGACATAAAAAATAGATCAAATTAATGGAAACTTTTAAGATCCATTCTTGTGGTCAAATACATCAAGCCGCGAAACAAACTTTCAAGAATCTACTACGTACCGTACCCCACGTTGTACAATACTTCGCTGAGTCCGTAGAAGCATATGTACAGTCTGCACTTGTACAACACTCAGGCTGCGACAGCTGATTGAAGTGACAGCAGAATCATAATAGACCATAACGGTATTTATTATTTATATACTTGTTACAATATTTTATTAATGTCGTTGTTGTGCTGTGAATTGTGGTTTGTGAGAGCTTGTTTTCATGTTTTCTAAGGGTCCATTTTTTGCTATCGGCTCGATTTTCCGTTATAGCTGAAGACCTGACCTGAACCCAGTGGCCCGTGTTCAGCGTAAAATATCCTGCAACGCAACTCTTTGTTGGATCCACATCTAAATTAGGAACGACTGGACATATCGTATGAACTCAGACTATCAGGATTATCATTTGGATACATTGGGAAAAACTTTGTGGTTTTTCTTATGCAGAGTAGTAGTAATATGATGAGGCAGCTTTATTTTAAATTTCCTGACAATCCGTCCAGGTGCTAAAGAGCGTGGATTTGACTGTGACGACAGCCAGTAATACGGAGCTCCGTTGTATTCCCCCTGGCTGAGATAATGAATTTACGATCTGTATGCTGAGAATTTGGTTTTTCGGAATTACGTTGTCGCATAGCCCATAGGTGGTAGAGCGCTAATCGTGCAACTGCAGCATGACGGCGTTTACGGGCACCTTGAAGCTGCGCATCGTGGAGGCGACGGAGCTGAAGCCGACCGAGTACGCGATTCGACTGCCTGGCACCAAGAAGACGACTCTGGATCCCTACGTGTCCATCGCCATCCAGAAGGGCCAGCCCGAGTGCTTCAAGACCACCACCAAGTCCAAGACCTGCACGCCCGTGTGGAATGAGGAGTTCTGCGCGGAGGTGCAGGGCGGCCAGGCGCTCAGTCTGGCCGTCTTCGATGATCGGCCACTTCCGCCCGATGAGTTTGTCGCCGACTGCACCATAGCCTTCGATGACATGATCGGCCAGACTGTTTCCGATGTTTGGGTACGTGCATTTTACGTGGAATAGGTAGTTGGAAAATTATTTGGTCTGACGGAATTGTGTTGTAGAAGTGCATATTGATATTTTTGTGCACAGGTGCAGTACAAAATACAAATACATGCAGTGAAAAATATCAGAACAGCGAGACTTATATTTTTTATTTGTTAATTTCGAAATGCGCGAAAATAGTGAAACCTTCTGACTTTTTTTTGTGTTTCTTATTTCTTTTATTATTTTTTGGGAAACGAGTGCGGACAAATGAGTCCGATTTGCATTAAAAGCTTTTGACTCGGTAACAAACAAGTGTTACAGAGGAAATCAGAAGTCTAGAAATCAGTTTGATCTAGAAGTAAGAATTCCAGAGCATGACATTGCTCAGTTATTGAATGAGTTCTATTGTGACGTTTTGCGAAATAAAGTATTTCAGAAAGCTAACCGCGTGTTGTGGAAAGAAAGCTCGATTTCTTCTGTTTGCTGTGTAAGTTCGCTATTTTTAAGTACTAGTACTAGTAATTTACTAGTAATTTAATTTTACTAGTAATTTACTAGTAATTTTAATTTTTTTTTTAATTTAGTACTAGTACTAGTATTTTTTTTTAAGTACTAGTACTGCATGGCTCGGCATCGGCGATTACGGGAATTACCTATTCGAGAATATGCGTTAGTAAATAGCCTGAAGAAAATTACTGTAAATTCCTCCGAATGTTCGAAAATTAAATACAGTACACAGGACAGTTTATTTTGCATTATCGGCATACCTTTAATGTAAAATGTGGAAATGATATTGGTTAATGGTACGTAATGTAATGTTGATTTCATGCTTTTTACTATTAAAGGAGAAGCAAACAGCAAATTGTTTGCAACGTGAATTGGCGGCATTTTTATAGAAATGTGATGCTTACACCTGTACAGTCGGTCAGTCGATTAGATACATACATGATACATGAAATACAAACTTGTTAATCAAATATCTCTCTGCCAATCCAGATAGCTTTGCCTTTTACAGTTCGAACTGGAACCATGTGGTAAAATACATATTGTTATGGAACTTTTGGGAAAGATATCTGATGGTAAGTGTGGATAATGGTTACTGCTGAAATGTGGATATCCATTCCGCCGATTCCGGCAGATTTTCCAATGTGCGACCAACAGTCGACTTTTAAACCACCTTCTGTAGTGTGCGCACCTGTAATTGTGCATGTGCTCGTGCACTAATAAATTCTATAACGAAATGCTGTAAAACGCTGACTGCTACGATGATAAACTTGCATACTGGTAAAATGTAATTATTGGGTTTTTCTTTTTGTAGTTGCTGACGGTATCCATTCGACTACCATGGCATCTCCTCGAGTTTTTAAGGAACGACAGGGAGTGCTCATCAAGCGTCGCGGTGCTATGCGTCGACGTGTGCACGAAATTAACGGTCATAAATTTATGGCTACATTTCTTGGACAGCCAACGTTTTGTTCGCAGTGCAAGGAGTTCATTTTGTACGCAGCTGAATACGCTTCTTCGTTCATCTGTGATAAATATTAATAAGGGTTTGTGTAATAGTGGCGTTTTCAAGAAGCAAGCGTACCAGTGCCAAGGTATGGGAGAGAAGCCTTTTGCCAGTCACTTTAATTTATTTCTTGGTATTCGTTATTACAACTACTGGTATTTTTGATGTCGTTAGTGTGTACCTGCGTTGTGCATAAACGCTGCCATGAATCTGTGGTCTGGAAATGTCCTGGCATGAAGGAGTCTGCTGTAGAAGATGTACGTTAATCCGTATATTTTGTGCGTTTGCGTTTTTTGGGATATGAGTGTATAGATTTCGTTTGCAGACCTCTTCGCCACGGTTTAATATGAATGTACCGCATCGTTTCACGTCGCATAATTACAAACGCCCGACCTTCTGCGACCACTGTGGCTCGTTGCTGTATGGATTCATGAAACAGGGAGTGCAGTGTGAAAGTAAGGTCGCGTGTATGCAGTGCCCAATGGGATACTCTCTGAATAAATTTTTGTGGTCAGTATAGCTTGTGGATTGAATGTGCATCACCGGTGTAAGAAGAATGTGGCCAATAATTGTGGAATTGATACGAAAGCAATGGCAGCTGTTCTCTCGGAGATGGGTCTGCGACCGAATGCTTCCACCAGATCCCAAAGCGTCAGGACGCAATCAGATGGACGCAAGATGGTTCCTCGGGTGGGTTTTTTGCATAATCGGCAAATCCTTGTGTTGTCTGTTCCTATTTTGTAGCAAAGTATACAATAAAGCAGATGTGCGAATACGATTTGAAAACACGTCTTTTAGTTCTATCCTTTTTCGCAGCAAATATCCGCTGGTATTCCTTCCACCGATGAACACGCACTTGCAAGTCTGGAAATTGCCAAAAAGCTTGCTGGGCAGAATATCAGAGCGACAGGAAACTTTGGGTTGCCGGATTTCAAATTTTTAAAAGTACTCGGAAAGGGCAGCTTCGGAAAGGTACAGGGTTGTAATGAAGTGACTTGCCATGGGTTGTAATGAAGTGATGAATGATATCCTTAAGGAAATATTCGCGGTGCTGCTTTCTGTAAATAAAACGTTTTCTAGGTTATGTTGGCCGAACTGGTGAACAAATCACAGTCCAGCGGCGGTGAGGAAGAATATTACGCCGTGAAAGTTCTGAAAAAGGACACCATTATTCAGGATGATGATGTGGATTGTATTATGACCGAGAAACGTATTTTGGCTATGTCGGCTCGATACCCCTTTCTCACTGCACTTTACTGCTGCTTTCAGACGCCCGTACGACTACCTTGTTGAATACTTCCAGTCGTGCGCGTTTTTTGGAACTTTTACTGGTGTTTAGGATCGCTTGTTTTTCGTCATGGAATACGTGAACGGTGGAGATCTGATGTTTCAAATTCAGAGAGCCCGCAGGTTTGACGAACCGCGAGCTCGGTTCTACTCTGCAGAGATAGTTTTGGCCTTGAAATTCCTCCACAGCCACGGAGTAATTTATCGGTAATTATTTTCACAGCTTGTCCTGCAGTTTTTAGCTTTCCTGATTTTCCCGTTTTATGGCCAAATACAGTGACCTCAAGCTTGATAATATTCTTTTGGACAACGAGGGTCATGTTAAGCTGGCAGATTTTGGGATGTGCAAGGAGGGCATAGCCGATGACAATTTGACATCCACATTTTGCGGAACGCCGGATTACATTGCCCCAGAGGTAATGCTGTTTGCTTTATTTAAAACTAATTGGTCAAGCTTTTTAGTCTTTGAAAGAGATATTTTTCAGTCATCTCGCTGAGGTATGACATATTTAGGTAATAATCTTTCTTCAAATCTCTTCTCAAACAATAAAAGCTCATTGCGAATGTGTCGTAAAGCTTTGTTTCATAATCTAGATTCTGCGAGAATTGCAGTACGGCGCTTCGGTGGATTGGTGGGCGATGGGTGTTCTGATGTATGAAATGATGGCTGGACAGCCGCCTTTTGAGGCGGATAACGAGGATGATTTATTTGAATCCATACTCAACGACGCTGTTTTGTATCCTGTATGGTTATCCCAAGACGCAGTTTCCATTCTGCGAGACGTAAGCTTATTAGTCGAGGATTATACTTCTCTGCTGCACATTTTTCCGCGGACTTCGTACTTGAAAAGTGACTGCGGTTTTTTGTGTTCATTGTTTACCTGGGTACAGTGCATAAGTTGTTGTTGCATCCGCCACATTTTTTTGCAGTTTATGACAAAAGATCCAGCTAAGCGTCTGGGATGCATCCAGGCTCGAGGTTACGAACAGGAAGTTCTTTTGCATCCGTTCTTTCGGGATATTGATTTCGAAGCACTTGAACAGCGCAAGATTAAACCACCCTTCAAACCTAAAATTGTGCGTATGAGTTCATTTCTGCGCGAACCGACAACGCATTTTACGTTTCGACGCTTTCCTGAGCTGATAGATTCTAATGTTTTAGAGATCAAAGCGGACTACAGAGAATTTTGATCCGGAATTCACAAGGGAAGATGCCGTCTTGACGCCCATTGATTCGACCATAGTGCAGGGCATCACTCAGGAAGAATTTGTCGGATTCTCCTTTATCAATATCGATTTTCTGAGCGATAACAACCGGAGCTCCGTGGTTAGCAGGGGGTCAGACAACATTAACTTAACGAACATTTCGAACGGTAATTTAATGCATCCACCACGCTGATTCCTGTTAAACTGGTTTGTTTGGGATTCACTCAAAGAATCTACTAAATTTTCGCACTCGGCATCTTTCTCGACCGCCGGAAGTATTGCACTTATTTAGCCAAATCGGACAAATGTTCCGGATAACCGTCCATCGATTTATTTTACGTTTGCTGCTTTGCACAGCCGTTGTCACCAGGACCGATTCCAGTACGGTTATTTGTTTGTTATTTTGCATGAAAGGTCTTGCCATTTATCCGCTGCTAGCCATGACTCCGCCAGTTTACTTACCAAAACGATATCGACTGATTTTACAATGCTCTTTTTAATTTTTTATTTGATATAGATTTTTTTTATTTTCCCGGTTGCCAGTCGAGTTTGAGCATACCTGAAGAAATGTTTTATACAGTAGATTGTTTAATGCCTCTGCTGAAAACGAATGGTCTGTCTTCTTTCCTTCAAACCTTTGTGCAGTATTCTGCATGTGGCAGCTGTCTTGTATCCGAGTTTTTGTTATATTTTTGCGCTTTACATTGATGTGAACATTGAATATTTATTGTGTGGTTCGAAATTTGCTTGGTATAAATTGCCTGGCAAGTCGGAAAAAGTATGAAGGTTTTGGGAGAGGCACGAGAATAAATTTGGCGTATGATAGATCTGCTCTGTAATATTTTAAAAACAAACCATACCGCCGGTAAATGGAAATTTTTAAGTGATTGATAAGCGTATAGTAACCACAGCGCGTACGTTTTGCGTTTATTTTGTCCGAACGATTTGTATCGTCTAGGTAAATTTTTTTCATTAAATTTTGCACTTGGCTTTCTGCATGGTTTGCGGAACTCAGTGCACATACTCTATATGTGTTGTAAGCATTGCTGTATAACTACATACTGTATGTAGCATAATTAGTCTTCTGAACATTAAAAGCACAATGCGTTTTCCGCATGAAAGCGCCATGCACTGGCAAATTAAAGAGTCACTAACGCAACAAAGGAGATATGGATTCTGTTGTTTATGTTCTCACAGCCGGGCCAAGTGCACTGACATAACAGAAATGAGCCAATCGTAGAACAATACAGTTTAGTTAAGGTTGGACGAAAAAAGTCGTTGCCCCGGCGCAACTATACAAATTCCGGTCTTTCTCTCTCTTGTGAACGAATTTGGGGATGGGGAATACGTATAAAAGAACGTATATTTACCAAGTGCATTACCAGATCATGGGAACGCTATCGGATATAGCTAATTTAACTGCGTCTCCCGGCTGCTGTCACACTCACTCTCTCTTGCACCTGCATTGCAGCATTAAGGAAAAAGGAGGATGTCTTAACTGTTGAGTGTGCATGACTGCGACGATTGTTCTTTGTGATAACTGATTATTAGTTTGTCTCATCATTTTGGTGGCCCATTAATATCTTCTCGTACACTCATATATACGCTAGCTACCAGTAGACAGCAGCAAAAGCTTAATTAACTCAGCCATCAATCTTGTATTTTTGCTTTTTTCTTTCACGACTTAATGGTAATTTATGCCGGGTCTGCTGCCGGATGATGCAGTTAACTTCCATAATCACGCAAAAATGGCCATCGACGTGGCTGGGCCGGGGCGGCGTAATGAAGATTGATGTGGCGCGTCGTACGTAATGTTCCTATCGGCAGCAATCACGACAGGGGTTACCTCAGGTCGAGCCCTGCACTTTGTTTTAGCGTTGCCTTAATCTACGATCGGGTTGCGCAATGTAATCTACTCAAGGGGCGAAGCGTTGCTGCGTTCCCAACAACGGCACTAGGGTAATGATTATGCAGAAGTTATGTACGCGATATCAGTGGCTGAGAACACACCAAACTGCACAATTAATGCATTTGCAGGAAAAAAGAGGTTTGTTTTGTTGTTCAAGGTTATTTTTCAGTTTTGTACGACTATTTTTGTACGTAGAAAATTATTATGGGCTTCATTAGCGTTTGTGCACAGTATTGGTTTTTGCACAGAAATTTTTTTTGCTTTCGTACAAAGTTGAAATTACTTCCTACATTAGGCAACAGCTATGAAATAATTAAGTGCAAACGCGGGTACATTATTCCACTGTCAAAAATATTCAAACATTAAAAAATCCAAAGTCTCTTTCTTCCTATGGGTTAAAAGGTAACACGCACAGCCGTAGCGCTTCCCTTAAGTTGAACGCTGCTTAAAGTTAAAATTATTCCACTGCGTCATAGCTGTCGCATACCGAACAGAAAATTCTATGTATTATTATTTACGGCCTTATCAATAACTTTTATTGCAAACTTGAAACTGCAGTTGGAAATCAACTTTTATTTCTTTTGTATATTGCATACATGAGGAATTTATGTACAAATACAGAATGCCGTTGAGCAATTCATTCAGGTCATGAATGCCACTTTGAGAGCTAAGAATAAAAGTACTTATAAGAGCCAAAAAATCGCGAGATTCATACCTCCACGCATATGTGATAACATTATGTAAGCGATCTAAACTTTCTAAAAATTTCCAAATACTACCCATTGAACGGCCAGGCTAATCTAGTATCTGGAGTAGAACTGGGATAGGCAACCAATAAACCACCATAACGCATTCTGCGCTGCTACATGAGGCGTTAGCTGCATAAACGGATTAAAACACAAGGAAGCGTTATTAAGTGACAAGCATACAATGCAGCTTATCAATCTCGCTCTTCATAGCCGTGACTTGCATACGCAATCGCATATTTTCCTGCTCCAGAAAGGCCGCGCGCAGTGCGATATTGTCCTCCTTAGCCCGGCGGGCATCCCGTGACCTTTTAGCCGCTTCGTTATTCTTCCGTCGGCGCTCCCAATACGCATCGTCTTTATTATCATCCGGCACGGAGCGCGCTCGTTTCTTGCCCTTTCCATCTTCTTCCGATCCCGGCTCCGGGGTTTTCTCTTCACTGTCCTCCTTCCCGTTGCGCAAGGGCGACGAGGCGGTAGTGGACGCTGTGGAGTCTACGGTGGCGTTAGGCGATCCGGAGACCATGGAAGAGGGCGAAGGATGATTGTCGTTCTTGGATACCTTCACCGATGACGTCACGAGTGTATCCGTGTGTTTGACCTTTCGCGATTTTGTGGTGGGTGGGGTCGTAGCGGCGTGCGGATCGCTCGGTGGGGATTTTTTCTGTGCTCCTGGTCCAATTTTATACTGGGCGAACATATCTTTTGACCCGTTAAAAAGATCCGGTGAGAGGGATTCCAGCATGCCGGCCGGCGTCAGACCGAGATTCATCGGCAGACCGTACAATCCAAGGGGCAGCGACAGAGGATCGCGCGGGTAGGCTTTGAACGGGCGCACCGGTTTATTACCGCCCTTGGCGCGCGGTTCCGTTAGGTTTTGGGCAAAGGGAAAGTTAGGCATACCATGGCTGCTGACGTTGGCGAAGTAGTTGCCCATCCCGTTGAAACGCAGCAAAGGGTTCATCGCGCCGCTGGCGGATACCATGGATGCCGGTGGTGATTCGGCGCGGTGACAAGACGATGTGCTGCTGGCGCCTCCCTCGCTGGCGGTGTCATCGGCAATGTCGGGTGAGCGTCGCTTCTTGCTGGAGAAGTCCAACGGCGCATCCATGTCCTCCAAAGGTTCAGGTTTGGCTGCCGCCTTATCTAGCCAACTTGACGTGCGCGCGTTGCTGTTGCGTGACATTTTTTGCTTATCTGCAAAGCGATTTTGATTTCACAAAGGTGCTAAGCAGAAGTAAGTCAGTGTAAAAAAGTGCACAAAGATCTATTCAACTATGCAGCATGCACATCCTTAGCTTCCTTCAAAATGTGGGCGCGAGCAGCTGCATGTATAGCAAAAATATACTACAATAAAAAATTTTTAATACAAGTAGTATTGTAATTGTGGAATTCAGCTATATATAAAATAACTTAATTTAATGCATGATATTTAAACCTGTTTGAAGGCGCAATTAACTAAAAAAGTTTTATTCAAAGTGCAAATTCCATCAACGATTTTTGAAAACTAAGAAGGGTTATCTTGGTGCCCTGATCGCAGGCGCGCTGTATCCCAAATCTGATATTCTTGACCTTTCTGGAATTTCTGTTTAGTATAAAGCAGAACATCCTATAACATCCTATATTTATCTCTTATATACCTTGCTATGACGTAACGGCGACTCACGAGCTATCACCTAAATACTTGTGACCTATGGCACAAATTTGTGTGCTTTGTTTTGTATTTTCTGGGCCATTCGGTATCCGTGTAGAAAACAGATCTAAAATCAATTTAACGTTGCTGAAACCAAATATCGTTTTGGTTCCACTTCTATTAAAGGTTCTACCAAGGAATCAGCTATGTAAGTACCATAGTATATTATTTGCTCTGTGGACGGATTAATAGCGTAAAAACTAAGAAGCAAAAAGCAGGCGGCATTGCACATAATGGTAAATTAATAAATTATTATTATTAAATACCGGTATTTCCATAACGATTATTATTTACTGTCAGATGCGCATTGCAGTGCAGCGTCTATCCCGATGAGCTGGGGCAAATCCTGTTGTTAAAATTTATGACCCACGTGCGTGGTATGGGGGCGATATAATATTGTCGCAAATCAAGGAGACGGATTGTGGTTTTAAAATAGCAAGAACACATTCGCGTTCGCCGGATTGGCTGGCGCAAGCACATGCGTCGCTTGGGCCATATAACAGACTCCCCTAATAGTCTAAGACATATAGAAAAGTGAAATAGCTGGAACAAGCACATAAACTTTAAAATCATTTTGAAATTTGAACCACATTTCTCACACAAAAGTTATCGTTGGCAATATTTGATTTTTAACATTCATTGCTTTTCTTTATTCACTGCACTTTAATACGACAAGAAAAGATTAACAGATTAAAATATTGGCTTTCGAAATTGTAAATCCTGATACAGCGTTTCCTGAGTTATAGTACTTACAATATGTACTACAATTACTTACCTACGTCGTGTTTATCACTCTATGCTACACTAGTTTTGCAGCAATGGTAATTACTACTAATCAAAGAGCACACTACGGCATAAATTTAAATTGCCATAACTCAGATTGCACGTACCAGGAAATCAGATTATTCCCGTTCCTGAGAATCACGCAACCGATCGTAATGATGCACCTGCAGAATGTGCTGGCAATGATCCAATAATTCCAATTCACAGCTTTGCAAACGAGATTAGCGAAGACGTGTGATGCAATAGTTAGCCGTTGTTTGTTCTTCTTTCAACAAAACGTTTTGTCTCAGAATAAATAAAAGCTGCAGTAACACTAGCCACCAAAGTCTGGAGAAAAGCGATGTTCGGATAGGCAACATTAACTGACGGGAAAAATTTTCTTGATGCAACTGGTTGCCTTTCGGATTATGGATGCTGACTTTCACTGGAAGCACTTGAACCAACGCAAGGGATTCGTATATTGGTTGTGCAGAATAAGTACAGTAATCTGTATCAGGACTAATGCATCATAGTGCACTTTATTGTGGCCGGACTGCGACTGTGCTTGTCTGCGCAACGAGACTTGATAGACTAACGTAACAGACGGTCAGCGTTGTGACTGGATGGAAGTCACCTCGTCGCAACGCAATCGGGCGGAGTTACGGACGTCTCCGTGGTCTTGTTTCCAGACGACCAACTTTGGAACACCCGGCCAACGCATATGCGTTGTGCAAAATGCTCGAGTAGAGAGTCAGAGACTTTTCGTTGTTATACAAAATCTTTGCAGGAACGTAATATACTAAAACTTAAAATAATATGGCTAGGACAATAAGGCTGCCTTGGCAATGTTATGAAAACTATGTATTAATTTACTTCACTTATTCAGTTTTATTTTACCTTTTCCACCAACAACGTTTATAAAATATGTTACAAACGCAAAATGTTGTAACTTGTTAGTGGATTTCTTTTTTCTACTCCAACTACAACTATTGAAGTATTAAAACCTGTACGTACATATGTTTTGTCGGACACAGCTATCAGTTACGTATTTCATTGTAAAACTGCGCTTGGACATCTACAAGTCTATTTATGTGTTTATGTGTTAACTTTACGCCAGCGCTAAAACTGTTTTTGTTCGTTCAGATTTGAATCCCCTTGGGGTTGTCTGCTTTGGTACATACCGTGATAATAAATGCAGATAGTAAATCAAACTGCTTTTGAATCGTTAAAAACATATTTGTTTTAATTAACACCACAATCGTGTTCCGTCTAGTATAATTGCCGATATAATATGCTGACACTTTTTTGCATTTTGGAGCATCTGCAGGCTCAGTGCAACCTTCGTCCAGTCCGACCCAGCATACTATAAGCAATTACAGCATGAATTATTTTCTACGATCGTTGTATATACTCAGTGAAACGAAAGTTCATGCGTTTACTATAGAAGTACCGAAATAGAAAAATACTTCATGATCAACACATATAGATATAAGTAGAAATATGTACAGTAATACAATGGCCCAAGGTGTTGTGTACCGTACGTGTATACACGTCACGTAAACGTCGTAAAGCCATGTTCCGCATTAAACATGCTATCAGTTAAGGTAACACCGGTGCCATCTAATCGGTGAATATTTACATTTACAAAATATATACAGTGTGTGAAAAATTGTTTGCTGTAATTATTATGTGATGGTAGAGTCTGCATTTCCGGTAAAGCTTTCACACCGTGCAATCGTTCATGCGCATGCCTATAAAATAATTTGTGTATCATTTCCTTAATTTTATCTTTTCCCTATTGCTTTTTTCGGATCAGCAGAGAAGAATTTGTTATGACCATACTTAATTGCTGCAAAAAGATGCCGAAAGTACTTCGAAAGGCGTCTGCCAGACATTAATATATCTGATCTATTCTGTATATCGTAACGGCGATTTTTTATTAGTCGGCATAGTCAAATTAGAGCACACTGCATACTTAGCAAGCCAGATCTGTAATTATCTCGCAGGCGCAAGCTGGTATAAAACATTCACACGGATTGTGCTATAAAAGGTTGATTATTTATTACACGTCGGTTACGACCAGTGTTTGCACTGCTGTAATGGCAAAGCCGCTCATTTAGCTAACGGTGATTAACAAGACGGCCAACAGTCATTTGCAAATTGCAAGTATTGTACATCTATGCAAAAGGCCATTATTCAACATAAAAGCTTGAGTGTTGCCAAAGAGAGCATAAGATCTCTTTTCTCCGAAGTGTTTTTCCCATCATGACAGCGTAATTTTGCTGGGAAAGGAATAAAAAATAATAGAAAAAGGCACAGCTAAGTGAGCTAACCGATCATAATACTGCTGTTTTGTGGATATTAAATTCGAACATATTAAGTATGTCAAACTTATAAAAACTTCCTTTGTTAGAAAAGCTGAATAAGTCTGTTTGTTTTATATTATAAGATATTGTAATCTAGAACTACGTATACTTGAAGTATGTTTGAAAGAATTAATGTTCAGTGTTACAGTTAGAAGAATTAATACAGAATATTATAATGTCCACTTCATGCGTAATTTATGCTTATCTATTAACTGGGCAACCGAAAATTATGCGCCATAAAAATTGCGGGCAATATTAAAACATAGAATGTTATTTTAGTTTCTGGCATAACATTCGGCAGTTTCAATCATTAGAAACTTTGTTTCAATTTTTTTGTGCTGAGTACCATAACAGTTGTGTGTGTGGAGACTGGAGAGGAAGTATAATAATTATGCACACGATAGTAAAACGTATTGTAAGTTGCATCTTTGCTTTATCGTGCAATCAACTGTTGCTTCGACTGCTTAAGTGGCCAAATATCGCAGAAGCAGCCCTTTTACCCGAACGATGAACCTTTCCTTATTCCTGATTATTCTATTATAATGGCGGGAAATGCAATAACGAAAACCTGATATTTAGACCGATTTGTATGTGTTTGCCTTGGCATGGCTAGACACTTTACTGGCAGAACAGTTGTGGATGGGTGAGCAAGTGAAACAAGGAGGCGCAGAGGCCATTTAAGGAGAACCATTGTTCATTATGCGATGCCATCCGAGGTCATTGCATCCTCGCTGACGCCATGGACACCCCGCATCAGTCAATCAGTCTATCCTATCGGTTTTGTCAGAACGGTATATATAGAATGTTTATGGAAGCATCCATATTCTTTCTCAACAGAAAATTCAATGCGTTAAGAAATCCTGCAGATTCTGCTTGTTCAACTGAGAACTGCATACATTTATGTAAGAAGAAAAAATTTTGTTTTAAAAACTAGCTAAAAAACAAAAACAAAATTCATTGTAAAAGGCTTTATAAAATCTTTCCTGCATGCGGACTAAGCGCGACATATTAAACTTTTACAGTTTAGATTTTTGCACCCAACCGGCAAATACTGCATGTAGAACTGATCTTACAAAGCGAACTGTTTAGCGATCTGCGGTAGCTATGCACAAACGATACCTACATCCATAACTGGACAATAGGTAAGATATGTAACGCTCTTTCTCAAGAATTAACCGTCCTGTAATTATGTCCAGAAAATAGCATTACTATGGCGCTGTCCGGGTGGGTGTTATAACGGCTTAGACGGGCAAAAATGTGCCGAACGCTAAGGACAATAATCTGATTGCGCATTCTCCGGGATTCTCTCACGACGCCCGTGCATTATCACTTAATCAGCATCAATTGTCCTGACGTAATGCGTATTCAACAGTTGTGTGTCGCAGTGGGAAAACAAACCCATAACGCTATACAATATTTCACTTGCACTGTGACCGCATATCTTAACAGCACCCGCCACCACTTGCTGGTCCGGGAGTGTTTAATATGCTTTAGTTCAACGGCCGCCAAACCCTTGCTTCTGTAAGAAAAGTGCAATATGGGAACCAGAAAAATGTCATATACGTCGGCGAATGACCACTGTAATTTCCAAAGAGTGACCATGGGTTCGGCGCAGGGTGATGTGCATATGGAAATGTCCAATCTGATGAGGACACTGACCTCGGCCGTTCTCTCTCTTGCATGCACAGGCGGATCATGAGTTAAAATTCATGGCATTTGTATAATAGCGCGAATATGTGCAGCAATATTATACGGTACGCGGAAATCTGGCGTCAGATGAAGGGAAGTTTACCAATCCTCAAATTATATTAGCACACTGAAGCCAGCAGCAGCTGACCGGTGGCTACTCAATAGAGCATGTGCATTTAGCGATAAACCGCAACCTGATGCGAACTTTGCCTGATGCTACGTCAAAAGCGAACGGCTGTGCCTGGTGCTTATATGATCCGGTCATTTTGATTCAACATGAGCTCAAATGCACTGGACTGCGGCAATCCTTGCTTAAAACTGTCAATTAAAATTCTTCAATCATAGCGTATAGTACACATGTCTCCATATTTCACGGCGTTCACTCAAAGGACATTGACCCTAGCATATTGCCAAATTTAGAATTGTCGCGCTTGTAATGTTGAATGGCATGTCGCCATCGTCCACGTATGATTATGGTACGACCCTCGCTTGGCAGTATTGAAAAAGCATAAAACAGCAGCTGTTCGGCTTGGCTTGCTACCGCAAATTTTATAATTTTTAGTGATTTCTCTAAAAATTTATTCATAATTGTGCATGAAAAGTAAAGAGAAAGTAATTTAAAACAAAGATTGTGAACGCAATGGTCGCATATCTTAGCTAACGTGCAACCGGTGCAGACATGCCGTGGCAAAGTACCATTGCCGGTAAGCCAAAACTGCAGACTAGTGGCTAAATAAGGTTGCTAAATGCTAATTATGTTTCCAGCTGCATCCAGCACAAGCGCAGATACCATATTCGACGTATTGCATTTCGTGCAGAAATTTCTTTCACCATTAATTTAATGATATGTAACTTGAGAAGTGTGGGATTGACTTCGGTCTTAATGATCATGCAATCGATGCAACAGCGCATATTGTGGAAGCGTTACTAAAGCAAATTCAATTAACAAAGTTTATGTCCGTTCACAAACCATAATAAGACTGAGAGATGCGTAGACTAGAAGTGACGTTAATAATTTAATATACTTCCACTCGACGTCCATACTTCCACTCGACAGCGGTCGCATGGATGCAGTAACATTATGCAACAGGTGGACTACAAAGGTTTCGCCTTAAATCTTAATAATATCGTTTAGTTACCCTGCAGAAGCACATCGACGTTGACCAAGAAAGCATACTCGCTCAAAGCCGCATTTAAAAATTTTGTCGAAACATGATGTTTGCTTATTCTTGTTCCGATAACCAGACCAGCAACTAATAATTCTTAATGGTTTAGAAAATAACAAAGTAATGGATAACAACATCAATTAAGCATACTTTAAAGCAATCTTTTTATCACTGTTAGTTTACCGAAAAGCCTTCAGCAGCATCTCGGTTGCGAACAAATGCACTACAAGAAATTTTCGCTTATATAGAAGGGGAATCTTTATTCGACTTTAAGGATAACACTGCCATTTCAGATCAAGGGATTTTAAGAGCTGGCTCCTTCCGTCTGCGTGTCATTCAGTTGTTCCAGCTGATCGATGTCCTGATAATCCAGAGACTTAATCTGCCGCTCTAAAAAACAAAAAGCCAAATACCTATCAAGGAACTAGATCTATAATACAACTACAAAAAAGCTGAGGCATCGAGATCGGAAAAACCAGAACCTAATAAAAAAAAACTGTAAACGCCATTAGATTCAGCATGTTCAGAAACTGTGTCACATGCATTTTATTTCTTAAAAAAATTATTTAAACCCGTCCCACCGATGCCGGTTTCGGCAGAACTGGCTTCGGTAAAGCTTTCAAGGTGACCTTAAGAATAATAGCAATGCCAGTTGCTTAGAACATTTATTAAAGTGTATGTACTACAATAAATTTGTAGTTATTTTATTTGCAAACATGTTGAATTTTAATCGCGTGATTGCTGCTCAAATGTTCAATTTTTAAATGCCTAAAAAATCCGATTTCCTTGATTGAATTAGCCCAGGTTTCGAAGGAAACAAAAGCCAGTGAACAAAACTGCTAAGGCAGTGAGTGACCCAGCTACCGCCACCGTCCAGTGAACAAAACGAAATCACTAGCTGAGTGATGACCGAGCAATAAATCACTACCCTAGGTGAAACAAAATTGCTAGATCGATGAGTCAGTGACTAAGCTACCACCACTGTCCAGTGAACAAAATTGCTAGGTGACATCGTTAGTGAGTGCCGAGCTACCACCACTGTCCAGTGCACAAAACTAGATGAGTAAGTGACTGACTTGTGAGCTAACACCACTGTCCGGTGAACAAAATCGCTAGGTGAGTGAGTGACCGAGCTACCACCACTGTCCACTGAATAAAATTGCTAGGTGACACCATTAGTGAGTGACCGAGCTACCACCGCTGTCCAGTGAACCAAGTTGCTAACTGAGTGAGGGACTGAGCTAGATTCCTTGCCTAAGAAGTTCTACAATAACTGCTAAGGCAGTTAGTGAATTTACTAACGAATTACTGCAAATGGAATGATTTGTTCAAAGCGGCCGTGGATCACAAGAAACGCGGAGGCGAAGCCGCAGCGGTTTCTTGTACCAAATATTATAAAACTTAGGTTGCGCTCACAAATCATGGATAATTTTCAAATTTAAGTGATACAATTACTGTTTTCGTTAAAACATATTACTGTTTTCGTTAAAAACTCGTTCGTTCGTTAAAACATAACTCGTTCTACTTACGGAAATACTTTTCGAAGGCGTTCAGAACACCCATGTCTTTTTCACCCTTCACAAAATTAATCGCCAAACCGCCTCGCCCAAAACGACCGGTCCGCCCGATGCGGTGAATGTACGTCTCGTAATCTGGTTTATGATCGAATGTCAAAGGCAGATCGAAATTTACAACCAAGTTGACCGACATGACGTCAATGCCTACAATGAGAAACCGCATGCTTATCATTCTCGAAACATCCAGTGGGGTCCCAAAGTTTACATACCGCGAGCGGAAACATTCGTCGTAATCAGCAACCGGTCTCGACCTTCCCGAAAGTGCTCAATGGCGGTGGCGCGCGCCTGGACATCCATATCGCCCGATAAGATACCAATGGGATGCCCATCGGGCTTCAGCGCGTCGTAAATGCGATGCGCCATTTCTCGGCTCTGTCGCAAAAGAGTGTATTACAAATTTACACGCATATTACAAAACTGCGCATATTACAAAATTTACACCGAAAAGAGATGGCTTTCTTACCCGGCAAAATACCATAGCATTATCCACGGTCACTACCCCATACAGACTGCGTAGTGCTTTGATCTTCTCATCATCCGATCCGAGTTTCATATAATACTGGTGAATGTTCTCCAGGCTGAGATCCTCAGTTTTCACGGTAATCAGTTCGGGATCACGGACAATTTTCTTGGCGAAATCCATTACTTGAGGATCATAGGTAGCGGAGAATAATGCCGTCTGCACCGCGGCTTGGTCCATCATTCTATCCCAACAAAAATGACATGTACTTCGTAGTACAAAACGCTGATATCACCCAGGACATTAATTTATAATATCAAATTCATGCACAACGGTGCATAACTTGATAACAAAAGTAGAAAGAATTACTTGTATATTCGCACGGACTGATCCTGATGCCCTTGTTGCGCAATCATCACATCCGCTTCATCCAGCACGAAGAATCTGATCTTTTTAGGATCGAAGACTTTGAATCGAGTCACCCAGTCGAGCACTGTTCCAGGGGTGCCCACGATTATCTGTTCCGAAACAGTTTCACCGCGTTCCACTACACAGAAAAACCTTCATGAGTTTCATGCGGATATAACAAAAATCAACGAAACACATGTCGACACGTACAGCGCCTGGCTCCGCGGACGGCTTCAATAATGGACACACTGATTGCTTTCGATACAATCTTTCGAATAACATTGGCAGTCTGTAGCGCTAATTCAAAAGTAGGTTCCAACACAACCGCCTAAATCAGAAAACGGTTTTTTTTTGCATAAATAAAGATTCACATTCTTCCGTTGCTGCTCACTTGAGGAAACTGGTCGCTGGGGTTGATTTTGTGTAACAAGCCGATAACAAATGCAACAGTTTTTCCGGTGCCACTTTGGGATTGCGCAATTAAGTTTCGATTTCTAAAAAGTAAAAATCAACATGTCATTACTAATCATAATTAAATTTAGGCCGCACAGGAGTAAGTACCAATGCCCCGTAAACTGTAAACAGCTTCGACTGTTAGAATATATCTTCATGATTACCGAATACAGCTTCTCTTATCACATCCATTAGCTTGTTGAGTACAAGAACCCCAAGAAAATGTACAGCTGAGTGAGCTTTTATTAATTCTACATTGAAACTAGCGCAAATAACAGTTTTTCCCTTTTACCTAAACAAAATATCCAACGCGACTGACTGGATCAGAGATGGAGTATCAAAACCACTTAGGAGCAAGCCTCGGACAATCGTAGCCGGCCTAAAAACAATTTATCTCAGTTCATAAAAATTATTCCATGAATTTCCGTCGTACTTCTTACACGTGAAGTTCTTGCCAACTGGACTTGGTATGCCATAATTTATTCGTTTCTTCATTCACGCGGAGCATTTTTGGATCCACGACCAGCAGTTTACACTGCAACAGTTTCTGCATGAGAGCGTCATCAGCCGCCTGTTGAGCTGTAACGGAAAAAGCTGTAGGATTAATTTGCATTTACAGCTATTTTCTCGTAAACAAAACAACGCATGACCTACCGATTTCCTCTGCTGTGGGAATGCGTCCCTCCGCGTCCACACCACTTCCTGCAGCATGCGGTTCCGTCTGGACATTAGAAACAAATACTCAAATAAAATTCTAATATATTGTGCTCCCAACATTAGCCTCTTGGGTGCTGTCTAGTTTCATGTTTACTGGGACAAATTTGATATTCACGATCAGTACCTACATCTTTAAGCGATATTTATGTGCCTGCACAAATCCTGAATAGAACTAATCACCAAAATTTGCTGACAGAGCGGAGCCCAATACTTACGGAAGAATCTTGATTTGCACCCCTTTCGTCGTCCCAGAGAGCGTTTCGTATGTTGTCGCGCCGCTGCTGTTCCTGGTTCTCGCTCCGCTCCTTAGCGCGCAAGTACTCTTCCATCATTCGACTTTTGTCACCCATTTTCGGTCGGACGAGGATGGAGGACTATTTAATTAAACGAACAACAAATTATCATAACAACGGGACTTCTGCAGTTTCCAACGTTAGCAACGTAGATAAACTCTGGACCAGTTGCGGCTGTCCTACTGACTCCTACACAAATTTCACAACACGAAGGCAGAAGAGTTGAATGAGATGCCACTGACACCGACAATAATCATGACACTAAATTTCCTCTACGCTTGGGATGATTTCGGCAACTTATTACTTACTCGGTAGAGAATCTAAAAATGTCATCCAACAAAATAAACCATAAAAACTCGGCCTGTTTTCAAGTGTTTCCAAATTTTCCAATCTTGTAATTCCGTAAAAAAAGTTGCTTAGTCAGTTCGAAATGACTGAAAAATGGATCTGATAGCTCTGGGCCAACACGAAAATTTTGGGCACCCAGTGCACCGTAGACTCTATGGTATAAGAAAAACCGCCCTAGAAATCTTCTACCCAATCCTGCTCACCACCACCAGCCAATCCGAATTGCGCACAAGTGGTCAGTACTTCAGACTGTTCATTGCTAGCCCTATAATTCAAGAGCTTATTACGCGTGACATTCAACTAAAATAATAAAATCGAAATAATAAAAACTTTTCTGAATAAAAACATAACATTTTATTAGCAGAGATGAAATATCAGCCACAACTGCACTCAAATTTCCCATTAACTAACAAAGCGAAAAGCGTCGAGAAGGAGCATGTATGCGAGAAGGACTCGTAATTGAAAAATATTAAGAATTTTTTTGTAGAGTCATATACATAAATAATTTTCATTTGCATAGATGATGTTAAGTCAAAGAACATCAGATTTTTAATTATCTAAGAAGAAACAAATAAGAACCGTTCAGTATATCCTGATCAGTTCTAATATATTGTGCAAGAAAATAACGACAGCATTCTATACGACTACGAAAGAAGCATAAGTACTGTATTCAATTCACAAAAACAAAGTTTTTACTACAGGCCGCACATTGAGGTGTACTTCTGGCTGCACGTTAAGTGAAACTACAAGCTGAACATTAGGCTATACTACAGGCATTCCTACTAACTAAACTTAGTGCACTACAGGTTAAACTACAGGTCATACACCAGATTGTGTTATAGGATGTATACAGGTTGTACTACAGGCAGTACATTATGCAAAGCAGTGCATACCGGACTATGGAAATAATGCACAAGATATCACCTAAGCAGCGTGAATGTTCTTAATTATATTCAATCACATTAGTACTGTAATAATTCGAAGCGTAAAATAAAATTCGTAAACCGGAAGCATGGATAGATTCTTGGTACGCAATAAAAAGGTGTTAATGAATTTAAGCGGTGCATCGGGCCGTACCAGAAACAAAAGTCAAATCCTATAACAAATTAATAAAAGGACAGACGCCTGGCTTATCTATTCTTTCGTCCACCGGTTTTATTTTTACGTTAATGTGATTCTAATGCTTTAAATGATTCTGTTGTGATTAAATATAATGAACAAAAATATGTATTTTTTATTAATGTCCTTTTATTAATTTGTGATTGGACATAATTAAGAATATTTATGATCCTTAGCCGATATCATCTGCATTATGTCCATAGTCCGGCGTGCACTCCTTTGCCTAATGTGCTGGCTGTAGTACAACCTGTAGTACAGCCCGTAGTACAGTCTCGTGTATGACCTGTAGTTTAACCTGTAGTTTAACCTGTAGTGCACTAAGTTTACTTAAAGGAAATGCCTGTAGTACAGCCTAATGTTCAGATTGTAGTTTTACTTAACGTACAGCCTGAAGTACACCTCAATGTGCGGCCTGTAGTAAAAACTTTGTTTTCTTGTGATTGGGATGCGTATGCTGCTTTCGTATGGCATAGAATGCTGCCGTTATTTCTTTGCAGAGAATAATAAAATTTATCAGGATATATGAACAGTTTTTTTTTTGAGTTTTCTGTGAATAATTAAAAATCTGATGTGCTTAAACTCATTATCACCTGTGAATATAATAACATTACCTCAGTGTATCACTAAAAAAATTCATAGCCCTTTTTAGTTAATATTTATATTCCTTCTCTTCGATTTCAGTTAATGGGAAATGTGAAAGCACTATCTCTGATATTTCATCTCTGCTAATGGAATATTTTTAGAAAAATGTATTGTTTCGAATTCATTTTAATTGGTAGTCACAAATAATAAACGCTAGAATTCTAAGTACTGGAGCAGTTAATAATCTGGAGTACTGACCAGCTGTGCGCAATTCGGATTGGTTGGGTGGTAGGGAGCAGGATTGGGTAGCCGCTTTCTAGGGCGGTTTTCCCTATACCATAGAGTCTACGGTGCACTGCGTGCCCAAAATTTTTGTGTCTCTGGGCCAAAACCTGGAAGCCGACCGGAGACGGGAAGCCGCTACCAAGAAGGATTTCGATGTCTTTCGGCTTTCCAGGCTTTCCTCTGTTTGTTTTTGCTTTGTAATTTTATCATGCCGTTGTCATGAATTATTTATCTGGCGTTAGCTCGATTTGAATTTTCAAGAACGAGGTCGAAGGAATGTGATTACTAGTATCTGATACCAGAGGAAAATCGTTTTAATTTCAAGTACAGATGTGATTTTATTTCTCAGATTATTTTCCCTGGTGATACTTTTGATACATCCGTGTTTTCGAAATGAATACGAAGGCTCCAGAAGTTTCCGATCGTTTGTCATCGGTTCTTGAGGTCTTTGATGACGAGGATTATGGTGGCTTCGAGGAAGAGGATGATGAGTTCGACGATGCCAAAGCGGAAAAGGATGCTCCAGCAGCAATGGATGAAAGCAACCAGAAAGTCAAGAAACTACAACAACTGCCGGACATGTTCGCTGTAGTGTATAAAAGAGCAACCGATTTGAATTTAGAGAAAGATTACCACGGAGCTTTACAGATCTTCAAAGATATTGCCAAGATTGTAAAGCACTATGCGCCGTTGCACGATATCATGGCGGACTGCTATCAGAATTTATGCAAACCACACGAAGCCTTGAGCTGCTGTAAAGCGGCTGTCAAATTGCATCCAAGATATATCGAAGCGTGGAAATCGTTATGCGGAAGATGCTGATGTTCTGCAAGACGACGAGGAACAGATCTATGCGCTCAAACATATTGTTAAAATGAATATCGGTAATCTTGCTAACGTTGCGACGGAATTGAGACGTCTTGTATCACTGCTAGACGTAAGTCGAATCCGTGAACTTTAAGCAAATTAACAAATTTATTTAAATTTATTATTTATGCAATTTTGTTTTATTAGCTTGATGTTATATGCTGCAGAATTTAATTTGGCCTCCGTTGTTGGATGACTGTCTTCTAAGTTTTAATGATGTTTTCCATTTTTTAGCCCTCGGAAGCTTTCTTGGTCAACAAATGTAGAAGTCGATTGATTTTGACGGAATTGTGGAGTGGTTTACCACCGGATTACTCCCTGGCCGTGAACGTGATGCAGTGGCTTTATGCAGAGAAAAGAAGACCGCAAGATGTTTTGATTTTCTTGGAGAAATTCGTCCCACAGAGGATTCCGAATAACGATTTGCCAGAATCTGTTCTTACGGTTTTTGTGGAGGTGCTGCTGCAAACGAAGCAATCGGAACGAGCTGCACAGTTTCTGATCGAGTTAGGCGTAATACTGCTGGACGTCCGCGATGCGTCCGGAACGTTCTCCTTAACCGATTTTCCAAGCGCTACGGTAAAGGACGGAAGTTCTGCTGCTTTGATTGCAGCGGCTTGTATTGTTATGCTGGATTTTGGCATCTCCTCCAATATCGAACAACTTCTACAGAAAGGCATTTTGGGCGCTATTAATTTGGGGTAAACCTGACATGCGTTGTCATTGTAAATTTTCGAAAATAAATTTAAGCGCAGTTTTTGATTCATATTGTGAAGATGATTTATATCTGTACTATTGTAATTTGTATGTATGTATGTATTTATGTAACAAATTAACCATAAGTGTCAATATGCAAGTGAAAATACGCGTTCGAGGTAGTAGACTAAGTAAGTGGTGCGGTTGTGTTTGCTGTAGTAAATCTGAATTTTCCACGTTCGAAATTTTGGAATTTCTGTATTTGGGATTTTGTGGTCTAATACGGCATGTCACTGCAATTGTGGCATACCGTATTAAATTATTTACAGTTAATTACATATTAGATACTTAACTGAGCCAGCTGCAGGCTGAAGCGATACCGGTTTTACTACCAGTACAAATTTTAGATACGTTTCATTTTTGGATTCTTTATTTCAGTTGCAAATTTCATTTTTTGGATTTTTTCTTTACAGGAAGAGCAAGATATACCTGCACCTGGAAGGGAGGGATAAGCTGGAAGGGAGCCCATTCCGAGTTGAACAGAATTTGAATGGTTTGCATTTTCACATGCGTGGCGCGTGCAACCTGATGAACCATTCTGTGATGTGTTGACATTTGACAATTTATATCCGGTTCTACGCTCTGTGATGAATGAATAACATCTTAGTGAAACTGAAAACGTTAGCCGATTTTGGCATTTGGGAGCACGAAAATTTCGAGCCATGAACATTTCGAGTATTAACATTTTATGTATCTGTCAAAGAAGTGCGAAATTCTGATTATCAGCTTATTCGAATCAGTTGATGGTCGGCCGCAAGTGCGATTTGGAGAATATCACTACTGTAATCCCGTTCAAAAAGCCGTGACTGTGAGATCATATCCAGCGGATTCGGTTTTAGCGCGTCAATAATGCCTTAAATTTGATTTCGGTGGGTTCGACTTTGTTGTTCCTGTTTAGTATCATGAAACTGTTAGCTAGTTATAATTATGTTGGTGATCAAAAATATGTTGACGACTGTTATCGTTATTAACGTTTACGCAGGGGTACCAAGTACGAACTGCAAAGCACGGTAACAAATTAAACTGCACAAATGTTTAATGTACACAAGTACTTCTATACCAAAAGGAAAACCAGTACTAGTACTGAAAGAAAACAAAATCGGATCGCTTTTGACAGGAACAAGTACACAAAAAAAACGCAGCCGCGACTAAGCAAAAAGTACCTATACATATTACATAACGTTCGCTACATAACTAGCCACTGAGCTACTGATGTGCTTGCTTACTTATTACAGTTCAGCCAGACCACTTAAAACGCGAACAGGAATGCCTCAATAATCCTTCCATGAATATAAACAGTAAAAATTACAAATTAGGGCAGAAGCTGTGAAGATCCGTTAGAGCGAGGTTCATGAGTGAGGACGCGCATGAATTATCGAAGCGTTAATCAGCCTGTAAAACAAAGAAAATGTACGAAAACGCCTTAAATCTGCCAATTACAAAATATGGGCAGTCCTAAACTTCTCGAATTGCTCTCGGTCCACACCCGTGTCACGGTTAGTTTCCTTAACAATGTACCGTGAGTATCTGTCGTTAGACCTTAATATCGTACAAGCATTAATTTTTGATTATGAAATATGAACACGTACCGACGGAGCAGGATTACACAGCAGTGCCTTCGCCGACGACAACAGATTCATCCTTCTCTTTTGCGCCAGTATCCGCCTTCGCTTCTTCCCCTTTGGCAGGCGCTACTTCATGGTTACCGTTAGTTTCGGGCTTTGATTCCGTAGTCGACTCTTCCGCGCTTCCATTTTTGACAGCCTCGTCCGCAGTGTCGTTCTCCATGCGGGCTATCTTCTTGGCAACCGTATCCTCCTCCTCCAGATGTCGCTTAGGAGCTTTAGCTTGACTCTCCGGCTCTGCAGCAGTAGTAGTAACATCATGTTAACAGTTAAAAGTGGAAAATGTTGTGTATACCCATTGGAAATTTACTCAGCTATACCATCCTTACCAGTTTTAGTAAGAACAAATAAAATTTTCTCCAGAATTCCAAGTTGTTTTTCTCCATTCTCTCGCTGGATATTCGCCAGTTTTTCCAGTTCCGTTACTTGTTTATTCGCCAGTTTTTCCAGTTCCGTTAGTTTTTCTCCCAACTTCGCCACTTCTTCCTGAACGCCACGCACGGTAGGGTTGCTTGCCGGGGAGAATGGATTTGGGGATATCGGCAGGAAATCATTTTGATTTACAGGATTTAACATGTTTACAGGTGAATTTCCCACTGCCACATTCGATAACTGATCGGAATTGGATAGTATTTCAAGGTCTTGGCCTAAAAATATCGAGATGGGACGAAGGTGTTTTCGGATCTGAGCTGATCGGATGCACGCTACACAGCAGAGCGAAGCAGAGCACGTGTACCCACAAAAGAGTGTCATGTTCAGCAACACATTTTTCTTCGAGATAATTATGTGGATAAATCGATAAATAATTCAGAAAAATTGATGAAAATGAAAAAAATAATAAATGGATGATAAATTGATTAAAAATTTGTTCAGTTCGAAGAATGTGGACGTTAACCTCAAGATCAAGGGTACATACCGACGATACCGTCAGATTCGCCACCACTTACTCCCGGCGACTGAGGCGGGGAAGTTCCTTGACCTGAAGTCGCCATGGTCACTGGACGGCACTACAAGAAAAAGCTAACGAAACTCACAAATTTTGTATGTATTCGTATTCTTGATGGTACCGTAACTCGGAATAACTCAAAATTTCGTTAACTTGCCTGAATAGCGTTCCTGGTAGTGTAACTCGCAAGCTTCCTGTAACTCGTAAACTGTAAAGGTGGGTGAATTCGCACAGGCTGGGTGAGAGATGCACAAAAAACGGTTGAAGGCACTCAAGGCAGTAACTTCGAAAGTCAAATTCCCGCTCCCAATCAAAAAAATTACCGACTAAAACACTTTTATTTCACCATCGGTCCATCGGAAGGTTCCGCCCGTCTGTCAGCTTCTGCCGCCGCTTTCGAAATCAGGTGCAGTCGTACAACCATCAACCTGCTTATGGTTTAATAGTATGGTAGTAAGCACTAAGCACTAAACACCTAAACACTGTAAATGCTGTATATAAAGTAGTAGAGTACTAGTAGTAAAAATTTTTCGAATACTTAATTATCTCGGCTGTATCATCAGCCTGTATGCTTATTTTTCCGCCATTGGCGGAAAAACGTACAGTACAACCCAAGTGACCACTGGCGCGGCATTGGGACGATACGCGATGACTCAATGATGTGGTAATAGGTTGGTAATAGTGGATAAATACAGTACTGTACCTGAATAGTGAATACATTAATTTTTGTTTAATGTTGTCTGCATGTAGCATGTGGGATGAGGTTTATCAACGAGGTCTGTGGTACTTTTGATTTCCTGATCTTATACAACCCTTGCTTGGAAATTCAGAGCAAGATCATTTTGATTCAAAGTTTGAATCAAAATGAATACGAACGCTGCGGCGGTTTCTGGGCGTATGTCATCGGTACTTGAGGTCTTTGATGACGAGGATTATGGCGGTTTCGAGGAAGAGGACGATGAGTTCGACGATGCCAAAGCGGAAAAGGATGCTCCATCAGCAATGGATGAAAGCAACCAGAAAGTCAAGAAACTACCACAACTGCCGGACATGTTCGCTATGGTGTATAAAAGATCAACCGATTTATATTTGGAGAAGGATTACCACGGAGCTTTACAGATCTTCAAGGATATTGCCAAGAGTGTAAAGAACTATGCGCCTTTGCACGACATCATGGCGGACTGCTATCAGAATTTAGGCAAACCACACGAAGCCTTGAGCTGCTGTAAAGCGGCGGTGAAATTGCATCCGAGATATATCGAAGCGTGGAATCGTTATGCGGAAGTTGCTGATATTCTGGAAGACGACGAGGAACAGATTCATGCGCTCAAACATATTATTAAAATGAATGTCGGTAATCTTGCAAACGTCGCGGTGGAATTGAGACGTCTTCTATCACTGCTAGACGTAAGTCGTATTCCTGCACATGGTAACATGAATTAACTTAAGCAAGATTAATTAGTCTTATTAGTTTTATTTATGTGCATTTGTTTAATTTTATTTATCTGCATTTTTTAATTTTATTTTAATGGCTTAGCTTTATGTGCTGCATAATTCATTGCCGTCTTGTGAGTTTTACTGATGTTTTTATTTTTTAGCCCTCGGAAGCTTTCTTGGTCAACAAATATAGAAGTCGCTTGTTTTTGGCGGAATTGTGGAGTGGTTTACAACCGGATTACTCCCTGGCCGTGAACGTGATGCAGTGGCTTTATGCAGAGAAAAGACCGCAAGATGTTTTGATTTTCTTGGAGAAATTCGTCCCACAGAGGATTCCGAATAACGATTTGCCAGAATCTGTTCTTACGGTTTTTGTGGAGGTGCTGCTGCAAACGAAACAATCGGAACGAGCTGCACAGTTTCTGATCGAGTTAGGCGTAATACTGCTGGACGTCCGCGATGCGTCCGGAACGTTCTCCTTAACCGATTTTCCAAGCGCTACGGTAAAGGACGGAAGTTCTGCTGCTTTGATTGCAGCGGCTTGTATTGTTATGCTGGATTTTGGCATCTCCTCCAATATCGAACAACTTCTACAGAAAGGCATTTTGGGCGCTATTAATTTGGGGTAAACCTGACATGCGTTGTGATTGTAAATTTTCGACAATAAATTTTTGCGCCGTTTTTTTATTTGTGTTGTGAAGATGATTATACTCTCGTATCTGTACTGTTGTTAGTTGTATGTATGCGTTACCAGTTCCTAATGAACAAGTTAAGTATCATTATGTAGTGAAAATCCGCGTTTATGGTGGCAAATAGACTGAATAGTGTGGTTCTGTTTTGCTGTAGTAGACCTGAATTTTCCACGTTTGAAATTTTGGAATTTCTCTATTCGGGATTTTGTGATCTAATACGGCATGCCGCTGCAATTGTGGCATACCGTATTAAATTTTTTACCGTTAATTACATAATAGATACTTAATTTAGCCAGCTATAGGCTGAAGCGATACCGGTTTTGTTATCATTACAATTTTTGAATGCATTTCATTTTCGTTTTTTGGATTTTTCATTTCAGTGGCACATTCGTTTATTGGACTTTTGTTTACAGGAAGAGCAAGATATACCTGCACCTGGCCAATGTTCTGTTGGGAAAAGATATGGTGATGCATGCGCGGTCGCTGATGGAACGTTTGCAGTTGCATCCGGAATTTCAGTCTCCTGAGTTTTACTATCAACTAGGACTTATATTTGAGAGACTGAACGATATCAAACAAGCCCTGCACGCTTACAACAGGGCAGTTTCGCTTAAACCGTCTTTCCGTACCGCGCGGTTCAGGATTTTGAAACTTGGATTACCGGTACCTAGTTCGAAAAATATCGGAACTGTTGAGGGAAGGCAACGCACCATCTTGTTGCAAAAAAGGATTTTCGAGAACTACATGGAACAGAAACTACGTGACGATAAAATGGAGATGTTGCGATGTTCTGTAGATTTGGTGACCTCGACATTCGCCCATTTGGACGAAATAGTGCCGGAACGCATTATCGATAAGCTGGAAGGAAGTCCATTCCGAGTTGAACAGAATTTGAAAGATTACTTATTATACGCCCCAGCTATTGCCACGGAGGACGTACCGTTAGAAGATTTTTGGGATATATGTGTAGAAGGCTGTCGAATCGCTCTGGACAGTCGGCAGTATGAGGAGTTTCTGGTGATAACCTTCCATGCCTTGTGCACTGCGGACTTCCGACCTTTTCCTGAGAAAGTTGACATAATGAAGTTAGGTATCATCACTGGGTTGTATTATCTAAAAAAAAATTTGCGCTTCGCCGTTGGTTACTTCCGTGACCAGCTCATCTCAAAGAAGCAAGCGGATTACAGTGTGCCTGTCTGGAATTTGTTTTATTTACTGGTATCGCAGGTGAAACATACTATACCGTTGATGAAGTGGGCGACCAGATGGTGCAAGAATTACGGATATTCGAAGGAAATCACTATGTTTATTGCCAATGATTCGCTGCGACGAGGGCAATCCCGCCACGCATTAGATCTGGTACGTTGTGACGCTGCTTGTGTTACTTACTAATTGCTACTATAAGTAGATCATTTGGAAAAATATAAGTGTGTCACTGGAAAAATATCATTTGCTCTGAATCTTGTATCGTAGCCTCGTAGTCTCGTACGCAGAAAGTGTTGGGACGTTGCTGGTTTGACTTTTTCTACAAATTGCAATATTACTTACGAACTGAAGACCATGTCAGTTAAAACTGTTAAATTTACTGCATTATAGTAATATTTTTGGACGTCAAATTTGAAATACTGTGACGTTACTAAATTATTTATTATTACTGCTGCCTTCTAGTACTCGTGCAGTATTTACTATGTTGTATATTACTAATTAACGGTTTAGGGTTTTTATTTTTCAGTATTCAATGATCGCCAAAAACGAAGGAATCAACGATGCTTCCTGGCAGGTTTTGTTGAACCTTGGACTTCTATATGTTAGAATATCCGCACAATTCCATTTGACGAAACGATCTCAGATCTACAGTCTGGGCATGATGTTTATGGAGAAGTATGCTTTACGGCGAGGTCTATGTCCAGAAGTGATGTACAACAAGGGTCGCGCAGGTCACTTATACGGGGATTTAGCGTCGGCGATCGTTTATTACAAAGAATGCTTGAGATTGTCCCAAATTTCCTCAAGTACAGCTTCCAAAGAAGAAAGGCTGTATTTTGATTGTGCTTTCGAAGCGGCTTACAACCTACGGGCGATTTATGTGCGTTTGAAGCAACCAGTCCAGGTTGCCGATCTTTATACTGACAAGTTACACTGGAAAAATATTCGCGGTTTATCAACAGCTGTCAATTTTAATCGGCAGATTAATCTGTGATTGTTGGTTTGCTTTTGATGAGTTAACGACACTGTTCCCACTGTCAGATTATTTAGATACTATATTTACAAATTTGAATAAAAATATGCTTCGAAGTTTCGAGCGACCAACTCAAAAATCTTGTGTCTCAAAGAGGGCTGTGACGAAAATGGGATAACAAAATACGTGGAGGCTGAGAGGGAGCCATTTTGTAAGTTATGTAAATATATGTATACTTCAGTAGTGGGTTAACCCGGTTAAGAATTGTTATGTTGGAATAGCCCGTGAAACAGTTGGAGCTGACAAATTTTTTTAAGATTCCTCTTCGAAAAATACAGTTGAATAATAAAAAATTAATAATTTCATAGTGTGTTCAACGGTACCGGCGCCCGTCTGCAAAATTCTTTTAAAATTCGAAATGGGCATTAATTGTAAAGTATGTATGTACTGTACTTCGTAAATCCTACGAACTTGAACGGCAGAGCCGCCACAGCGGTGGATCAGCTAAAGCTTGAAGCCTTGAAGAGGTTAAATACGTTTAAATCAATGGACTACCGCCTGCGGTGTCGGGCTGGGGCATTACAATGCGCAGATAAACAATTTCCGGTTTGTTAAGCCAATACAAAAATTACGAGAACTTTTGAAGGCTTTTAGCCTTACTAATTTTAATTCTTTTTCTTATTGCTCGAACGGTGTTCTGTTTTAGCCCTTTTCCGTAAGACAGCTTTGTAATCAGATTTTCACAATGAAGCTCTCGTCCATTTTAAGCGCCGTGCGGAACCAGTTTTTGTGGACGCCAAAACATCCAGCTCCCGAACAGTTCTTCAGGAAGAAACCGCATTTTCGTTTGGCGGCCGTAAGTGCACACACTACCGATAGTTTATGCTGTTTGTCTTCAAAATCTTGGATATTTTCTTATTTCAAACCGATGCTTGCAGTACATGAAAGGTCGACGTAGGAATTGTTGGACGCTTATGAGGACACAGTTGGAAAAACAACTTCTTCTCGCAGCGTGGGGTCGACACATGACGAGTCGAGAGAAGCGATATGTAAGTAGTAAGGTGTAAGTAGGTATTTTTCTGGTGCATTTCGAGAACGTTGTCAGTTGTGTGTTGTAGTGATATATTATATTTGGCATTAATCGCATCTTGTTCATTATGAATAAGAAATATGATTGTAGATGCATGCATTCAAATTGCAATTGCCTAATATTGTAGCTTCGCATCACAAGGATGGAAGGAGCTTTGACGCCTTTTGGTCTTCCCTACGAACAGTACATGGAAAATCTCGCTAAGGTATGCGGTTTTTTAGTTGATCATACATACATAAATGCTGCACAACAATCGGGAGACCTGATGAACCAGTTTGTGATGTGTCTCTGAGACTGAAATTTTATTTCCTGTTCTGCGCTTTATACAGATGAATATCTTACTGAACCGGAAAATCTTGGCCGATTTTGGCATTTGGGAGCCGCGGACATTTCGAGTAGGTGTCAGGAAAATGCGAAAGTTTGATAATCAGCTTGTTCGAATCGGTTGAGGGTGTTTTTCGCTGGTAGACGGTAGTGACCATTCTCGGAATGCTGTGAATTATTAATTCCGATTATGCGAGCAGTCAGTAATATAAGTACTTTGGGCTTTTCTGTTTGCAGTCTTTGACTACGCTGGTCGGCCACAAGTGTGATTTGGAAAATATCACTACTCCCGTTCAAAAAGCCGTGAGGCCATATCCAACGGATTCGGTTTTAGTGCGTAGATGTCTTGAATTTTAATACAGTGGGTTTTATTTTGTTGTTCCTGTTTGTTTCATGAAATTCAATTTCATCGTTACTTTATTATAATTATGCTTTGTGTTCAAAACGGTTGACGACTGTTACTGTACTAGTGTTACGCAGCGCATCAACTGCAAAGCACGGTAACTAATTTAATTGTACAGATGTTTAATACAAATGCCAAAAAAGGAAAACCAGTACTGGATAGAAAACAAAATCGGATCGCTTTTGACAGGAACAAATACGCAAAAAAACGCAGCCGCGACTAAGCAAAAAGTACCTATACATAACGTTCGCTACATAACTAGCCACTGAGCTACTGATGTGCTTGCTTACTTATTACAGTTCAGCCAGACCACTTAAAACGCGAACAGGAATGCCTCAATAATCCTTCCATGAATATAAACAGTAAAAATTACAAATTAGGGCAGAAGCTGTGAAGATCCGTTAGAGCGAGGTTCATGAGTGAGGACGCGCATGAATTATCGAAGCGTTGATCAGCCTGTAAAACAAAGAAAATGTACGAAAACGCCTTAAATCTGCCAATTACAAATATGGGCAGTCCTAAACTTCTCGAATTGCTCTCGGTCCACACCCGTGTCACGGTTAGTTTCCTTAACAATGTACCGTGAGTATCTGTCGTTAGACCTTAATATCGTACAAGCATTAATTTTTGATTATGAAATATGAACACGTACCGACGGAGCAGGATTACACAGCAGTGCCTTCGCCGACGACAACAGATTCATCCTTCTCTTTTGCGCCAGTATCCGCCTTCGCTTCTTCCCCTTTGGCAGGCGCTACTTCATGGTTACCGTTAGTTTCGGGCTTCGATTCCGTAGTCGGCTCTTCCGCGCTTCCATTTTTGACAGTCTCGTCCGCAGTGCCGTTCTCCATGCGGGCTATCTTCTTGGCAACCGTATCCTCCTCCTCCAGCTGTCGCTTAGGAGCTTCAGCTCGGTTCTCAGACTCGGTTGTCTTGGCTGCTCCACCGTCCGCTTCCGCCTCGTTGCTAATCGGTGTCGGCGCAGGAGTAGATTCAACTGGTTTCGCCTCTTCCGTGCTGCTGCCGACTTTCTGGTCCTCGTTAGCCTGCTCGGTAACGGGAGCAGATTCCACAGAGGACGAGACAGCGTTTTGCCCGATCCAGTGAAGGCAATGCCTATCATATCTCGCCCTAAAACCCAAATGCTCCTATTACTTAACAAATTTGAGAAATTAGGCAATCCGAGAAATCAGACATAAGGATAAAAATCCCGTATTCTGCCTCAAGAAACATGCACCCTCCGATAGATTTCTTTAAAATGCAGGTTAATCTGCTACTAATTATTGAATTTTTGTATAGCAAACTAGTGAGGGAGGTTAGTTAAACCCCGTAATCCCAATAATCTAACAAGTGTATAAATCTCACCTGATAATACAGTCGGTAAACCTTGCATCTGAATAGGGGTAGGTTTGACGATTCCTTTCTTTTTCAACGCCGATATTATAGGCTTAGGGAATTTCATCTCTTCAAAAGTTTTAATAGGGAACGGGAGATCATCGCCTTCCACAGCAACTTGATATTTCGCTCGGATGCGTTCCACTCGTTCAGCGGAATATTTCAAAATGTGTTTTGCGGGCTTCCAACCTGAAATGGTAGATAAATAAAGGCCAAACTGCCAAGTAGTAAACTTCCACCAAGACGCCATTGACTCAACTTCAATATTAAAATAAACTAAATTTTCTAACGTCTAATTGTACAAATTCACACCAATCACAATTTCTTCGTAGTCTCATTGTCGCACGCACCAGTTTTGATTGGATCTTCATATTGTACTCCTTTGGCTAATTCTCCAACACCCATCAGAGCGCGTTTTTCAGCGACGGCTTGGAGGAGAGTTTCTTCTTCCTTAAGCTGTTTTTCCCTTTCGGTCTCTATCACTTGCTCGGCTTTTTTCTTCAACTCGGCATGCTGGTCGAGAAGACTAACATTGCCCAGCGGTCCAACGCGGGAGATTATATCAGGATCATCTGACTCAGGCAACTCAGAGGAGAATTCCTGGGGCGCGGGCTTCGTGGCGTCCGGAAGTTTTGCTTGTAATTTCATTAACTTACGTTGCTTGACCGGAATATAAAGCTGGTAATCGTCCTCATCGCTGTCATGTTTTGGTGAAGTGTTATCCTGTGAAGTGCCATGCGATCGCTTCGCCATCGTTCAAATCTCCCCAATGCAACGTAGATGCGAAAATCGATGCCCGAAATGGCGCAGATTAAATCGTCACCAAACAAATCCTAATTAAATTAATAGTTTCGCCAGAACCCAGAATTAAGTCAGTAACTCACTCTAACTGTAAAGGTCTAATCAACTAGATCAATCAATCAACCAAAATTGTCCAAAAACGATGTTTTAACCTTAATTAAAACCAAAAACATTTCACATCAGATTCTGTATTTCCGTGTGCGTGTATTATTCGTAGGCAAGCTGCAAGATATACCCCTTACCAAGGGGGGCATATCTGCAAGCACTCATAATTCCATAACACTAGCACGACCGCACGGAACTGCAGTTGAAGATACGCACGTTATCAGTACGCTACACCTGTAGAGTGAGTTTGCATGTTAAATTTACAGTACAGTACTGTAATTTTTTCTCACGACTGACATTAATTAATTCTCTAAAATCTATTGATCTTTCGCAAGCACACTGCGAAAAATGTATAGATTACGGCAAGCTCATTTAAAAATTAAGCCCCATCGTGACATAGCATACAGATCCCGAAGATTCGCCTAGCGTATCGTCGCAGGCTCGCAGCTGATTCGAACACGCAAATTGTGTAAACCTTCGTATTTTCTTCTTATGATTATAAACGATTTGAGCTTTTAAGAACACATCGGTACGAAACCGGATTTCAAAATGAAGTATTCCCGATGCAACTGTAGGAAAAACGTTTATTTAACAAATTCATATGCAAGATAATTTGCTGTCTGACTGCAAACTGGCAACTCCAAATAAACTAATCAATTAATGCACATCTAAATGGCGAAAAGTACGTCGAACTTTTTCTTTCTTGTTCTTTTTGAAGTGTTTTTTTGCCGGCGAATCCCCTGGCACTGCGGGCACCGGTCCGCGTACCTTATTGATTCCACCACGCTTCTCGTAAATTCCAGCTCCACTCTGCAGAAATTAGCGATAATTACCAGAAGCTACTCAAGCCAGCTATGCATCGCAAAGGAATCTGCTGGCCGACAATACAAAAACCAACCTCAGCGAAAACTCCCTGTCGACTCTTCCACTTCGTGTATTCTATAAAACGAACCAGACACATTAAACAACCACTGGATCAAGAAATGCACTCGCGATCTCTTGCACTGTCCGCGCATTTGCAGTGTCTGATGGTGAGTGTACATTTACACATACTGTCGATAACTCAGCCGGTAGCGTGGACGCACTGGAAACCAAAACACTTTCCGCAGTTTGATGCTTTTCCTCATTTTGGACTCCCGAATCAGTTGACTGAAGTTCTGTGTCGGTTTCATTCGTGGGATATGTGTCCTGGTTAACACCGGGTGGAGCATGGCAGTAAAGCAATTCGCCCTATTTAAAAAATGGAATGAGACATACCAACTTGAAGGACAAACATTTCAGCAAATACTCCGTATTTAGAGGAAATTCAACAGCAGTCAGAATAGACTTCATTTTGCCACTTACAGGCTAAAATACTCACGTTTATATAATCTTTCAGAATATGTCGTGCAGCTCGTGAGATATCAGGAAGTGCCCGAGCTGTCACAAATCCCCGCATGCCTGACAAGAATACGACCGTGTTTTCACGAACTGTAGTTCGACACGACATTACTCACTTGCGTAAGCATTAAGAAATTCTTCCGCAGTAGGCGGTGGAATTATTTCATAATCCACGCCATATTCTTTAACAAATGGCAACTGAATCCCATATTTACTTTCAAGAGCGCTTCTGGGAATTCTCGAGCAGATCTGCGAACACGATATTGCTGATACGCGTGTGGTATTCCATGAACATAGGATTCAAACTTTCACCAAAATGTTTTCTTACTAGATTTACTGGCGGTAGAGGATCCCGCAGTTGGTCAACAGGCAAAATTCCATTACATATCATATCCGCCGCACTGGAGGCAAAGGAAGGCATGACCAATCCCGGGCAATCACAGAGCATTAAGGTTTTATCCACATGCGTGGTCTACGAGCGGAAATTTCGGTATAAACAGTTGAACTTTTGACGAGTGAGTATCCGAACGAATGCGTAATACTGCGTATCATGAACATTTTATTGTTCAAAATAATTTCAGATAACACATTTTCCAATAAACTGCTTTTCTTAACAACCAAGAACGGCAGTAATTTCAACACCCATTTGTACGTTAATGAGCCCAAATCATAATATGTATACAAACTTTTTCATTTACGACACAGTCACTACATGGAAGCCATACCTGAAAGTGTTTTGTCTTTCCTGGTGTAGCCGATACGGATACCCTCTTGTGCTGCATGAGAGCATTAAGGGTGGAACTTTTTCCTACGTTGGGATATCCAACCTATCCATCAAAATACAGATGACTGCCGGTCGGGATACTGATAAGCAAGTCACGAGGAGAACTTACGAATCCAACAGTAGTAACATCTGCCATGAAGGTATTTTCTGATTGACGCAATATTCGGAACAGTTCCAGTAGATCATCCCTTGACAAGACACGTTTGGAACATTGATAGGATTCTTGAACTGCCGCTATAAGAGGTGCTGTGGCACCTTCTGTAGAACCGCCGCGACATTCGGAATCGTCCGGTACAAGGGTCTTAAACCGATCCGACTGATCTGCGCTTTCAGAACTTTCTTCGTTCTGAAAATCCTCGCTGTCGGACTCTGAACTTTCCACGGACGTGTCGGTTTCGTCATCTTCGTCGGATTCACTGGAAATATTTTCCACCTGTTCTTCGCTAATTTTTTGGAGGATCTGTAGATAACCAACAATGTAGGAGCAACAAACAAAACTACCTATCTATAGTAATTACTAGATCCATCTCAGGTACTGGTTATAACTTATAAAAACTTTCGGATTTCGTCAGCTTACTTCTACGTTGGCATCCGAGGCTTGGAGCGCCGAAAAGAACGCTGCTTTTAAACCGGCTTGGTTGAAATAATCAGCCCACGTTTGCCTGCATCAGTGTAAATCATAACGAAGCTCAAACTACAATAGAAAATTCGGCAAAAAGCAATTTAGCCGAAGCTGCTGCTGTACATACCACCATTTGGCCAGAGTTTATATAATCCTTGCACCAGTTGTAAAGTTAACGTTTGCTTCTCGTACTCGTAGAGAGTGATCACAATAACTAATATCAGAAACGCACTTACCGCTGCACGTCCGACAACAAATCGCCTTTGTTGATCAAAATAAAATGCTCTTTCTCCGCATTGATTTCAGCAACATATTTGGCCAAATCTTCGCAATAATACAGCAAGGGATTTCTTGCGTCCACTGTCTGAACGACTATGTCACTACAATTGTAAACTACTTTTCAGCTGATTCTTTCAATAATGAATAAACTTCAATGAAGTGAAGAATGCAGAATTGCAGATCTATTAAAAATTAAATCATTCCTCCCGATTATTGTCGTACAAATGATTTTCTTACACTACTGCACAATATACGCGTCCGACGTCCGTGTCAGGCCGCGCCCATGGTCAATTAGTTGTACGTACATTTTTCCGCCCTAACCAGTAAGAATCCCGCATTGTAAAGTACCAAGTGTGTTACAGCTGTTTGCGCAAAACTAGTCGATGGGACTCTCGTTCTCGCATTTTCGATCAGTCTGCTCCGTGGTGTTTCGCTCTCCATCGCTTACCGCCGAAATTTCGTGGTGTTTCGCTCTCCATCGTTTACCGCCGAAATTTCGTGGTGTTTCGCTCTCCATCGCTTACCGCCGAAATTTCGTGGTGTTTCGCTCTCCATCGTTTACCGCTGAAATTTAGAAGGTACGTTTTTCATGTTTTGTTTTTCTATGTTCACACTTATGAGAAATAGAAGTTTTCAAAAATACATCTTAGAATTGTGAATAGAATTGTCGGATTCTGATAATCTTTATCAACTGAAGAAAGTTCTGGGAGCCGGCGGAGATGAGCAGCGACAATTAAGTGGGGCAATGCTCTGGCTCGATTTACACGATTCGGGTTCTTCGTCTGATCTTAAGCATTATGATTGAATAGGATTAAGATAACTTATTATTTAGGATAAATATGGTAGTTTTCTGTTTTGTTATGCGCGTAGTATGGTGCCTTTGTCGCCGGATTTGGAATTATAGTGTGTATTGTGTGGTTGATGAGGCTGGGCATCTATTTCGATCTAGTACATAATGCGTCTGTGGCACTAATCCAGAAAATTTTGGCGCACCATTTCCGGCGGTCGATTGTCATAACTGTTTCCACAGCGCGCAGTAGTAGCTGTCTGATAGTACTTACTTAACTGGAACATGTGCTGCGTTGAATTTTTATAAGCGAAATATATTACATAAAAAATAAATTAAATCGTAATCGGTATTATGCGATCTGGTGTACTAGCAGTAGCATGCATTAGTTAAAATGTGAGATTGGGAGTGTTTATGCTTTATCCCAGCCAATTTTATAGTTCCTGTTAGCACATCAGGGTCTACATTTTGAAAAATTTTATGTTAGTTATGGGCAGAAAATGAATCAGTCAGAGACAGAGTGGTGTGTTCCGTGTGGAAGCCAAAAAGAAAGTTGATGACCTTTTTCGTCCTCACGGAAGCGCAGAATCGTGAAAACGAGCCAATACGACCAGTCTACTTTAATTTCAGAGTTGAGACAGCGGATTGTAGTGGCGCAAAAGTTACGATAAATGGCAACAAACTCGTCCATGCTGTCTGATGAAGCATTTCGTTTTTTTTCACTGCATAGAACCTTTTCGTGTTTTGGTTTAAAAAATTTTTTCATCAGGAGCAGGATTCGAAATTTACTGCGATGCGCACGCTTTTAATACATTCTTTTTATTGCAGATTTTTCCGCTCGCGTTGAGGGTGATAACGGTCTGAAAAATTCACTGGATTCCTTTTGAGATTATCTGCAAAAATAAAGTTCCCGACGGGTAAGTTAAGGCAGCGAGTGTTTATTGGTACCGGATACGTATAACTTGACTGTTGAGAGTTGCATTTGTCATTTGTTCGTTCTGACTGTTGCCGTCTGCGAATTGTGACGCATCATTAACTGTTGCGTTTAGGTTTACTTGGGACGAGGTCAGGGCCATTGTTCTTGCCAGATTTACACAAATCGCTAAGTCCTTCGAGTCAGAGCAGCCTATCGCGTCGCTTCCCGCTGTTCCCAAGTGCATGTACGTTTTTGGTAAGTATTTAATGAACGTGAATCAGATTTTGGTTGTAGTGAACTGAATTGCAGTTTCAAGGAAGATGTTCATGTTCTGCCTGAAACATATTTGTTGTTTTTGCAGCGCGCCGTTTACACTTGGTCGAATCTGCGAGCTTCTTCTTGAACCCAAGAAGCACTACGACCGCGGCGATTAATTCCTCCGAGCTTTCGAGAAGGTGAGAATTTGAACCGGAATTTTTTTATAATGTTGATTGAATGAATAATTTAAATAAAAAATTGTTTTCAGTGTGTTGCTGTCACGTGGACTTCGCCAATAATACTTCGCCAATAATGGAAACCGCTGAAATGTAAGTACTGTAGTACTTAACTTCTACACAGGGTATTGCAGTATACGGTCTTTGTTACGTATTTTCTGTAGTTTTTAATTTCCTCGGCTTTATGGTGTTAGTTTTTTACGATTTTGTCAGTGTCGTTATGTACCGGTAGCCGAACTACTACAGTAGATCGATTTTATGACAGGACGGGAGTGGAAGTCAACAAAACGCAGAACGGCGATCATTCTGCCAGCACAACCGAAAACGGTGTGGCTAAGGAGGAAAGCGCCACCAACGGAACAAACGGTCACACGCCGACGGAAAATCAGGACGAAATCGCTGCCTCGTCCTCTGTTGAATCTGCTCCTGTTGGTGAAGAGGCCAGCGAGGACCAGGAATTCGGTGCAAGAGACTCAGCATCCAGTAATACGCCCGTATCCACTGAGCTGGATCGGAAATCAGCCGATTCGCTGGGTAAGGTGGTAACAGCACAGGTCAACAATTACACTAGTAATTGCGATCTGATTTAGTAATTGCGATCTGATTATCCAATGGTAATCATTCTGTGATTGTACGCGTGGATGTCAGTAGTTATTGGGAGATTACTACTAGTAACATTTATCTGTGAATATACGATACATTGCTGTTTAGTTGATTGTTGTGGCAGTGATAACAGTGCTGGGAGAACAATGAAGGAGTTCCGTGGAAGATTGATACTGCCAGTATTATGTCTGGTGCCGGTTAGAGTCGGAAGTCGTCAAAATGACGAAGCGTAACGATATTTAACGAAGCGGTTCGTCAAGCGTCGCGCAGGTTTTCAGGGCCAAAAGACACCGTTTCGTTAAGCTTCGCTATTTCAACTTAACTTTTCGCTTCGTCTAGTTATTACTGCTACTTTCATTCGGTAAAAATTTTGCTATTTTTTCGGATTTTACTAAAATTTCTGGTATATTTTAAACAAATGTGTCTGTCAGCTTCGCGCGAAATTAGTCTATTTTCTTTCATTTTTCCAATAAATTATTGCCTTCGACAGTTTTTGCCTGGTTTGAAGTGGACATGAGCAAAATTTAGATCCAGTTTTAGGAAGTATTTTTTCTTTTAAAATTGTTCGCTGAGTTTCGTTTTCAGTAAGCAAAATATTTTCCGTTACCGCCAAGTTTCGTTAAGTGGTCTGGTAAAATCCCTAAGTTTCGTTATTTTTTTCCGAAATTTACAATTAAGTTTCGTGAAGGTTTTCCAAAGGGCTGAAAATTTCCGTTTCGCTACGAAATCTTGACGATTTGCGAACTCTAGTGCAGGTGGAAGAAGGCACCGCCTGCTTGTAGCAGGGCCGACTCACCAAGGCTAAGGGCTGGCTGTCACGTGATCATAGTTGAACCAGCAGTAGGTTACGGCCGACCGTTGCAGCGATTTGCAGTGAACGCCATTGAGCGTGCTTGTTAAATTCAAGCCACCTTAAAGCCTTTCTAGTTTCTGCGAGAAAATTTCTTAATCGGAATCGTAGTTGCTCTGAATTGCTTAGCGTACTGGCCCGTAAGTTTCGTCGCAGGCAGCATGTGTAAATTGTTCAATGTTTTTGTAGCACTTAGCTCACTGGATAGTGTGCCTGTACGAACGCCTCCTCCTCCTCCATCTCCTCGATTCGTATCAGGTAGATATCGGAAATTGTCGACATTCCAACAACGAAACTGAAATTTTCAGCTTTTTGGGAAAACTTTCTTTTCTTTGTTTAAAACTTTTTCAATGTTTAAAATTTGAAATTTTTTTAGTGTAAACCCGCACAGGCGAATTGTTATGTGTATGGCTGATGCCAGTGGCGTAACGAGCCTAATAATTTGGGGGCCATGGCCCACCCTTAACGAAAAGTTATAGCATAGAGTCTATGGGAACGGCCTACCCCAAAGCCAGTACTTGTGGCCCACCCCAAACCTTTGATCTCGTTACGCCGCTGGCTGATGCCGATTAAAAAGTTAAGAATTATTATTCTTGATGCTAAATACATTAGTGAGTAGAGTCGGGTTGGTTTTGTCAGTTTGGTTTGGTCAGTCAGCAGTTTGGTCTACTGGCAGATGTGGATCTATCGGAAAAACTACAAAAAACCCGCGCACAGATTGTCCAAGATATCAGATTGGAAATCCAACAACAATCCCGTTTCCACTCTAAAATCCTAATCACGGCGACTGTTGTGGCTGTTGTGGTGTTTGCGATTTCTGTTTTAAGTGCTCACTTGGCCATTGTGGCATTGTACGTATTTTCTGTACCGAGATTTCATGGTCTTTATGGTGTGGTTTATCTGTTTTGTTGCGTAGACGAACTGCCAACGGAGTGGAAGTCTACAAAATGCAGAACGGCAATCGTTCTGTCGGCACAACCGAAAACGGTGTGGCTAAGGAAAAAAACGTCAGCAACGGAACAAACGGTCACTTCGAAGCGGACGCTGTGGTTACCAAGCACACGCCAGCGGAGAAACAGGAGGAAAACGCTGTCTCGTCCTCTGTGGAATCTGCTCCCGTTACCGAGCAGGCTAACGAGGACCAGAAGGTCGGCAGCAGCACGGAAGAGGCGAAACCAGTTGAATCTACTGCTGCGCCGACACCGATTAGCAACGAGGCGGAAGCGGACGGTGGAGCACTCAAGACAACCGAGTCTGAGAACCGAGCTGAAGCTCCTAAGCGACAGCTGGAGGAGGAGGATACGGTTGCCAAGAAGATAGCCCGCATGGAGAACGGCACTGCGGATGAGGCTGTCAAAAATGGAAGCGCGGAAGAGCCGACTACAGAATCAAAGCCCGAAACTAACGGTAACCATGAAGTAGCGCCTGCCAAAGCGGAAGAAGCGAAGGCGGATACTGGCGCAAAAGAGAAGGATGACGCTGTTGTCGCCGGCGAAGGCACTGCTGTGTAATCCTGCTCCGTCGGTACGTGTTCATATTTCATAATCAAAAATTAATGCTTGTACGATATTAAGGTCTAACGACAGATACTCACGGTACATTGTTGAGGAAATTAACCGTAACACGGGTGTGGACCGAGAGCAATTCGAGAAGTTTAGGACTGCTTATGTTTTGTAATTGGCAGATCTAAGGCGTTTTCGTACATTTTCTTTGTTTTACAGGCTTATCAACGCTTCGATAATTCATGCGCGTCCTCACTCATGAACCTCGCTCTAACGGATCTTCACAGCTTCTGCCCTAATTTGTGATTTTTACTGTTTATATTCATGGAAGAATTATTGAGGCATTCCTGTTCGCGTTTTAAGTGGTCTGGCTGAACTGTAATAAGTAAGCAAGCACATCAGTAGCTCAGTGGCTAGTTATGTAGCGAACGTTATGTATAGGTACTTTTTGCTTAGTCGCGGCTGCGTTTTTTTTGCGTACTTGTTCCTGTCAAAAGCGATCCGATTTTGTTTTCTATCCAGTACTGGTTTTCCTTTTTTGGCATTTGTATTAAATAAACATCTGTACAATTTACTTTATCGTGCTTAGCAGTTGGTGCGCTGCGTAACACTAGTAACAGTCGTCAACCGTTTTGAACACAAGCATAGTTATAACGAACTAACAATGATATTAATTTCACGAAACAAACAGGAACAACAAACTGAAACCCGCTATTAAAATTCAAGACATCTACGCACTAAAACCGAATCTGTTGGATATGATCTCACGGCTTTTTGAACGGAAGTAGTGACATTCTCCAAATCACACTTGTGACTGACCAGAGTAGTCAAAGACTGCAAACAGAAAAGCCGAAAGTATATTACTGACTTCTCGCATAATCGGAATTAGTAAGTAATTCCGAGATTGGCATTCCAGCATTCCGAGATTGGCATAATGGCCACTACCAGCGAGAAAACACGCTCAGCTGATTCGAACAACCTGATGACAAAACTTTCGCACTTCTCTGACACCTAGTCCTACTCGAAATGTCCGCGGCTCCCAAATGTCAAAATCGGCCAAGATTTTCCGGTTCAGTAAGATATTCATCTGTATAAAGCGCAGAAAAGGAAATAAATTTTCAGTCTCAGAGACACATCACAAACTGGTTCATCAGGCATTCAGATTGTTGTGCAGCATTTATGGATGTATGATCAACTAAAAACCGCATACCTTAGCGAGATTTTCCATGTACTGTTCGTAGGGAAGACCAAAAGGCGTCAAAGCTCCTTCCATCCTTGTGATGCTAAGCTACAATATTAGGCAATTGCAATTTGAATGCATGCATCTACAATCATATTTCTTATTCATGATGAACAAGATGTGATTAATGCCAAATATATCACTACAACACACAACTGACAACTTTCTCGTGCACACTGCGAAAAAGCTCATTTAAAAATTAAGCCCCATCGTGACATAACATACAGATCTCGAAGATTCGCCTAGCGTATCGTCGCAGCTGATTCGAACACGCAAATTGTGTAAACCTTCGTATTTTCTTCTTATAAACGATTTGAGCTTTTAAGAACATATCGGTACGATACCGGATTTCAAAATGAAGTATTCCCGATGCAACTGCAGGAAAAACGTTCATTTAACAAATTCATATGCAAGATAATTTGCTGTCTGACTGCAAACTGGCAACGCCAAATGCTCCAATCAACTAATGCACATCTAAGTGGCGAAAAGTACGTCGAAGTTTTTCTTTCTTGTTCTTTTTGAAATGTTTTTTTGCCGGCGAATCCCCTGGCACTGCGGACACCGGTCCGCGTACCTTATTGATTCCACCACGCTTCTCGTAAATTCCAGCTCCACTCTGCACAAATCAGCGATAATTACTAGAAGCTACTCAAGGCAGCTATGCATCGCAAACGAATTTGCTGGCCGACAATACAAAAACAAACCTCAGCGAAAAACTCCCTGTCGACTCTTCCACTTCGCGTATTCTATAAAACGAACCAGACACATTAAACAACCACTGGATCAAGAAATGCACTCGCGATCTCTTGCACTGTCCGCGCATTTGCAGTGTCTGATGGTGAGTGCACATTTACACATACTGTCGATAACTCAGCCGGTAGCGTGGACGCACTGGAAACCAAAACACCTTCCGCCTTTTGATGCTTTTCCTCATTTTGGACTCCCGATTCGGTTGACTGAAGTTCCGTATCGGTTTCATTCGAGTGATATGTGTCCTGGTTAATACCGGGTGGAGCATGGCAGTAAAGCAATTCGCCCTATTAAAAAAAAACTGGAATGAGACATAGACATAGTCCAGACCTGGGCAGTTATGGAAAATGCACCCACCGTTAAATTTACGAGTTACAGGTAGCGTGCGAGTTACGCTACGAGTTACGCTATTTATGCAAGTAAAACTGACTTTCGAGTTATACCGCGAGTTACGCTACCATAGACAATATATACAGACTTTGGGCGAGTTACGTTAGAGTTAAGTTTTTTTGGGAGCGAGTTACGCTACAGAATTACGTTAAAACTCGATAACTCGCAAATAACTCGCGTTAAGTTATAGAGTTAAGTTATAACTGCCCAGGTCTGAACATACCAGCTTCCAGGACAAAAATTTTAGCAAATATCTGTACTCCGTATTTAGAGTATGCTGTAGGAAATTTAACAGCAGTCAGAATAGACTTCATTTTGCCACTTACAGGCCAAAATACTCACGTTTATATAATCTTTCAGAATATGTCGTGCAGCTCGTGAGATATCAGGAAGTGCCCGAGCTGTCACAAATCCCCGCATGCCTGACAAGAATACGACCGTCTTTTCACGAACTGTAGTTCGACACGACATTACTCACTTGCGTAAGCATTAAGAAATTCTTCCGCAGTAGGCGGTGGAATTATTTCATAATCCACGCCATATTCTTTAACAAATGGCAACTGAATCCCATATTTACTTTCAAGAGCGCTTCTGGGAATTCTCGAGCAGATCTGCGAACACGATATTGCTGATATGCGTGCGGTATTCCATGAACATAGGATTCAAACTTTCACCAAAATGTTTTCTTACTAGATTTACTGGCGGTAGAGGGTCTCGCAGCTGGTCAACAGGCAAAATTCCATTACATATCATATCCGCCGCACTGGAGGCAAAGGAAGGCATGACCAATCCCGGGCAATCACAGAGCATTAAGGTTTTATCCACATACATGGTCTACGAGCGGATATTTCGGTATAAACGGTTGAACTTTTGACGAGTGAGTATCAGAACGAATGCGTAATACTGCGTACCATAAACATTTTATTGTTCAAAATAATTTCAGATAACACATTTTCCAATAAACTGCTTTTCTTAACAAACAAAACGGCAGTAATTTCAACACCCATTTGTACGGTAATGAGCCCAGATCATAATATGTATACAAACTTTTTCATTTACGACACAGTCACTACATGGAAGCCATACCTGAAAGTGTTTTGTCTTTCCTGGTGTAGCCGATACGGATACCCTCTTGTGCTGCATGAGAGCATTCAGGGTGGAACTTTTTCCTACGTTGGGATATCCAACCTATCCATCAAAATACAGATGACTGCCGGTCGGGATACTGATAAGCAAGTCGCGAGGAGAACTTACGAATCCAACAGTAGTAACATCTGCCATGAAGGTATTTTCTGATTGACGCAATATTCGGAACAGTTCCAGTAGATCATCCCTTGACAAGACACGTTTGGAACATTGATAGGATTCTTGAACTGCCGCTATAAGAGGTGCTGTGGCACCTTCTGTAGAACCGCCGCGACATTCGGAATCGTCCGGTACAAGGGTCTTAAACCGATCCGACTGATCTGCGCTTTCAGAACTTTCTTCGTTCTGAAAATCCTCGCTGTCGGACTCTGAACTTTCCACGGACGTGTCGGTTTCGTCATCTTCGTCGGATTCACTGGAAATATTTTCCACCTGTTCTTCGCTAATTTTTTTGGAGGATCTGTAGATAACCAACAATGTAGGAGCAACAAACAAAACTACCTATCTATAGTAATTACTAGATCCATCTCAGGTACTGGTTATAACTTATAAAAACTTTCGGATTTCGTCAGCTTACTTCTACGTTGGCATCCGAGGCTTGGAGCGCCGAAAAGAACGCTGCTTTTAAACCGGCTTGGTTGAAATAATCAGCCCACGTTTGCCTGCATCAGTGTAAATCATAACGAAGCTCAAACTACAATAGAAAATTCGGCAAAAAGCAATTTAGCCGAAGCTGCTGCTGTACATACCACCATTTGGCCAGAGTTTATATAATCCTTGCACCAGTTGTAAAATTAACGTTTACTGCTTGTATTCGTAGAGAGTGATCCCAAATTTTCAGAAACGTTCTTACCGCTGCACGTCCGACAACAAATCGCCTTTGTTGATCAAAATAAAATGCTCTTTCCCCGTATTGATTTCAGCAACGTATTTGGCCAAATCTTCGCAATAATACAGCAAGGGATTTCTTGCGTCCACAATCTGAACGACTATGTCACTACAATTGTAAAGTAATTTTCAGCTGATTGGTTCATATAGATATACAATATCAAACCCAGATGCTGAGATGTATCTAACAAACCACGATATAAGACGCAAATTACACAGTTGTTGAGTATTAATCGTCTACAAATTACGATTAATACCGTTTACCTTCTTTCTAACACCCGCCATAACTGCCTCCATACTTCCAAATTTTTTTCATACGGAGTCACAATCAATCCTTCAATTTCAGCAATTCTGTTGATAAAAGGCAATTATTATACGATACAGAGTTAATTAGTACATACGTAAGCAAAGCATACATAGTCATAAAAATGTATGATGATGCGGCATGTACAATACAGTAACGCAAATACAGTACGAGTCAACGCTCATAAATACGACTGAAGGCTAATCAAAACAATTTAACGCTGACCAAAATATGTAACGCAATGCTAAACGACAAACGACTGAGGAAAAGCGGCTCGCAAGTCATGTTGCGTTACGAGTAAAATAATTTTCTTTTGAGAAACGGAAGCCACTACTTAATTTGGCAGCCGTAAACCACTTACTCGGACAGCTGTCTGCGCCACTCCAGAAAATCCCCCCGCTCTCGAGCATCCAGATCAGCCGATACAGTAGACTTTTCCCAATGCGGTCTACGTAAACAACCACAGCAGTTGTACTTTATCACAAGGCGTTCCAAAATTAATATGAATTTTTGCCGAAATCAAAGCCCACCGTCGCGGAATGCTTAAGAACTTCTTGTATGTGTCATGCATTTCTTTAACGCGTTTAGCTTCACTGGGAGATAATACTCCTTTCCGAGGATCCGGAGTTACTAATTTCACATTATAACGTTCTGTAACAGCAGCAGAAAATCTTCATAAGCTGCCGTGAGAACAAATGTCATCCAATGTACGATTTACCAGCTTCAAATTCAGTTCCTGCCAAAGTTGCCGATGCCAGGAATTCCTCCAAATCTGATGAATCCGTGGTAGATTTTAAGTTTACGCTTTTATGTGCTGCTGTAAAAGTGGCATCTGCTGGAGCGATCTGCCGATACACAGCTCTTTAGAATGTGACACAAGTCACACAATGCCGGACACTGGACAACAAAGCAAGAAGAGAGTCGTTTGAGTAGTCAGTCCTTACCCACTGATCACTAGGAGCTCGTTTGGATTGGAAACGATTTTTTATCATAGCCCGACCCAAGTTAGAGCTATTCTTGCTTCGGCTCTGAGGCATCTCGGATTTTTAATCTTATGATTCTAATACAGCAGTTAACAAAGCAGTACACAGAATTTACCGAAAGAACAGAATACCGTTCCCGAAACCTGAATCCACTACAGTACTTATTTCACTATCCACAGATCCACTCGTAACCAAATTCCCGAACCTGGAAACTCCAGGCTGGAATTCTCACGGAAGATTCTTTCCGTGTAGCCAGCTGACTTCCGGTGGTGGCATACAAAAATATAACAGTCGAATACACCTCCACCCTCGGGTGACATATCACATTACAGACTAAAAATTTGCACATTGCGCAGCAAATCAAACGCATAAGCACGGCTTAGCAGCAGCGTGCACTGTGCAATATTGGCTGAGCGATTTGCCGGATACTGACTGCATATCTTGGATGGTGTGAGTGTTGGGTTCCTCCACGGTTAACAGTTTTTCAATTTTGTGATTGTGGATTTGGATTAAAATCGCTCCTGCAAAATGGTTAATACGAAAGGATATCGCCGCGGAACGCGGTATATGTTTTCGCGAGGATTCCGCAACCATGGTCCCGAAAAGCTGTCTACGTATATGAAGGTGTTCAAAATCGGAGAATTCGTGGACGTCAAAGTAAGCGAGAAGTCTTTGGTCCCCATTTGGTGAACGAAGTGTAGCGGTGTCTTTTCTGTTCTACAGGGCAACGGTGCTATCCAGAAGGGCATGCCTTTCAAATTTTATCACGGGAAAACGGGACGTGTGTTCAACGTCACAAAGCGCGCTGTTGGAGTGATCGTTAATAAACGCGTCAGGTATGTGATAATTGAGCTCGAGTAGCCCTGTTGTGTCTATGGGCTCCAGATGGTTTTGTACAGGGATTTGGGTGCCGAGGTTTTATTGAGGTTCTTCAGCTTTTCATATTCAGAACTGATTTTGATTTTTGTGCTTCTGTGGCGGCCTACTTTTTTGCATTTTCATGCCGTTCGCAGTCTTGTTGCGCAGGTTGTATGAAAAGAGGTTTGAACGAAGTTGTTATTTTCCTTGAACTGTAGTATTGCGATTTTTTGACGAATCTGGCGACCAGAACTATTAATTTTGGAGTTTGCTCGAGCACAGAAATAAGGATTATTGTAATAAGTACTATATTATATAGTTCCAGTTGAAGTATAATTCTGGTTCGATTAAAGTTTAAGAAACAGTAACTGATTCGCAAGCATCGCAACCGGAGTTTCCGATATTTGATCCATTGGTGCGAGCGGCTTGAGTAGAATCTCTCACAAAGTACTAAAATGGTTGGAATTTTACCGTAGAACCCGTATAATTCCCAAAAAGATCAATGTCCGAATCGAGCACGTCCACCACTCCAAATGCCGACAGGATTTTGTCGCTCGCGTCAAGGACAACGATCAGAGAAGGAAGGAAGCCCGAGCCAGCAACAAGATCGTGGAGTTGAAGCGACGACCAGTGGAACCCCGAAAACGACACGTGGTCAAGACCACCAAGAATGAACCGGAATTCTTATCGCCTCTTCCATATGAATTTGTTGCATAAAATTTCATTGGAACACTTCGATTGATCTTTGAAGTTGATGCTATCGCGGTCATTTTCAATAAATCTTATTCTGAAATATAAAACCGAAGTGTGCTGGGACATTTTTTGGTACTTCATTGTTCAACTCGTTATCGTAAATTAGTTTGTTTCACACGCCATTAATTTTACGAAATCTCTCTAGCCAGTAGCCACCCCTTTTCACCCCCGTGTTTTATCATTCGCAATAATGCAATCGCTGCCGTAGGCGCATTACCGGTTAGCGGGTCGATGTCTGGATGCAGATTCATCATTCATTCATTTTTGGTGCAGTCAGGCGAAGAAACAGCAAAGCCACTTGCAATTTGCAGCATTCCAGCACGAGAATGGACATGCACCCGTGAACCGTGATGGATTAATAATATCACTCATTAATATCATTTTCACTTTTTATAGTTTTTTGCGCTAGGCCGTTTGAAAGTGAAACACTGCGCCTTTGGTTTGCGTGCGCAGTGACGCACCAAACTATAGTAAACAGTTTTCATGCCCAATGTTAGAATGTTAGAAGTTCTGTTTGCGAGTTTGTACAGTAACTGGGAACTGACACCGACCCCTTTGGTCACTTAGGCCGATCGGTCAACTACAGTATTATCAAAATATTTTCAGACCATTTAGCGTCGGGACAGCACAACGTAATTCTATTAATTACAGGTTAATAATTTAATTGCAGCTAATGATCGAGTTACTCTTCGGCAAATTGGCTACTTACTCTTGTCCTCAGCTCTCAGAAAATTGCTAACCGAGAAAATTATACGACTTAACGAATGATTTAATTAAAATTATAGTTAAGGTCCTTCATTTATAACACTACTAAAAAATCAATCAAACATAATTAACGCGGTACACGTATTGATGTCCGGTGCGATATCCAAAGAGGTTACGCCGCGATATCGCGAGTAATTGTTCCGAAAATTGCGTAGGGATCCCGGCACGGGCGCAAGGAACCATTTTCTGGATTACTCAGTTTTATTTCCAATTGTGATTGATTATACTTACCGCAATGTAACATAATGCGGGTCTTAACTTGTCGCATGTATTTTAATATCCAAAATAACAGAAAAGTGCCCAGTTTTGTTTTTGCTGCGGGTCAGCTTTTTACACATCAGCATCCTTTACACTCGTACCCTTTATGCCCCTTACGAACCTATTTGTATATTATATACTGCATATGAACGTCTTTTTGTTTTCGAGAAAGAATAATTGATTAGTTTTTTAAAACATGTTTTTACAATAAACGTACAATAGGCACTGACAGACGTTATAGCAAAATCGTGCTAATTAGGATTCGCAAATCGCAGTATGCAGGTTTACTGGCATATGAATATGTATGCAGAGAGATTTGCAAAAAGCACGCGACAACAACCAGACACCGTACGTACGAAACCAGTTTGTTACGAATAATATGTGTAACAATATGACGAAGATTCGGAGATCAGCGAGGTACTGTAACTTCCAGGTAAGAGTAACATATGGAAATGCTAGCGCATATCGTAATAGAATTGCCATATTTTCAGCTTTGACTAGCAAATAACCAGAAACGCTACAAGAGCTTATACAATACCGCTATATGCGGACCCGGAAGCTTACGGCAGTCGCATGCGCATGCAGTACTTCTACATCAGTCGCTTAACGATACGACAGTGAAGACACCGATACTTTTTTTATATTTTTTAGCTGGAGTATAATCGTCACAATGTGCGGTTGTATCGCTTTCAAAGATAAATTCCGCTAGTGAATTCTTCGACATTTCTTACACCATGGATGAAGTTGCAGTAGAAAACGAACAATCACCGGGAAGAAATCTGCAGTTTCACAGCGAGCGTCCGTCTCAAGATCGATCAGGATGTATTTATAATAAACCGGCACTGCGACAATGCCTGAGCAGTGGAACCGATTCAGCCATTGTTATACCGGATGACGGCAACAACAGTGACAATGCTTCCCATAATTCGCGTTCGGCATCCCGCATCGCCGATATGGAGCCGATTTATAATCGGAGTCGCGCGGACAGTAACGCCAACCGAACGGCAACATCGCGCCAATCGATCCCGTATTCGGATAGGGACATTCAAGCCCGCCGACAAATGACCTTTCCCGTTGTCGACCAGCATTTCGATGATGCCCGCTCGCTACCGGAACGAATGCCACCGTCAACCGACATCCATTTGGAACATCTAAACGACCGCATGGTTGCCGGTTTTCAACATACCGGCCATGGGCCGACCATCGTGGAGACAGTAAATCCCTGCCTTTCGCGCCCGCCATCCGCTTTTCTCACGGGCCGATCACATTTAACCTCTTCTCACACGTTCCCCATTATAACTCAACCTCATGCTAATCCCATTCACGGACGCTGTTCCTCGTTACATGGTCCACACGAGCATCCGCGGAATTTTGCGGAACACGAGCCGGGATTTCACCTGGCAGTATCATCGCGCAATCACCCGGGGTGTTCGTCGGTGTGCGCGCCGGATCAACGCTCGCTACCCTATGGGGATCCGTATTCGCCGTATTACGTTCACTCCGGAAGCGACAATCTATCATGCGCATCGTCTCAGTACTGCTTCAGTCCGAATTATCCAATTCTGCGCCGGGCGCTGGATGCCGAACAACCAGTCGTCCCGGAAAGGTCACGAGTGTTTCATACCGACAGTCTGTCCACCAACAACACATCCGCGAACTATGGGAGATCTCACGAAAACCTCTTAAGGAAAACATACTCCTTGGAGAAAGCGGAGAACAGCGACGATGCCTTGCGGGCGAAAAAGGAAGAAAGTAGCCGAACCTTCCGGTAGGCGATGGCATTTGAATTATTGTGCATGTCAATATTACAGTTAATCGCCTTCGTACATGCTATTGGTATTACATGCGCTCATACTTTGTACGTTTAGTAGTAATATACAAATAAGCTAATTTTCTCTTAAATGGTATTAATATTTCAAGAATATTCATCGTGCTTCTTATCTTTGCTTTACTGCAGTGCATTTTGTTCTTTACAGTAATGGTAACAACGAATTACAGAAAAGCTAAAAACAGATTCGTGTAAGAGTACTTCGTTTGATCCGTGGAGCCGCAGTGTGTCGAACAGCAGCAATTTTTTATCGGTTATTGTTACATAGTTAATATAATTGCTAATAAAAGTAATTATTGGTATTTTTGAATGAAAAACCGTACCAAGGCACGGTTAATTCCGCATCTGGTATGCAAGGGTATTTGGATCTGTGGATATGAGCGTACAAATGTCAAGCAAAGTAAAGTTTTTGACCTTCACTCAATACTAACATGATACGCCGTTAGTTCGGCTGTTTGACACTGACCGGAGCAGCGGCATAATTACATCCGTAATTTATGCCCACATATTTGCAGATCGCTAATTTTCTGGGCACTTTACATGGTAATAATTTAAACAATTTGTTTTTTGGTTGCAGACGCTTAATTACCAAGACGCTTAGCAGTGTATATGCCATATTCGTCATTGTCCTGGGAGCGATACTGTATGTAAACGATGTGCTTGGGACTGTCGGACACAGTTATGTCGAGGTAAGATGACACGATTAGGATAGCATTACAGAGTCAAAGGCTACCTGCCACTTTTCATATTTCTCGTGCCAAGTAGCCGCCCGTATAACACTATCACAAAGGCCCGTTCGAACCAGAACAAAGCCGGTTTATGGGCTCCTATGTCCAGTGTGTTGTTGCTGCACAACAATGCGCTGGGTTTCAGGTTTCGAGTAACCGTCACAATGTAACAAGTCAACATTTCCATGTCGATTTCACAGCTCGTCCACTAACCCTTGAAATAAATAAATTGTCAAAAATAGCCAGTACTCAAAGATCAATTGTTTCTTGCATAAGCTACTGGTTTCGCGTACTGCTAACACCATTTTCACAATGCAGATAACGTAATCCATATGTTTAGCCAGCACTTCACAGCGACTCGGTGAAATTCCGGGTAGAGAATAACAGATTTGTTTCATTTAAAAAATAGGTTTTCCCGAAGAGAGTATTACAGAGTTGGCTAATCTTACGCGTCGGCACGCACGAACAAAATTCTTAACATAATCACACTTTTTCGAAATCATTTCACACTGTGCAGCATTATGGAACATACGGTACTTGTACATGGGTACACAAGTCGGTTGCGGTACGCAGATCCCTGAATATGCGAAGTGACAAATAGTCTCATAAGTTACAAAACTTTTTTTTTATTTTTAGGTGTTTCAAGTCTATCTGTTTATGATAGCAATTACCTTTTATATGTTTATTCACATCGATATTCGCCGCTACCTGAAGCACGAAAGAGTGGACGAGACGAGTTGTGCTGTTAACAACTCCTCGCGATCGCATGGCGTTCTGGGTAATCGATTACCACTAATGCCCAGCCGCCATTTAGGACTGGATGGTCATGACTCTAAAAATAATAAATCTCTTAAACCTCAACTGCGAAAAAAGAAAGAACCATATGAATTCAAAACGGGAAGGCACGCCGGAAGTCTCTACTTAAAGCTTGGAGCAGTAGGTAAGCATTTGGTCTCCGTCTATTTACTGGCACTTTTAATTGCTTCCGCACTTCGGTATATGTGTAGTAAAACTGTCATACATGATTATAATGATTATAATTACTGAAACGCTTATCTGTTAGCGGTTGCAACCACGTTTTCAAAATATTTGTTCAGAAACAACATTTCTACTACTCGTACTGTACTTACAACTGCATCTTTTTCAGCGTTTTGCTTTGGAAGCATGATCCACGATGGCCTAGTCTTCAGCAAACGACTTGATCTGGTGGTCACTCAGCTCTACTCATCGTGCATGAACATTATTGATCTCTTTACACCGGCCCTCAACCTAGTTTTCTCCTTCTATCAGTTGTATTTTATTTTTAAGCATTCTAATGTAAGTTGGCAATTTTGGCACTTTACTTCATTACTAGGAACTCTGAAACGCATCAACATCTAATATTTATTCATAATCTTGATAGATTGTGATAAACCGGTACCAGGAAGTGGCACGATTAGGAGTAATGCATTCCATTGCCGTTAATTTATGTGTTTGGTTTCGGACACTGGTCGACGAAACCATCGACGAGTTTTCCCGTAAATGGAGTGGAGAGGGATTTGAAAACAAGGATGCGGCCAGCCGGATACCGGATGCGTTGAAACTTATGGCGGAAGATGCAGCATGGCATGCACCGGCATCAGTTTCCGGTTCCGCTGGCTCCGGTACAAGAGCAGGTATGAAGATTACAATAAAAAATTTTATATTGTATTCAGATGTGCGATGCGTTTATACGAACACCAGCCTTAAAGGTGCCATAGCATAAATTACACTTCGCTTCACAATATTTCTTACGAAGTTTACAGCTTTACCCATAGGCCTTAATTAATTATAATATTTAACGATAAGTACATGATGTACATCTATATCTGTACAGATACTGTATTTCAACAACATATTAATTATTTTTATCGGGGCTTTTAGTTTGCAAATTTTTAAACGGCCATTTTCTTTGAAAAGTTATCTGCAAAAAAATTCACCTTTCATTATAATAACTAATCGGCATATCACCGTAATTTGACATTAATTTTTGTTTGCAGCACACACTGTCGATACAAATCACACCAGCGCTGCTTTAGCGGCTTGTATGCCAGAAACTGTCCTGGCAAACATAGCTCAGGAAGCCGCTCCATACTTATATCCCTTCACAATCGAATACACACTGATTGCCGCCGCCGTGTGGTACATGATATGGAGCAATATAGGAAACAACGATTCCCACTCGGATAATTCACCTGAAGTGCCCAGTAAAACTTCAACAACTTCTGAAATTTCGCCACACGAAGGAAATGCTTCGTACATTTCTAATCGTCCAGATGGCCAGCGCCGTGACGATCATTCTGAGCACAGCATCCGATCGTCACTGTACATGATCCATGTCGATTGCCGGTCTACTAATCGTGGCCTGTTCCCGGGAATTCTAGTACTGGTTGGCACAGTCATCAGCATAATAATTTTTTTCGTCACGATTTCCGCCGAAGAATATGCTGCAACGGCTCTGATTATCAATAATGTGTCGGAATTAAGTCTTTTCGGGTTGACATCAGTTGTCACAATCGCCGCATTCAGGCAAACATCCCGGTTGGATTTGAACCATTCAGCTATGAAACATACCTTGGATGATTTCCTTCTTTTCGTTGCGCTGCCGTGCTTTTTTATTTTCAGCTTCTTTAGTATTATTGCCGGCATTGCGGCATGTAATTATCTCTCCATCGTCGTGAATACATCCTCGATGCTGCAAGTGATACTGCAGACAACGTTCATCTTTGATGGACTGCGACGCTGCTCAAATAATCCCGAATTACAGCGTAAAAAGCCTGGTCGCGAAATGATCACTTTCCTCATTGTGTGCAACGTAGCCATGTGGACGTTCAGTACATTTGAGATCAAACGATCGGAAACGAATCCCAGTCAGATGCTGTTTTACGGCGAGTTTGAATGGAGTATCATATCGCATCTGTCCGTTCCGCTGACCATTTTTTACCGCTTCCACTCATCCGTCTGCTTGGTGGATATTTGGAGATCGGCATATCAGCCAGCAGAAAGTCATTAGCCAGCCTGACACCTACTGACTATACGATTGACATAAAGGTCAACAAAAAGAACTTCCTGTCTTCGAGCGGAGCGCGAAACGTTGACCAAATGCCACTACCATTCCATTTTTGTAGAATGCCTTATTTTTAACTGCACATCGGTTTGCGATCGTGCTAAATATTTTATGTTTGACAATAATAATAATACGGAAAGCGTCGATGTTTTGTAATTTTAATATCTAAATTTTGCGTAAATTAAAACACAAAATCAGGCAAGGTTTTCCCGTAAAATATGTAGTTACCTTTTTGCTTATAATTAAATCACTACGAGTACTAGATTTGCCTTTACACCCGCTACTTATTAACACTACTCTGCAGATTCGAAATAAGTTCAGCTGGAGTAAGAAGCCAAATAAGGAAGAAAAAAATATGGCACTGTTCACTACAAGTGTGCTTTTACACTGGGAAATGATACCTACCTAGCTACCTAGTCGAAGCGGCGGAAGCGCCTAAAAAATTAAAATCGGTTAAGTAACACACAAATCCAGCTCAATTTCTAGTAATGTAAATTTTTATTAGGATCATAAAAACCATAACGTTTTACAACTTTTACGAAAATGACATGGCTTGACATGCTGCTACCCTATTATTCTATTGTAAACACTCCTTAAGGGATCTGGCCCGGTACATAGCACCAAATTCGTGTACATACACGGGAATATTCGCTTTCGCGCACTTCCAATCACTTTTTTGGGTTGCTTTTTGACAATGTGTAGACAAATGATTTGTATACATAGGCGTGAAATCCGTTTTCGCGCGCAACATCCGGTTGCGGAGTTATGAGGGTAACAAAATTCCAAAAAGTTTAAATGCATTCCGGTGTACCAAAAGTCTCATTATGCCCGATCCCAAGGCATGATTTCGTAGGCTCGCCTAGCGAGCACAAATGGATACAGATTTCGAGCACTCAGCGGATCGCTCGAAATCATGCCTGGGATCGGGCATATGAGATTTTGGTACACCTGGAATGACATTTAAACTTTGGAATTTTGTTACCTCATAACCCGCAACCGGATGTTGCGAAAACTTCAATTTAAATGCACATAACCATGAAGATCGTTCTTACACGGATCCAGACTTCCACGATTTTTTTCGAATTTTAAAATGAATTTTAAAATTTTGAAATTCACTTTAAAATTTGAAAATCATGCTAGAACAGTGGATCGGTGTAAGGACGATCTTCATGGTTATGTGCATTTACGTGCAAAATTTGAAAGGGATCGGTCCATAATGAGACTTTTGGTACACCTGAATGCATTTAAACTTTTTGGAATTTTCTAACAGCCATAACTCCCGAACCGGATGTTGCGCGCAAAAACGGATTTCACGCCTATGTATACAATCTTTTGGCTACAAAATACCATAAAGCAATGCAAAAACGTGTTTGGTAGTGCGCGACAGCGAAAGTTCCCGTGTATGTACACGAATTTGGTGCTATGTACCGCGGGCCAAATCCCTTAATATTACTACCTGTGATTCTGCACAACAGTCGGTTTCACAACACGTGGATAGCTGACATGCCGTACTTGTTGGTTTTATCGTATAGCCAGTATATGGAAGGTACGAGTAGTCTTTCAGGCTGTAGTTTTCGTCCTTTCTGAACGGTTCCAAACGTTTAATAACAAATTTTGTCCTCAAAAACTGTGATGCCAAATGTCGTCCAAATGGAATAAAGTGCGTCTTTAGTGGTTTTTACAATACAGTAATTTTTTAAGTTACCTTCTTTCTCAATTTTTATCGGTAAATTTAACAAAGAATAGAAGTATCTAACCTGAAGACGGGCGACCAGGGCTTCTTGTTTGCTGTTTTTGTTATTCGTCTCTTCTGGCTTGGTGGTTTTTCTTTTTTCTTCCGAGACTATAGATTTGGGAGTTTGAAGTGGTTTATTTATCTGAAGTATGGCAGCCAAGAAATCTTTTAATGTTAACGGGATGGAACTGGAATTCGAGGAACCGCAGCTCCAGTTTGACGATGATGAACTGCAACTACAAGAGGCAGTCTTGGATGAGTACGGTACGATTGATTATGGAATTGATTGGGTGTAAAGGATTGATTATGGAATTTGGAAATCTCTTAAATTTGGTTGTTTCCTTCGTTTATCGAAAACAGCTGTGCCAGTAATTTTTTTCCATTTGGTAATGATTTGAACTGTAGATAATTTTGTAGTTCGTACTTGTTTTCAAGCTTTGTCATACTTTCGATATTCAGTTATCCGTACATAAATTAATAATTAAAATAATTTGTTGCTGTCACACCTTATAGCTGATTTCCACGAGCTGGACGATTCCGAGCCGTCTGTGTCAGCCGTGCAGTTCGATGAGGATTTCGAAGAAGAGCTCGGAGCACCCGTCGCCGACTTCAGTGTGCTGACGAAATTTGGTGACATTCCGAAATTGGGTATTGTGGATGTGTCCGGTGATGATAAATTTGGCCGGAAAATTATTAGCATCAGCGCATGCAAATTGCCGTCTAACAAATCATACGATCATCATTTACTTCTCGAGTATGTATGGAACAGTAATATCTATCTTCGGAAAAGTAGATGAAAGTGTTTTTAAAAATCTGTAGGCCGAATGGTTATTGGCTACCTGTTGACTATACATGTTCGATGGACTTTTTATAATTATTTAATGGAAAAAACGCATATTCCATAGTGAGCACTTCATTCGTAGCATGAGAACTTAAATTAAACGCCACCGATCATGGGCTAGGTTTTTCGGGCTATGTTTCCTACGTAGAGGATGATTAAATGGGTTCATTCGTACATGGATCCTAGGAAAACTGCTGATGCCGTGCGCGGATCGTATGAGCCAGAATATTTTTCTTGAAAGGCTACTTTGTTTTCAGATACATTTGCCACATGCTCGATCGCTACGTCCAAAGTGATTATGTGCTTGTTTATTTTCACTACGGGCTGAACAGTGAGAATAAACTGCCGGTTGGCTGGTTAATTCAGGCATATAAATTGCTGGACCGGAAGTGAGTATCTGTCGCATTTGCGCTCTGTGCTTGGAAGATAAAACTTTGAATTCTAATCTTAAACTTTTTTTCAGTTAAACCAGTCACATGGGTTTTACTTGCAGATATAAGAAGAACCTGAAAAATCTCTATCTGGTCCATCCGACGAATTTTATTAAAATTATGTACTCCTGCATGAAAGTGTTTATAAGGTGAGTTTGCTGAGACACTTCGGCATTACATTGTGTACCGGCTTAATTCGGAGAGCGTTGATTTTGATTTAAGTGACTGATCCAAAGTTTGCCGCAGCGTAAGCCATTGTTTTACGATACTTCGGAAAAATGTGATATTTCGGACTGCATTTGGCATGCAGATAAGATAGAAGTAGTCTGTAATGTTTTGATTTTCTGGTCTTTGCGATCTACTCATAGTATGCAAAGGCATATTAGCAAGCTGCAGGATAATTCGGTTTAAGGCTTGCTACGGAATATGGTGGATGTCGTAATGTTATCGATTTTGTAAGCGCTGATTGGTTGGTTTTGGCAGCTACAAATTCGGTCGGAAGATGATCTACGTGCAGACTCTGGATGAGTTGAAGCAGTATCTGGATATTTCACAGATCAATATTCCCGAGCCTGTCCTTAGGTAGGCGTGTTAAGCCGTATCCCGCAAAGGAGTATAATATGAAGGAGTCTTGCAGTTAGGCTCTGTCACTCCGCTGCCGCAGCATGTGCAGCGGATCATCGGGCCTCTACTCTTCCCATGTGATTATAGTTTCGATTGCTGCTTTTGTAGGCATGATGAGACTGTACGAAAAACCATTAAGCAAAGTTCGTCTATGCCGCGATTACCAAATGTCGCGACTTTACCAACTCAACAGTTCGGTGTTTCGCTGAGTTTGTAAGTGCATTTTGATGTGTGGTTCGAAATAAAGGAATAGTAGTGTTCTTGTTGGTGTTTTGCAGCATTAAGGAGCACAGCGGTTGCGTGATCCCGCCGATTGTCACGTCGTTGATTGAGTATCTGAAGTTGAGTGGTGAGTTATGTTGTGTTAATTGGAATTATGGTTGTTTGTATTGTGAATTGTTAGCAGTTTTAGTTGTTTTATCGCTGTTTACTTGTGTGTTTTTTAGCTTCGTGCATTTTTTCTCTTAATTGCTTTTTCCCTCATGCATGGTGATGATTTAATTTTGACATTTTTTTTCATTTTTTTGTCAGGGATGGAAGTGGAACATGTCTTTCGGCGTTCTGCAAGTATTGTGGCTGTAAAAGACGTCCAGGCAACTGTGAACCGGGGTGATGACGTGGATTTCAGTGCCCTCTGCGATGTCCACCTGGCAGCCGTTTTGTTGAAAGCTTTCCTCCGTGAACTACCTGAACCGCTATTGACATATTCGCTGTATGATAAGGTTTTAGGAATTCAAGGTGCGTGTCCTAAACAGGAAGGCATTATGGTAACTAATTATCTGATTAGCTTCTTGAGTTGTAGGCATTGCCGCAGCTGGCCGGGCCGACGTGGTGAAGTTAATATTGAACGATCAGTTGCCTGACGATAATTACGCTGTTCTGCGGTATATCATGGAATTTTTGCATCAAGTGTCGCTGCGGTCGGAAACTAATCACATGACGGCTTCCAATCTAGCCATTGTATTCGGCCCCAATCTTATATGGCCCAAAGATGAACAGGTCTCCTTGGCGTCACTGGCGCCGATCAATACCTTTACTCAAGTGCTGATTGAAAACGCACCCAATGTTTTTAGTTCGGCAGCTTGATGCATGTATTCCCAATGTGTTTATGGCTCACATACAGTTTTGCAGTCGCCATTTGTACATACATGATTTTTCTTTTCTGTCATTCTTTTGTGCGCTGCAGTACCAGAGCAGCATCCACTAGCCGGTGTAGAATGTGCGGTGCGGGACAGCTTGCCAGTTGCAACTTTATTCGAAAGATCTCTTAACTGTTCAACCTGATACAGTACATTCTGTTGTACGACGATAAACGATTGTTATATCAGTTCTATACACCTTTGCGTTTTATATAATTGTCGATATGTTTTTACTGGATTTAAATGTTTGTTTAAAAAGTTGGTTTTGCTGTCTTGTGATGGGTTGGAATCACTCTGCGTCTGAAAATAAATGAAAACACCACCAGCAAAGCATAATCTCCGTGCTCAAAGTAGATTGCTTAGAAGTTTTTAGGTCATCCAAGTATTACGGAAAAGCACAGGTCATTGCTGCTGTTGCAGTTTGTTTTTAAATCTTCTGAAGAATTTAAGTTCGAGAACCTGATGCAACAGACGAATATATACAATTGTACAGTACGTAAATGTTATGCCGACAATTCAGATTTGTTCAGCTGTTATTTATGGACAACAATAACTTTTCGTGTTATAATTTCACCGACAGAAGGAAGGCAGGAATTTCATTTGGGTAGTTCCCTATTTCCATAATTAAAGATGGGAACTTTGGCTTTGTCTAAGAACCTTCGTCCGGTAAACTACAAAATTTAATAAGGATATCACCGTAATGTGACCGTATATATTTTTTAATGCCAGCATGACGGCCATGACCACTGCACTACCCTGTATACACTACTGTTTGTACATACAATGCCAGGTCACACGTAGCAGTCCGCAAAGGCGGCTGAGGATAGTGCTTTTTCTGTTTTCCGAAGGACGTAGCGCTGCATACGTCCACGGGATATATAATATATATGTATATATATACCTGTAGGTATGGATCCATGTCGAGTCATATTGTAACTTGTAAGTTTGTAACACAGGACAGACAGAACGTTTACTGACAATAGAGAGAAATTTACTGTAAACTCAAGAGAGACAGAAATGCTGTAACTCAGGATGGGCAGAGATGCAGAGGCAGAGGTGGAGCATGTATGTGAACAGTGAAAGAACGCACTGAATGTCATCGTCAGTTGATCCAAAGTTTCAAGCACTAGTTTTTCGTTTACCTTTCCATAAAACTTCCTAACCAACATCTCAGAAGATAGAAAGAAAAATTTGACGCTTTTTGATCTCTGATAAGTGTTTTTGTGGGGAACCAAGAAAGTTATGCTTGTTTTGGTTTCTCGTAGACATTGCATAGGGTGCAAGCAACGCCTCCATCGGACGGACCTATGCTAAGTCTACGAGAAACCACAACAAAACTAACTTTCTTGGTTCTCCATAAAAACCTACTTTCAAAATATCAAAAAATTCTAAAATTTTATTCTCTATTCTGAAACATTAACTGGGAAGGTTTGTTAAAGTGACAACGAAAAACTGATGCTGCAAGTTTTGGAGATAGTGGCAGTCGGAATCAGGTACTCGTACCCAAAGTCGAGACTAATACACGTATGCGCGTACGCGAGGTGGTTGCACTTGCCGCAGACTATTTCGCTAAAATAGCCGTCCAGCTTGCACTCAGGCAATCTTCCCAGTAAACAACTCCACAACAGAAGTTTTTTGCAGTTATTATGTAATAAAACTCGTCCTTCGGAACAGTCCCCACGGGGGGACGCCCCGCTAGGGTTTTTCATATGTGCTTTCATAGTCACATAGTGCAGTGTTATTATATATATTATATATATACTAGTGGTGGTTGTTAACCACATTCTTGCACCGAGCGCGAGCGCTGTTTTCCGGTAAATGTTCACATTCATGTTGGAGTGCAGCATATGTGTTATTCGAACTCATAACCCACAATTCATTCTAAAAATCTAACTGAAAGCATCTTTATTGAAACTAACAATCACATTTTGTGGCACTCTGCCTCAGAGCAAGCATGCTCTTGATCAGGTCGAACAATAAAAAAATACGGCTTAGGTTTATCGACAACATTCAGCGCTGCGTATTCTTCCCAATGGGCTTCGAATTTTACCATATTACACAACCCAGTCACATTTTTGACAGCACGTTTCAATTCAAAATTAATTTTGTTATCGGCTACCACCTTCTTTTTCTCAAGTTCACTGATCTTTGCCTTAATTGCGTTGAGATACTGAAGCTTTCGTTGCAATTTAAATTCAATTGTGGTTGAAGTGGACAGGTCCGCACGGCTTGAAGTAAGGCTCCGGCCAACGGACGTTCTAGCATACGGGAGGAGATCCTCAAACTTGTCAAGATAGCGGGTTCCTTTTTCACGCAAGCGTTTTTCTTCTTTCTCTTGAAGTGTCAACAAAAACTTGAAGCTCTCGGTATCTTTGTACAAATTCACAAGACAGCGGATCCATTCTTTAGACCATTCTTTCGTCTGTTGTACGTCGTCGACGGCAGTTGTTGGTGATTCCGTCAAAAAAGAAAGAGCAGAGAGGAACTTCCCCGGGTTAACTTGATACTGGCGACGCAATATAACAAAAAAAAACTGTTTACCATCCATCAGTTGTGCATATTGCAAAACTGCTGTAAAAGTACGACACTAACGACAGTCCGGTATACACGAACCACGGTAAATTTCCAGAAATCACATACAACGGAGCTTCACGAAAGGCCAATACAACAGGTCTCGAGTTTGAAGTTAGTCAATGTCTAAACTTAGAAAGGCATTTTAATCGGGGGGTTCTTCTCACCTGTCAAAAAAGTAGCACCTTATCCCAACCGGCCGACATAGTCAGAAGATCCGGACGAGTGGCAAACGGCGACCACAGTTCTGATGGCAGTCGAGGTTGCAAGATGTAGCTGGCGTACTCCACCGTATAATACTACGATCGCGAGATCTGCAGACTATCTGGGGATTGCCAGGATGCATGTACATTTCGTAAGTCATTCGAAAAAGATTTCGTTGGGAATAAAAGTAAATGGTTTTTATTGAAATTCTCACCAACAAGATTTCGCAATGCAAATTACAAAATCAAAAACCATGAAAATTTAAATTCAGAATTAATAACGAGCCTAACGGCACCAAGAATTATTGCGCGCTTCCAGTACCATTAAAAGCGATGTAAATCACATCCTTGTAACAGCACGTTTGCTCGGCAATACCACTCCAATGGACGTGAGAACTTGTGGAATTGGAAAAGCGTGACCCACGCTCTTCGTGGGCGACAGACAAAATTTTTCCCCTTGACGAAGGCTTAATTGCAGCACCTCGCGCTTCGCGCTCGGTGCAAACAATGCTAACTTCGCCGTTTTTTTTTGCTCCCTTTTCCTCCAACACCGTTCGGCGCTGAATTTCGCTCGATAGCTTAAAAAACGGCTAAAGTCCTGTAGTTTGTCCCTACAACTTTAGTTTTTCGATCTTCTCTTTCTTCGAATTACGAAACACGACTACAACGAATTTTGCTGATTGGCTAATCCTAACTCCGCCGTTTCTTTTTCTCCCTTTTCCTCCAACACTGTCCGGCGCAAAATTTCATTCGATAGCTTAAAAAACGGCTAAAATCCTGTAGTTTGTCCCTACAACTTTAGTTTTTCGATCTTCTTTTCCTTCGAATTACGAAACATGGCCAAAACGAATTTCGCTGATTGGCTCATCAGAAAGTATTTATTAGTGGATAATGTGGATTGGCGGAAATGCGTATATTTTCGAACGGAAACTGCTGACACAGCGTGGCAAACTGGGACATAAAAACTGCGGTACATCAGTAATCAGTAAAATTTAATACTCCTGTTTGTCGAAATTTCGTAATTGGCAGAGCGATAATGCAGTATGATTTCTTTGGCGGAAAAAGGAAAGGAACCAGTATAGCGCAAATAACTGTACGGCAACGGATTACGTATAAACTACTAGGGAAGTGCACCGCTTTTTGCTAGCACTATTAGACCGAAGCGAAGCCGGAAACAGAGTTTTGCACAAAAATGCTTAGGTTATTTGATATGTGGTTTTATATGCAGCAGCCATCAAAATAAAACAACAAAAAATTGCAAGCGCTGGCACTCTACTGATTAATCGAAGAGTGGTGTTTCGGTGCTCTTCCATTTCTCCAAGAAGTCATTTCAGCACATGTAACAAATTTCATTATGCGGACATTCACTCGCAGCATAAGGCTGGACTTTCGTTATACTGTTGTTGCTTATATGATTCCGTAAAGGCGTAAACTAGATAATAGTTCTATCGATAATTTTATTAACTAATTCTTTTAGCAGAAATGTTTTTCCTTTAATACAAAACAAAGCTCTGTACTCAGTATTGAAAACAAAAAAGTAATACTTAGAATTAATAAGGAATAATATATCTACTATTAGAAATAAACAAACTATAATAATAATGAATAATAATACTGATAATAATGAAAATCAGTATTTATAATAATTGCCTCGAAAACCGATTGCTCAGTTAGCACGCGTGATCACCAAATGCAAAATACATGTCAAATTAAAAACATTTTAGCAAGTGGACGCACTTACTTATTGTTTCGGACGGAAATTTCGGCATTCTGATGGCTTTTTAAAATAAAGTCAGTTCGGCAAGAGAAAGTTTAGCATGCGGACCGAGCAGCAATAACTCGTGTTTCAAACGGGAATTTCGGCATTCTACGAGTAGTGGTTTTGTAAAATAAAATCAATTCGGCAAGGGAAATTGTAGCATGCGGACACAGCAGCACAGAATTTTGGCCGGTTGAACAGAGTTAAGGATTTTCGCCGGCTAGAAAAAGGGGGAGGGGTTTTCGACGGTAAGCACGGGGCGGGGATTTTCGCCGGTTAGACAGAGGTAGGGATTTTCGCCGGTCAAGCACAGGGGCAGGGATTTTCGCCGGTTAGACAGATGGGTAGAGGTTTTCCCCGGTAAAACAGAGGGGTAGGGGTTTTTGCCGGTAAGACACAAGGGTAAGGATTTTCGCCGGATAGACAGAGGGGTAGGAATTTCCGCCGGTTAGACAAAGGGACAGGGATTTTCGCCGGTTAGACAGAGGGGTAGGAGTTTTCGCCGGTCGGAGACATGGGTAAGGATTTTCGCCGGATAGACAGAGGGGTATGAATTTCCGCCGGTTAGACAAAGGGACAGAGATTTTCGACGGTTAGACAGAGGGGTAGGAGTTTTCGCCGGTCAGACACAAGAGTAAGGATTTTCGCCGGTCAAACAAAGGGGCAAGGATTTTCGCCGATTAGACTGAGAGGTGGTAGTTCATCATATTACCGTAAAGTTTGCTAATTAATAATTCTATAATCATTATTGACAATTATAATAATAAACCAATAATCCAAATTCATTTCTACATTTTCCCGACCGAGGCCGGAGGCCGAGGTTGGGCTTGTAAATGCAATTATCTTGTAAATTACTAGATATTTTATTTTTGAAGTTTTGAGCCTTCTGACTTTTGTGAGCTAACGCTGATTTAAACTTTTTTCCTTGGCTGTTTCTCCGCCACATAAATTTTCCATCACAGAACCACATTAGTTTACATAGACGTGGCAGAGTACATTAGTGAAAGCTTTTTGGCACAGTGGTGAGAACAAGAAATTATTATGGAATTATCGATGTGCTTAAGTTGGTTCAGTGCTTGCGTTATCGCCGTATCCATACTCACTCCTTACTCATCCGCGCTCGAAAATGATCGTGAAAATCCCACCTCACAAGCAGAGGAATTGTATACAATAGAAGGGAAATTGGTATATGTTAAATCCCAGGATACGAAATCCGTGGACAGTTTAAGAACCAAAATTGCTGCAGATGGATCAGAATATTACGGCTTTCTGAGGTAAGTCATTCCTTTTTTATCAGTTTCCGAAGCATTGCGCAATAAAACGCTCCGTGTGTACCATTTAGCGAGGATCGAGAGTCCTTTATTATTTCCGGAGTGCCTCCGGGATCATATCTGATTGAAGTGTATCATCCCGAATGTATTTTCGAAAGCGCTCGAGTGGATATCTCGTCGAAAGGCAAATTTCGGGCTCGTCGACCCGATATTCTTGACGGAAGTGCAGCGGCCCAGAATCAACTACCTTATCCCTTGAAGCTGAAATTGCTGCGTCGAGCATCTTATTTTCAAGCGAAAGAGGCATGGCGCCTGACGGATATGCTCATGAATCCGATGGTCAGTGATAATTACAGAATCTAAAAATAGCGATTTAGCTTGCAAAATTTCATGTTTTGGCTGTCCATTAAAATAGTGTTACCGTACCGTACTTATATTTTTTGTGTTATTTACAGGTGCTCATGATGATATTGCCTTTGGTGGTATTGATGGTGATACCAAAAATGTTGTCGACGGTGGATCCAGAAGCAACCAAGGCAAGTTTATTCTCCTGCTTGAAAAATTAACGACAAAGACAAAGTCACAAACCCATGACTTCCTGAATACGTGCCATTTAATTGAACTGGGATAAGTTTGCTGTTTTACTTCAGTTTCAGCTCTCAATAAACGCTAGAGCAGTTTAATTAACATTTCTCTTTATTTTAGGAGCTGCAGTCCAGCATGGCTATGGCCAGCCAACCTCCAGATATGTCTCAGTTGATGGCAAATTTCTTCGGCGGAGCTCCGGCGAAACCAGCACCAGCAACTCGAAAAACCGAGAAAAGGGAAAAAAGAAGAGAGTAGTATGCAGCATTTTCCTCTCCGCGTTGTACAGAGATTGTATTCTTCTTTAGCTATTTGATTTACATCCGTGTCTCTGGATTGTTTTCAAAATTTTCTCCTGTTTACGATTGACTGTTTGGCTGAGAGCTTAAGTTTTGTTTTTAATAATTTATCCTAGTCATATTTTCTGCCATATTCTGCATGTTTCATGTTGGTGTAATAATTTGTAAAAAATGCGATACAGTACGCATTAAAAGAACAGGCGAGTGACCAGAATTCGTTTTTTTGCGTTTTTTTCTAACAGGCCATCCAGAAAAGCTCCAGAACATCCGATAGTCAACATGAAAACAGTAATCGAAATCTATTCCTCGTTATCAACATTATTCGTCTGCAAACCTGCAAACAAAAGTTTGTTCAGCTTTCATTTTCATTTGCTTTCAACCACCTTTTAGCCATGCCTATCTGCGAATTACCTTTAAATTCCTCGACGGGAACCCATGTAACAAGGGTGTACAGTTTATGGGGAGAATCCTCATCTTCATTTCGACGGCGGGAAAGTCTGACACGGACGCGAAAAGGGACGCCTCTGAAAAATAAAAATAACGCACTGAAAACCATTGTATCAGTTTTGTAAATCGTATCACACGTACAGTCGTGAGCCGTACTAAATTTGAATAATATTTCCGATCGGACACATTTAAGTTACAAAAACCAGTGCCTAACTCTAAATTATTTCAGCAGTAAAATAATGAAATTATAAAAACGTAATGACACTAGATAGTGCGACGAAAAATTCGGACTGACTTCATTTAATAAACGAACTGGCGAACGGCTTATTTAGGATATTCCAATAATTCTGTTTTAAATAAAACTTCCTGGATGTTAAACAGTAAAACATTTACCAATGTTATACCAATGCTGGTTTTTTTCCCCAATACTATATTTTAATTCAATCAAACAGAAAAACCAACTATTCAGTTACTACTGAACCTGAAAACAAATTTACAGCCATTACATGATTTGAGCTGAGACTGTAAAATAGTAGAAGTTAAGCACTGGGCAGTCGGTGATAATTACCACGACAAATCTTAAAATCGGCTCTGAAATATATGTACAGTATGTTCTGAGTTATTGTAAGTGCCAGAACTCACCTTATTCCTTTCGACCAGACGAACTTGTTTAATTTGGTGTCAACGCGTACGTCCTCTGTTCCCATCTGAACTTTCGCAAACCTCCGAATTTCCTTGATTGCGCGAGGTGCTCGCTTTTTGAATCCTCTATAAATCACGATAACTACCGTCAGCATCGAAGAACCAGACGGACCGGGAAAAACACGTTCTCAGTCTCGGTCGGTACTACGAAACTTACACGCCATGGAGCCGCTTGTGAAGATGAATGGTGTACTCCCGAGTGACAACCTCGTTAGTCGCTCCCTTCTTACGACGGCCTTCTCGTTTGCGATTCATGATGACAATCCAAAATAACTCACGACACCCAAACTATATTCTTCGGAGATCTCCAAAGAACGAAATAGAAAATCTTTTGCGATTACGGCAAATGTGGAATCGTAGCGCCGTCTAGTTGGGCCGTAAAAAGTCACTGGGTGAATAAAAACGAAGATATCGAGTGGTACGATAAGCCGGGCCAGGAGAAGCTCCCTAACAGTTAACGCTACGTTAAAATGGAATAGACGGCTTGCCATGGTGCAATAGAGCGCGCCAATGCGCCGAAGCAACTCCACTGGCTGCCTTCACTCGAAAAAAGATTTGCCTAAAATCCCTTCTTGTTTACGTTTTGGGTTTATTTGGAGTAATTTGGACTTCTGGATAGTTTTGGTTTCTGCATGACGTTTTTACAGATCTTCTTGCCGTATTTTTGACCGCTTTTTGCAAGTTTGTTCAATTATCTTTTGACGATTCCGGGGTGATTAAGAAATGGGTCGAAAAGTGATTTTAGCGACTTGTTCGCTCAATCAGTGGGCCATGGATTTCACAGGCAACTACGAAAGGATTATCAAAAGTGAGCATATATTGCGAAAGATGGGATGGGCATTGGGATTCATCGGTTTTGTGCCGAACTTCAGTTTTTGACGGGTTCCTCTGGACCAGTTTTTGGGGATGGCTGTTATGACAGCCGGCTCTGAGTCGCAGTTTTCAATATCAGCTTGTGCAAGGGTTTTACGTTTTCATATGTAGGCATCTACGAAGCAAAGGCTAAAGGCGCACGATTCCGACTTGGTCCGGAGCTGGAAATTCCGTAAGTCGATGTGACATTCTTACATGCGTGAGATTTGTCTAAAATTTCGAAAGGAGAGTGTGCGTTGCAGAGGTTATGGCTGCTCTGATCATTTTCTGGAGAGCGACACGATTCTGCATTCATGGGAGGTTTTAGCGAAAATCCTTCTGGATCCTCAGTGTCGGGACATTATTCTCGATATTGGAATGTGAGAACACACCCCATTTGCCTGCGCTGTTGTCGAACTTAAGGCTTCCTTTAATGCCTGTTTTGTTATTAGGCCCGTGATGCATAAAGATGTTGTTTATAATTGCCGAGTGATCACACTAAACGGGTTAGTGGTTTAAGGTAAAGATGTTTTTATCTGTTTATTAAATTTGTCGGTGAATAGAAGTTATTCAAAAATCGCTACGTTTCTGTGTCATTTCCTGCGATTAAGAAAATTGTTTCAGTTAAATAAACGGTTTTGAATATAACAAATTATTTTAATATTATTTTCGACCCATTTTAAAATCACTTTTGTAGTTCACTTAGAACTTTTTTATGTAGTCAGATTCTGTTGATTCGACCGAAAATGTCCAACTGTGATGACGGAAACTATCGTGAAACGCGGTGGTTTATGCCTTGGTGCAAACGACGACAGCTGGAGGATTTTTACCTTCCTCGCATGATTTCTGATGTTACGAAGCAGGTAGACTTATTCTGCAGACATTTCATGTACTTAAGTATCTTATTAGTATGTCAACTAATCACTGTAATTTATTTATCAGTTGTCATACTTGATGGTGAGTGCATATTTGCAGTTGTTACAAAGCAGGTTTAATATTTTTTAGACGAAAGTGCCGTTTGGAGACGGAGTCATTGCCACTCTTGATACTTGTATTGGAGCAGAGACATGTGAAGAACTGTGGACTGCAGAAAGGTATACTATACAGTTTTCAGTGACTGTGTTTCTGAATTTTGTGATGTGGCTACGGGGTCTTGCAGTTCCCATGTGCCACAGGGACTTGACGGAGTGGAGATTTTCACCAATGCAAGCGGAAGTTACCATGAGCTTCGTAAACTACGAACTGCTTATACCTTGATCGAAGGAGCTTCGATGAAGGTACGGTTTAGCAACCGACTTCCTTCGCAGTCGGTGTTAATTTCGGTTTGTTTGCGTAGAGTGGTGGAATCTATTTGTACGCCAATATGCGAGGCTGTGATGGTGAGCGGGTATTCTACAGTGGAGGCGCCTGCATCGCGATCAACGGAGAGATCGTCGCACAGGGACACACTTTTGAAATAAACGAAGTGGTGAGAATGCTATTCTTGTACAAAGGATGTGCTGAATTCGAAGTTTTACATATGTGAAGGAAGTGGTTACATCGGTTTTGGATCTGGAAGACGTCCGCATGTACCGCAATCGTATCCGCAGTCGTTCTGCGTCGGTAAGAAATGCTGCAAAAAGTGATGGAACTTTCTCTTTGTTAGAGAAGAAGCCCCGTTTGAATAAATATCCTTTTGAATTTGCAGGCCACTCGAGCGAGCGTGTATCCTAGAATAAATGTTGAGTTTGCGCTCGGGCCGAGCCATGTGCACGATGTTACTCTACCATCATACGAACCCGTCGAGCCCAAGTTCTTCACACCGGAAGAAGAAATAAGGTGAGCCGAAGTTGGATTTGTATTTGTAGAAAACTTTTGTAATGTTTTTTTATCTGTTATTTCTTTGGGTTTCTCTCACAGTCTTGGACCCGCGTGCTGGCTGTGGGATTACTTGCGCCGAAGCCGGCAAAATGGATTTTTTCTACCGCTTAGTGGCGGAATTGACAGCAGCAGCGTAGCTTGCATTGTGCACTCTATGTGCCGGCAGGTCTGCAAGGCCGTAGAGCGCGGAGGTGAGCGCACGTCGTAACTCTGATTTGAATATGCGGATTGGCTTCAGTCGTGAGAAATTTACATTGGTTGCTGTATTATGTGTGAATGCGAAAATTTTTCGGTGCTGATCTGTGTATTTGGCGTTTTACCGTTATTGGAAATTATTTTAGATCAGCAGACACTTCTGGATGCGCAGCATATCGTCGGGGACAACGATTATGTGCCTGCAAATCCCGAAGAATTTTGTGGCCGAATTTTACACACATTTTATATGGGAACAGAGAACTCGTCCGAAGAAACTAAAGCACGTGCGCAAACTCTGGCTGATCAGATTGGTGCTACCCACCGCAGCATCGTGATTGACGTCGCGGTGGATGCCGTTTTAAAAATATTCACATCGGTGTCTGGATTTGCTCGACCTCGGTATAAAGCACATGGAGGAGAAATAAGAGAGAATCTAGCCCTACAAAATATTCAAGTATGCTATCGATTTTTTTGATATTTGCTGTTTAATAATGATACGAGTATTATTTATGAAGTTGAAAATATGGTTAATGAGCGATTTGTAGGCTCGCTTGCGAATGGTCCTTGCTTATCTTTTTGCCCAGTTGGTGCTATGGGCGCAAGGAAAGCCAGGCGGACTGCTTGTGTTGGGAACAGCTAATGTGGACGAAAGGCACGGCAGCTTGACTTTGCTAGTGCTCCATATGACTATGTTACAGTTTGTTTGCAGTTTGCGAGGTTACTTCACGAAGTACGATTGTTCCAGCGCAGACATTAATCCCATTGGGGGTATCTCTAAAACGGATTTGAAAAAATTTCTACGTTACTATTCCCAAAAATATAAAATCGACGTTTTGGATGGGTACGTGTACATTGCTTCTTGTGCGTTATAAAATGAAAAATGGTTGATTGATATAGGTTACTGGAAGCTCCTCCGACTGCCGAGCTGGAGCCTTTAGAGCAGGGAAAAGTAACGCAGACCGATGAGGTACGCGATTTTGCAGTTATCCCGGGTTATGTTTGTGAATTATGATTTTCATGTATTGCTTACGTCTGAGGCGAACACTAACTGCAAAAATTGTAATTGCTTAATTACGAAGTCTAACATTTTTGACGAATATGATTGTTGTAAAGTGGAATAGCATTAAGAAGATTTATGGAGAATGCCAACTTGAAAAAGTGGAGGTTGGGCGATCTGTTTGATGATATTTTTGTCAGCAGTGACCCAGAAACCAGTGTCTCGGCAATGTTAGCGTTAATTAATTTGCACATAATATCGATTTTTGTTACCCGAGCTTTTTTCTTTCCTTTCGGCGGGCGTAGTTTTGTAATTTTGTCTATTGATCGTTTCCTGAATGAAACTGTTCTTCTATCTTCCAGGCGGACATGGGAATGTCGTATAAGGAATTATCAGATTACGGTCGTTTGCGGAAAATCGCCGGTTATGGGCCGTACTCTATGTTCTGCAAATTAGTGCACGCGTGGTCGGGAATGTTCCGTCCAACACAGGTAGCCGAGAAAGTCAAGCACTTCTTCCGGACCTACTCTATCAACCGTCACAAGATGACTACACTCACGCCCGCCTACCACGCTGAACGGTACAGTCCGGACGATAACCGCTTCGATCACCGGCAGTTTCTTTACAATACGAGTTGGACTTGGCAGTTCCAGGCTATCGATGCTCGAGTAAGTTTTTGTGGAGTTTAGTAATGCAGCCAGAATGAAAATTGGCAGCTATAGCGCATATCAATCTTGCGAGGATGATGCGCACAAGTTAATGAATTACGATTTTTGAAATGTTTGTCATTGAAGTGCGACGGCAAAGGATTTTTGTTCTCATATGATTCCTTCCGTAGGTCCCTGAACTCGAAGAACGTCGAAAACACACAGTGCCGGAAGGTACACAGCCGACCGGTTCCGTCTGCATGACAGTGCAGGACAAGCAGAAGGATAACAAAGTGCATTCGTCTGAAGCCGCGCCGATTGGGGAATCCGCAGTTCTGCACTGTCCGAATAAAGGCTAATCAGCAAAGATTACCGCATCTGGTGTTAGAGTACGGTGTAATACTGCAGTGGTGAGAAATTACGATAAATAATTAATTTGTTATTATAGTTGTGATATTTGTTGCTTAATCATATAGAAGTACAATAATTTTTGGTGTTTTATTGTGTGCAGCGACTTTGTTGATTTGGTTTTGGTGTTGATTATTAGATTTTGTGCAGAATTTTTCTTGAATTTATCGGGATAGATAGATATGGTGAAGGCAGAGGGTCGTGATGCTTTACGATTGCATTTGCTTGGTTAAAGGTTGTCAAACTCTGCGTTTGGATGGGTTACTTGAGGTGATCTTGACATTGAATTCAATGAGCCTAGAAGACTACTGTAGAATTAGTGTTCTCACTGAATCATCTGGCAAACGGTTGAAATACAGTCGAATATATTGTTTGAGATAGGTGGTCGGCCTCAGACTTGCCTCGCGGCGGGAAGATGGCCGGTTGCATGCCACTGCGAGCAGTGCTGCTGCATGTTGAAAAGTCGAAATCGTCCTGTAGCGAGTGCGCCATTAACGACATAATTGCCTGCTAACCGGTTTGGAAAGTATGCATAAACTATCGACTGTAGTTCATTGATGGACCATAATTTTTGCGTTGTGGTCTGCTTGGATAATGGATTGCAAACTGCAGCGATCTCCTTTCAAAATGCAAAACTGAGTGTGTAAAGATACCGGACATTCGCTCGTTCCCGAGCGAAGTTTATTTTTGCTTTTCATTAAGACTTTGTAAATTTGCTAAAAATTTGCTAAAAAAATTTGAGTAAATTTGCTAAAAATTTAACTATAGTAAATGCTGAAGATAACGCCATCCACGACTGCTCTTTCCGCGTAAAGAATAATAATTATAAACAGTGAGCCACTATAATTAGTGTGAAATTTGTAGATCCAGTTTCGGTTCAGCCTTTAAAGCTCAGTTAAAGATTTAAAATATTAATCTTGCTTTGGTTACATGTCAGTTGCGTGAACTGGACTAGTGAAGCGTACGTGCTTCTTCAAACTTACGTTAGCTGATGGCAAAATTTTCTAGTGCCGCTCAGTCCGCACAAATCTGTGTGAAATTTTACCATTATTTATAAATTTTCCTTGCTCTTTTCTGGGTTCCCACAAATTTTTTGAATCGGAAAAGTGCATTGACCGTACGCAAGCAAACAAAACACCAACTTCCTGATCAGACTAGTCTGTTAGGATTAGTCTTGATACTGCTGAATGTGCGTAATCGCTATCGTTCCGCTGGCCCGTGAGTCGTACTGTTGACTATACTGCACCGGTAGTCAGGTGCGGTACCACCGTACTGCTCCATGACCTTGAAAAAACGATAATATTGTCGGTGGCGACAATCCACATCTGCTAATTGATGTCAGTTCATCTACATACCCATACTTTTTACAATAATTACGCTGCAAATATCTGATGTTATCAGTCGTATATGGATTATGCAGAAGCAGACCAAATTAATCTCGATTTTCCGCAGCCGGCGCTGTTGCACCGGTAACTTCCGAATTAGTACAGTACTAAGTTGCCAACGGGAATTGCTACAAGGAGTACATTGGCACCAAGGCACTGCTTAGCCAAAGGGCATGCACCTTTACCATTTGGGCTACACCGGAACCGTAATCAAATACTCCCAAACACCTTGCTATTCTCGCATCGTCACATGCACACAGAATATATCGGATGTCGGTGAGGCTTCCATTTTAATATTCAGGGAAGTCCGAAAGTTCAAGACGGAATTCTTTGCAAATTCCGGTATGATCTTTTAACGAAGCAAGTGTCTGAGGCAAAAACTATGCAAGTGTTGCTTTTACAACTTAATGGGTCAGTTTACTGCCGGTTTGTTTTGCATTAATATTACAGTATTGCAAATCTTGCAGTACATGGTTGATAATGGTTAGTAAAGCATGAGGTATACTCCAACTGAAACTGATGGGAACGCCCCTACTGGAGCAACTGGAGGCCCGAACTGACGAATTGAACCTGTTCATTTCATCAGTTTGACTGGAGCTCCGCCCCTCCAGTTGGAGTATACACTATGCTTAAGTAAAAGAAGTGCACCGCGCCCAACCATATGGAAACTTAACAATATTGTAAAGTTTTGTACGTGGCACAGTGCCGAAACTGCAGTTGCAGTACAGTACTTGCGAAGTTTATATACAAATCTGTTTGATCATTCGAATTAATAGTTTGTATGCTTTACAAGAGATTAAGGCAGCCAAATAAAGGATGGAAAAATTTTATAAAAAATGAATCATATGATAAAAGTGCAGCGATCTTGAAGGATTCCCGCCAGCCATGGTAACACGGAGTCGTTGGACTCCGCTTAAACTGAGCGTATCGAATCACATAATAACAATAATCGTTCGACTTTTTGGATATCGGCACTTGAATACTAACCATTTGTTTTCTGCATCCTGACGGGTTTTCGTGTTCGCAAGGCGAGAGTGCATCACTTGTTGATCCGGTTTCATCAGCACCGGTCAGTTTTATAAGCGGCATGTTTTACGACTCGTATAGGAAATCCGAAACTCAAATGCACTGTCGTCTGCGTCCGCACAAGCAGACACAATCGTGCAGACGCTACAACCCAATAAGTACGTAAATGAAAGTGTGAAATACTCGGTATATATGATGCACAAAAACAGTTTGTTATGCTCAGACAATTTAATAACAATTTTTACGAGTAACCCATAGTCAATATGTGGTGGGTACATAGACCATAAAATGTTGGTTTGTACCTTTGCAGCATGCTGTAAAGTGATTTTCGGTATGCAGTAGTGTAAAGGTAAGAATATTACTCTACTCTTATTGATACTTTGCGTTTTTCCATTTTTTTAAATCCTTGTATTCTTGAAGTTTCGGACAGGAATTACTCTCACGAATATTTAAAAATAGAAAAAAAGAATTTCTAAAGCAGTTTGTTTCAAGTGGTTTTCTGAAATTCGTTTCCCCAAAAAATGCTGTTACAGAACAAAAGCGATAACGAATTGCGTAAACGAACTTGATGATTCGCTTGGTCATCTATTTTTGCTAGTTGTTAAGTTAATGGTGCCGCGGACATCTAATCATTAACGTAGTCGTTAATCGTTTGCGCTTCATTTGTTGTTTTAAAAACTCGTAATTGATATTCCTTATTACCAACTGACAAACTGATAAAAGTTGCAACACAGAATCTCACACACACTCACGTTGCATGCGTGCATAGAAGTATTGCATATCGGGAAGAGATCTTTCAACCCGCAACAAAACAGGAAATATCAGCAAAGGCGATGGTCGGTTTATTCCTGCAATTAGCCGTGTACTCGACTTAAAATATATTTTATATAACAATAAAATATGACGGGAAAATAAAAATGATGAACTTTCTCATTTTGACACAACTCCCGGAAAACTGATCTCATAAAAACTACTGAAACAGTGAAGTAGCGTTTGTTGAACAACACTGTCCGAGTAGCCTTAAAACTGCGTTAGCAGGCAAGTAATCTTACCATAAGATTCATAAAATATTAATTTCATTATAATTATATTTTTCTCGATGTAAGTATATTACTATGGCACAGTCAGTTCTGGAAGTGTGCTCTGGAGCAATCATTTTCTGAATATTACCGGTGCTGATAACCATATGCACATATACATGTATTCAAGATTACCACCTATTCAAGATAATTAATAAATTCGAGATGGGAGTAAGTCTTCGGCAATTGCAATGATTTTTTTGTGGATTTACCTACTGGCTACTGTACAGTACTGTATTACACTATAACATTTCTTGTGCAGGGTAACGTGTGTATTACTTGCTAGTTGCTACTAGTAAATTATTAAAATTGATAAAAAGTAGTTTATTATTAAAGCGCACTTTGTACTTTGCAGATTGAGCATTTTGTACGTCGCACCTTGTACGAACTTGAGAACTCTTTTAATGTGGTATTGAACTACTCGTTTACAGTAATATTAAAAGCGGTTCAGTATGTATTGTACGTACTCGCTTACAGCTACATCAACTCATACGACTATCATTCTGTTGAACAGTGTGTACCTACGAAAGTCATTGTGCAACCCTCTACCGTGACGAAACATTTCGATCCGACTTTTAACAAGTGTGTTTTGTATGCAAGCCGCAGTGTAGCATTACGGCAAGAAAAACGCAACTAACAAAGTAATTGTATTTAGTCCTTGAGACTAAAACATTCGTGTCGGCAAGTAGGCTCTTTTAAGTCTGCAGCCGTCATTTGTTTGTCTAACCCGCAGATCCCGGCGCATTTGCTGTCAAATTATTATCTGCAATTAACGAGCCATCGACACTGGAACCATCTCCGACGGACGGTGCGATATCATTGTCTTTGATTCTCCGGGAATAGTTTTATCATTTTAATATATCAATTCATCTGTTGTTACGAGCAGCAAAGCATACAGGGCATACGGGGCTCAATAGCCTTTTTGTGCCGGGAGTTAATACTTATCCAGCCGATATTTTTATTCGGACACTACATACATCCTTGATCAGACACCCTGGTGAGGCGTAAATTCTTGCACGATGTGTTCGGTTGTTATGGATACGGATGATGGAATGGCAGACTATGGCTTGTGGGATCGTACTTTGATGGAAGTAGATCTTTTAGAAGAGGTACGCACGTAAAACATCCAAAGCTAACCCACTAGGCAGCACGTCTGGATAAAAAGCAACAGATACACCATACAGACAGACAAGAAGAAATCGAATATGGATGTACAATCCTATCATATTTACTGCTAGTTAGTGATATATGGTGATGATTGATCCATTTAGTCCAGCATACGCTGCATACGAGTGGTCAACTGGATTGTTTTGGACTGCAGCTAAAAAATAGCAACGTAAATTGTTTTGGAAGAATTTTGTAAGTTTCTTTCACAAACTTCCAGTAGGTGATACTGTATTCTCGTCCATCGGCACCGAGGTGGTCAGTTGGTGTAAACACGATAGTATTACTGTACTGACAACTTGTGACAAGTGAATCATTTTAACTTGAACCAGCGCTACGCTGTATAAACTTCCGGTTCTCTTCCGGATAAGTTCTTGTGTTTTCTTATGGTACCGGAATGTTTTTTTCCAGTTATTCGAGCTTATTAGTGCCAGAAAAGTGTTTTATATTTTTTATTTACTGTAATGTAGGTATCATAAGAAACTTGCAATAAGGGTTGTAATTTTCGCCGGTGAATCTTTTATCAGCAGACGTTTGTAGATATAATTCCCGTACGTCTGAATATTTCCGATTTACAAAAATTACAGTCGAAAGCGAAACTCATAAGAACGGAGATTTATGGTGTCGATGTTTGTGAGGTGTGCCCGGTGTTGATACAGTTGAACTTCAGACAGTGGAAAAGGATGTTTGGCAGATTTTATTACGTCAAAAGCTTTTGTCAGAAGGACATTGTCTGCAAAATGAAAAAAGAAAATTCGGATAAACTTTTTTATTTAAAAAAATGTAAAAATTATTGTTTCGAAATTGGAATGATCTGTAAAGATTGATTTATTATATCAGGGAAAATTATATTTTTGCTTCAGAACAGGGGAGCTGTAAATTGTGGACATCACACAGCTTGTAATTATTAAGGATTCGTTAATGAACATGTTAATCATTTTAAGAAATTTACTTAGCTATCCAGATGCAGCTTTTGTTTGGTGGATAACTTACGGTTCAGTTTACTTGCAGACCTGTCCGAAAAGATAAAAGCCACTGTTTAGACTCGCTTTAAGTCGAAATTTCTCTTATCGCAGCCATGCAAACCTACGGGTAGCTGTGTTTGCTTGCCTTATCAAACTGGATGTGATCAGGTTTCCGCAGGCAGTCATATCTTCACATCCTTGATTGGACATCAAATTCATGTTTGCGTACTACAGCCAAATAATTTACCGTGTGGTGCGAAAATGTTTAGGTCTGAAATTATTCATAAAACTGTAATTAACTTTCAGTTAGTTGCGTCAATAATCCTAATTGCACAACAGTCATTTCGTGTGCTTATGGTTGGTTGCAGGAAAATTAATAACAGGAAAATTAATGTTTTCCATAAGCATTGTTTTCCCGAATTCTTGCTGCATATTGTAACGATGTAATTCCAGTTTTCTGTACTATGTTTGCTTCGCTATGTAGATTGCATACATTATTTTTAGTCTTGTCCATGCCGTAAAATCATGATAATTCATCCACATTTTTTTGTACATTATAATGTTTTCATCTTTCTGATTCGAATATTCGATTGTCTGCTGCACATTTGACGTTCTCATAATATATATGTTTCCGGTATCGGATCACCGGCAATTTATTATAGGAACCCCATAACTAGGTTAACATGATGAGTAGCGCTGCTACTGCGACACACCGCTGCAACTTTTAAAGATAATTGGTACGGGCTTGTAGGTTTTTTTGCTTTAGGCTGAATATTGCGGTTATCGTTTCCTTTTTTCTGCATGAAAATACCTAAATCCATTATTTTCCGTTGTTGTACCGGTAAAACTGGGTTATGTTAGCCGTTTCTTGTTTTCTTTTTGTAATAAGTATCTACTTTTGATTTCGCCGGTCTTTTAATGCTGTTGCAGGTATTCTTGATGTTGGTAAATTGAGGAACGTAAAATTTGAAGCAAAGTTAATTCCCTGTGTAACTTGTAAGCTATAGTAACTTGTAAGCTATAGCTGTGCGGAAACTTACAAGTATATTTTTATGTCTTCTTATGGTTCGCGGTGTTGAAGCTGAAAACCGGTGCCGGTCAAGCAAAGCTGTCTGCAGTTGAAACCACAACCATTGCTTTAAACTTTGGCGTTTGTTTTTGCCTGAATAACCACTAAATGTGGGGCAAATTGGAAACGCATGTGGTGTGCACGATGATGACCTTGACCGAACTCGTACACAATGTTAATCGAAGTGAAAAAATTTTGTTAATAGAGAATGCGTATCTTAATTGCTTAGTGTCAAGTAACCTTGCATTTTTTGTATTCCTTTTTGTATAATATTTTACCAGGTAATAGTGGATAGTCGTTATTCGTATTTTTATTCATTCTTATAAGTACCATTTTTAGTCAAAAAATGAAAGATTTGATTAGTTCAAATCATTTATTTTTTGGGATGAACTTAGAAATATAATTTAATCTGAAAAGTTTTAGGTGAGTGCGATGCTTTCTTGTTTACCCCGGAAGCTACAAACGATGACCCTAAAATATCTTGTCATACGCCAGAAAGTGAATTTTTCTGGTTATACAAGCTACAGCCAAGACTGATTCAGAGTTAAATATTTGAAGCGCTGTGTATTCTTTGTACGAGTAATACTTTAACCTTTCCATTCTGCCATACATACCGGTATCCCCCGCGGGCATTACGATCAACAGGCGGATGATAACTGGGTTATTCATAACTCCTACCTGCGCAATTATGTGCGGCGCATCTCTGCGTGATCACGGATTATAGCAGCGTACAGTTACTGCATTGCTTTTAATTCGATTAGTGTAAAAGTGTAAATGTGTAATTATCCCTTGTTTATGTGTGTAAATGTGTAATTATCCCTTGTTTATGTTTCGGAATGCTTGTTGTCTTAAAAATATTATGAAGTGTGCAAACCAGATTTTGATCACTTAATTGCCTGCAGGGATTTTTCGAAAATTTATATTATAGTTCATCGGTATTTTACAAAAAATTGAAGTGGCATAATGACATCAACAAATGTCAGCGTTTAAATCCAAACTCAAACCAATAAAGGAAGCATAAGGCATCATTAAAGAAAAGCGCGTTTTGTAACCGGCTTCACGGAGAATCTTAGCAAAGATAATTGTGGCCGCATAGATTTAGCCAGATATATATATATACAGATCTGTATATATAGTCCTGCGTGAATCGAAATCGCAGGAAATTCTTGACGTTTAAGTGTTAGAAGATTCATGGTATCGTAAGGTTCGGTTTTTTTTGCTATTCGAAAGCAAGCGCATCACAGGAGTCTTAACTTCATCGAAACAATGCCGTAGCAACATACTTACCGTATTGTGACATGTTTGCAGAACTACCGGCACGAAGAAATCGACTACCTTAATCGTGGGGCATTCCTTGAATCCGACCCACTTCTACCCCTGATCAACACCATCGTAAGCGGCGGGGGAAATGAAGACGATGCCAGTCAGTTGTTTTTGGCACTCTCGTCAAAATGTGACCGTTCCAATAGTACCGCTAGCAGTGGTACACACAGCTCACCTTCCAGTGCAGCCAGCGATGCCGCTTCCGGTAATTCTTGTTTTGTAGTGTTCTTTGAAAATCACTTTCGTGCCCCATTTTGGCCTATATGAAAGAGTTACCCTTAATTTTTCAAGATCGAATTTCAATGATATTGCTATTTTTGTTGATTTTTTGTCGCTTTTTGAAGTTCACCTGTTTACTTATTCTAGGATTTACCTTGTTTTTTGTTAAGACATAGATGCAGTGATTTAGTTATTTAGTTTTATTCTGTTTCGGAGTGGGTCAGGAATATTATATTGTTATTCACCTGCCGTAACAGTTTTGCCGGCAAATTTGTCGGTGTAATCAGAATGCGATAAGAATAGCTACTGTGTCAGCTTATGATAAAGCAGTTACGTTACAATGGTCGCTGGGCGATATTATGTAACGATCCGTGTGTTATCACATTTTAAAATCTGCGGCCCACTTTGCTCCAGACATGCGTGTTACCGAGTAAAACTGCTAGTGTCGGCGTAAAAGCTCTTGAAAATGTGAATTTTGGATCTTCACCACCAAGTGCGGTCAGCGGTTTTTGTCCAGTAATATGCGCCGGCAAAAAGGAGAAAACATCTTCAGTTATTACATTTTGTCAGCACATAGGGACTTAATACGATTAAAATTGGTGGTTAATGGTTATATGGTCTGCAGATACGGATGGTCGTAAAGTTGTGAATTTTATGTTTGGGTTTCATTCCTAAATTTTGTTAGCCTTAATCCGTTTTGCCAATAAAAGATGAATATGTATTTTACCGATTTAGTAACCGTCGTTTTAGTTAATTTTTCTGTCTGATTTGACTGACAGTTAATCAGGAAAATGAAGAATTTTTTGCTTTCCTCGAATTCGTTTATTTGGACCCTTCGAGCTAGCACGCATTACAACATGGTGAAGAAATAACGGTGGCCACATGTTAGCGACCTTGAGCGACTTCCTGTCTTATCGCAATCGTAAAAAATCGGATAGGAATCTGAATCATATTCTTTACCGTGCGACCTTTGACTATTCACGAGCATTCTTTCCCAGCTGAATAGCTTAACCGGCAAAAAGCAGCAGGTTATTGTAACGAATGTGCAGATAGTCAAAACACTACAGACTTTGTACTGATTCGTGGGCTCTTCGATCCGCCGGTTGCATGCACTTCCGGAAATTTATGTAAACAATCAACAACATTAACGAAGCTACAGTATCCCTTTTTATAAGCGAGAGAATAAACTTAATACACTTTCTCTTACGAAATATTTTTTGCCATTTGTCATAACAACGGCGAATAATAGCGTCACTAAAACAGAAGCGATTATTCCTTATGTTGTGCAATAAAAAGACGAATCGTAAACGTCTGCCAGCCAGACCGATTAAGTTACTGTCGCTTAGTGACTGAAAACTGTGCATCTGCAAAATAAAGGCTGAGAGTAGAGGCCCCGACTTCCGGTTGACCATTAATTCAACACGCCGTAGAAACGCAGATTTTTTTAAATGGTAGCGTGTTGTAACTGACAAAATTTAATATATTTATTTTAATTTTTGGCAGATGTTGATGTGGATCAAGCCGGTGTGCTATACGGTTTCGCTAATTCGGTGGTGAACGGATCAGTGCTTCCCGACAGTACATTCCAACTTCCCGCCGGTATTGTCATAAAAACCGAGCCTCTGGATGCGGGCTCGGTACGCAGTCTGTGGCTGGGCCCCGATGGTCACCTGGTGGACTCGGACACCAGCAGTGTCGCCAGCCCCACCGGGGGGCGCAGTCCCGTCTCCACCGGCCAGGCCCGGATTTTGCCCTTTACCCTGCAACCACCCACACCACCCTGTAGTAGTGATGGGGAGAATTTTTCCTCTCCACTAAACACGCCCTCCCGATCACCGGGGAATATTGCCTCTTTGTCGTTAGCCACCGCAATCTCATCTTCCGTAAGTGTCCCACTGATGATGACCTTTTTTATAGGTCGGCGGGTGTTCGTAGTAAGAAACCGCATTTGCTATCGGCCTATCGAAAAGCTGCCCTTAATAAATGTATATTTTAAAAGTATTTAGGAGGTTTTTTTGCAGTTGGCCACATCAGAAGATGGGACTTTATTGCTAACCGAAGAAGAGAAGCGTACGCTAATTGCGGAAGGCTATCCCATTCCGGCACGTCTTCCTCTTAGCAAAGCAGAAGAGCGATCCCTTAAGCGCATAAGACGAAAAATAAAAAATAAGGTACTCCTACTTAGCTTTACAGACTGAACGAAAGTGTTATATGGTTTTTCTTTGTATTGCAGATTTCAGCCCAGGAAAGCCGTCGGAAGAAAAAGGAGTATATTGAAAGCTTGGAAAAGAAGTAAGAGCATTGTGCTGATTTCAGAACTTTAGAGATTCTTAACTGAATGTTCGTTTTTTAAGAGTCAAAAATCTAAATGAAGATAACAGCGAACTGCGGAGAAGGCTGGAAACTAGCGAAGCTACTAACAGGTACGGAACTGTTCACCATTGTACACGCGAGTCGTTACTTGAGCTACCGATGTTTTTCCAGAACCCTTGCGGATCAGTTATGCAAATATCAAGCCCTACTAAAGGGCAAAGTGCAAATTCCCGCAGCCACAGTTAGCATTAGAAGGGCTGTCCCAAATCAAACAGAAAAGTAAGTTAACGTAGAGATGTATTATATTACGTACTTCTTTAATATAAATTCTTAAATCAGGTCCAAAATAAGTATTACGGCACTAATGAATAAGAATGGAATTTGTTCATCAAATGGAAAATATCATCTGGTGCTCTTCTAATGAATTTTTTAAACGTTCTGCATTGTTTTGTAGGGTTATCAAGCAGGAGTAACTCCGCCGCAGTCAGCAGCGTTCCAAACGAATTTTGTACCAAATATTACCCGCGACGTATTTATTGTTCGCCGAAGCATTCAGGCATTTTTCATATTAACTGAGTTGGCTTGCTGTCTTTTCTGACGGCTCTCCTTCGCTGTGCTTCCGGTAAGGAAACTCTTCCATTCTCCCAGATGGACTTGTAATTAACTGGTAATGTCTGATTGCAGATTTGTCTGTCTTTGTCGGCCATTTTGTGTTATTCCGTAGTCAACAAAGTTTTTTTGCACATAAATCCATTGGCTTTCATTGTACTTGGGCGCGGTACTCGCATGTTTTGGGATGTTGAGTGGATACATCTGTGCGAATTGAATATGGACCAATTTCCAAGTTTCCGCCCACGTCGTTGCTCGTCTTGTTTGTTGGTTTCGGGAGTTTGCGCGGCTTTTCTGTGTATTAGGAATTTACCGGCACGGTTGATGGAGGACCAAAAAGACGTTATGCTGTTTTGTTAATTTATTGTTACCGGTTATAGTTTTTTGTCGTTCTTTCTTTGTGATCGTCGTTGTGGTTGATCCGAGATTATTCGAAATGTCTTTTTCTTGGAAAAATGCCGTATTTTTATATTAACTCGTCCAGTTTATTATTCGCATGCCCATACTGCAACATTCCTTTGCTGTAATTATTTTTGCTTAGAAAACTGTGTATACTTGTGCATTTTTTACCAGATATCTGTATTCATTTATAAATGTCTGTCCTGCTTGATGTTGATAAAGCCAGTAACCAAATCTTTTTTCTGTATGTATAGTGTAATTCAGACGAATCCGAGCTTGAAAGATTTCACCAGCGGTTGTTTTGACGAATGTTTACGCTACTTAATTTATTTAGAACCTTTATTTACTTGGAACCTCATTACAAATTGTGAATTTCAGATAGAAATGGCTGATATTTTAATTACTTACCTAGACGGGATCGAAATATTGTTTTATTACCAAATAATGCAGCATAATATGAGAACGCTTCCAGTGCATTATGTTTTGAGAAACATTAAACTTATGGATCTCTTAAAGTACAGTACACCCCTTCGCTAAGTTTTTAATGGTCAAAAGTTTTTAATGGTCAAAAAATACTTGTTTCCATAATAAGTTGGATAGATTACATAAGTACTTGTAGAAGTGCTCGAATCGATTTCTCGCAGTTCATCCATTTAATCCAGAGTTAATTATCCTGTGGCCATGGGAAGATGTTATCACATCCCCATTTCTTTCCTTCCGAGCCGGCCGTTTCTAATTCGTTCCGAGCCGGCCGGTGTTTATCAAAAGACTGTCTAGGTAATCTGTCCTAAAATAATTTATTATATACCTAAACGAAAGAAGTAGCCGGCTACGGAATTACTTTATGGCGGTAGTATTTCACGGTGTCTTGAGTTACGCGGTATTGATAACCGTGATAGAGGGTCCAAGTAAAGCCTTACTAATCTGACCTTTTCGCGTGAGTGCAAGCATACTTTATTTAGTTACTTACATAATAATATATACCTGATCGTATTTTACGTGCTTAATTACTTATAGCAACTACCAGTTTTGCTATAATTTGCGAGAAAAACTAAGTTCTTATTAGCTGACCACCACAAATTGCATTATGCAAAACATCTAAATATATATATATATATATATATATATATATATATATATATACTGCGGCGCTTAAAAATGCAAAATATTCAAAAAATACGTAAGTATACTGCAAGCGTTTAAAAATGCACAAGATTAAAAAATTTTGTAGCTTTCCAAAACCAGATGTCTCGCTTTGCGATTTACTTCAATAATTAATATGCATTATTTTTGCTAGTTTATGTACTGCTTACCGCTTTTTAGAACTAATTGTACACTGAAGTACTGGCTACGAAAAAATGCCAATTACACAAGATTAGAGCACAACGTTTGCGGTTTGCCGACTTTTGTATACAGTTATAATTACTTAGCCCTTTGCAAAATTCAACGATGAGCGATGAATATTGGTTGACGTCTCTAAGTAATATACATGCTTACAAAGCATATTTTTTGCATTAGGGGCTGCCGATGCAGTTTCCTCTCTCGTGTGCCAGATCGCCGCAAAATCCTGACAGCCGGAAAAGAGCTGCTAGAACATATGCACTTGTACGTAAACCCGAATCCTAAGGTTTGATGAAATCGCAATAATCAATAACACCTATCGGGCAAGTCTTTCACTTCCGGTGTATTCATTCAGTGCTAGCACCTGTGGCCTGTGCACATTAAGTCGGCCTGCTCTGCTCATCTGCCTGCCATATATCGAAATGGATTAACGCGCGTGGGAAGAGCGCCGTTGTAGAGGTGTAAACGAATCTCATAAGTGGTCCCATGTTTTAATGACGGATATGATCGGGCAGTTTCTTAATTGTCAATTTCTGTTGAAATAGTGAATCCTTAGTGTGGACTAGTGCTTTCATGTATCAATCAGATTTATATGTGTATCATTAAACAATCTATACAGCTGAGCGTGTTTCTCCGGCCAAGTTGGGTTAAAATTATTTCTTCGGTACAAATCGATCGCGATCAGGTACGGCAAACACTGGTCTTTGTTACTACATTTAATCGAACAAATTTATAAACAATAAATTTAGCGGCAATATTAAGTTGCGTGATATTTGCTTGAAACCGAATACCAAAAAGACAATTGAAACTTTAGGCGTCACTTGTTAATTGCCATTTTACAACGTATATCGCGCAACAGTTCAATAGTTACATATTATTCGTCCCAACCCAACGACAAAAGAATTTTAGCCAGGTACTGCATATCGGCATTTCAATTGGTGATAAGTAGCTTATCGCGTGTGATCCACTTTGGTGTTTACCGGTGATCGATCGGAATTCGCGGGATATTTATGCTATACGTATCTGCCGTACTTACTGCACTTTTCAACTTGTATTCGTTACCTTTATTAAGACTTCGGTTCTCGCTGCATTGCACCTAACTGTACCTGTTGGAATGCATTTGTTCCTACGAGTAAGTAAATTTCTGTACGTAAACTTAAGATTATCAGTGGTATAACGAACGCGGAACGAAACATTTGTATATACGGAATAACGACTGTTCAAAAGGAACTCTTAAGCGCAAGTCAACAATTGTGCCCACGGCAGAGCGATAATTATCCGCCACTGCAATTTACAACACCTTTGCTACAAATATTATATGCGCTTCCAATTATCCTACCCGGCGTTGCATTAGTCTTTTTTTACACGCGACATTAAATTAACCAGTGCTGGTTTATATTGCAGTCATATGTGATTGTTGTGGAATCCACACTGCGCGTGCAGCTTGTGTTCCGTGCATACGAAGTCCGTTGGCTTAAATTTTGGTGAACGGATTTATACACCTTCGTGTTAATTGTGGGAAACATTATCTCCGATTGCCAATGAATGGTTTCTGCAGCCATTCAGATAGTGTTTGTAATTCCCGAAATTTTATTTACCATAAGCCGATGCTGACCTTTTTTAATCACTAATACTGGAACATCCTCTTTCGCGTTGATACTACAGAAAATGAAAGACACTACAAAGCCCGCCCCGAAAATGGCGGTCAGAAAGGTATGAAACTGCTTTTACAATAAATACAACTGGATTTTGTAGATAGTTTTATATTTTGGACTGAAATTTTGTAGCTGTCTAGAGTCTAGACGTCTCTGCTTTCTTTCACATACTGCAAAAAATTTGATCTAACCCCTTGAAAACGTTGTAACGTTAAACATCTTTCGTCGTGAAAATTTATACAAGAAATTTTCTAATACATCACACATCTTTTTGTCCTGCAGATTCCTTCCCCGCCAATTCTAAAACACGCCATACAGCTCGAGAAATTGCAGCAAAAAGCTGCTCTGGAAGCATCCGTTGTCGAGAACATACGGTAAGTTTTGATTGTTCTTTGTGTTTCGGACAGCGCACTCTACGAAGTTTTTTATGGCTGCTGTCCAGTGATTTATGGAAGTATTCAATATATACGTAAAACGATCGTTTGAAAAGCCGCAAGAACGTTCACCAAATTGTTAATCTGCGCTTTAAATTATCGAATGCAGCTAGTTTTCCTAATTAGTATACAAGTTTCTGCAAGTCCTGACACTAAAAAAATCAAGTAGGTATCTATCTGCTGATTGCTGGTAAAAATTGAAAGTGAAGAAATTGCGGAAAGCGCCATAATTCAAAGCACACTATGCCATGCAAATGCTAGTTCTCCTGCATTCATATTAGTGGTCATTAGCTAAATTATAAGACTTTCCCGCTCTTTGTAGTTTTTAAAAACCAACTTGAAATCATGTTCTCTGTTATTAGGTCGTTCCTGAAACATAAAGCAACTATTGAGAGAGATTGCGCTGTGGTACGTATTGCAAGATTAATTGGCTTAAAGTTAATAATGCTGTAAAGAAATTCTGGAGTACTGCATCCTCAGTGCGCTTATGATAAATATTATGATTAGTATTTGGATTTGCATAAGGATCTGTTTCAATTACAAATACTTAAATAAATTTCCGGCTCTAGGCCCTCCAAAAACTTATCACACAGCATACTTCCCGAAAAGATTTTCTGACATACTGTGATACACTGCATGGGAAAGGTGCACTTAAGCAAAATTCGGCAACGGCACTCAGTGATCCCGAAGAAGTGCAAAATGACCCCCCAACTGCCAGGTAAACAAATTATTTAACAAGTAAGGGAATAAATTACATGTTAGCGCTATAAATCAAATAAATGCATATAAAAGATACGGGCTATGCAAAGAAATGTTTTTTTTTGTAGCGAGTTAACTTTGGCGGAGTTCTGGACAGATTGCATGAGCGGTCTCCAGAAGTTGCAAACATCGAAAATCAGCCAGTATGACGAAATAATTAAACTGACATCAGATGAACTGAAAACACCAAAAACTACTAGGACTCGTCAAGTAAAACAAGTGCGTTTACATAATAAATCGAAAACGTTATGGAACTAAATTTTAGAAGGGATGTTTTGGGCCGAGCTAAATTATAATAAAATATAAAACATAAAACAGCGCTATATATCCACGTAATAGCGCCATTCGCCAGACAGATTTTGAACCGGCAAGATATTCCATATCATTTAAAGTATTTTAATGACCATATTCCCTTTATTGCAGCACTAACTGAATTCTAAGTATGATTGTAATAATTATGTCAACATTAAATTCTCTTGCCGTATTTGTGGACTTAGTTATGAAATATGTCTTCCTTCTCGTTTACGCAGCGTCAATATTTCATAAGCATAAGTGTGCCGGACGGTTACCCCGCGTAAAGAAAAGCATTTGAAATGTGCAAGGTTTAGTTTATGTATGCAAATATTTAAAATTTTTATAAATGTATTAAACTAATTTAATTTGCAATTGCAAATTTGCGTGAATTTTATCGAATGTGTATAACTTCGAATTCAGGCTATGGACACTGCGCTGGAGGTACATTTGGAATGTAACAGAGTCGTGGACATGATAACGCACTCAAGGAAATCGTACACGGAAGCCGAGTCCGTTATACAAGAAGCCAAAGAAAAAGTAAAAAAGTTAGAACAGAAGTAAGAGCACGACTTTGAGTGCCGTTCTTACTACGGCTTATGCTCACATGGTCAGTCCAACACCTCTAAAACGGGCATCATCAACTTTGCAGGGCAAAAAAGAAAGGAAAAACAGTTACGCCGCCGGCTAAGGTACTGTAATTACAGGAAGTTCATACAAATAATGCATTATTTGTATGAACTTACAACGCTCTGCGTTTGGCCCTTAACCAGCGAGCTCGTTGGTGTGGCACCTGTGGATTCTGGCTGCTTGTTTCCGTAGTTTTTCTGTCGGTCTCTGTGTTTGCTAGGTTCGCGACTGTCGTAAAATCATCTTAATTGTCAGTTGTTTTCGCCTATGTTGGTTTGAACATTTTCATGTATTAAAGAATACTGCTATGCATTATTTAACCTGTATACGAGTATACATGTGATCAAGAACACTAAACCTATCGTAAAACAACCTTCAAATATTATAAATAGGTAGTTTTTAAAAAATACAGTTCATAATTCTTGGCTTGTATTAATTTGATCTGTTACATTTATGGTTTATGCATTACGAAGCAAGTGTTAAGCCATTAATTACGCATGTACACCAGTGAAGTAAAATAAACGGGTGCAATAGCGCATAAAAATATTTGTTTTGCATTGGTAAAGCGACCATTTTTAGTTTTTACTTAGATGTTCATCCGTTTTCAGGTCACAGAGATTTTAGAAAACCAGACTCCCAGAGCCACCGCAGCCCGAAATGAATACATCCTGTCAATTATCGGAGCAAATTCCTTACTGTCGCGCTACTACTCCCATGATCTACCCTACATCATGGATGTAGGCGTAAAAAATCAACAGAAATATGTGTATTTTTTTCGCAAAGTTATATGCTGTGCAGCGATTTTTTGGATTGCAGATGATGAACGGCAACGTGTATGATGGGATGCGTCACCTTTTAGCGTTAGTCCTTCATTGTGAACTACACATAATACCGGAAGCGCACGAAGTGTACACTAAGCTCAACGCTGAGAACCAGAGCGTAAGGCAATAATTGATGTTTATTTGCAAACAGGCTTTTGCTATCTTTTTGGCAGACAAACATATAAATAATATTTAACGCGGACGAGTCAGCCTAACCAGGATACGTACGGTGCGGCGCTATAATAAAATTGTTTACATTTTGCTTAACGATAAATTACATATCATTAAATCAAAAAAATTATTTCGTAATGCCGACACTTTAAAAAAATTCAGAAATGATGTGTTAGGCTATAGTGATTATCTTGTCTCGCAGCACGCCGTCACGATTAGTTTCATTTTGACAACCAGTTCTGTACAACTGTTCTTAGAAGTACATTCATTTGTCAGTTTTGTTTAAAATTTTATGATCGCGATTGCATTTAAGCCTTTTATTGCTTTATTACCACATCTGACTACTATACTTCTATAGCAAGGTTTTATATGCGCAAAACTCTTATGCTATGACAGTGACAGTAAGTACTTTTACGTAAACCATATTAATTCGCTAATTTTTGTGTGTTTAGTTAAGCAATCGAAAGGACATCGAATCCCTAATCAGTGCCCACAGTATGTTTAAAGAACCGGTCCAGTATACATTCGAAGCGTGCTCTGGTGATACGGTGTCCAGCATCCTTTTGGACGGGGATGCCGCAACCGCGATGGAAAAGTGCGCTCGAAAATGGGCAATTCGCTTGCTGGAAAGTCAATTAGCCCAGAAAAAACTCGTGGAGCAAATAGACGTCCTGGAGAAACAAAACGTTGACATCACGGTATTGTTTTGGCAGCAAACTACAATCAAGAAAAGATGCCAATAATTTTTTTAGAAACATCATATTTATTTCAACTACTGTAGACGGAAGAGGGAAAAAATGCCTTTGAAACAAAACAGTATTCCCTAAAAGAAAACTTACGGAACGAAACAAACTTACAGCACACTGCTCAGGCAATACTGGATACGCTAAAACAGGCCGGAGGTATAAAATGAATGAGCATTCTTACAAACTGCTTGGATATGCATTTTATTTACTGACTTGCATAATTACCATGCTTGCATCCTTGCACAGTTGATGTGGACACATGGATGGCTAGCGCAAAGATCGCCGTAGAGGAGAAAATTACCGCAGCATCCTCTGGACCGGAAATTATTACAACACTACCGCTTCCGCCTAGACATCACAGCAACTCCACAATTCATAGTGATAACAACGCTGTAAGCGAATAACCGTAAAAAAAACTGTGTCAAAATCGCGAAAAAGTATGGTAGTTCTGAAAAAGGTTTTCTGTACAATTAAAACTGCAGATAGATAATCAGCTCACTTACTTTGGTTCATTTTCAGGAGAATGCAACTAATCAAATCAGTATTTCGGACACAAGTACCACGCAAGCCTTGGATACTTCAACTTCCGGCGGTCCGAGCGTGCGCTGTACAGCCATGTATGACTACAGTGCTGACCGGCAAGATGAACTCTCGATTACCGCTAACGAAGAACTTACTGTCCTTGACGGTACCACTGACGCCGAATGGCTTCTGGTATGTTTTTTCCAATTATATAATTATGTACATGCTTTGTAAACTGCACAATGTTTGTAAAAAGTTAGACATAGAAGTACGTATAATGGGCTAAGAGTAAAACTGAATTTTTAATCGTAATTAAATGCATCTGAATATTATTTTAAACTATATTAATGCAGGTGGAAAATTCCTCTGGCCAGCAAGGATATGTACCGAAGACATACGTTAATTATAAGAAAGACGACGACGGCGTAGATGCACTTGTCGCAAACAACAGCCAAATAAGACCGGATTTTTCGGCGTATAGTATGCCTTCCTGGGATGACGAAGCGGGCTCCAACGGTGCTCTATGGGATCATGTTGATAATGGCATTCGTATAACACACAGCAGCTACGAATCGCCCACGAACGAAAATGAGTACACGGAAGACGGCACAACACCGTCCGACAGTCATTCCGTACACAGTGTACAGCGCGGCGAATCGGGGTTAACCAACCGGACGTCCTCGGTGAGCAGTCAGCAGCGTGTGGGATCTGCTGAACACCATGAACTGCCACAACTTAGCGGTAACTTAGATAATTTTCTAGTAAAATTTTTTTGGGGGTTTTTATAGCATCAGATTAGAAGACTTTGTTTACACAGTTACGGAAACCTCGTTTGGTGATACGTATACCGAGCCCACTGCTGCGTACTGCCGAGCCGTATACGATTACAGCGCGGATGATCCGGAAGATTTATCCTTTCAAGAAGGCGACGTGATAAAGATTATTAGCCGGTCGCATGGTGATGTTGATGACGGATACTGGACAGGAGAGTTGAATGGAAGAGTTGGACTATTCCTGTCAGCGTTGACAGAAGAATTGGTATATTTCTTATGTTTTTCGCATTTCCAAAAATGCTATGGAAGTATTTTTAAATGTTTATTCTAAACTAAGGATAGATTATAAAATAAACTAACAATTCAATCGTTATGCATAAATCACACTTCCTTATTCCTTATTTTTTATAGTACGTATTAGCTGCAACTGCACTTCTGCGCTGGTCGCGGTTGTGCAGTTCCCAGACTGACAAACAGTACGAGTAACAATTAGATGTGATTTTCCAGATTGATACGGATAACAGTAGTGATAGAGGAATATCGCTCTCCTCCACTTCATCGCCATTACCTGGTTACACGCAACAGGTAACGAATGAATCACACATCGCACAAGCCACACAAAACGTAACTTAAAGTTTACGTACTTAATGTTCTACTTAAAATATTGCTTTATTGTATGGAATCATAACATCCGCTAGTTCGCATAATTTTAGTGAGCTAAAGTAAGTCATGTTTTAGCAGGGGCTTGCCGAACATTCCTTTTCCATGATTTCCGTTCCAGACCGACCTTGGTGATTTGTATCTCAGTGTCGAGTGCTAGTCGCATTTATTTTATATTTCTATTGACTGATTTTTTAACATACGGCAGTAGTGGAGACATCAGCTTCCTTTATTTGTGCACACTGCAGTTACAACGTTTCCTTAGAAATTGCGTGTACATGTATGGCTACTTTATACGTAAGAAATATGCTTGTTGTGATAGACGTAGGAATTGTAAAGGATTTTCTTTGAGGACCTGGTTGAACATTAAACTTCCGACATAATTTAGTCTGCGACTCCGCAGTCGAATATGTTGTGCCACCCACACTTCAACTGGATGTTATAGGTAAAGGGCCGCATTTTCTATTGCACAGAGTAATAGTGTTATTTACTTTGTATTATCAATATTACTGATATTAATAATGGTAAAAGAAGCCCACACCCGATTTTATACTGCTAAAAAAACGATTTTACATATTCGAGTAGAGGAGCACATTTTTGACCAGATAATTTTTTAATGACATTCGGTGACATGATACAGCCAATGCAACTGTGCGAAAATTTTCTGGAGTGTTTGCAAATTGACCGACGAAAAGCTTTCGTAGTGAAGCAGCATTGCACAAAACGGAGCGGTGAAGTGCTCAAGAGGCCAGTAAAAAGCCGCCGTTTTCCATGTATATGCCCATACACTCAAAAGCGTCAAAAGCATTTTAACAGTCGCGAACATGAATAGACCCTCCAGTGCAATAATATTTAACGAAGAAAAGGGAAGCAAATAAAACTGTATACTCATTTCTGAAGATTCAATAATTCAAGATTAAACACATCCACGCAGTGCGTTAAATAAGAGACCTTGCTCAAAACTGACAAGAATGCGGTCAGCAATGATCCGGAAAATTATACATGAAGTTACCAATTGTGCTGGATTGTATCATTTCACTATTTACTTGAATTATACAGGTTGACTGGCGAGTGCTGCACAGTGCACACCTATCGTAAAATGTTGTCTGTAAAGTTTAGCGGTTTTGACCAATCTTTCCCAAACTGCCAGTCTCTTATCGGACGTTGGCCAATATTCACAGCTGTAAAGTGGGGTACATTTTACGCGGCTGAAATCGGATTAACCAAAGACCCGCGAAGTAAATCACCCGGCGAATTAACAAACATAGCGAAATTTATCGTTGTCAAACAAAATTCTGCTTTGTCGATGTAAAAAACGGTAACTTTTATTCAGCAGTATCTGTACTGATACAATGCATATAAAAATGTAAGATTGGTATATACTAAGTCGAACGTTTATGCTGAATAACTGACCGTTCAGCTGTGGAACAAATTCAAAAGTTACATTAATATTGTAAAAAATTACCAAAATATCTTATCTAATATGAGGATGTCAACCGGCATTCCAAAGTTATTACGTAGAACTAATTTTCATCTAGTGTCACTGTTGACCGTTGAAAGGTTTTTTCTTATTTATTAAATATTATTAATTATTCAAATTAATAACCATGTTAATGTTAAGCAGTAAGGTCGAGTAAATGGATAAGCCAAATGGAATCTTACAATGCAAAACAAATATTGTTTGCTTTGGTCAGTTTCATTGCTGTGATAATAAGCCACCAGAAGCCAATACTCGTGAGACCGCCCACTGGCCATTTAAGATACACTTTGGCTCTGGTTATACAAACGAGATTATCATTGTGTGGCATTTCTCCATGTTCAATGCAGTCCTGATCTGCGCTCTATGAGCCTGTGAAACGTCGTGTTTAGAAACGTTTGATTGTTTAACCATAACAACTGCATCTAGTAGTTTTGATCATTTCGAATGCGACGAAAAGGTAATTGAATGATTGACCATGATTAACTGATAACACCGATTATCAAAAATGATCCTGCGGTTGATCTATTTACATATAATTATCGTATGCCGCATTTGCACGGCGGTTTTGTCGGCTGATTATCCGTTGCCATCCAGTTTGACCTTATCGGCTGATGTCAATTTTGGGAAATCTGTATTGCTAAATTTTGACGGAATTTTGCAGCATCTGAATATTACTGATCCTTCTCATCGTTGCACTATCAAAGTGATCCAAACCGAGCCAATATATTCACTGGTCGGGAACGTTAATTCTAATGCTTTTTCCTGTGCGGCAAAAAATGTCTCTTATGTGCATTACGGCTACGAGAGCCCGAGCGAAGACACCGTGAAATTCCGTTTGTTTGTGTTTACTCCCACAGATCTGTTGGAATATACACTGTTTGCCCTAATTCGCATTTTGGATCCTGGACCGGAGAATATAATTCTAAAAGGCTTTCCATTGCGCGTCAACAAATCAACGCATCGTAGCCAGCCGGTAACGGTGAATTCGGTGAAAATGAGTCAAGATGAATTGCCGGATTACTGCCATATTGCTGTCGTCAGCGGACAGCGTTTCCCACGCTTCGGTCATCTGACGATCGGTCAGCACTCCCTGACGTGCGGTGAGTTCTTTGCCGGGGAAGTGTATTATGAATTAACAACGGAAGTGTACACAAACCGCGATTATGTTATTGTGAAATTGGAGACACTGGATAGTATGTCCAGTCCCGTGGTTGAATACTTTCAATTCCCTATTCAAATTGACCACACGCCGAGTAACACGCCGCCCAAAATCGCCTTTACGGCACAGCTGTTATTGGACGTACAGAGTTATGTCATTAAGAGCATTTCTAAGGAGATCCTCTTAGCGGAAGATGCGGAAACACCCAGTGAAAATTTAGTGTATCACGTGGTCCAAGCGCCGGAAGCAACAGACGGATATTTAATTCGCGTGGACGATCCGGTGCATCCAATCGAAGCGTTTACGCAGAAAGACATCAGCGCCCAGCGCATCGCCTTCCGCCCACCACTGCAGCCGAAACCGGACAACGTGGCGGAGTTCTTCCTGGAAGTGGTGGATCCGGAAGGCTTGGTATCGGAATCCGTGCTGCTGATGGTCAACATCCGACCCGGCAATTATCCGGGACCGTTTATCGTGTTCAACACGGGATTAACGCTGTACGAAGGGGAAGCAGCCACACTGTGGCGGCACCGGAATCTGGCGGTGGCTGACGAAGACAATTACGCTAACATCTCATTCCGTGTTATCGGTGGACTGGCGCACGGGCGCCTCCTGCAGTCCGGCCGTGAAGGGAGTGTGAAGAGGTTTGTAGCTGGGGATCTTGAGATCGGATCACTTCAATATGAGCATGATGGATCGGATACGGCGGCTGACACACTGCTACTGCAGATGGACGACGGTCAGCTGGACACGTCGGCAGTGGACAAACAGCAAGTGGAGTTTTTAGTGGCCATCAGTATTCTGCCGGTGGATGATGAGCCACCGGTGCTCTTGGCTAACACCGGTATTCTCGTGCATAGCGCCCACGAGATGGTCAAGATTAGCAATAAAACACTGCGGGCCAAAGATATGGAATGTGCAAATGACCAAGTGTACTTTCACATTACGCAAAGCGCGCCAATGTGGGGATACTTCTTTCTCACAGATAATGACAAAGATATCGAAACGTCCAGGTGAGATTTGATGGCTGCACTTATTTGTGTAAATCTACAGTATACCACATACATCGTCTACTCGTACAACGAAAACAGCCGTATTAAAAAGGTGGGCTACGAAGTTATCATAACTCATAAACATAAAAAGTTTTAACTAATTTGCATCAGTATGTTTGTTACGAAGAAAAATGTTCCCGGTGAATTTAGTCACTGTAGGGTCAGTGTACTATGTAATCCGTAGACTTCAGCAAAGATACTCGGAATTCATTTTTAAAATAGTTTATTTGCACTTGTTGAATTATTAACCAACCAAGAATAACTCATGTATGTACAGTCTGTACAGATACTCTGTAGCTTATACATCGAAAGCTGAATCGAAACGGTTTATGTTTGTGTAATTATTAACCCATAGTATTTCTTTCGCATTCACCGCTTTTGTTAGAATATACAAATTTAATATGCAATGTTGTTTTAATATCGACGTTGGCCTCTGGGTGATAACTGGTATATAAGTATCATTGCCGGCATTTCCGTTTTAGCGGCCAGTTTGGATCAGACCGAATAGTTGAGTTACAAGCGCAGGTGTTGCAGAATCGTTAATTACTACGCCCTGCACTGATCATTGGTCATTATCATGTTTAATTTGATGTGCTGAATTTCAGAGAGAACCGCGTGGATAAATGGACACAAGCGGACATCGATGCCGGAAATCTCTTCTACCAGCACGAAGGCGATCCATCTCAGATCTCCAGTACATGGTACACGACGGAATTTCGCCTGCAGGACGGCAATGATCCTCCTAATTTATCGGCCCATTTACACCCTCTAAGTGTCACATTCATTCCCCAGGACACCCAGCCACCCCGCTCACTGTCCAGCGCATCCCGGCATCTGCATGTGAACGCCTCACAAGTGGCAATTATCGGTAACCGGATCCTGCATTTTGTTGATGATTTCACCAGCGACCGCGATCTCCTGCTCATTGTTCGTGCACCGCCGCAATTAGGCACATTAATATGGACCAATCGAGAAGATCAGCATAACCAGCACATTCCTGTTGCGTTCCCACAGTCCAAGTTCTCATATGGAGAAATTGCTTACCAGGCGCCGGCTGCGCTGCCTAACACGGATGCGCTGCAGTATGATCAACTGATGGTGGATGTGCAGGACAAACAGGGGAATGTGCTGTACAATCAGACACTGCGCATAGTCATCGCACCGCCCCCTGTGGCAGCGGCCAGTAAGCCGCGACGTCACAGCAGTGATTGGCTGGTGAAGCCCCCTGCGGCGACCAGCCGGGTGATTGTGGTGAAGGAAGGAGAAATGGCATCAATCAGCGATCATTACCTCCTCATATCTGATCCCGATATCGATCGGGCAGCAATTCACTTTACTCTTGACAAAGCGCCGGCCATGGGGATGCTGTGGTTAAATAACAAATCGCTCATCCTTCATGACCACTTCACGGCCGCGCATCTGGCTAATCTGTCCAGTGGGCTGATTTATAAAAACATGAAAACAACACATACCGCCACGGAAGATCTTGTCCGTTTCAATATTACCGCCGATGATGCCGGGGATAGTCTCGTAGTGGCCACGGAATTCCAGTTCCGTATAATACCGGCTACGCAGTCCGATCAGCCGAAAAAATTCGGTCTCTCCAAACTGGGAATGGTGCTAACCGTTCCAGAAGACAGCACAGTTAAATTGAGTCGAAGCAAATTGTTAGGCTCTGCCGAAACTGACAACTATCCACCAAGCGATTTGCAGTTTGAACTACAGACGCCCGCTCAAAAAGGCTCACTCCTGGTCAACGGCACTGATAGTATGAAATTCTCGTGGAGAGACATTGAACATGATGCTGTGGAATATCGCGCGCAAAATCGCGGCGGCGCGACCAGTAATGCGCTATTCGACGATGACCTTTCCTTTAGAATCACTTCCGTCGATGATCCTTGGGTCATTGGCGATAAGATCATCGATCACTTGGAAATACAGGTATTGCTGACGGAAAAAGTCATTTCCACAACGCTGGGTAAACCGTTCAGAGTCAATGAGGGGGAAAGTGGGGTGTTGACCCAGGAACATTTAGTGATGCCGACGCCACAGTCAGGAACCACAACCTGCTCGCTAATTCTGCCGCCCATGTACGGGCAACTGTTCGATGTCATCCGCAATATTCCCATTACCACGTTTACTAATTTCGAGCTCTTCCAACACCAGATTTATTACCAACAAAATAAACATAAAGATATTGAACCGCGCTCTGACCTCTTCCGGTTGAATTGTGCCGGTGTGTGGCTAGAACTTTTGGTGACAATTAACGAAGCCAACGACGAATCGCCGGTCATCACGTCGAGCGATGTGCAGGTGTCTTTTGGCGAACAGGTGGCACTGGCGTTTTTTGTTTACATCACGGATGCGGATATTCCGGAAGACAACCTAACCATCGATATTGTCAAATTCCCTCAACGCGGGATGGTTATCTACAACGCCACGAAGGATGACCCTAATGAGATTCAGGTTGAGCCGCTTTTTCACCCAGTTCGGAATTTTTCCAACGCGGATTTGGGGAGACCCGACAGAATTATTTACCGCCACGATGGTAGTGCCGGTGCCCATCGGGATGATTTCACTATCCGGGTGGCCGATGGTTTGCATATTGTGGAGAAAACCATTCATGTCGTTATTCGTGGCGAAGAGCGAGCGCTGGACGATTATCACGAATCGCGGTACGGATTGGTTGAAGTGATTTCGTCACCTGTTGAGCTGGTCGGACCGGAAACGGAAGTGCAGTTTTACAACATGAGCGATCTGTCCATGTTGAAAACTCTTTCATCTACTCAACTTGTTCCGCCGGAACGGAAAGAGATGCCTAATATTACTTTGATAGAAAGAAACGGTCCGCTGATCTTCCTTCCCAATAAATATCTTGGTGCGGTAATGTCCAGCGAGATGATTAATATCACGCGCAATAACGAATCGTCCCCAAAAGAGCTTCTTTTTGAAATCCTCGAAGCGCCCAAATTTGGGTCATTTATGGATTTGCGGGAGCCGGAAAGGGTCGTTCATATGTTTACGGAAAATTCCTTAACTGACCACAACATTGTTTATGCTTTGCACCCCAATGCCGACAACAATCATGCCACTGGAGACTTTTTCACGCTACAGGCGATTAATGAATTTGGAGTCAAATCCAAGGTCTTGAGCGGGGCATATCCCATGGATGGACGTGGTGATGGCGTTTCGCAAAGGAGAATTTACAGCAGTTACGAACTTTGCAAAGAAATGTGTCATGAAAGACGACGAGTTGTTCCAGTTGTTCCTGGAAGAGCCGCAATTTGCCAACATCCGCAAGCCATTCGTCACGACCGTTTCGATTGTTGACCGGGATGACAGTAAGTAGCACTCATATCGTTATTCGTTGTGAATTGCAGAATGCATATGTACAAGTATACAAGGTGCCTTAGTTGGGAAGCATCTACAATTTAAGCGCGCATTCGCCATATTATGTGGGGTTACGTTGTAGCATACTTTTGGCTACGATCTAATTGTTATTTTTAATTCTAGATGCTGTAATTTATATTCCAAATCCGTTGTACTTCGTCCAAGAAGATATCGGCGTATACAATTTGACGTTAAACCGTGGTGGCCGCGATATTTCCTATCCGTTATCCGTAATCTGCTATACCACCGACGGTAAGTTACACACTAATTTTATCCTGTAAAGTGCATACATACTTCAGTATTCCAGTTTTACAGTTATTATGAATGGTCTTGCAAAAACAAAAAACGGCTCTTGATTTTTCCGGTACAAAATTGAGAATGTCTCTGGTACAGTCTGTACAATGTGGACTACTGCAGTAAACACCAGCAGTTATTATTATTCTATTACAGGTACGGCAACCGGCACAATTTCTCGACAACAACAAATTTTCCGACCAGATTTCGTTTCCCGCTTGAATATTCATTCTAGTACTGTCCAGTTCCGACCCAACGAGAGTACTGCTACCTGTCCCATCGTCATTGTGAATGACCAGTTTGCCGAAGAAGATGAAAACTTTTTCGTCAATATCCAGCCGATGGGCAGTGCCCGTGTGGGAATTTATGCCCAAACGGAAATTATTATCAAACGAGATTTCCGCGATGGTAAATTTATTTTTAATTAACAACAGAGGCCATTCAAAGCGTCAAACGCTTTATGTCTCTCAGTGGAAATAATCATCAGTTTCACATGGAAGAATTCCCAACATGCACTGTGTACTGAAAAAACCACAGAGAAAAGCTATGGTATTATTTGAAGAAATGTTTAATTGTAGAGCCGGTTATCAAGTTCGGTAAGAAGGAGTACTACACGACAATACTGGAGCCGCATCTCGAAGTGCAAGTGGAACGAAAGGGCGGAGATTTGCATCAGCCTTCCGAAGTCGAAATCACTTCGCCGGACGGAAAACGCTTGGAAATGGTGTATTTTGGTCCGGGAGAGGAAATCCAGAGTGTTACTTTAAAAGATGTTGCCGGTGTTGCACAAAAATCGGGAAAGAGTATCATTCGATTGTTTCTCAATAATTCCCATTTCGCGCAACTCGCGCAGCCGAATTACGCTATTGTCCACATCAAAAAGCAGATCAGCCTTACCATGCTTTCGCCGGTCGGAGGTGAGTAATTACAATTTTTGTTTTTTAACTAACACATCAACCAACCCAAACGGTAGAAAATATACGTTTTAATTTTTCAGGGACGCTGACGGCCAGTGATATTATTCTGCTGGGAAACGAACCAGGGAATTTGGCAGCATACGAACTACCTGGTGGTTCTGTTAAAGGCTGCACGAACTGTCCGAACGATATCGTTGAACTGAAGCTGATGCCCGAGAATAATGTGCCGAGTAACAGCCGCCCCATGTATTCACGGACTTCCGACGAAATGGAAATGCAGCAGTATGACTCCACTGGGATGGCGGAGAAGCAAGCCGAGGAAGCCGACAAAAATGATAAGCGAAGTTTTATACCCAAAGGAAGTGTGGACGAAAAAAGTGCCGATCAGCAACCGGTTTTACGTGGTGGAAATAAATCCAGCGACCGAAAACCGCCAAATCCGCCAACAACAAGAAGCGCGCAGTATTTGTTTCCAAATGGTAAGAAGTTGGAATTAGGTGTTAATTAAAACTGACATCACATAACGCATCTAATATGCCATATTCTTACACCGATGCTGTTAGGCTTATTTGTACCAAGCACAAGTACTAGTACAGATAATTATAATTTATAAGTACGAACGCACGGTATAAATAGGCTTTTCCATAGGTCACAAGTTTATAATATAAGTCAACTCATATCAATTGAACGTTTTTAGTCTCTTACATTTCTTTTGCCAAACCACATTACGAAATCGTGGAACCACTAACCCCAAGAACCGTACAGTGGCTTAGCATCCCAATAGTTCGAACCGGGAATCTGTCGAGAAGCGACATTGTTCGTGTAATCACAAAAGATGGATCAGCCAAAGCCGGACCAGACTACGAAGCCATCGATACAGGTAAGTCCGTGCACGTAGACACTCCGATGCCCTTTGGCCTTTCTTATATTCCTACAAAGAACTTGTCGCTAGCAGTTCATGGTTACGGTCTTGAATTCTGACGGAGCAGCTATGCTGGTCCCTTAGTAATTCGAAATTGTTTTACAGTGATCAACTTCGGGGTAAATCGCAGTCAGGAGGTGATCCAGATTAGAATCGTATACGATGAAGTGCAAGAAGTTCGAGAAAATTTTACGGTCAATCTGTACGCACTGAAACGTACCGGAGCGATAATCGAGGATGGTCTGACGGTCGTTACCATAGAAGAGCAATCAGGAGAGAATGTCCGTTTTCCTGGAGCTCCGTTGGTCGTTGTAAGTGATTATATAAGTGCACTCGATTATGGGTGTTTGCTAATACCAAATATTGTGCGCGGCTTATAGATCCTGTCCCATTTTTGTTTCTAGAGTCTGGAAACCTACGACACTCCTGCTGCAGGAGGCTGGGTGGCTGCCGGACAACCGGTGGTCTGCATAACGGTAAATACGTTACTGAATTACATTTCGTAATGACCTCTGTTGAAAGCTGCAGCGCGGTATTTGCACAATAAACGGTTTCATATAAAATACTTTTTATTTTTTAACTTACTTATATTTCCGTTGCACATATACTGTATCTTACAGACCTGTAATCCCGTCCATCCGGATTATGATCGCACACGCTTGATATGTGAACTGGAAAGCATCGATGATTCTCAGACGATATACGAATGGAAAGTCTCTCATTCGCTGGGCATGAACGCGCTCAGTTTTGAGCCGCTGCAGCATCTTCGCAGTTCGGCATTTTTCGCGGCACTGAATGCTCCTGTTCTGGACAGTATCTACTTTGCTAATGGTAAAAAACCTAAGCATATGCTAAGCAATGTCAGTGTTTTTAAATGTCTGCATATGGTATTTTAGGAAGTGTCATTCAGTGCTCCGCCCGAGCAGTTACCAGCAAAGGTCACGGAGGTTTCGAAACAACTAGCGATTTGGTTACGGCGGTCAATCTGGATGCCAGATGCCCATATTCGAAAATCTCCCACAATGCTGTCAATGTTGATGCGTACGAGGCGGCTACTTCGCATACAAGTAAGAAAAATCTGTCCTATTATTTTGAAACATGTGATTTTGACACAGCGGCATATCGCAGTAAAATGAAAGAGTTTACCTAACTATAAAATATTGTGAGCAACAGATGAAACAACTGTTTTTCTGCCTGTCTAGAAGACGGTAAAATTAAAGTAACGGTCAGTATCCCACACCGTGTCGGTCTGGTTCCACTGGTATCCACAACCCCGATTATGGATTTACACATGGTGCTGTTTAACGAAGGCACCCGAGTGGCCGAGCATCCCTGCTCGAATATGCTGTCCAGCAATGAAGTCCGCACACAAGACGGCTTTCTCAAACACTGGACAAATCACGATAACCTTACGGCGCACCAGTTTGACGACAAATTACGCGGCAATCGAACGGTAGAGTTTTATCGCAATTTGAATCTGCGGAATTGTCGGTGGACATTTATTAGCACCTTCACCACATCGGAAATTACCAATGTTTGTGGAGGCAAACTACTGACAGATAGAATTGTAAGAGCGCTGTTTTTCCCAATGTCACTATCATAAATGGGTTATCAATTTCTTGAGTGAATTAATTCAGGTGCCACCGACAACAAGAAGGGAAGTGTCGATGCAGTTGCCGCTGTATATAACGTACGCGTATTTCACGAACTCAATTGGACAACCATGGAAGCATTTCGATCAGTCGACCATTCTGGATATCGTGTATTCTTATGACAGCGTAATGACTGCTTGGTCACCGGATAGTGCGCTGTTAAGTCCAGTGCAAATGGTCGAACCGGAAGTACCGAAATTTCCAGGTTAGACATTATAACATATCACATAAAGGGCAGCCACTATGAGTATATGGAAAGTTTAGCGGCCTCTGCCTAATTTTCGTGCAATTATTGCAGCGGATATTAAATTGCTTCACGTTAAGGTCGTGGACGGAGGAACAAAACTTCACGTTCGTTTTAAAACAAAGACTAAATTCCGTGGGAAATTTGTAACGCATTCCTCTACCGGTAAAGTTGAAATAAAAAAACGATTTAAAACATGTAAATTACTGCTGCTGACTACAACAAAAACGTTATTTATCATGCTGAATCTTAACATTTCGGATAACATTGTTGCTAATTTGCCAAATTGTGTTTTAACTTTTCAGCCTCTGCTGCAGCAAAAGCAATGTACACGTTATCACCATCAACAGAGTTCGAACTGAAGCTTCTAAGAACTCAAGACAACAGTCCATTCCCACAACAGCTGTGGCGCTTTAGTTCAATAAGGGCGATTAAGGTACGTTAACATATTTATATGAAATCGTAACCTGCACCACATAATACAATTTGTAATAATTAACATTTTAAAAGAGTTACTTCGCCGACGCTTGCACGAGATCGTTAATATTACAGCGCGAGTAATTTTGCAGATGGAGTATATGGGATTGTACAACATCACATTACTGCCCTGTGAATTTCCACTAACATCCTTTTCATCCTGCGACATTCGTCCGCCTATAACGCTCTCTCTGAATGTGATGGAATTAACTTACAAATAAAACTGCATGTTCGTATAATTTTTCCTTCCTGTCCTGCCAAATTTTTTATGCTGTTGATCGAATACTTAAATATAAGTCTGCATGTGTGTTTAAATAATTATGGCATTTATTTCCTATTGCTCACTATCTATCAGTCGCATTCGATTTATGTACTACAGTAGTAATTGTTAAGCGGTTCGCTATTCTTAAAAGATATCCATGGAAAAAATCGGTAAGACAACGGAAGATGCGCTCACTGCGATATCTGCAGCAGAGGCAAGAACAAGAAAAAATTAAACAGTGGAAATATTTGTAAAACCATTTAAAAGTCTCCAAATTCATAAAACTTTTTTGAATCGGATGTGCTTGCATGTATTTTGCGGAGATTAGGACGCAATGAGTATCAGTGAAGTAAAATAAATTATACCGCAGTTTCCGATCCCGGACCCATTATCAGCGCCGATACCGCAAATAAAAGAAAGACGAAGCCTCCGACAATGGTCACTACAAATACAATAACTGCTTATTTCTTTCTTTATAACTCATCGCACAAAATGCACCTGTCCGAGGCGATATCTTCGTGGCAATAAAACGACCGCCTATCACAGCCATAGCCGTACAAATTGAATGGCCAAGGATTCCACCGACTGTCACGCCCGTAACATCCTGCGTCATTTAGACATTCATCATTACTGCACTTAAGCACCCACATCAAGGAGCAGACTGACGCCGTACCTCCCGTGCTCCAAGAATGATTGTTGCTAGCTGGGAACGGTCTCCCCATTCCGCCAAAAATGTCAACGTCAAAGCCTCGACGAATACATGTGACTGCATAGCAATTCGGGTTTTCCGAAAGGCAAGCGAGCGACCATGACCGGCTTCCACGTCGGATACTGACGACTGTTGCATCTTCCGTTCAAATTCCTCTTCGCGTCGTTTCAAATCAGCTTGCACTTCCTCCATTTCTTCCTGACCTTCATCTTTGGACATATAGTATCCTGGAAATGAGAAAAAATAAAGAATGCTCTTCTCAGAGTTCTTAAGAAATGTGATCAAGCATCAGAAAAACGAAACTGATAAGTTTAAATTACCTTACAAATCATTAATAAATTCGGTGCCAACATTCGTTACCGAAGAAAGAAATCGTCCGCAACGAGTATAAGTGCTCTATAAAGCAACTAACAGTGCCATTTATTATTTACCTTCTCTGAGCATCCGCAATCCAAAAATCGCAAATAATGCCGTTGAAATGTAGAACGTGTATAGGCGGGGAATAATTGTAGTCGCATATCCCAAGAATACTACGAAATCAAAGTTCAAAAATTAATATAATTTATACATATTTTATTTTTATCTTGTTTTTCATTCTAATCGATAAAACCATACCACAGTAGAGGTGCAAAAATCGCTGACTATCCAATATTTCGAAACTACATTATTACTATACCTGAAAGGATTGTCATAATGGCCAATGCCGTAATAGCTCCAGAAAACACAGTAACCCTGGAATGGCGCATAGCCATAATAGCTGCGATGAAAAACGTCTTATCCGCTATTTCGGACACAATGATCACAGACAAAGATGCGAGGAATGCGTGGACAAAGCCATGATCCACTTGTTCTCGTTTTAGAAAATATTTATCAAGGAATGAATCTTCCGCTTTCACTTCTCCAGGAGGATTTTCCATTGCCTACAAAAATTCCACATACTATTCACAGCTGTCCTGATGGTAATCCTTATTTTGTATAGAAATCTCAAGAGCTAATTTCACAGACTGCGCTTTATTGCCCTGATAAAAATTTGTAACAACCATCAAACAATGCATCATAACCGTTTACTGACTTGTGCAGGTGGAGGTTCGGCCGCCTTCGAGTCTTCCGGATCAGATCGTTCATCCGCGCTCTTGATCTGATTACTTTCTGCTCCCGAATCATTTTTGGCGAGCGCGAAGGCAAGGCACAGACCAAACAAAAATATTTTCACAATTATTTGGTAGTTGATAGTCGATGTTGGGATGCCACGTTTCCACGGCATAATCGCAGACGAGAATCTCATTATGCGTATCAACAGCCACCAAAATCAAGATCAGCGAGATACTGGCATAACCGCAGGTATCTGTACACAATTCCGGCTGCAAGTACCATGAAAGAATCTCAACAGGTAAATCAGAGCTGCCTTTAAGGCTATAACAAATAACTTATACAGCTTCCACGTAGAAGCCAAAGGAAATCAGAAGTTATCAGCATACAAACAGACAAAAGCGACAGTCCGAGGTAGAAGGCAGACCGTATGTTACAATGTCTCAGCTATTCTAGTCAATATAGCAAAAACTGTTCCAATAATACAGAAAAAATTAAGTATTCCTTTCAACATGTTATTGTTATGGAGAAAACCATTTTCTGGATCATATCGAAAAAGATCGTGGGAATCGCTTCTTTCATTGCACTGCCACAGTAGTAAAACCTAGGGCTGAAACGCTTAGTTGCAAAGTCACTGTGTGAAGACACTGTCGCGCCTTCACACGTTAACTCATCAGCAGCCAACGCAGGTGCGATTGCAATGGAGGCAGAAGAAAAAAAGTCAAGATTCTATTTGTATTTGAGTGGCAGATACATTTTTGCGCCAATCGCCTTCGAAACAATGGGACCATGGGGACCGTCGGCCATTGCGATTATTAAAGAACTTGGCAAGCGACTGAAACAACACACAGGCGAAGCGCGCTCCCATGAGTTTTTACGTCAAAGATTATCGCTGGAGATACAGCGGGGAAATGCGGCATCAGTTATGGGGACGATGGAAGGAGCGGAAAAGTTTAATGAAATCTTAATGTTGTAAAAAACTTTTGCGATGTTTTAAAGTGTTTAATTGTACGTTATACCAAAGGTGAATAAAAGACAACAAGTTGCAAAGTGACCACTACAGTACTCTAGTTTTTTTAAACACTCCGGGTTTCCAACTTACCACTTCGATTGATATTCCGCTGGAAATATCAAATTCGTGAAAACAAATATTGCCGCAAGTCGCTTTTTTGAAAAGTTTTTTTTATTTCACTTAACTTTAGGGTTACTGATTTACTCATTTTACTGACGAAACACAGGATTTTTTTACAAAACCGGTATGACTAATAACGATTTACGAGTCAGTACTTATCGACTTCAATTGGCTATGTAAGAAGTAGTATGCGCAAGGCTTACACACTCTGGTAGTCCTAACCTGCCACCACTCTGCAGTTTTTGGACCAAGAATTTGGAGGATATAAAGCCTGACAGCAAAACTGGAAGATAATCACTACTTTGATCTTATTTGAACCAACAAGGTCCATGAGATCTTGTATGGGATGATAAGTTTCGAGATCTGAGCTTTCAAAGGAAGCGATGATGATTTATTTATAATTTCAATAACCCGTTACTCGTTTTTGGTTGATTGCAAAGCGCAGACTTAAGAGGAGACCGCATTTAAAATTCGTACTCAGAAGAGCAACTGTCAAAATGGCTTATCTGCGTAAAATTAGAATTTCGGTGTGAGTAAGTATCGGAATCTATCGCCATGTCCCTCCGGAGTGTGATAGCGTAAAATTATTGCTGATACAGAGTCGGTATTCGGTGGAATAGTTTTGTTGTTTTGTCAGTTGTTCAGAAAATACTATATTTGGCGATAAAAAATGCAACAGCCAGGTTGATTAACAGTTTAACAGTTGGTTTGTAAATTTATTGTTATTGACACTGAAATGCGGTTACATATTATAATCTACCAAGCTATGGCTATCGTACACACTCAGCACATAACTTTACAGGCCAAGCTGAAGCAACTTCAAAAGACGGCTGCTCCTAGTGTGAGTCAAAGTTGCCAAACAAACTATAACATAAAAGCGATGGAACACGGCAAGGTGTAGAGTACTGGTGTAGTACCACAAAGTTGCATGTGCTGTGAACGGAAAGTTTGTGCAGCTTTTATTACACAAACAATGTTGAATTATTATCCTGGCTTCACTTGGACCTGAAATTTGGGTGTTAACGTTGTTGTTTAGTGTTTGTATATCAAAACGGTATTCTAATGAAAAGAGAATGAAGAGCCAATATCTTCTGATATTCTAACTCAATGTACCATTTTTTCTCCGTGGCATCCTGCTTACATTGCTAAGTGCATAATAACCGCTCACTTGTCAGGGTGGTCATGACGCACATGTTCTTCGTTATCACTGATAAAGAACTTCTAAAAACAGAGAATAACCAAGACCAGCAGGTAAGGTTTCTTTTTCTCTATAATTCTGGGAATTTAAATTGTAATTGAATGACCACAACGAAAAGTACAGTACTATTAATATTTTATCGTTAGTGTTTGTACTCGGTACTGTACATGTATGTACAAACAAAACTATTAATATATTTTTAAGAGGAGACAATCATTAAGCTTCGTTTTTATAGTTTTAGTTTTATCATTTATGTACGAGTACAATGTTATGTGTATTATACATCAGTTATCTGAAAACAAAACCGAAGTATAGGTCTTATGGTTAATTGCTTATGCAAGTCAGCAAATCACCGTACGCGGTCTGACGGTACGTAACATTTGCTACTACAGGTATTAGAATCGCAAGTGAGTTACAGGCTATTTTAGCCTACTGTATATCTATACTTCTATAGCAAATGACCGTTTTTTTTTTGTATCTGTTGTATGTACGTATATACTATATATCTATATAGATATGTACAACTCTGTTTTTTAATTCAACTTACCGTGGAGCTATTGAAATGTCTGGCGTGGGTATGGCCAAAGCCCAAGGCCGGTAGTAATCCCATAACACCGCTATATTATGAAAAATCGGACGGCTGAAAACCATACTTCCGGTCACGTTGACAGGATATCTTGTATGCACATCCTTCTTCCAACAAAACCCTGATTGCAAGCCGTGGCGCATTTGTTACGTTATGGGACATCAACCGAAATCAGGACTTGGTGCCGGAAATTCGTTCACTGAAGACCCCGGTTAACGTTGGGTAAGAAAAGCCTTGTACGCTCATCTGTTCGCAAAGATGACATCACACACTAAAGTCACAAACTATGCTTTAATGATTTACAACTACCATTCACTGCCTTTACAATATGTATGTACTAGCGCACGGCTAAGATAGTAAGAAAGTAATAAGAAGATGAGATCTTATCGTTAATAGTCGTAAAATAATAACAGTGTTTATAGTTTTAGCTTCCTTTTATTTGTGGTGGGCACATACGCACACAACACTTCACCATCAATATGTCTTGGCCAAAGTTGTACGTACCAGTTGTGCATATTTTTTCGTAGATCTGTTCGGATGTGTGTGGGTGTTTCGGATGTGGAAGTAACGTTTCTTGAAGATGACGTCTGCGGTCTGATTGTAATGTTTGGGACTGCAGTGGACGGCTTTAATTCTGTCAATGATGCGGGAGCCGGTAAAAACCTTCTTCGCACGATTCACACAATCCTCAGTTTTTCGGCATCAAATATAAGAAGGTTCATTTTCTCGTTTATTTTTTTCCGAATTAGCAGTATGTACAATCAGATCGACACCTTTTTTTGTAATCAGGAGCCTGGAAGAAGTGATGGTTCGCAGTGACCTCGACGGAATGATTATCTGTGCATTGTATCGAGTGAGCGCGAATTCCGGTGACAGATATACAGTGCACGATATCCAATGGTCCCGAATTATTCCGTCCTACAAGAAAGATACAGAAATGGTGGGATACCCTTAATGTATAATCTTCTGAACAGTTTTCCACAGTAGTGACTCATTGCAGCAGGATATGCTGGAGCGAGAAATTATGCATTTCGAAGCAGCAGAATACTTGGATGATGTGCGTATTTGTACATTTGAATTATGCATGTTGTGTTTAATTTCTTAATAAGTATGACTTGACGAATTTGCTTGTAGCAGTTTTAGCTTGTTTTGCTTCTAGGTTTTTCGGTTGTTCCCGAGACTTGAATGCTACGTTCTGGGAGCCTGCTTATATCACAAAGTAAGGATACATATCATTGTAAATAGTGAGTTGTTTGGTTTGCATGGGAATGCATACCTAGTAGCATGGAGATCTTTATGTAAAGCCCTAAACATTGCCGTTAACAAAACAATGCAAAAAGATTGGTCTGTCTGTACTTCATTTTGAATTGATAGCATTTTATATGCGACATAATATTCTTATTATATATTCTGATATTTAATGGAATGTTCAAATGTTGTGACATTTTTAGCAAATGCTGATGATTAACCATCTTTCTGCTCCCCTTCATGATCCGGTGTACAAATATCTGCTTCTTCATAAGAATGGCTTTCGCAGCGAAAAGGATCTCGACAGTAAGGATAAAAATTTAAAAACAGCTGTCTTGGCTGTCCATGTACATACTACTTACTTGACAATGAGTTGAAATTTGGAATTATTAGCTTGGTATGGCTCATTAGTATAAATGAGGACATTGTGTCGTATTAAACTTTATAATAAATAGAACAACACGTGATAAAGTGTTACCCGAAAAACGTTGGGATAACGGCAAATGACGGCGCATCTTATTACCTTTTGTGGACAAGTTCGGTATGTGTTGAAAATGCGTAGTAGTATTTACTTATTACATTTTACAGGTAGAAGTATTTACGATTCATAAGTTACGAATATTAAATACAACACCACAGCATAATTTTATTTTCTTATTGTTATTTAATTATTATGCCGATATTATTATGGATTCCAGGAGAATCTCCTGCTGTGCTGCCTCTTGGAAACGTACGGAACAGGGTACTACTGTAAAGCGAAGTTGAACCATTTCTAATCCACTTTATAGTTCGCTTTCTTGGATTAATAATAAGATGGATTTCGTGTGTTCTGGTCAAGAGATACCTAACGTGGTCAAATTAGCTTAATTTCTTGTGCTTCGAACGATATGTTTAGCATTGTCTACGATTGTCCATTTTGTTGGATTCACGAGTATTATATATCTATTATTGCAGAGAAAGCGCTGACGTGATGCTTTTTGGAACTATTTTATCCTCGATGCGTACGCTGATTGGAAAGCCAGATGTGCGCCAAAAAGCAGCGGAAGTGGCAAATAAGTATTTATATAATTTATTAAAGACTGCTTGAACGTAAGTTGTCCTACTATTACTTGTCTTTCTTTTATTTTGGTTATGTCTACAGTTCCTTTGGTCGGTTCGCGCAGCATTCAAATCGCTCCAGTTTTGACCAAGGTAATTGCATAGCTTATTATTGCCTTTTTCCTTTTGTTATTAAAAACTGATATTTTGTTTCAGATAATTCAGATATTTAATTTCAGTTAATATTTTGTATAAGATATATTGCTGTCTGTGTTTCGTTTCAGATAAAATGGTAACTGGAACCTTGGTGCGTACCACTTCGGCTCCAAATGTGGCACAAAAATTCACTCTGGTGAACGAAAAATCCCATGGACAACGCCCAGCCAGCCTTTCCCAAGCACCTCGTTTATTCTCAATGTCTTCGGAAAATCTGACTGTATGGCTCACTGTATATTTATTCAAATAAGTTGCTTTTGATTAGGAATAAGTTTGGTTATCAGTTGTCATATGATAAGTTTTACGATCGTTTAAACTTCTATTCCTCCTGGTTGACCTTTTGCAGCGCCAAGCAATTGCCGGTGCAGAAATTAACTCAAGGCGAAGGTAATTATTCTGAAGCGTTGCCGACATTTATAGCAGACAAGTCACCATGATTTGCCTAATATGAATAATATGAATAACTTCTTTCCGGCTTTTGCTACTCTGCAGATCCGGGATAATATTTAGTGTAACCATCAGCGGGAAGTCGCAGTCGATGGTTTTGGAATCTCTCATAGACGAGTACAGCCGTAATTCATTTCTTCCACCAAAGCTATTCGACGATTTTATCCGACATATTCCCATATTACGGAACTTATTTACGGTAGAAATATTATTAACCCATGACTTAAACTAGAATTCTGTAACGATATACGTACAAATAAGCAGCTCGTTTTTTAGAGCACCTTATCGCATTCGGAAGAAATCACGCTTCTTCTTGAATATCCATCGCCGTCGCTTTTCAAGCGGTATTGGATATCGGGGTACTAAATGCTTAGTTTAAGTTTTCGTTTGCATTTAACGTGATTCCATATAAGCACAAGTTCGGGAATTCATGCTTTTCTTATTGGGTATAGCCGGATTTTGGATAATCCACTACGGGAAATATTCCTGTGTTATCAAGAAGGATCGGAAACCGCGGTTGCACTAGATTACCTGATGAAAATGTGATTATATTTTGTTTTTTTATTTTTGTGCAATGATATGAAGGCGAATAACTGTAGTTATAGTGAACAGCAATAAAACAGCAATAAGAAAAGTGAACGGAACGGTTTACGTAGCAATGTTTCCAAACGGAACGACGGAACAAAAACAAAATAAAAAGAGCTGCATGTAAAGTTGTAAACTATAAGAAACCGGAAACAACAAACGCGCATTTGATGCTTCAAACAGGTAGCTGCGATGGGAATTCCGATTGACGCGCATTGTAGCTATTATTAATTAATCGTCAGTACATTTACCAGTAATGAATTCAAAAACAAAAAAATGCCGCGAAAGTAAAGCTGTAATTCCGGTATTGCATGACCCCTGTATTGTGCCACAATCGGCCATACCAACCTTTAGTAACGCCGCAAGAATTTTTATTTTTGAAATTTTTGCATTGTATCTTTAATAAAAAAACGAAATCAGGAAACGACAAAAGAACTGAATGGGTTTTCGATTGTGTACCCAGTGACGTATGCATGGTTGTCGTTTGTGTTCTCGAGTCTCGTATGATTCCGAATCTACACACGGTGATCGTAACTTAAAATACCATTATTTAAAAGGCATCAATTTCATATGTACACAGTACATTCTGTACATACAGTAGGCTTATCTTATTTCAGCTGTTATTATTAACAACCGTGACTCGCGTTCATTAGTGCTTCCACGAGCAATAGCCGCCTGTGGTTGACCCATTTAATTATCGTTTTGTTTGGAACTTTGGACTGTTTGCTGTGAACCAATGAGTGACACTGGGAGTGGAGCTCCTTCAGCACCAGCGCGTGCCAAACGCAGCACACCACCAGTGTCTGCACCACCGTCTTCCGTATCCAGCAATCCTGGCTACCAAATGAAACCCGATTATCCTCCGAATCCCTTTGCATCCCGCAATCAACCTCCACCTGTCCGTCGACCGAGCGACGATTCTGTATCCTCGCTGACGGCATTCCAGAGCGGCAGTAGTCTTGCTGAGGTTGGCACCTACAAGACGGAGAGCGTGCATACGCTGGCTAGTCGCTTCGACAAGGAATCCCTCACTTCGGGAGGGACGCCTGGAACAGCGCGCAGTACAGCGTCTGCTCCTTCGACCAAGAGTTCGTCTTCCAGCTCGCTGTCGGCCAGCGGGGAGGGATTGATGATGATGGCCCGCGATCCGAGAATCAGTTTTAACGATTTCACCAACAGCTTGCCGTTAGTGGAGGGCGAAGCAAAAGTGGACAGCTTGTACTGTCCGCATGTGCAGTACAGTGATCCGTATTCAGAGACGACAAAATCGGGCAAGCTCACCGTGACGAATTTCCGAGTGTTCTTCGAAGCCAGCCCGGATACCAGTGCTTCTTTTGAGATTCCTTTATCGAATATCCAAGTTATCGAAAAGCTTAGCAGCGGCTCTGGAAATCGAGGAGATAATTCTTTGAAGCTGCGGATTTTATGCAAAGATTTGCGAAAGGTAAAAGCGCTGTAACTAACTGGCACAAAAATTGCAAACGATTTCTTTGAATGTTCTGGCTTGTCAGTGCAGAAGTTCGCAGTTTGCCAGCCATTGTCAGAGGAGTTTGCAAACTGTTTTGATTTACGTATTGGTGTGGCTGATATTGCAGATTTCCGATTACCTAATTGTGTTTTCTCATCATTCCTGCCTGCAGTAACGTTGTCACGATAGTTTATTTGATCTTTATCGACAGGTTCATATCTTTGCAGATTGTCTTAAGTTTGCCCAAAGGATCGGAAAAGGCTTCGTTGAAAAATTTTGTGGATGATCTGAAAAAATACGCTTTTCCAGTAACTTACAAGGGGCAGCTGTTTGCATTCAGCTACAAAAGGGATTATAAAAAGGAACACGATGGATGGGTACTGTACGATGCTAGAGCGGAATATAAACGCCAAGGCGTACCCAATGACATGTGGCGGATTCCCGACATCAACCTAAAATACGGATTATGCGAAACTTATCCCGCGGTAATTGCTGTTCCGAAGGAAGCATCAAATGAGCTGCTACATAGTGTCGCAGCATTTCGCAGTCGATCTAGGATACCCGTTCTGTCGTGGATCCATCCGGTGAGCCATGCCACGATCACACGCTGCAGCCAGCCGATGGTTGGACTGAATGGTCGCCGGAGTAAGGACGATGAATATTATGTGCGCCTGATTCATGAGGCGAATCCGGTGTGTCCACATCTGTGCATTATGGATGCACGTCCTCTTGCGAATGCAGTTGCTAATAAGGTTAGCTGACTTCACTGCGAAATAAACGTCACTTTCGTGAAGGTCGTTTTTATGCGCCTGGAAATTTCTGGGCGTAAACTACTAAATTACTTAACCGTAGCCTCAGAAAATCCCGATAAGAATTATTTGCCTAAATTGATACGTTCTTGTCAATGATTTCTGCTGATTATGATTTAGGCGAAAGGTGGAGGTTATGAAACAGAAGAAAATTATCCGCACACGGAGGTGCTCTTTTTGGACATACACAATATCCATGTCATGCGAGAGAGTCTCCGTAAAGTGAGAGAAATGTGCACGCCGAAGATCGAGGATCCTAACCATTTCTTATCGAACTTGGATGAGAGTCATTGGTTACACCATATCAAGACTGTGCTTGCCGGTGCTCTCAGAATTGTGGATAAAATTGAGAATTATAAGTGTTCCGTTCTGGTGCACTGCAGCGATGGATGGGACCGTACGGCGCAGTTAACTGCTTTAGCGATGATTATGTTGGATCCTTACTATCGTACCATTCTCGGATTTGAAGTTCTGATAGAGAAAGAGTGGGTCAGTTTTGGCCATAAGTTTGCCCACGTAAGTGTCGAAATCTTTTTCACCCATGTAAACTGAAAATATCCGTGAAACTTGTTTCTAGCGAATTGGGCATGGCGAAGAAAAAGCGGATTCCGATCGATCGCCGGTATTTCTGCAGTTCATTGACTGCGTATGGCAGCTAACACAGCAGTACCCAAATTCCTTTGAATTCAGTGAAAGGCTTCTGATTGCCATTCTGGATAATCTTTTTAACTGTCGATATGGAACATTCCTTTGCAATTTTGAAAAGGAGATACATGAAAAGGTTTGTAGTCATGCGCTGATCCTGCTTTTATGTTGTGACTCGTACTGCAAGGTTTACTGTGGTTCATTATTTTTCTTTTTTATTTAGGGATTACGCACAAAAACAAAATCCCTTTGGTCGTTCATTAACTCTAATTTGAACGATTACCGAAATCCGTTCTATCTTTCCGATTCAGAAGAATCGACGAAAGCTAATGTGTTATACCCGCTAACCACACTTCGTTACCTACAACTTTGGCTTCGCTATTATGCTCGGTGGGATCCTTCTACAAGACTCCAGGAACCGATGGAAGAACGTTATCATCAACTGTTATATGCCCTAGATAAGCTGACCGAGCTAAGAGATAATTTAAAGAAAGAAGCAGCCTCAAAAAAATCTAGGATGGCTTTTAATCAAGGTACCTCGCCTTCCCATGTAAACCATGTTTAAAGGGCACTGGTCATTTGCTGGGTAGTTGCTGATATTAAACTTTTGGTTTTCGAACGTAGAATGTATATACGTTTTGCTGTTATTTTGTATTTAGTGGAATTTACTTTGTTCTGTCTGAATATTTGCCTTAGCGTAAATTAACAAGACACTTCTGTACTTGCTTTGCACCACTGCTGTAACTGGGACTGATGCATTCGTTCAAGATGACGTCTAGTGATGATCCACGAAGAAAATACTGAAAAATAAATTCTGTTTGTTATTTATTTTTAACCACCTAATGTTATTGAGGACATCGTCATATCGCTGTTAACCGCTGTTCTTATACAAAAGTAAGGAAGTTCTGCTTTATGGTCGAATAAAAGGCCGAAAGTTGAATAAAGCTTGAGACAGAGTAAATACTAAATAGCACGTCGGATAAAGTCGTTGAAGCTCAAAAGATGCGTAGGAGCTGAAAGTGGTTAGTAGTAGCAACTCGGTAGTAGTTTGAAGTTTTACATATACATCACAGTGCTCGTCAAACATCTGGAACGGCGAGAAAAAACATTTTATAATTTTTTAAAACTGGCAAAACTGTTAGCCGGAAAGGAAGCAAGTACGGGCCAAGGATACGGGAACTGGAAGTACGAGTACATAACTTTATACCAAAATGAAAGTCGTAAGCAACCGCCTGTGCGGCGCGCATGTGAATCGGTAGACCGCTAATTCAAAATTTTTAGTCTTCGCACTCTTTTGGCTTTGAATTTTCTATTCTTTTTTCGAAGTTTGTTGTGCTCGTACCGAAATATCACTTAAGAAGTTACGAAAAACTAATAAACAATAGAATCAAAAATCTCGTCGCCTTTATTCTGTACTCAAGAGTTTTGTGCTTCAAATAGTGCTCAAGAGTTTTGTGCTTGTGTTTTGTTTTGTTTTGTGCTTCTTTTATTAAAAGTAAGGTGTCTGCGTAACGGAAGTTTCGTTTTTTGAAATGCCTCCGACGTCTGCTCCGGGAACCATTCTCACCAAACTGGCGTTGACGAAAAAAAGGTAAGTATTGAACGTTTGTTCGCGAAGATTTGTTCTTTGCTGTTAAGCAGAACTGTATAAGCAAAATACTAAACATTTGCTGTCCGATGCTTTTGTTTCCTGACTTGCCTGAGATGCTAAGCCTGTGTCTTTTCTAGTCAACCAGCTCCAGAAAGTATTCGATGCCAAAAATGCTTACAAAAAGGTAAGAAATCACGAAAGTTTATTGTTTAGCTACTTTACATAGTTTATTAGCTCTAAAGAAAATTTTCAGCTCCAGTTGTTATTTCCTTCCTTTTCAGAGCTCGCAGATGGATATGACATTGATTTAGCGAATACCGTATTAAATACGAGTATAAATCATAATAATAGTGAATTTGGTATAACATTCAAAAAACGTTGGATGATTTTTATTTTTTTCGAATTGTCAGTTTATTTGGTTTTATGAAACGCGAATGTACATATTCGTGATAGTTTTTGTACGGTTTACTTATATTTTGTTGCTGTTAATTAATTGATAATTTGATATAGTTATTTTGCAGGGCATTGGACGTATCAGTGTGATAAACCTGCTAAGTATGCGTCGCGTCCATCCCGAACGACAGAGTTGAAGAAAAGCGTCAAACAGCTTGAAGAGGAGCAAAAAATTGCTAAACTCAGTAAACTGTAAGTGCTGGAAAACTGACTAAATAAAAGACCAACAGCAGATTTGTTTTTGAAAAAGGATTGAGTACGACTCGCATACTTAGCAGGTTTATCACACTGATACGTCCAATGCCCTGCAAAATAACTCGTACTGTACGAGTAAGCACTGGTCATATGTTCTTTAAAAGTCGCTCCTGACGAAGTAGCGAGATTCCGATTTTTTAGTTTGAGAGAACTTCGACTAAATTCTTCCGTTGTAAGAGTATGAGTAATGGAACTCTATAAACTTTAATTCCACGAATTCTTCAGAAAGGAACTTGCTCCACAAAAAAAACGACAGAAAAATTCATCGTCCGAATCCGACTCCAGTGGTCCGGATTCTTCTTCTGGATCGTCTGACAGCGACAGTTCATCCGGTAGTAGTTCGGAATCGTCATCGGAATCTGATCGAAAGAAGCTGGTTAAGAAAGACAGAAAGCGCTCGAAAAGGAATCCCTCATCGTCTTCCGGATCGACGTTGGGCTCTGCGGACATGGCCCAGGAAGCTGATTCCGAAGGGGATTAGTTGCTTAACAGACTTCCGGTTTGGATAATTTTGCTGATTCTTTTTCTGTGTTTCCTTGAAGTGCGGCTTAATTTGTTTGCTTATGGAAATAAACTTATCTTTTGAGATTTATCCGACGTCCTGCTCCTAAACTCTGTTTGTTTATTCCTGTTTATTTACTTGCTTCAAGCTTTACTCGACTTTCGGCCTTTTATTCGACCATAAAGCAGAACTTTCTGGCTTTCGTGTAAGAGCGCCAGTAAGGAACAAGGACGTAGAAAAAAGGGAGCCGCACCAAGCAAAAATTACCTATACACAGCATAACGTTCGCTACATACTGTAACCAGCCACTGATGTGCTTAATTATCCAACGGATTCGGTTTTAGTGCGTACTGTGTAGATAATACAGCGGATTTCACTCATTTCAGTTTGTTGTTCATGTTTGTTTAGTAGAATTAATTTCATTGTTACTGTAGTTTGTTATAATTATGTTTGTGTTCAAAACGGTCGACGCCTTTTACTAGTGTTACGCAGCGCACAACTGCAAAGCACGGTAGCCATGTTTAACACAAATGCCAGAAAAGGAAAACCAGTATTGAATAGAAACAAAATCGGATCGCTCTCGACAGGAACAAGTACGCAAAAAAAACGCAGCCGCACTTAGCAAAAAGTACCTATACATAACGTTCGCTACATAACTAGCCACTGAGCTACTGATGTGCTTGCTTGCTTATTACAGTTTAGCCAGACCACTTACAAGTTACAACACGAACAGGAATACCTCAATAATCCTTCCATGAATATAAACAGTAAAAATTACAGATTAGGGCAGAAGCTGTGAAGATCAGTTAGAGCGAGGTTCATGAGTGAGGACGCGCATGAATTATCGAAGCGTTAATCAGCCTGTAAAACAGAAAATGTACGAAAACGCCTTAAATCTGCCTACTACAAAACACGGGCAGTCCTCAACTTTCCGAATTTCTCTCGCTCCACACCTGTGTCACGGTTAGTTTCCCTAACAATGTACCGTGAGCAGCCGTCGACTGTCGTTAGACCTTTTGAGCTAACATAAACTCTAAGGATGGATAAGAACGTTGAACGTACCTTGCTGAGCGTCATCGGGCTTTTCCGTCTGAGTATTCTTGGCTGCAGCCCCCTCCGCTTCTGCCTCCTTGGATTCAACTGGTTTCGCCTCTTCCGTGGTGCTGAGTCTGCGTTTCTGGTCTTTCAAAAATTCCTTCAAGTAAGCCGTCAGATCGCTCAGTCCTTCCTGAATTTTGTAAAGTCCTTCATTCATTTCCTTTCGTCCTTCACTCATTTCCTTTCGCAACGAGCCCATGCCTTGGCGAAACTCCATCTGCAATGCCAATGGGCTCAAATCCTCCTGCGCAACGCGGCCGGGCGCGATCGACGAGGGGCCGCTGTTGGGCATCTTCTCACTCGATGACGACGACGACGACGACGAGGTACTGGCAGGAGGAGGCGTACTGTCGGTCGGTGGCGTGCTTATGGAGGGGCTGGTGTTGATAAAAACCTCGAGAGACTGTCCCGATTCTGAACGTACTAAAATTAAAATCTTCTGTAGTACCGTAGTGAAAGGATATAATTATAGGCTTGCAGTTGAGTCAGTTGAAAACTTTATAATAAAACTTGCCAATACTACAGTGTCGTACGAGCAGATATACTAACAGTGCGAAGTATCGTTTGTGGCATTTAACTAAATTTGTCTGAACGCAGCACGGGATAACATACCGGGCGGTGAGCAGACGACAGGCAGTACTGACAATGCACTTTTACTCAAATGTGACTGCTGCTTAGGTAATTGCAAATTTTAAATATTCAAAAATCTTTAACTTTGTTTGTTCTTAAGCAAAAAATTGTATCCATAGGCTTGAAAATACATAATAATATATACTTTTTAGGCAGTATGCATGGAGTTATTTATTTTGATTGCAGAGTAATGATATGACTCTCGCAGTTAACATAGTCTTCTACGAGAAAGTAGAGAAAAGCCAGCACCAGGTCTGCCATAGACGGGTATGCTAATTTCTTATCGCCATAACACTGCTTTGGCACGAAAACAAAAAAACTGCATTCATACTGCCTAAAAGTAAATATTATTATAAATTTTTCAAGCCTATGGACAATTTTGCCCAACAAACAAAGTAAAAGATCTTGATATTTAAAATTTGCACGAATAACAGCAGTCACATTGAGTAAAGCATTGTCAATACTGCCAACCTGCTCACCGCCTCGGTACGTATCGGTGCAACTCAAACAAATTTTAAAATTGCACAAAACGCCACTAACAATATATCTTTCTTCACCTCTCATCCCACAATTCAGATCGTACAGTACTAGTACAAAAGTGCTGTCGAGTGCAGGGTTTAACTCTGCAGTACGTATATTTTATACGTGCTGATCGCAGCATGTGGAATGCCCAGGCCCCAGGGTAAGGCCCGGACCAGACATCGGTCTAACTTGTTCGGTCGGCTACAGTGAGCTTACTTCAGTTTAAATCCAAACCCGAACACATTTTTACCGTTTTTGAAATGGAACTGATTTGAAATAAAATTTGAAACTTAACAAATAATTTATTTCTTTATATTTTGTTTGAAAATTTTTCGTTCTTAAGCGATGGAATGAATCAGATCGGAATCATTGACCTTACGGTTACCAACATACCGCGTCATCTCCATCTGCATTCAGCTCGTGATCATCGTGTGCGTTGTTGTTGAATTCAGCCATAATCCGTGGTAGTTACCAATATGTAAAATTATAGAACTAAATAATGCACCGAAGACGTGGCCGGAAAAATTTTCGACAGCTGCAGAACCTGTATTTACACTCAAAAACAGGGATTGGAAACAGACTGGACGTGCGCGCGACGAGTCTGACGGTTAAAAAAATCGCATGTGAGGGAAAAACGGATGAGCGATGCAAGAAGGCTCTCGAATCTTGACCCTCGTACAAAGATTTTAATCTCGACCAATAAAAATAGCTGAAGTATACGTATTGTACGTTTGGTGTAGCCTAAACTTGAATGCAAAAGCACGAATACAGTGGTGCAAAAAGTGGTCAAATATTTGTTAATAAATCTAGATTTACAATAAACCATATTGACCAATTACGAATAATCAATAATCGTACTCGCAGGGTATCAGATCTGATACCCTGCGAGAACGATTATAATATCTCTGAAAACTTCAAAAAATGTACTCGTACTCTGATTTAACGACGGTTTTATTCTCGTCACAATTAACGAACTTTTAACGAACACAAGGTTATAACCTTGTAATTACAGACTTCCGTAGTCTGTAATTACGACTTCATGCTAGTTATGGCAGCTTCAAAGGCGGCATCCATAAATTACGTAACGCAAAAATTCGACATTTTGATACCCCCCCTCCCCTATGTCACCAGTGCTAACAAACTCAGATCCCCTCCCCTGAGCGCTACGTAACAAATTTAGAACCCTCCATAGATATAGCATGGTGACGTCAGAATCATAACAAAGTTTTTAATACCCCCCTCCTTTGTAACAACAGTAACGCTTTCAGGACCTCCCCCTCCCCAACTTGCGTGACGTAATTTATGGATGCCGCCTTATACCAGCACTAGCTGAGAAGTTTATACAGGCCCCAGGGATATTAGAGTATGGCTGGTTACATTTTGGTTACAACAGTACTCGTATCCCATAAAAAAAAACCTAGACACTGTAAATAATGAGTTGTTTGGTTTGCATGGGAATGCATACCTAGTAGCACGGAGATCTTTATGTAAAGCCCTAAACATTGCCGTTAACAAAACAATGCGAAAAGATTGGTCTGTCTGTATTTCATTTTGAATTGATAGCATTTGATGTTCGACATAATATTCTTATTATATTCTGATATTCAATGGAATGTTCGAATGTTGAGACATTTTAGCAAATGCTGATGATTAACCATCTTTCTGCTCCCTTCATGGTCCGGTGTACAAATATCTACTTCTTCATAAGAATGGCTTTCGCAGCAGAAAGGATCTCGACAGTGAGAATAAAAAATTTAAAAAACAGCTGTCTTGGCTGTCCATGTACATACTACTTACTTGACGGCAATGAGTTGAAATTTGGAATTATTAGCTTGGTATGGCTCATTAGTATAAATGAGGACATTGTGTCGTATTAAACTTTATAATAAATAGAACAACATGTGATAAGTGTTTACCCAAAACGTAGGGATAACGGCAAATGACGGCGCATCTTACTACCTTTTGTGGACAAGTGTGGTACTTTGTGTTCGGTATGTTGGAAATGCGTGGTAGTATTTACTTATGACATTTTATAGGTAGAAGTATTTGCGATTAATAAGTTACGAATAATAAATACAACACCACAGCTTAAATCTTGTTTTCTTATTGTTATATAATTATTATGCCGATATTATTATGGATTCCAGGAGAATCTCCTGCTGTGCTGCCTCTTGGAAACGTACGGAACAGGGTACTACTGTAAAACGAAGTTGAATCATTTCTAATCCACTTTGTAGTTTACTTTCTTAGATTAATAGTATGATGGATTTCTGTGTGTTCTGGTCAAGAGATACCTAACGTGGCCAAATTAGCTTAATTTCTTGTGCTTCGACCGATCTGTTTAGCATTATCTACGATTGTCCATTTGTTGGGATTCACGAGTATTATATATCTGTTATTGCAGAGAAAGCTGACGTGATGCTTTTTTGGAACTATTTTATCCTCGATGCGTACGCTGATCAGAAAGCCAGATGTGCGCCAAAGAGCAGCGGAAGTGGCGAATAAGTATTTATATACAGTAATTGATATGAAGACTGCTTGAAAGTAAGTTGTCCTACTATTACTTGTCTTTTTATTTTGGTTATGTCTACAGTTCCTTTGGTCAGTTCGCGCAGCATTCAAATCGCTCCAGTTTTGATTAGGGTATTGCATAGCTTATTATTGCATTTTTCCTTTTGTTATTAAAACTGATATTTTGTTTCAGATAAATTGTTGTTGTGTTTCGTTTCAGATAAAATGGTAATTGGAACCTTGGTGCGTACCACTTCGGCTCCAAATGTGGCACAAAAATTCACTCTGGGGAGCGAAAAATCCCATGGACAACGCCCAGCCAGCCTTTCCCAAGCACCCCGTTTATTCTCCATGTCTTCGGAAAATCTGACTGTATGGCTCACCGTATATTTATTCAAATAAGTTGCTTTTGATTAGGAATAAGTTTGGACATCAGTTATCATATGATAAGTTTTACGATCGTCTAAACTTCTGTTCCTCCTGGTGACCTTTGCAGCGTAAGCAATTGCCGGTGCAGAAATTAACTCAAGGCGAAGGTAATTATTCTGAAGCGTTGCCGACATTTATAGCAGACAAGTCACTATAATTTGCCTAATACGATTAACTTCTTTTCGGCTTTTGCTACTCTGCAGATCCGGGATAATATTTAGTGTAACCATCAGCGGGAAGGCGCAGTCGATGGTTTTGGAATCACTCATAGACGAGTACAGCCGTAATTCATTTCTTCCACCAAAGTTATTTGACGATTTTATCCGACATATTCCCATATTACGGAACTTATTTACGGTAGAAATATAATTAACCCGTGACTTAAACTAGAATTCTGTAACGATATACGTACAAATAAGCAGCTCGTTTTTTAGAGCACCTTATCGCATTCGGAAGAAATCACGCTTCTTCTTGAATATCCATCGCCGTCGCTTTTCAAGCGGTATTGGATATCGGGGTACTAAATGCTTAGTTTAAGTTTTCGTTTGCATTTAACGTGATTCCATATAAGCACAAGTTCGGGAATTCATGCTTTTCTTATTGGGTATATCCGGATTTTGGATAATCCACTACGGGAAATATTCCTGTGTTATCAAGAAGGATCGGAAACCGCGGTTGCATTAGATTACCTGATGAAAATGTGATTTTATTTTGTTTTTTATTTTTGTGCAATAGTACGAAGGTGAATAACTGTAGTTACAGTGAACAGCAATAAAACAGTAATAAGAAAGGTGAACGGAATGGTTTACGAAGCAATGTTTCCAAACGGAACGACGGAACTACACGTAAAACAAAATATACACTACGTGGCCCCAATCTCGTTTCACTCGATTGTACAGCGGCAGGTTCATAAAAAAAAACAATAATATAAATAATTTATGAGTATCGTATTTGTAACTGTGTGCACTACTGAGCCCAACTAAATCTAACTGCAGCCTCGAGGAGGTTTATAATTTTGATTTCTAACAGCATGATTTCTAACAGAATTCTGTAGTATTGACTGAAAGTAGTCAAGTTTTTGCTATACATACAGAATTCCAGATGAGAATGAAAATTATATGTTCATTGTTGAATTAATTTCAAATAAAGCTCATTATCCAGGATGAAACGGTCGGTCTGTTTAGTGGCAGTGATAACACCAATGCCGGCAATGGCTTTATAAAAATAGGACGTTTAATCTGATGGCTTTGAAATTGAAACTTTTGTTATCGAAAATAATATAGTACATGAATAGGAGCATAGTACATGAACAGTATAGTACATAAACAGGAAAATAGTATAGTACAAAATTTTTGGGTAAAAATAATTAGCCACACTTTTGTTACCTAATCTTTTCCTATACAAAAATTGTCCTTTTTGAGAACATTATTGATTTTCCGTTTTAACTAATCCCGTTGATAGAGATTTAGAGCTCGAAAAACGTAGGGGCAATCTTTTTGAAGCCTATTGTCTGCACTTTAAGTAAGACGTAATTTAAAATATTTTTCAGGTGAAACATTATAAAGCCGATCACCTGGTAAACCACCATAACAAAGATAAGCTCTTTTTCTAGTCCAGGGTCTCAGTTTCAGACCCAGAATAAATTATCATTATAATTTAATTTGGGTCTGGAAAAGCACGTTCATAACCCTGTGTGCACTTAAGCGGTATGACATCATTCGTATCTAATAAAGCAGCCCTATCCATAAAACCGATTTTCATGATGATTTCAGCCACACTGGTATCTAAATTTTCCAAATCACGAATTTTTCAGTTCGCATAAAACACATTATTACAAATCAAAATAGTTAGCGCTTCATAAACCTATTTATTCAGCATTACTTACTTCAATTATCTTCCTACTCCAATTACCCTCAATTTGCATTTTACGTTTTCTATATTCACGCATGTATTCACGCATATTTCTTCCGATTAGAATCACCTTCCATTATTTTATTAAGGATTTAAGGATAATAATACATAAAACCATTTAACGCAGATCTCTGTGCAAGAAAACTTACTAACCCATACAGAAGCTAAAAAAACGTACTAAAGTCAAACAAAACACGGCAGCCTGAATCAGCACTGTACTAAAATCCAAACCAACCACCACAAAATAATCAACAGGAGAAAAATCTTCTTCACTGCAAACTTCTTCAAATCCATAACAGCTCACACGCAACTTCTGCTTATTCCGGAATTCCTTCTATACCTACCGAACTAAAAAAATCCGGTCAACAAACCGAATCACCCTAACACTTTCTCGAACAACTTTTTAATGTACATCGCAACCTCCTTCCCATAAAAACCACCTGTTACTAAGCATCCATAACCATCAGATCAGAACATCATGGTCTGCTCTATTAACCAATCAACTTTCTCGAACTTTCATGAATTTTTCACAGTAATCCATCACCATCCACCACCACAACTCATAACACACAACACATTCTGCTTCCTGTTACACTTCATTAAACTATGGAGTATGAACAACCAATAAGTCGAATACACATATGTCAGACTACAGTAAAATCCCCTACAACCTTCCCTCTGTTACAACATTCACCCCTTCATTATCAGTTTCTTTCAAACATATCATCTTTATTGTCTTTACTACCCGATACTTGTATCTAATATTATGCTCCTACAATAAGCTCATGCAATATGCTCCTACATTATGCTCCAACCATTTTTCACACCACAATAATTACCACCTACCCCTTATAATCTCCACATACAATATGCTCCTGCAATGTACTCCTACATTATGTAGATGCATATTGCAATGTCCTCCTACATATGTAGGAGCACATATATGTAGGAGCACATTGCAATGTGCTCCTACATATGTAGGAGCACATTGCAGGAGCATATTGGATTACGTTTGTTTGGATACTACAGTTCCGTTCCGTTTTTCTCCTCCAAGAAATGATGAAACCGATGCAATGTGCTCCTACATAATGTATGAGCACATTCCAATGTGCTCCTACATAATGTAGGAGCACATAATGTAAACTAAAAAAGATGCCGAGCTAACAACGCCATCTACAAGTTTCACGCATCGTTACTCGACTCATGTCACATGACTCATGTCACATGACTGTTGGGCCCCACCGCTTCCTTCAACCGGCCGGACCCTTCCGTACTCTACGGGCGCCAAAAATTACTTTTGTTTACACACGGATATCGAAGACCAAAAACCGAAACTACAGTTTCATATATGCTACGACTGATTCTAGTCGTATACCGCATATAAGAACCTGTCACGGTTCAATGAACCTGCCGCAAAAAAAGAGCTGCATGTAAAGTTGTAAACTATAAGAAACCGGAAACGTCAAACGCGCGTTTGATGCTTCCAACAGCTAGCTGCGATGGGAATTCCGATTGACGCTTATTGTAGCTATTACTAGTGGTGGTTGTTAACCACATTCTTGCACCGAGCGCGAGCGCTGTTTTCCGGTAAATGTTCACATTCATGTTGGAGTGCAGCATATGTGTTATTCGAACTCATAACCCACAATTCATTCTAAAAATCTAACTGAAAGCATCTTTATTGAAACTAACAATCACATTTTGTGGCACCCTGCCTCAGAGCAAGCATGCTCTTGATCAGGTCGAACAATAAAAAAATACGGCTTAGGTTTATCGACAACATTCAGCGCTGCGTATTCTTCCCAATGGGCTTCGAATTTTACCATATCACACAACCCAGTCACATTTTTGACAGCACGTTTCAATTCAAAATTAATTTTTTTATCGGCTACCACCTTCTTTTTCTCAAGTTCACTGATCTTTGCCTTAATTGCGTTGAGATACTGAAGCTTTCGTTGCAATTTAAATTCAATTGTGGTTGAAGTGGACAGGTCCGCACGGCTTGAAGTAAGGCTCCGGCCAACGGACGTTCTAGCATACGGGAGGAGATCCTCAAACTTGTCAAGATAGCGGGGTCCTTTTTCACGCAAGCGTTTTTCTTCTTTCTCTTGAAGTGTCAACAAAAACTCGAAGCTCTCGGTATCTTTGTACAAATTCACAAGACAGCGGATCCATTCTTTAGACCATTCTTTCGTCTGTTGTACGTCGTCGACGGCAGTTGTTGGTGATTCCGTCAAAAAAGAAAGAGCAGAGAGGAACTTCCCCGGGTTAACTTGATACTGGCGACGCAATATAACAAAAAAACTGTTTACCATCCATCAGTTGTGCATATTGCAAAACTGCTGTAAAAGTACGACACTAACGACAGTCCGGTATACACGAACCACGGTAAATTTCCAGAACTCACATACAACGGAGCTTCACGAAAGGCCAATACAACAGGTCTCGAGTTTGAAGTTAGTCAATGTCTAAACTTAGAAAGGCATTTTAGTCGGGGGGTTCTTCTCACCTGTCAGAAAAGTAACACCTTATCCCAACCGGCCGACATAGTCAGAAGATCCGGACGAGTGACAAACGGCGACCCCAGTTCTGATGGCAGTCGAGGTTGCAAGGTGTAGCTGGCGTACTCCACCGTATAATACTACGATCGCGAGATCTGCAGACTATCTGGGGATTGCCAGGATGCATGTACATTTCGTAAGTCATTCGAAAAAGATTTCGTTGGGAATAAAAGTAAATGGTTTTATTGAAATTCTCACCAACAAGATTTCGCAATACAAATTATAAAATCAAAAACCATGAAAATTTAAATTCAGAATTAATAACGAGTCTAACGACACCAAGAATTATTGCGCGCTTCCAGCACCATTAAAAAGCGATGTAAATCACATCCTTGTAACAGCACGTTTGCTCTGCAATACCACTCCAATGGACGTGAGAACTTGTGGAATTGGAAAAGCGTGACCCACGCTCTTCGTGGGCGACAGACAAAATTTTTCCCCTTGACGAAGGCTTAATTGCAGCACCTCGCGCTTCGCGCTCCGTGCAAATTAATTAATCGTCAGTACATTTACCAGTAATGAATTCAAAAACAAAAAAATGCCGCGAAAACAAAAACAAAAAAATGCCGCATGACCCCTGTATTGTGCCACAACCGGCCATACCAACCTTTAGTAACGCCGCAAGAATTTTCATTTTGAAATTTTTGCATTGTATCTTTAATAAAAAAACGAAATCAGGAAACGACAAAAGAACTGAATGGGTTTTCTATTGTGTACCCAGTGACGTATGCATGGTTGTCGTTTGTGTTCTCGAGCCTCGAACAGTACTGTGTGTGGTTCCGAATGGACCGAATCTAAACAAGGTGGTCGGAACTTGTAATATGTACAATACAATACTTTCAGTACATAATTATAGTATGCTTATCGTTCAGTAATATCTATATTAGCTAACAACCGACTCGCGTTCATTACTGCTTCCACGTGCAACTGCCGCCTGTGTCTGACCCATTTAATTACTTACTATCGTTTTGTTTGGAACTTTGGACTGTTTGCTGTGAACCAATGAGTGACACTGGGAGTGGAGCTCCTTCAGCACCAGTGCGTGCCAAACGCAGCACACCACCAGTGTCTGCACCACCGTCTTCCGTATCCAGCAATCCTGGCTACCAAATGAAACCCGATTATCCTCCGAATCCCTTTGCATCCCGCAATCAACCTCCACCTGTCCGTCGACCGAGCGAAGATTCTGTATCCTCGCTGACGGCATTCCAGAGCGGCAGTAGTCTTGCTGAGGTTGGCACCTACAAGACGGAGAGCGTGCATACGCTGGCTAGTCGCTTCGACAAGGAATCCCTCACTTCGGGAGGGACGCCTGGAACAGCGCGCAGTACAGCGTCTGCTCCTTCGACCAAGAGTTCGTCTTCCAGCTCGCTGTCGGCCAGCGGGGAGGGATTGATGATGATGGCCCGCGATCCGAGAATCAGTTTTAACGATTTCACCAACAGCTTGCCGTTAGTGGAGGGCGAAGCAAAAGTGGACAGCTTGTACTGTCCGCATGTGCAGTACAGTGATCCGTATTCAGAGACGACAAAATCGGGCAAGCTCACCGTGACGAATTTCCGAGTGTTCTTCGAAGCCAGCCCGGATACCAGTGCTTCTTTTGAGATTCCTTTATCGAATATTCAGGTTATCGAAAAGCTTAGCAGCGGCTCTGGAAATCGAGGAGATAACTCTTTAAAACTGCGGATTTTGTGCAAAGATTTGCGAAAGGTAAAAACGCTGTAACTAACTGGCACAGAAATTGCACACGATTTCTTTGAATGTTCTGGCTTGTCAGGGCAGTAGTTCGCAGTTTGCCGGCCATTGTCAGAGGCGTTTGCAAACTGTTTTGATTTACGTATTGGTGTGGCTGATATTGCAGATTTCCGATTACCTAATTGTGTTTTCTCATCATTCCCGCCTGCAGTAAGGATCACGATAGTTTGTTTGATCTTTATCGACAGGTTCATATCTTTGCAGATTGTCTTAAGTTTGCCCAAAGGATCGGAAAAGGCTTCATTGAAAAATTTTGTGGATAAAATACGCTTTTCCAGTAACTTACAAGGGGCAGCTGTTTGCATTCAGCTACAAAAGGGATTATAAAAAGGAACACGATGGATGGGCACTGTACGATGCTAGAGCGGAATATAAGCGCCAAGGCGTGACATGTGGCGGATTCCCGATATCAATTTAAAATACGGATTATGTGAAACCTATCCCGCAGTGATAGCTGTTCCGAAGGAAGCATCAAATGAGCTGCTACATAGTGTCGCAGCGTTTCGCAGTCGATCTAGGATACCCGTTCTGTCGTAGATCCATCCGGTGAGCCATGCCACGATCACACGCTGCAACCAGCCGATGGTTGGACTGAATGGTCGCCGGAGTAAGGACGATGAATATTATGTGCGCCTGATTCATGAGGCGAATCCGGTGTGTCCACATCTGTGCATTATGGATGCACGTCCTCTTGCGAATGCAGTTGCTAATAAGGTTAGCTGACTTCACTGCGAAATAAACGTCACTTTCGTAAAGGTCGTTTTTATGCGCCTGGAAATTTCTGGGCGTAAACTACTAAATTACTTAACCGTAGCCTCAGAAAATCCCGATAAGAATTATTTGCCTAAATTGATAAGTTCTTGTCAATGATTTCTGCTGATTATGATTGTAGGCGAAAGGTGGAGGTTATGAAACAGAAGAAAATTATCCGCACACGGAGGTGCTCTTTTTGGACATACACAATATCCATGTCATGCGAGAGAGTCTCCGTAAAGTGAGAGAAATGTGCACGCCGAAGATCGAGGATCCTAACCATTTCTTATCGAACTTGGATGACAGTCATTGGTTACACCATATCAAGACTGTGCTTGCCGGTGCTCTCAAAATTGTGGATAAAATTGAGAATTATAAGTGTTCCGTTCTGGTGCACTGCAGCGATGGATGGGACCGTACGGCGCAGTTAACTGCTTTAGCGATGATTATGTTGGATCCTTACTATCGTACCATTCGCGGATTTGAAGTTCTGATAGAGAAAGAGTGGGTCAGTTTTGGCCATAAGTTTGCCCACGTAAGTGTCGAAATCTTTTTCACCCATGTAAACTGAAAATATCCGTGAAACTTGTTTCTAGCGAATTGGGCATGGCGAAGAAAAAGCGGATTCCGATCGATCGCCGGTATTTCTGCAGTTCATTGACTGCGTATGGCAGCTAACACAGCAGTACCCAAATTCCTTTGAATTCAGTGAAAGGCTTCTGATTGCCATTCTGGATAATCTTTTTTAACTGTCGATATGGAACATTCCTTTGCAATTTTGAAAAGGAGATTCATGAAAAGGTTTGTAGTCATGCGCTGATCCTGCTTTTATGTTGTGACTCGTACTGCAAGGTTTACTGTGGTTCATTATTTTTCTTTTTTATTTAGGGATTACGCACAAAAACAAAATCCCTTTGGTCGTTCATTAACTCTAATTTGAACGATTACCGAAATCCGTTCTATCTTTCCGATTCAGAAGAATCGACGAAAGCTAATGTGTTATACCCGCTAACCACACTTCGTTACCTACAACTTTGGCTTCGCTATTATGCTCGGTGGGATCCTTCTACAAGACTCCAGGAACCGATGGAAGAACGTTATCATCAACTGTTATATGCCCTAGATAAGCTGACCGAGCTAAGAGATAATTTAAAGAAAGAAGCAGCCTCAAAAAAATCTAGGATGGCTTTTAATCAAGGTACCTCGCCTTCCCATGTAAACCATGTTCAAAGGGCACTGGTCATTTGCTGGGTAGTTGCTGATATTAAACTTTTGGTTTTCGAACGTAGAATGTATATACGTTTTGCTGTTATTTTGTATTTAGTGGAATTTACTTTGTTCTGTCTAAATATTTGCCTTAGAGTAAATTAACAAAACATCTCCGTACTTGCTTTTCACCACTGCTGTAACTGGGACTGATGCATTCGTTCAGGATGACGTCTAGTGATGACCCACGAAGAAAACACTGAAAAATAAATTCTGTTTGTTGTTTATTTTAAACACCTAATTTTATTAAGGACATCGTCACATCGCTGTTAACCGCCGTTCCTATACAAAAGTCAGAAAGTTCTGCTTTATGGTCGAATAAAAGGCCGAAAGTTGAATAAAGCTTGAGACAAAGTGAATAGCACGTCGGATAAGCCGTAGTTCAGCTAGATGAAGTTCAAAAGATGCGTAGGAGCTGAAAGTAGTTAGTAGTAGCAACTCGGTAGTAGTTTGAAGTTTTGCATATTCATACACAGTGCTCGTCAAACATCTGGAACGGCGAGAAAAAGCTTTCCTTAATTTTTTAAAACTGGCAGCACCGTTAGCCGGAAAGGAAGCAAGTACGGGCCAAGGATACGGGAACTGGAAGTACATAAATTACCAAAATGAAAGTCATAAGCAACCGCCTGTGCGGCGCGCGTGTGAATCGGTAGGCCGTTAATTCAAAATTTTTATTACTAGTATTAGTCTTCGCACTCCTTTGGGCCTTTGGCTTTGAATTTTCTATTCTTGTTTCGAAGTTTGTTATGCTCGTACCGAAATATCGCTTAAGAAGTTACGAAAAACTAATAAACAACAGAATCAATAGTCTCGTCGCCTTTGTTCTGGACTCAAGAGTTTGGTGCTTCAAGTAAGACTTCATTTATTAAAAGTAAGGTGTCTGCGTAACGGAAGTTTCGTTGTTTGAAATGCCTCCGACGTCTGCTCCGGGAACCATTCTCACCAAACTGGCGTTGACGAAAAAAAGGTAAGTATTGAACGTTTGTTCGCGAAGATTTGTCCTTTGCTGTTAAGCAGAACTGCAGAAGCAAAATACTAAACATTTGCTGTCCGATGCTTCTGTTTCCTGACTTGCCTGAGAAGCTAAGCCTGTGTCTTTTCTAGTCAACCAGCTCCAGAAAGTATTCGATGCCAAAAATGCTTACAAAAAGGTATGAAATCACGAAAGTTTATTGTTTAGCTACTTTACATATGATTAGCTCTAAAGCACATATTCAGCTCCCGTTGTTATTTCCTTCCTCTTCAAATGGATATGATATTAAGTTAGTTAATATTAAAATTTTAATACGAGTATAATTCGAATGGTTTGGTTTTATTATTAACGAAACGTGAATATACAGATTCGTGATAACTTTTGAACGGTTTACTTATAATTTGTTGCTATTAAATAATTATTTTGCAGGGCATTGGACGTATCAATGTGATAAACCTGCAAAGTATGCGTCGCGTCCATCCAGAACGACAGAGTTGAAGAAAAGCGTCAAACAGCTTGAAGAGGAGCAAAAAATTGCTAAGCTGTAAGTGCTGGAAAACAAACTAAATAAAAGACTAACAGCAGATTTATTTTTGAGAAAAAGATTGAGTACGAGTATGCACTTGTCATATGTTCTTTAAAAGTAGCTCCTGACGAAGTAGCGAGATTCCGATTTTTTTGTTTTGAGAGAACTTAGAATAATTCTTCCGTTGTAAGAGTATGTGAAATGAAAATCTATCAACGTGAATTCCACGAATTCTTCAGAAAGGAACTTGCTCCACAAAAGAAACGACAGAAAAATTCATCGTCCGAATCCGACTCCAGTGGTTCGGATTCTTCTTCTGGATCGTCTGACAGCGACAGTTCATCCGGCAGTAGTTCGGAATCGTCATCGGAATCGGAACCTGATCGAAAGAAGCTGGTTAAGAAAGACAGAAAGCGCTCGAAAAGGAACCCCTCATCGTCTTCCGGATCGACGTTGGACTCCGCGGACATGGCCCAGGAAGCTGATTCCGAAGGGGATTAGTTGCTTAACGGACTTCCGGTTCGGTATGGATGATTTTGCTGATTCTTTTTCTGTGTTTCCTTGAAGTGCGGCTTAATTTGCTTGCTTATGGAAATAATCTTGAATCTGCTTTGCGATTTAACGCGTACTTGGTACTTAACAATATTTTTAAAAACGTTTTACTGGTTTGGGTGCATGTTGTTTAGCTGCTTTGTGTGGAAATACGTTTTGGCGTTTGATTGTTTTATATTTTTGTTAGAAAATTGTTTGATACAGGTGCTAGTATTAGATAACTGTGGAATGTGAATTAATTTTGTGGACAGCGGTCACGATTCTGGATTATAGTACTAATAAAGCGGTTACAGCGAGGCGACAAGTTTTGAAAATGTAGAAAGATAAAAAAGCGCAGTGATAATATTATCCAATATAATACGTACAGTACTGACTGTACTGGGTCACTAGTGCCAAATTGTTTTCAGGTAGCCATACTGTAATCAGAATGTTACCAGCCATACTGTAATCTCCCTGCCGTAACTTCTCCGCTGTTGATGTTCGTCTGTAATAAGCTGTACGAGTACGGAAGTCTGTAAACCGTGTGTTCTTCAAATGTTCGTTAATTGTGACGAGAATAAAAAACCGTCGTTAAATTAGAGTACAGTACATTTTTAAAGTTTATCAGAGATAATTAATTATCGTACTCGCAGGGTATCAGATTTACAATAAAAAATATTTGACCAATAATTTATTGCACTATGTAGTCTTTTTTTTGCAAATTGCGTTCAAATTCGGGCTACACCAAACGTACAATACGTATACTTCAGCTATTTTTATTGGTCGAGATTAAAATCTTTGTACGAGGGTCAAGATTCGAGAGCCTTCTTGCATCGCTCACATCCGTTTTTCCCTCACATGCGATTTTTTAACCGTCAGACTCGTCGCGCGCACGTCCAGTCTGTTTCCAATCCTGTTGTTGAGTGTAAATACAGGTTCTGCAGCTGTCGAAAAATTTTCCGGCCACGTCTTCGGTGCATTATTTAGTTCTATAATTTTACATATTGGTAACTACCACGGGCTGTCACCGTTTTCCCTTACAACAGCTATCATGAATATTGTTGTCTCGTCTTTTATATTTTTACCGGCTGTACTAGTTTGTGGTGTGCCGTGGACGGAATTTCCAGTTTCTACATCGGCTAATGTATCAAGACATTTACATTCCTTGACCCCGTCGTCGTTTGTGAGTTTCTTAAAGTCCAATAAAGATAACATCAGTGTCGTATGGTTCCACCCAAAAAACATATCGCAGCACGACAGGCTCCCGTTTTATTTAATGAGGGAATCGTTTCTCGTACCAGCGGCAGATCGTCTACGGATTCCCATTGCCGAATTCCCCATCACCAATGAGTCCTTGGCCGTGACGCGTGCACTAGGGATCAACGAAACGAGCATCGACACTATCCACATTTATTCCCGGTTGCGCCGCATCGTCTACTATGGATTGCGAACGAGTGACGCCCTGGTATCGTACGTCAAACGGCTGCAGTGCCCGAAATTCACGCTGATTGAAGGAAAAGCCGATAAAAAGCAGTTTGACCTTACGGATAAAATTCGTGTACTGGCCTATGTCGTACCCGGAAGTGCTTTCGCCCGTGTTTACGCTAATGCATCCTTGGCGTTTGGTCCTGCTGTGAAGTTTTTCGTGATTATCAGCGATGCCATGGCTGTGCGTTATGGATTGGTGGAAGGGAAAGTACAGGTTCATCGACCTGGCGAGATGAGCTTCGCTGAGCTGCAGGATGCCAGATCTGCCAATGAAATCATCGACTTTGTGCGGGAGGAAGCCGGTAAGAAATTGAAAGCTTAAGTTTTGGTGATTTTGGTGGTTTTTTTATGGCTGCAGTTGGATTAATTCAAGGCTACACCAACTGTTGTTGTTTATTTTTTTTATTAAATACAGTGGTTATTACGATAACATGGACATATGCTGTAAGAAATACGTTTTTTTTACGTGCAGTAGTTCATACTAAATTTTTGGATATTTGGACAAAGCAGTGTAGCTGTAGTTTGAACGTTTTTGATTTGGTTAATTTGATTTGTTTTTATAATTTCCTCATTGCACTCTTTCTAGGCAAGTCGTACTTCCAAACACATCGCCTGACCAGTGAGAACATCTACTCGTTCTGGCGCGAAAAAGCCGACCAGCCCAAGTTTGTTTTGCTGACTTCCGCTTCGCACACTCCGCACGCGTCCCGCTTCCATAAACTTCTGCGGCGATCCATTCTGAACAGCACAGAATGTCAAATCAGTGTCATCGACGTGGATCAGTTTCCGGGAATGGCTGAATACTGGCGGCGATACTATCGTGTGGATCCCATTTCCAAGCCGGTGCTGGGCTACGTGGCGTTGCACAATTCCACGGCGATCTGGTTGGATGAACGACACATCAACAGCACCGAAGGCAAGGATTCTGAACGCCAGAACGAACGGGCCATTTCGGACTTCGTCGGCTCCATCCTGAACGGCACAGTGACGCTGAAGCACGGCAAGCAGATTGACCCGGAAACAGGCGTGCCGACCTCTGATGGGCGCAGAGATGAACGGATAGGTCAGGGATTGGAAGGCCAGGTGGTGGATTTGAATGCGCTGCAAAAAGAGACGGAACAGACGCGGGGAAAAGTTGAGCACAATGTGCAGGATGGGTGGGGCGATGATGCATCGGGATCGTTATTGCGGGAGGGGAAGCTGGATTGGACTGAAGAAGAAAAGCCTTACTTCGGCAAAGCGGAACGTGATTTTGAACCGGTGCGATATGAGAATCCCGCCAAGAAATTTGAGCACGATCTGACTTCCTTCGGCAGTCGTAGCCATCTTGAATCACATGCGAAAAAGCACAGTGAATTGTGATTTGCGAAGAAGTTTTGTCTTTTTGTATTTCATTTGACGCCGTGCTGTCTGTGCTGTTTTCCTTTGCATGGTTATATAATATGAACATGCGTTCCTTTTTTACACTGAAGCCCGATGAATAACGAAAAATGATTTTTTAACGTTTTTGGTTGCTTTTACCTGTGGTGAGTTTTTGCTTTTGGACTTTTAGTGAAATTAAACCAGTCTTTTAATTTGTTTACTACGGTAGTCGGTACTATCCAGCTACAGCAACTACAGAGTATCTCAATTTGTTTCTCTCAAATTTAAACTGACCACTCGTACTCAAAACCAAAACAGATTGCACGTATTACACACTAGTACTAACAGAATTACAATCAAACTGATTATTATCGAAGCTTCCAGAAATCATGATTCGGGGTTCTGTGAATATCTGACAAATAATTGTAAAAGTATTGTACGAGTACTTACGTACTGCTAATTGTGAGTGCTGACAATCGGTGTTTCTTCTGTTGTTAGGCCAAAATGGCAACCTTGCACAACGAATTCCGTGCAACCACGATTAGATTTGTAGCCGGCAAATATGTAGTGGCTACTGAGTACTGACTAGACTGCTACTTGGTAAGGAATGTTTATGTAGCTACTGTAGCAAGACAAATGCGATGTCTTAGCAACATCGTAAAAGCATATAAAATTACAGTGACTAGTTTTTATTAAAATTTTGAACCTGTAATATTTTCCCTTGATTTTAAATGCCTGATTAAGATCAATGAGATAAATGCGCAGGGACATCCTGCCCAGCAGGAAAACCAGACGTAATATGGCAGTGGCGGGATTGCAGTTGATCCCGCCTCCTTGATTTCGTATCAGCTGTGCCGTCACTTTTAATTTGAAGAAGTGATTACGTTGCTCGCTGCCTGCCTGCACTTCTTCATTGACCAAGTTACCAACCAGCACTCTGCTGAAATTTAGTTATTTTTCGCGGATTCCACAACAGATGTTATTATGAAAAGATGATTTTAGTTACACAGGAATTGTAGTTTTTTATCTGTTGTGGTTCCTTTATGTTTATTCTAGCTGTTGCTAATTTTATCTCAATGAGTATTGTTGATTTAAATTTTAGAAGTACTTCTTTGATCTCATGACATGATATCGTGCAAACTACTGTCTCGATTTGCATTCCAACATCATTATCGCTGGTATCCGAATACCACAAAATTCCTCACATCCGTCAGGTTGTAAAATGTTAAGCATTGTTTGGGTACTGAGTGCGATCACTTTATGTATTGGCCAGTCGGATCATTATTATTCCAACCAGATTGCTGTAAAAATTCTTGGTGGCCCTGAAAAAGCCAGAGAACTCGCTAAGCGACATGCTTGCGAATATGTGGGCCAGGTACAATATTGGACCGCAAAATGATGCTTAAAAACCCGTACCCATTTCATAGATTATTTTATACATGATTTACGGATGTTTTCGATGTTTGATCAGGTGGGGAGCCTGCAGGATTATTACTTATTCGAGCATACACGAATCGCCAAACGATCGCTAACAGATTCTGGTGACAGTCATCAGAGTTTAACAGACGACCCTGAAGTGAGTGCCATCTTATTTTTGAATGCCCGTTTTTAGGGCCTATAAAAATCGTGTCAAATTGTGAGTTATCCCTTGGACTTTAAATTGTTTATGAGGATTGTTTTTGGCGTTGTTATTACGACTATACCTGGATGACTCATCTCTGCGTGTTCTCCTGTTGTAGGTCGTATGGTTGGAACAACAGATTATTAAACCACGCACAAAACGGGATCTTCTCAGCGGCGCTGGAGGCGGTCTACCATTCCCGGTTTTTCGACCAAATTTACCAAATTTTGGAAATATTAATAACATTAATCCTGTGATGCCCCGTAACAAACAACAGTACATGTTTCGTGATCCGCTGTATGCGCAACAGTGGTATCTGGTGAGTGAGATTTGTTACCTTATCTTCTGTTGTGCTTTCTGACGTGGAGATTATGAGCTATGATTTTCGTACAATTTACGTCGTCTTTAAGCATTTTTATAACTATGGCTTAAGAAAACCGGTATTATACAGAGTTTTTAAACTTAATGGGATCGACATATTTATCTGGTGTTTTGCAATAATAAAAGAAGAAAGCTACATCAGCAAGCAAGTTTTTAGCGAATACGTACCTGAAGGGATGACAAAAAACTGGAACAAATATTTTCACTTTGGACACTGTTTTCCGCAGTCATTTTGTGTGCATAAATTCATAATTGAAATGTAAAGCATGTTTTGCTGACTGTCATAGGCTTTCAATTTCATCCACTTTGATCACGTTCACTGGCTGCATTCTTTTTTGAATTTTAATATTCTTCCTTGTTCGTGGAATTATTCAATTATAAATAACGCTGTTATTCCACGTTACAGCACCAAGGCGCTCATGGAAACTTCGATATGAATGTTGAGAAAGCCTGGAGGCGAAATTACACTGGCAGAGGAATTTCCGTTAGCATTCTTGATGACGGTCTGCAGCCTAATCATCCCGACTTAATGCAGAACTACGTGAGCAGGATTTTTATAGATTTCTCCCGTTGCGCATTATTAACGCAGTTGTCATACGTAATTTAGGACCCTAAAGCCAGTCTGGATATTAACGGTAAAGATGACGATCCTACGCCAACTGACGACGGGAATAATAAGCACGGCACCCGGTGCGCTTGCGTTAACGAGTTGCTATGAAGCTTTCTACAAACTTTGGTGAATATAATTTTATTTACAGGTGTGCCGGTGAAGTGGCTGCTGTTGCCGGAAATGAGTACTGCGGTGTAGGCATTGCGTTTAATTCTGGAATAGGAGGTGAGATTTGGAGATAGCATCACTGGTATTATTTTTATCACGAAAGCTGAATTATAAATAGGTGTGCGGATGTTGGACGGCGATGTACACGACAGTATCGAGGCTACAGCCCTGAGTCTCAATCCGCAGCACATACATATTTATAGCGCTAGCTGGGGTCCAAATGATGATGGCCAAACTGTCGATGGACCTGGACCACTGGCGAAAAAAGCTTTTGAGGATGGCATAAAATACGTGAGTCGAAAAAACAAAACTCCAGTTGGTTACCTGGTGGCCGTATTAAAATCTTACTGTAGAGTTTAGACTTTACTTTTGATTTGCTATGCTGCATAATGGTAGACCACCTGGTATGATATCTGGTAAAAAAGTATGTTTGAAATTATGAACCATTTACCGGTTTCTCATTGGAAATTTGATGTACGGAAGGGTGCTGTCGCAGCCGCCAGTACCAGCTTCCGGTCACTGTGCATTTGATACGCATAGCCGGCTAGTGTCATTTGACTTATTTCCACTCAGACGCTCTAGTTACGCACGTCAGTGTTGATCTTTCTGGGTTATTCATGAAAACCTGTTTCCTTTTAACTGACAAAACAAACATTATCATTAGTTGCTTTTGCGGCGTTGATTTGAGCTTCTCGCGCTGTACTAGAGATGGTTTCCAGGCGTTTTCCCAAATATTGATTTTATCTGAAAATAATACACGTACACTGGGTTTGACCTGTTACTTTTTCGTTAGGGACGAAAAGGATTGGGATCAGTGTTTGTGTGGGCATCCGGTAACGGGGGTAAAAGTCAGGATAGCTGCAGCTGTGACGGATATACGAATTCGATCTACACCATAAGTGTTAGCAGTGCCGCTCAAGATGGCACTCGACCTTGGTATCTGGAGGAATGCCCGTCCACATTGGCTACGACGTACAGTAGCGGCGGCACGATGCAGCCAAGCATTGTCACAACGGATCTCAATATGCCCGGAAACGGAATGCGTCCCTGCACCACAAAGCATACCGGAACATCGGCGTCTGCTCCACTGGCGGCTGGGATCATCGCACTTGTCCTGGAGGCAAATCCTAGTCTGAACTGGCGGGATTTACAGTATTTGACAATGCTGTCAGCCCGTCCCGAACCACTAGTTGATGACTGGGTTATAAACGGGGTCGGTCGAAAAGGTACGTGTTTAAATGCACATCAATAGCAGATGTGCATGACAATCTATGCCAGATAATTACACTGACATTTTGCAGTGAGCACTAAATTTGGATACGGGTTAATGGATGCTGATCGAATGGTTCAGCTGGCTGAAAAATGGACCACCGTGCCTGAGCAGCACATTTGCTATACCGAAAAAATCGCCCAGCCAACGTAGGTTATGGTAAATTTATGTGTCTTTAATAGCGAATGCGTTTAAATTGCTTTGCTGCCTTCATAGGGAGGTGAAGAATGGCTACATTGCCGTGGAGATTTCCACGGATGGATGTCAGTATCATCCAAATTCTGTCGTGTTTTTGGAACATGTTCAAGCTGTCCTCTCCATAAAAGCTGTGCATCGCGGAGCGCTAATGGTCAAGGTGACGTCGCCGATGAAAACAACCAGCGTTATGCTTCATGAACGTCAACTCGATACCAGCAATCAAGGATTTAATGAGTGGCCGTTTATGAGCGTCCAGTCATGGGGGGAAAATCCCTCTGGAACGTGGAAGATTGAAGTTTTTGACACGTCGGCTGGAAATCAATTCGGGAATTCGGTGGCAAATAGCGTGCTTGTCTCGTGGTCGATGGTGCTTTATGGAACTGATAAAGAGCCGATTCCCAAAGCCATCCGGGAGATTCTGGACAAGGATGACAACCGTCTGGATGTGGCCACTGCTTTTCCGGAACCGCAGATCGCACAACAATCGGCATACAACTGTCATTTGACCTGCAAAACATGCCATGGCCAGCACGTGGATGAGTGCAACAGTTGCTTCAAGAACAATTACTTACATAATTATCGGTGTCTTCTCAACTGTCCGCGTGGTTTTTACCCGGTGAACAACACTATGACATGTCACTCGTGCCCACCCAAGTGTGTACAGTGCAGTGGCACTGGCGTCTGCTTAGCGTGCCAGTCTGGATATAATTTACAAGGAAGTCAATGCGTGCCTACCCATGTTAATATGGACGAGGAATGCCTGCATGGTATGCTGACTCACTTTAATCACCGCTTTTTTGCTTTGTTAGGTATTAACGTGCTTATGCTCTGCGTTAGGTTTATACTTTGACCATCGGCTGACAGAATGCAAGCCATGTCATGCAGAATGTCTAACATGCTCGGGACCGCTGCCTAAAGACTGCCTCTCGTGCAGACCACCGAAACTTCTGTTTGGGCAGTGTTTGGACAATTGTCCAGAGGGATTTACTGCAGAGAACGGCACTTGTGTCGTGCGCTCTGGGAATGATACCGGTGATTACGGGAAACACAAAGTTTTCAGCTCGTCAAGCGCCTACTTCTTGACGGCAACGATTGCCTGCACTGTGATAATTAGCATTGGATTAGTAGTTTTCTGTTGTCTACAAGCAATGTCTTCGGATGGTCACAAAGGTGCCAATCTGCTTTTGATGAGTAATGGTCATGGCCCGAAATACCAAAAAGCGCCTCAGCAGCCAGAGGACGGAGATGATGATGATGAGTCCGATGAGGAAGTTGAAACATTCTCCAGGAGAAGACTGTCAGACGCTCTCAGGAATGCATAGTTTTCCGGTTCCTTCTCTTGAAGTATTCTGTGTCTATGATGTATCCGTTTTAAAGATGTCTTAAATATATTTTAAAATCTTTATTAACGAAGTTTTAATTTTTTGTGAACGTTTTTCAGGTTCGATTTTTTGACATTTTAAAAGTGTAAAAAACGATTCAATAAAAGACTGATTTTCTCAGAAGGACGGAACTCTTGAGACGAAATAAGTGTCAGTTTAAATACGAATCTTGTAATACTAAAAATATTGGTAGAATAAAGATCTCGCCTTTGACGGGCGGAAACTCGTTTCAGCTGCGCCTTGACCCGTGAGTTCAGCCGCTACGTTGCACTGAGATATCTAAAATTCTACCATGTGTCTTCGGTTCTAACGACAAATTTCCCACTTCTGTCTTAGATTTTTAGCGCATGACGAACAGCGCGCATTTTTAGCGCTACTACAGTACGAGCATAGTATTTGTTCAGGCAGACAAATAAAAGTTATAAATTTATAATTATCCTTCATTCTGGTACCGTACAACTACTACCCTAGTACTTCGTACTGGTAATAAAGTCATCCAAGCCCTGCTCAAGAGGCTTTACAATATGGATCCCGGACACTAATTTTTGCTATGGTCTTAGTGTACATACAAGAGTGTCAGTCAACAAAAGCTAATAACATCATTCGCGTTCAGCTAAGTTAAAAGCAAAATACACAACTTCCTTCTCAACCATATCGCTGGAGGTACGGAGAACAGAAACTGCATTTCCTTGCTGAATCTCGATACCAGTTTTCTGGCGCAGAGGCTCTCTCGAACGAGGTTTGTCCATGCAATCGCTAATCTTTCTCGACAATTCTTTAAAAGATTTTTTCATCAGTGGTCCCCATGTGCCCGTAGTTTCCAACTCCAGCGGTTGTACTACGCAACGGTCTGCCATCCCGCTATACTTTTCCAACTTCCGGTTTTCGCGTGTTCCTGCTGCACTTCCCGGCATCCTGAAATCTGGACAATGTACGTTTGTATCTGCCAAGGTTACATCCCATACAAGCGGCTTTTTGTATTACATACGAAAAGATACTTTTTTTTTGTATTACTTACAAAAAGGTTACGTAACTTTTTGTATGTGATACAGCAAAGCCCCTCGACGCGGCCTTCAAGTTAAAATATCTTGTCCCACACTTTTTCTTGTTGGAAGAAGGGGGTGATGGTGCACTATTGCACACCACCCAGGGCGGCAGACGGTTGATTAACTTATAGAGTAATGACGTTGTGCAATGACTACTACAGTACGTCTACGAGACCAGTCTGCAGTCTGCGGTTGAACTCCGTTGAAGACTGAAGTGAGACGCATTCATAATCAATACAAAACGCGAAAAGCGTTCGCAGTGCCCTCTCGTGGCCAATGGTTCTCCGCGAACTCAAGGCACAATTGTTGCAGTTTGTTGATCAACCTGCGATGTCAAAATCGCTCAAGGCGGATATTGCAGTGCCAGTACCCCGTGTTTTTTGAGAACCTTGGATGAATTACTTATTTTTAATTTATCAAGTCTTTAGACGTTTGCATAGAATCATGTCGGGAATAAGTTCTTACTTTAGTAATTTTTATTTAGCCTTTCAGGAGGTCGGTAGATGAAAACTGACTGACATTAAATAAGCGGACGACTGGGGAACTTCGCGACGTTACTTATTTTTGATAACACAGTTTGAGTTACTTGTCTTAATAAGTTGGAAGTGTCTGGGCTCGTGTGTAACACATTGTTTCCGCTATCTCTTGTCACTTGCGACTTGTGGCTTGAGATTATTATTACCATGCGGTAAAACAAGCTGAGGAAAATATGCTGAAATCTGGAGGCAGTTAAGAGTTATGGAGAATTGAGCGAAGCAGGATAACTGCCTTCTCGTACCTGTCTCTTGGTGAAGAAATCCACCGCTCTGAACTTGCTTTCGTGAGTATTCTGAATTTGATTCAATTGTTTATGTTTTTAAGCTTAAAATTTTCAGTACCCAAGTTACTGAAGTGAAGATAGCCAGGTGAATATGAGTTTCGATCAAGTTTCGCGCAGGTAGCACTGACCAAATTATTGGTAAACTTTGTAACGAAAAGCCGAAAATTAACAGTAGTCTCTGAATCGAGTTAAACTTTCTTTACGTATCAGCATAATTGTCGGCGGGACTCTTGGAAGATCGAAAGAAGTAAAAAAGTTGAAAATATCAGGGAAGTTGGAATTCTCCGTTGGTGCTTGTTCAGCTTCTTAAAAAACATTTTTTTGTGGTAATCCGTAATATGTACCGTATTAAAATATAAATTAACTCACTTATTGGGCCAACAAATCAATAAAATTATAAAAACACAAACGCCGACGGAAACTCGTATCAAAAATTAAAAGCTAGAATGACTAATAGGTGCTCAATAATTTAATCGATTGCAGATTGCTTTTAACTTGTTCAAGTTGTTGTTGGCAGCGGATACATACATAGTGGAATTGACTGTGAATAACCACTGGTTACATTGTGGACATTGGGCGATTTTGTTGTCGGAACTGACTCCGTTGAGATTTAGAAGAAATTACAATAATTATAACATAACTTACTCGCTATAAATATTGACCGTAATATTTTTTTGCAATACAAGTTGCGGAGATTACGCAAGATCTGTGGCAGTACTTACACGTGCTGACGATAATTTTCCAGTTTGCATAATCGTCCGATCTTCTGATGTTTCTGTCGAGATAACGAACCTATCGATGGTAACCGTGTAAGGAATAACCGGTTCAAAAACAAGCGACGCTTTTCATACCAGCAATTTGCTATAAACGCGGCGATGAATAGCCGACATTCGAGAAATGTCGAGAGATTGAGGTTAGCTTAATTTTGCGAAAGTTAGACACATGTGGCTGAATCATTATTACAAACACCTGATATATATGAAATGCGGCATGTGTGAAAACGATTCAAGCGCATTTTACTGTTGAAATTGGCATTTCTTTTGTAACAGCGATTTTTAATAATATTTTTACTTACCCTATCAGTTCCTTAAATTTATTGACCTAAACACAACTAAATGTTACCATTGTTGCAGTACTAATATGGTACGATTAGATTCGATAGATTAGTATCGAAAATTTTGTTTACTTACAGTTACAGTAAAAATCTACGAAAAAGTATCGCAACCGATTGGAATGCAGTTAAAATTTTTCACTCGTTGGTTTAAGAGTTTTCCAGCTGGCTGGTAAATGCATCGTAGGTTAGTTGATTCGTTTGTTGATTGTGTTTTAATGGTATCGTTGATACAGCTACTTGTCCGCTGCAATGAGCTCGAAAATCGAAAACCGGAAAGTAATGGCCATCCAGGCGCGTAAAAAACGGATCAAATCAAAGAAAAAGAGCAGTGTCAGTGGCCCAGCAGCAGCGTCAACGCCGTCAACAGCAGCAACCGTTTCGTCTGGATTAAATCGAGGTGGTGCAGCGAAAAAGGATGATCCGAAGAATGAGTAAGTCTTCAGGGGAATATGAATCACGGCATTGCTCGTAGTGGGCCCAAACGGAAATTACTAATAAGCCGAGTGGTACTGCTGTGTTCCTGTGCCGTTCTTTTGAATACGCGTCGCTGTATGCGTGCGTATGTATGTGAAAGGCGCGTGTTGTTGTGGTTGCAAATTGTGTCATTGCGTCCATTATTCGCTGCTGTTCGCCAGTAATTTGGAGCAATGTTGTTAGTTGAGTTAGAGTGTTTAGTGAAGTTAGTTAGAGCACTGCTTTCGTACGGATGCTGCTGGCCGCTCTTCTACGAAGAGATGCTGCTGGCAACCCCAGCGATCGATGCATTTTCGGCGGTAGATGTGATGCGCTCTAACAGCATCCGTCATGCCGGTTCAGTTCGGCAACGTTGGCGACAAGAAACGAAGTGGCTTTATAGATTACATGTTGGTCCATCTATTGAAATAGAATTGAAATATGGATCGACATTTGCAAGGGTATTCCGCGCTTGCTCGCTCGCTGACTGTCTCGCGGGGTTCTTTTTGCCATATCGTGCGCTTACTGCACTTTATCCATCATAAACTGACAGTTGTATAAGGTATCCGTCGGATTACTCTTTCAAGATCGCTGCTTATTTCGCGCCTCAGTGAGTTTGCTTTTGCTTATTTTGAAAATCCATTGTCCGATTAACCGAATGGTATTTTCGGGCTAAGCTTAGCACTGGATTTCGCCGCGTAAAGTTTCCCACACAGTTACCGGGGGTTGTTTGTACTTATTTGCTGATGAAATAATCTGCTTACAACTGCTGTGAATTGTTATGGCGCTGTGTAGAGTTTCGGATTACGTTTCATTTACTGTATGCAGTTGCCATCGGCGAAGCGCCCTGTATTGGAGCTCGAAATCACTTTTATGCACTTGGATAATCCTGCATTTGCAAAATGAGTGATACTGGCAGATCGTGCGTCTTCATCGGATTTTCGTAATATAGTTCTGGATGATGAATTCGGTTTATTTAGATGGGTATGCTTTTGCGTTGTAGGAACTATGGTAATAGCGCATGCGTATGGCGTATAGTAGTATAATCAAACAGACACCATTAGCTTATGAAACAAAAAATTATTGATTGGTTTCTTAATTTGAAAAGAAAGTGCGTTTATTGGGTACCCACTTTGAGTTCTATCTACATTGACCGCATTTGTAGATAATTTCGATCGAGAATTGTTTAATTTTTGATTATTCACTTTTGATACTGTTGTTTGAATATGCTTATGCAAATAGTTAGTTACCGTTAGGATAGTGCAGAATAAATATACCTTCCTAAAGAATGTACGTAATGTTAGCGCCACCCAAAAATGCTGTTTCTTGGTCGATCGAAGTGATGTGTTATGTACATACTATGTGTACTTCGTACTTGTGATAACAGCCGGTGCCCTGCAAATTTTCCGATTTTTTAAGAAGCGATTGAGTGTGTTGAAATCTCGTATGTGAAAATAGGAAGTGCCAAGCAGTAAATAAACAAATGTTGCTTTCGATAATTTGACTCCCGCGACAGACACGCAATTAAGAAGCGATGGCATTTTTACGCTTTCAGACGTGATCGTCGAGTACAAAGAGAAGTAAAGCGGATCTTTCGATAGTAGTTGATGTTGAAATTTTGCGACCATTATCCAGTATCGCGAATTAGAAAAATTACTTCCATATTTATTCGACACTTCGAAAGTAACTTGTTTTTTTACGGGAATATCTTAAGCGTTTAGAGTTGTGTTTGGAATTCCGATTTATTAATTCGAAGCTTTCTTCATTGACAGAGGAACCAGTAGTTAGATGCGCTTTAATGCAGGGTTATTTTGCAGGGAGGTAGATTCTCAGTCGGAAGCAGATGAGGGATCGGCGGAGATCAGTTCTCCTCCCGCTGAAGAAGAGGCACTTCATGAGCGGGAAGATGAAGACGAGGAGGACGAAGCAGCCAAAGGGTCAGATGAAGAAGAGCAAGAAGATCCCAAAGACTACCGGAAGGGTGGCTATCATCCTGTGAAGATTGGTGACTACTTCAATAATCGCTACCATGTCGTGCGGAAATTAGGTTGGGGTCATTTCTCCACCGTTTGGCTGTGCTGGGATCTGCTAGGAAAGCGTTTTGTGGCACTGAAAGTGGTCAAAAGCGCTAGTCATTACACTGAGACCGCGCTGGATGAAATTAAGTTACTGCGCTGTGTCAGGGACGCCGATGGAGCAGATCCGCATCGCAGTCGCGTTGTGCAACTGCTTGATGACTTCAAAATCTCCGGCATTAACGGCACTCACGTATGCATGGTTTTCGAAGTGTTGGGATGCAATCTGTTGAAGTTAATTATCCGCAGTAAGTATCGTGGAATCCCTTTGGAGAACGTGCGCTGTATCATTCGACAAGTGTTGGAGGGATTGAATTATCTTCATTCTAAATGCTCGATTATCCACACTGACATTAAACCAGAAAATATTCTCTTATGTGTGGATGAACGCGATGTGCGGAAACTGGCCTCGGAGACCATTGAAATGCAGCGGGCGGGCTGTCAGTTGCCGGCTTCGGTGGTGTCCACCGCTCCGAAAGATCAGCGCACCAATTTGATTACCAGCGATATGTCGAAGAAGAAGCGGAAGCGCATCAAGAAGAAACAGAAACGTCAAGAGCTACTGATGCAGGAACAGGAAAAGCAGTTGCTTGAACTGGATCGTCAGGCCTCCGATGAGCCTCCAAGTGTGGCATCGGGTCATGATGATCGCTTTACGCGGCATCACGATGCACATCAACATGGTGCGGGTGCGCCGCGTAGTCCGGGCACGAAAGAGCGCAAGGCCATACATGCCATGGACGCCATTTATGATGAGATTACTGGGGCGTCAAGTGAGAAACTGGCAGTGCCCAATTTAGCTCCGGTGGGCGAAATGAATTTATCAGCAGACAATCCGCCGCATTCTCCAAAGGGAAACGGTAAGATTAACACGCGCCAACCATGGCTAATTGTAGAGTTGTCATTATAGCTGGTAGAAATTATGTGATATATTAGAGCGATTGGTCGCTGTTTCTCATATGGATTAGTCGGGCGTCATGCTTTTAAAATAGGCAAGAACTGCGCATTCGTTCAACTGCTCTTCAGAACGGTTAAGGAACGCAGTCTGTGATATCGTTATGAGTGGGGGTTGTGACGATATGGAATGCAATAAATACGAAACCATTGTAAATATAGAGTAGAGTCAGTAGACAGCAAAATACTCGTAATCATGTGGATGCATTCAACGTCAAGTATAATTATTAATGTTGTCATATATCCAGACTGATTTTATGTAGCTTCCGGTTTCAGTCCTTGATTTCCTTTTTAAGGTATCAGTGAGAATCCCAAAGGCGGTGCAGGTGGCAGCATTCATAAGCAACCATCGGCATTGTCCCTTCTGGAACAGAATCTCCGCTCTCTGGATGAAAACGGTTGCAATGGGATATTACCGAATTTGACTGGCAACGGTATAGGTTCGATGGTGCCGCAGAAAGCTCTAAATGTGACACCGTGCGGTTTCATGAACGATATTACCGAGCGGCCGGATCCTGTACACGACATTTGTGATATTCCGGTGAAGATCGCCGATTTGGGCAACGCGTGCTGGACAAGCCTGCACTTTACTGAGGACATTCAGACGCGTCAATATCGATCGCTGGAAGTTCTTATTGGGGCTGGCTATGGGCCACCAGCCGATATCTGGAGCACGGCCTGTATGGCCTTTGAAATGGCAACGGGCGATTACCTCTTTGAACCGCACTCTGGCGATGACTACTCACGGGACGAGGATCATATTGCCCATATTATCGAGTTATTAGGACCAATTCCACGCCATCTTGCCCTGGCTGGAACATACAGTCGTGAATATTTCACCCGGCAGGGTGGATTGCGCAATATCAGTGATTTGCGTCCGTGGGGAATGTTTGATGTGCTAGTGGAAAAGTATCGCTGGCACCCTAGGGATGCAGCGGGCTTTAGCGATTTTTTGCTGCCGATGCTGGATTTTGATCCGCAGCAGCGCGCTGCCGCAGCAGAATGTTTGAATCACCCTTGGTTAACCGGCGATGAAGAGGCTCTGACGCGCAAATTATGCCCCAACCTCCCGGAAGTCAGGTCCCCTTCGGCAGAGGATGGCGATGGGCCGGCATCCAATGATTCAAGCAGTGATCTGGATGAATACTTGCCAAGTGGATATCGCGTTGATGAATATTCAGATGAAGCGGATAATGGCGATGCGAGCGGTAAATGTCGAATGTGTGTTGTGTAGCAGCGTAATGTCAGATTGATTAAGTGAAGCATTTATTCGCACTCTTGGTGCTGATTAAACCCTTAATAATTAAATCGCATTCACTGTAGTTTTTTTAGTATATTAGTTATAAAGCGCTTATTAGACCCCTATTTATTTAACAGCACTCACTGTACTTATTTTGTTGGGTATTTGTTAGAACGTTCTGGATTACGTATTTGGTTGTGTAGTTAGGGTGAAAGTTTATAAGTTTGGTTGTGTAGTTAAGGTGAAAGTTTACTTTCCAGCAGTTTATTTCTTTCGTTGCTAAAGAAATTATTTGATTTGTTAATCGCTGAGTATTTCGCCTTGTCAATAATTGTTGGCCGAATGTTGTTTAGGCGAAGAAGAAGAAGACTGGCAGAGCGTGAGTGAACAGAACCCTACAACACGCTCCAGCGGTTCGGACGGTGATGGGGGAGCTTCGTACCCGGCCTTTGTGACGGCTCACGAGGTGTCCAATAGCAGTGAGCCGTCAGCACTGCCTCGTGATAATTTGGATCCCACGCTTCTAATCGGCGCATTGGACGGCGGTGATGCTGAGCGCAACACGACTCCAATTCTGGCCTTCAGCAATGGGCGATTGATGAATGGTCCGACGACGACGGCGACGACGATTCCAGTAGACGCTGGTGACACCAGTAGTGACGCCAGAGCCAGTGATCTGGAGAACTGTGATGATGTGGAAGTCAGTGCCCTGCGCAAATGATACCTCCCTCTTATCCTCTCTCTCCCTTTGCGCGCCCTGTCCCTGATTATTTTTCTCATCCCAGCTGTACTCTTCCCCCGTTGTTATATTTGTTTTCAAGTGGAATCTGACAAACAATCAGTGTAGTGTTTCGCTGGAAGTACCGGCATCGCTCCGTGTAATGCATGCGCTGATTTTTCTTGTGAAATGCCACAGCTGACCGAATTAGAGCGCTGCAGTAAGTAACGTGCGGATTCTTGATAATAAGTGATCCAATGAACGCCGTTTGCCACTGGTTTTGTCGCCTAGTCTTGTTTGTTTCATGGTGGATACAGAAAGATTGTTTTTTCGTGTTTACTATCTTGTAATTTCCCTTTTTGTTATAGTATGTTAATTTTCTCTATCGTACTTATTGGCGCTCATTTTTAGTAAAATGTCTTAGCGCTTTGGCATTATTTATGGAGCTTTATCTTTCAAAGCAGTGTTGCTTTATGATGTCTGATAAGGTACGGGTTATAAACATGCTTAAATGCATCTGCATAATGAATTCGGCAATAGAGGCTTGGCTAGATTTCCCATTAAATACTTGCAGTAACAACAGTGTAGCTTGAAAGCTTCATAACAGAAGTATAGACTCTTATACTTATGTCAGTTGCTACACGATATACTTTTTATTCAAATATCTGCCAAGACTAATTAAAACTTGTAATATACTGTACTTAAGAGTCTTACGAAATTATTAATACTGCTCTAAATCCAAATAAAACCAAAATCGAACTCGGAACCGTGAACAAATTGCTTTAACAAGTACGTACGGCAAATACTTACTCGTACCTCTTTGAACGGTACCTTAAACAACAGCTGTTATAAATTCATAATTATTCATTTTCATTTCTATACTTTGAAACGAGTAAATAAATACGGTAATAACTCCCGTCTAGTAGTGCGCTTTTACGTTTTACCAGTTTTTTCACAGAAGGCTTAACTGCGGAAGCGTCATAGCAATACAATACTCTGCATCTGCAATCAAAATAAATACTAAGTAACTGCCTTAATACTGCCAAAAAGTAAATTTTTTATGTATTTTTAAGCCTATGGATACGATTTTTGCTTAAGAATACTTTTGTGATCATTTGGCACAGACCAGCCACAAGGACAACCGCCTTGGATGTTGTTCGGATGATACCGATCGTTGTCGGTACCATAGATCATTCTGCATACGAGTAGCACTGTTTTTAGTGTTGTACGCTGTATCTGCTCTCGTGTTTATAAAGTGTCACTCTTCAATAATAGCGCATAAACTTTATCAGTACTAAATTTTGCTTTCGTTATTTTTCCAGTTTATTTGCAAAAATTTTCCTGCTGTTATAGAGTAGTGACTCCAATACATATCTTCCCGTTACTGAATGGGAATTTCGGACATGCAGGTGAGATCGTAGACATTACGCTAATCTTCGTGCAGAAAAATATTGGAGAGTGTGCCAGTATGCCGCGTTCAGGTAACTAACGAATTCTTTGCAGCCTCCTGGTTCCCTACGTTTTCGCTCTTATGGCATGCACGCTGGAAGTGGCGATGCTGGCATGCAGAATCCGCTGCGAGCATATCCGCGCAATCCACTGTCGCCCGAGAACCTCGCACCGCGTCGTAAGTTACGCAGAATTCTCCACAACCACCTAGTTGGCCGTAGCATAGCGTTTCACAAGCGCGCAGAACGCACAAATGTTCTAAATAAAATTACGCAAATATGAAAAATTCGGTTTTGCAGCACGACTGTTTCTGGGCGACAATCGCGGTGATAACTACGGCGCACCAGCGCTGAAAAGTCCCACGTTCGATCGCAACGATTCACGCAGCGGTCCGTTTATCTTCCTGCTGGTCAGTGTCACCGCACTGAAATTCCTCTTTATTCCCGCCTACCGTTCCACCGACTTCGAAGTGCACCGCAACTGGCTGGCTGTGACGCATTCGCTGCCCGTGCGCCAGTGGTACGTCGAAGCCACGTCAGAGTGGACGTTGGACTATCCGCCGCTCTTCGCCTGGATGGAATATCTCCTCTCCCACGTGGCGCGACTCTGTGATCCCCGTATGCTGATGATCACCAAATTGCCGTACGCCAGCCACGCCACCGTCGTCTTTCAGCGCGTCTCGGTGATTGTGCTGGATGCGACGTTCGTGTATGCGACATACCAAGGTTATCGTTATTTACTGCAGCGCGCACTGAGCGCCAAGAGCCGCGCGGCGTATTCACCCGGGACGATTTATGCCTGTCTGATGTTGTGGAATGTGGGCCTGTTAATTGTGGATCATATTCATTTTCAGTATAATGGATTTTTATTGGGGTTTGTCCAGTTGGCGGTGATTCGGATGGTGGAGAAACGGTATTTTGCTGCGGCGCTGTGGTTCAGTGTGGCGTTGAATTTTAAGCATATTTTTCTGTACATGGCCCCGCCGTTCGGCATATTTCTCCTGCGACAATGCTGCTTTCCCGAGGGGATTTCGCTCAAAAATTTTAATATTAAAGCCTTTGCCATTTTGGGGGGGATTTTTCTAGCCGCTTCCGCAGTTTCCCTGGGTCCGTTTATTTATTTAAATCAGCTGGGACAAGTCATCAGCCGACTGTTTCCTTTCCAACGGGGTTTAACGCACGCCTACTGGGCGCCGAATTTTTGGGCCTTGTACAACACTGCGGATAAATTTCTCACGATCGGCGCGACGAAACTGCAGTTTATTCATTTACCGAATGGGACGGCGGCGTTAACAGGAGGCTTGGTGGGTGGGCAAGAGCATACTCTATTGCCCAGTATTACTCCGTCCGTGACCATGCTGCTTACCGTATTGGGAATGCTGCCGGCATTGTGCATGCTGTGGAATGCCAAAACGGGGGATCAGTTCGTCAAGGGTTTGACTATCTGCACACTCTCAAGCTTCCTTTTCGGCTGGCATGTGCACGAAAAAGCCATTCTGCTGGTGACCATTCCGTATACGTGGCTGGCGATTAATAACAATAAGGATGCCAAGATTTATTTGATTTTGACGACGGCGGGGTATTTTGGACTCCACCCGCTGCTGTTCACCGCACCGGAAGTGTCCCTTAAGTATATGATGCTGTTTTTATATGGATACGTTTTATTTCGACTGTTGAAGGATCGGTTTCCTCTCAGTCAATCGGCATGGAGTGTGTTTCCATTGCTGAATGCTGCGGAATCGTTGTATATTTTGGGATTTTTTGCCGTGGCTTTATATGGAGAGTGTATACATTTTGTTTTGCATTTGGATAGAAACCTGCCATTCCTTCCTCTCATGATCACATCCGCATACAGTGCTCTTGGCGTTGTGTATGCGTATGTCAAGTTGTTGCTCTCTGGTATGCGATAAATTAAGTATTTTCCGATAGGCTGTTACGCCTTTGAGGAAAAGAGTTTTAAAAAATTTTAGAGGCTACTTTGTATGTTTTAACCAGTTTATACCCGAAAAGCCATTAAAACCCTGGGAATTTGCACATTTCATTTTACTTTATGGCTGTTCTGCCACTTCTCGGTTGATTCACAAAGAACTGTATACATACTGGGAGAATTTCAGTCACAGCATCACTTTATTGCGAACGCACAATTCAATTGGGTATAAAAACAAGTGAAAAATCACAGAAACAACAAAAGCAGTCCACTTTTGAGCAGAAAGTAAATACATTCTTATCCACATTATCATAATTAACTTTCAACACCCAAAACGTAAAAATAACAGAATGTCTTTGGTACAAGAGACTTATAACAGTAGACACAGACAAACAACAATGCGGTCACTCCGCACATCAGGAATGCATTCACACCTCCGACGAACTCGGTTTCCTTTTAACATTCTGATTAAACAAATAGTTTGCTCTGGAATTTACAACGGGGCTAAGATCATCGGGAACATCAGAATGAAATCCACTGGAATGATCGGAAAACGACGGCTTATACGTCACGCCGGGTGCCGCCGTATTGTGCACCGAGCGATTAACCGGTATAGTGACAAACTGATCGTTCAGGTAATCTTCGTTTTCGATCAGATTACCTGGTCGACTGGGATTCGGTGACCGGGAGAGCATTGGCTGTAATTCCATATCATCCAGTGCATTCTTTGCGCCAACAGGACGCACAGTGCGCTTGGGTTTCGTTGGGGTTTCGGTAGTATGTCCGGGAAGGACCTTATACGTTGGCACATACGTCTGGTTGTTCACTGGACCATGTCCATCCACGACGCTTGTGGGTACTTCCTGTGAGCGTCGACGGAACTCATCGTTAACATAATCGGAACCGATTTGATTGGCGACATTTTGATCCTGATATGGAATATTCAGGTCGATGTATTTTTTCCGTACAGACGCTTCCAATAAACTGCCAAGATGTACACCAAGGGCAGAAAATGATGGTCGCGCCTTTGGTGCTGCTTCCCAGCAGTGTTTCATCACTTCGTACCTAACAAAATTTATTAGCTATCATATAATTCTCAACCGAATTTCACAGGTAAATCTCTGGACTGCGAATCATTTTTGAACCAGTTCAAAAATCCATTTCCTTATTGGTGCATGGCTAACAGACCTATCATGCGTTTTTCAATTTAATAATACCGACTGCACTTATTGATTGATTTTTGCTCATTATCACTACAGGGAACAAGAAATACTACCAACATACATTTCTTTAGGCGCCAGGTACGGACGCTCCATGCGGTATCCATCCCGAACCCTCTCGACGAAATCCTGGTCAATATTCAGACCAGGATAAGGAGTTGATCCGAGGGTGAACAATTCCCACAGCAATATGCCAAATGACCAAACATCACTCTCCGTGGAAAATACGCTCTCATAGATACACTCAATGGCCATCCATTTGACAGGCAATTCAAACTGCAAATATTATCTTATACATCGGCTTACAATAAAACCTGAAGTGTTTCCGCAGAAATCAGTCCATACCACATTTTTCTTTGTGTAAACCGAGTACTCTTGTCGCGCCAGGCCAAAATCGCAAATTTTCACCACGTTGTCGTCGGCAACCAGTACGTTTCTTGCCGCCAAATCACGATGAATCACGTGATGAGAAGCAAGATATTCTGAAGCAGAAACGAAAAAATTCATTTGGTTGTGCGGCTTATTGGGTATCTCCATATCTGCAGAAGTACACCAAACCTTACCCATTCCACGGCTAACTTGGAAAGCGTAACAAATAAGATCTCGTGTCGTAAGGATGCGCCCGTCAAAATCCTTCTCTTTTTGACGTTGTAATTCCATTTGTTTTTTCTCGATTTCGTCCAGCTGATCGTCCGTTAACGGCAACAAAACGCCTTCAATGACATCCACTTGATTGAAGAAACGATGACCTTGATGGCGCTGAAGGTATTCGCGCAGTGACCCGTTTGGGCAGAATTCCATTAACATATACAATTCACCTAAACAAATGACCTCGCTGTCGCAAAAGCTAACTATAGCTTAGCAAACCATTTCATAAAAGCACCAGAAAACACTACAATACACTGAACACTATGTTGGTAATTTTTTGGAACTTTTTCCATGCAGCTGAATTATTTATAGAAAAAGCGCGAAACTGCTGACATTTGTAATACTGGACATGTATTATTAATATAAATAATTTCGCATGATAACAGCATGCCATGGTTAACTAGAATAAAAATAGTAATAAATAATTTGTGGAAACGCGTTTAGATAATTACCTTTCGTCAAATTTTTGGTAACCGCTCCGAGTAAATTAACAACATTCAAATGCTGTCCAATGTGCGCCATAATTTTGATTTCTCCCAATAGAGATTTCCGTTGAACAATATCCGCAGTTTCTTTGAGCGTTTTCACGGCTACAATGGTCCGGCCGGGAACATTGTTTAAATCCTCAGCTTCTGCCTTGACCACTTTGCCGAATTGTCCAGAACCCAACACTTTGCCCACTAAAAGACGACCATCAGGATGATAATGATTATTATATTTTGCTCATAATTGAAAACCGAATCTAATCACACGTGCTAACAAAGTTGTTTGTCGACAATCTGATCCAGCCACCTTGGTGTATTATTAGTATACCCCAAGAACAGCAAGGAAATGTTGCGAATAAATTCACAAAACTTACAAATATGTAATTTTTCTTTCGGAAATTCCCATTTTTCGTCATACGGCAGTAAAGCCACTTGGTCCGTGAGCGGCACGTTCGGATCAATCAGTGCCGGATTGGCGGTGTCGTTGTGCAGCAGCGCTTCCAAGTACACCAATTCCGCAATCCTGTTCTATATTATTTTTATCAAAATTACGTTTATGGTAAAAATTCTTTATGGTAAACTGCAATCTATAACTGTAACCAACCGCGTACCTTCTGTTTTATGTTGCGCAGGCAGCAGAATATCGCAATCGGAGTGAAAATCAAAAATATACCCCCGACAATCCCACCAATCATGGCCAAATTCTTCTGTCTATCCTCGTAAGACACTCCACCCACCACTTTCCAGGTCTTGGAGATCTCCCCGGCGGCATTTTGCACCACACATAAATACTGTCCCTGATCGTCATGTGTGAACTTGGCATTAATCAATCGCGCACCATTCTTATCGATGGTCACAGCTCCATTCGTAGACACAGGTCGGCCATCTTTAGTCCAGGTATACCAAGGCACCGGCTTAGCGGTCGCTTCACAGTCCAATTCCAATCGACCTTGATAGTCAACGTTTTTTTCCGCCACGTCCTCCTGGACATGTGACACAAACGCTGGTGCGGTAGGGGCTATAGGACATCAGTTTTGCAAATAAGTTGACAATGTGTGACTTGATGTTGTTCAAGAAACACGTCATTATAATTCAGTCATCGTAATTCTAAGTTCTAATAAAAACTGGGCTTATAATTTTGGCCATTTTCCGAAAGCGCATGTGCGCAAAACGCAGAAATGGTTTCTATAAATGAATTTCAGCTATCCAACTGTGCACATGCGGCCCCACAAACACAGCAGCAAATACTTTTATACCTCGGACTTTCAGTTCGAAGGGAACACTCCGTCGTACATCAACTGAACCAGCCCGGCCAGCTATGCATCGGTATTGTCCTTCCATATCCGGTTGGACTTTATCCATTCGCAGTATAGCGACGTGTGAGTAGATATCATCCACATCGCCAGTGGCTAATCTGATGCCGCTATTCTGCTCCACTGCTTGGAAACCACTATTATAATTCCAACTGCTTAACGGCTGTTTTTCCCACTTTGCGTAGCTGTATTCGTAGTTGTTTGCTTTGCAAACGAAAGTGACGTTTTCGTGTTGAACAGGCTGAGCCGGGACCATGGTTGCTTGAAATCCCTCTTCCACATCTACGAAAGAAATTGTAAACTAAATCCACAAATGGCAAAAACTGACCCGATCATCTTCGCCTCGTAGTACTGTTACGGTTACGGAACGTCGACGTTTACCGTACATGTATTTCGACTTTTCTATCATGCACAATCAGCGCTATCATAATAATTACTGCAGACAGTCTGCGAAACACTATCTTATTTTATACGCGGCAATAAATAAACTACCTGTACCTGTAATTAACACTCTTTGATCCAACGTTCTTTTATGGGTGCTTCCCATAAAATTGTTTTCTGCCATACACCGCAAAAATCCGGAATCACCAATCATCTGTTTAGACAGTTTAGCGGTTGTGTACCGCCCAGTGATGTCCGTATGAACAGTATATTGTTCATTCGGAACAAGCACAAATCTGTTTTCCCCTCCATCTGGTCCGCTATCCAGGCACGTCCGAGAGCATGGCGCCCATAGTAGAATAACATGCGGAGCGGGATAAGCGGTCACCGAACAAATAAACTCAACCCGCGTGTTCCACATAAAAAACGGCTTAGATTTATGTGAAATAATTTCAATCGTCGGTGCCTCTGTAAAATAAAATTTAATAGTTCCTATTGTATAATTATGTAATTTGCTCATGCATTTTCTTCAACATACATACCATTGACAATCAAAGTAACGTTGGCTGTATCTCTTTCGCCACGAGCAGTGGCCACTAGTGTGTAGTTGCCGGCATCCTCCCCAATCGCCCCAACTATCTGGATGCCGGTCATATTAGCGTATCCCACACGCATTATCCGGCCCTGTCCCACCGCCACCAGCTTCTCGTTCTTGTACCACTGCAGTCTTGGCTCCGGATGGGCATCCATAGTGACGTAAACATCGGCCCGTGCGCCTTTAATGACCTCCACTTTCGGCTTAGGCACTCCCAGTGTCACATGGCTATTTCCTAAGAAGCGTCAAAACCCATCGTAACTATCAGAAGTGTACATTTTAAGGCTTTAGGAATCAGAATTCAAAAATATACACCACCGAACGCAATACGATCATGAACTACACAAAGTTTTGTTCGGCTTACTATGCACGACGATCGAAAGCTGTGCAAAGCATCTCACCTGGATAAATTTTCACGTACACAGTACGCGATCTCACGTTTGCCGTATTGGAAGGAAACTTTGAAGAGCAAGTATAGTCTCCATTGTCCAGAAACTCGGATGTTCGAACAGTCAGTATTTTTCTAACCACCCTGTACTGCAAACCGCTCTCTGCCCCGACTTTGTCCTCCGTTTCCTCCTTTTCATCTTTCCTTCCCCCTGTCTGAAGTAAAACTTACTAAAACACCTAAGGTAATTTTTTTTCGGACAGTTATTCGAAAACCGGGTGAGACACTGCAGTTGGGTGATTTGACTTACCGAAGCGGAAGGAAGTGTCCAGTCCAGTTCAATAACCCCATGTGGTTTAATATGCACTTCGCACGATATGGAAAAATCTTTTCCCAGAGTGACATGTCGAACGGATTCAGTATTGATGTGAGGCACGGGTGGGTCGCTGTTCTCTGTAATGAAAAACAAATACTGCAACAAGTGACCACGTTCCAATAAGTACGTATATTCAGCATATAAAATCAGTACCAAAGTAATAAAAATGGAGGCTTTTATCAGCTTTCTTTTCCTTTCCTCCGATTTTTACTTTGAAACGACAAGTAAAACCGCCGGAGAAAAACACCGTGGGGTACAAAACAGTAAAGCCGATGGTTGGATCATAACGAAGATCTTCCGTTAACGGTCGATTTCCTTGTCCCAATAACTCCACGACAGCATTGGAGTATGTCGGCAAACAGGCAATTATGGACGGCACGCCCTGGTTCAGTGTGATAAATTCCGGAAGATCGGGAAGTGCACCATCCTCAATCAAGAACAGCTGTTCTGGATCTAGAAAAAACTTCCTAATTCAATTCTTTAATAATGCCGAAAATATGACTCAGTACAAGACGCACCAGTATATTACAGGTACTATATATGTACGACTACTTAATCAGCAAACGCAGATGGCAAATTAATCAAATTAAATATAATTACCAGCTTTTTCGGCAGTAGCATTTCCTGATTGCATTAGTGTCATCATGCAGTTGCAGTTGCCGCACAGTTATTGTTAACATTTAAACATATGAAGTCAAATCTAATGTTTTACATATTTTAATTAATCAAAATACATTTGAAAGGTTTTTTGCTCAGTTTCAATTTCATGCTATGCTAGCATCAATAAATTCTAGAAATCGCCCATGTGCAAGTGTTTCTTAGGAAATGTGCGGTTCGTGGTTAAACCAGATCCAAATCGTTATTGTGTGATACGCATCAAACATGTACAAACATCGCACCAAAAACCAATTTGATTTTTTCAGTAAGAAATAAAGAAGTTTAACCAACTTACCATTAACAAAAACGTAAATAGAGCGAGTGTATTTCTCGTCGACGTTGGAATCTTTTTGCGGCGGAGAACCGACATATTTGCATTGATACCGGCCAGTATCGGATCCAGTCGCCGTGTTAACTGTCAGTGTGGACACAACGCCTTCCGGTAGATTAATCGTATCAATCGTAACTTTGTTATCATTCTGGAAAACACGAGTGTAAACAAAGATAAAACGTCTGATCGGATCTCGGCACGATGAAATCGGTCCGAAGGGAATACGCTGCTTTATATTAGGCATAAACACACCGCAATATGTATGCTTGCATTTATCAATACATTCATAGTTTAATCAAATTCTTCGGTTGGTAAAGAAGGCTGTCTTACGGAGTTAGCGATAACATACCCGCTGAGCTTCTCGCGGCAGCACCCAGTCAATTGTCTGAACGCCCCTGCATTTTAATTCAAAATTTCCACCGGCTGGAGTGTCTATAAATGGTGTACCCGGAGACAACACAGGACGATCCCGAATATCATTGTCTGCAAAATCACACCGTTGCTACATGTATCACACATAAACAAACTTATTCAACGAAAATCCAGATGTGCTACAGTAATAATTCATGGTCAAGCTATCAAGTCCATACATAGTAAGTTATTAACGTAAGTATGTATGCACTATGCAATTCAATGTAAAACGATTAATTATAATAAAATTCAGAGATCAACTCCTAAATTCTAGGAGTTGATCTCTAAATTTTAAATTTTATAGCAAAGCAATCGATTTGCGTCATATATACACAGAACGAGTGCATCAAACATGTTTGCAGTTTTCTTGTGCTTCCGGTCGTAGTTCATATTTCAGACGCTTCAAAGATGATCGTTTTTTATTCCGAAATTTCAGTACATTTAAATTTTTGCATACGTTGACGTGCAGTTCTCTAACCAGCAGTGTCTACTGTCCATTTCTATGGACACCGCACTGCGCTTTTTTGTGGACGCATAATATTATGTGTACAGATCGTAGCCCGTTGGTGTTGAATCAAACCGTGGACTGATATGACCTCCATCCGCTGCTGATGAACAGTCAATAGTCTCACTCTCCATACAGCGAAATGGAGTAACATGAGCGTGCCGACAGAGTTCGGCCAAATGGAACGTCATGAACAAACGTTGAATGCGTGACGCATACCACTTTACAAACACAACCCTATCGATCTGGGTGAATCACCTTGCACAAACCGGTACTAATCCATGCATACTTTGATAATTTCTCGTGTTCTCAGAAGACTGAAAAGTCCTTCACTTTAACGTCTAAACCACTGTGGTCAACATGACATCACAGAAGGATCAATGAAATAGCGACATTTTAAAAACCGGGATGTACAGTGTACCATTAATTGGGAGCAAATTCCACAGGCCAACGTGAATCGATAAAAAATAAACAGATTTAACCAAAACTATCAGAAAAAATGAGAGTCATTATTGATAACAGGTGTAGTTTTTCCTTGGTTCTCAGACTTTTGCACTTGAGGTTCACATGCCGCACCTCATAAAAATACGGACACACTGTCGAAAATTATGTTGCGTTTTTTTTCATGAAAATAAATTTAACGCAACCAGGATACCAAGACAGATACGAGTACCTAGACGTAATTACTGTATTAGCATCACTTAATGACATTTCAGCATTTATTTAAAAACCTCGCAGTCTAATAAAGAAACTCAAACAACCAACAACTGTAAGAAAAAACACGGATTCCATGCGTATTTAAAACTCCGTCATATTTGTATTCACCATATGAAAAGTTATAAAATAGTATTTTATAAAATAGTGTTTTACTTTTATCAATTCCATTATAAAATAGTATTTTACTTTTATCAATTCCTCACAAAGAAAAGACGTTGCGGTGTCCAAAACCAACATTTGCTGTGCAGGCTGCGGACGTATTAAATAAAACTAAGGATTTCGTTCTCCTGATTAAATTATATACTGTATTATATGAAAATTTATTTTGATTACCACAAGCAGTTTTAAGTTGTACGAGTATATCTGGAGCCTGGACGCATTTACAAATGACCAGTCGCACAAAGAACATTTAAAATTCAGGTGTATAGTATATACCACATATACTATAATATTATTATACATTATTATAACATGTGATACATACATATTTGCAGTTCTCGGCAGTTACCGCCTGCCGCTCCACGAGAAATGTTTTTGGGGTGGATACTTTATTTTTACCTTTTTTATTATTAATCACTGACAACTGCACATGCAGCTTTTTACCTTGTGCACAAGAGTAGCCCAGGAGCAAAAGATAAATCGAAAATTCTATTATGCCAATATGCAACTTCCGATATGGTAAATCCATGGCGACGAACATAACAGATCAACGACAGGGCACACCGGTTTCTTCTCGATCGCTGTCCAGTTAAAGAGATTCGCGAAAAACAGGTGACGAACGAGTTCAAGTCTGTGCCATCGTACAAGTACACAGTACTGCACAGTGCACACAATTTAAAGGATATGGGTCTACTTGGAAATGGAGTCCATACCCATATCGGCATTAATAACAGTGCACAATTTTGTTGTGAATGACCAAGGGTGTGGGCAACTGTCGCAACCCAACCTACGAACTCCTGGTTAATGATCGATAATCGATGCTGGTTCCAGAAGCACTGCTCTGATAGTGAAGTAAAGCGCCAAATGTCGTGTACATCAGTACATTAAAGTTAAACCATTCGGTCATTCATTCATAAATAACAGCAATTGTAATTCCGAACAGTGATTCGCAAATTACGAAACAGATGAAAATAATCCTTTTCTGCACATTCTGCCGTCGAAATCTTCGATTACGGATAGATTGAGGAGCGCTTTCACTTTCGAAGCAAAACAAACCCAACTTCAAGCATCGTTTAGCATTCTTCACTGCCGTTATTTTTATGAGTTATGTTATGGCATGCAGCGGAGTAAGTATAGCAAATGTTGCACACAACTCAAACAAGTTTATTGTACAGTACTGTAAAAGAGGCGTAAAATACGTATGGTACCGAACGTTGGTCCACATGTGCGGCGTCTGCCATTTGCCAAACCGGCTCAGACGTATCGTAGACTGTGGAATAAATAGCGGCACTGTTTTCTGTCAATGTTTCACCTGTGCAATATGCGTCCGGTGCGGCTTGTATGTACAATACATAGGTATTAACTAACCATAAGTATCAAGTGCAATAGTGCATACTGTTTACCAGTAGCAGTCCTGTGGTACCGTATAGTACTGGTTGTGGCGCTAAACATGAAAGCAAATGCGGACTACAGTACAATAACTTTGAAACCGTATTAATATTAATGTTAACTTTGAAAAACCGTACCTAAACCGCTTCAGCTATCAAGTCCCGCGTGTCGTCTCGCAACTCGCAAGCTGGCTTACCGTTCCGTTAGCAAGAGACGACGGAAAGCGATTAGGCGGCGTAACCGTGTTTTCCTGGAGAAATGGAAAGACAACGGATGGTATCATGGTTTGCAACAGTCGCCGACACGGGACAACTAACGTTATTGAACTTAATTGAAAACAGATGATCAGATACCAATGGGAACGAAGATGATTACTTACACTACGAGTACTGTACTTTAACTACCGGTATGCCATGCTTTAACAGACCGGGTATCTGGGATTTCGTATAGTAAAATTCTTAAAGAAAGTACTCATTTTAAGCACATGATTTCAAAGCAACCCTGACGAAATTCCACCTGCTGAGTCGGAACCCGGGACTAAGGATAAAACGTTTGCCCGCTAGGACAATAATGACGACAGTCGTTGCCCTCTCCTGCGTCGACGTCGCTACCTTCGCTGGGTGGCGACAAACGAGAAATGTTTATGAATGACATAGCAGAAAACGTGGAGGATAGCGGACCCTGACTGTCGAAGTTTTTGACACTTGACAGAAGAACAATATTTTAATTGTGCCATTTTTCGTGAAGGAATTCGTACCTATTATTAGATTGTGCGAAAAAGCGTTTTTGCAATTGTATCACACGAACATCTTATAGCAGTAAATTTTGGCCAATTGACGGTGAGGCTGAGTTGACTGAGATAATACTTGGTTTTTTTATTTGTTCATCTCTGCAATCTGAGAAATGGTAAGTCTGTTGTTTGCCTTGCGTACCTTGTGTTGCCTTGTGTTCCCAACGGAAATTTTGCTTCCAGAGCTTCGGTTATTCTACCTTCCACGCGAAAGGTGCTAGTAATCATGCGAGTATCGACGGCGCAGTCGAGCAAGAAAGCGTTAATCCCCACGGACTTCGCGATGCTCTGCAGTCGGGGTTCGTTTCGTTTTTGTCGATCATCTGCATAACCGCGTCACTGTCTCTGTCAAGACTTTCGCTGCTGTTAAGTCTTAACTGTAAAACTGGCTTTTTCAGTCTGTCCTCTGTAGCACGAAAGGCGGTGGATGTTCATCCTTTGGAAATATCTGAATTATATGTAAGTGCTGTATGCCCTGAGTCTCCGACTCTGAAGTGAAGTCTAAACTGACAGTACGAGTACTTAAACATGAACGCAGGAGTCTGAGGAGTGGCATATGAACTGATACGCGTAAAAAGTATTCTAACACTCACAATTCTGTATTCGAATACCAGATCGCTGTTTACGGTTAACCAATCTGTATGCGGTAATAATGCGAACAAATTTCTTTATAGCATGATACACAGGAAGATCGAATGAATTACGCCATGCTTCGGTCGACTCAAGGAATCCATGCTCCTCTGCGTCTACAGATGGAAAAATTTCTGGTTAAACAGGTACTGTGGTTGAACTGTGGTTTTTATAAGTATCATTGTAAGTGTGAACCTGGAGTTCTGACTTTGTGAAGCTTTTCTCTAAATTTTTGGTCAGCTGCTGTTTTTACTATTGAAAATTGCCCAAGGTCGGTTCATATTAGAAAATAAAATCCCGTAAATTCTGTTGTACTTGTTGTGATTGCAGCCTTCGCGAAATTCGGTAATGCCTTCATCCAACCTCCATCTGGACGTTCTGAATGGCAAAGATGAAACTATTGATTTGGAAGACGTTCTCAATGGTACGCGCAGTGCAATGTTACTTATCGGCTGGTCGTAGGAACTAAGAAGCGATTATGCAAAAGCACTGGTTTTCGGTCTTCTAAAGAAACTTCCATCGTAGACTGCCCGCGTTGCTTTCTTCTTTAGTTTTTCCCTTTACGACTCCTTAATATAAGATTCATTAACGTGTTTTCGTTGCTTTTTAGCACCTGAATACTGGGAGAAGGAAGTACATCCTCATTTGTTGTTGGAAAAACGATTAGACGCGAGCAACTGAAGGAATTTGTACGATTTACAGCACTGAATAACATCAACCGATATTTTTCGTTTTAACTTTAACATGCTTTGAAGGAAGTTCAGGGTTAAGACTAACTTCATGGAACGAAATTCTGATAATGTAACCTTTATGATAATGACAAGCTAAATCTTTTCATATTTGAAGGATGTTTCCTATTCTTCAGCTTCTTTTGTTTGGCATTTGTTCGACAATGTAAATCAGTCATAATGCTAAGAATCGCAAGATGCGGCACTTGGACTGATTTTACTACTTTATATTTTTAATAAACTTGGAAGTACCATGAATTCACAATTTTTATTGCCCCTCGGTTTTGATTGCCGTGAAACCAGATAACTGTCCTAGCGAGCTCCTACTTTTGCCCACAACAGCAAAAGCAAAAAACTGTCCACCCATCTTGGCGGGATTTATCAGCACATCACAAGCACTTTCAAGACGCTGCCTTTCGCTATCACTTCGGCAAGCTCGCATCAGTGCGTCAAATCTTCGTTCAAAGGCCATATTGGCAAGAAATTCGTATTGGAGAATAGGACCAAAAGTTACAGCTTTGGGTTTCAGTAATGCTTTCAAAATCGAGAAATCCACATCAGCCGTCAAATCCGTACCACCCGGACTGTCTAGCGCATCCACAACACGATGCTCCCGAAATCCGCGAAACGTATCTCCTTTTGTGCCTTCATGGCCGTAGTCAATAATCAGCGCCCCGCCACCACAGTCCGCTACCCGGTCAGCAATGTCATCCAATATTACAGCGGATTCCAAAGAAAACTCCAGATGATCGCGGTGTTTACATGGGGACGGTATCAATCGCGTTGCGGGCGTGCTTTGCGGAGCCAGCGCGAACATTAGCTGGCCGTTTTCACGGTTCAAATCAACCATCACTTCCCGAAATCCATTCTCGGTTTTTTGGAATTTGTGAATGGGGAGCGCATCGAAGAATTCATTGGCAACAATAAACGCCGGTGCTTTGGGGATATCTTGAATGCGCAGATACCATGATACGGGCACACCGTACTGACTGACACCGTGTTGATACGGAACGGCATCCTCACTCTTCCTTTCAACATTTACAATGCCCAGGCGCTGCGCTTGCACTCCGGCAAGCGCCGGGCTCCGTTCCACTAAATGCAACGTAAAGTGATTTCTGACTTGCGCGAAAGAGGAAGCGATGCGCAGAATATCGGACGCGAGAATTCCAGATCCGGGGCCAAGTTCGATAATCTAAACGACAAAGCAGGCTTTACAGATTCTGCAGAGCCGCCGGTCAGTACTTCGTGTTATTTCTTCTGCACAGGCAGCTCACAGGAAACGTGTATTACCTGGAACGCGGTAGGAGCTCCGGCTATGGCCCACTCGTTAATGCACCACAGTGTCAGTAGTTCTCCAAATATCTGGCACACTTCCGGAGAAGTGATGAAGTCACCCTGACGGCCGATGGGATTCTTACGAGTGTAATAACCATACATGGGATTAGTTAAGCATTCTTTCATGTACTCCGCGACAGTAATCGCGCCTGTTGCTTTAATTCTCTGTCCCAGGTACTGACGGAATTCCCCGGACATATCGGTGCGTCGATTGGTGTCATCCTGATAACGCGGAAGGCTTTCACGGGAATCAGAGGAATAGTATTGATTCAGGCAACGAGCGACATTTTCCAGCAGACCGCTTCTCGGATGTGTTCTCCTAGACGTCCAGTGGGATAGAAGACTGCTTCTAAATATGCTCTTCATAATCAAAATCGGAGAACAACAGAAGACAACTAGCACGATAATTAAATTTTCCGATTTGCTAAAAAATTTAAATTTTTAACTTTAGGTGAAGAACTACTTACTTTTCCTAATTACCAGTGTTGAACTTGTTTGTTGTTGTAACGTTGTTTAATTCCAAAATTTGTTGAGAAAGTCTGCTCTCTGCAGACTTTCGTACTGCCAGGCCATCCAGTTGTACCCCGGGGGTGCGCGCACAGCTGATGCGTGCAACGCGTTCCTCACTAGTGCGGGAACATCGCGATGATTGGCTGTGAAAGCCTGCGATTACAACCAATAGAAATTGTGCAACACAACGTACTGTATTAAACTTTAGTAGCACCTAATTAGTGGCACCTAGACATAACTGACTATGTTCTATATTAAAACGTGCAGTAACACCTATTCAGCTGCACTTAGACATAACTGACTATGTTCTTTGTGCTGCATTAAACTATTAGTAGCACCTAATTAGTAGCACCTAGACACTATGTGCTGTATTTTAAAACGGTAGTGTGAGTGCTACACATTAGGTGCTATTAAATGTTTGAATACAGCACAGTCAGTTATGTCTAGGTGCCACTAATTAGGTGCTACTAAATGTTTGAATACAGCACAGTCAGTTATGTCTAGGTGCCACTAAATAGGTGCTACTAAAGTTATAATACAGTACGTTGTGTTGCACAATTTCTATTGGTTAAGATCACAGCCAATCATCGCGATGTTCCCGCACTGGTGAGGAACGCGTGATTTACGCTCATAAGAAGCCACTACTCAGACTACTGCAACTGTTATTATTAATTTGGTTTATTAAAAGTACTTATCGTTTTCGTCACCTGTTTGTTTTTCGACGCAGTTTGCAAGCTACGACAATTCACAAAAAGTTTTGCTTAGTTTTTGAAAATATTGTAATCTTCGGGTTTGGTGTGGTGTGATTGATCTTTTAACTTGCGCTACAGTTTGCTAACGCAGGAAGCGATCTTATCACACAAATACATTCATTTTTCGTTTGTTTGTTCTTCTTGCACACGCAGCATCCTTCGGCATAACGCAACCGTGAGTCCGTGACGTCTCGGTCATTCTCATTTTATTTTCTTGGTCTTCCATTCATTGCGCAAAAGAGGCCGTGATCGCAATGTGTGATATATGCTAACCACTTGGAAAGTTTATTTTGCGCGTATCGGGCTATCGGCTTGCAGATGCTTCCTCAGATTGGTCGTAGCATTGTTTATTCGATTCTGAAGAATCTCTAAATCTGTTGTTTCCCGTGATTTCTCCTTATGATGTCCCGTGAATGAAACTGACAGGATCTAATATGATACCTCGTTATTATAGTTGTTAACTGATTATGCATTTTTGCCTCGCTTGTAGCACAAATTCACAATGACAAAGCAGCGGCAGTAAACTGCAGGTACACCCCTGCATCGCCTGCAGCTATCTGCTGTTACAGTAGTTGTAAAAACTGGATTTGTTGCGTCCTGTCGCACACTGCCACATGGTGGCGTGATTGCAAACTGTATTCAATTTGGATATCCATCCATCCATCCATCCACAGTTGAGAAATTCCGGTATTTTTAACGCAATGCTCGATCATGCTCTTAAGAAATCTGTTAATTGTGGGATGTGGATTCTTACTCCTGCCACCGACCGGAAAATCTTTGGACAATGGGTTGGGTAAGTACAGCACAGGTTGTAAAATTACACTGTTTGTACTTGGCGCAAATCCACCTGTTCAGTCAGTAATCACACTGTGAATGAAATTTGTTGTTGATCGTGAAAAGTGAAGACCCATTTACGGACTTCTGCGAATTCAGTTGGTCAGTTGTAATTTGTGTACAAACCTCGCTTTTAGAGTTGAGCATTTGCGCATTGGTCAAGCATGCATATTTGTAGTTTTATGGATAATGTAAAGGAAATGAGTTAGATTTGGTTTCCGACTATATGGGTCAAGGATAGATTTGTTGTTCTTTTCGTTTTGATTTCATTATTTTCAGTTAATTCAGCTGTAAATATATTTTTAGTTCTTACTCCGCCAATGGGTTGGTTGGCTTGGGAAAGGTTTCGCTGCAATATGGACTGCAAAAATGATCCGGAAAATTGCATTAGGTATGTTTTGCCGTTTTGCGCGGTAGTGGTATCGATGCCAGTATGCTCCTAAAGTTTTTTTTGCATCTGTGCGACTGTTTTCATTGTAGTGAAAATTTGTTTATGACCATGGCCAAACGTATAGCTGAAGATGGATTTAAGGAAGCCGGTTACAACTACGTCATAATTGACGGTATGTCAACTGACGATTCGGTAAAAGCACAAAATGGACTGTTGTGCTTTTTTCTACTCTAGATTGCTGGATGTTGAATGAAAGAGATTCCGCCGGTAGACTGCAGGCCGATCCAGGCAGATTTCCGCATGGCATTAAATATTTGGCAGACTATGTGGGTGCCATGGGCCGCTGATTGTGTGAAACTTACGTCGAATTTTTGTTTTACTTTTGCAATACGTATATGAATGCGACACAGGTTCATTCTCTCGGATTGAAGTTGGGAATATATCAAGATATTGGGACCAAAACATGTATCGGCTTTATTGGCAGTGAGGGTTATGAGAGAATTGATGCGGATACGTTTGCTTCATGGGATGTGGATTACTTCAAACTTGTGCGCTTAGTGTTTAATTTAAATTCAGTTCTATTGCAGTTCGTGCTGATAATTTTGTTCTTTGCAGGATGGCTGCTTTAAAGACCCTAAAGAATTTGATGTCGGTGAGTAGTTGTTTCATGATGTACGTACCAGAAATATCTGTACGTTATTCAGTAACTTGACTGGATTTTACAGCATATCCTAAATTTGGAAAATATCTCAACGAGACTGGTCGAAAAATCGTATACTCCTGCAGTTGGCCTGCTTACCAAGTGGAGCGCAAAATGATGGTGCGCATACGTTGCAAATTTATCTTTCGCTTGTAAATTAATAGGCTGGCTCGATTCATTTCTGGAGGAAGCTTAATCTGTATGTTTGTATATCTTTACGTATCTTGATGTGTTTTGTACACAGGTGAACTGGACCGGCATACGTGAGAACTGCAATCTTTGGCGAAATTATGGGGATATTCAAGATACCTATGAATCCATCACGGAAATTATTCAGTGGTACGCAGCGAATCAAGATGTGCTCACCGCAATAGCTGGACCAGGCGCATTTAACGATCCCGACATGTTGATAATAGGAAATTTCGGTTTGTCGTAAGTGAATTGAATTTCAAATACTTATTCGCGCTACCCATGAAAATTAATTTTTTTAAAAACTTGTTGATAGGTTGGGCCAGTCGGAGTCGCAAATGGCAATTTGGGCTATTTTGGCTGCTCCTCTTATGATGTCCAATGATCTCAGGAATCTTAGGCCGGAATTCAAAGAAATTCTACTGAATAGAGATATTATCGAAGTTGATCAGGATCCTCTGGGGATCCAAGGACGTCAGATATTATCAGCACAACAAGTAAGTGCATTCCTAGCCGCTTTTTTAACAAAAAAGATGAGAAATGCCCTCAATGGCAATCAGACATCGGTGCATTTGATTGAGCGAATAGAAATGCATGGAATGTGTGTGCTTTGTTTTCAGGGTCAAGGAGTCGAAGTTTGGCGGCGGCCGGTATTACCAGTGAGTCAGATTGGTAACGAAACGTGGGCTTCCTTTGCCGTTGGTATGATGGGTTGCAATTATTGACAAACTGACAATAAACAATAAAATAGAAATTTTTTCGCTATTGTTAATAGTCTGCTGGAATCGCCGCGTGGATGGTACTCCTTTTGCGTTCTACAAACAGTTAGCATTCTATGGTTTGACGCACTCTGGGGGTTACTATATCAAAGATCTTTTCACGAAAAAAGATTATGGATTAATGCAGTCTACTGATGTTCTTCCATTCCGTATCAATCCAGCTGGGAGCGTGATCATGTTTAAGGCTACGCTGGCGGTAGCTGTTGGAACAGACCATCATAAGGTAAGCGTTTTTATATTTTTGTATAACTTATGTTAATGTGCATATTACTCATTCCTTTGTGCACTGTTAATCTTTTCTAGAAGAAAGAGTCGGATTTGTTGAAAGATCGCTTGAAATTAAAGCGAGATGAAAGAAAAATGGATCCCGGGAAGTATGTTCATCATGTCCTGCCAGATTCGGATACGTCGGTTTCTCCCGGTGGAGAGACATTTGTGTTTATCTTGAAAGTTATTGCTGTGATATGTGTTCTCCTAATTGTTGTTAGACTCGTAGGATTACGGTTAGGGTTGGGGAACGTGGTACGCTCTTTTCGTAGGATGCTTTCAAACCTTAATTCCGGTATCAGGAGTCATTCCGTTTCGCTTAGAACGGCGCACACTGTGTGAATATGTTAAAGTGCTTTATTTTTTAAACCATGGTTTACGGAACTGTGAATCTCTGGGTGGAGATCTTTATGGTTACTCAGTACTCAGTTGTTTTTTTATCATAGTTTAACGTAAAAGAATGTTGGTTACTCAAGGTGTTCTTATTAAGTACATAGCCTTAAAAACTGTAGATATGACGAACAAGAACTACTCGTAGCGATTTATGCCTCACCTTTTTCCAAGTTCGCACTTCTCTGTGGAAATTCCGAATGATTGCTTCTGACACTAATCACAATTCAGGTAATCTCCTCAGTACGAGTATCAGAAGAAAATTGACTACAGGTCGCAAGATAAAAGAAAAATCAGAGGAAGTCAGCCTCGTATTGTGGGCGGTGCAGGCCTACTCTTAAAACTTGCCCCCTGGGACCTGGCTCATCCCGTATGCCGGTATGAGTGTTGATGACCGGGTGACTGGTCCGTTTGGTTTTTCAGCCATGAAACATCTCATTGTCAGTGCGTTTTCCAGGTGTCTGTTCCCCACTATTTTGTTAAGCAATTATTACAGTCGGGACGACGAGAACGTCAAGTCTGCTAGGCTAATACTGATTGGAGAAAAACGATCAAAAACCATTTCCGGTCAAGGTCGCCTGCGCGTCCGGCACCGCCACATATTTTGAGCGGGCACCTACCGTTTGCGCGCAATTACTTATATAAGCAAGTCAATACCGTGACTATGCGTAACTGGCGCGAAAACATCATCGAAAACTGAAAAGTGGGCCAGTGGATGACATGTTTGTCTGCTGTTTTTCGTTTTGCGAACAACTGATAGTGGTTTTGCTTATATTTTGCACTTCCGAAGATGTAATCCCGAATTTCGATATCAACCTAAAGAACTTAATATGCTGTTGTGCTGTCGCCGAATCTCGAGTCCCGTCGTGCATGCATCGACGAGTTCGCGTGTGATGCAGATTTAGAACAGTGGCTCTCTTAGTTCCGACAGTCTGAAACTGAAAGGAAGATCCATTTGAAATTTCTTATTTGTCAGTGAATTCGAACGCATGCCACATATTCCCACGGAAAGGTTTCCCAAAGCACAGGGACCGGTGGCGAAAGCTGCAGACCCAGTTGCTATCCAAAGAACAGACCTGCTGAATAAAGAATTGAAACGGGTTCGCGAAGATGAAATGGAGCGCACGGGCTTTCAGCCGACGGAGAACGATGACAAGCGCGTCAAGTGGTTAAATCGAAAGCTAAAAGAAACTGAGCGCGTCTGCCGGACTAAAACCTTGTCGGCGGATACGGAGAAGACTGTGAAAAAACTTGTACAAGAACCGCGAGTTCTGTCTGGTTCGACTCGGGAACGAGCTACTGCCAAGAAAACCATTCCGCAGCCCAGCACGTCTAATGGATTTCCTCGTCCCAAAATTAGAGGCGGAGAGGCATCAGGTGATGACGCTGTTCAAGAAGTGCCCGTGCCCGCGAAGGTGAAAACGACACTTGATGGACCTTCTTCATCTGGATCAAGCACCAGCAGCGGAGTGAAACCTGGTGCTGCAGCCACGAGTTTGAAGGATACAACGAATAAAAGCCGACCACCAGCTATTGTTAAAATCGCTGCTTCAAAGATGCAGCTAACGTCCACGCCAAAACGCGCTCGCCTTGAAACTACTGATCTTCCATCGGTAATTAAAGCCTTTAATAAAGTGGTTGTAAATTGTAATTAATGAAAAAGCTTGAAGTCTTGACCAGGAGAACTCCCATTCTTAATTTTGATCACATTTGCTTTTATTAATTTTTCAGCTCACGGTCAGCCCGATTAAAGATTTCAGTTTGGACGGGGCACAGGGAAATGATTCGACGGGTTTCTCTGCTTCATCCAGGGATCTTAATAATACGCTTGGTATGATTTAATTCGCTTAATTTAGTTTAGCACGGCGACAATTTAGCAATAAATTTTACAACAGTCAGTTCGCAGCAGCGATCTACTATACAGGTACTTCAATTATTTCGGCAAACCCAGTCTTGTACAATGATTTTTTTCTCCTGTGTGCACTCTCGCCGAGTTACATCTGTGCGTCTTTTAGTTTTGGGCACTTCCCTTCAGCGCGTAATGGATGGTACGGTGGGTCGCAGATCTTCGGAACAGATTGCAGTGGAAGGCCCAAGGTATAATACTTAATAATTTTTAGCTTATGGTTAAGTAATTTGGGAGACTTAATTAATTTAATTTTGGAGAGAGAATAAGGAGCAAACATTTTTGCTCGCTACCATTTATTAAATTTTAGTGCGAACGTATATACGATTAATACGAATATAAATAGTTATTATTTCTTTGTTTAGTGTACTCGTAGTTGTTATTATTCTTTCAAATTAGGGTGCATGGTGTTTAATACGTTTTTCTATTACAAAAGCCGGGATAGGGCGACGGGAACGGTGAAAACGCCTTCGGAGAACGATGCAGCAAAATCAAGCACGATCGAACCGATAGTGAAGCAAGAACTGAATCGCAGCATTTTGAATGTTTCCAGCGCTTCTCAAGGTATGTTGGCCTGAACGGATTTTTAGTGCATCTGACTATCATCGGCATCTGGTGTTTAATGTTTGTGTCTGCTATACAGTTAGCTGGCATGTGATTTGATTATAAATTTATAACTGTTATAGTGGTTGTTTTGGAAATGGCTATGGATGTTGATATCCATGACGTGAGCCTAAATAGTGTGGGCGCTGTCGTGGAAAGTGATGCTTCGGTAGATGAACCCATGGATTTGGGTACGAGTGACGACGTTTTGCCAGATCAGCGAACGACAGCATTCCCAAAGCAGGCCGAAAATGCGCTTCCCGAGCGAGCATCACCCGCGGAACTCAGCCTTGTCTCAAATCAGTCTTCGAAAACAATAGATAGTTCTGCTCCCGCAGTTTTGTCCTCACGTGAAATGGACGTTGTACTGCTGCCAGTCCTGCGAAAAGCAACATCTGTGGAAAATATTCCGCATCAACCTTTGGAAAAAAGCGTTTCTCTAACTCCAGTGATATTGTCCTCACATGAAATGGAAAGCGTACCACTGCGTAACATAGAGCCTGCATCGGTGCCGACGGCACCTGTTGGAGTTTTGACTGGACAGTCGCAGATACCACCAGTACCCGTTATTATTGAAGAAACGATCAAGTTTTCTTTCGGAAAACATGAACCAGTTATCTGCACCAAAAGAACGGTCGTTCAGGCACCGATAACGGCCGAAAATCCTGATGTGATCTCATTTTGTTTGAATTTTCTGCGCCAGTGTGGATCTCTTAATGGTATGGAACTGATTATCCCGGAGGAGCAGACCGGCAGCGATAATGGAGATGTATTGCCGTCATCTGGTGCTCATGCTCAAGAACTCCCGCAAAATTTAGTTAAGTTTGCAAATTCGGCATCTCGAAACAATGGCGATGACGGAACTGTAAATAAAGCCGATGCCGAAGTATTATCGTCGAAGGAAAACCACAATGTTCCTGACTTAGCGATCTCGACAGATGATCTCACCGTGATAGTTGAGAAAAGCTCTCCGGATTCGGAAATGCCTGATCTTGAATTAGAAGTTTTGGCGCCTCCAGCACCGCCAACTTCGGAAGATTTTGCCGAATACGGTGCTGCTCACAACGCCGACACTTTAAACAACGAGAAGAGATCGAATATAACGGAAGCCAAGCAAATGAAGTCAGCATCTCGTCAGCGATCCGGTGCTTCTAAAATGTCCACTGGAATTATGCCAGAACTGCATGGTGATGATGAATTCGCTAAACTTTTAAATGCTTTACTGGACAAGAACGCTACTGAAAAGCAGTTAGATGATCTCGATTTCCAGAAGGAATCCTTATTTAAAAAGAAGGAAACGGTATCGGCTGCCGTGAAATCTTTGAAATACGTTTCCGATAGTGACGAAGGTTTGTGTCGGTTATATAAATGCAGTTACTTGTTATCACTCGCATGTATCCTACCTGGTCGTAATTATTTTCATTAAATTCCACAGAACTCAGCAGCGGCGAGGACGGTGATTGTAACTCAGGAGATATCGCACAAGTGGTAAGCATTGCAAGAAATAGCAACTAGACAATTGCACAGCTTTGTTTGGGGTCGCTGAATTTTTTAATGATACTATGATGACCACCGGCCATAGTAAGTTGTCTGCCTTTTTTTAGGTCAATGAAATTTTGGCTACCCCACACGATGCAAATGCTGCATCTACTGAGAAGACTGAAACAGAGAGGCGCGAGAATCCCGATGGAAGAAAAAGACAAGCGAAGAAATCGCAAGCTGCTGCGTTACTTGTTAGTATCTACTTTTTTCTGTATGTCCAGTGGCTGTAGTGCTTGAATGTGTACGTGTATTTCAGGACAGTTTTTTCGATGATATCTTGAAAACGGCGGGTGATGTTGAGATGGTGAGAAGGGAAAATGGATTGAATCTAGAAAAGCACTGACATGTTACTTCTGCTTTGTATAGGAATCGGACGGATTCTCAGATTCAGAGGAATCAGACGATTTAAAAGTCGAACATCCGCATTTGCCGTGCACACAGGAATGGTCGGAGGAATCTCTGCTGGGGGACGAAATCGAATTGGATTCTGGTAGAATTTTCTGTTTTTTGAAATTTCTGCTCGCGACTATGTCGAATTCTTAATAGATGTGGATGAACTTGTTAACAATGCTATGAAGGATGTGCAAGAAGCAGAAGATGCTAAAAAAGCCCGTTTGAAGGCCGAGCGGAAAAAAGTAAAAGATGATGCAGCAGTAAACGGAAGCGTTGCTGAAAACATGGAAGATGGAAAGTCTGACACTGACAGTGACGAAGAATCCGGTTTTGATGATTCCGAGAAAGAGGAAGAAGAGGAAGAAAGTGGTAAACAAACCACAGTGATTCCGGAGAACAATAAAAAACAACCCGAAATCGCTGCCGAAGAAAATGGAATGTCGGATGCGGATATTTTTGCCGGCTTGACTGAACTGTTTGGAAAAGACCCTGCAGCGGATGAAATCAAACGACGTGAGAAGTCCGACAAAATCCGCCTTTCTGCTACTAAATCAAAGGAAGATTCGGTTATTGTCGTCCACTCCAGGAGTAATTCTCCTAAGAAGCTAGTCAAGACTGGAACTGGAAGTTCGCCAAAGAAATCGGTGAGGGAACCCTCTGTAAAAGAAATTTCTACCGATGAAGACAAAGAGAACAGCACATCTGGAGAATCGGATGATGATTTCGGTGCCCCTGTGACACGAAGTCCCAAAAAATCATCCTCCGGAAAAAACAGATCACGCTTGGAATCGGATTCCGATTACGAACCGGACAAAGACAGTGATGGTGGTGGCGGAGATATTGAAATGATAGACTTAAGTTCTGAGGATTCTCGATGTGAAGAGGAAGACGTGACGGATTCAGATACTTCTGTAAGTAATATGCCAAACTTCAACAGCCATGTGGTGAAGGAGAAACCGCTTTCTCAGACGTCCAAAAAGAAAAGGTTACCGGTACGTATCTTGTAATCGATGCTTTGGTAGCGGTAAATAATTTATAAGAGGATTTACAGGTTCGCAGCAAAGTTAAAATTATATCAGACAAAGATTTGTCAAAAGAGAGTAGAAATGCTCTTAAGGCGGAGCAGGAGAGGAAGAAACGACTGGAAGAATTACCAATGGTAAGGAGATTTTTTGTGCCATTGTCTTTTAACATGGGTGCTTTGGCCAGATTAAAGAATTTGAGTTAATTTGTACCCTCGATTTCTAGTACGAAGGCAATATTCTGGATGAATTTGTGGAAGAGGAAATACCTTATCGAGTCGAAGTCTACGAACGGTTATGGAACAAGCTGGAGGAGCACCAGAAAAGTGGTGTTAAATTCATGTACAGGAACGTTATTGAATCATACAAGTTTTCTTGTGAGCATCCATTTGGTGGCTGCATTTTGGCGCATTCTATGGGACTTGGGAAAACGGTGCAGGTATGTGTCTATATGATACACATACGGTATTATAACTGCTTTTAAAGTAAGATTATACCAGCGAAACTGCTAGTACTAATAGCCTCCTCAAAGCGATGACCACATTTGATTACTGCGGCAGGTTATATCTTTAATGCAAGCGATTCTTTCCAATAAAGTTCTCAATCTTGAGACTTGCTTGGTCTTGTGTCCTGCTTCCACTATTGGAAATTGGGAAAACGAGTGTGTCCAATGGATGAAAGGTATCCCGAAAGATCTGACGATCAAGGTAAATTGAAGATTATATTTATTATTGCTATATCTGCATCAGATATTGTATTTTGGATACTTGTTTGACCTCTTTCAAAATTTATAATTACAAGTAATGATGTTTTGTTAACTCTGCTTTTTAGGCATATACGTTCACAGAATATAAAACTCCGGTTGCAAGGCTGAAATTATTGAAAACCTGGAAATCAAACGGTGGTCTTCTGATGATGTCGTACATGATGTTTTCAACAATGTGCAAAGCGGGTGCCCCTTTGTCCGAAGAATTCCGCAAATTTTTGCTGGAGCCGGGTACTTAGTTAATGGTTTGGTCACTGTAAAGCGTGAAGAGGTTATTCGTTTACGGCTTTTTCCGTAGGACCCGACATTGTGGTTTGTGATGAAGCGCATGAGTTACGGAATTCAAAATCCTTAAAAACGAAAATAATTACGGAAATCGCAACCACGGCGCGCATAGCATTGACGGGGACACCTTTGCAAAATAATTTAGACGAATGTGAGTGACCATGAAATTATTGCTCAGTTTTCAGTTTGTTGTGATACTTACTCGATGACATTTTGCTAGTGCTACAGTTATTTTGCAGATTGGACAATGGTGAATTTTATTAAGCCCAGCCTTTTGGGCTCCAGGAAAGAGTTTCAGAACCGATTTTCGGTCCCTATCAAGGCTGGTTCTAGAATGGATGCTGAGGTTCAGACGAAATCAGTCATGAAGAAGCGGAGTCACGTCTTGCGGGAGACCCTGTCGGCTTGTTTGCAACTGAGAGGTGTTTCCATTCTCACTGAACGTCTTCCTGCTAAGACCGAGCATGTTATTCGTGTCCGATTGACCGCTGAACAGGAAGCGCTTTACCGCGCGTATATCAAGGAGTCCGGCATTGCAAATGGTTACAAAGGCGGGCAAGTATTGTACTGCGTGAAGAGTGTGCAGCTCATCAGCTTTAATCCACGGTGCGTCAAAAAGGATCTGGACAACGAAATTCGTAAGGTACATTTAATAATTACGTACTTGCACAATTTCTGATTTTAGCCATTTACGCCTTCTTTTTATAATGTTTCCGTGTTGTACTGAGCATCTATCTGTATAGTGTTCCAATTCTGTTTCAAAAACTAAACGGTAACACCCTATGCGTTTTCTGTGTTTTTTCTGGTTTTTTAAAACATCAGAAAATTTTGAAGTAATATTTTGTAATAGTTACAGTGTTCGCAGGCTAAAAAAGGATTTGAACAAAGGAAGCACCGTGCATCACGACAACAGGACGGTGACGGAGCTGAAAGGCAAGAGATATTTTTTTAAGGTTAGCTTTGGTTGTTTACCATATGGTATCCTGCAATTTTACAGCGATTCCGATGTATCCGATGTGGAAGGTCAGAATGCCGCTGCACCGCTTAAATTTTGGTTTGACAATTTGCTGCCATCTGCGGATGAGCTGGACGTGACACTCGGTTCCAAAACTCTGATCCTGCGGGAAATCATCGTGCAGTGTCTCATCAATGAAGAAAAATTGTATGAGTAGTTGCGCGCTGTTGCATTTATTTACGGTATACTTCTGCGACGTTTCGTTGTTACGATGTTTGGGTTTTTGTAGGTTGATTTTCTCAGACCGAAAAGTTGTCCTTGCGGTTGTTGAAGAGCTTTTGGAAAAGATCCACTGCGAAAAATTGCTGACTTTAAATGGGAGAGAGATCCAGATGCTTCGTGGAGTAAATTATTTGGCTTTAGATGGCAGTGTGCCCCAAGAGAAACGGCAGGGCTTGATTAACAAATTCAACTCTAATCGAAAGTAATTGAACCCCAAACGCATATTTCGTGCAGTAACGTTCGAACCAAATGAAAGTTGGTATAGACGAGTACGAAAGAAACTAAATGTTTCTACTTTGATTTGGTTTGTTTTGTTTTATCTGTGTCGAACTTATGTGTTGCTTCTTTTAGCTGTTCTATTTTTCTTCTGTCGATCAAAGCAGCTGGTCAAGGAATCAACCTTACTGGAGCCAATCGCGTCGTACTTTTGGAACCTATGTGGAATCCAACTGTAGATCGTCAGGCATTGTTCCGCACTTATCGTTATGGCCAAACGAAACCTGTGCATGTTTATCGGCTCGTCACTGCTGTACGAAATCTTTTAGTTGGTTTGTTTCGGCTGTAATGCACTTGTTTGGTTGCAGGGTATTTGCGAAGAAAAGATTTTTGAAATCCAAGTTGACAAGCAATCGATGTTTAACAGAGTGCTGGAAGAAAAGCATGCTAAACCTCTTAATTGCCTCGGTGAAGATTTCTTCACATACAGAGAGCATCCGTTTGAGACTGCGTTTGTTCCGCCATTGCCACCTAATGATAAGGTCATGCAGATATTGCTGGAAAAGTTTACGAAAGAAATTGTCAGAACGGAAAATTTCGACTCTTTGTTGGAACCTGTAGAGCCTTGCTTATCGTTTGAAGAGCAGCTGGTGGCCTGGGCTGAATTTGAAATTGAAGAACGTGGACCAACTGATATACTCAGAACGGCCGCGATTGATAGGGAACGAGCCGTGAATGAAATTAACAAACAGAATGTTGCACCTTTTGAGTTGGTTGTTAACGATATTGCGAGTGTTAAACATCTCGTATCATCTCTTACTCGTAACCTCTGGGTAAGCTGAGATTGTAAATTTGAACTGTCCTTATTTGTTAGACCGCTACGGCTCACATTAAGCCGTTTTTCTTATGAACAAAGCTTTTATTTTTATAGCTAATTCGTCGCTTTGCTTTTTAGAAAAAGAACAAAAACAAAGAAAATGAGAATGGAGGAGATGTTTTTATCAAAATTTATCGGCCGATAATCGAGAAAGTCTCGGAAATTGTGGAGCGACAGATGCATCTAGAGCGCGAAGCATACATGCAGAATAACGCACAAGCTTACTCGAATATGTCGGCTAACCCGTACTATCATCCACGCCCTCCTGCACCGGGCACTACGGGTCCCAATTTTCACGGATCTGTGCGGGACATTCATGCTTATTACGGCATAAATGAAGGAGCCAGTACATCGCAGGGAGTTACTTCGAACCGGCCGAATCATCCTGCCGTTTCCTTTAAACGCCCACCTGCACCAGCTCGTAATCCAGGAAATTCCGTGAATGATATTTCCAATAATGTGCAGCGCAGAGCCCAGTTGATTGCACCTCAGCCGGTTGTTCCGGGTATGCCCATTCCTGATCGCCGTCCACCGCCTTATACGAATATACAACCAGCCGGCCAGCAGAATGTAAGACCGCCGGCAGGTCTACCGCCTGCTCCTCCACTTCGTCTGCCTCCTTTGTAAAGATGTAGGATGGTTTCAACTTTCACGTGAGCAGAATTGTTGGAAGATAAATAAAGGCCTAGTTAACATCTTCCAGTGGAAACGCCGAAGTTGCCATACTGAACTGCCACAGCGCCCCTGCCAGTGGGTGTTGGATAGTGATAAGATGTTGCTCTGTTGTTTTTTGTATCACTTGTAACGTGCGTTTTGTTTCCATCTTTCGTTCCTCATCGTTGCTTATAGCGCTAACTGACTAATAGTTCATACATGTGAAAAAATCCAATCGAATTAAAAATCTTTATGATTGTTGAAGTTGTCGGTCACTTGAATGAATGTCACTTAGAATGCATTTTATCTCGAAGTATAACTTATACCGTAGAGTTATAGTTCCATACTAAAAGGAAAATCCTGGGTGTGATAGCCGTTTAACTATTTTTCCGTGCCGTTTTGGAGCAACATATTATGCACTATGCAGCATTTAAAATTTGTTCGACTTCGACATTTTTCAGTAATCGACAAATCGTAATCTCAGTGCAATTGTAAGTATAAATCCCATATGTATTTGTAGAACAAAGTTTGCCTTCTTCAAGCTGCAATTCGTTTTAATTTCGTATTTCTGGCTGTGCACAATGGACGAACCATTCTATGATACAGCGAACTTTGGTAACTCAGCAATTCAGTAACCGTGGAACGGTTTGTTATCACACACCTCACAGATTCTCACTCGTCATATAACGAAAGACGCCGATGTGTAGACGTTCTTATAATGTTCGTAAAACCAACAGCCCAACACACAAGAAAATATCATTTAAATATGCAGTAAGTACCGTTAAGCAACACGTTCTGTATCCAAAGTCAGGATTTCAATCTTTTTTTCCTGAAGTTTTCCGTCCGCTCCTCGGTCCTTGTCATGCGTTCGGATATGGTCCTTCAGTTTCGGAATAGTGGGTAACTTCACGTGGCAAACATGGCACTTCAGATCCAGTTTCAACAGCTGTTCGCCTCTGTTCTTATCCACCAAAATCTTTTCTTCGCCTTTCAGCATGCCCAGAACGGTGTCCGCCTCCATAAAAAATTCACTGGCGAAACTGTTCCAGTGCTTTTTGTGTTTCAGGCATTCACTGTCAAAATCCTGACTGATAATGTGCATGTGCAGCTGCTTGACGCTGGGTATCATGTGGAAGCCACATCGAACGGAATTCCGTGTGCGCGGCGTAATGTGTCCCGCAGTAAACTGCTTTCCTTGCTCAATCATGTGCTCTACTAAAGGAATGTGAGCGGATGTGAGGTCTGTCAGTGTGTCGATGGCACATCGCGGTAGCATCAGGTAGTGGTGCCGGGATTTCGGAAATTTGTCACGGATGACGACCACTTGGCTGTCCGAGTAGATGTGCAGCCGCGGATCTTGGATGGCGGATATCAGCGACATCATCCATCCCGAAGCCGCACGCTTCGGTAGCTTATCATTCTCTCCACCAGCTGGCCGCTTTTTGCTCATTGTTCGGTAAATGTCTCGAGTAGTTCGGTTGGAAATGAGAAACGCAACCAACATTCGGCAAAAATCAAAATTATCCCTCCCAATTTTTGCGGTCAGACTGTCAGAGAGTTAGAGACTCAGAACAAGACAACACACCAGAACGTAAACAAGCGGTGCGTCAAGTGCGCCCTTGCCAGGAGACAGTTACTTTCTGTACGAGTGTGCGCGCTGAGTTGTCGCACGTAAGTGCATATCAGAAAAGCATTGAGAACGACCGAAGGAGAAACGGAATGCATATTTTTACCCTTATGTTTGTTCTGTTTTTCACTTCTTATTTTCTTCGGATTGAAATTTCGGATTGAAATTTTAGTGTGCCATTGTGAGAGGATTTTCTTCATGGTTAATAGTACTTGAAGATCACTCACTCTGGTCTGTTTTGGTTGATATCTGGACTTCTGGAGTACAAGTTGGCTGTGATCCACGATGACGGAACGGAAGGTTTTGAATGTAAGTAGTGAGTGCCTTCTCGCAAATTCTGGATTTGTTTCTTATACGAATGCTTTATTGTCGTAGAAATATTATCCACCGGATTTTGATCCATCAAAGTTACCGCGACTGCGTCTCCAGAAGAACCGCCAGTTCAATGTGCGCATTATGGCGCCTTGCAACATGAAGTCAGTATCGAGTCCGCTTTTGAATTTTGGTTGTGCATTCCCCGAATATTCCACTGCCAGAAAACTTTTTAGTTGTCGTTATGCACTGGGCAGTATGTTGATTCCAGTAACATTGCGCTCTTCCAGGTGCAATACGTGTGGAGAGTACATCTACAAAGGTATGTTTAGCAGTTTTTATGGCAAGGAAAACCAAGCATTTTGATAAGTACTATCGTCGAGTTTTTTTTTGCCATTGAAACTATAAGGTCAGAATATTTTGTTTGGAGGATGGTTAATTTACACGAAACTTTGTTTTCTATCACTAATTATTCAGTTTACCTTCCTGTAACGGCGGGTTGATGGACCAAAACTGTCACCTGTGTTTCTTGAGGATATACGAAAGATGAAATACTGCTTTTCCTGGGTTTGATTTTTTCTAATTCCAGAATTTTAAACCTTTTGGAAAAAGATCAAGAAGCGTATACAGATAAATATATAAGCATAAATAAGTAACCGATCCTGATCTTGAGTTTGGTTGCTGGATCTTTCCTTTTATACTGGGAGTGTGTTTTTTGTACGCATGAATTGTAATTGCTAGCATCTTTTCGCATTCATTGAAGAGTGTCAGTTACGTAGTTATACTCGTATCTATACGCTGCACCGTACTAATATGGCATTTTGATTTGTAGGCAAGAAATTTAACTCCAGACAAGAAACCGTGGATGGAGAAAGCTACTTGGGCCTGCGCATTTATCGGTTTTATATAAAATGTCCGCGATGTATGTCGGAAATCACTTTCAAGGTAAGTTCATCATGGTTTTACTTGAAATTAACTGTGCATAATGATGCCTTGTCCTCAACTGTTTTTGCCTGTGTAAAAGCGTATCGTGTTGGTTTCATGGCTTATATAAATTGCACAGCGAGTCTGACCATGCATTATATGTATAAAAAACAACGAGTTTTATTGAGCGATTGCTGATTTTTACCGTTTGTTGTAGACAAACCTGGAAGAAATGGATTACGAATTGGAGCATGGTGCAACGAGGAACTTTCAAGCTGTTCGTCTGGCAGAACAACAGGCCGAGAAGGTGGAAGAAGCGCGCATTGAAGAGGAGAAGTCAAATCCCATGGTGGCACTGGAACGGCGGACACAGGATTCCAGATTTGAAATGGACCGGCTCGAAGCTCTGGAGGAACTGAAGGACCTCAACACCCGCCAGGCAAACATCAACTACGATGAAGTAATTAAAATGACTGTGGAAAAAGAAATGCAGGAACTAAAGCGACAGGAAGACGAAGATGAAGCGTTTATAAAGTACGTCTGTTGATGATTATGGTTGTTAATGTTTCAATGTTTATACTATAATTGTAGTGTGTGCAGTCATTTTGAATTATGCTTAAGTAGTGGAAAGACTGCTGAAATTGCACCCTGATAGTTTTAAGGTTAGGCCTTTTTTAACCGGTTCCGCTAATTACAGATCTATTTTCTCCAACAACAACGATTCCAACACCATTAAGCGCCTTCATGATTCCGATAGTTCCGATGAGGAGGAGTATGATCTGAAGAAAATGCCAGTTCTTCCTAGTTCAAATGTGGATCCCCTTACATCGGATTCGTCGATAGCAAAAAAGCCGAAAACTGATAAGGATTTACCGTCTTGGGAAAAAAGTGTGGGAAGTCTGCGGATGGGAAAGGGATTTGCTGGGATTGTTATAAAACCTAAACAACCAACAGAAACTGGGAATCCACCCACCGCTTCCCCCAGTCAATTAACGCGTGTTACGGCGACATCAGCAGCCGTTGCGTCTTCATCCAGTGGCAAGCCTCAAAGTGCGAAAGCCAGTTTATGTGTTCTCGCCCAATACGGAAGTTCCAGCGAGGAGGAATAGATTTCACCTTATTATGATTGGCTGCATATGCACAGTACATGGCACTGTAAAGTCGTTTTTAATCAACATTTTATTGCTTAAACTATTTTATTGAACAGTTTTAGAAGCGTCATTCTGGAAAGAAATGCAATAAAGCGAGAACCTGTATGTATTTAAGTGCAAGTTTTCCTCAATGTATCGTAAAACAAAATTTTGAAATTCGGCTAATTTGTTCCTGACGTTAACACATTATCTAAAAATAATTATTGTGGTGTAGGATCACCGGAAGAACCAGATTTGATTGCTTGCGTAGAATTTCCGATCACGCTTCGAGTTCGTAGCATAGGTTGATGAAAGATTCAATAATTTAAATCAAGAAGGTACTGTAGTCTAAATTTGATTAAGGAGCAGATCGGTGTGTTGATATCGGTCCAATACACAGTCGCATGAATGTATTTCGTTATTGCTGTTTTACACATGGGTCACATGTTCGGCCAGCGAATGGTCCTTCAGCGCTGGACGCTTCTCCTTATATGCTCGCTTCCATATTTCAAATAAACAAGCAGTTGAATGAAACCTGCAGAATTCAAAGTAGAAGTAAGTGCATACGCACGTCGTACGGAAACACAAGCTATGGCTAAACAGACTATACTCGAATTGCGTAATTGAATGCATTTAGTGCGTTCTCATACTTACAACAAAATGAATTTTATGATGCATTTACCGCTTTACCTGTAAAAGATTACCAATGGAACCGTAACATGTAGCATAACAGTCCATCTAGAAATTGAAAAAAACCTTATTAGACCAATCCTCACGCAAATTTACTAGCGGTACTTTTCAAAGGAATAGCCAGCTACTGAAACCTACTGGTGTACTCCATAAAATTCGGTTTGCGATGGGCTGGACTCCGCTTGCAGTGTACACAAAACCTAGCACAAAAGTATTCATAAAATGATTTCTCGATACGCACATCTTCGTACGTACATTTGTCGCCCATAAAGCGAAGTTGATAATCAACAGTAAGGTCACAGTTTCCCTTGCTGGCTTCTTCCTGTTTGGGGAACTATACAGCTTTGTATAACCAGGATTAAATATCAGCGTTCTTTGAGTGGCATCGAAAATAAAGATCGTTTGTGCTGTGCTTTGGACCAAACATAAACTGGCCACCACAATGCTGAGAATTCCCGAGTTGGTTTCGTCTGTGTACGCTCCAATTATGCAGCTAATTGAATAAGCGTACACACCAACCTGCAAATACAAAGCATTTAACCGAAGAGTAAAGCAATAATCACGTGTTTTTTATAGAATAAACAATTTTATTTTTAAACAGTTAACCTTTTCGCAATGCCCAATTAGGCTTATATATAAAATTGTTGACTAAATAGTAGTACATGCCATAAAACTAAATTTAAACTCGGAAATGCCGATTAAATAGATCTTCATATAAAAACAATAATTAAGAGTATAGTCCCGTAATAAATTTCTAAAGCAAACATTTTCCTTTTCTCATTTTGGCGCTATCATTTACATATAAATGAAATGTAAAGCAGTTATGCAAATATGGTCTTTCCGACCTCACCATTGAGACTTTCAGAAGCGTGTCATCCAGCGTCAGCGTAGTGGAGCGCACTGGTGTCCTATGCAGGTTTTTGGTAATGTTGATAAACGCATAGACCACTGCCACCAGTCCGATACTGTACAGTGCGATTTCGGTGAGCTGTGCTTGAAAAACAGCCATAGCTACGTAGTGGTCTTTTTCCAGAAAAAGGAAATACAGGATCAGCGATACCACCGTCATAACAACCACAATTATGCCGACAAACAACCCTTTGGCCGCTTGGTCGCAGTCGACGGCGTAGGATTTCTTAACAGTACCGCCAGTGCGGTGTGGCTGCAGATGCGACGGCTGTGGATAACCAACGTAGCTCCACATATTGTATAGAATGCCGGCGGATATCAAACTGTATTCGATTATGCAGGGATAAAGAAATACCGAAGCTTCTTCCATCATCTTTTTCATAACGGATTCATCATTCACGCACAGCGGATTGTATCCACCTGCAACCCAAGACACGGTTTACAGATACAAGCATTTATAACAGAACGAAAACAGAGTAACACGAATACTGCATGTATAGCACGAATACTGCATGTATCAACATAATATACCTTGACCAAGACTATCGTCGTGCATTTGCAGAAGGTCTTCTTTAATCTGTGTTTGGGTCGTGGTTTCATTGTTGTTAATTAACATCATCCGCTCATTTTTCTCTCGAATTTTTCCAAAAGCATGCAGGGTTTCATCAATAAGCGTTCTCAACCAAATGCACAGATTGGCGCTAATCAAATGCATGAGCACGAATCTTCCAATTGTCCGGTTTTTTCTGAGTGACAACTATTAAGAAAAACAGAATATTGGTAAAAATTTTGAAAATCGGGATGGAAAACGTACCCTTGAATTAAGGAAGATAAAATACAACTGGAGAATGATAAAGCAGACAAAGAGCTGCAACACAACTCGGCGTTAGAAATTGTGACCTTTTTCAAGCTTCGAAAAACGTTCACGAATGATATGCTTACAACCGGATTTAATCCCATTACGGTGTTGAAGCAACTAGTATTTTCCACAAATACGCCCAGTTCCAAGCAGGCATAGATCATGGATCCAACGGCAAACGATAAGGCTCCCATTTTCAAATAAAAGCTGGCACTGTCCTCTTCACTGTACGTCACTCTGACCGATGTCTGTTCTATTGTTGTGCAGGCCGGATCGGATATGCAGAGAAACTGCTTGCGGAAGTAACCGGTAAACGAGCCACCGACACTTTCTTCCGAACTGGAGTCACAGGAATCCTTGGTCTTGGCATTGATGTTGAAAAAGCCGATATTGTGTCGGTAGCTATGCTTACGGTAGAAAAATCCAAAGGACGTTAGCAGAAAGAAGATTCCGATTGAAAGGAGAGCGGAATCGAAATACTGAAATGATTTTAAATTTATTATATAAAATGCACTACCTTAATTCCTAATAATTTTCACAATAAAAAAGCGAAACTCAAATTATGGTAAACCTGCACTCACCCGGCAGTACATACTATCCACATTGGACGTCAGCTGCGATGAGAACGCCAAACACGCACCAGTTATGATAATCAAAATGCTGTAAAATACGAATTATAGCGCGATATGCAGATTATGTACAATCAAGTGAATCAACAACGATAAAGTTTTTGACGTCTTATTCCAAAAACTGCCTTTATAGATTTTAAATTCCTTGAATGAGATTATGTGCATAATTTTCATTAAGTTGTGTCTACTTATTATTGTCAAACATAAACAATTAGGTCTCAAATTAGCGCCCAGCTCGGCTGTTAATTAAAGCCGGAATAAACAAGCCAGCATTAAGCTGGCCTACTGACCTGTAAAGGGCACTTAAAGGTTGTGATATTTCCGCTCTGTCCAAACAAGAAACAGTTTGTCAATAGTTAATTATCATATTTCTCCTAGGTAAACATAACGTCCTACTTGGAGCATTATTTACCCCCATTGGTCATCAAACGGCGGCAGTGTGGAGAAGGGACTGGAGAGCTGTTCAACTTGATTAGCAAAGGAATTACGATGGGAATGACGAAGATTCCGTCCCAGACGTACACGCAGTCCATAGCTGATGTTGTCGAACTCCCGTTCGGTACTTTCGGGAGATTTGGACGATAAACGCGTTATGGTGCGGGAATTTATGGTAACGTTTTCACATTTATAAGCTTCGTGTAAATTTCCTGTGCTGCCCGGTTTTTTCAATGAATCGTGCAACCTAGTAAGTAAAAAGTATGCGTATACAATGCATGGCAAAAATAAGTGAAAGCAGATGACCGCAAAAAATAAGTTGAAAATAAGTTGATGACCGCGGATTGTAGCTGATTATCATACAAAACATGCTGTCATATTGTCATTCCCTGTAGCTACTCATACAAAACCGTTAGAATAAACGATTAGCAAGGAAGTGGTTATCATAATATTAATTGACGTTAGTCAAATTTGCTTTAACAGATGCAATAAAATGTTTTAATTTTGTGTGTACGTTTTTCTAGCCCACATTTATAAGGCAAAGGTACAATACAATTATAACTGACGTCGCCTTCATCATTCATGAAGTTTATATAATGGTTGAATATACGTATATTATAAGTTGAAGCTTATACGTAGTATAATGTAGTTATATAACACATTATTATACGGGCTATAGTGGCAACCGTCACTGGCATGTACTACTTAATTTGTTTAAAGGATCCGTTGTCATGCAGTTTAAGTAAAATATTATATTGCATATATTATGAGACATTTGAAATCACCGATCGCTGCAGAAGTTGGAGTCAATTGGTTTCGGATTGCTGGAGATGCCAGAATCTTCTGACGGCTGCACTCTTGAAGATGACGGATCGGACTGGTGGCGACAATGTCGTCGGGCAGCTCGGTAGCCCGGATGAACGAGTTCTGTCGTACTGATAGACCGAACAGCATCTGCACTTCCGGCAATAATGTCCATTGTGAAAATACATCAGCTGGATTCCAATAAACAATAATTATGCGGCATCCCAACACAATAATTAAGTATACAAAAAAATGCGAAATCCTTTGCAAAAGTGCAATCGTTGTGATTGCGCAAATCAAAATCGCCAGTTGATTTCTAACGAAATGGGGAAAAAATATTGTTTTCCATACGACTCTCAAAAAATTGTCAAAATTTAAATGCAAAACAGCAGACTGCTTTTAATAAGGTTGAGCAATAATAACAAAGATTTATATTACTACTTTTATGTACTTGTGTGAATAAGCTGTCCCACATTAAGCTAAGAGGAAAACGTTAGTTTCGAAGCGTCTTACCTGCCGTTGCCTTCTCATGCAAGGCGAATGTGCGTATATAGGGCAGCTGCCAAACTGATCAATTATGGCAGTTTTAGAACATAATATTAATAAATTTCTTCTTGTCACACTGACAAGTTTAAAATGTTGAGTATGAATAGTGTGCGTATCTCGAATAACAAATTAGGCTACGAGCGTGGTATTGGATTCCGTCTGGGTGACGCCTTTTACGCGGCACAGGTTGACCAACAAAGTACCGGAAATGACCAACCCGGCTTACCTGTGGGCTGTAGTTAAGCTGAAAGTTAAGTATCGTACGGGTTAAGATGAGAATGTTTGTCTGTGCGATACTGTTTGTTTCTTTCTCTAAATTAATACTCTAATCGGCAGTTCGCGAGTAGAGCATTCAAAAGTCATTTTGTCGCGGTAGAAACAGACTACAAGCAGTACAACTGTACTTGTCGTACAAATGGCGCTTGCGAGATTTCTGCGAATTACCCAACCGCAGCTACTATTTTTCGCTATACTTTTTTAGACAAGTGCATGTAGGATAACTTGAAGAAACACCTTAGATTTGTAGACGCATGTTATTTTATGAACGCAGAATACGTAAACACGTTTTAGTTAGCACACCGGGACGCTGCAGTATCCAAGGCCTGATAAGTTGTAACTACGTACAATCGCGCGTTAAATAAATAAGGAAGTCACATCATCCCGGATTAAATATCTTACGAGCTAGTTTGTGATTTTAGTCCAATAAGCTTTACGCTTTGACAAGGCCATTAAATAACCCAACAAAGCAGTATCAGAGTAGAGATACCATGGCCGCAACGTTGAAAACAAAGTTTATTGTTTAAAAATTGTCCTATTTGCGCCGTCCGCACGCAATTAAACCATAACTTTTATTTAGAATATTTGGTTGAAGTTTTTTTTCGGTATCGTTCGTGACTGCATGCCGCAGAGCATACCTTATAATTAGATTTAAGTGATGCACTGTTTGAATGTTTGAACTATACGTATGGCACAATAAAATATTTTATGTTGTTTTTCAGGTGCAGTTTTAACAATATTTGTCAATAAAGGTACAACTGCGGACAGAAGCACGCACGCAGGCTGTGATTCACATTCAGTCCTTTAAAGTGTGTTACACAAGCATGAGGTTAAGTAAAAACTTAATACTGTTTCTCAGCGCTCATTTTAAATGTAGCATCAGTAATGCCGCGCATGTATAGACCGATCCTGCACAGACACAGGACAGTGGTCAGTGAAGCGAAACTACATGGTTAGCTTATTGCATAGTAAGAAACGCAACAAAGGAATCACTATAATACATAGTTAATCTGAAAGTTGCACAGGACAGGCAAAACGCCCCGGAGTCGCATAAAGTCCAGCCTTCTACTGCGAAGTGCGAACATTGGTTCATATTTCTGCCGGTTCGCTTCAAGTCTTTCATCTGCATATGCCGACCTCTATATATCGCGAAATATGTACATGCACGCTTCTTAAAGACTATTTATATTGTACAATATACAGCGAATGCGTACATGAGAACAGTGATGCAGCGTATTGGCTAGAAGTCTCAAATAAATACGTAGTCCTTTTTTAGTAAGCTGTGCACTGAGTGCAAACAGAGATGCCCACCTCTGTCAGCCAAAACTGTATGCATGGACGATAAATCAAAAAGGTGGGACATATATACACAACATGGAAATGGGTAAGATGATCGTGATGTTGTGATTGCTGCAACCGTACAAGTGGGAATTATTTCATACGCGGAGTTGCCACTTAGCCAACTTGTTAGCACCGTTTAAAAATGTCTCCATTCATTGCACAGATTGGTCTGTAGTTATTTTAACCGTTCATGCCATTAATCAACTGGTCAACAACGGCGGCATGCAGCAGTACTGAACGGAATGTTTTCTCACATCCATGGATTACAATCACGCTGCGAATTTCCACCATGTTGATTCCGATGAAGCTGACAGTTCCTTGAGCGAGAAATTGCGGGAGATATCTTCGCGAAATTCATTTGATTCGGATTATCATCGGTTTAAAGATCCCATACCTTTAGGCGAATCTTTCGGATCAGGAACATCCTCGTCAGATATCGACGATCCACCGCGGCGGTCACCGTATAAAGTTGGCCGTAGCATGCGCGACCGAACCGAAGATAGGTACTGAAAATAATGTACTAATGGTTGTTAGTAATAAAACAATTTTTGCAGCTCTTAAACTCGTGTATACCCATATTCATAAACTTTTCATGTACTCCAAACAGTGTATGTTTGCTCTTTTTATGAGAATGAGACGAGATAAAAATTTGATTGTACTTATCTTAAGCGGAAAGCCGCACCACAAAAAATCCCATTTCAGTCAAATTAACTGGTTGATTTTTAAATTAACTGTCATGGAGAAATTCCCGGCTTCCGCAAAAAACGATACTTCTATGGTATACTTTACTTCTGTTTGAACATTTGCGACCTATAGCTGGCCTACGCAGTACACACACTTCAGCTCTAATTGACTTTGAACGTAATTAAGTGAAATAAAGCAATCGATTTGGAAGATGAATTGCATGATTGTACTTATCCCATACGTACTGTGGAAAGGTTTGCAGTTTTCTGTACGGATTTTTAATTTCATTTTTGTTGGTAATGACAGATAAGCATTTACGACCATGAATTTTCAAAGATGAAATGTATAACATAAAACCTTTTCTGTTTCTGGTTTGCTTTACGTTTCTGATCACAACTGCATTGCTTACCATGGGCCGGGTGTTTGGTAAGATTCGGTCACTCGCACTAACAATTCGCTTATATATAAAACAAGTGCAAAGTTTTCATGAGCTCCAGCTTCGTTCACTTATCATAATATGGAGAAACATTATTCGATTGTCAAAAACGTATCTTTGTCTTCGCATTTTCGAGAAGCTTTGTCAGTTTGTCGTCGACAGCGTGAAATGATTGTAACAATTTTTGACATTTATTTTTAATTATATTGCATTCATTCACGGGCAGTGCTTTTTTTTTCAATCAAAAGAGCTGGCTGATCGGGTTTCGAGTCCGTATGCAGTCGCATTTTGGTTATAGTATGCAGTTTTGGAAGTTTGACGAACGCCGCATGCAATACAGGATGCTTGAAACGTAATCACAGATTAGCGCCTCGATAGTCTTTATTCTTTTTGCATTATGTAAATTGGTATGGATTATCTCAGCATCTTTATCTGTTTAGCAGCTTAGAGCGCTAACTTTAAACGATGATTTTCAGCAACTGTAAGCAAAGCTCACTTTTAGGGGCGTTGGTACTAATATAAATCCTAAGACTTGTAGCTAGCGCAATAGATTATGCCACAGAGTTCTTCTGTACGGTATATGTCAACAAAGTCTTTCAAAGAAACAAATATTCTATCACTGCCTTAAAGTAATGACGGGTGTAATGTCGGGAATTCCATGGGAAACGACCCTGTTTTCCCAAGAGTATTCACTCAATAAGGTGCCTGCTGAACACAGTATTATCGCGTCCTGATGGGAGGGAAATGGGTGATAGGATTACGAGGATGGACATCACAGTGTGCATACAGCAGGTTATTTGGCTAATTAAATTAATAAACGAAAAGATAATCAAAAATACTGAGAGGCAACACTTCGTACACAGGATTAAGCAGCCGTATGGAAATGAGCTAATCTCTAAATTGAAGCCCACGCCCAAACAATATTAGTTTTATTAATGATTAAATTAAAATATTGATTAGGCCCTCCAGAATCAGATGGCACTCATACACGATATGTTTTTACAAAATTTTTGTTTATTGCTATATCATATATGCGATACTCCGACATAGTCAAGATTTGGTCTCCACTCACATTTGATTAGCTGGATTGTGAAAGAGTGAAAACAGTCATAGCTGCTTCTTTTCATTCAGTTTTAAAATTAATACAAAAACTGAGAAAATGACACCGCGGTGCATCGTTAACGAGGCAGTCAACAAGCTTTTATCCATACTTAATTTTAAAGATCGATGTTCTGTGACTATGGCCGGCGCGATCGTGATCGCAAACGGTGAAATGTGCTACCATATCGCGCATCTGGCCGAAACTGACCAGCATAAGGTTAGTTTACAAATGTTAGTAAAACTTTCCCGTCCTACCCATAAAACTGTAAATATATATTTTATGTGGACGCATACAGTCAATCGGTGAGTGTGTGTGTCATGGAAATGTTTGACCGCGGAGCAGGATGAGCTGCAAGAGAACAGCTGCAGGCGACTTTATCTCTTGCAAATATGACGATGCATCCATGAAGATGGATGAGTGTTGAACTGATCAGTTAGCACAAGGTCATTGCTGTACTGCTGTCCATGAAATTTTGATGAGGCTCTGTTACAATCAATTTGCGATAGAGCAGTATAAAGAGCAGGCATTATTGATATGGATCCATTACAGTAAAATGCTTTTTGCAAATTTGCGGAATTCAAGAACAAACGGTACGATAGTGGTATCATGGCATATTTTACCGTGCATTAGTGGTGTTTTAACTTTTATCTACATCGCACAGATCTTCAGACTGCAAGTGCGGATCATCAAGAACTCGTGATTTTTGACTCTAATTTTCAAAATTTAACATTTTTCTTTGGCTTCGACACGTACGACAAAAGAAATTTTGTGCAGTTTTCCATTTTGCATTGCGAATGAATGTTCCGCGCACTGTTTACTGGAGCTTGTACATACAGAGCGGTGCAGTGAATTATCCATAAGCCGCGGTCTGTGCCATATGCATAATTACTGTGCATTTTGGTGCTCGCATCGCCATGAAAAGGATATCCATCGTGCACAATCGCATTAACGTGCCAGTACCGTTGTTCCGTAAAATCATGCCGAATGTTAGATCAGGCATAGCATCCATTCCCAGCTGGACTATGCGTCCATCAGTATACATAGGTAGGGCCTCAAAACATTGCACAAAGAAAATATGAATCAGATTTTATCGATTGACGGTATTTCCTGAACCCGTAGCAATAGTAGGTCACTCACTGAAACGCGAACGCACATTCTGCATTGTACTGCCCTATGCACACGTTGCAGTTGCAGTTGCACTACACCAGAGCTCTTGCACAGCATTCAAATTCGTGGATGCTGCGCCCGCCGAATTTTCTTCCAGAGCGAAGATTAGCAGGCGTTTTTATACAAATACATCTTCTAGCTTTACAAAAAGCAAACAATTTTATACTAATTTAACAAAGGCTAAAACGGTTTCTCAGAGAAAAAAAATCTTAAAAATGTTCAAAAAAGTCCGGCAGCGTGGTATATCTACTCGTTGCCGGGTCAGATTAATATGCCCAAGGATAACGAATTATGGGAGACGAGCTTTCAAAAACATGGGTCACATTTGCTATTTTAAAAAGTTCATAACGTCTACAAGTACTCGTACACTGAATCATTATCCTATATGAGTTGTTTGTACGTATCAGAATCAGGATATACTGTTATTTCATTCTTCTCTCAAACTTTAAACTTTCAGTATGTACTCTATCTCTGGGGTAAAAAGGATTGTGTCGCAACCCATTCTAAAATTCAGGTTTTATAACTTCGTCGATCTGGTAGCAAACCGGCGACATTTCACGAAACCAGTAAAACTAAATCCACTGGCAAATACTGTATTTGCATGTCCGTAATACATGCAAATTCAATCCTTGGTCACTCCGAAATTTAAATCTAAATACTGCACTACAGGCAGTTGCTTACGCCATGGATAGCGCAGCGTCGCAAACGATGATCATTACTTTATCGGTCATGAATATGCGCGGTCAGTGTGTTGCGGCGGGAACCCGATTGGCTTCCAGTATGCTTCAACTTAGCTGCCTCAACTTGCGTTCTCACAATAATAAATATACATGCAGGAATCTGCACCAGATATCTTTCATGGTTTTGCTAATAGTCCAGGGCTTTGGTAAATAGTGCTTCCTGTGTCCACACATACAATATATGACCCAACTCTCCCTCTTCCCTCGCGCAGTGGTTCAAAGCAGGACACACAGCCGTAATAACGGGTGGGGATTGGGGAAACCGCACTGTGCGATGCATACATATATCCGATTTTTATCACCGTACGATTCGACGCGAGCCCTGCTGCAGTTGAGCCGCATGCGCTGCATGCCGCGCTAGCCATCTGATCCTCATCATCCGGACTAAAATCATCATCATCAAGGAAATTTATAGTTAGAAACAAGCGAGCTGTTCATTGCCTTTCTGCTCCCCAATCAATACACCCTGCATCGCTGTTTAAATGTGTAAATTTTCCAATAACCCGGGCAACAGATAGCGAAGTGTCAGTGTGCTACTTACTATACATTTTGCATGCAGTGGTCAGTTGCGCTGACCATCGATTGTTCCGAGGTTCTGGAGTGATCTTTTAATCATGGCGTAAGAGCGCCGTTTTGGAACCAGAAATATCAATGTACTTCGCTTAGTTTTTTTGCCACGGTCAACGATCGGTAAGTTTGATCTGCTGAACATGGCAAATTTGTGTAATGCTTTCTCATGTTAATTACTTTATATATTAAAAGTTCATTTTTAAGGCTTTATTAGCTCGCATTATGGTTTCGATTACTGAAAAAGTATACCGTGTTGCATACATGTTTTCAAAACGACGCGCAAATATTGAAATCCTGGTTTGCAGATTTAGATGAATAAAATTTCAAAGAGGATTCTGATGACAGTGCACGGGCTTTTTTAATCTGCATTTCGAGTTTTGTGACATCTGGTCTGAAAAGAATATCTCGTTGCACGCACAATTGTTTTTGGTGGTTGTAATCAATAGGTCCACTGTATAATAAGTAATGCGTGACTTGGCATTGAGAAATCATAAAATTTAATATTATTTGATGTTTTTTGCGTACTGTTATGTTTTTACAAAAAGTTGCATGCTTTAGTTTTGCAGCTTTGCTTAAAACTGCGTATAAGAATTTTGGTTGACAATCTGCAGCATCGCGCATGCGTATGCATTGCGTAAATAACGGTGTGGTAATCGAAGGGAGCAAAGCAGTTGCAACTGTGGATGTACAGTGCTGAGAAGGATAAATCCTCCGCGATAGGCTCTGGTTGCACAAACAATGCAAATGGAAGCAAACCTGGCTTCTGCTTACACAAGATGGCAAACTGCCGTTTTGTTTGCAATGTGCACACTGCGGAGTACGATCACATGTCGATTACAGCACTGCTCCTGACAGCTGCGGGATACAATTAGTTGGGAAACGGAGGTTATTGGCGCCTTGTACAGTGCCCACTGGGTTTCCTCCTTCAGTATATTCAACAAGGCTACTTATTTTTTCAAAGTGTTGCAATTGTAGTATATAATTCATCTACAAAGCAATTTGGTTTATACTAGGACATAAAATGCTGATCTTTGAAAAAGAACGTGTGTAGTAGCGCTAAATAATTATTTTTATTGCCACATACTCCATGCGTTCCCTTAATTTTCTAAATTCCCGTAATTCTCTATACTGAAAAGAGAGAAAAGTCAGGAGGGAGAGTTTTAGTTCAGGCTAGCGGGATATATTGCAGTGGTGCATGTGGTTTTGCAGTTTTTCACACGCTAACGCCCTCGATTCTGTCCAGCAATGTTCTTGTCAGTGCGTATGTCACTATCTCGACGCACATCGTTTATCGTAATTACACAGCCCAGTTCGGTCACGATAGTGATTATCAAAGGAAGGAACATTTGCCTTGTCAATAGGACATTTTGGATATTTTAGAAAGAAAATTGCGCCCAGAAACGGTACAAATGTCCGGCGCAGAATGCAATTAGTTTGTTTGGCTCATGATGGAATTCATCACACGCACAAGGGATTATCGAATTATTCCATATGACATACTTTCCGTGCCCAACGTCGGTATTAACGGGGCTTTTCTTTTTTAATTAAAACTATATAAATACCCTAATTTTTCTACCAGTAAAACGAACAAAAAAATCCTTTTTCTGCAGATTAATTGAAAATGTTTCCGCGCAGTGCTATGCAAGTAGTTCCCCGAAAATGCGTTATTTTCACCCATGTGGGCCGTAAAAACGTATATTAGAGGAAAGCGATAACATAATTTATTCGACAACATCTCTTATTAACAAAATGCACGAGTACAGAAAAATTCGGATCACACGATGTTTGTAGATTTAAATTCTAAGAAGGGTACAGAAAATGTAATTTGAGATTAATACGTTGTTGTCTTGAGAATGTGGGGAGTAAATTGACAAGCCGGTGATTTATTAAGCAGGGAGACAAATGGTTTTGACACACTTTTCAGATATGGAAAGCAGGGATGGCAAATGGGAAAATATGGTTTAAAGTGCATATTTCCAATATGGCGGAATACTCGCTTGGCTGACCATTTCTGTTTGACAGATGTTAGTGCCAAACACACTGAGCATTCGATTTTTTCTGGAATCCAAGCGCATTAATCATTAATCAATCAAAACCGGGAAGAAGGCGTTTAAGAATAAAACCTGCATAGGGTAGATGACGCGTCCATAATTACTGAAGTTTGTGACAATAACAAGTACGCGTACTTAGTTAGTCAAGATCGCAGAATGTCACATATCCATCCCGAAAACTGATACACAAAAGGCATAGTTTGTTTGTTCGGCCCGGTGCCTACGAGTAGGTCTTTTTGTACGCCGCATTTTGTTGGTACACCCCAGGAATTCTGGTAAAAAATTAACAGCTTTCATAGGTTTATGTTTTAGTACTCGTGCGATATCAAACTGCTTAACGAAGAGATACGTGCGTCTGTCCTCGCATGGATAAGATTTAATGGAGAATTAATCTCTCAGCATAATCTGTAGCAAATGTTTGACTAGGCTATTAGAAAAAAATATAATCCCTCTGCATCGGTGACTGGCTTACCCGGATGATCCGGTTTACTGTAAGTCTGGGCCGGAAACCATCCATGCTGTTGATGGTCTGCCGGACCGCAAAAAGTGGATGGTCGGCTCATTGTCAGTCTGCGTGCCTCTTTGTTTCGAACTCAAGCGCCACGCATTTTCCCGTACACTACTGTACTGTTTCATAGCAGTGTGTTACAACGTTGGTTGTGTGTTGGTGTGCAGATTTTCAAGAGATGAGAAGCATCTCAGCATAGAAAATCTGAATTTGAAATTTTCTGGAAGCAAGTTTGGACACCGGCCATTGGTTTTCAATAGTAGTATTGATGTCTTATCTGTTATTTGCACATTGCAGTGCAACATCCACTCCATATCCCGGTGCATCTGTATTCTATTCCCCCAGAACTATGGAGACAAGTTTAGGCCTGGATAAGAATGGTCACCGTCGATCACCCACAAGTACTCCTTCCACTAGTCCGCTGAATGCCAGCATAAACATTAGTGCCCCTGTGCCCATCCGCCAGTTCACCAGCACATCAGCCATGCAGCAGCAGCAGCAGTCGAGCAGCGTGGTCAAGACAACAACGGGTTTAATAACCTCGACCAGTGCGGCGGGGCACGATTCCGCTCATCCAATGCGCAGTCCTGGCCGACTGATCCATGAAATTAAAACCGCATCCCAAGAGAGTCAGGCCGATTCCGGTCATGACTCGGGACATGGATCAGCCCAGCCGCACACGGTATCATCGGAATTTCAGCCCTTTTTAAAGAGCACCGAACTCTTTGAAACCCATCTCGCCACGGAATCCTCCAAGCTCTTAAACACTCCCAATCGCGGACTGGATGCCGAGGCGGACGAGCGCGTGCCCACTCCCATCATCGCCACTGGTATGGGATCCACGACGAAAATGGATCTGGAAAGAGCGCGAGAAGAATCCTCGTATGTCTATTAGACCGAATTAATTTAACGACCAAGTACCGGGCATAATTTTTGACACATTAAATGTTAGCTTGAAAATTAGTGCAGGTCAAGCACCTGCTGTGCATACGAATTCAGCTTTAAGTCTGTTTCGTAGAATATTTTCGATTGTAGACTACTATAGGGTTTTGAATTTTTATTTGCAAACCGCCAATTATTAATTAAATATTCTGTTATAATATTTTTTTCGCACTGGTTTTTTCTTATAGCAACACCACCTGGAGATTTTTCAGCTTGCTGTACGCCCTGCTTCTCATTGTCCTGGGCACAGCGTTTCCAACGTCCGAAATCATCGCTGCTCAAGTGAAACCGCTCTTCTACCAGGTATTAATACCTCCGGAAATACGTGCGATTAGTGTTCCAGGGTTGTTTTCCTTGATATTGTACTTAAAGCTCGATTAATGAGCACGAGCGGTTACTGTTTCTCAAATGTCTCTTGGAGTCGCGGTGGCTGTTTTGATTAGGGATTACACCACGCAGGATGCCAGCAGGAAGTACACGTAATAGTTATTATACTAGTGCACTGCCAGCTTCCGAAATTTTGCCGTTAAATTGCACATCATGTCATTAATTTCTTGACTGTATAAAAATTGTCGTAGTTAATTATGCTGTTAAGCCGATTATATACTGAGATGAATAGTGTTGGTTTATTAAATTTTTTATTTACTTATTCAGAATGCACCGCAAAAACAGTGCGCGGAAATCAGTTGATCATAGTTGTTTTCCAGGCGTACTACGTGTACCTGTTCGGTGTGTCGATATTATTCCTGATCTTCGCTTATATTTTCCTTCTGCAAACGGGACGGCGCAACCGGAAGCCCTTGTTGAGTTTCCAGAAAGGCACGAAAGGTTACCACATGGAGACTGTCGAGAGTGCTAGCGCCGATACAGAAGCCAAAGGGGCCGGCTTGCAGCGGCTGTCGCTTTCGCCTTCCGCTACCAATGTCAAATCCGGCAGCTTCTACTTGCGCATGGTACTTTTCTTGTAGCAGAACAAAAATTTCCGTTTACTCCCGTTAATGTCAGTGTTGATTTGTCTGCAGGGGGCGGTGGTGTTTGGTGTGGGGTCGATGATTTATTCCTGCCTGGAATTTGGTCAATATTTTGAGATTCCTGCTAACTCCGAATGCAACGACATTCTTGTAGCCGTGGTGCCCGCTTGCCGTTTCTTTTTCTCCTTCATTCAGTTGTACTTCGTTTTCCTGAATTCAAAGGTAAGTCGTCTATCTTCCTTATTCACCGTCATTCGTGTGTTAATTTAGTAAATTTCATGAAAATGAAAAGACCTTTTGTCTCTTACGTTTTATCGGCAACTTGTTGACTGTACCAAATTATCTGTCTGTTGTCCTACTGGGGAATTTAAGCAGGAGTGAAAGCAATTTCATTTTCTTGGATTGAATGGGATATTTTGGATTGCATTCCGCGCCGTTGAAATTTGAGCACATTAAGCGAAATCACCCCGTAATTTGGATAGAGGCGCATGGTTGCGCAAGAGAGAACTGTGTTATGCTAGCAAAGATTCTCACAAAGAAAGCCATGTTATTGTTAGTTCGAGGGTATAATAACCGGAAACATCAAGTGTAGAACGTAATTCAATACGGAAAGCACGTGCGCACATTCTAATGGTGTTGTCCATCAGTAAACCATTGTCGATCTCACCCATAGAAAGAGATAGTTTTGTTCCACGTGTAGACATTTCGTCAAAAGGTCTCTCCTTGTCTTTTCAGATTCGCGTTGACCGCTTCACGAAACTTGTTTGGTTTGGACTTATGCATGTGAGTATCATAATTCTGTCAACATTAGTTGCGCGCTGTAGTGCGGCAAAGGCTGCTGTGACATGACTACCGCGAAATTTATCGTAGTGAGGATATTGACGCTTTCTTGTGAAGACCACAGATGTTCATGACCTGTTGTATTGATGGAAATATACGTGTGCATTGCAGATGGTGGCCACCAATATTTGCATTTGGCTCAGTGTTCTGATTGGGGAAACTAAGCACGAACTTGAACTGACGCTGACCGATCCTGACCGCATCACTCCGGCAGGTTTCGAGGAACACCCTTACCCGATCGGCTTCCGTTGGTGGAATATCAGCAATCAGTCTAGCACACCCAATGTTTATAAAAAGCCGCTGCATGTTTACGCCAAGACAGCTGCCATGGCCTCCAGCAATGTCCTTTTGACCGTATATCCCAAATCATGCAGAGCGCAGACGATAATTGGGAATATTTTGCAGAAGGTATTACGTGTATTTTGGATGCTCGTATATTATCTAATTTTTCATATGACAATGAGAATGAGTTTTAAATTAAGAATGGATTTTGTCTGTAAAAATTATATGAAATTATAATGCTTTGTTTTTGCCGGTCAGTTAATTGTGATTGATTCGTTTAATTAGTTCTCGGGAGAACTAGCTTTCTCCCTTTTCAAGATGCATAACCCATTTTCTTGATAAAAGTGCTCCGTTTTTCTGCAGGCGAGTCCATTCCTTTACCCCTGCATTGTGGAATACAGTTTAATTTGTGCTGCGATGCTGTATATCATGTGGAGATCCATAAGTACGCGTAGCAAAACCTACAATGCGGAAGAGACATCTTTGTCAGCAATGTCGCTGTCCGCAACCGGTGGGAAAAGACAAAGATACACCGTGGTATGTGTAAATATGTTTTGCCTAACATAAACGTAACCTCAGTGGGAAATGAACTGTTACAAATCGAAACCAGAAGGAGAACATTTTCGTACGAAAACCGTTTGGGAAACTCAGTGAGCACGTGTCGCTTCGGTCCGTTATGACCGAGAAGCGTATTCTTTGTTTATATGTTGGTCTAATTTTTTCAGGACTGCCACGGCGCAACAAAAGGGCTTTTTATCGGCCTTTTAATGATCGTGGTGACAATTATAAGGTACATCCCAGCTAGCACAACCGAACAATTTGGTACTGCTACATTGATTGTGGACACATTTTGCGGATACAAAACCACGGCAGTAACATAAAAGTTTAGCGGCAGTTGGTAATTATAACGGTTTATTTGCAGTATGATCCTGTTCTTTGTGTGGATCTGGCGCAGTGAATATTATTCACTGGCAGTCTTCCAGGCCTACGTAGTGGAAATCTCCCTTTACACTCTGACCTTTGTGGCCGTCTGTATGGCTTTTGTGCAGATGCGTGATCTGAAATTTGAGAGCCGCGAAGGATCAGCACTCAATGATCTCCTATTGATAATCTCCCAATTTGGTGTGTATATTTTCTGCACGTTCATCCTCATTTCCGGCCATCACACGGTTATTGAGGATCCACAGCGGGGTGATCTTTTTGCCCTCTTATCGGCCCTATTGGAAGCCATCCAGGCCACTGTACAAACACTGTTCCTCCTGGATGCCACTCGTCGGCGACCCTATAAACCGGAACACTTACGCGATAAGCCTGGCCGCGAATTGGTCACATTTCTCTTAGTATGCAATTTCGGCCTGTGGGCTGTCGAATCATTAGAGGCCTGGAAGCAACAGCTCTATCCTGCGCAACAGCGCTTTTACGGCTCTTGGTCGGTAGGTCACAAATGCAACCGCACAGCGCCGCTGTTGGGCTAATTTAACTAAATTGACGTAAATGTTGATACGTATATTTTTGATGGTTTACGCTCATTCACATGGATTTCGGCTTGACCCAATTACATGCTATTATACAGGCTGTAAATGACATTTTCCTTTTTGTAGTGGACCATCATCATGAATATATCGATGCCGCTGACCATCTTTTACCGGTTCCATTCCAGGTACACGCAGAAGCTGCTTATCGGCCTTATCCTTTCTTGAGTTACCTTATTTCAGTTATAACTGCTTTTTGCGCTGCCACATTGCTTTCAGTGTTTTCTGTTTTCTTATTGTATCCATAAAATCAGTGTGAAATTTTGCTGGTTATGGTGCAGAAATGTTTATTGCTTGCGTAGTAATTTTCATCATGCTGAGATATGATTATAAACGGTGACTGTAAATTTCCAAGCGTTTCTCTCTTGCTTGAGTATAAGGCCTAATTAAGTGTTTAATACGAGTAATTCATTCATAAATGTGTTCTGCTCGCACAAAGGCATTGTTTCTCACCAGCAGGACGATTCTAATGGTGGTTCGTGTATTGTAGCGTCTGTCTCTCTGAAATTTGGAAAAGAGCCTGGAAAGTGAAAAGCCGCCCATCGACGCCGGTCGTCATTTCGTGATCTCATTACCATGGAATTGCGAAACTGCCAAATTGAAACAACGATTACGTTTAGCAAATTAAACTGTATAGCGGAACAGTGGTGTTGCATTGCATTTGGGTGCATATACAGATGCATTAGCGGACCAAGCGTACAATTACTGCACAGAATGGAAACCAAATTGGCCGATAGTCATTACCGCGTGTGTCCAGTGGCGTCGTACTCGTTATGTGCTTTGGATGTGAATCAAGTGGGCGGACAAGCAGAAACAAAATATTTTTGTTGTTTTTATCGTAAAAAATGTGTGTATCAATAATATTATCTGCGCGAAGAAAGGATCTGGACTGCAGACTGGTTGCACTCGAAAATAATTACTGTACTCCTCTAGTATTACTTTAAAAGATCTTTTATTTTGTTCCGTGGGTGTGTCTTACTATGATATACGTTGCATAACCATGTTCCGCAAAGATACGTTTTGTTGTTTTTGTTTATACGTTTTATGATCGTCTGCAAAATACTCCTGCTGTTTGAATCTTTCGTTTTGCCTGTCCGAGTCAGTTAAATCTTTACGGTTTGGATCGTATTGAACTCAACCTTCGTTAATGCTGACTGCATTTGTAATGGAATGTGCAGTTGTTCTACGAGCACCTTACAGAATGAGGAGTTGATTTTTGTTACTTATCACAAACATTGACAATTAAAGAATATCTCTGTAAGGTTGCACCTATGGTAAAAACAGAGCCCAGAGTAAGAAGTTAGAAACGAGTACATTACGGGTTACTTACGGGTACTCTACATTACGGGTAATTCAGCGATTTATAAAAAAGAAACACCTACCTGCCATTTACCCGCTGTTTTTGCGAACTGGAAATTTAAAGCTTATTGTCAAACACAGGCGGCCCTACTTCATCAGTTTCGCAGGACGTTTAAACATCTAGCCCGTGCTTTTTGTCCCTGTGATAATTGTGATGCATATTGATTGTAAAAATTTATTTTTTACGATGTGTACGACATAAAACAACACAATTAATATTATGTATTGCATACAGATATGACTGCCGGAAATTTCGAATGACAAGACTATACAATTCCGTCAACAATTATGCTCTACAGAAATAGATTCAAAACGAATTAGGGGTTCGCAAAAGTTCATCGAAGTTCCAAAAACTGCTCCACCGACATCTACGTCTCATGCTGGGCGCAGCAAAAGAAATTAATTGTGTACAAGAATGTACGTATAGATATATCTATATGTACAAGAATGTAGATCTATATATAGTACACTAACACTAGTGTACAATGTACATATCTGTACTTTATAGTACAGATCGGAGATCTGTCTCATGGCTCCAGCTGAAACATAATATGATGTACTTAAAATAATGTAGATTAAATAATCTTATTTTAGTAAACTTTGTCGAAAATACGTTCAGTACATGCAGTACAAAAAATTCAAGGCAGCTATGCATGTGAAATAACAAGAATTCACAACTGTGGTTGGCTGTCAAACCGTGATCGTTTGCGGCAAACGTGACAAACCAAAATGCAGATAGTATTTCAGTACTTTATAGGAATTAATCATGCAATTTTATAATGTTTATGACACAAAAGCAAAAAAAGACACTAAGCGTGTGGCATGTACATAGTGATATGACGCGGCTTTATTATCAAGTGTATGAAAACTGCAAGCATATTGCCAATAATGCCATCAGAAAGCCGTTTTCCAGAAAAGAAGCTTAATTAAGTAAATGGTTGCTTTTTAATTTTTTAATTTTTCTATCAAATAGTCTACTAGCGCGGGCAAATGTTTTGCTACGGGTGGCTATCGCCCATAAAAAGCAAACTTAAGATAACAGTTGATTGGCTTGAAAGGCGAGCTGGTTAGGGCGTTAATTGTGTCACTTCCGGTAATTAAAACATATTTTAACAAATATATTTTCATTATTTAATTAGAACTTCTAAATTAAAAGGTGTTAAGTGGCATAACAAAAATGTTTTTTTATGGAATGCTATAATATAACAGAATCAATCAACAGAATAACTGATAGATTAACGGCTCTGCAGTATTACGGGATTGAATCAATAGCAACGGTAGTCACAACAGCAAGCGGCACAATCAAAAACAGATTGATGCATGTTGAGCTATTTATTCGGTAAAGATGCGTCCTCGCCCCCGGCAAAGCTTTTACAGCATACATCACACTACAGAAAGCTCTTCCCGCAAACTAATGAAATTTTTTTCTTAACTTTATTACACTGGAACGGTCAGCGGGAAAGAGAGGAAAAATAGTATTCACGCTCAATTTCAATCACCCATATCCCACAGTAGCAACGTTGCTACCGCCGCGAAAATCTTGTAAAATAACGATTTATGGCGACAGCTGCAAGCTGGATTCACACACAAGTGCCGGATCGCAAACGGAAAAGGCGCTCAACGTTTTCTCGGACAAATATCAACGGGAAGTATCTCTGAACCATTCGGGATGAGAATGTACATATCGAATGTATAGTAGTAGAACTCTATACAGTCATGTTGCCTTCTTTCGTACATTCAGCTTGCATATCCCTTGTTTCATGCGTGATACGCTTTGATCATGTTACACCCAGTTTATTGGATGTTGCAGTTAATGCTAGTGTTTTCCACTGATAATTATTGCCAAAGAAATGTTCCATGAGTAGGTCGGAGAATCGAAAAATCTGGTCACTTCGTTTGCCGGCAATTGGCAGCGGGAAATTTTAAACGAATTTTGCGGGGGTATAAAAATCGCCTCATACATAATTATATGCACAACCTATAATTTCTGATTGGTCTGATTTTTTTATACAGTCTTGCTTGCAGTTTGCTTGCAATTTTATTTGACAAGCAGTTCTGCTGTTTTCTTAACTGTTAGTATTACTGTCAACTTTTTCTAAAAATGTCAATATTAAATCCTATTCTGATTGTTGTCTTGTCGTTTTTGACCTCTCAGTATTGGTGAGTATCATTGTAATTACCCCGGTAAACACATATATACGCGGGAGTGTGTTTGTATTGCGTTCATATTTATAGCGTCCTGGTCGGCACCCAAATCATCCTTGATCCTCTTGTACCTGACAGTAAACCTGTCAGGCGGACGTACATCTACTCCATTATTTCGGGGACAAACAGATCACTGGAAAGACACCAGAGACTGCGCCGTGCCCCGGAAGAATCACAGAATGACATTTATAGCAGCAAAGTCACCACTCTGCTCAATTCACTTTTTGACAGATATAACAAAACGTTTCGGCCCAACTACGGACGTAAGTTTCCACGTAACCGAAAGATGGAATTTTTGACGTTTTGTTATGCCGCAGTTTATTATAATTACCAATGCTATTTTAATTACAGTTCTAAAGTGCATGACGGATTATGTATGGTTTATACGCGTGCATATATTGAATTACTGTTTTGCTAATATGATTAGATGATGACTGACTAGTTTGCACGTTAAGTATTAATTTAAGCATAATATATCGGCTTGAAGTGGATTTACATTTTTATTTACTGATTCGGGACTTACAATCTCATGTTCCATCTTACTTTAAGAACTAAAATACGTACAGCGTGATGTGTTTCTTAAAAATCACCTTAAATTTGACACCAGAGCAGTAGAATTGTGAAGACGCATTAACTTAAACGGTACCAACAGCCAGTTCTGCTAGTAGTATTGGGACTGATACTTTTATTTTGAATAAATGCTCAGAAAAATGGGCAAAACTGCAACAGTTTTATAAGAATATTTTATCATTGTTTGGCATTTATGACAACATATTATACGTACGCTTGAACTAATATAAATCTAATATGTATTGCTTAGTGGAATTTTAATGTGTTTGTTCCAGATGGTCCAACGCAAGTAAGGATCAATATGGTTGTGATCAGTATGGGGCCAATTAGCGAGCTGAACAGCGTAAGTTCAATCAAGCATGACCTTCAGCACTTGTCAAATGGGAGGGCAATTTATCCCACTGCTATTCCCAGGATTATTCTATGGACATCTACTTTCGACAGAAGTGGAGGGACGAACGATTAAAGTTTAACGGCTCGGAAGATATGAAAGAACTGGCCTTAAACAATCTCATGTTGGATAACATATGGAAGGTATCATTATTGGCAAACTACATAAACGCTCTTATAGCACTGCTAAACGCAACAATGATTTTCACACTACGAAAGATGGATGAGAACCCATTACTCACTTTGTAGAACACATATTAAGGATGAAAATAATAATTAGCAGTCCCAAATTTGATAACAAAAATTACGTTGCAAAGCCAATTTTTTACAGTATGAAGTTGATGTTAACCGCACACGCAAATACCGCACATAATAGGAGTTTGTTAAAGTACTCGTACTGATGCATTATTTTCATTTGCATGACATTTTGTGCACGGCATTCGAGATGTATCCAGTTGAGCTGATCAAATCGAGTTCAAATCAAGATTTCCTACTTACGTTAGTTATTTTGGCACAGACCGTATAAAAATATGCCGTTTTAATTTGTTTGCATATTTCTTCCGTGATTTACAAACTGTTTTAACGCATGTTGTTGACGTGAAAGTGTCACCAAGCCGCATAAGAAGTTTGTAATACGAGCTCCCTCCGCCATATTTTAATATCAACTTTTGATAGCCGGATACTTATTTTCGGAACGGGAAAGAGTATTACGTTCACACCATTACAACCGCAAATAAACTCCTGCGCTTGCAAACTACGGGAGACATCTTATACAGCATGAGGTAGATGTCTATTTTTGCTTCAAGTTAGAAAAACTTGCTAATGTACGAGAGCGGTAGACATATGGTCTTAAACTGTTTACATTTATAGATTAAGAATTCGTGCGCAGTGCCAAATGCGGTAAGTTTACTGCTAAATAAAAAATAAAATGGTAATATCGTCGCGACAAATAAAATAGCCTAATTGATTGCTGTGTTTTAAGCTTATCATTCTATCCGGCAGACATTCAGGTAAGACATACATACGGTAATTCGACACATCAGACAAATGCATTAACTAATTAATTTGGTATTAGACAAATGCATCAGTTGATTAATTTTGTATGGCTATTAAAATTATTTTTTATGCAAGACATTGTTTCAATCAGACCGAAAGTATGCGAAATTATGAGTTACAGTACCATATTTTATGGTTGTTGTTAACGCGATGCCGCAAACCGCATTGTACTTTTAATATTACTGTTCAGAGTAATGCTGCTACATCCTTTAGAGTAGCAGTTACTAGTATATGGTGTGCTTCTTTGCAGTCGTGCCCTTTGATCATCGGAAGCTGTAAGTCATTCGAAAATCCATTATAATTGAATAAATATTTTTATGAATGTTCCCCTTTACCTCCCGCAGTCGCCTATCAAGCTCACGAAGTCCTGTATTATTGGGGTAAGGGGATGTGCAGCGTGTTGTCCTTTTTTAAATTGTGACATCCAAGAGCGAGCACATTCACTCATACGAGTACATGTATGCAGATCCCGACCACCGAGTAAAAACAGAAGCCGGTTTAACACTATCCCAGTATGAATTGAAGGGTCCACCGCCTTGCGAAAATTTCTTTGCTCAGTTTGATAGCGGCATGAAGAAAGGTAAATAAAGAAGATGGGTCTGGTCTGTTGATTTAAAGAAGGCAAATCATTTAATTAAGTTGAAATTGGCCTGGCGTTTGATGCAGAGAACTACTCAATGGCCCGAGTGGATTTTATATTACAGCGACGAATGGGATATTTTCTACTGCAAATATACTTACCCTGCATGCTGATCGTTGTCCTTAGCTGGGTGTCGTTCTGGCTTAACCGTGAGGTAATACAGTGGAATGCTGAAATATATATTATATCTCACAGTTGTCAGTATTATAACACTTATACTCAAAACTAAAGTTTTAGATAACAGTTGTCTGATTCACCATAACGGTTTTCTAGGCTACAGAAAGATTAAGTTTAGGAATTACAGCGCTGCTGACGCTTGCTACAATGAATCAGGATCAAAAAGATGTACTGCCCAAGGTAATATAAATGTTTATCTTAACACAAAACATCTTGATGCATAAAGCAAACTTACAGACTGGTGATAAAAAATCTAAATTTTGTTAAAATTATAAATGACTGATTTTTCTTAAATTCTTTTGTTCTATAAAAGTATAAATTATTAAAGTATCTATCTGCTAGAAAGCGTTCAAGCTACTCTACAAACAGGTTAGGTAATTCGAATTCGAATATTCTTTTGCTCAAAATTAGTGATTATCATATACCAATAATTTAAATTGTTTTGGGTAAACTATGCAGAATGCCGTGTCGTTGTAGCAGATGGACGTTTTCACAAGAAACCAGTTTTGATTTGAATTTGCTTTGTTTGTCTCCAGATATACTTGTATGTATGTATTTCGTGAATATGTTAGTTATGCCATATTTTCGGCTTTTCAGACTTCATACCCCACGGCGTTAGAATGGTGAGCAATAAAACAAACTGACCAACAATAACCCTAAGAACATATAATTACAGTAACTCAGTGACCTTTGCACCTCCTGATTTAGTGACACGATTTATACGAGTATAATAATAACCAGCTTTGCATATAACTGCAGTAATTAATATTATTCATGAACCGGTAATCTTACACTTACAGGTATATACTGATCTGCAATTTATATGTCAGCGCTAGTATAATCCAGTTTGCCGGTAAGTACCTCAGAAAAATTGGAATCGCATCTGCATGATCAATTCCGATGTTATTTTCCTAAAAACATATTTCTGAAAATTCATGTGAAATATGGTGTTGGTTATCATGCAATATTTTAATCTTGTCTTATGTGCTTTGATTGCAGCTGTCCATTTTTTTACAAAAACTGGATTTGAAGAGTTAAATTTTCCAAAAGACAGAGAAGCAGTCACGGGAGGCGAAGATGACTGGGAGGAAATACCGGAAGTTGAATTAGCGGAAATGCTGGGGAATCTTTCTAGTCCAAAGGTAAACGGCGCTATAATTCAAAATAACGCAATACCTTGTACAACGGGCTCTTTAACCCGTCCGCTTTAATTTTTCTCTGCACTGTCTTTTTGCAGCTGTATGCAACCATAGAGAATCAAAGCAACCACATAGGCGCTTCTAAACACCATAGTGTGGTAAAAATAAACCAGACTGTGATCACGACCAGCGAAGAACAATTGGATCGCCCATTCGGAAATGAAACATTTTGTCAGAAATTGTTTTACTGTATAACGGGGAATGAGAACTACCGTAGTGAATTGATACGACGGGGAAAATATCGGACTAGTTCGATTAATTCGGTCAGCCTTTTGGATCGGGCATCAAGAATAGGGTATGCGTGTGCATATGCACATAATTATGGTATTACATAAATTTTTCAATAAAGTATAAATGCACCTTTTCAAATATATGCATGCATCTATTCATTCGTTTCAAACCTTTATTGTGCCTTTTGAAATTATAGCTTCCCTCTGACTTTTGGATTGGTAAATCTCGTGTACTGGATATCCTTTCTTTATTCGGAAACACCGCCGCGAACTTCGGTCGGTAATCCCCGCGCATATCTTGTATGGTTTTAAACGGTTTCTTGCAGCGCTGTTATTCGTATCTGCATGTATGCATATACTTACAATAGAATGCGTAAATCTGTGATTTTATTTATCTTAATTTTAACTTTAAGAATTGCTGTAATTCAACATTATGCTTATTACTTTTTGCAGAACTGCATCAGCATATTTGCATAAAAACTGCGAGCACAGGTGCTTTGATACAGTTACAAAAAAAAGCGGTTTAAAAAAATGTGAGGCAGTTTTGCCCAGTGCTACGAACACTTTATGAATTTGTGCATATTATGCCGGCCAGTACGTGTTATGCCGAACCGGCGTTCATGCAATTACCAAGCAATCGCATAGGAGAAGTTTATGTTAATTACGCCGAAGTAAAGAGAAATTATTGTACAGAACGTAACACTGCGTTTGGATTTATCGCCGAATGAAATGTTAATCTACAAGATTCGGGATCGCTGTCGATTTATCATGAATTGCCGGTTGCGTTCTTTTTATTTCGTACACGATGTATGTTCACATGTCAGTATTCTGATTAACGCAATCAAAAAGGCAACGCAATACTACCGTGTGCATTATTTAGCGTTTGACTCGCTAGAATAGTACCAAAAGTAGAAAGACATAAAAATTGTAAAAGATACTGGAAACGCCACCCGACATGTCCGATCAATCTGACTAATACTATTGATCCGTCCATGTGACATGTTTTCGACAAATTTTTTCGTATCCTTATCGAAGTACGATCGGTATGGGTGGATACCAAAGCACAGACGTAAGAATTTCTGACAGGAATTTCCGGCTAGAAAAGCAGAAAATATCGAATCTTTCCGCTCTGGACTCTCGGTTAGCTCCTTTCCCAACGGACCGCCATTGATATCGCGCGCGTAATCCGCCTCACGCAAATGCAGTTCATCCACACGAGAACAGTTGGCAATGGAATAGCGCCGACGCGATCCATACGTCTGGCTTAGCGCGCGTGATAGTTTCTGTATACGATAGCATATATATAACCATCACATAGTGGAAAATAGTGTTAATTTGGTAAAATTGTTATCTATTATTTAACGGACATACCCGCTGATAGAATTTGGTCCGTCTCTCTGGGGTGTCGTAGCATAACACTTCCGCCGGCCAGCGATGGTAACTGTCGCCGGTGCCGTATTTGGTATTAATGTGCACGAAAGCATACAGGACGATGGACAGAAAAATATATACAAAGGACATGGATACAAATAAATCCAGAGCTGTCATATACGAGACACGTGGATAATCTCCTCCACTTCGAGTATCAATTCCTGCATATTTTTCCAAGCTTTTATAAACTGCTAAGATTTTAAACAAAGTTTCAAATACAAAATTTTGTAAAAGGGTTTTATGTTACGTTTTATGTTACTATACAGATTACCAGCGATTTACCGAGAAAGGTCATGGTCAACACGCACGTAACTCCCACTGCAATAAAACAGTCTTCAGTTGTACCCCGTAGTTATTTGAGGGCGTTTATATAAGCAGTAAAATTTACGTGTTATCCTGTCCCCCGACGCTTCTCGATTTAACCTACATAACAAAATCGGACTTGAACTAAAAATCTGATTTATCAAAAAGGCTGATGCAGAATATGTTTACACAATAATACGTTCAATTTCAGTTACTTTGTGTTATTCTGTATTTGCACACAAATTTACCAGAACTGTACCCAGCTCAGAACAACGGTCAATATGCACGGAGCATAAATTTGAATTAAAAAATATCCTGAATGGCGCTGCAGAGTAAATTCCACTGAAAGCATAGAATATTCACCTGAAACACAAAAACGATGCATTTTTAGAGTTGATCAAAGCCATTTGATCTGGGTTTTGCTGTTTATATGTCAGCTGACGATAATCTGAAAATTATATCAATACTAATTTCATAGTATTTATTCTTTACCTAGAGGTGTTATTCTGGTAGAATTGAATCCAACGGCATTTAACAAATAAAACTGAGATAGTTTCAAGTCCTCGGCTAAAACTACTGCCTTCGCATTCCCGTACTTCCACTTGTAAACAACATCTTTTTTGGTGTAAGCAACTACAAAATGCAGATGTTGACCATGCTAGCACTGTATGCAGCATTTCGGCATGGGGCTCAGATAGCATGGAATCCCGGCACTACTTACAGCTTCCCAAATCCAACTGCAACAAAAGCAAAGTCATGCCCTCTGCTTTCTACGAACATTTATATTTAAGACTGCATTTTATGATTACATTTGCGTATTTCAGCTATCGGGTAGTTTGCTACAGTAACACGAAAAAACCGCATTTTAGGCGATAAGGTCAAACTGCTCCACGAACTTGCTGGTGGTACGTAGTTAGCTACGTAGATGTTGAAACAAGCAGTTTATATGGTGATACCTGCATTTATACAAAGGAAATTTGTAAAAACGTTTTCCGACATTTTAGGGAGAATCATTTCCTACATGTTAAAAAGCTGAAGGTTGAAAGGTTTTAGTAGTGCACTGCAATAAATTCTGTTCCCGCGCATTTGGGACCGTCAGCATATTCTATTTTGTATTATGTGAGTATTTACTGTTTACCGGACAATGTTGGGTGTCCATCGGATATCTCTGCAGTTGCATTGGACAGCGGGCACGCAAGGTCAACCTGTTTGATAAAAAGGCGATTAAAACTGGCAGGCAATTTTACATACGACATACGAGTACAAAAAATATGACAGTTTATGTATCGCACAGAGTGAGTCATGAAATTCAATTAAGATGCATAATTTCATACCCTTTTAAAAGAACGTTTTCTGTACTTCGATTTTGCTCTCATATCAAACGCTTACACAAAATAAAGTATTAACCCGCAAACGCGTGCGCGCGTGTGTAAACACTGAAAACAAATTAATTTTGTCTGTATGTGTCTAAATGAGAAAGGCTATTTGTATTGTAATTCAGTTAGCCAAAGTCGTAGTCTTTATCCAATATTTATCTCTTAAAAGTGTCATAAACACAGAAAATATTTTTTAACAGCATTAGGCACCTGCCAAAACAGAACAATCCTTAAAATACGGGTTCATAAATGAAGCCGCTCTAAATGCAAGCTAATCGAAGTATATATACTTATAAAAAATTTTGAAAAAGCTAAAGGTTGCTAAGAGTATCCGTGATATTTTTTTTATATTGTTCATCAACTTGACGTGTACCTCTGCGAATATATCAGCGTCCCATCACGATAGATTCTAATAAATTTATTGGGACTAGTGATGTCATGTACATAAGAATTGGGCTTTCCATTAAAAACGGTCGTATCCGGCTTCCAAATTTTCTGCAGAACGGTTACGCCCAGCGGAAGTAATGCCGCTGAGATGTTGGAAAACTGACCGTACGATAATCGGCGATCAATCCAAGACTAAAACAAAACAAATACCATCCGCTTAAGTTCCGGATTAGATCGAATCACACTAAAGGCAAATGCAATCGGCGCTGACTGCGTGTGCCTTGCATGTTTTTACCTGCCGGAAATAGCAGTCAATGCTGTATTCCTATTTCACCAAAAACAGATGGCATTACTTAATACGTTGCTTATGAATGAAACATGAACTACTCAACAAATTGACTTTCGCTAACGGTTCCCATAGACCGCAGAACGATGTCGACGAGAACCTTTCAAAAAGACAGACAGGCCAATGTACATGTTCATCAGTATGCGCTTTTTGTCTGACACCATTGCTCACTTCCGTTGTCGGTCCTAAAAAAACAGTGGATGCATTACTATATCATCTCATGGAGTAGCTCATCTATCTCCGCTGATCATAATTTATGTGCTGAGCATTATACTAATCTAGCTATTACAAGCAGATAAAAATTTAAATCTTAAAATCTGTTAACATTATCGGTGCATTAAAAATGACCTTACATTGTTTTAAGAAAGTCAGGTTTAAAAAACAAACCATTCGCTGTGTACATGCCAAAGTTTTATAACAAATGCGCATTGATTTAGTCTGAAGAGTTAACTGTTCGAATTATTTCCAAATCTAATAATTCAGAGTAATACGTTTTACATATTATGTGATGCTGTGTATGTTAAAATTTAATTTTATTTCCCCATGCATACCGAAATACATGGTTATTTCTATGCGTTAGGTCTACTCTGGAGTCTCAAAATTATATGCGTTTTAAAGAAATTAAAACGGTTTTGTTAACAGTTTGTAGTCTCGTTTATATTTACTGCACAACGGCACACCTTTGCCTCTAACCTGGTGGACGAGCTTTGATATCGTAATCCATTAATAAAGTATCGATGATGTCCGTGACCGACTGGATGTGCGTAGATTCGTTCGCCTGCGTCGCGGTGGGGATCATGGTCACGGACGTCAGATTAGCGTCATCGATATTCGCACTGAAGCTGAAGACATTGCGAAATCCCATATTGTCCGTGTGTGTTCGGTATGATGGCGTGCCTTGATGGTCAGCGGAAACAGCTGATCGTGCGCCAAGCTGCACACAGGTATCATGAAGAAATGCCATTTTCTTAACGGTTTTCGTTAAAATTAAAAACAACCACAATTTACCACTTATTACTTGATTATCATATCTGTATTCGGAATTCCTGTGACGGTACAGCCGCAAATCACTAGCTATACCCTTACCATAAAAATAACTCAAATATAGCAAAGCAGACTGTAATTGTAATTACAGGCAGTAAATTACCAAGCAAATTTAAAACATGCGCAGAATTTCGTCATTGTAGATGTTATACTTTGCAGTATAATCTAGAATGTAATTGCAATAATACAGTGTCGGAAAAGGATAACTTCCAAGTTCCAACCTTAAAAGTTAAAGAATTTTAAGTTGGTTTTCTTTGCATTTTCACACGTTAAGCGGAAACGATTACAATAAATCGTATACATTAATTATGCACGGTACTATACATACACACCTGTATAAACCAAATCGCCGACATAAACAGCTGCACCGCCGTAATCAACATTCTGAAGAAAATTAAACCGTCCTCGAGATGAAGAATTCCTCTGCGCTGTTTTTATTGCAACAATGGTGCAGATTGTCAGTGTGTGATATGACAAGGGAAGTGAAGACCAGCTCTATTGGATGTAATGAAGAGAGAGCGGGATATCTTGTTAAAGTAAGGGATTCGCTATCTGACCGAAAGGACAGTTTCCTTCCTGGATAACTTGACAAGCTTGAAGGATACACTGGGCGATGGGGATCGACAGCTTTCAAGTAGGCTGACTATGGGGACAAAACGTACAATATTATATACGATATATTGAACAATATATTCTGTGAGATATGTTATATAGATATACTGTATGTATACTGTACACATGTTATACATACTACATACATACTGCTCTAGTACTGCATGTATGAGAAGTAGAGTTAGCTTCACCAAGCCTATAGTGCTTCGTTTGCTATACACAACTGCCAGCTTCCGTCACTTACTGGAGCATAACTGGATTTCCGATTAACTCATCTCGGCCACAAAATTGCTGATTAAATAGCCATAGGCGAGGAATAAGTGCCCTCCAGTGGCGCATCCCCTGGACTACACATAATCACCACTTATGTTGACAGAATCATGCTTATTTTGGCGGCAGGATGATAATTACTACGGCAAACACTACAGGAAGCTGGGCGATTCCACAGGCAATCATTGTCGATCAGGCCTGTTATCCAGCTCAATGATCCGCTATTTTTATATTGAATTAGATGTCCTTTGTATGGTAAAAAATTTAACTTTGGAGATACGTCTGTGATTACAGAAATGTTGCGGCGAAAAAACAGAGCTGACGCTATACCGCCGCACGTGTAAATGTGACGTAATGTGCGAGCGCCGTATGCCGCGCCTTGTGTGTATCGGCTTAAATGTGCGTATATAAGACAAATGGTTTACAAAACGGATAAATGTCGTCTTAGGTTCTCATCCAGCGCTTTCTATGCGCATGTGAAGATGGGGACTAAAAGGATTACGCTAATAGAGCGCATGCTTGGGACGATGAGGAGAATTAAATCAAATTATCTTTTTTTCTCCAGCAGGCGGTCCAAATCTCATCAGCTGATTCGGTAACCGGAGTTGTGAACTTTGTGATCGTGATCAGTCGTTGCAACTTGCAGTGCATTACGCTTAGTCGCAAAAAAACGATGCTTTTAATTAAGCAACCGACTTCCATCGGCACCAAAAAAAGAAATATGACATTTCCGTGGCAGACAATAAGTATACTCAAGCACGGAACTTGGGCTGTAAATAAATGGCACTTATGGAAGTTTTCGGCTGGATTTTGTTTTTGTAGCTATTTCGTACAATAAGTTAATCCATATATCATTAAAAATTATTTACAACAGTTTCTAGCAGAACTGGCTGTTTTGATACGTCTAAAAACGTGCGCATTAGGGGATATGTAATAATACATATTAACATTTGATTAGCTACGCAAAAATGCTTGTGTTACTAGAGTATGGTCATAAAAAGGGCAAAAAGCCACCGTCTAAATGAAGAACACTTCCATTATGCAGCGGTCAATAATTCTGACGATGTACAGCGATTAAATCCAAACATGAAATCAGACATTCGTGCTCTTTCTTATGCTTTGTATTTGAAGAAAATTCGAAGTAAGCAAGCGATGTGTTAGTACTTCCAGTTTGTAGGCGTGAGGGCTTGTCGAATGTCCTACTGAACTGCGTACTGTACCAATTTTTTTCCGGTGAACCATCTGGAAAGTCAGACGGGAAGCCGGCAAATTTATCGGTGCTGCATACTCCCTTAATACGATTGCAAGCTAATCAAGCGAATAACATCACATAAAATCCCATTCCGTGCGTCGAGGTATTTATGCATGCAACCGCTATGGTGAGTGGACCGTTAACGCCCGGTTTTATCCTAATCGGCTTGTACGCTTTCGATGGCAGCCATCCGACTGAAACGTCAGGACTTTGTCACAAAAAAAACAGTTTTAACCTTTATGTACTCAGTCATTATGCTACAATAAAATTCTGTGCAATAACTTTTATAACAAAAAACACATGGCCAACCATTCACCAGAAATGCAACGCGGGCATTCCAACGTGGACAAAAAGGAACCAGTACCATACACAGAGTCCATGACGACGCAAACGCGAAGGACTAGAAGTCTCTGAGAAACAGAAATAAAACCACCGAAACAAAACAGATTGCTGAAGGAAAAAATTTATCACAGGCAAGGAATTTCTCTATTCAACTATTCGGTTCGGAAAGGTCATAGTATGGCAGTTTGTATATCAGGACTATCTTGAGGATTCTCTTGCTCCGGGTGTTCGGCCGCTTCCATAGGCCTAAAAACAGTCAGTAGATAGAAATATTATTTTGTCTCGTAAATAGTTTTTTGTGTTAATAAACCGGCTCAAGCACGTTTTCGGATAAATGCAAAGCTCCTTTACCTTATTAATTTCACTGACGTGAAAATCTCAAACAACGAATACTGACATAAATTTTATAACAAAAATGTTTAAGCATGACTATCTATCAACTATAATAACCTGGGTAAAGTCAGATCGCTGATACTTGTAGACTGCTCAACGGCTTCCTCAGCCAGTTCCCCATCCACAGGATCGACACTGCTTTCATCATGCAACATTTCCACAATCTCCACACTGCCGACTTCGTCATCCGATGACTCGGGCTCCTTTCGCGGACTCAACAATTCTCCAGTGGCACTGCGCGGCCGCACCCGCGCAAACCCATCGGTCACATGGACGTCGCGCACGTTGGACAGCGATCGGCGCACGCCCCAGTTGAAATTATCAATACTCTCGTTTTCCCCGCTATCCAGCTCGTACTCCAGGAAATCAAAGTCTTTGAAAACGGTGAATGTATTTTCACTGGTCGACCGATCATCCCGCAGTGAATTCTCCCCGGCTATGCTGCTGCGGTGCTGTGCATCTCCGCCCACAATGGTGGATGTGGCATCGTCAGAACTGCTGCACACACTCATCTCGCCCGTATCGCCGAATTGATTAAAGACAATCTGTAACAAAAGGAAAGAGGTCTGCATAAAATAATTCAAAATCAACTGTGCTGTTCGGCATTACCGATGGGCTCTTTGGCATTCCCACTCGCTGACCGCACACCGCCAATAATCCAACCAAACGCTCCCGGGTTCGTGACTAAGGAGAACCACGAAATAAACACCAGGAAAAATTTATATGAAAGGCTTTGCAGCGTGAAAAAAAGGAAGTTTTTGTTTTGCTCAAGCAGTTAGATCGCAATTGATTTCGAAGTTTTTCATGTTCCGTATAATCCTGGTATTTTAATTTTTTTACACCCAGTTAACTTTCAAACAGGCGGGAGCTGTTGTCGAGCATTATGGCAATTTCGCTACTCACGACACCATAGCACCCATACATGCTTTCAAATAAAACAAATACCAGATCATTTACTAAACTGCTTTAAAAAATTCACCTGTGACAAAGCTGATCTGCGCCAGTCAGACTGAGAAGCTTCTACATCCTTTTGCTTTCGATTCAGTTCCCCAAACATTTCAATAATATTTATGTCATTTTCCCCAGCGCGGTGACTGGTTCCATGTTTCCTTCCCACGATGGGTGTAACCGAAACATCAAAGGCAAAGTCCAGAGTACGCCCTAATCGGCAAAACCCCGCCAAGTTATATAAGGATCATTCCCATTACACAGGCACAACGCACGCACACAGTAAGACAAGTCTACCTGGAAGTTGTTTTTTGACAACGATTTCCGCTTCGGCAAAATGGGTCGGAGACATGAGGCCAGCCGTCTCGAAGGAGATGGACGAGCTCTGGGCGTTAATGTTACTCCCGGGGGGCATCAATGTTGACGAGCGAATCACAGCCAACTTGATTAAATTCTGGCACTCACGCCAGTTCGGCCCGTCAACCAGCCTGGTCACGACGCGCAACAGTTCCGCCGTAACACTATTGGACATCACACCGATATCCACATAGTGCAGGAAGTAATAAACGATATTTAACGTGTGATGCTGAATTGTCGCGGGGCCTTTTTCCATCATCTGCAATCACCCAAATATGCTCATATCCAATACGTTCCTTGCAATTCAGATCTGTACTCGGTAAGTACTTTCACTATAAAAAGCCTATCGAGCAAAATTATGAACTAATTCTGGGTTTCTGAAGAATTACGAAATCCTTCAAGTTTGGTTGATTTTCTGAGTGAATATCGTGAGATAAAGCGAGGAAAAACTGTAGTAACATCACTCGAAAAAAATGTTCAATAGCGCTATTAATCTTTGGTACGACCACAACACCGTAAACACCAAACAAAAATCCCGCGAGTTCCCCATCAAATTCTTAAGATCTAATTTTATTAGTTTCACAAACACACAGATAGTTACACAACAAAAAAATGTTTGTTCAAGCGTCTAGCTAGAGCAAACTGCAATATTTGCGGATGAAAAAAAGCGGACAAACTCTTCCTGTCCGTACCCACCTCAATTAGAAACGTGATGAGGCTGTTAATATGTTCGTGGAAAGCGTCGAATAAATATTTAACAACACACTTCCCCCACTGCTTGGCATCCTTGTTGAAAGTCCGTTTGTGATACAGTAGCATCACAGCTGAGAAATTTTCCAGCCGATCGGAGGATTTCGACACCTACAAAGTCGAGTTAAGCATTATTCAACAGTGTGTATACAGCACACATCTGGACTACCCGACACGTTTGTAGACCATTTTTAGTGTATAATTCACACTGCTACCACATTATATTACAAGCAGTATTTCATTAATCTGCATCATAAGCATTCAAAACATTTGATTTTACTCAAATTTAAATTAAATAGTTAACTTAACTTAAAGAATATCAGCATGCACATTTTAAAAATAAATAGCTTTGATGCTTGACAAATCATCGTCTCGATAAACTGGCTAATCCTTCACGGAATGTTCCAGAGTATGTACAGAAACCTTAAAAAACAGACCTCGGCAAAATCCTTAGCGCTTTCAAGGCAAAGTGCATTGGGATCATCAAAATGTAGCATCTGATACGGCAAGAAAGCCAGCACATTCAACGGGAATCCGACCATGCGGTGCGGATCAACAATCGGATTATCCAGCGACCGTGAGAACTTTGTCAAAACCCGCAAAGTAGGCTCATAAGTGGAAGCCGATGTACAGCCCTGCAACCCGAAGAGTGCACTGCATGGCGAGAGAAAACTACACATTACAAGCTGTCTTACTTTTAACACCAGCGACTGAATCCCTGGGAAAGTTGTCCATTTGGCCAGCACACGCACCTTTTCAACGCGTTCCTGACAGTCGGGTTTACTTAAGCACAATTTACCCAGCACTTTCTCCATTAGACGTAATCCCAACAAAAATTCATGCTCGTAATCGCTTTCCAATGCCGACATGGAAATCCAGAACAGCAATGACAGCAAACTCAGTTTGTCGTCCAGGGATAGAGTTCCGTCGGTTGTAACAGGAGGAAAATTGGTCAAGGTTTGTGTGCTGTAACTGCGGTGGATATTCGAACCGGAATCACTCACACTCCGTTGGCGATAATCTACAACAGCAAAAAAATTTATCAAATGTTCCTGCATGTCTGCATTATGGTATTTTTATTTATTCAATGTTTTTCAATAACCAAACATAAGCTTCAAATTTCAAATCAGGTGCAACCTTTCAGCATGCCAATGTAAAAAAAAGGCCACGGTTTCGCATCCGAACATCTTGTGATCATGGTCGCAAATCTTGCTAATCATACGTTGTTATGTCCGCACTCTATTCGTTAAAAGTGTTTCTCATCCCAGAAGTAAAAAGAACAAACTTCGTGGAATTTGTCGAGACCACCTTAAACTTCCAGCTCTATCGGTACCGGCAACTGTGAAAACGTCTCAGAGCGGATTTGTTTTCAAAAATAAAACGCAAGGGCGGACGCAACTCAACGCCACTTTTGATTTGCGTTTAGGGTTTTTGTTACTGCAGTTTTTCTGTCAAGATTCTACAGTGCGGCAGGTCATGCGATAGATCCATTTTCTTGTTATGCATATCTAGCGCAATTAGCTTACGTCAAAAACCCAAGTTAATTGTAAGTACAATAAGCAATCCTTACCAGCATCTTGTCCGCCCTTGGGCAAGTGGAAGCTGATGGTGCGATTATGGCCATGTTTTTCTTGTTTCATAGGAGTTTTCTCCATTTTTACCGCCACCTCCTCCGTCGATGATATCGCTACTTCTTCAACAGAAAGAGATTCCGTTGAAGCCTCCAGCGTCAACATCAACTCCGTTACATATCCCTGCATGTCATCCCCTGGCTCCGTCACCGTCTCAACTAGCCTCGACAAAATATCCGAAAGAGCCTGGAACGTGAACGGGACATCGAGCGCCCGGTAAATCTGCAAGGACCGCCCGGCATAATGCCTGGATGACGAATTCAATCCGTACTGAAAGGCGATCTCGGCCCAACGCTGTGTTATTCGTGATAGCGGCAGTGATGCGGTAAAAGCCCGATTGATGCACCGCACAAATCGGCTAAGCTGCACCACACTTTTACACGTCCACATCTTGGCCGTAATATCTTCGAAGGCCCACAGTGCTGCCGTGGTGTTGGAAGCCAGAAGATCAATTAACTCCATAACGACATACTCGATGTTATTGGTCACACTGTCATCCGTTTTCGACTCTGTTTCATTCTCCACCAAAGTCATCGAGCTATCCAGACTTTCCACGGATTCCGCTACATAGCCCAGGTAACACAGAGATTCCAGGGAACGACGTGATGTACGGTCGGTATAGTAGCGACTGGGCGGGAGAACAGATTTCTTTCCTAAAAGAAGCTGCGCGACCGAGCAGTGATCGTTGTGGCAGGCAAATACCACGAGGAGATTCTCTAACAACTTGCGACAGTGCTGGTAAACGGATGAACGCTGGCTGTCGAGACCTGTCCAACAAAAGCACTGTCGTATTGATGACCATATACAGTAACACAAAGTCAAATAGACTGCGTTCTCATAAACACAAACCATTTTATTACATTTGGGTTTCCTATGAATGGCAAAACAATATTCGTAACGCTTATTCCGACAGCATATTATTTTACATTATAAAATTAAAGTCCTAAATCGATCAGAAAATTCCCGTTAAAATGCAATACGAACCGAGAACAGCAATATGCAACATGATGGGCAAATGCACAATCCAAGCCACATTCAACCCGTCCAAGAGGAGATCACCAAGGAAAGAAATTGCAAAGCTACACCTGAAATTGGTAGACCAAATGAAACGAGGCTGCCGTAGGCATCAAAATGAGAACAAGTTTTACGTCACATTAGCAATCTTACCTGTGCATTGTGGTAATATTAGCACCTGGCTCGTTGAGCAAATCCCCCATCGGCGCAAAATATCCACCGTACTCAGGCATGGGCAGAGGATGAGGTAGCAAAGGAACGAAATTTGAGGCGTCTTCCGGGTATTCTCCAGTTTTGCTGGACATCTCCAGTGGAGTGCTAGTGGTGGGCGAGTTTAAACTATTTCTGCAATAAAAAACATTTCCAGTAATGCAAACAGGCTGTTCAAATCACCAATCATTATTATCAGCTCTATCTCCTTTACACTTCTGTAATGGGTTTATAGATTCTATACTAACTTTTTTGACATATCATCCGGAGCATTAGTCAGCAGGCTATCTTCGTTAACGTGGCGTTTAGTATGGATAGTCCCCGATGTAAATTCATCCGTAAGCATCCTTTTATCAGACACAATTCCACTGACAGGCAATTTTCGTACGCCGGTAACACGAAAAAACGGTGGCGTCAAAATTTTCTCCACCGTTACGCACACGTTTTCAATAGACTGTAACAACGTCCGTTTATAGCTAAATCAAACGGTCACGTTTGGCTAAAATAATTCACCTGTAAATCATCAATTAAATGGTCAATAAGTCTCTCGGGACGAGCTCTGGCCATATAGCGAACGACACGTTTCGCCTAAAAAAATAACAAGCTCATACTCCATCAACTAAAAAAAATTACAATACTAAAAAATTCCTTACAATAGGAAGTACGGTCCATGGCGATAAACTGGATACAATAACCAAATATTTCAATACAATGTTCAAATTATTGGGCCAAGCACAGCAAATCGAAGACCACATGCACTCAATCTCCTTAGGCAGTTCATCTCCAAACTATAAAGCAGAAATTTAAGTAATTGATTCACTGGAAATGTTAAAGCGAGCTAACTAATTTTTGGGTACAAAACGGTTCGCACCTTGGTGCTAATATACATCATGTTGTTCAACACCATTTCCGTGGCTTCAGGCGAGCCCCAGCCCTGACCCCGCATGGATACGGGCACATCCGAAACGGGAACGTCATCAGAAGTTCCATGAAAGCTAAAGTCAACCAACTCCAAATTGTACATCCAGGGAACAATGTATGTTAGCAGATTGTAACGAACGGAAGGCCGAGCGGTTTGAAAACGGTAAGTAATCTCCGAGAAAATGGACATGGTCAAGTCCGGATGAAGCTTGGCTAACTGCTCCGACAAGAACACCTGGTTACGAGTGTAATTGCCACCGGACAACAGCACATCATTCAAGGTACTGCGGTTAGCATTGGACTTTATAGAATCAGTCGAGTCTGTCGTGGTATTGATGCGCTCTGGAGATCCATAAACGGGCATCTGTCCGAAAAAGCGCTTATCCAAAATCTAAAAAATAACATTACCGTTGATGAAACATCTAACACAAGGCCAGAAAATTGTTTAACCAAGGCTTCTTTGTTTATCAGTTTTTTTGCAGACCTGTAACAACTCCAGCGCCAATTCTTGAATTGTCACTCTTGGACAGCCCGTGTTCATTAAAGCCAGATTGATGATGGAGCTAAACTGATCACAAGGATAATCTCTCGAGCAGAACACGGAAGCCAAAGCCTGGAAACAGCTGTCAGCTACATCCTCGGATCCGGTGTAGCAACGGTCTACCACCCAATCCAGCAGGAACGGCGTATCCGGATTCATGCATAACAACAATGTGACGGTTTCTTGGGACAAATTCCGCACCTACGACAACCAATCCTTCATCACTCAACAAGATCATTGTATGTCCACTAACTACGCGGAAAAATTAAACATTTTCTGCTACCAAACAAACCTAATCTTCCAACACAGCACCAAGGTAATAGCACCATGAGATGATTTAAGAAAAATTAAACTAGCTTATTGTTAGCCAGACGTCCAAAATTCTGCCGTACCGTATCGGATGACGAAGCCAGAAGCATATCCAACCAACGAAACAAAGCAGAATCTTCCGATAACAGATTGCGATCAAAAACTTTGCCACAGCAAAGAACCGAGGACATAGCTTGCAGTGCACAAAATTCTAGTTCAGCAGAAGGAATCGCTGGTCTGTGAAAATCAAAATCGGGTCTCGGTGAATGGATAGGGTATCACAAAATTCAAAACATGAGTTCGATTTACTTACTTCCCAGAATCCTTTGGAAAGCATGCAAACCGTCCTGTCCAACCAGAAAACAGATTGAATAATAGTTGTCGCTGAGTGGGTATAAATAGGTGTTCTCGCAATTCAACTGCAACAATCAAAACCAAATTACTAAACAAACGCCTTAAACGATAATAACCAGGCGGACAGAACAGTGGAATATCTGCACTTACTGAAAAAGCTTTGGATTAAAGAGTGAATAAATTTACAGAAATGCAGCTGAATACTGGCAAGAACGATGAGATTTTCTTTATCAGTTTCCGTTTCCAGATATAATCTTGTCCCATCGACATATTCAGCAAACGCCGGTAAAAAGGACTGTTTGGAATTTTCGCTCGTGTACAATGGGCCACTAACAATAGAGTCTTCCTTGGCCAGCACGTAAAACATTTTTATTAACTGCAAACGCAGAGCATCTTTTCGTTTCTTCCGTCGAACATTCTCCTGTTTACGGTCAATAGCTTCTTTAATTAAAGGCACCAATTCTTCCAAAAGATCTCTAAATCAAAAACAGCAATCATGACGAGAAGCTCCTTTAAAAGTGAACAATAAATACCTCAGAGCTTCCGGGTTTGTTTTACCCAGTCCAAGCACTACAGACTCTGGAAGGTCGATAGCTTCTGATCGGAGAAGTCGCACAGCCATTTTATAAAATCCATGAGCTGTCACTGCCGGGATCTGAATTGCGGGGAAGCGTACCTCTGTCTTTTCAGAGCAGTTGCTTTCTGAAGACGATGTACTACAAGGAAAACATACGGATGAATATGTGACAAAAAACAGATGACACATGCATTGCGCATTACCTCAGCGCAATATCAGGAGATATGCAGCGAAAACTACCCGAAAAAACAGTGTGAGGCGGGAGGACACTGCATGCCACAATCAGGTAGTTTTTCCATAATGAAAAATACAGGTCACGCTCAGTAAGCACTTTGCGCACAGTTTTTAAGCTGACCAAAGACGCTCGATTTTCGTTGGCCGGTCTGCAAAAAAAGCATTGTAAGGCCGTGAAGCAAATTGGTAATTCGCTGCTATCATCAAATTCCATATTATAGATTTATAATAGTTCACGGTAGCACAAGCATTACGAGCTTATAAATCGACTTTTAAGAAAAAACGATTGTTTCCATTTTCTAACGTGATTATTGTAGTACCCTAAGTCAATCAAGGCCAAAACAGCTTGCAATCTAGAATAGACCATCGGCCAGATGTGAGCCAGAATTGCTGGAGGGCAACTGCCCAAAAAGCCCTTTTTGTTCATTAGACCGGAAATGAAACTCGTCCAGACATCACTATTATTCGGCGGTGTTAAAGACGACCGGACCGAGGCGGCAGAATCCAAAATCTGCATTAGCGGTACGTTAGAATCCGCAAAGCCAGCATTCCACACATTCACCGCCCGATCCACCACCCACTGGAGATCAATCTTCAGCGCCGGAGAAAACAAAACCTGCAGCCGAAATACAATACATGTTACCGTCATTCTGTCAAGCGCCAAAAAAATCCGTCGCTCAACCTTTTCACTGCTTGGCAGCTGTGCCAGACATTCCTGCTCCACAACCACTTTGCAGAACGAATCAATCACATCTAGCAGACTTCGGCTGTCCCCCATTCCCTTCCCCGCACTGGGAATGTAGTTTCCCACGCCCAGACACTGTCGCAGGGCGTTTGTCTCCTTTAGAACGACAACCGCTAGACGGCGTGGGGTGTGTCGGCTTTGGCAAAGAAGAAGCAATGCCAGCGATTCAATTTCATACAAGACCATCGGCAGAGACATGACAGCCAGACTTCCATCACCCGAATTTCGGAAGCCGTGATTCTGAAAAAAAATTAATTCGATACTAATGCAACAAGATCACCACGATATCTTTACTATGCCATAGAGCAACTATAGAAGAAAATTCCCAATCATCCCTAACGTTTGAATTACGCGCACTTTTTCGTATGCGGAGTTTGTTTTACAATGAAAAACCAGGAAAACATCTTTGATTAAAAATTACAACTCCCAAATCTTTTTTAAATAAAAGGCGAACGGCACACACTATGATAACACACCTTGGGTCGGGGTGCCCTGATCGAAAGGGCATTCCTCCAAGCGATAATAAATTGAATAACCATTCGCAGCGATGTGTCAAATAAGCCAGGATAGGCGTCAGTGATATCCGTGACAATAAACTGGATGAGTACGTGCATAACAACTTCCCGATGTTCGCAAAAATCGACCAAGATCGATTGCATGGCTTGATAAGCCAGCCTATTTAAAGCACAGACGTTTGTACTGCAGAAAAACTGCTAATCAAATGGGATGATCAAATCACAATTTTACCCTCTTAAATCTTCATCAATATGCACAGTTAAACGAGAAAGAAATGCCATTAGATCGCTTATGCTCATGGCATCCGGAAGAAGTCGTGGGATAGCGGCCACACAAGTTTTCAATAAATCAATCTTCGGTTTTCGTTCACCACTGCAATAGCAAAATAACGATCATTATTGCACGGTTCAGATAGCACACCCTTGCCAGCACTCATCGTAAACCAAGCGGTAGCGTAAATGGACTAAATCGTCCAATACTGAAAAATTGCTAATAATTCGCGAAAAAATCAGCTTTGTGTTGAATTGTTATTTGCATTGTTAAAGTAATAAGTATATTCACACTAGCGCAAAGCTGACGTGTTTTCCTTAAACGCAAGAAATTTTATTTTAAAATCTGAAATTCATTTCAAAATTTAATTCGACCAGCCTTCGATTTCGAATTTTTCAATCTTGCGCACTCGCAAAGTCACAAATGACAAAAACAAATTAAACTTTTATACTGCAAATTTTCCGTATAGTACTGATTATTTCCTGTTTTAACCTACGACTACAATAACCTCTTTTCGTATTTTGTGTACAAAATTTAGTTTTTGTATATCAGATAACTTTCAAGTAAAAGTAGTCAACTTCCGACATACGTCAGTTGTTCATCAGTTTCCTTGCTGTTCTGGTTGAGATTTGAGGTAACCATCATTGTCCGTCCAACTTGAGCATCCAACAAGCGGATCATTTCTTCGAATGTTTTCCGTATCAGCGGATAATAACTGGCCATACCGATGGCTTTGGCCTCTTCATCGGTCAGAACTTTACTGACGTATATCTTTTTTACCCGGATCGTATTACCCGACGGCAAAATACCGAGACTTCGTGGCATGGGTGGTTCGCCTTCTTTTTGCTGTAAGTTATCGGCAATCACCAAAAAAGCGCGTAACCCAATACTCATCCGTTCGGGCATTAAGACGCGAATCGGTCGACCGACGGAAAGCAGATCAAAGACGATTTCTTTCATGGCAAAATCCATCCGCTCCTACAGCGCAAAAAGCAATCAGAGATTAGTCTTTCTTTAATGGCCACTACACTCTGCATAAGACCGGCTTTGTACTTGAGCAATGAACTGGATGATTTTGACGAAAATGTTCAGTGGGGTATCGCGCGGTACGACAACTTTAGAGCCTTTGGGAAACAAGCTGTTGACGATGCTTTGCAATCGGCTGGCAGTCACAGAGTTACTTTCGCATTTAATGCGAATCATATAAACCCTACAAAAAACAAACACGCGGATTAAAGAATTGATCCGGCAATTAACGTGCATCGGGTCCACATATAAAGTAGAAACCGTTTTACCATAGCAGACGATAAAGCGACTCAAGTGCCACTCTTGACATCTTGATATCGCGGTTCTTCAGATTCGACAAGCAAAGAGTCAGGAAGTGGTGCCAGTTGTGTAGGAAAAAGTGTTTATGACTGACACATAAAAGACATGTAACCAGCGGAAACAATGCCTACAAAACGAAGGCCATGATTACATAAGAACGACAAGTTTAATTTATACAAAAACTGCGCCGTAAATATATGTGCAGTCAATAGGCAGAAGATGTATTAAATTACTCAATAAATAAAAGCAAGTTGCAATGCAATACGGTGCTTTTTCACGATAAAACCAGATTTCACAAAAACTGAATTCTATCACACATACTTACCAAACTGTGCTTCTTTTTCGAGCACATATCCAGTGTAGTCGGATAAAGCATTTCCACAAAATTCTTTACAACCGGCACGTTCACTTCATTCTTGACACACGCCGCCACCGGCATGAGTATCTCCACCAATAATCCCGCCATGGCATGTTTAATATCCTTCTCCTTAACCTCCAGAAAGTACGTACCACACTCTTGCATAAACTGGAAGCATGCCTCGAAATCTTCGATAGGAACCATCTATTCGTACAAATCAGCTGCTTATCAAGGAGCACTTCAGTAAATGGTGCAGAAGTTTCACCTTGACACGGAAAAATTTCATGCCCATTAGCAGAGCAATTATGTTGTTTACAGTCGGCGGCGAAATCTCTTTGAAGCGTAGCTCCTTCAGTTCCGCCATAAATTTGCGTCGGACAGACTGGAACCTGCAAAACCATGAACAACAAAGATCTGTTTTTGTTCAAGCTCGTGTAATGTTATCGGCCGCACATTTATACACGTTTGCATAAGAAAATATAAAACGACACCGATTCACTGAGCGGTATAGATGGCCAAATACACATGCATTTCTTACCTCGACTGTGCAAGAACTCCGATAACTTCAGCATACAGATCCGAAACGATATGGAAATTGATGTTATTTGGTCCAACAACAATGCTGTAAGCAAATATTCTATAATGGTTTTCAACCGGAAACCCATATCTTTCGCTTACGGATCGCGATATTTAAAATGTTTGAACGACAAACTCTCCACTTGCGCAATCAGCTCGTCATGGCCTGGATGAAACGGCAACTGAAAAAATAAAAATTATTCAGAATGCTCAGTTCAGTAAAAGCACAACAGTGTTGCAAATAGATTCAGATTACCGGCGACATAAGGCCGTAATCGTAATTATGCGACGACATGTTTGCTGTACCTGTTTCAAAATTTCGATTAAAACCAAGGCGAACAAATAATCCACGGCCAAATTCCGTTTATCAGCCACATGTTCTTTTTCCGATAGTTCCAGCGCCGATTTTGTACTTCCGCTGGCAGATTTGGAGGAATCCGATTTTTGTTTACCACTCTCCGGAACTGACAGATGAGAATAGTCCACGTTCTGATATTCATACCATGCCAGTAATGTCCGTAATAAAGAGGGCAGACAGTACTCGGCCACAGAATAAAAGCAGCTAATTAGCTGATCAAATTGGGGATCTTCGCCGCGTTGGAATGATTTGGACAGCGGCCGCGCCTAAAAAAACCAACATTTTTATCCAACGCAGGACGCTTGTTTAAAAATTGCGCAGCAAAACTGTAGCAGACGAAACGGAAGTTATAATTTATGATGCCCATGATACAATTTATTACATGCACTAAGTAAGAGTGGATCCATCTACAGCAACCCATGTGGGTCTTTTAAATACAGGTAGAAAACAAGTTATGCGAGCATAGTAAGCCTTTTCCGCGCATACTGACAATATATTATTTCGCTTTAATAAAAAAATTTAACAGTAACTTACCAGCGGCTCAGCCAGAACGCCATCGATTTTCTTGTCCACTTTTTGTGTGAAGTCCACAAAAATCGAATGTAAAACATATTCACCAGCAAGCATGGTTATTCCGTGGTTACTGTCCTGGTGATCGCGAGATCGTCCCCACGGAAGTGAAAATTCTGTAACAGTTATATCTAAACAACCATCCTCTGCAGCATTTTCCATCTCGAGAAAGGCGCCAACCTGATCCTCCAGAATCACTCAGCGACTCCCCAGTTTGACTTCCATCTACCGCTACGATCACTTCGCGCGCCGATACGCCAGAACCACTCATAGATCGCGCTCTCGACTCTCCGCTATTTTCGGCAATACTGGACGAAGCCGCCGAAACAGATGGTCGTTCAACATTATTACTGCATCGGTCTAACATTGCACTGTCGTCACCAGCAGAACCACCACCACCAACAGCTGACTTCCGGTCCGCCACTGACAGTACGTCGTCAGCAACATTCGTATCATCTGATTCATTTTCTAAGGAGACAAAAAACAGTTTCATAAAAACGTCCTGTTCAACTAATTTTATGTTACTATGTACATGACGGATTGCAATAAAGCTTTCTACATCCGCTAACACAACTTAGCAGCTGTGAGCATGGTGGCGTTTGCGCTTGTTGTGCTTCAATGAACGCCAACAGTACTCACCATATTAGTGCCACCTGCTCATCGACCCGTGCCATATAACCGCATATACAGCAAATGATTTATAAAGGACAATTACATCGCATACAGCGCTTATACTACTGATCGACCAAGAAAGAAACAACGAGACACTTTAATAAGAAAAAAACGTGCCTCTAAGCTTTCTGGTGCAACAATTAGAGAGCCTTTAGCAATAACATTACATCTGACGAAGGACAAATTAACAGCGATCATGAGCGCTAATCGACAGCCATGCAAATGATCGATTTGAATGGTTACTTTCCCATTATTCAATCTACAGAACACCACTCTAATGCCACACAAAATGAAAAACCTTCGCGCACGATCGCTAAATCCAATACGGGTATGCAAATAATTACTTATTCTTTTACCCCGAGATACGAAACTACATAATTTGTATTCTGAGCTCTCCAATAAAGATACCATGTACGAGCATAAAAAGTGTAAAATCAAAAAGGCAACCCTTCAGATGTGCGCCGTGTGGCCATTCTCTTTAACAATCAGCCATATCGATGACCGGTTTAACCGCAGATGAATGTTAATTTTAAAGTCAACCGCTTTCTAAAGAAGTAAATATTAAATACTAACGCGTACCACAATGTTTTCCTCTGGCTGCAACCACAACATTATAATTATAATACCACAACAATATAATAAGAAATCGATAAGACACAATCAACTTTAAGATGGGAAACAAATGCAAGCAAAATTATAGGATCTAACTCGGCAGTAGCCAGATCTGCCGCACAGTTGCAATCAATTGTGGTAACTGAGCCTTTCAAACTTGACGGCTTGTTTTTTACAAGTTACTCACGGGCGTAGCGCTGGGTGGACACTAACACGGAGTGCACAAAATAAGCCTAAAAACAATCCGACATGTTTATGCAGCAGCGCCGAAAAGCTGTTACAGATCATCAGATTTAGGTATACGTGGTCACTGCATATTGTTAAAGCAGATTAAAATCACAAGTTGAAGTTCACCACTTACTCTACTGTTTTCAGCCGTCATCGCACAATACTGCACAACAGTTAATGCATAGACTCATTCCATATTTCAGAATGAAAACGTAGAAAACCCTTAACCAACCACTTTTAAGGTAAAATAAAGGTTACGTTTGCCCAAAGTATTACACACTTAGATTTTAAATCGCTAACTATGGCAGAAAAGATTTTCCGACGCCCTTACCGACTAAGGAAAATATTAGTATCCAATATACAAAATACAAAAATAATTCACGTGCATAACCAAATTTTCGGAAGGCCGACAACTGACAATAAAATTACTCGAATACGCGTAGCACACAGACTTTCGATCGTTTGCGAATTACAAAATACAATTTCGCAGACTAACCAGTTAGACGGTTGATCATCTTATTTTAACAGCTTTGCAGTAAGAATCCGGCAAAATGCCTTATGGTTAAAGCAGAAAATCCAGATCGCAAGCGAAGTAACATTGTTCGTTGAAAATCTCAGAATATTTTGGCTGTTGAGTGCTGCACCTATGTAAGCGCTATTAACATCTGCCACAAGCAAGATAGTACTCAAGAAATGATATTCAGCTGTTTAGCGAGTTATTCTTTGTAACATTCGACATGAGGTGCACTCAAAGCTGAAAACAAAAATATTACACAAAATAGTAGCACAAAATCAATGTCTTCTGTTATCACTTAAAATAAGCTGTACGGTGATTTCGCAAGATAGTAAATTATAATAATGACAACGTGAAGTCTCTACCTGCCAAACATCTTTCGATAAAAATAAACTGCCAAACCAGAAAAAAAATTATTTCCTGTTGTATTAAAATACAACAGGATATTAAAATATATTAAAATATACAGTGCTGTATTAAAAACAACAACAATTTTGGAAAAAATAAAATTTTTTAAAAGCTTTAAGCACCAATTCAGCTGTACAGAAGTTGTGTCGATAACTTGTGTGTTATGATTTGTATGGTACGTAGACTTTGAGGAGTTTTACTTTGTGCGACGCCCGCGTGTAGATATTGTCAATAAATAATAAATTCGCAACATTTGCAACACAGTACGAGACAGCTAAAAATGTAGAACAGCTTAACTACTATTAAAACAGCCCATTCTACCAATCTACCTGCGTTGTACAGAATTTTGAAACTCACCCAGCTTTAACGAACTCGCTTTGGTCGCACTCATTCCGGATCTGGCAAGGCCATCCTCGCGTAGAGAACTGTCCGAACCCTTTGACTGGGCTGTCTGGGCATGCTCCATTTCCCCGTTTATCGATGTTCACTCTTCACTGACTTATTAAAGGGTATTCGAGACTAATTTCCAGTTATCCCTCAGCTTCAGCTTTGGCTCCTCAAAGTCGTCATGATACTCTCCGAATACGAAGGACAACGTATAGTGTAATTCAGAAACAGACACGTTCCCATCCACAGAGCGAGTTTTTGTTCCTTCTTACTGTGGCGCTACGTAACATAAGAATCTTACAGCACTCCTTCAATAAGCTGCCTAAAGCTGTGAAGCATGGGTGTTTAAATCTTGTCACACACAAGAAGAATCCAATTATCAAAATATCTCTGTGTAATCAATCCAAACAAAATTACAAACAGGAACAAATTTTCGCTGTTGTCAGTTGTTGTATAAAGATATGCTGCAAGGCACGTAGACGCGTCCCGGTAGGTAGGTAGCCCCAAGAAGGGTTCTCCTCGTGCTTTATGCTTTACCCAAGAGAATTTGTCGTCCCTTATTATTTTTGTCTTACGTTTCTGCTAGATTTCAAAAAGGAAGTTCAGCAGTTCAAAAGGAAGCTGCTGCAGAATCAAACAGATCAACGGAACAAAACCCGGGATCCGTATCTCACCGCAAGTCACCTTTATCACGTACGCCCGTGTACCGCACATGGACTATTGCGGATTATAGCCAGCTGGTCAACGGCGACTTCGGGAGAACGAGACAAGCCGAAGGAACGCCAGGATACAACCAGAAAGACCATTGTCGGTAACAATATATCTGTACGTGTAACGCCGGAACTGTACGGTGTGTCTGCTATAAAATATAAAATAATTCGAACAAAACCATTTCCGGTTAATTCTAACGGCTACCGGATAGGTAGCGGTAGTTATTCATGTATATCTTCTGTTTGCAAATTTCTGAGGACACTGGGGAATACAATTTTCACCTGGCATTCAAGGCGTTTGTACTGCAAAGTGCGCACGCGATTAGTTGCATTAAAGTTCAAAATGGTGTAGCCGTGTAAACCGCCATACTTATATAGATATACCATGTGCTCTCTGAACTATTTTCTTGACTTCTTGTAATTATGAATATGTCTTACAGAATACCAGCCCATTAAGAAATACCATTTGTTTCCAGCTAGGATACTGTAGATCTGTAGCAAGAATGTGCTGCTATAGCTCATGCCACAATGCTACGATGCCACAATGCTATGCTCGTACATTATGACACTGTACTGTATATGTATTTTAATGCTCTGCTGCTGACGGTTGCTGATAGGCGGCAGTTGTTAATTCACTTATCAAAGTAAGTACTGTTAATTTAAATTACGGCTCTGATAATAGTTTTATCAGATTTACCATAGTCATAGACAAGGGTGCGACTATCTAGCTAATTTTTAACAAAGTAAATATAGCTGAAACTTCAAAATCGATGCTTCCCCCTTAGCAGTCAGCACTGCCTGGTTGTTGATCTTGCATGCGAAAACATTGCTGCGCGGACGACATTTTGTCACGATAGCCCATAAATACGCGACTGAATAAAACCAAAATCGCAAAACATCCACTAGGACATAAAATATGATAAAGAATCATCGGTCTTATTATGACAATACTTAGTCGTCTTCTGTACATGTTAATGGAGTTTTGCACATAAAGCGTCCCGGAAATCAATATTGGTCAACCAACACATAGACGAATACTCTACATCGGTCCATATATGTATATGCAGCTGTCAGTGGACAAATCAAAAAATATTCCACTGCACTTTTGCATCCACGGCGTATAAAAAAACAGGGCAACGAATATCGACGGGTTTATGCTTTTAGGCTGTTTCCCTTCGGGAGAAAATGGCTTGGGCGACAGAGACTGCTAACAGCGGATAGGGAACGACTTCCTTTCTGTTTCCTTCTCACACAGTATCAGCTACCACTTATCCCATCTATCCGGCTGTAAGGATATTTGATCTCATTTGGTTAGCGTTTGTATGCTTGGCATTCCACTTAGACCAAGGGAGAAAAGACTTACGGGTTATGCAATAAAATGAGTTACGACGACCGACGCCTCACTGGTACAATACGATGCGACCCGGCTCCAGCTGCATTGTGACCGCGCGCGTATACACAGCAGCGCTGCTGCATACATTGTACTATGTAGCTGCATGTCGACGAGCGAAACTGTGTTCCTTTTGATATGTTTGATCCTTGGACCAACCATTGGGCCACAAAAACCATTTTCTCCCCCTCCGCCAACTGCCTGTGTGTGAATAATAAAATCCAATCAGTAAAAATATAAGGATGAAAAGCTATTCTCCAATTCGATGGCCAGTATTTGTTCTTCTGATTTGCATTTTCTCCATCCAGACGACATGACATTGTATGCAGTCTACTGGTTAGGAATCCTGCGCGTCGGCATTATGCACATCTCCAATTTACGCATGCATTAGCCCTTTGGATGTCATGTCTGGGAATTATATTGTGCATAAAAAGTTCACAATCACATAATATTGATGTCTGGTGAATTTTTTACATTTGTGGTATATCCGCATGCATTCCGTGCGGTCATATGGATTGTCACTTGGATATATCATGCCCGTGGCAAAAATGTCCGGAACTCACTAGGAAGGGATAGGCCATACATGTTCTTACATCGATCGATTTCTCTATATTAAGCTCCAAGTCGGCAATCGCCAAGTTTAAAGGGGAGATGTCAATAAATATATGGATTTTGTTTTGGATATCCAACACGATACTTTTCCTTACCTTCAAGTAAGTGACCTTTATAGCACCGTGAGTGTGCTTATTGACTTGGGAACATGGGGAAATTATTAACCAAAATTATAGTGATAGTGATACTAACCATTTTTTAAAAAAAAACTGTTAATCAATATTCAACCCATATTTATTTCAGGGCGGTTTTCACTGCAAAAGATTACATATCTGACCTGGAAAAACTTGATCTGGAAAATATGACGCACATTTTAAGGAACCTATCTCGTTCTTATGATATTCGACTCCGGCCAGGTTTTGGAGGTATATTTACAGGCGAAATCCCGATATTCAAAGTATTCAGACTTTTCTTCGAGAAACTTGCAAACGGGTCGGGCCTGCCGGTATATGTGACATATTATGTGTAGACAATTAACCGCCACCATTGTTGCCCCTTTTCCGGATATTACCGCGGCACATGACCAAGTTCTATCTATTAATCGGGATAATGCACCTATATGAGTCATCAACTTAACTGTTAGCCTCTTAAATTATAGTTGATGATTCAACATTCATATATTTAATAGAATATGAATATACCTATATGCTCTTCTTATGTAGCGGCGTAAATGTTGAGAACTGATCTCTAGATTAACACTGCCATGATATGCAAAAACTATTATTCTAACCACATATAACCCATTTTAGTGAAATGCTTCCAAATCAAAAGTACAAGGAAGGCGACTGCTTAACAGAAAAGATATTTTATCTAATCGTTTCGTTATGCGTAGTAATTAAAGTCTTACGTCGGCATACTTAAATTATCACAATTACTAAAGCGGCAATGGTTTTTTTAAAATTTGCATAATATGGCTTACATGCAACGGAATAAAAACATTTTCTTCCTTTGCACATACATTCTCCACCCATTTTTATGATGCTAAAAGTGCTTTGTAAAATTATTGTATTTTTGCATGAAACGTACTGTCTCCTTTCGACAAAAAATAATACTCGAGTAGCATGTTAAGGCTGGATACGATTAGCAGCGTAATTGACACAAGTATCAAATTTTTCTGTAACATGAACCCTTTGGAATGTTGGATATTATTGCACAAAAACGCCATCATGAAGAAAGCCGGTAGCGTAGTCGTGCTCGTCGTATTTTGGATTTTGCGGACTGTTAAATTGAATTTCGGACACCAGGCGTTTGATTCTTGACGGGATTACGACACTGCCTGTGATCGGAGTTGTTAGATTGGTATTCTCAATCCATTATTGGATTTTAACACGAACGCGCAGTTGCCGTGTACCAGTCGTCAATGCAAATGGTTCATGCTTTGAGTAATCGTTCTTTTTTTAATCAGTCGAACTAATACGAGCTAACTTGCCGCAATACCGCGCATCAAAAGATAATTTTCCCACTTTAACCAGCTGACTGTTTTGAGGCATTTTAAGATTTTTGGTAGAGAACTATCTAAGATTTTAAGCTAACAATTGTACGCATTGTTCAATCGCGTCAGTATAATGTCACTAATGTATGTTTCCGGTGACTACAGAGTACATATATCGACATCTTAAGACATATAATAGTCAAAAGTTGAAAACTATATTTGAAATTTCAACAAAAAAACCTATTGAACAGGAGTGCCTATTGTACGTATTCAGACTAAAAGTGGTAAGTAAATAATTTGCGGAAGCGAGATTAATGGAAACATCAAGCAGTTTGAAAGAACTGCGAAGTTCATTAACGGGTAATTCGTACAGGTGGCATACAAATTACGTCTATAAAATTTTTGAATACGCAAAATGTAACAAAATACATACGAAAACAAATAAAATAACATTGATAAAATCTTTTGCCGTTCATGATATTATTTGCTGGATTAGTAGTTAGTAGTTACTGATCCGGGTGGATATTATGCATTATTTTAATTAAATTTTTGTCAAATCATATCATTACAATCATTACAATTCCTAGATTATAAAATTGCTCTGCGTGGCTAATTTCGACACTGAAAAATTGGCATTTGTTTTGTGTTAAGCGGCCTAACACAAACTAAGTATATATCGACGCTACTTTTATGTGTGTAAATAACTTTGGTTTAGGGTAACAGCACAGCAAAACCCAAAAATATATTGTACTATTGTTTTGCAAAATTTGTCTGTGAATCATTGCCATAAGCCCGGTAAAACACATTTTCAGTATTACTTACTGTCAATAATGATTACCGAGCGACGCCTATGATTTTGGGAACACATTCCTATATTGCTTTACATTCTTTGCTTTTTCTCTACTTTGCATAAAGCTGAGAAAATATCTTTTCAAGGGACTCAGTGAAGACGGAAGAACGCATATGGGCACTCCCCGTCATCGTCTCATCATTGTACTCGTACAACCACGCTGTTGCATCTGCTCATTCTGCTGGATACATTTACATTAATGTTGCGTGCCCTCTCTCGCGTCCCGGAATAGATATATACAACCTCACTTTGGTATTTTTGCCATTCTGAGACACAATTTGTTTTTCCTGTTTAAGTCAACTAAGGCTGTTTGCCGAAAAAGCTATCTTGAGATTTCCTCAATTTCCGATAAGCATTACGTCAACAGTCCTGTGTCGTCCAGACAAACACACTGCTCCAATCACAACCAAGCAAACACACGCTTGCAGTACTACAGGAATATTAAGCAGTAGCTAGTAAACATAAAATTAACCTAATTATTATCACATTTTTCGTTCTGCTAAGTAAACGCATCCACTACGATGACTTGTAAGTGCTGAAATGTTAATTCTAAGAACAAATGCCAAATAGTTTATTCTAATGTTAATGTACGTACGTTACACGGAATCATAAATCAAAAATAATGCGAGCGGACTAAGTATACCACATAATTGGGTCAAATATGTCCCTAGTTTGTCGACAGACAGACTGTCTGTCGACAAAGTTTGTCGTATACTCGTATATAAGTGATTGTGTATATTCTATCAGTATCGGCACATCGGTTACCTGTGCACACAGTGCACTATTGTTGGTTATAGTTCAAACGAGAGTAATCGTTATTTGCAGCTTTAAATTAAACCGAAATTGAATTAAGTAGAGAATTTTAATTGTTTTCCATACACAATTTTCAAGGTTAAGCGAACTGGTTGAATTAAAATGCAAGGCGTTTAAAATAAATCCGTTCAATTAGCGCATCCGGAAATCTGGTTTGAACGATCAACGTTTGAATACATATTTCAAAATTCTAAAATTTAGCATTATCCTTGGATACAGAATTTTACAGAAGACGCAAAGTGTAACCGTGAAATCGCCACTTACCTCCCGTGAAACCCCCGTGTAAATTCTTACTTCCTTATTTTTGTGTTGCAGGGCCTTCCTTGCACCTGGACATGGAACTGTCTGTTGCCAGTTTCGAAAGTATTTCGGAAGTCAATATGGTACGTGAAAAATCGAAATTTACAGAAAATGAAAGAGACAAAAGACAATAACAGTTATTGGCGTTTACTTGCAATAATCGCGTTTCTGTTTCAAAGGACTACACCCTGACCTTATATCTGCGACAGTACTGGAGAGACGACCGACTGGCTTTTGCGCCAAACACAAACGTCCAGATTACACTTTCCGGTGATTTTGCTAATCAGATCTGGGTGCCTGATACATTTTTAGCAAACGATAAGCATTCATTTCTACATGATGTTACGGAAAAAAATAAAATGGTTCGCCTTTCCGGTGATGGCGATGTTGAATACGGCATGAGGTCAGTAAGATTTTCTGGTGTTCTCGTGTCACGCTAAATTGTTCTGCGTCGCGCAACAGATTTTTTTCGACAAAAAAGCTATCATAAGATTTTTTTTCAGATTCACGACAACGCTGGCATGTATGATGGATCTGCATTACTACCCTCTGGATACTCAGAACTGTGAGTGTTTAAGAGAAATATGGTACAGCCGCGTATATAAGCCAACTGTACGGGTCAATGTTATAATTGCAAGATTACTGAATCATTTTAGAGCAATAAATAATAAATTTCACATCTTGCATAATTACTGCAGTCACGTCGTACACGCATGCGGTCATTTTGCAACATCGCGGTCCCATTTAAAGTTGGGAAGTTTATCTTTCAAAGCTTTACAATGTTTCTCCAACTCAATGCATGCATTGTTATTTCCTACCATTATTGCAGTCTCGGGATTACTTTTTTAGCTTTTTACGTTAGAAAGAGCTCTTTCGGTTTCCTAATAATTTTTTGTCAATAATTTTTGACTTTTTTACTTTCTTTACTTCGCAGATTTCGGCAATTGTTGCTTTAATTGCGCTTTTCATGGCAGTAACAATCAAGTGGTTCACTTTTTGGATGCAAAAGATGTCATATTTTGCGACACTCGATACTTCCCGAAGATATGGCATACGCCTGAATGATTGCAGCAGTTAATGCTGTGCATTAGTAAATTTTGTACTAGGATTTAGATTTTTAGGAAATTAGTTGATTTTGAGGTAACTTAGGGAAACAATATTAAAGCTAATTTGCTTTACTACACACCAGTTATATAGTATCCCATTCACTGTTTCGTAATTTTTGCACATCGGTGTACGGACAAATGCCGTTAAAAAGCTTGACTTTTCTTTATTTTCCAGGTACGGTGGAAATTGAGAGCTGTAAGTGTCCAATTTGAAATAAGCCTTTAATTATTGGTTAAAGAATGCGGTATGTACCACCATGCGAAGTTCTCCTACTGTAACTGCTGATGCGCTAGCTTTAATACTGCGAAAATCATTTAAGTGAAAAAGAGTTTAACAATTCAGTTTTACAATAGTTAGTTACAGAGTTTTACAATAGAGTAAAAAGAGTTTTACAATAATTTAACAATTCTTCATTGTCAGGGCTGGAACCAACTAATTTTAATCTTGGTTTTTCGATTGGATTTTTGTTTCTTAAGAAAGTGAATGGCTAAGACGTTTCGACGAATTTTACGAGCATGTTTTATAAAACCATCATTTTTAATATTAGATATGTATTTTTAACAAATACCTTTGCGTTACAAATTGCGTATGGCACATGATACGGTGACCAATTTAAAATCATTCCGATTAAATGATGCGATCATGGAGCAAAAAATGGGAGTATATCTAAATTTTTTCCGTCAAAATTGGAGTATATCTAAATTATATCATATATAATTATTATCATATATAATTATATAATTATTATATTTTTATCATTATTATATCATGGGAGTATATCCAAATTATATTATTATTATATTATGGAAGCATATTTAAAAATGGGAGTATATCTAAATTTTGTCCGTCAAAATTCGCCCCAGTATGGATTAAAATATCAAAATATTAAATTGTTGATTTTTCCCTCTTTATGCTTACTCAAAACCATTTCAGATGGCTACACTACTGCGGACGTCAATATGACGTGGAAAAACGGAACTAATTCCATTCACGATGTCAGGAGCATTGATATTCCCCAGTTTACGATTGACCACTACGAAACATATGACAACCAAGTCACATTAGCAACAGGTTTGCCGACACTTTTCTTTGCAGATCATACCTATCGCATAGATGCAGTTTTTTCAAGCTTGCATTTTCGTAGTTCTGATTGTGATCCGGGTGAAGACATCGATAAAATAAAACTAACATGGCTTTCTCGACGCTTAAGACAATATTTAGCGTTCAATATTTAGCGTACGCTGAAGACAATTTAGCGTACCACATATGCAATTTACACGCGTGTTCAAGCTGTTTGTATGTTGTGTATTTTCAGGCGCTTACCAAAGGCTTTTCCTGAAATTTACCCTTAAACGAAACATTGGCTACTTTGTATTCCAAACGTATCTGCCGTGTATTCTGATAGTGATGCTCTCATGGGTTAGTTTTTGGATCAATCACGAAGCGACATCTGCAAGAGTGGCTTTAGGTGTGTTATGGATGCTTTGATCGTAATTCGTCATTATACGTATCTTAGCTATAGGTTTATTAAAAAAACATCTTTATTGATGGCCCATTTATTTGTATGTTGTTATAAATTTACAGTACTATGAAACGATTAACAATGAAGCTAATTTTTATGATGCTGTTATCTCGATCAAATCCATTGTACCACAGCAATTGTTCATGTTCAAGCTGCGGTTGTAGCTTCTTTTAGTCCGTGTTCAGGTAATTCTTCAATTTACACATGCTACATGTTGTAGTTTTGAATTCATAATATCTTTTCTTTGCAGGGATTACCACCGTCCTGACCATGACTACTATAAGTACAGGGGTGCGCTCAAATTTACCGCGAATATCCTACGTCAAAGCCATTGATATCTACTTGGTGAAATGCTTTGTCTTTGTATTCGCTGCCTTACTGGAATATGCTCTGGTCAATTACACATACTGGGGAGCTCGAGCAAAGAAAAAAGCAAAGAAATTTAAACAGCAAAGCATCCCAGAAGGTCGTCAACCGAGAACCATATATTCGGTAAGCCATGACCTTAAAGCTCTGCGCATGCCGGAAACGCTTGACCGATAACGCCTACGCACTATCTGTACATACAGATCTAATGTTGCACCTAGACAACGTAAGAATTTTAGCAGGACGGGGGAATGCTTGGATTTGACGACATACGAATGTCTCCGATTCCCAGTTTAAGAAAACGGCAAATGCAAGCACAAAACTCTTATGGACAAGCCGGTGTTCATATGGATACTAACACTATCAATGCCTCTATTACTCGCAAAGCAATTCCGCCTTCATCGATTATGAGATCGCGAGCCGCCAATTATCCATCCACAACGTCCTACCCTGATTATGCTCGACGGCCTCGTCCAATAGGTCACTCCGCTCAAAAACGGCGAATGTTTCAAAGTGTGCGCAAGCGCTTCACCACAATGCAGAAAGTATTGCCAAAAATCCAAGATGTAAATAAGATCGACAGATACAGTCGACTATGCTTCCCTTTAACGTTTTTTATATGCAATCTGGTGTACTGGTGTTTCTATACCTTCATTTAAAAAAACGCAAAAACCTGCTCCAGCGCTACATTTTCGCATTTTCAGTGTGACAGTAATTTGAAAGATTCCTGTGATTTCGAAAGATTGCATCAATATTTTTCGCTGACCAAGCATGAATGTAAATAAAATGTGCCACAGATGACAGCCTCTGCGCAGTTACTTACTCGCCTCTGCGCAGTTACTCGCCTCTGCGCAGTTACTTGCGCAGTTACAGTTCGTAGATTTGATAGCAAGAAAATACCCGAAGTCAGAAAAAAAATTAAAATGGTTAGCTTTTTTGTGTTGAAAAACGAAAAAAGTGAAAATGAGGCTTTTCTCAGTTTTGCCTGGATTGCTTTCCAATGTTTTTGGGGTAAACTTCTACAGTACTGGTTTTTATTGCTGCCGATTACTATACCTCGAGATAGAAAGGATTAATATTTTGGCTACGTTTGTTGAATTCTGCTTGTTCTATGCAGCAGAAAGCGTTATTGCTTATATATATTAGCTTTTTTCATCAGTACAATTGAGAACTGACTATCAAAAGGCAATGAAGAAAGCGGATTACAAACGAATTGCTTCGCTATAAACAAACGAGTAACATACGTCGTATACACCATATCTGTATATTGTACCCTACAGTTCTGCCTTATGGATAGCAAAAAATGTAGGTAATCAAATTCAACCGATCCACTCTGAATTTTCAACGTTGCAGCGAATTTAAGTTATCAAACCTTTATACAGTTTCTGTCATTCTACTACTACTACTCCAGAATTTGTTGCACTAGGCTGTATATGGTAGCACAAATAATGTGAAATGTATGAGTACGTGGAATTGTTGATACTTCAGTGTGTAACTACACTTTACTAATAGTTGCACTTTTTCATCAATGCCACGTTCCAGCAATAATAATAATCAATATCAGAGAATGAATTGGTGACCATTCATTCACTCTGATACTATACTACTGGAGCAAGGCTTTGATTCTACATTAACTTCTGAGTTCTGACACTGCAGTTATAAATACCAACATTCAAAAGCGCTTGAACTAATTGTAAATTTCAGTTTTCGTTTCGGCAAAAGAGATTTTGGGATTAAGCCGACCTCGAAATGCTGGAATGCTCATTCATTAGTTTTCTGTGCATTTCCGTACTTACGGCATGTACTGTAAACGCTTCTGCGTAACAGTGGGATAATGCAATGGAAATAAAGGGCAAAACACTTTCTAAGGGCCATATAGACCCATTCGATTTCTAAAAACAAACAGAACGGCTCGTTTAAGTATCATTGTATGGTTTACTTAAGTCGTGTTGATATGTTGTTTGAGAAGGGTCATGAATTCATATTACAACTGGAATACGCGTGAGCAAAACCCAAAAGAATTATCATGTTATTTATGCCGATAAAAATTAAATAGATTTTGTAAAAGTAAAGTGCCTTCCTATTAAGCATACCAATAATAGCAATATTATGTGAGGTATACATGGATACGGATACCAAAATCCAAACCTTTAGTAACTAGGTTTCAACATAATATGCATTTTGCAAAATGCATTAATGACAGTTGCAGTATACGGCCGTATGATGATGATTTTTGCGAAGTAAAAAAAGTCAGAATACTTTCTGGTTTTGTACTTGTGTTATGATATTTATTAAAGGTATGACATTCTTTCTGATCCATATTTAGTTTATTTTTCCGAAGAAAGAGTACTGGAAGAGTTCTTGACTTGCACAATATGTACAGTTGCTAGTAAGTGATCATTACTTTCAAACAAACTTGCAACTTGCAAGTGCGTCAAATGTTTGCAACTTGAGGACCGGTACTTGGGCAATTACGCATTCCCTTAAGCGCTTTCCAGACTTCCACAGCAGAGTAGCGGATCTACACAGACGACGACCAGATGCAATATTAGCCATCATTTACACCGTTTGCTGACTGTGCTACAGGGATCCGGATAAAATACTGTTGGCAAGTCAGATTTCTTGATTTATATCCTCCTGAAACGAGCTTTGCATGAGTGCGCCTAAGACTGCGTTCGGGATGGATGGACTTTGTTGTAGTAGACAGCTGAGACCCAGGGGGTTACCGATTTAATTTACACAAAAGTAGCTTAAGCATGCAAGCAATACTTAATTTCCAACAACCTTTTTAACAGCTAGCTGGCTGTTTTTACACGCATGATGATATGCATTTGCAAGACATGTTGAAATGTCATACCAAGCTGCAAAAGAATATTAATTATTTCAAACCATGCTGATGCCCATATATGTTCAAGATGTAGGAATTAGGAAACAAACAAAGCGCGAGGTCTTTCCGCCACTTTGCATATGCAGGTGCAAATACACATAAAAGTACTGCAGCGCATTGGTGAAATAATTGTACCATCATAATGCACTACACATTAAGATAGACGTTAAAAATTTAACGCCAAAAGTCTTACTAATAAGAAAGGCATTATAATAATGCTTAATAATCGTGATCACGTTTGTGCACAATTAAATGATTTACATTAGTGACTGGCACTGACTGGCATCGCTATTATCAGCATCCAATACAGTGGCTGAAGGGCACAAGTTGTTGTACTTGCACCCACTTACTTGTAACCTTTACCATTAATTTTACCAATTCGTTAAGTAATTACTTTCGTTGAAAATCTGTATGGCAACAGTTCACCCATCCTAGAAATGAAGTCCAAACAGAGCAATGTTAGGCACAACTCCGATACTATGCATACCACGTTAATAATTTATTCTAAAGGGTATAAGGCATAAGCAGTTTTCTATTAACCCATTAATTTTGGAAAAGGTCTTTCAATATTCAAACCCCTTGTTGTTGCAGCAGCAGCGCAATTTAGAATTCCTTTGGGATTTATGACCCCTGATCCCTCGACTGTAATTACTACACTAATTGGCGGGCTGAATATTATGGTATCTAATTAAGGAATGTTTAAGTTATCACACAACGGAACTTAATATCAGCATACACTATTATCTGGGTGTAATTTTGTAACTTCTTTATAACCAATAAAAAATCTTTATACATTTGTGTAAACCACTAACCTAATAAAATATAATATCCGAATACACAGACAGCACGAATGCCGGTAAGCAAATGGCATGGAAGCCCCTTGTGGTGAACGATAAATCAACAGGTACGATTGCACCACTAAATTTTCTTAGACAAATTTTATTATGCAAAAAAATAAAAACATGTTTTGTTACTTATTTAAAGGTGAAATAGCTAGTCGTTTCTTAAAAGGGTGATGTAGATGTTGATATTGTTTTCCTCCTTCGCAGCTGCGAAAACACCAGAAATCGTAATTAGAATTCAGATACTTTATTAATATACTGTAGTTACGTATTCATATTACCACTTGATATAGACCTACGCGCGTTTGCGTGTCTCCGTGTGCCGCATAATATCCGTTATGTAGGGATAAATTCCATAAACACGGAAATTTGAGCAAAGTAAGTATTCGGCTGTATTAGCAGGCAGCTTTGGTGTGATATTTAGACCCTTTCTCCCGGAAAGTCGATAATGTTGGCTGAGAGCGTCTACTCATGATCATGCACAGTAGTCTGTGTATACTGTACATGCATATATATATATGTACACTGCACAGGACAGCCTGGGCAAATCCAGAATTGCTTTGCACCTAGCTATTCCCATGGACGGCTTGATCATCATGGTCGCGCGCGCAATTGCAAGTTGTTATCCTGCAAGGAATTTGACTTGGATATCCGATCTCCCCATGTCGTCAACACAGCAACCGTCGCAGCAGCAGTAGACCATAGATTAAGCTACTACATTTTCCGCGACATTGTTTTGGCTTCCGCTCGTGACTAAGTCTATTACCACATATATATAAGTTCTGATTTAATATGTCGACAGTAGAACAAACGGAAGTGACTGTGGATTCCGATCGAGGTCGGGATAGTTATGTGAGCAATGATGAAGCGCCAGCAAAAGGATTAATTTACGGCTCATCCAACGAAGTGATTGAGCTCAATGTTGGCGGTGTGCTGTGTACGTAACCGCGTCTTGTTCAGCATGTGGAATTCGAATAATATGCATGCATTCAAAATATACATGACCTTTTCTTAATAATCAAAACTGTACTTGTAATTTAGACTCTACTACTACAAGCACGTTAGTCAGAGATTCCGAATCATTGCTTGCCAAAATGTTTCAATCCGGATCAGCAATTACCTTACCAAAAGATTCCAAGGTACGTGTTTGAAGTAATTAGGATAATACATCTTAACACCGTCGGTTTGAGCCAGCACATATGTGTACAAATAATTCGTGATCATGAGCACAATGCGCCGTTTTCCTCCCTGCAGAATTTCTAAGTCTACAATGTTTTAGGGTCGATATTTTTTGGACCGGTAAGTGGAGAGTGCTACCCAAGAAATTTGTAGCGAAATTACAGTTTACCTTAAACTAACTATATTTTTCTAGTTTTTTTAAAATTTGGTGCAAAATATACAAGCGATATTTGGATGCGGTATCTAAACCCGCTTGCAGTATGCTTGTCATATATAACGTAAAGGGCTAAAAAAGCCTTTTGTACCGCGGTATTCATGACAGTTTTTTCTTAGATGATAAAATTATGAAAGGCCTAGTATAATTAAGCGCCAGCACCGGACTTATCTTCGCGCGGCTAAGGATGTTTATGTTTATGAATAATGATGAGCCGGTTCAATAGGCTCGATATAGTGATGATGATTTTAATTTGACATGATTCAATTTGTAAGGTCATGTAACCGGCTTGCAATTGTCAGTTTGACGTGTGGGATTAAGAGATTCTTGTGTTGGAACTGACATGCCGTAATATTGTCCAGCTGTTTAAGCAAAACAAGTAATGATTACACATTTTATACACACTACAGCGACGGGGTTCTCTTCCGGTATGTTCTCGACTATCTACGCCAGGGTCGATTAATACTACCCGAGAATTTCTATGAGAAGGAACGTCTCAAAGCGGAAGCCGATCATTTCAAGCTGCGTAAAATGATTAAAAATGTGGATAACACTCCTCATACGGGCAGCGCCGGCGCTCGATCTAATTCGCTTATGCCCAATAAAAATCAATCTCTGAGTAGTTCCATGCAGTCACTGCCGTTGAGTCCCAGCGCCGACCTGCAGCGTCCTGCTTACGTAAGTATTTGTGACTAAAACACCATTACCCACTATGTACATAAGCTGTTGATAAGCTTGTGTGTCTGCTCAATTACAGATAACAGTGGGATACAGAGGAACATTCTTCTCTGGAACTGGCCCAGCCGAAGTAAGTTGTTTCCGTCGATATTCCATTTTCTTGTAATAATTGTTTGCAGTTAGCATAGAAGTAGTGCATCCTGCATTGTTGCAATGAATTATTTAAATTCTTCAAATGAGTGTGTACGTAATAAAGCCGTATAATACCATCATATTACCATGGCCATGTAACATAGGCACATATGCTAATGATATTAAATTTGTAGACCTGAATACTCAAAGCTGTTTTAAGCAAACTAGTTTTGTTTGATATGCATATAAAAAAATTTTAAGTTGTAGCCGCTCTTTTGTATTCGGCAAATACGTACGCACGGATAACTTCGCTGTATACAGTCGTCGTTTTCAATGCAATTCCTAACGCACTTTACGACTCATTGGTTTTAAATTACTACGTGACGGAGCACGGTGCCCTTAATGATACCAGTCGCAACATGGAGCTTTGGAAGTTCATAAACCATGATCTGCTTTTCTGTTTGCTTAACGTTACAAAGCTAATCAACTTTATTATTGCGCTATATAATTCGCGATCAACACCATGAAAAACGGGCAAAATTAGATGGTGTGTATCCACTGCACAGTATTCCGCTTTTCCGTATAACCATAAAACATGCCAGATAGAGACGTTCTATGTTCTGGAATTATCTTAAATGAAAAAGAAATTAGGGTGCTGTGACGTTTGTGCTGCGGCAGAAGCTTTCGTAAATTTTGTAAGCGACCCGTCTAAGTTTGAAGTCTTATGGTGTAAACCATTTGTAGTGATGTTCCCAACAGCGAGTATATTGTCCTTATCCCTTGTTATTTAGCGTGTTCGTAATGCGATCGATTAGTGCCAGATATTATCCATAACGCTTACTTTGTTTGACGCGGATTACTGTATTATACGGCTAGTTCGGAAATCCCTTCGAAGCTATGTTAAAACATAATACGTAATCGAATAAAACTGCCATTTACAGATAATACGAGTATTATAATGCTAAAAAATGTTTAAGCATGGTGGTAGCTTGTATCGTATTACTTCATACTATGTACATGATCAATTTGCTTGGAAATGGTACGTATAGCTTATAACTGTAGTCGAGAATGCACTTTCAATCTGCGTAAGACGTTCAGCATGACACTCGGACACAATCATTATCCAGAAGTTCACGGAATCTATAACTTATATTCTGCATTATTTTAAAATATTACGCTAATACTTTTTAGGCGAAGGATGTTAAATTTCGGAAATTGTCCCGAATCCTCGTATGCGGCAAAGTAAGGATTGTATTGCTTGCAGTAACATGTGTTTCCCCAACCGACAGCAGTTCAAATGGTGTAACGGAAACGCTCCATGGTTTGTCCATTGTTTAGGTTGCAATTTGCAGAGAAGTGTTTGGTGAATCCCTAAATGAATCCCGTGACCCTGACCGCGGAGCCAACGAGCGGTATTCATCGCGATTCTTCTTGAAACATAACCATTTGGAGCAGGCTTTCGATCAACTCGCATTTGCTAATTTCCGGCTGATATGCGGCTGCGCGTCAGGTGTGGACAGTGCTTACATCTATGTTTCCAAAAGATCGATTTGCACTAGAACCGAGCTTCTGTAGCATAAACATACGCAACCCCTCTTCACATCATACAAGTGTTATTCTTGCTCTACGGGGTACAAAGAATCCCCGGGTTTAGTCCGCGCGCAATGCTGATATCAATCTTCAAATCATTCAGCAACAGGAAAAACTCAAATGTGATAAACTTTTCTCCATTCACATATTTCACTTATTAAGCAGCATATTAAGCCTAATTTAACTATCAAAGTCTATCATATCATAAATCAGCATGCGACTTTGCATTACAATACGACGGGGTTGCGATATTGTGCAATTGATGGTAAGATTGCTCTAACGGACGCCGCCGTTTTGCCGGCTCATACCGGAAGTAGCTCGTAATACAGCTGTGCACTGCATAGACGCGCAGCGTTTGCGCTTGTTTATACAAATGGAATCGATTTGCAATGGTTCTTTTTGTTGATCGTTTTCATCATTTCAATTTACTTTTCATAGGAACTAACTCGTCGTATGAACAACCGAAGCCAGGATCCGACCACGAGGTGACAATACGATATAATAAAACAGACTACAACATACAAAGAGCTCAATTTTTACAGCTGTTTGACTTTTGCGTGGTTTTCAATTTTTAAAACTCTTTATACGGTATATTTTTACCACTTGAAGGCCAACAAATTTTTCTTTTTGTAGGAAAACAAATGGGCTCACTACAATGAATATACATTTCAGCGCCTTTAATACAGGGAACAGATCACCGGAAATTGTTCCATAAACAGCAAAACGTGCGTGCAGCAGCGTGGATTATGTGTTTGTTTTCCTTTGCTCCTGAAACCTTTGCAATTAAGTACTGTTTGCCGCGACATCCAAGCATTAGGAATGTTTATTAAGAGAAAATTTCAGTAAGTTTTGCCAGCCGCTGCATATACTTTTCTGCAGAGCAATGAGCAACCAGTGATGGCATCGCCATGATCACGAAATAATGGATCTCATTAATCAAAAAAATTTGCTTCCGTTCGTTACACATTGTCATGTACTTGTATTCGCGGTTAAATGTTGTACGACGTACATGGACCCGTAAATTTAGTAGATTTAGGCGGAGAACTGGATTTGCTGTTATAGTTGAACAATTTACCCTTGTTTACCCATCTTTAGCCTTTTTCGTGCATCAGCTAAGCGGTAGCGAGTGCAAGTAAATGACAATGTCCAACCCAAATTTTTAGTTTCTGTTTTTTATTACCTTTGAGATGGGATATAAACGTGCGTAAACACACTACAGAAATCTTTATCCGAAATTGTGCATTTGTAAAGTCGTTGAATGTCCTATATATATCAGGCGAATGAAAGCTGTAAAATACAAGCGAAAAGAACGTGGAAAATGGTGGAAACATTCGCAAAGGATAAAACCGGCATTTAAACAGGTAGCCAAAGTTTAATGCAGAAACTGAAACAGGCCGCTAATTTTAAAAATGTTTATTATTAAGATATTCTTCCTGCTCACGACTAAATTCTAGATTGTATTCATCGTACGGTATGCATATTTCTATGTACCGTTGAAATAAATTTTCATCCAAATGTTCCTGTAATCTCGTAGAAACAGTTGCGAAATCTGGTCTGTCCGTCGGTTCTCCATTCCAACAACCCACCATTATGTTGTACCTGAAAATAATTTTACCTGTCGCACGGAAATGTGCGATATGATTTTGACTCGATAATATTTAGTAAAATTAAAACAGGGGACGCTTAAAAAAACTACAATATTTATGTTACTCGCATAGACGAATATGCATCATGCATCATATTATGGTATACTACAGAGTATGCCATATACCATTAATCACAGGTTCGGGGGCTATAATGGCTACGCAAGCGTATACGTATCTTGCATACTTGTATTTTACCATTTTTACCTGTATTTACATAATGTTGCTTACACAAATTCTGGAGCCAGATATGCTCGTTCTAAACGTAAACTTCCACTTGTAATTCCACGGATGAAATGCTGGTCACAACGCCTTCCGAAATAAGGCACGCTACCCAGGGAAAATATTTCCCAAAGCAAAATTCCATAGGACCAGACGTCACTTTGCATAGAAAATTTTAATCCAGCGAGTGATTCCGGCGCCAAATACCGCCAAGGAAATTCCTGTACGATACATTTTGACAATTGCGTAAATGCGTTCACCCTTCCAGTTTGTTGAGTGATGTTGTAAGTACAGTATCATACTAGTGATATTAAATATTGTAAGCACTGTTTTACGAGTTACCTTGATGCTGTGAGATGGTCTAACACTACCCTTGTCCTGGTATTCCGATTCAGATCGGGATAAGCCGAAGTCGGCAATTTTTACGGTTTCGTGGTCGGATACAAGGATATTCCTTGCGGCTAAGTCACGGTGTGTGATACGCTTTTTTGAAAGATATTCCATTCCCTTACTGACTTGGTATGCAAAATACAAAAGGTCATCGGTACTCAAAACGTGATTATTGTCTTCGGGAAGGTAGTGTTGTAAAGCAGTTTTTTGTGCGAGTAAACTTCTGTTTATCCTTCCAGTTGCGCTGTCCACGATGTTGCAGAATCGATTCTGTTTTTGATATGTTTTCAGGTATGAAAGAAGCGATCCATACTGACAGTATTCCAAGATCATGTAGCACTTATCTAGAATTAATTCATGCACAAATAACATGATAAATAATCCTACACTGGGTATATTTCAAAATAATAACTGTAACTTTTGTGCCTTTTAACTACTGTATCATCTGTATACAATTCAAAACTGCGTCGTTTTGCAATTCGTCATGGTACTGCTTTGTGCTTACCGTTTTCACTGTTCCTCCTTACAGCCCCCAAGATATTGACGATATTAATATGTCGACCAATATGCATCATAATTTTGATCTCTTCCAAAAACTGTTTCTCTGCTAAACATTCTTTTGTTCTCGATTGTGATGTATTTCCTCCACACATTTTCACTGCTACTGTAAGCCACTGGCCATCAATCTGCGCTTCCGTTTTGATCACTTTTCCAAAATTACCCTTTCCTAGCGTTGTACCTGCACATTTACTTATCGTTAATTAACGGGCCACTGCCATTTGTGCAATTAACAGGAAAAAAGCCTGATTTAATTCCCATGTTTTTTGTGCGAAATATATGTGGTCTAATACGTTATTTTCGTATAAAGAATCGTAAGTGAATTATTGCAAATAAACATTTTTTACCGTTGTCAATACGCAAATGCTCAAGAGGAATCTCAAATTTTGGATAATACGGCAGATATTCTGCCTGTTCTTGCGGTGATCTTGAATAGTCGATGTTCACGTTTACCGGTCGTGTCAAAAGCGGAATGTTCAACATCCCTTCGACCTTTACCAATTCCTTCTGACTGTTCTGCAACAAATTCACTCAGAATTTTTAAACGGCATTACCGGTACTTTATCATATGAGAATATTAATTTTTTAAGCACAATGACAGCCATCAAGAAATATTTTTTTTAATTTTTGGTGACCAATCCCTTCATAACTTGTCGGAGACTCTCACTCGGCCGGTACACAACCTAACTTACGCAAATGCTAACTTCATGTGTTCTTTTTCAACATTTCCTCATGGGCAGAAGTGGTAGAACGCTTTAAAATCTGATTTCCGCAACATAATTTCATAATAACAAAAGGATTATTCATTATTATTGCGCAAATACTTGAATTTCTGGATTTTATGCCGAGAAATCGAAATGTATTGCGGAGAGAACATATAGATATGTATATAGTCGGTACTTTGTGCAATTATCTACGTAAAACAGCAGCATTTTCCATTACGCTTACAGAATCTGGCAAGAAACAATTTTAAACTAGCAGGCTTAAGTGAGCAACAATCAAACTGAGCGCCAGTTGATTAAGACAAATAACATCTGACTTGGATCTGCCAGTAAAAGTAGAGAACGCGGGACGCGAAATGTTGTGTTGTGTACTGAATAAACGGAGCGGTCACCTTAATCTTAGATTCTTAATTCTCATGATACAATAGTATTGTATCACGAGAATTAAGAATTTAAGATTTAAAATTAATTAACCCCCATTAATGGGGGTTAATTTACAGCTAACGCGCCGCCCAGCTGCCAAGCTATTACAGTACCTGAAATTAAAGATAAAAAGATTGCGGCAGTAGTTATAAGGGTCAATGACCCGTTTTAGCTCTGCAAGCTCAGGGTGATATATATTTGGGCAACAAATGCAAATATAATGGCTGCAATTTCGTAATCTCATGACAGGATTTAACATTGACGAACTATCACAGCCAGAGTTACGCCCGACCGCGCAATAGTAATTTAATCAGACTTGAACAGTGACACAAAAATTAATAAGACAATGATCCATTGGTACAATGGTAAGTACAGTAACCTGGTCAGTTTTCTTATTTATAATAAGTTTAATAGCCGACTCACCCGTTCTTTGCGATGCCTAAGACATAATACGCCCAAAATAGCTGATAATAGTAGCCCAAAACCAATACATGCAGCTACAATGTAGGTTGTTGAAGCGCTTCGATTTCCGTAGGCATCATAGCCCGGTGTTGCAGATAGTGCAGTGGCATTGTTATTGTTTTCCAGAAAAGCGCCGTCGATTACAGAAGATGGCACATCGGCAGTGGTAGAAGTACTGTTGACCGATGGATGCATGGTTTTTATCGAAGTACAGTAGCAATGCTAGCAGGTCTAGAGTCTACACCTGGAAGTAACACGAATAACAACACAAATATAACGCCAAATTAAAGTATTCTATGTGCAGTTTGCACTTTGCAGACTTTGGCATCAATACGGAGAGTGCGCAACCGTCGTCGCGAAATCAGACTAACCATAAGCAGTGGAAGTAATCCGTGGCAAAACCTTGAGAGATTGTGGATACATACTTCGCAAAAGTATTATGGGAAGAAACGATAACTACTAATAATTATTACGCTTCCTTGTCATACAAAAATGTCAACCAGTTACCTAGAGTAGGAGAAAATCCGAACCAGGTGAGATTGCAACGATGTACCCGGTAACGCGAACAATATTATAACCGATTGATTGGCATCGGGCATAGAAAGGAGGACACACCATAATAATTTTGCTGAAATCCCTGCTAGATGTTGCGACTTATTGAAATTATTATACAAGTTTCGCCGAAATACTGGTCCATTGATTTCTGTTGTTTTATTCGCTAGTTGAGCACAATGCGAGCATTACGTTTGTGCGAGTACAGTATGCATGTCTGCGTACTAGTATATACAAATAATAATTAGGTAAATGCTGCGCCGGTCTGTGTTTGGCAGCCTGTATAACGCTTTACGTTAGTTGCACTACCTTTTTTATTGTCTAGATAACAAGGCGTTATCGCTCCACCCATTACAAATAATCCTTTAAATTACTACGAATTAACGCATCAATAAACAAGTGATAAGAGGATGACCCACCTCGGCGATAAAGCATTCGCTGTTTGCCATTTGGGGTCACGCACGTGAATTCCAATTAGTCACACTTGTTACTGCGCCACACTTCCATATTTACATAACGTGCTAAGAATGATTAATAAAAACAAAATCATGACAGCATTAATAGTGGAGAATGCTATTTTAAAACAGCTTGAGGCAATCGAGCTGTTTAAGCGCTTTCATAATTAGCCGTAATTAATTGGGTTATTCATGCTGTCCTTTTAATTTTGAGAGGAATGTGCTACATGAGACGGATTCAGGTAAAATGAGGAAAGATTCAGGTAATAACTATCTTTTTTAGCATCACTACATCGGCAGGATAAAACTGTTGTAGTGAACGTAATAATTTCTGTTTTTATCCAACACGGTAAAACCGACAGCCATACAGAAATTAATTTTTATTAACTTACACATATTTTTCAGTTCTTTAACGGAAGTGGACCAGATACTTGGTGCCAAATTTGTGTACGACTTTTGATTTCGCGCAGTGCAGGACAAACTCTGAAACTGCTTGTTTTGTGGTGATCTTCACTTTCGGGTGTTTCCGCAAATAATACATACCAAGTTAATTGTTTTCGGATCGCTTAAATATTCGCTTTACAGTGTAATATATAATTGCAGTGGTACGATTTTTTGGCCTGTCAAAACATATATTAATATATGTGCTATAATAAGTGCTCGTAATAATAAAAACTTAGTACGCGCTTTCATGTCCCGATATATTATGTACCAAACGATATCGGACCCATAAAAAAAACTTAGACGGAATCCGAAGTTTGGCTGGAGACTTTTCTCGTGACAATATCGATCGCTAATTTTACATGTCCTGAGTCGTAAGTTCGTAACCAGCTTATGCAGAAGCTACCTTAGGCTATGTCGCATTAGCTGGGCGCAGTCCAACCAAGTTGTAGATCCGCTCATACTCCAAATGAAATGGAATATAAGTCATCCTGTATACCCGGTGCGTTCATACATGATACCAACGCTGACTCCAACCAAAATCTATATCTATATTTGCTATTTTGTACAGAAAAAAATAGCATGTACAGCTTGATTTCACAGCCCTACATATACGTAAGTATCGTGCCCTCCTTTGATGGCCCATCTGGAAGGAATATACAACGTTACGCTACTGCGTGCACTTACAAATTTACAGTGTGCCGCACTCACCTGCTTTCACTTACCTCACTAGTATATTAGCGTTAGTGACTTTTATACTCTTTGTAATTTCAAATTCCAAGTTGCGTTTAGAGAATTCCTTTGAAAACATTATTCCAAACAACTACATCGACTTATTCGTAAAAAAAACAGCGCGAACTAACTATTTAAATTATGATTACAATTATCAAACATACATTTGCCTTGATTTATTTTATTCAATTAATCCGATGTTGGCTTCAGACCAAGTAGTGCTAAAGTCAAGCTCAACTTCATGACGTTTTGAAAAACGGCAAAGCAGAACTTGGTTGGAGTCGAAAACGCCGGTTTTCTATTTGGGGGATCGTAAAATCGATGTACAGTATTGCTACCTAAACTGCTGTTCAATCACTGTCCATGACATTCGTTGCTATCTCATACGTCGAACAGTCCAAGCAAGTCCTACGAATAGTGACTACTACACAGCAAAAACAATTTATTGTCATTTATACTAATCCTTAAGCTACAGAAACACAACAAGCCTAAAATTATGAATACGAGATACTCAATGAAAACTGAATCTTAAAATACACGTCATAAGGAAGCAATGTAATCGTAATTCAGTTGACAGGAACACAGAGATCGGTGATAATACGTAACATAATGCTTGCACAGTAAATATATTTCTCCACTAAGGCAGAATTATACGACAATTTCCGTTTTTACGCAGATAAGTGCTTCAACAAACCAAAGTCTAGTTATCCAGGATTCCAACACTTAGGTGACACTGTGAAGGATTTACTCCTACTAAATAATACAATTCCAAATGTCGTGCGCAGTTTATCATCAATAAGTACTGACAGGAGCTTGGAAACGGGCTGTTTCGTTATCTTCGGAATTGAAATATCCTTCCATTTCTGGCTCCATCGTTGAGCCCATTCCATTTTTCACTGCACGACATTGGAAAAAGCATACACGTTTCAGACCCGGATTATGGAAGAAGTACCAGAATTTCCAGAGATTATGTTCTTGTGCGTATGGATCATAGCTGATGTCCGGCGAGAAGCTAACAACGAGTCAAACCAGTTTAAAACAAAATTAAAAAAAATATCTTTCCAAGGCAAACAGATATTCATAATTCGTATGTTTTAAATATTTATTCAGCAATCATAATACCCACAGTAATGATACTGGTTAAGTTATACACTTATTTTGGATTAATAAAATAATTTTTCAATTAATGCACTCTACTGAGTCTATTTAGATGCATAGCTGATGTGTAGCAGATGTGTAGCAGATGCAAGGCAGCTAGCTACCACTACTTATTTTCTGCGTATGCGTACCACGCTAGAATTACTTAAGTACAGAAATTAACGATAAATACTACGAGTAGAGTTGAATAATAGTGGCGCACCTATACACAGTGCAATCGCGTAATACAACGGCTTCGTCAACAGCCTTCCAGATGTAAGGGCGGATCCTGTCAAAATCGCCTCCGAGAACCAAAGTAAAATTCATATTGATGCGATCCATCACCCACTGCCAAATAACAGAACGAACGTAAGTACTTACCGAATGGAAATCAAACATGGTCTACGCTTCCGAAAATGAGACAAAATCAAAACTGTAGCAGGCTGAAGCGTACCTGGACACTAGGCTCACGGCTGAACATTTGACTTTTCACATCGGAAAAGTCAGCATCAATCCCGTATGACGCGTTCAAAGTTGCCATCAGATACCAGAACGTTTTCTTCGGTATCGTATCACACAGGATACCACCACTGGGTGCGGATGTGCCTCCAGTATCCGATAAGCTGCCGTTGCTAACAGGGCTCGTTCCACTATTGAACACGCAGTCTGGAGGGCTCAGCCATTCTTTGTCCTTATCAGGCGCTGATGGTGATGCAGCAGCCACGAACGATTTGAACGCTTTGCGTTCCGTGGTCGTCCCAGATTTGCATGAGTAAATCTCCAAACGAGATTCCAGACGATATTCATTCTCCAGAGCAGCGAGATCACTCGTTATTGTCTCGAACTTGGTGTTCTCGATTAGCTTCATCTTACACACCAGCTAAAGATAGATCTGATACGGAAAAACCAGCAGAGTATCCTAATACTCTCTGAGCTGTTTGAATGAGAGGAAAACACTACTGACGAATACGACAACGTTACTGTTTAGCAAATCAATTGCAAAAGCGTTATTCGAAATACACTTCTGGCTGGATATGATACCAATTTCGGACACAAAGAGAGCTGAAACGTCCAAGGATGCATCTTCCCAAAAGGATATCGAAACGGACTAATGGTCTGTGGTTGCGAGTCAATTCAGGTCACAAAAATGACAAATGTGGTTGCAATTTTACAGCTGATTCGAAATCTTGGTTAACTTACAACTGCTTTACGCACGGATGTTTGTGAGTTCCTAGATAACATCGGAGCCCAAACTTGTTTGCAGAATTTTGACCTGAAGAGTGAAGCCTGAGGTGCTGGAAGCATGTTTTCATACGTACTTATCACTTATGAATACACTCATACGTTTCATACTGTAGTACTACACTACGTTCTACGTTTGGCGAACTAGCAGCCCACCAACGGGACCAGTCTCACGAAAACGTGCTATCAAGCCACGCCTTTCTGTTGGAATCAGCTCGTAAGCCACACCTTTTTATTTTTCGAAAAAGAACTGGTTGAATACTATAAAAAATCGTATCCATGAAGAAACATTAAAACATAAATCGCACCAATAATAATAACATCGTATCTGCGTTTATTGTAACCCATTGTACTGAAGTAGTGTTATTACGGGTAAAAAATTCTGAATCCACACATTTAAAGTAGAGCCGCAGGCAGAAGATATGCGTACAGTTTTTCCCCAGCAGGACGTGACTCAACAACCGAACCATACTTCATTCGGCAAGGCTCGGGTTACGAACAGAAGTATTCATTCATTTTGCATTTGTTCACGGCAGTTCGACCACGGGACATGTAAATCATTATTCTAACTTTACAAGTAATTATAATCTCTGAAGGCCGTATTTTTCATCAGTAATCCAACACTATCAAAGCAAATCCACGAAAAATTAGGACAAGAAATAACCAAACTGATAATAAGATAAAAGATCAAAAGCATGCAAATCACTTAACAAAGATTTAACTGCATAAGTATTTTAGGGAAACACATCAACGAAGAACTTTGGTAACTGAATAACAATGGATGCGGTGATGTCCATCGCTACGTTAGCGAGCCAGGAATTGTCACTTCCACTAAGGAAACCAAAAATCCAGCACTGCAATCAAACCACCAACTTTTGCAAAAAAACTATATGCCCGGATCTTTAGGAGCTGTGTACCACCGGAACAACAGGAGCCAATAACGAGCATAGGTTATGTATTCCACATGGCTGACGGGGAAGTAGTTCATAATTAGCAAGCTCAACACTCGCAATTTATATATGGCAATGTGCAATTGTGCACCGCTATGTGTACCACATCTCTTCCAGGAAAGATTAACAGGGCTTCGTCAAAACAGAGAAACATCAAACGATGCTGCAGCACGTACAGCTGCAGCAATTCCTGCTGCCTGACTTCTTCTGTTTTGGATCATCTGCAAAAACAGTAGAGCACTGAAGTGTGTAACATAATTTTTTTTAAATCGCAACTATCACACCAGTTTTATTATAAAGCGCACAAAACTGCTTGACTGTTATGAACTGCTGGGATGATGGACCAATACATAATTATGGAGTAATCACAAACATAGTTTGAAGTTTGTAACACTTATTTCACGCCTAGAGTGATCCAAGATTCTACGGTAAACGATTAACAGCATTGTGCTGAAAAATACCAGGAAATTGCTCATGTTCGGAAAGGTTACCAATTACACAATTTAACAGCATTACAATTCCCCTTTGTTTATACAATTTTTACCTTGAGATGCTGGTTCTGGCAAATGCTCTCTGGGCACTAAGTGCATCACAGTCGTTCTGCCCACAGGTAGATTTAATGCTAAACAAAAAATACTGTATTAAATTTTAGATCCGGGCTAATAATCTTCCCTCATGCTTGGTTTCTTTTCGAATAATTAATGGTAAGTACCTCCCAGAGTAACGTTGCCGTGTAGAAATCTGCCGTGGTAAATGAGTCGCAGAACTTCACCTTTGTCAACAGGACAGCTTCCCCAATCTGTAATGTGAAAATTTAGTATGAAGAAAGAATGTTACCGTAGTACGGCTTACGTAATAATAATTCAGTGTGAAAACACAGCTGCAATTACGGCGCATACTAAACCGTACCGTCAGGCCAATTGTCAAAAACATTATGTGCAATCTCGGCAGCCGACGTGGAAGGATTGAAGAGAAATTCTTTTGTTTTCCCACTGACAAGGATGAGTTTAAGATTGATCTGCAAAAAAATTAAAGCCTATGTAAATTTCTCAAGTACCAACTTCACACTGTTTCCAAGATCATGTTCTTATATAACTGCGCACTGCTTTCAGGTGCCAAGAAAATCAAAGCCAGCTACAACTGAATACCGCTGTCCAAAGTACGAACTGAAAAGTTATGCAGCCAAAGTTCGGTTAGGCGGGCTGATTACTAGCAAATTACACTATTATCATGACGAGTTTTTATGTTGAAATCCTAAGCGAGATAAATATTAATCAAAAATTCAGTAAACAGACATTCAGAAAAAATAGAACTGTACATCGTGAGATACACAAAAAGCCATTGGTCCGGACAGTTTCAGAATGAAAGCAAAACTGCATGAAACTTAGTGGACGTAGGAAGTTGTCTTCTGGATATTTCCCAAGCAGATCACGGTTAAAACACATAAATATGGGATCGTCGGCATATTATTATTCCTTCCAAATATCCGCTGCAGGTGTATAATGTTAAAAATGAAAAGCACTCGTAAACGGTAAATGATAAAACAACCATCCGTTATATAAGTTTTGCCATTCTGATCCGACCCAAAACCAAAACTCAATTAACTGTTTCTGCTGTTTCGATTAAGTGCACAAGAATCCTGTGAAACGAGAAACAGAGATACATATTAATCCCCGCCAGTTTAGAAACAAGAGCTATCTAAAAAAAAATTAATAATTAAGAGTGTGAAGTACTCTAGACATCAGGTAAAGTGTTGTAATATGTTAATATGAGCTGCCTTCTGTGGGTTCTTAATCATTACTTCCGATACCTTACGTAAGAATCCGATAAATTACAGTTAGCCCTGACTACGAGTACTCGTATAGCGAATAATAACGCCGTCATTCAGGCTTGCATGGCTCTCCCACATAGGCTCTTTACAGAGCATCACATGAGAGCTCCAACAGGAAGTCTAGTATTCCTAATCATTTTCTCATCCACGAAATTTCAAGCCAGACTTCAACGAAATCGATCGGGCGCGCACATTCACGCCGATGCCTTAACCAAATGCATTCATTCTCTCCTGATGTTCTCTCGCATCACTCGCACCACTGCAGTGTCAAGTCAAAAGCACATACTAAGCCCACAGGAAATCGTGACGTAAGAAGAAACGAATCCAAGAGCACACTACAGTGGCATCAGCGTAAAAAATGTAAAATCCCCCAGCACATATGTACGTTACATCACTTACTTTATCACTTGGAATTTTTCGAGATCCCATGGCTAAGTATAGCGGGGTGAACGGAGTACAAAATGATAATAAAAGAGGTAATATAAGCAAGTATATTAAATTTCCTTGCAATCAGATGGACTGAGATGAGTATCCAACAGGAATAAGGCACAGGCAATTAGGGATTATTACCATGCAGGATAGATTCCATATTGATCTTGGGGACGGAGGGGCGACTAATTGGGATCAATTACTTCCTTAGTAACCACGGCAATATTAGCACATTTTAGCCTGTTTTCCACTGGGGCTGTTTAGCACTGCGGCCCAGCATGACAAGGTGAAAACGCATCCGCGTTCAACGCTGGTGTTCGACAACTGGGCGAAATCGTGTGGAAACGGGCAGGCTAAAAGAACCAACATACAGGCTACCACCAGAGTTTAACAATACGAAGATAAATACAGTACAAAATGTTGCCCAATAATTATCAGCGACTGTACGGCTGATTACTGGCAAAAAGATGTCGCATAGAGCCCATCTAACGACTTGGCCACAAGTTACAAACCAGCACTACGACCGCGGTCGCGAGATTGAAAATCTAGTTGAAGAGCTGGCTGTGTGGAACGCAGCTTGAAGTCAACACCAAGCTGCAGTTTCCGCGAGTGCAGCCCAGCTAGGTTAAACTATCAGTACAGCAGTCTCAGCAGTGATGTCACAAACCACGCCACTGACAGACAAACGACGAACCTCATCAAATTATCGACTGCGATAGATGATTAAGGCGCAAAGGAAATAATTGAGAATGATAGATAATAAGATATAGTCGGTATAGGAACAGAAAAATCTAGGCGAAATTATTTTAATAACAAAATATAATAACTATATTTTTGGGTGCAGGGCACGGTTTGAAATTCCGTAGGGCAGTAGACGTAGTAGAGGCCATGGCAGCAAAATAAGAATGTGAATTGCGATCCAGGTTTATTTACAAATCATTCTTATGTACAAAATGATAATTCTTATGTGCAGTAATGACAATAACGCCAACATAAATTATACAGCATATCTATATTCGCTGGTAAATGGTAATGGTACGATACAATTCCTTAATGCGTTTAAATTAATAAGAATGTAGACTGCATATTTCTGTAAAATAATACAGTACAATACTGTACGTAATACTACATATCTACACTCCAATACATATTTGCATTATATCTATATCTATATCAGATTCTATCTATATATCTGTATATACACAAATATTTGTAATACCGTTTGTATCGTTGGATCGATCATCGGAGTGATTTCATGTTCATTGCATCTGTATGTAGTGTGCTTTATACTTACATACGTGCGCAATAAAAATAATTATATATTATGTTTGCAATTGGAGTAATCATTATTAACAAAACTTATTTTATTCATGATTAATTAATAATTATCGTACGAGTGTAACTGTATAAGCATTTAAAAGCGTTAGGAGAAATTTACTTGTAATCTTAAAGGGAGCATGAATATAATTACGACTCATGGGAGAGCACTTTCATTAAAATCTTGAGCCCTGACACACTGCTTATACAGTATGCACCTAGCTGTTTCGAAAATCCAAATCCAGTCTTCCTAAAGGAAAGGCAATTTTTAAAGCGTGGGTGGCACAGACGTCGGCAGAGAAAAAGAAAATAACTGTAAAAGCAAACATGGCGCGCTGCAAATGTTTGAGATTTTACAAACATAAAATATTTACTAGATATCGGTAATTAATAATTTTAAAGATAACATTTAAAATCGCATGCGTAGAATGCGTAGAACGCAGGAAATGTAACACTGTTTTCGGATGTTAACAAAGCATAAAAGGCAAACTTAAAATGGTGCGGACCTATGGTAGAATTTACTGCGGAACTATGCCGAGATTGCTGACCAATGTCCGATCAAGGCAAGAAAATTCAGTGAACTGCTGCAAACCTATGTTGTGACACTTATTACGGGATCGTCAGATTCACCGCAGCCGTGTAAATGCGAATGACATGGTGCAGTACTTTGTAACAACAATTTAAAGTACGGAAATGTAACTGCAAACTTGCTACATATTGTTCTGCCTAAATTTAGACTTGTAGCTGACAGCCTAGCTACGTATCTATATAGCACATTATTCTTGCAACTATAGAAAGCTCAACCATAACACTGATGGTGAGGTGCCTCGTGTGCTCGAATTCAAAAAGCAAAATGACCACCGGTATGCAGATTATTACAGCGGTATCTCTGCACGTTTCATATGTATTCTAAAAGTTTAACCATAACTTGTAATCTTCTAACCTTCGATTCTAAACGCATGCACTCAGCACTGACCGTGCTTGGCGTGGCATGGACCGGCATGCTGGTATCCCTCAAATGGAATTCCATACTGTATTCAGAGGAATCCCCTGGACTGCCCGCATTATTCGTCGGCGCCATTGCATGTCGAAGGAACCGATAGCTTAGTACGGTGGGTCCAGGGGATTCCTCTGACCCTAGGCCTTAATATCGTGTAAATACAGTACCTGTGTCTTTGCGGATCTTTTGTGCAAAATATTTATTCAAAGTCGCCAAAATTTTCCATATTTAACTTATCGAAATATTTTGACAATAAGCATGAACTACGGTAATCCCACGTTGTGTTGCTGCAATTTAGATATAGATATGAACTTTATATTATCTATATGTCGTATTAAAGAATCCATTAAATATAGTGTACAATGAGGGCGCCAAGCAGTAGCACATAAGGTTATAACATATATATATAACAGTTATTAAAATACCGCAGGCTACTTAATTGATTACAAAAATGAACATTTGGAATTAAATTTATTGGGAATTTCCAAAAATAATTCGTAAATTTATTACTCGGAAAAGTCTGAACTTACGATAGATTTTGTGTATTGAACCTTTTAGCATGAATACCCCATAACTAACATCTGAAAAAAACTTCGCTAGCTTCTGAATTTTTCGTGTGTTGTTATTCTAGTTTGAAAACGTACTCGTACACGTCTGCAATTAATTTAATAATATTATTGTATGTTCTGCAAGTCTACTTATTCTTTTCGTCATTCATCGAAGAATGGGTGCACAATTCATTTCGTACTCCTACTGTTTGAGCGTCCCGAGTAAACAACTTGCAAAAAAAACGTTAACTTAACGTTAGGAAACGGCTAAAATTGACACACATCCGTTCACCTAGCGGTACTTAAATGTTAAACTAACGTTTTTCCTACAAGCTGTTTTACTCGGGCGTGGCAATGGCAGCACAATACACAAATTATTATTAAGTATAATATTATTCTACAACGGATAATTACAACGGTTACCGATGTGCCGTTCAAATACTTAAGAGTGCTTTAAGAAAGATCACCACAATAAATATCAAAGGTGACGCATGCAATCAGTACTTACTGAATTCGGCTGGTCATGATCAATCAGTAAGAAATGCCACAAAACTATAATTTGTGTCAGGACTGACCACTACGGTTATCTACGTTTATTTTTGACAGCCGTTTTATATTATAATAGTGAATTTGCTCGAGCCTTTAAAACCTGACGTTTTGTCACCTTTGGCATAATGGCACCGGTCTTAAACTTGCAGCTGTGAAACAGAAATCACGCCTTTAAAATATAACGTTTAAGGCATGAAGAGGTTTCGCAGCACTGAAAATTTCTATGGTCCCATCGATGTAAGCACACATTTTGGTGCATTCTCTGTACGCATCTGTGATCTGATGGTGAGTAACAAGAGCACAGCGCGCAGTACCACCGTAAGCTAAATGTAAAAGTAAGTCAAAACTGTCAAAGGTCGCAAGATCCAACATATCTACAAGAGATTGTAATTGCTACAGTAAAGAAGATAATATTATGATCAAGAGTACGTACATGTACAATCCGAAGTGAGAAAAAATTTGAACCTACGATAAGCCAAGTCGTAATCTGGTGGTAAGATTCAGAGCTCGCTATAAATCATTTAGTGATTCTGGCGCACAAAAGACTTGTAGAAGTAATTTTATAACAATTATGTACGTACTAACGTGCAACACCAGCAACGGCTTCGGTTTTGCCTCCACATTTCTACAGCAAACTGTCAATTAAGCAGGCTTACGATTACTTTCTCGTTTAGATTTCAGCCATTCCATTTGACTTTACGGGCTGAACCCAATTACAAACGACAATTCAGGGCCATATCGCTGATGTTCAGCCTTTAACCAAAAACATCCGAAAATGCGAAATCAAAGAATAATCACAATGCGAGGGCGAGTTGCAGACTGGCCGTCAACAGCGGAAAATTTAAAATGTTTCCGAAGACGAGGTAGCTCATGGTTATCACTTAAAAAAAAGCTTTTTTCCAAATGCAACCAACAAAGTATCGAATCACAGTTCAGTGCTTTTGGTTAGTCAAATTTCTCACAGCGTAAATTAGAAATATCCGACAAAGAAGAAGGGCAGCCTTTTGTTAAGACTTCTGGGCCCTGAGGTCCCAAATAAATATCGTCTTCTAAAACAGCAAAACAAGATACAATTATAACACGGGCTCAGTAAACAACATTTTCTTACCTATTCGAACACCAATTCCACGGTATTCCAACGGAGCGAACTGGCTGTCTTCCGCAATATATAATCCAGGCTCAATTGTAAAAGTCATTCCTTCTTGCAGCGGGCGGCTACGGGAAACATCTGAACAGTCGTGTATATCCATTCCAAGATAGTGGCTGAGATGATGAGGGCAAAAGTGCTTGGAAACCTAAAGCATTATTAATAGCACAAAAAACATTTTTGAATATGAATACCAATGGTTAAAAAAAGTTTTTAATTTTTTTGTAAGTAATAAGACAAAGTACAGCAATTTATGTAATACCTTCTTTTGAACTTTCATGCTAGTGTACATACTATATAGCCAAAAACTAGAACAACCGGTGATTTTCATTCGGTTTAAGGTAGATTTTGCTCACTATAGCAGTATCCCGTGAATGATCTGACGTTCTTGGTAGAAGCAAATCGTGCTGCCGTAATTGCCGAGCTAGCAGTTCCAGCATACGATGGTATAAATTGTCAAGCGTAGGATAAGCCGCATAATTATTTCCTAATTGGAACAACTGTTTCAGAATGGTCTGCTGCACCCATAATACAATCTCCACCAATTGTGCCTGCGCATCCGTCTGAGTGCCGCTATCAACTGGCCACACTCGCGATACATCCGAACAGTATCCTTCCTAAAAGCAAAAGCTCTTGTTTAAAACGTCGGTTAAACATTGAAATCTTCTTTGCAGGTTTTCCAGCCCTTACGATCTCACAACCAGTGTCTACAAGCACCATCGTGCCTTCCTCCATGACCTGTCAAATGCCAAGAAATCGACAATAAAAAGCAAATCCCGCAATCCTAGGAAGATTCATTTCAAGCAGACTGAATGTTCACCTCCGAATTTTTTATATAATGAATCGTTGCCGCTCTACAAAATGTAAGTTTGAAATGGATTTCAGTACCCTGATTCTCAATGAGCGCCTTCACGATAACCTAAACAACGGACATACCGGGATCCAGAAGCACAAACTGGAGGAAATGCAAGTCTATCTGCTCCAAGATTTATGCACTCATTATCCAAAAGCGCCCACAGTTGTCGTTCGCTCATTCCTGAATGCGTCCGTTGCATAGCTGATTTTAATGCGTATACAGATATTTCCGCAGAACACCGCATTAGCTCAACTTCGGCTAATGATTTCACCAGCCGGCATTCTTGTATATACAGCGTAGGAGTGCCCAGAACGATAAAATTCGCCGATTTCTGCAATAAAAAATCGTCCAATGCAGGGAACACGCTTAGTTGACTATCGTCCAGTTTGGCCGGCCGTGACAGTCTTGCGACAGGATCGCACCAAAGGCCCACGGAGGTACCGTGAAGAGTCTTCAGAGATTTATCCAAAAAACACTCCAGATCAGATAAAGCGTGCACAAAATCGACTCCAGACGTCTCATGAATTTGATTTTCCGTTAGAGATTTGCCGTGCCACACTTCTTCCTCCGCTGGATGCTGGGGAACAAATACATGGGATCTGAGAAACATCCATATCAGAAAGATGCAGAAACGCATTCATTTAAAGGCATTAAGTATTTGATTGCACTTGGTTGTTTTGAATAACACAAATACGCAATCCGCAATTTTATCGAAAACACCTGCACAAGAATGACAAGATTCTGTGGGATACTGTTATTATGTTATATGTTTTTTGTACTATATGCCCCTTTTTATGCCAGGGGCATGCAAAACTTCGAAAATTCCTGCCGTATACCGTCGCGAGCATGCAAGTAATAAGAAGATATTCAGTAGAGTTATTAGAAAACTGCAGTCGTGATATTCATATAGACGCTACAACGTAGTGTAAAAGGCTTCAAAGCCATAAATAATTCTAAAATAACACCAAATCAAAGCCATAAATAATTCTAAAATAACACCAAATCTTTCTAACCTGTACTCGGAAGGGGACATCGAGTGCAATACTAGCAGACAGTCCGGTTCAGTAATTCCACACAAATACCGAAAATTGGAATTCTGGCGGAAAACATACGGAACGTCTGCAGACAAGAAAATCAACGAGTGAGGGCAAACAGTTTTACAAATTCTGGTTCTCTAACCTTTTGCCATGTAAACCAGTCTGCTTCCAGGAACACATATCAAATGCTGTTGGATATGAGTAGGCGATGCTTTGCGTATTCGATTCACAAATTTATGACGCCGCACTTGAAATTCTGACACAGCGACAGAAGCAGGCCGCGTGGGAATCCGCAGTGAACCGGCTGCATTGTGTATCCGACAAGCCGAAGCGATTCTCAGTTCTTGATATCCAAAACACTGGGACCAAGATCCTTCAGAAGTATCAGAACATATGAAACAACAGCACAGACAAACATTACGTACAGTTATTACAGTGTTTGCATGTACAATATATAATGTATTCTGCCATAACGAATTATTCTGTAATTTCAAGCTGCGGTTACAATTTTGATTACATCTGCGAGTAGTTACTAGTAACTTACTACTTACTAATGCTAGTATTTTTAACTAACAATTTTTGCAAGTGCAGCAGCGTTGAATGTTTGAAACTGTGTTTCTTTACACTTACGTGCCCGGATTCCGAAGGTAATGAAGACCGAAGCAAGCAGTTTTGCCATTTTATTTACTCGTGGACGTATTGGAAACTCACAGTCGTTAGCTCGTCAAAATTTGTCGAACGGCGAATTTAAGCGAATGCTATCAAAGGCATAGATTTATGGCGACGTACGATTTCCAGATTTTTAAGCTTCCACCGTATTATTTAGCATTTGTCGAATCTGATAATATAAAGGAGTCACAGTATTCACGGAAGAACATGCAACAATAAAAAATGTCCAATGTCCATATGATCATATGATTCATATCCATAACAGTACTTCAAACGCATAGGATATTTTAACTGTCAAAGAAAGAATGCAAATTTGCGTTGTGGTAAGTCAGATATCCCACATATATATTCTACCTAGTGCGCTTTTCTTGGGTGGAAACTTTCAGCAAGAAGTCGGGTAAACAGTAAACACTAAACAAGAGATACTTACATATATAATTTTGAAAGTCCAAAACTACTGCAGTAAAAGTATGTAGTGGGCCGAACTTTGAAGAGTCTATCTTGAAGAGACTTTGACGAGACCAACAGTAATAACAGGTACGTAACCAAGTACTAATAATGCGCTAAAAGTGAGTTACCGCTACTATTCTGTATATAGATATATATATATATATATGTATATCTATATTGACTTATATATATATATGACTGTATATTTTTCTATATCTATATTGACTTTTAAATTATTAAGTTACGTACTGTACATGCTTGATTATCTTAGAAGTACCCAACAAAGTGCAAACTACACAGAGAAAATTATGTGACACACGTTTAATACCAGTACAATTACTGGTTTCCGTTCCTTTACAAGTTACAACGCACAACCAGAAAACATGCGCAAAATAACTTAAACTTTTTCGGTTAGCTCGATAACAAGACAATATTTTGGATTATCGAAGTAAGGTCATAAAAAACTATACCAGCAGCTTAACAATAAACAACAGAATGAACAGATCAACACCCGGCGTTAAATTAACTGTAGTTTTATAAAGCCACTCCTAAACGCCGGCCTGTTTCCTCTTCTGGATGGTGGCCATTCTAATATTGTTCAAAACCATTGCCTCCAGCTCATCGTGTGTCATTTGTTTAGCAGGGGTTTTCGAGTGCGAATGTGGAATATCGGGACTACTTGCGCCGGCATCATTCCGGGATGACGGGTCGTCTTTCCGTACCCAACTCAAATCAAACATTCGGCCGCCTTCCTCCTTGAGCGCTCTCTCTGCTGCAGAGTGCGTTCGAAATTCCACAATCGCACTTCCCGAACGTTTCGGCGAGATGATAACGTGATTCACAGTTCCATACTGACTAAAGAGTGCCAACAAATAATCCTCGGTTATCCCGGCGTTTGTCTTGTCCGATGATGGCACAATCCATCGAATTTTGATACCATAGCCAGGCTCAGCGAGACGTGTGGAAGCCTGGGTCGCTTCACTTTGTTGTCTCCGCAAATCCTGCTGGAGACGTTCTTGCTCTGCTTCGACCCATTTACTGCCTTCCTTTCTGAGTCGCTGTATCTCCCGCTCTAACTGAGAAAGGGATGTCTCTCTTTCGGATTTCTGCGAGGCTGTCGTGCCACTTTCCCGCGCCTTGAGATCTTCGATAAGTTTGCGTCTTTTACTGTCCAGTTTCTCATTCCGCTCTTCGGCAGCCTTCCGGGCCTTCCAGAATCGATCATATGCAGCTTTGGCAGGGATGTCCGTAAGGATTTCAAGAGCTTGGGTTAAAAGATGAAACATCTCCGCGGCTTTAGGATTGTCTGGATTCTTATCCGGATGAAACTGCAGGGCCTTTTTCCGATACGCTTTGGATACTGCCTCCTTTGTGGAATTTTCGTCGATACCTAGCAAAGAGTACAGATCCATTTCTTTAACCTTGTCCAGTGCCTCTGTCCGGCTCATTTTTGAAAACAGTGAGATTTGAGAAACTCGAAAATGTATCAAGTATTGCGCTTCCAGCTGGATTCGTATATCGTTTATGTTTATAGACTTGCGGCGGCCCCAGGCAATGGAACAAGAAAAGTTAAGATACCCAGAAGAATTAGCACCAAAAGAACACTAGAACAGCCAAGAACTTTTACAACTTTAAAACCAGAATCGACTAAACGTTCTGAAATTAAAATTAAAAAGGAACTAGTTCAGATCATAAATTTTTTGGCATATGTCGTTTAATAATACGTGCGTTACTACGACGCTTTATTTAGTGCAAAAGTTCCAGTCACGTAAACCTGAGTCCAAATGGTAGGTTGGTATTTTCACGTTAGTTTATAAGTGAAAATACCGATACTACGCGATACGGATTCAGAAATCAAAACGTATACAGTACAGTTAATAAATTTTTTGTTATTACAATTTTGAAACTTTTTTCTTACGATTACTAATACGTTCGCGTTTTCTGTTTTGATTATTTGGCTTTATTACCTTGGTACACCAGTCGCTATTCGATTTTTGTGCTGACTGACGACGTTTTCTCCTGAACAATCGGCAGAATAATGCCAAAATGTGTAATTCTCGGCCTTCTGTGAACCTGTCAACGTTAGTTTTTGAATGTTTTCTTAGTTTCTAATCGTTGCTTTTAACTGTTAAGTGCTCGTAAGCGGTAAGTTTGTAAATAGGTTAGTTAAACCTTTAGAGTTATTAAGTACTTATAGAGTTATTGTATTATATACGCCAGCAATGTTCTTCCCACATTTGTGTACTTACTAATAATTATAGTCCTGAGTCTCTTGACACTTGCTTCTAATTTTAATTTCGTGCCTTTCCTCGCGGCTCGCGATGACGAAGTAAAGGCGAATCTTATGTTCTTGTTCCACACCTGATAAAACTGCTGTAAATCGGTTTTGCATTGGTCGTGAATATCTCCAAGTGCCGAAAAACGTTTCTGAGCGAGCAAGCACACTAGCAGTAGCCCGAGTACTGATGTCAAACTGTGGGTTACGGAATTTTATTTCTGACTTTCTTTTTTCAGCATTCGGGACGCTTTCTCAATTCTGACCACTATGTGTCGATAAAAGAACTTTAAAGAATATCCAGCTGGTGAATTACGATTTCTGGAGAATGTCGATTAATTCCTTTCCTACCCCTCCTGCTGTGTATTATAATCAGTACACCGATGAGAATATCAGTCGTGGTGCGGTGCCCGGACCTCCGCCTTTACCTCCACGGGGAGAAGTGTTTCATGCATTCGGTTCGCCGCAGTGGAATGATGATCATATTGTGAGGCCGCTGGAGACGTTGGGCATTAAACGACTCTATCCTCAACATTTCGATCGGAAGAAAGAACTGAAAAAAGTTCTCCATTCCGCACTGGCGATGTTTCTCGATCTCATTGATACTGTGGTCAAATGTCCGCGTTCTACAAAGCGCAACGAAAAATTAGAAGATCTCACCTTACTCTTCATCCACATGCAACATCTCCTTAATGAATACAGAGTGCACCAGGTATTTCTGCATTTGTTAGCATGAAAAAATCCGCGTTTTTTGAAGCTCGGAAACAAAAGTTTTTCTGACTAACGATATATTTTCTACTGCACGGGGATTAGGTTGTGTCGTGTAAACTTGTATTTTTTCGTTTCCGTTCCATTGTTGTAATGCTGTTTGACTTCCTTAGGCTAGAGAAATCGGACGCACAATGATGGAGGTGCAAAGGTGCGCTTACTGTTCGGTGGTCTGAGTTGTTGGCCGATGGCCGTACCTCGACTTTATTGTTGTGATTGTTTTTAAATCTGTTATTCATTACTGTTTTTGTGTTTAGGCGGCATACAAACGAAGTAACGGATCGTTTGGGAAAACACGTGGAAATGATTGCCGAAAAAGTGGCTGGATTTTCGGGAACTAGCACAACTGATCAAGCTCAGAAACTTTTAGCCGCTAATCTCAAGTGGGAAATAGCTAGTCAACAGGCCAGGCTTGCGGAATTGAAAAATGACCATGAAAACTCAGAAGAAATGCAAGAATGCGTAACCGAATCCGATGAAGCTTTGTTCGACTTCGTATGGAAAAACCAATAACCAACAAGAACTTTAAAAGTACTGTAATGCTTCATTTTGTTCATGGTTTCGGAATGTTTTGCGGTTAACTGTTAAGTGCTCGTAAGTTTGTAAATAGTTTAGTTAAACCTTTAGAGTTATTACTTATAGAGTTATTGTATTATATACGCCAGCAATGTTCTTCCCACATTTGTATTATTGGTTTCGCATGGTTTCCCGCAATGATGTGCATGCTTTTCGATTGTAAAATTTTTAAATGGTTTTACCGGTTTGTCGTTGTCTCGTTTCGTTTCCATGTTTCGTTTATATCTGTAGTTTTTAATTCTTCAGAAAATATTATTTTGGTTTTCCGATAGAAAATGCAAACATCTTTGTCATCTGTCAGCACGGGGTGATGATATTTGGCAGCTTCCGAATCCAGATTAAAGAAATTATATAATTTTAGGGATTTTTCGAAGACAGGTTTATTTGCATTCGGGTTGAATATCGATTTTAGAACAATAAAAAAGCAACATCTGCGGTAACAAAATAAAACTATGAATGAAAGTGTTAAGCGACAAAACCATGAGATCGCTATCCAGATTAAAAAAACCAATCTGGCATAAAAATACCAACAAGAAACTTATGACCACGGCAATTGTAACTGAAAACGACAGCGCGGCAGTGCCAAAATACCACATAACGGAGAGCAAGGGAAAGGTTTCAAATTCGGGCCAACGGGATAAACTAATTCGGATTCTCCTCTGGACGCTACCGAAAAAACAAAAGAACGCATAAAAAATGTCGAAACTGTACTGGTTCGATTGTGCTTTTTTCGTATAGGCAACTTGGTCGTGGGCTGTCAGAACAATCCAGAGCTTCGCAATTGGTCGACGGCATCACACGAGCTGATGTGCGGACTCTAACATCTCCAGAAATAACTTGTGCATCGTGATCTTTCCCTCATTTTTAATCATAAACCAAAACTGTTTGGCTAACCCATCAAGTACACGCAACTGAGGCAGCAAAAGTAGTAGGCTACTAGCACGAGCTGTGCCGTTTACGAACTGGTGGAGTGACTGGACAATGGTGTCGCGTAGCGCATTCCGAGCCTGCACGCATTCCAGTGTACATCCGCCGTTCAACAGAATAATGCATTTAATTAATACATACTCTTCGCGTTTCACATGGTATTCGGACAGTCCATCCACAAGGCGCGAAGCCCGCGTATGCACTTCTTCAAATCCAGCCTCCCGGGACATTTGGTCAACCACCGGGAAATCTTCGGCAAACATGAGAATCCGTGGATGAGCATCAATGGATTTGAAGCACAAACTGAACATTAGAATCTCGCACCATGTTGTCTGTAGCAAGTGCATTTGGTCGTTCAACGGCAGGTCCGGGAAGCCGGGTATCTGTTTGGCCCACCCAATAATTCCAACCAAATCGCGGTCGGCTAAATCGCACAATACGGACTGTATTTTCAGCGGAGTATCCAAACGGTCCGTAATATTGGCAGGAATATTTTCTGGTTCACAGGAGACCAATGCTGCGATCAACTGGTTCACTTCGTGAGATGTGGTTGACTTGCGTACAGCCGAGGCGTGCGGGATCTGAACAATGATGGGGTCACCAGTTGCGGCGCGCCGGTACTTCTGCCGGCCACCGCGAACTCTGTCCAAACGGACGCCCTCCTTTAGCATGCCCACGTCCAGACATTTTTTATACCGGCAGGCTTGACAAGCTTTCCGACGACGTTTGTCAATAACACAGGCATTATTGGCAGGACAGGCATATTCAATGTTCCCCTGGATAGTCCTTTTGAAGAATGCTTTACATGCTTCGCAAGAACTGACACCTAAAGATAACAATATAAACAAGTGTCACCGATGCAGCACAGCGTACCAACGGGTCCACTGGATCGCATACAGCTTATACAACTAATGAAAAAACTTTCCTAGAAAATACATCTTTATACTGGAGCTCTTACATAACGAATCTACCCTAGGCTTACATGTATTTCTGACCGTTATTTAGCACGCAGTCCGCAGATAAAAATGTGCGCGATAGTTATGATCGCAGTGGTCATACCGTAGCTCCGCATAAGTACAGTATTCCTTATCACTACTTTATTATGATAGTTTTTCAGACTTCCTCATCATTTTGATTTCCGCAACTGCGAATCGTTATTTTGTTTACTGTCAGTTCAAATTAACCAATAAAAAGAAAAAGAGTGTAAAAAGCGTTAACGCTACTCCTAATTTGTGATACGTAAATACCTTTTCACGAGGTTTTGATTTTAAAACACCAGATCTACATACATTCAAGCCTGTTGCATATTAAATGATTTCTGTAATTATGCTCATAATGCTTGCTTAAAATAAATAAGTACCGAAATTAGAGTGCTACTCGTATTATATAATTCCTTTTAAAACGGTGTCTGATCTGTGCATCACGTTCAGGAAATCACGTTCTCATTTTCCACGTTACTACCTGACAACATTCATCTGACGTGCGGTACGTAAGCATACCGGCAGCATTGAATGTAAAAAACACAGCCCGCAGAAAGCTTCAGAACAGGTTCTTCCAACCCAAACAGGTTTTTCTATGCAATTACTACTGGAAACGATGGTAAAAAAGGATCATCACAGTAGCCAGTAAGTAGCAGGTAACTAAAAGTTGTTTGATGGAAACAATTACTTCTGATTGTGAGCTGCGCCCACAATAATTTCGTGAGAGCATCGAAAATTATACAACCGTAAATCGTTTCAAGCTGAATTATTACAAAATTAATGACGGAAAATGATCAAATAATAAAACAAAAAACTTTTTTTTAATTTTTTTGATGCTGAAAATTAAATTAACATTTATAAGCCAGTCTAATTTGCAAAACAACAACATGTCACACTGACATAAATTACTGTGTTCACACAACACTTGAAAAGTCTAACTGACTGTGCAGACTGATAAAATTAATGATAATCCAACAGTAGCACATCTGTATATGTGACTGGCAGCCACCGGTATAATTGAATATTAGTGCTGAAAGTGCGTTCAATTAAAATTTATATTGCACACAATTACTTCAATACTTGCACACCATTAATTTAGGGTAAAAAGCACGGTTAGCTACAAGCTGCTTTTTATTTATCCATCTACTTATGAACTCACCGTAATGGTAGCCACTAGCCGAATCGTCGCAGACAAGACACTTCCGCTTCCGTGAGACCTCTTCTGAAAAGCCAGCTTCCTCTCCATGAAAACTTCCCTGTAGACTGGAGTTACTGCCTTCATCCTCGCCCTGCACACTACTCCCTGGTCCCTCCATATCCTCATCACTCACTCCGCGCATCAGCTTCGGCTGCACTCCGGATCGCGACCAGGACGCCGCTGCTGGATGTTTGTTGTGCGTGCCGGCCCGCGTGCGACTGGCTACTCCATTCCCGTCATCCCGCGCACTGGAAGTGGATCCCGTCGACGTCATCCGCTGCATCCCGTTGGAGCCGCCAGCCGCGGGCGACGCGAACACTTCATCCACCGCATGCCCACTGGCCGATTCCAAATGCTCCCCGCCGCCATAGCGCACCACAGTCGCACTGGCTGTCGGTTTCTCCCACCGAGAGCGCAGTTCATGGAACAAACTCCCGCTGCCCGACAGTCCATACGGATCCGAATGGGACTCCTCCGATTGGCCGTGCACGCTGACGGAGGACGCCGAATCCACAATGTCCAGACCGTGATCGTGCAGATTACCCGATGTGCTGTGGACCACTTCCGCGGGCGATGGAGAATGGCGGACTGTCGTGGGATGACCACTGACGCGGATGGTGGATGGTCGCGGTGGACTGTGGGAGTGGCGTGGCTTGTACATACTGGCGGATGTCGGCTTTAATACAGCCAGTCCATAATTAGCATGTGGAAAATACCAGAAATCAATTTTGCCAAGATGCACGTAAAATCCCCTTTGGTAGTTATTAATCGCGAGGCCAGGTGAGCAGGTATGGAGACAGGAAGGGCAGCTGTGCAAAGGAGTGGCAGTTATTCCATACACACGGAAGTTAATACAGAAAAATATAAGCCGTCCGTGTCCGTGTTAATCGCTAAAGAAGCATCTGGAAGGCCTGAGCGTCTGCTGATTCGAGTGATAAGAATCCGTCAGACGTTTGGTGTAATTATACACTCGACGGATATGCTTTACGGAAAAATTCCGGTTATGCTGATCATTCCGGTGAATTTCACCGGTAGCGTCGATGCTCACTGCGAACCGCTGCACCACAAACACAGGTAAGTGCAGATACTGTACATGCATATGACTGATACGATGCACCGTATTTATGCTGGCCGGTTTCTGCAATACAGGAATACACGTTACAGCACCTGCAGATATGTTAAACAGCCTTTCGCCAAACAAATGGTACGATATTACAGATATCAACGCCCCAAAGGAACACGAAACAGGTGCTATAGCACAGTTGAAAGCAAAGTCAGATGTAAACCTGCTGCGGCATACCAAAAAGTCTAATTTTGTGTATAGGCAGAATTAGATCAGTTAATGAATCGCTAGAATTTCATTAATAATTATTGATAATAATATTTGTGACTGTAAGGTACTGTAATTCACTACAATATTTTCTCAACTGCCGGCTTACGGGCCGATGTTTCAAAATTCTTTTTCTTTCTTAACTAGTGATTAGAAGTTTCGAACAACGCAATTATCGTAGCAAAATACATACATAATATTAAGAATGTTGCAACAGTATAAATCATATGCACATGCAGGTCTAACATGCTTACTTATTCTTAATTTATTTGTTCGAAGAAAGAAAAGAAACCTAGGTACGTTGAGCATAATAAAGATCTGAAGTAAATTAAATTTGCCCACAATCTAAGGTTTGAATAACGGATTCGCAGGGGTAAAAGAGCTACCAATAAAGAATTTTACTTAAAAACTAATTCACAAAATCTGAGAATAATTTTTTACAGGACAGCGTATACGAAGAAAATCTTACCTAGCATATCTACCGTGCAAAATGGGTATTACAATTACAGCACAAAGTGCGGCCAAAGGCAGTTTAAGGGATTGAACTTCCAAAAGATATCGGCGAAAATGCTTATCTATTTTGAAATCGACGTCTGATAACACAACGCCGGACAAAGACATAAAGAGGTGCAAATTTTTTATTACCAATAATAAAGAGTCCACAAATACAAACAGGAAGTATTGTAAAATATATAGTAACAGCTCTGAATAATTACATTTGCAACAACAGCGACATTGGTCATGGATGCCGAGCTCCGGGAATAATCTTCTGGGATAGATATCGATAATGGCAAGCGCATTAAGCCCGATAAGGTGGAATTGTAAAGGGACGGCGAAGAACAATTAAGCACTTCTTGATATAAAGAGCAGATGGTAGATGTTGTGCTTAATATGTTATCTTTGCAGAGCTCGCGATCGGATGTTCTTTTGCAAATGCGATGCGTTGCAAATGTCAGCTGGGGTGGTCCCTGCCAGAACCAGAAACAAACCAGACTGGTTTCCAGATAGTTGGCCGATAGTAGCAATAATAATGATATCTAGCTAGATAAAACCTAGGCACAACGTACATGCATTTGCCCACCACGAATAAGAACACTTCCGCTCCGTACTCTGCCGCGAAGGCGGCCGAGACTGCAGACGATTTTGATTACATAACCAAATGTATTGTACAAAACGATTTGGGATTGGTTGAGGTTCTTTTCCAGTGTGTACGACGGCCCAACAGTACAAAATGCTAGCAAGCAAAACAAACATAAGCTTTGTACGCTGCAAATCGATCTGTACACTGTATTTTAAGGCTAACCTTTCCAGCTGGTTATATAACTTGCCGATCGACCTTGAACTTGAAGACTAAAACTGCCGCACTATAAGTCCACAGCAGCTACGCTGTGCGATGGTACTGTATGTTATGTGGGACCGAAGGTACAATATTCCATCATTCCATGCATTTGCTGCATGGCGGTCCGATACCGGCATCCGTATTATCCCACTTTTACATACGACGACGACGTCACTATGCAGCGGGATACACTACTACGAAGTATAGACACTAACTTGTCTGATAGCAGTGATGTCTTAAAAACCGGCTTTGCCGCAGTACGTAGTACCGTCGATACTTACGATACTTCGAAATCGAAAAGACATTACTTAAGTATTGTGGCTTTATGCTTCGAAAATAAATGCACTACTTGCACCCACCGGGTGACTGCAGTTTTGAAACAAAAACATCTATACGCTAGGCCGCGCAAAATGTTAGCGCGGAAGATAGACGAAAATATTATATTAAAAGCCGACTTGGGATTTAAATGTTGTATTAAAGAAGAACTAAACAGAAAATAAGACACACGTCGAATGTTTTACAGTAACTGACTGAAAGATTCTATGCATCAGAATATCGGGACAGCCACATTCATGGAAGAAATGAGAAAACTGAAACGTTGGGAGCAAAACATGGCGTTTCCTTATCACGTGTTTTGAGCGATGGCCAGTTGTTCCTTGCGCTAAGCCGCTACTGCAACTTTGATGGCGCTTCGCGTTCGATCCTTGTGCTCTTCTTTGATTGCACTTAATGTAAAAGTAGACAATGTAAAAGTCTACATTGTAGTTACCTGGAAATTTTTTGGAAAAACGGTAATTCAACAAAGCATGCGATCTGTCAGAACTCCGGCAACATTTGAGGGATTACAGATACTAATAACAAAAATGATACGGCGATCATTCATAAACTAAGTACTTTACCGTACTTTAACCGTAACACTCTGGCTCATAAGTACAATCTGGTGTATCGTAAGTTTCTAAAAGTTTCTGCTTACTGTACAAATTTGAAAAATATGCCCAACGTTCCACGTGCTCGTTACCATTCATGAACTTTCATTTACAGGCGGCAAAATAAATTATTGCGAGATTTCCGTCCCTTAATGATAATGGGCACAATATAATTCGACAAAAGAAATACTGCAAAGATCTTGTAGAATGCCGTACGGACAAACGTACAAACGTACGTAACTGAAGATTTTAAGAAAATTTGTCAAGTGAATGCAGGCATTAACGATAAGTAGTTTTTTTTTAAATTTGTAACATACTCCATTACCTGATCTGAATACGTCAAGCCCCACTTCCGGCTGGTTGGTGGCATGGGGTGCTACATTCCATTTCACCCAGAATAGTGAATGCAAATTGTTGTAAGGAATTAATGATAACATTGATAAGTAAGTAACTAAGTATTCATATTTGTATCAAGTATTCTATTAATTTAAAATTATGTGTTGTACAATGTACAGATACACTAGGTGCCTAGAGGCTAGAGTAGGTGCAACTTATAGAGGAATTTACTGTACTTGTATATTAAGTATACGAGTATTAATGATTGGCGATTGCCACTAGGTGGCGGGCACAAGCTTCCCAAATACAACCAATTTTGTCAGGAAATAGGTTTGTGCAGTTGCCAGTTTTGGCATTTCAACAAAAGATTTGTGCTATTACCGTACATTTTTCACCGCGTTCTTAGTAATATTTTTTCAAGTTTTATAGGAAGCCGTGGATCTGAACGATTAACAATATCATGGACCTTCCAGAAAAGCTCATAAAGGCTCAAATGGACAAGTTGCAAGAAGTGGACACGCTGATAAAGCAGAAAGATCTGAGAAGCGCATTGTTAAAATATTTGGATGCAAAAGGAGCACTTGATGGTTGTATTCCATACAAGAATTTCTCCTCTTTCGTCCGCCGATTTATTGATAACATATCCGTGGATATTCCGACAATTAGCGGCAGCGCCGAAACCGCAAGTGAAAGTGAAACTGATCATCTTGTCTATGGCTTGCTGAGTTGTGGTATTTGTAAGAGAATTTTGGAAGTGCCTGTTACTCTTCCTTGCGAGGAGACAGGACATACTTTCTGCAAAGTGTGCATTACAGCGCTTGCTCAGTCGGGTTCCTCCAGATGCCCCACTTGTCAAAGCAGATTTTCAGCATCATTTAGCGAGAAAGCTAATGCGTCGTTCGCGGTCGGTCGCCTGGTGGAAATTTATTTCCCAGATGTTGCAAGGGCCTACCAACTGAAGCGGGAGGGAAACGAATGTTTTGCTGCAAATGATCATTACGGATCGTTATCGAAATACAACGAAGCTGTTCGAGTTGGTATGACGGAGTATCCATTTGAGTAAAAAAATTTTCTATGATTATAACACGTGGTTTTCAGTGCGGAGTATGCACATATAGTCGCACAACGTAATCATCGGGTGATAAGTAAGTAATAATAACACGATACGGTAATAATAAATTTTGAATAACTTTGCGAATGCCGGCTGTTACCAATGAACAGTTGAAGTAAGCAAATAATGCAAGATTAGATGTTTCTGTTTGGTTTTTGTAGGAGGTCCAGAGGCGTCCGTTCTGAGTAATCGCTCTCAACTTTACTTTGTGCTGGGTAACAACGAGGAGGCTGTTAGCGATGCCGATGCTGCTATAGAGTTGAGACCGTCGTGGTCAAAGCCGTACTACAGGAAAGCCTTGGCGCTGTTCGCTGATGCACAGTTTGCGTCTTGCTCGGCGACAGGTTTTCAGATGGCAGTTTTGGACAGAGAAAATCCTCAAATCAGGGAGCTTCTGCCAAAAATATTGTGGAAATATCTTACCTTGGAATCTGATACCCAGGTAAATGTAATCGATTAACGACGCGACTGGTGGTGGATTTAGCAGATTTAGCATATTTTACCATAAGGAAGAGGAAGCTTTTGCTTCCTTCGCTTTTACTTTTGGAAGAGGAAAAGGAAGGAAGCCATTGCTCCAGGAAGATAATAATAATAATAACTGGACATCGCTTTTCTCGAGTTATTATTTTCGAAAAGCTACCTCCTGCTCTGTAGGTATGAATATGAAAGAAGAGATTTAGCATTGAGATGCAACCTGGAAATGCAGTGTCGTGTCTGTTCTCGAAAGTCGGGTCGTTTTATGATATGGAACCAGAACAACAGTAACTTGTCTTAGCTTTCGGAATGGCTGATCGAGAATGATTTGTATCTGGTGATTTGCATTTCTATCAGATCATTGCAAGAACAATCAGCACATCAACCTTACCTTCCCAGAAGTTAAAAAATGTTCATGCCATTTTTGTCTTCAAGGACCGATCGATTCCTAACTGTGCATTCGCCATAGTCGTATATTGTTAAATTCAAGTAACTTTCTACGTGTAGGCAGTGTGTACATGATTATAATATTCAAATTAGTTAAGATCTGACGATATCAAGATTTTCGCTTTTTTGTTTATTTTTTTGTTTTAACTTCCATTCAAGGAGGACACAATGGAAGTCACGACTGATACGGAAGGAATTGCCGACTGGTGTTCAAAAATGGTAGAGCGCTTTGAGGAAGCTGTTGCCGTTCTGACTTCTTTGATGAACCGCTGCCCGAAATCTGCTTCCAAAGAACACGCAGTCGACGTCGGTCTTGATATTGTAGAGGAAATTCTTACTTGTACTTTATGCTATAGGTAATTCTGCTTACATTTCCCTACACGAATGAACAGAATTTCGATTCGCGTTTTCCTCAGGTTGCTCTATAAACCAGTTACTCCACGTTGTGGGCACTCATTTTGTAAGCAATGTCTGCATCGCGTACTGGATTTCAAGCCATCCTGTCCTCAGTGTAGGAGTGACCTTTCGGATGTAATTGTCGAGTAAATAGTGAATTTCGAATCAACCCTTAGCTGCATTGTTTTCAGTATCTGGCTGAGAAACGTTTTGCAACGACTGAAGTTTTGCAAAAAGTTTGCGAAAGTTTGCTTCCGAAAGTCTTCGAAGAAAGAGTTCACATGTTTAATACAGAAATGCAAGAATTGGCACGGTATGTGTTAGTTTGTACATGCGGAATTGCGAATCAATTTGGTTTGGATGGCGCAAATGATCATTTTTGTAGATTGAGTGAAGACGAGGCGGAAATTCCCGTATTCGTTCTAACTGTTGCATGGCCGGATATTCCGCTGTTTCTGTGAGTAACCACGTTTGGGACCTTGGAGTGGCTATTAATTTCCGTATTCTGCTCGTTGGTTTAGGCACGTGTTTGAACCTCGTTATCGGTTAATGGTGCGGCAAGCATTGGAGTCTGGATCGAACCGCTTTGGAATGGCTTGTGCTCCACCCAGCGAAGACAATACGACTGACGTGTTCGCCGATTATGGAACAATTCTTCGGATCGAACATATTGAGTACGAGGAAGATGGTAGATGCTTTGTGCATTGTAAGGGGGAAAGGCGATTCCGGGTGCTCAGTCGCAGTATGCGAGAAGGTTAGAGCGAAGTCACTGGCAAAAAATTAATACTTGCAACAAGCTAAATCTATTTGCCAGGCTATCACACCGCTCGTGTGAAGTACATTGCTGACAGGGTTCTTCTGGAAGATGAAATACTAGGTTAGTGCCCCGCACTTCTGAGCTTTGTTTATCTCGTACGGCAAACTGCCGTGTATTTTGTCTTTTTGCTATACTGATAACGAATTACATGTATACCCAGAGTTATACTGTGTGATTAACACCGGCCTAGATAACCTGAAATATGTCTTACAGAAGTGCGTGCACTGGAGGATGAATATTATGGTTTAATTGAGAAAGAACTGGCTGATCTTGATTCTGCAACGTTGGCTCATTTGACCGACAATATTGGTCCGTTTCCCGCGAAAGGTGACCTTAGCGTGCACACGGAAAATGGTATTATGCGAACTTTTTTGCCGTTGACTTTTGTGATGACTTTTATTTTGTGAAATTTACAATGGAGTTTGAGCAGGTCCACCTTGGATATGGTGGTATGCTGCATTTACGGAGAGTAAATCGGCGCTGCCTTCTTGGAACTTGAATCTGCTAAAGGAAACCAGCGTTAAGGCTCGGTTGCAGATGGTCCACCACTTGATTAATCGCGATTAAACGCATCCTCAACTTATACATTTTTAAAACTTTCTAGCTCTCATTGCTGTGGCGTGTGATCTAGTCTGTTTCCTACGGCGAATACTGAATAATGTGCCACAAAAGTGCGAACAGTGCCTTGTCTCTGCGAATGTGAAATAGACCGATCTTTTTGTACAGACTAAGTAAATATGTTTGTCGCTTAATAGTAGACGATGATAATACTCACCTCCCAGTCTTTAATAAGATGTAGTACTTAACTGAAAGTTGACAAAGTGATTAATATTATATAATATGATGATATGAGAACTTTCCGGAATAGTGTTGAATTTATAATAAGACAGTTATTCCTTTTGCAAGTTTCCGAAGAATGCATTAATATAAGTGCTTAATAAATATCCAGCATTTTGTATTCCACTTGATACATTCCTTTCTGTCCTTTGAAAAGCTTCATGCTCCAGTAGTACAGTAACAAAAAACAATGTTATGTACATTACAAATCAGAATTTCTGGTAAAGTACCGGGAAGCTCAATAAATTAATTATTAAACGAAGCGCCTCTCCTACGTCACAGCGCGTCTTCGGCTTCGATTCGAATCACCGTTCTCAGCACGAAGCAAAGCAATACAGTTTTGTAATTTAATAGCGAGAGAACTTTACTACACCGTACACGATTCTACCATCAGTTTTATTTTTATACAAGGAAAATGCCAAAAATTCCAAAATGGCTTTTAGTTTGATTAACGGAAACCTGCATATGTTTATTCGATAATTTTTTGAAATTGATTTGTAAGATTGTAAGAGGGTCCTCAATTTGAATTTTGACGCAATTGCAGTATTGAAAATATCGACGTATGACTCCATGGATCCAGATAAAGTGATCAGGTTTCGAGATTGTACAATTTTACGAAATGGATCTTTAATTAAGGAAGATCTGTGGATCCGAAATGGAAAAATTCTGGACCCCGAACCGCTTTTCTTTGATGAACAACGTTCTGCAGATATTAATGTTTATTGTCCGTTTATAATTTCTCCTGGTTTCATCGAAACGCAGATAAACGGTACGGTTTGGTTACGTACTTTGGTATGCTGCATACCGTATGCAACTGTGCAGTTCACACTGTATACATTTCGAAAATCGTTGTTAACTCAACAGGTGCTTTTGGAGTGGATTTTACGAGCTGCACTGCAGACAATATCAAAGCTGGTCTGGATTTAGTCAGAAAAGGAATTCTTCGGCATGGCGTTACCTCATTCTGTCCCACCGTTATCACCTCTTCGCCTGACAACTATCACCAGGTGCTGATATAATGTTTTATTTTTTTGTAGTTTTCGATTGTTCGTTGTGCATCTTGTCGCCATTGTTTCAGTATATTAATTTCTGTGTAGATTCTTCCGCACATTAAAAGAGATCCTGGAGGCCCCCATGGAGCTGAAATTCTTGGTACGGAAAATCTTTCTGATATCGATAAAAGCTGTCTTCGGTAACAGTGGACCAGTGGTTATTATGGTACTTAGTTTCGATGCTTGATTTTTTGCTACGATAGAATTTTGTGTACCGTTTATTATTACCAAATTGGCATCAGTATTTTTTAAAAAAATGTGTATTTGTTTAGGTTTACATTTAGAAGGACCTTTCATAAATGTGAGCAAAAAAGGAGCTCATCGATCGGAATTTATCCAGAGCGAAATGCTTGACGGCATGGGCTACGTCGAAGCTGTATATGGGAATCTCAGTAACGTTTCAATTATTACCATGGCTCCTGAATTAAATGGCGCCTTGAAAACGATTGAACAGCTGGCTCAAAAAGGAATCGTTGTTTCTCTAGGTAGGTTCCGTGCGTTGCAAGCGATTAGTTCGGCGCTGGTGTTTGATTGAGACTTGAGAGCAATGGAACCGCCTGCGGCGTATTACGATCTCGTGCTCGGTTAAAATGCATAACCTCGCTTTAAAAGGTTTAATCCGTGAATTGGGATACTGAGTTGTACTGTAGTATTGCAGTTACGCAGCTTTAAGTAACGAAGCTGTTGTGCAGTTTAGCGAATGCTTGTTACATTCGGGTTTCTTAATAAGAAGTAATATGCTAAGTAAAAGATGGGATTTGTATTGAATTAGGACATTCAGGAGCGAACATCGAATTGGCGGAAGAGGCTGTCCATCGCGGCGCATCATCGATGACCCATTTGTTCAATGCTATGCCACCCGTAAATAACATTTCAGTTAAATACGGTGATTGGTGTGCTTTACGTTTTCTGTTTTTTAGTTTCATCACCGTGATCCCGGTATGATTGGATTGATTGCTCAGTCGGCAACCGGGGCGGTTCCCCAAGTATTTTACGGCATGATTCCTGATGGTATTCACACTCACGCGGCTTCCTTAAAAATCGCATATCGCACACATCCGAGAGGTAAAATAGATATGGATATGTTATTATTATTTATTATTGTTTGCACGAGAAAGGCATTGTTGGTTTTGATTTGTATAAATGGCACAGTCCATGCACGCATAGGTGTCGTACTGGTTACTGATGGAATCTCCGCCATGGGGCTTAGTGAAGGATTCCATTTATTGGGAGGATCGAAACTTCATATTTCTGGAAATCGTGCAGTTATAGCTGGGACGGAGACTCTTTGTGGTAGTATTGCGACGATGGATCGTTGCATACGCTACTTTTTGAAAGCTACAGGTTAGGTGTTTACAAACTTTTAACAGATAACGCGCGCTATAACTTGATCCGAAAAGACTCCAGACTGTTGTTTCGTGTCAGACATTCCGACTGAATTTGTTTGTGCAGATTGCACCGTTGAACAAGCATTGGAAAGCGCTACGCTTCACCCTGCTCAAATGCTTCATATCGAGCATCGAAAGGGAACACTGAGTTTTGGCAGCGATGCTGATTTTGTCGTTCTGGATAATCAGCTCTCTGTTTTGGCTACTTTTATTGCCGGAGAGTGTGTTTGGCAAGGTGATACCTTCCCTTCTCCAGTTCTTCCATTCCCGATTATCGCGTGATGAGATCGATCCGGATAGCAAGCTGCACTAACGTCCAGATATAAATATTTACATCTTGCATATTGTCAGACCGGTGCTTTTTTGCGCTTTCCCGTTTGTGATGGCCATTTGCCGAATTTTTCTAAGAGATCTGTTCGTTTTATTTACTGAAGTTGTCTTGCGACTATGTAATCAACCAAGATGTTCAGGTGATTTTTATACCTTTTTTGCAGTGTTAGTTTTGCACTTTGTGGTATCAGAGTTTGACGCCTAATTTTTCCAACTTCTGCACGCGTACTTAATGGCTCTAGAATTTAGAATATCTTACTGTAAAATGATTACTTATTATACTCGTATCTTGTAGTCAAATTTACTGTTAGTCACATTTACTGGAGCGAGATGCCTCTAGCGGTTAGAATTTTTTCTTCATATATTTTGCCATCGGTATCGACTGTACTCGTGTTTGGTTATTTAAACACACGAGCAGCGGCTAAATTATTTAAACACATAAGCAGGGGCAAGGTACTAAAAATTTTTAACTGCAAACATTCCTAGTTCCAATTTCCTACAAATACTCAAACGCGTTATCCGACAACAGCTGCACCCAGATAAAAATGGAAAATACATAAAAAAATCACCATAGCATGTGTCAATAGTTAATTTTTCCCGATCCGTATTAAATAACACATCAAAAGGAATTCCTTTAAATAATAAGACTGTGGTAGCGAAACAGTTGCATTGTTCCGAACCACTAGTCTTGCTTGATATTGCGAGGTTTAATGCCTTCCCGGTATGCCCGGTAAACCATGATGCCCAGTACAACATGGATGGACGCAACGGCAAGAACAGCCCAGTAAATGGCACTTTGTCCGGAAGCAATTCCGAGATACTCTAGAGGACAGAAACTGTTTTGGTAATATTTTCTAACGTGTACTGGTAAGAGCTTTAACATGAAACATTTTAATGAGATAGCACATTTTGCTACATTTAACGATAAATCAGGCATTTGCTAAACAGTGATTCCATTTTGGTTTTAGTGCAGTGATAGTATTTCATGCGTCACTCACGCTCAAATATAACTTTTTTGGCCCCGAAATATGACGCAATAGGGAGAAACACGATAAGCAGGGTGTATGTTGTCAGATTTTTGAATATACTGCTCACTTCGTCGTCACTAACACTGCTCCTGAAATAGTTAAGAAGATGAACGTATGCAGCAAGAATAATAAAACGCGAAAGCGATTGTGCAACCGGCGTCTATTGTAAAGGTAAGTACTTACTTACACTAAAATAATAATTAGTAGTATTGTTAATTTAACTTCGAAACTGCGCACACACGAAATAGTGGTACATAATCCAATTCACAAACACACGATAAATAATTTGTACGCAAATCTCATAAACTTGTACTCAGAGAAATTACTACTTGTCAAAGCTGTACTGTTTCAAAGAAAAACCTACAGTTCCTTGGGTTGTTTAACGGGACTTCCGCTTCGCGGCTTGCGTTCTTTAACAGGACTGCCCGTTTTTGCTTTGCTCGGGCTTTCGCTCCTTGCTTTGTCTGGGCTTTCGCTTCTTGGCTTATCATCATTTTCTTCCGGTCTGCTTTTCAATACCGGTCGCGGTGTGTGTGAAGTAGACATTATTCTGTTGTGACAAAATCAAACCTGTACGAGAGTATCAATATCACGCAAAAACCTTGTACGAGCATTACAGATCTCTAACACATAATTATTTATAATTCATGTTAATTTATAGTTATTATAAAAGTATGGGAAGGCCGTAAGGTACTTATAAGGTACTTATGGTTAGAAAAAACTTGATATAATATAATAATAACAAACCTAAAAACCTTTTCACCTTCAGTACGCTCATGTTCATACCGCCAGTATTTGCATCTATCGCTTTAATAATCATTTAGTCGCAGAATCATCTTCTTATTTTATGGATCTAGTCATCTAGCCGCTTTGCCCCTCTGCCCTTCCTCGGCAAGAGTCTTACCTCTGCGAATATTACAATCAGCCAACCAGCTCTAATCACCAACTATGTAGAGTATCAAGCAGTAAGAACACCCGAAATTATCTTGCCTCAGTTAACAAATCCCCAGGCAAATTAAAAGTATGTTAAAAAATTAAGCGAACTGCGAACAACACAATGAACAGTACCAGTAGTTCAATAGTATAGCATTTATGATAAATGATTTATCATTAACTGCTGATAAATATGATTTTAAATTAAACTAAGATAACGAAAAACATGGGGACCGCTCTCCTGAAATCCTTTTTGCGGAATACGGGCGCGCGCAGACTGCAGAGCAGGCGCACAACTACCACAATATATTTTTCCACCCGGTCCTTCATGCTGGAACAGGATTTTACTCTGACATACGAAGCCGTATTTTAGTTCCGTGTGATCCTCACTTGGGGGATTGGCATATGTTACAGAAAATTCTTTACCTGCGTTCCTTTTAAGTAAGTATTTCCAGTTTTCCCAATCTAATCCAAAGATTTATAAAGCTAAACGAAAAACTTAAGAAAGCAACCTCCAAAGTGGCTTAATTCATACTAGTTCTTATAACCGTAAATTTTATGCAGATATTAATTGGTTTGAAAATTCTAATAAATATAAAATTCTTGTATTTAAAGGGTATTGTGTAATTATTATGTTGTATATGCTATGCCGGACTTCGCAAGGGAGCGGAAGTGATCTGCTCACTGTGCAGGTCGTACGCGTACAGGCGTATTGTACAATCGCTGCTCAGTCTTTTGTGGAGTCCGATATCGAATCGTGAAAATTATGCTGACTTTAGTTTGCTTCATAAATAATAATAAATGTCGGTTCAAACTTCAAACTCATACACGATTGTAGCAAGCTGTTTCACCTGTTACCGTTACGGATTTGGTTTACATTAGTAATAAGAACTTTAATAACCGTCGTTGTAGTCAGTTTTATCGGTGACTGCAAAAATGATAACATAACATGCTTTCCGCTCGTGATCATTACGCCAAGTGCTGGAACTTTAAATTGGATATTAATTGTAGACGGTATTCCCTTCCCGATATCTCGGACGAAAATGCGGTGGAAAATTCCTCGTTCACGCGTTTCCGCAAAGTAAGTTAAAGTTCACAGTTTCCGTAAATGGATAGCGGTAGGTTGGTTACCAACACCAGTACATTGTAGACGCTGTACAGCCCATTATGCATTAGACAGTTTACGAAGTGTTTACGAAATTACAGCAACATGAACCCTTAAGATTTAAGTCTGGTTGATTGTTTTAAGTCTTCGTAAGGTTTCAGTATTGCAGTATTTTTCGTTTATAGAGCAGCGAGGACGTTTTATCCAAACTGTTAAACGGTAATGGTCCTGTAAATGATCGACCGCAGCTTCCCCCTGTTGTTAAGCAGCACATCGTTATGTCCGAGAATGATATACGGGAGTTCGTGTACAGTGCCAAAGATTTTGTGTGGATGATCTCATATAGTGATTATGTGTTCAACACGGAACCTCCTCCTTCTCAGTTCGACCTACTGTTGCAGTCCTCATGGAAAATTGCTACAGACAACAATGTTTTCCGTTACAAACTCAATACACTGGAAACGAAAGTTCTCCCAGGGAAACTCGGATTCGTTGCCCAACTGAATCCGCAGCGTGCGCTAGAAAGACGGGCTCCGCAGCCGTTTTATAGCATGAAAGACCCTTTCGATCCCAGTCGATTCAACTTCACGAAAATAAAAAAGGACGAAATCTTCTTTTCGTTGAACGGAAATGGTGTTTCCAAGAATCAGGATGAAACGGCCGGAGACCGGACCACCGAAGAGGCGAAGGACTTTATTATAGCCAATGTAAGTCCATTGGAATATTGTAACATTCTGTTGGTGCCGAAATTACACGCATGTCGTCCTCAAGTGGTCACCGTTGATGCCCTTCGTCTGGCTATGCACACTTTGCTCCTTAGCGGTACATGGAGGCTCCGCGTGGGATTCAACTCGCTGGGTGCCATGGTAAACGTGATTTTAAACTGATTATTTAGCTGTGATATTTATCGTGTTTTTGTCTTTTATAGGCTTCGGTCAATCATTTACATTGTCATGCGTATTACTTGAAGTATAATCTCCCCACTGAAAGTCTGCCGGTGGAACATCTTGCCGGTCCGTGTTTCGTTGTCCGCCAGTATCCGGCATCGGGATTTGTTTTTCAGTTTCCTCCGATTGTACGAAAAAGTGAATCTCTGTTGGAGGAATTAGACGTGTTCATATCCGATATGTATAAATTCATCTGCGAACTGCATCAACAAGAGATTCCACATAATATTTTTATTACGCGTGGAATGCCGTTGGACGCCAGTGTATCGAGGAAGCAGCTGGTTATTCGTTTTTACATTTGGACCAGAGAATTCTGTTACGGCGCGAAAGATTCAGCTGCTTTCAATGCTGCTCTGTGCGAGCTATCTGGTCATTTGCCTGTGAAATCCGAGAAGGAGTTCGCGACTTTAACGGAAGAGGAAGCATCTAAAGTTTTAATGGAAGTTTCTCGAGAAACGTTTCTTAGAGCGAAACCGCTTGCTGAAACTATGTTTTGTTTAGTATAAGTGCAGTTTTGACAATTCCTTTTGTAGTCAAGCCTCAGATCTTTCTTTTTATACGTTTTAATTTTGTAACTTTCTATGCAAACGTATATTTCTTTACAGAAGGAAGGAAGACTGTCGCCTTCGATTAAATTTATAAATGACAATTCACAATAATCACAAAAAAATCACAGACGATAAATGCTGACGAACCAAGTATCGTTAGTTTGACAGCAAGTTATTTACGAATTCAGCACTTTTCGGGACATTAACCCGTTCATCTGGTTCAGAATTGTAGATATCGTAACGCGAAGTCTGTGGAAGTGAGCGACAGGAATCTAAAAGTGAAAACCGCCCGTTTGTACTTTGTTGGAAGTTAGGAACTGCGTTAACGTTTGATACATCCCATAAATTGTCATAAATTTCGAAACACTTGTCACCTGCTAGTTCAGGCAACGACAGAGTTCCTAACAGAAAAAAATTACTATCAGAAGAAATACATTAGAAAAAAAGCAATTCAAAGTTTTGAAAAAATGGTACGTGCGATAAAGCACAATAAACGACTTATGTCCGTCCTTTCATATAATTTCTAACATTCCTTATGCAACTTACTTCAAAAATGACATCCTTTCCGGTAGTGGTCAAGCATCTCACCAGAAAGATTGGCTCCAAAATTTTCTTTCCCAAACTGCAACGAACAGGGCCATGCATGCAGTGCATTTCAATTTGAGAAAACAAGAAAGCACCATTAACTTACTGAGATGTTATTATGACATCTAAGCGCCAAGTAAATCGGTGCAATCGATTTACTGCATTTTGTGGTACAATAGTGTATAAAGAAGCGGAATTTTGCGAGTAATCGAACACGGCGTCGGATATGAATTCAATCACCGGAGCAGGAAACCTAAGAATTTTAATTCCGCATATTTCAACTCCGGAAAGTGATATTTTAATTAGTCACAAACAAAAGCAGCAACAAGAAATTTGCAGTAACACTAACAGACTTAACTTACTTTGCTTCACGCAGTTCGTCGGAAAACGATGTCTTGCTGCTGTTTTGGGTTCGACTTCGAGCTACTTCCACAAAGAACGCATATACCAAAGCGGCAAATGTCGCTGTCTCTTCATCACTCAAACCAGCAATACGGTTCACGATGGGTTTGTTGGCTAACTGCGCGTAACTAAAGTTAGCTCCAGCGCCGATAACTGTAAATAACAAGTTAACAACCAAGCCATAAACTAAGAAATGGGACCCCAAGCGAGTCATATAAGACAGTTTCCCTACTTATACTTATACTTATGATAAGTGAAACGAAAACAGAAAGGCAAACACAAACTCACCTTGAAACAACTGTTTCGACTCGTCCAGCTTCGTAATTTTTTCGATCATCTTTCGCAGTTGAGCCCCTACTCTGATAGCTTTCGCGGATACCATCATCGGAGTATTCTTGGACACATCTCCAGCTCGGCCATGAGAGGCTGACACATTTGTTGCCATCTTGATCTCTGAAAAATTAAATGTAGTTAATACCAGTTATTATGTTATAAGTTACAATCAGTTCTGATGAAATATTAAATAATTACTTTCAACTTTAAAGCTTCCGAATGGTACCTGCCAGTTATTTTTGTCTTTCCCTTCAGAACTGTCTTTAAAATTCTAAAGAATAACGAGTCCGTCTTTACCGTCTTTAAAAAATACCGTCTTTAAAATTTCAAAGAATACTGCAACGACGCCTGCACTCTCGAAGACAAAGTCAAAACGACAGCTGACTTCTCGGGTGAAAAAAGCAAACTGCATAAACGAATTTTTTTCTACGCATCACACTGGTTCAATCCTTCTGTAACCATCTAAAATGGCGCAACTCGCTGATTTTCTTTTGGAACCACAGCAGTTTTATTTGAAACGTATATAAACGAAAACTAACCCAAGGCAAGAAATTTCTTAAAATTTTAACATTTCTAATAACTTTTTATTAGGACAATTCATTTTCACAAAAATATCGTTTTCGGTCTTTCTGAAGCGAAGTGGTCGACTACCCGAGTCGAAGTTCGACTTACTCGAACCATCAGCGTTACTCGAGTCTCGAGCCATGTGTTGTGATATCCTTTCAATTTCCGATCGTTATCTGAAGCGATAAATTTTGAGCGTTCTTCTATCATGCAGAAAACGATGGCGCGAAATAAGAAACCTAAAACCTTTACCACATGCTTCAAAGCGATAAGGTTTTATGACATGTTTTGAAAGGTATTATTTATTATTTATTGCAGTTACGAACTTGGATGTAACGCTTTGAAAGGATCAGCGCCGCTATTTTCGCCGCTGAATTGTTGCACTTTTATATGGAGTTACGGAGTGCTCAGTTGCTTTGTACTGGTGCGTTTAATTGTGTGATTTTCCATATTCTCCCGATTGTTACGGTAAGAACCAAAATCGTAAGCACTGTAACGGCGTAACCATCTTATGTACCGTAATGTACGGCATTTCTTTTTTGCCTGAATAATAATTGTTCTATGGAAATTTAGCGTGCCCAATGGTTACTGTTTCCTGGAAGTGAGCGTCTGTTGTAATGCACCTGATGATTGTAATCGCTACCGTCGGTGTAAAAATTGGCAAATTGTTATTTCGCTGAGAACCCACGTAGCTGTTATTTATTTCAATAATAAGCAAAATATTATCGTACCAGCAGAAGTAATCAAATGGTAAAACAATGGTTCATAGTCTGTACCTTTGTAGCATCTTTGTAAGTTGTTACAAATTTCTTCGAGGATTTTGTTTTAAGCCGATACAAAGTGATTTGCGCAATATATTTTAGTAAATACATCTGTTCTCTTTTTCAGTTAGGTACCAGTTAGTTATTACTTATTAGGTACCTTTTAGCTATTGGTTTTCTCAGTTTTACCAGTTACAGTGGGCACGGTACGATATCTAGATGCTGTGTACGGTTTACATGTTAGCATCTTAATGATCTTTTCGAAACAACTAGCCGCATAAAGCAATCGCAAAGTACCGGCTGTGTTTTTTTACATTTATTACGAGTATTACGAGAGCAGATATACTAACAGTGCAGAAGTATCGTTTGTGGCAATTTTTATCTTAAATTTGTCTGAGCCGCAGCACCGGGATAACATACCGAGGCGGTGAGCAGGCGACGGGCAGTACTGACAATGCTTTACTCAGTGTGACTGCTGCCAAATTACGTGCAAATTTTAAATACTATTCAAAAATGTTTAACTTTGTTTGTTCTTAAGCAAAAATTGTATCCATAGGCTTGAAAAGTACATAATAATATATACTTTTAGGCAGTATGCATGGAGTTATTTATTTTGATTGCAGAGTAATGATATGACTCTCCGCAGTTAACATAGCCTTCTACGAGAAAATAGAGAAAAGCCAGCACCAGGTCTGCCATAGACGGGTATGCTAATTTCTTATCGTCATAACACTGCTTTGGCACGGAAACCAAAAAACTGCATTCATACTGCCTAAACGTAAATATTATTATAAATTTTTCAAGCCTATGGATACAATTTTTGCTTAAGAACAAACAAAGTTAAACATTTTTGAATATTTAAAATTTGCACGTAATTTGGCAGCAGTCACATTGAGTAAAGCATTGTCAGTACTGCCCGTCGCCTGCTCACCGCCTCGGTATGTTATCCCGGTGCTGCGGCTCAGACAAATTTAAGATAAAAATTGCCACAAACGATACTTCTGCACTGTTAGTATATCTGCTCTCGTATTACCATTCTGATTACTGTCTGTACTCCATTCGAAGGAAAATAAAACACTAACATTATTATGCGTACGCATTGTGCAGCGCATGATAATCGCATTATTATATGATCTAAGTCGCCTAACCGGTTGCTGAGATGGTGTTTTTTCTTTGAGCGTGAGCACGTATGTGTTTGATCTTGCTGTTCAACAAGTTACAATTAGCTGTCGTTTCTTTCTACACGTTGTTGTTTTTCGTTTCTGTAAGCGTTACCTTACGGTTAAATGTCGGTGGAACTGCAGAAGTACCGGAAAACGTTTTTAGACAGCTTAAATACGGACTGAAGGAACTGGTGCCATAGTTATACGGCGCCATAGTGTTTAGTGCATACCCGTGTAATCCAAAAAGCAGAGTGCCAGTTCATGTATTTGATATCGTAACAGTGTAAATATTTTATTTTATAGTTTACAGTATGTATTTCTGTTGACGTATTTTAGAAACCTAAATCTCTGAACTTGAAATTCACTTACTGAAATTTCGAGGTTATCAATTTCGGAATTTGTTGATTTAGAGGTATAATAATGTATAATTGTGTAATAACATACAAGTATTGGTCGCTGTGTTTCAGGTAAAAATATGAAATTAAGGAAATGAGATGAATTAATTGTAAGGCGCCCACTTCAAATATTTTATGAAGCAAAAACGCCAATATTTCTTTAAACATTTCCACTTCCGCTCCTATATTTGCTAGCAAGTATTTTTTAGTCGCAGATTTGCAGTTCTTTTTCGCATATTAATTACTATGCCATTACGGAATCTAATTCGGTAGCGAACTTGTGACTAACTAGATTGTGTTAGATAGTCTGGACATCCGACATTCAGCTGTATAATGGATTTCCTCAGGCAAGCAGTGTTTTAAATTGATGTGAAATAAACGCAGCGTTATTCTGGTGAAGTAATTTACAGAATTTGTGAAGCAGCAAAAATTACAGGAAAATACTATGGTATTGCTATTTCGCACAAATTTGAAGCTTTCGTTTGATGACCGTGGCCGGTGGCGGGGCAGCGAGTCCTTTGAAGCATGAGTTCGATAGTAAGCGCACAAAGGATGTCAAATGCAGAACGTTCTGGATTTTATTTTAAGGGAGTAAACACTTCATACTAAATTATTTATCTAATAATATACGATCCCGTAAGTTAATGCACTATTTTTATACGGCTTTACAAGTAAAAACTTAATGAAGTTATCTTATGGCAGGATTCGGATTTTTATTCGCAGTGGTTGTAGCTAGTCCCAAACATAGCATTTCTGACGTGATGTACCGGGAAATCTTTTAAAAATGAGTACTTACTGTACTCGTACTGCTGAACTATCGCCGATAGTACTGTACCGTTTCTACTGTACGAGGAGGGGGTAAATGAGCTCGATGCACCCGAGCAAGGGGTAACAGAGCTCGTTATCTGTGACCGTGCCTGTGCAACACGGCCAGCCACCAAGAGACGGCAGCCCGTGCTATCACGCAGAACACCTGAAGCAGTCACTGAGCCCGATAGATTTTTGTTTCCATAGACTTGTATGCTAAACTGAATCACTTCTGTTTTGCACATTCGCCAACGAATCCAAGCAAATAACATTCCAAAAGAATCAGAAAAAATTCACGAGATTTTTGATACTAAACAAGTTATGATTCCTGGTGCAGGATACAAGTTATAGCCATTTGCGTTTCTCGTAGACATAGCATAGCATTCGAATCAACGGTTGGGTTCCACGCACAAACTCTATGCTGTGTCTACGAGAAACATAAATGGCCATAACTTGTGTCCTGCACCATGAATCAGAACTTGTTTAGTATTAAGAATCTCGTGAATTTTTTCTAATTCTTTTGGAATGTTATTTGCTTGGTTTCGTTCCCAAATATGCAAAACAGAAGTGATTCAGTTTAGCATACAAGTCTATGGAAACAAAAATCTATCGGGCTCAGTGACTGCTTCAGGTGTTCTGCGTGATAGCACGGGCTGCCGTCTCTTGGTGGCTGGCCGTGTTGCACAGGCACGGTCACAGATAACGAGCTCTGTTACCCCTTGCTCGGGTGCATCGAGCTCATTTACCCCCTCCTCGTACTCTGTAGTAACTAGTGTCTCAGATTGAGGTAAGTAGTTTAATTTTTGATGCGGTTAAACTTTGCGAAACAGGTCAGTCATACCAGCCGCAAATATTTGTGAATTATTCTATTGCAAAATACCACATATGCGGTCTAATAATGGCGCAGTGCTGGTGTTTTTTATAGATCTTGTCAAGCTCGGAGGCTGACGTGAAACGTAACAGATGCGATTCGCCAGCTTAGCGACCACACACTCGTCCGTCAAACGGCATACCACATATCATTTTACGCTGCTCGTTGTGCCCTGATGGATTTACCGGAATCTGATGTCTCAAGCGGAGCATTACCTAATATTTTACTTGAAGAGCAACAAATTAACCAGGAAAATTACGATGTGCAGACAGCCACGATAAAGGCTTCCGTTGATGGTGATACCGTTGATCGTGCCGCGGAAGTCGTTTACGAGGAACTAGAAATGGTCACCCTGGTGTCCACAGAGGATCCTGCTGGGCGCCATAAGAATGCCGAACGCCGGGAATCTGCGGAAAAAGTATTTGATTCGGATTCTGTTTACACATCCGAGGTCATCGACGAGGAGCCTGGTGAGTATTATTATGTGATCCTCAGTATTGATAACTGGAATTTATGCATTAGCTGAATTTTTGGATTTGTTAATTCGGGTTTTTCTCTGTCGTATGCAGAAAAACAAACATCAGCCATTGGATACTTTTTTTAGTAGTAACGGATTAAGTAACGATTTTTATGAATGCACATGAGTAATCTTTCCAGATACGAAGCGATTCGGTATTATTTATTAACATAATGTTTAATTAGGTCAGGTTATTTGTTTTTAGTTGATGCTTATGTTTTAATTTAATTAATTTTACTGCTTATTTTTGTCGAGGTAGTAGATTGGTGCTTGAAAAGAGCACAACGATCGAATTTGACACTTGTTAACTGTATTTACTGACTGCATATTCCGTGCGCTTGTCAAAATGTTACTTAAAAAGTTTGAGTATGGCGCCTAAGATGCTCCGTGCGATAATTGGCGAAATCGACCATGCATGAAGTGTAGGACAAACGAGGCCGTGCAGTACTAATTTTTGCTCTGTGTTTTTTCGATAGAATACTATTCCGTATCTACAAATTCCGAAGAAAGCGGGGTGACATCACCTATTTATAAATACGAGCAAGAGCTGGATTCTTTGTCGCTGTGCTCCTGTACGTCGGTGCTGGAAGATAAAGATGAGACCCTGGTTGCTGATACTGTTATGCTCAGCGAAAACAGCAGTATATCAGTGAAGGATGCCTGTTTGAAGGAAAACGATCAGGAGCTTGTGCAGAAGAAGGTCATTGTGGAGAAACTTGTACCGTCACCAACAAAACTTTCGAGATCTGTCAGCAACGACTTTCCAGAAAAATTTCGAAGGCATAATCTTAGACACTCCATTTTAAAACGCTTCACGATTTCTTGGAAGCGTGAATATGATCTCCAGTTGGAAACTGACCGGTGCTTTGCAGAAGAAGGTAATCGCTAATCAGATATATCTGTAATTTACTATTGAAATCCTTCTTGTTGTGTTATATCTGGGTATTTCTCATAGTATTCAGTGAAATCCATTTTGTGTGTATTCTACTTGTGTTAACTTGCATTTTTCATAAATGAGGTACGAGTGTCTAGAGTTTATTGTTAGCGTTGCTTTATAGGCGGTTAAGTTCAAAAATGCGTCGCATAATATTCAAATTAGGATAGCCGTTTTCACTGTCAATCTTCGAATTTCGTGCGATTCAGTTCGAGCGTAAAGTGGAGTTGTAAGGTCAATAATTGCACGTTTGTTCAGCCGAGATAAGTCAAACGATTCCGCCGGCAAAAACCTTTACATGTACCTGTATTCAATCTGTTTTATGGCTACTGAATGGAACATTGCCGTAACATTATCGGTATGTCTGTCGACATCAATATTCATGGCATTTTATCTGTTATTCAACGTGTTTTAAATCAAATTTTGTCATGTTGATTTTGTATAATATCAGCTTCCGAGATTCAAAGTTCAGGTTGACATGCAATTGCAAGATTATAGCTGTAGCCTGAAAAAGAATTGAATTTAGCTGAACCAGCTGTGGTGAAAATAGTACGCGCGATTGCTGAGCGTTATCGGTACGCTGGGTAATTTTATTACTCTCACACCTTGAATCAGGCCTTTTACTGATTGCTGTTTGGTTTTCTGTGATGGTATGCCTAATAGGTGTTTGGTCACGGCACTTGGCATTCCATTTCTTTTTCATGATCAGACTTGTTTGTGAACCATGTGACGTTGTAGTCGATCTTTCATACCGTGGATACATGAGAAATTGTTAGCGATCATGACATAGAGTGCCATAGCCATATCAGTGAGATGGACTGCGTTTGCAGCATCCAAGCCGGATTATTTATTTTATTTATTAGACCTATGTGTTGGACATAAAATATTTCCCATGAAGCAGATGCTCCCTCTTTTCCAGGGCCAGTTCTGGAGAACTGCTAGCCAATATCGTCAGGAAATTAAAACGAAATTTATTGTAGAAACCAGTCCTGGAGAAGAATGCACACTGACCGGACCGATTTGTCCTCCTCCACAGTTACCGGCAGCTTCCCCCAATATGAAACGGGATGAGGTAAACGTGTTCACGCCTTTGTCCTTTTCAGTTTCCTTTTTGTTTGTCTTTTTTTTATCTGCTCGTTCCGGAAAGGATTAGCCGTTTCTCACCAAGCGTATTGGTGAGACAAACTCAGCCTTTTAAAATATTAATCAGTCTTTTAAAAAACCCTGAATTGTAGGTTGTATGTGCAATAATGTGCAACATGAATACACTACCAGTGTACTCAGTTAATAACATTAATACATCGTAGCCTTTAATTTTCGTATTAACGATAACGGTTTAGGTCTGGTGCATTTTGTTTATTCATCTCTTGAATAAAAAGACCGTAAAACAAAGTGGAATGTATCGGTCCTGATTATCTTATCGCTCCATTTATTATGTTAATCGGAATATTCTGCTAACCTAAAAACTGAAATGGTTATTTTACAGATAGTACGACGGCACGTATTGGGCTCGATAATAGATAGTGAAAATTCATACGTGGATTCCCTACTTCGACTTGTTAGGGTATGTTTTAAAATCTGAAAAAAATTGACAACGTTCTTTTTAATCCTGGTTTGTTTTGTAGGACTATCAAGAACCTTTGAAAGAATCGGTCCCACCGATCATCAGCGCGGGCAAGATTAACAGCATTTTCAGCAAAATACCACAGATTCTGCAGATCCACTTGATGCTGCGGACGGCTTTGAGTAAGCTAATGAACGAATGGAAAACGGAAAAGCTAAGCGAACTCGGTGATGTCTTCGTTGGTTTGGTAAGTGAAATTTTGTCAAGTGTTACAGATTCCAGATATGTGTATCGTGCAACACCTACGCTGTATTTGCTTAGTTCTCCAAACCTTATGTGGCCGAGACATATGCTGCATATGTTTGTAATTTTGCCAATGCCATCGAAACTATCAAGAAAATCTCAAAAGAGCGACCGGTGTTCGCGGAATTTTTACGGGTAAGCAATTGTGGTTTGACAAGCAGGTGGACGGTATTATGTGTCTGGATTGACAAATACGATTTTCCTCTTGATTGCACAGACACGGCAGGAATCAAGCAAAGATCGTCTGCCGCTGTTTGGTCTGTTAGTCAAGCCTGTACAAAGGTTTCCGCAGTTTATTTTATTGCTCCAGGTAAGCGGAACAGTTTGTCTTTTGCATTTCCTGGGTTCATCTGTTTTTTGGTTTAGGATTTATTAAAGCACACGCCTACCGATAATGTGGATCGGATTTCGCTGCAACTTGCTCTGACACACTTGGAGACACTGGCTGATTGCCTAAATGAACGAAAGCGGGAATATGAAGAAGAGAAGTCAGCGAAAGATGTGCTGAAGTGGGCTAAAATTCCCGCAGGATACCGCAACTCAAATGCCGGTGGACCCGATGAACTTGTGCGTCGTGTTGTTGCAGAGGATGATTTTACCGAGTTGGTAGGTTTATCTATACAACTGAGCTTAAGTCATCACAAAAAATTCATATTTAGCAGGTTATGAGTCGCCGGCTAGGGAGTAATTATCGGTGATGTCAGAAGATGAACTTGATTCATTCAATTTCGCTGCTGTCGCATCTGATCTGTAGTTTTCTGCAAGTAATCTATCAATACAACATCTGCAGTTCTGCACTTACTGAATCCACCATTTGGAGGGTTGCAGTGATAAGTTCTCCCGAACTTGTAGGGAGAATTAAATTAATTCGTTAATATTCGTTGAGTCAGATTGGGCTTGTCTGAATGCAAAAATTAGTTTTTTGTCAATATCTATTGAAAAAGATTGCTTTGCTTTTCTTTCGTTTGGAATTTGTAGTTTGATGGGGAAAATAAAATTCTCGGTTAATAATTTTTTGAAAATGGAATTTGTACCCTGTAATACGGTTGAGCACTTTTTATTTATGTCAATGGATTTGCAGCGGTCGCTTGCGCGTAAACGTGTACATTTTCATACCTGGTTTTCGACTTCTGCAGAAAGAGATCACGTGCGGTTACGCTTCGCAGTGCGTCATGAGATAATCGAATGTCTGTTTACCTAGGAACTGAATGCGTCTGGAGGAATATCGCGGACAAAGACCCGGCGTCTGTTTCTTTTAAATGATCTTTTGATCTGCACTGTCCCACGGTAAGCCTAAAAAAATGGTAATTATATCGGATTAGCCTACGACCAACAATTTTTTTCGTTTGCTGTAATTTCAGGAACGAGTTATCCGACAGATTCAGTCTTCAGTGGATTGTTAATATTGCTGATATGCAAGTTATAGATGAGAAGCCAGTAAAATTTTTGGGCTACCAGATCTCAAACGCCGCTTCCGAATCATCGAAACAAGAGCCAACCGGAGGTTGGTGTGCACTGTGAATAAATGATAGAAATCTGTCGTTGCCTATATGGTTTATTGCAGGCGCATACATTTGCTCACTGTATATTAATTAGCTTTAATATACTGCAGACACTTTATGCTTTAAATATTTCAGTTCGAGTAAGAGCGCGAGCCTTTTTATTGTTTTGTCGATATTGCTGCATAATATATTTGTGCCTTGGCAGATCACATAACAAAGCTGTATTTGGAAATGGCGGATTTACGACAAGATTACGAAGCCGTAAAACGGATTCACGACATCGTCGAAGGACTGCGATATGATTATGTTGTACGAGTAGAAAACGACTACAATAACGCTTTACATAATTTTTTTACCCAGTTGTTCCTTGTATGTCATAGTAATACGTATCTGGTGTATTGCAGGAGCTTCGGAGTGGACAAACAAGGAGGCTGCTAAATGATATTCAAAATACTATACAAGTTAAAATGGAAGAGGCTGCGCGCGCCGATCACTGCACTTTTCAGATACTCATTCCTAACGGGAAAAGCAAGTGGGTGATGATAACTATTGTCAGCTATACGAAAAATAAGACACTAGAGGCTGTTTTGGTTTTAGGAATCAAAAAATCCGCTTGATACTGCAGGCGAGTAAAAGAAAAGACAAGTTGTTATGGATTACACTGCTACATTTAACAAGACTTGCCTATGGTAAATTTTTTCTAAATCTCTACGTTGTTTAAAAATGAATGATCTTCGAAATTGCAGATAAGAAAAAGAATCCGTGTTGGGATGACCCTGATATCAAAGGGATAACTCATCCTTTATTCTTCTTATCTAAAACTCTCCACAGTCAAGCTGGACAAAGAAAATTTATGGTAGTGCTTTTTTGATTTAATTATTTGGGTCATAATAAATAACTTATACATTGTTATTGATCTTTTAGTACAAGTGTGGATGTTACTGTTTTACTGCACCGAAAGAAGAGGCAACGGCCAAAGCTAAAGCGAAACTGCCGGCTAAGCCCGATGGCTTGGTGTACTTGTGCAGCGGTGACGGATTGAACTCCCGTGTGAGCATTTTGTCCATAGGGCGTTTGCGAAATTCCACTTTGAAACAACAGGATGCAACATCTTCCATTGAATTGCTGAGCTTTACTTTAACGCAAACCGATATCAGCTGTTGTGAGTGGATTCCCGGAATTTACGAGGTGGATCTCACTGTGTCGGCCAAAGGATCTCTTGCTCATGACTCAGTGTGGTTGGGTACAGAAAGTGGAACGTAAGTTGATCTGATTATCACATACGATATCACCTTGATTTTACGGTGGCTTAGATACAAATGCTGAGAAGCTCTGTATCCGATCACAATTGAAAAACAGGATATGTATAACATGCGCTTAAGATTTCATAGTTTCTAGCTTAAAGTTTAGAATTTGTTTAAGCGGTTTATCACATACCGCTACATGTACTTACTTTTTCTCACAATTATGGGAATATAACTGGACAAATGGATCTTTTATACTTCTTGTAGCTTTTGTTAGTGTTAAAAGTTATGCATGGTATCCATCATAGCAAACTTAAACTGCTTAGTTTTGTGGACATTTCCTTATTTGCAGTGTCATGGTCTTCCTTGCATCGGCAAAGGTTTCCTCGTTGGGCTCATATTGCTGCGATGCACCCGTGCGTAGCATACACTTCTCTTGTGATAAAGTTTACGTTTCCTTGGCCAACTGCTCAGTTAAAATATTCAAAAGAAGCGCAGGTGAATAAACAGATTCTTGTGGCATTTGTCTAACATTTTTTCATCAGGAAGGGAATTGATTCAGTTGAACATAAAATGTTTTTCTTCCAATTTTAGGCGGCACGTGGGAATTAAGGCCTGCTGCTACGATACAATGCGTGGTATCGGGAATTCTTAGTTTCACCGTCGATTTACCAAACAAAATCTTATGCGCTATCGGTTCATACGTTTACATTTTGGATTGCACAAATGATACTATTGTGGTACGATTGTCTTCACAGTACATGCTATACACTACCACGCTATCACTCATTTAAATTCTGCGCAGGATAAACATCAACCGAGAAAGTCTTCCGAAATCGTCATAGAAAAGATGGCGCGATGCGGCATTGGCTTATGGATTTCTTACAAGAACAGCTCCATTATCAGCTTGTTTCACAGTGAAACGTTTAAGCACCTTCAGGATATCAATATCGCTCCCAATGTTAACCGTATCCTTGCGGAAAAAAACTCCGAGCGCTCTGTTCGAGATCTCTTCGTTACTAGGTATGTGTTCACACAATTTTTGCCAACATCTGACTTACAGTATATACGTAAGTTTGATTATTTAATCTTTATAGTTTGCTGGCTATCAGAGGATCGTTATGGATTGGTACTAACTCCGGATTGGTTGTGCACGTAACGTTGCCGAAACTTGATGGTATGTGAAAAACATTCGAATTTGTATGTATTGTAGAATACCGCTTCGAGATTCAGAAAATCGATTTCATAATTATTGACACGTCTGAAGAAGCTCTGCACCATGTTTTAAGTGAAAGCAGTTCGTATTTGGTTGTCTTTCGGAGAACGTAAACACGTGAACAGTTTTCTTCTGAAAAAGTTTTGTGTTTCCGGATTAAGAGATTCGCTAAGTCGTAAACAAAAATTTATTACCTTTTTAGGTGTACCGATTAGTTTGAGCAGACCAGCGGTGTCCTTACACTCTCACGTGGGTCCAGCTTCTCTGCTTATGGCATTACAGCCTAAAACTGTGACCCGCAAGCAGCCAGCTGCTCCATCCCGCTCATCACTTGCCGATGTTGATCTCCTGGACAGTCATCCATTTTCCTGTCGCTTGTCGGCATCCAGTGGTAATCAGATGGTCAAAATGTGGTTGGACGAATCTCCTGATGTGATAGGAATGTACGGCGCACTAATGCGCGGAAGTTTCAGTTCCGAAGAGGACCTCTCAAGTCGGGAAGCTTCCTCTTTGAACATGCGCCGCCGTCACAGTTTTCCTCACCTACCGGTCGATGCAGAGTTCCACTCACCGCGTCCCGTGTCTTTTTTGCGCAATCCCGAGCGGCTTTCCATGGCGCAGCGGCCCACCGGCCATCCACAAGGTCGGCCGGTATCGTTTTCTCCAATATCTGATTGGCACGGATTCAGCACACCGTCACAGGGCAGCTCAAAAGACAGCGACCATATGGATGGACCAGCTGTTGTCGGTAAAAAATCTGTGAAGCCAAAGTTCGTCAAAATGGAAAAGGATGGCATACGAAGTATTTTCGGACCACAGTGGCATTCCACGTTAATTGTTATTTCCGCGGGGTCGGGATATCGGATGTGGAGGGGCAGTTCGGAGAATGATCAGAATGACGGAAGTCTGTGTGTTGTTGGTTGGGAAATGAAAGTTTGAGTTTGTTGTGAGTTTTAATTTTGGACCTTTTTATTGTTTTTAAACCAAAGAATACTGCCAGCGTGATTTTATAAGGTTTCTTTTAGTTATTGTAGAGACGGCGATTTGTATTCCGTCGTTTTACTACCGGTGACTCACGCTGGATTTCGTTGGCTGCTCGACACAGAGGCTATTTTTGTGTGCTTGTGAATTAATGAATTTTACCTCGTTTTTAACTGATTGCTCAAGCGCTGCATGCTCGCAGAATGGTGTGTTTTATAATGATTTTCCACTTGATGTGTACGACACTGTATGACTGAATGTTTCGAATTGACTGTGTGACGGAGCATATTAATAAATCATAAATTACGGAGCATTGGCGTGAAATGTGAATCACTGCAAAAAGTGTGCCGGTCAGCGAGCTATTAAATATTAATACACTGTAGCATGGAATGGCAGCATACATTAACAGGTCGTCGATGGTCTGTTCTATTCGATGTCAAATACTACAAATATATGAACACTGGAGCAAAAGCAAATTACCGTGTTCCCAATGCAAGAATACAATTATTTTGGCAGCTCCTAAAAATTTGATAAAATCTGTACGAGTGACCTATCAAACAGTACGGCGCTAACGTTTTACTCCTCTGCTGCCTGATTATTGTGAACTTCATATGCAGCTAACCACAACTTTAGCCTTAACCATGCCAATGACTGGGTACGGACATACTAAAATAAAATGCAACTTCATGAAGTTTATACAGATGCAAGACTATGCAAATGTAATATTTGACAGATTGGGTCATATATACAAGCGCATACGGTTAGATACTGCAAGCGTTCTGCATCCCTTTTCTTAACAATTGTGTTTGATTACAGTATTTATTACAGAGTTCAGCAATACACCACTACAGAGAAAAGTGTCGAAAGCGGTAGTGTCTTTGTTTGTATCGGATTAACAGTAAACACTAAACAATGCAAGCAGGTCGGAAATGTAAAATATACGCACGTCTTCAAATACGGAAATGTTTTTGGAAAATTTGTTCGATATGTGTGTTCAAGAATCTGCATGTGGAGAGATAACGGATATCAAAACTGGCGCTTAATGCTTTACGAGGCACGCTGCCCGGGTTATAGTTATAATTTCAGTACCGTCAAACTCAAACAGAATACCGGTACCGGTATTTAGCACATATATACCCACATGACGGTGTGATCGTGCAGGTACATACCGGAAAATAAACAAACAGCCGCTTATTGCGTATCGGTAAACAAATGTAAGAAAAAAGAGCAAAAAATCATTTTAGCCCATGTTGGTCTACACTTTATGCGGCAGGGTCGCATTTTGTATCTGACTGTTGTTTGCAACAGGCGAAGATGTGCATGTCGTATCTGTTAGAAAACGTAGCCGTCTTCGCATCGTTGATTATGAATCTGTTACACACAGAAAAATAAAATATAGCTCTATTAGGATATTTATAATAAGAACCACTATCTCAGTCTTATATATATTTGGAAACGATCAAATGCGTGCAAGCGCTGCAGCGTAGAAATGGGGGTGGCCCAACATACTCCCTTGATTCCAAGCGGAGGCCAGCGGAGGCTGGCAAGATTTTTAGCGTGGAATTATGCTAAATGCCCTCAGAACCGAAGCGCGCATGCGAAATTGGATTTTCTTTTGCCGCAGAATTTTACTTGACAGATTTCTCTGCACTTATGGCATCGTCATATCACGTCCAGACTGTCAATAGCGGAATACATTAATGAATTACAAAGACAAGCCTGCTGCTGGACAAGAGGGCGGAGCTGTTGAAGTGTGATTGTCTAGCGAGCGACGCGGTCCGACAATAAACGCTCCTTTATTGTGTATAAGGACATTGTGCATTGAGAAGTCACCGGCGCAGGAACGTGCGGTATACTATACATGTGAGTTGTAACGGCAGACTTATAGTATCTTACCTGGCATATGGAAGCAGTTTGGGAGATTCGATCATTAATTTCCATCTTTTCAACGCCGCAACACCGGAGATTTTCGGAATCTTGCAGAGCTGCACAGTGGTCAAGTAAGCTGCCGACATTGATCCTGCCGGATTTACGTCTGCCTTCTTCACACGGTCGCCGTGGCAAATTACCAGTCCAAAAACGCTGTTAACTTTTACTACAGGTATGCAGCATTGCTGTAATTACTCGATTAATGTAAAGCGCATACGTATTTGACACTAGAAAAATGCTTACCGTATTGTCAGATTGTCAGTCAACTCATTCGGTTCAATTATTATGAAACCAACTTGCACGCTTGAATTTTTTTTAGAAATAACTTCTTGAATGAAACACCTCACGAGTATGAATTACGTGATTATAAAGTACCGTGTGACAGACTACCATTAAGGCAGATATGTTTTTAATTAACAATAAGCGATTTTAATTTTTAGCATTAATCACGATCGTGTTTCCTCATGTTTTCCATTTGCATTTGCTACTGATGTACATATTTACGATAAGGATACACGAGTAAGCATACAGTATACATACACATTCAACGTGGTTACTTGTTTATAGCATTTTGAAACGTATTATGGTTTTCGTTTTAGGTTTTTCAAAAACATACTGTAACTTTTAATTATTAATTTGCTCAATACGATCAGTAGCACAAGTCAGATCGTACGGGGTCCCACTGGGTCATGGACTACGGCTTACACAAAGAAGTGAATCCTTGATTAACCGGTAATTAAGTGAGGCTTTTATTTACCGGAAGTTCATATACTAATTAAAAGGCGCTATAAGGTGAACGTCTGCAGTTGATTGCGAATGCAGAAATTACGGTTAACCACCTCGTCAGAAATGCTAATGCAGTTAAACACCAATATTTACCGTGCACCAGACTCCTTTGCTCTGCATTTTTAGCAGATCATCTGCAAGTCAGAACGAATATTGATTTAGCAGGCAGTTGTGCAAATACAGATTTTCTTTATTTGTCTGTTTAACGTAAACGCGCATTTGCTTTAGAGATATAATATGATCATAAATACTATTATTACTTTCCAAATTTGAAGCAAAATATTAATAACAGCTATTACATTTATGCACCGGCGCATTGCATAAGCTTATAATTACTGTACTTAATTATCACGCATGGACTTACAAGAGATATAAATTTGGGGAAAGGGGACTGTAAGCTTAACATAATTGCACATAGGCGCGCGAATACAAAGTTTATGGTTTCATAATCACAGGCTGTTCTCCTACTGTACAGGGATATTTTATAGTACTTGTAGATACGTATGCGTGGTAACTGTGGTTGTTAAGAAGCGTAAAGTGAGATTCGCATATGCACCATGATATACAATAAACGCTTCCGTAAAAAATGTTTCATGGCAGAATCAGTTTTAAAATTATTCCATAAAAACTAGCTTCGCAGTTCTATTATTGAAATACCAAAATTTTTATACAAAATACCGATAAACTGATATAATATGATCAAATAGGTTCATTATACGTACGTTAACAATAATATTATAATATTATAAATATGGAACCATGTTATTGCCGTTGCAGTGCCGCGTACGTAGTCTGCGGATTTGCATATTTAAATGCACAATGTTGTAACGCTCTAATAATCCCACATTACGAAAGATAGGTTGCGCTTTTGCATAATTCTTAATGAAATCTGGGTAATGATCTTAGCACATAAACCATATCAGGTATACCAGTAATCAGTCTGCAGTATATAGCCGTAATATTCAACAAATCGCTTCGATGATCCGGAAGTACGCGCATGTATGTATTACGGACTATACGGTACCTGTTCGTGCTCCGTTTACTATTTAGCGGCTAAAAATATTCGTGGGATTTGTTATATACCTCGTACAATCAAGTAACTGAAATTGCTCAACATTACACAAACCGTTTGAAGTTTTCCCAGTCCTTCCCTGCACCATTCCTAGTTATGGTGTGTATGAATCCGGTGGCTACCTGTTGAAGTTTTTTTTTAATGACTCATAGCGCAGGTCCACGTCACTAGTATCCACTGTCCAGTAATACCTTACTTGAACTTGAAAACGATACATACAGCTTGCACTGTGCTAGATTTGTTTTGCGCATGTAGAAGTATGCCACTTGTGGATGCTTGCAGTCAATGTTTAATGAGCGAGTCAAGTGCATGATTTTTCAATCCCAAACAGGAAACGCCCGCATGACCGGAAAGGCCACTTCACCTGTTTCATTTGTTGGTTATGTGCGGACCAGAAAAATTGGACGCTAATGTGTAGCCGTGTGAACGGACACAATACGTGCACCACATTTCTCAATTATTAGATGTACAATATACATACACGTACTGTATATACGGTGCAGTTGCACATTGAAGTTTTAGCCGCGAAACATTTTTACTTTGTTCCTTATATTTCTCTGAATAAATATTTTCCTTGCAATTTTATTGCAATTTCGTAATAAAAAAGGTAATTACATATATTTGTATAAATGTTACCCTATCATTGGTTTTGTTTGCATAAACACTGATTCACAGCCGAAACAGAAGAAACTGAACAGAGGCAAATTGGGGCTAAATAGATTCATTCTTTCCTAAGTGTTGCTCTCTTTATGTAAGCAGGAGAACCTTGTGTTTCGTTGGTCCACCTTTGACAGGATGTGCCATATCTCATGCGGTCCGTGTAAATATTGGCGTTAGTGCATTGTGTTCAAGCGGTTAATCGAACATTTTCTGCTGACTGCGTTGATACTGTAGTAATAGCTTATGTGGTGCATGGCGATCAAGATACCGGCAGATTGTTAATACGCAGTACGGTCACTCGGTTGTCTAAAATTTGAAATTAATCTGATATCAATGTTTACCGGCAAATGTGAAATGGAGACTTCTATTACTGAATTCCTAATTCTTGAATTTTAAAAGTGAGTTTGCACCCAAAATCGAGATATCCTGCCAACTGTTGCTGAACTGCAGCTCACATTAACCTTTCTGTAAAGGTAAATTAAAAATATGATAACTAACTGTCACATTTAAATGTCATATTTTTAATGGATTATTTTATTGGAATATTTTTTATTGTTTCTTCTTGTATACCGTAAGTTGCTTTTTTTTGATTCTATCATTGTGTTAACGTTACAGCTGGGTTTAGTCACTAGTTCCGATTTCCACGTTTTTCTTGTGCAGTTGGCTGACAATTATAATTGCATCATATTGTACATATCGAAATGTATACTGCGAAATGTACGCAAGCAGGAACATCTTTTAGAGATAAGCCTCATTTCCATAATATTCACAGAATTTGATTGAGTAATTAATCAAGGCGATTGCATAAAATTATTCTCTCACCGGTCAGGTGATAAACAAATTTGTGTATTAGCCGTGCTGCTCGTGCATGCCGTTTTAGCACTACTTGAATCGACCGGCAGTAAATCCACTGGTGCAAAATTTTATGACTATATTTAAACTATTATAAATCGCTTAGAATTTACTGTGCGGAAAGTAAAGATGATTAATCGGAAAGATGATCCTGATGGTAATAGAATGTGTCAGATGAGTGTGCCTTGAGGAAATAACACAGCGGGGATGCTGTGGTGGCAGCAGCCCATGTAATTTGCTCAAATCATCCTTCCCCGATAATTTTACTTCCTCTCCCACATATTTAGCCGGATTTTGGGCTACAGTAAACCTGCCAAAAGCAACATTTTTTTGCTATCTTATCCGCCAAGTATGCATGTGACATCGTGTATAGAAAGTCTGTGTATACAGCGTTTACATGACAGATCGGCGATCGCCAACCGGTAAGATGCACGCCGGGATTATACAGTACACACAAGTGTTTCCAAATTTTGCTTTAAGGTGACAATTTCCGATAAGTGGTGTCCAGTGTTATGCGGGGACGAAGAAATTTGTTTACAAATCGGTGCATACATTCATATTTGTTTTTGCAGATAGATTTTGTCGTCAAAAGTTAACAGTGCCGTTTCCCAGGATTTGCGCTGCATACGTCAACATACGCGGCGGTGCAGTCTGTGTGTGTGTTTTCGTTGTACACTGCGCGGACTGTCACAACCCCACATGCGCATCAGGGTCATCATTGGTTTTAATGAGTTGAAGTTTATCTGGAGCGCCGCGCGCCACGGCCGCCACAGCTGCCATCATATTGGGTAATAATCAGCGGTTGTTTTCGGGATATTCGTCACAGTCATCTACTTATTGGCTGGCAACCGGTGCAGCCATTCAGCCGGTATTCCACCGCCGCATCATCCGCCTGATCTTATGAGTCAACATGTGGAGATTTCTCTCTGCTGCAGCATCCGATATCCGACGTCGGTCACGTAATATTCAGAGCATTTAACTCTCCGTGCCCGCTGGTTGATACGTGATTACGCGACCTCGCTCTCGCCGTTCGGGAGGTCTGTTGTGTGCATGTGTGTATATATTCGCTTTTTTGAGTGCTTGTTGTCGAAGTGGCTAATCTGACCGGCTTGAACAGTTCGACTACTTGGAATATGCACACTACTGTAAGCGCACCGTCCAATTGCAAAAAAAACACAACCACTGGATTTTCTAAAACCGCATCTGCTATTTTGGATTGGTTTTTGCCATTTGCCGCTAATCTGATAATTACTAGCCAAACTGTATATAAACCCAGTTATACCGCCTGCTCTGGGTTACAACATTTGGATATGGTTTATATTTGCCGCCTAATTATCCATAAACATCTCTCCATGCTGCCATAATAATGTCACTAACTGCTATCAATATCGCCACTGATGAGTATCCGAAAATCTTTAATGGTCATTCGGCACCAACTCTGTCCGGATCCTGTGCAGCGGCAAACGGAGCCAAGACGTGTATGAAAACCGGCAAAGCGCTGTTTGTGCTTACCGGCGACAGTACGAGTGTTGGCAGTACAGACGGCAACAACTATTCACGTTTAACCGAACTCGCCACGGAAGCTGACAAAAAAGTCTCAGAATTTAATGCCTTAATCGCCGACGTGGAATCCCGCTCACGGAATCAGAAAGTTTTACTGGAGCGTTTGTTCGAAACACAGCTGAGCTTCAGTAAATCCTCAGCTGCGGCTGCACGTCCGACCAAGTTGGATTTACTGACAACATCTGCCAATGCCAATCACATGTCAGCAACTGTCCAGCAGCACACTACAGCCGATAATGCAAATAAACTTATTGTTGATGAATTGCCGGACTTTGGGCCATTATCCAAGAAGCTGCGTTCGAACGGCGTTACGACATCACCGGTGGCCAGTGCGCGTCGCTTCTCCGCATCATCAGCATCCTCCCCGACCATCGCCACGTCGCTGCCGCGTACACAGTACGGCCGTAAAGGCTCCGTCCCGGCCACTATCGGCAGCAGCTCTTCAGCACTCTTGACCTTAACATCCCCCCACGCAACCCGTCGGACAGGGCCGCCGGAGCACCAGCACAATCCGCATAATGCCTCTCCAGTGTCACTGATCACCAAGGCCACCGCTGATGAGCACAATCATTCCGTAGATAGTCTGGTAAAGTTGTTTTCCGAGAATTCCCCTGAGAAATCCTGCGTGGACTGCCTGAGTAAGGCCAGTAAAAGAGCTAATCCTAATGCGGTGCGATTACTCGTGCGCTGCCCAGACGGTACGGTCTACAGTGAAAACCCGCTGTCGGCAGGCCTACCGCCCAACGGGCGCCGCCTGCCTACGGCTGACAATAATGGGACCAATGGGGAAGTGCAGCGTAGTATGCCGACATTTGCCAGCACCTGTGCCTTTCTCAACAAACTCAAACTGAAGAACGGCAACGGTTTGGAATTTCATTTGGGAAAGATGCCCAGTAAACAGGATACCAGCCAGTTGGAGAGTCTGTTAGCGGGATTAAACTTTTCCAAGTTTCGCATTACCGACCGGCTGGGATCCTGCGAGCATGCGTCGAAATGTCCGCCTAATGAGGAAAAACGCACGGGCCGACAGGCGGCCGTTCCGACAGCGGCCACAGCAGCAGCAGCTGGAGCCAAAGAGGCGAAAGTGGGTCAAAAAAATTCACTGCACACTGAGGCCGGTATTAATGGGTGTAATACGAGAGCGGATCATGCAACGATTATTAATGAGACGGCACAGCCAAGGTTACCGCCGCCAGATGGAGTTATGCGAGCACTTTCGCAACCGGAAAACGATCAAAATTCCGATCATTTGCTCGGAATTCTGCGTGTGGATGAAGCGGACATTCCAGTGATACGTAAGGAGCGATTACGTGTGACGCTGTCCGAAGATCGTGAAAGTACACTCTTCGCTCCCGCCATGAAGCACAGCGCCGGCACAATGTATAAAGTATCGGAGGATATTGCATCATTAATTAGTGACATTCGTCAGCACTTCCAGCTGTACCGAAAATGTGATCACGTAGCTCAGCTGGCGGCGCGGCCCGTCGCCAGTGCTGGTGTGGATACAAATACCGATACCAAACTGCGGACGGCAACCACGACTGTTGACAAGCCGCCGCTCAGCGAGGATATTAATACGGATACACAGTCCGTCAATGGACTGCATGATGACAGCGGCAACACGGTGCCGGTGTGCCCCGCAACACCGGCGACAAATCGACGCGATTCGGATTATGTTATCTCCGTTGTGTCGGACGATTATTCCGAGAGCACCGGGCCGGTGGATGAGACCATGGAAACCGAATCCACATCCTCATCGTTCACGTTCAGCCCGACGGTGTCCACGACGCACAGCGCCTTTAACGGTGCGCTCAGTGAACGCGATTACCTCATTTCCGGTTCCATTCATGCATTGTCATCCAAGCGACAAGAGTCGCGTGCGGTTGACACTGATGAGAAGACACCACTGCCAACCTTGGAAAATATAACTGATCCCGGTGCGCACATGGTTCATATGCAAACGACCGATTTGCCGGCAAAAACCGAAGTGTATGTCAACGGAAATTCTGAAAGTAACCGCAAAGCTTATGTGAACGGGTCATCGTTGACCTTTCCACCACAACCACGAAAAGGCGGGTTATCCTATCCGGAAAACCAGTTTTCCAACAATATTATCGCCAACACAACAGCGTCGTCCTGGGACATTGATAATCCCGAAAACCGTCTTTCGTCGTCGTCGTTTCCTGAAAGCTCCATTTCGTTAACCGACAGTGTGTACAGCACGTGCACAGCGGCGTCATCCAGTCTGCGTTCGTACATGGATCCCGGTTCGGTAGAAAGCAGCGCCCGTGCCACCCAGTCCGCTCAATCCGACACGGAACGCCCGGAAGTCGACGCCCGTAAACTGCGCTACCACAGTGACCCGACGCCCAGTGCCCAGGAGTTTTCCAAACCCGGCAGTATTGCCCTTTATTCGATCAGCGAGCCGGTTCTCCCTAACGCCCCGGCAACAAGTGACGTGACCAATAGTGCAGCAAAGAGTGTCGATGAGGCGGAAAACAGCGATCGCAGTATCACTTTGCCGCTGAGCATCAAAGACGACCTCATACGGGAAAGCGGCGGAATTATGACAATCGATGCCAGGGCGTGGCCCGGCTGTGAAAGTGCTATCCATAACAATGCCGGCGCTGACAACGTCGTGTGCGGCACAGCGCCGGCCGCCGGGGAAAAACAAACGGCAAACGGAAGTGCATGCCCAACTGCCGCGATATCTCCCAGTGCGCCGGGCAAAGCCAACAATCTACGAGCGGCATTTCATGCCAGCTTTCGTCATGGTGACAAGCATCAACCGCGGGGTCCATTCGGGATCTGCTTACAGGAAGAGCAGTTGCGTCGCGAACGCGCCGGCTACAATCGACAGTTTGTCCATGATCTCAGTTTCCTTAACAGTCCCGAGCCATCACCGGGAACACCCGAGCATGTCATGCCGGAAAATGGTCTAGTGCCAGAATTGACGGAGAACGGGGAGTGTAAGGAACGCCACAACATGCCCAAACGCCGGCAATCCGCGCAGTTGTTAGCGGAGGAGAAATTGGCGCGACACTACGTGGGAATGAAGTCGTCGCCCAATTTGTTCTTTAATGTGGTGGCAGCCGCGGGACTCAGTGATTCCGCGGGGAGCGCACTGCGACCGGGTGATATCTGCCGGTCGGCGTCGGACGCCGACGCCACTAACTGGAAAAAACACAGCGACGACACTGACAGTGCCGTGTATTCTGGATCCACGGAAAGTGTGCCGTCGTCCGAGTCAATTAGCTCACGAGCAAAATTACATCCTTCCACGAAGCGAGCCACGGTAAGAAAACATAAGATGATGACAGGGCTATTAATAATCTATTATAATCTAATAAGCATAATAATTACTTGCAAAAGTAATTGGATAACTGATTACAGTACGTTCTGCTTCGGAAAGCCAAAATTTGAGCGTAATCCAAAATTAAAAACCGAATTTGCTGTCAATAGCGCTAGTGAGATTTCATGGTAATACAGTAACAAAATTTAACGCATACCAGGAACCGCATAACAGCGGCTATCGGTACTGTGCAAAATTACTACGCTGCTGTTAGTTGTCTAATTATGCAAATGTAATTTTGTTCGTATTAGGATTAGATTAATTCAAGATCACTAAAAATAAGTTGCATGGCATTCAACACGTAAAACTGCCGGCTCCGGCAGATCGGCCATATAGTCTGCCGGAAACCTTAAAGACAAAGTAACTAAGCCGGTCCCGCTTTTACTGAAGCATTACGACATAATAGAGCAATCATTACTGGGATCCGAATGGGAGGGTTTAGGAAATGTGACAAGTAACAACGTAATAATCGCATCGCATATCGCACCGGGCAACGAGTGCACTCAACTCTGCCAGTGACGCAGGCAAATCACAATGGTCTTCACAGGATTACACCTTGATAATTAGCCAAACTATTCCGGAAATAGCGGGCCGATATTGACAAGTGCTGCTCCCTACATCAGGCTTCATTCGCCGTAAACTGTGCGAAAAACAGTAATTAATCAACCGACCCGGTCTTGTGATCGGCATGTGCAGGTCCCGAGTCCGGGATTTCGCACCTCAACGTCACTTACGTAGTCGGTCCATTTGCTCATCGGGAAGCGGTGTATAACTGTATATAAACATCACCGTTGCGGCAGGGATAACTTTTATTTAGCATTTTGCCGTTGAATATATTATTTTTACGAGAGGGATATATACACGCATTGTGCCGATCGGGGAGGGTAGTTTAGGGAGTGCTACATATTTCTTTCGTCATCAGCGCGGCAAGTTTTTCGGTTGACGGGTGTGCATAGACAAAACGATGGTTATTGTAGATAAAGTAAGGTCAATACTCAAGGGAATGAAAGACGGGCTTGTGAAAAATTGCTGAAATATGGTTATGTTTGTTTGGATTACTTGAGCTGAACGGCATAACTCCCGATGAGTCCTTCCGGTTGGTCTTATATCTGTACAGATCAGACGCCAAAGGCAATTGACTGCAGTGTAGCTGTGGGTTTATTCCACATGAAAAGCTCGGCTTCCGCTACACAGTGTTCCCGTGTAATGACGTTGAGATTTCTCCTTTCATGTTTTGTATTCCATAAGTGACAATTAAAAAGCGATCGAAGGGATTGTGTTGTGCGGCTTACACGATTCATGAGTGAATGTATTACAATTATCCGGAACAGCATGTTGAAAAACATTTTCCCAATCATTCCTAACAAGCAGCACGAAAAAATGGTGTCATGCGGTGTTGTTCTTTTTGCCGACACGGTAAGGCAACCACTATGGAATTAGCTATCGAATGCTTTGGCAGAAAACGCCGGTTTCGTGTTAGCTACCCATGGTGATTATTGATTAAACGCTTAATTAATCATTTGTTAGGATTTCCGGACTCATATCGCCAAAGAGTTATACGACACTGAAAAGACTTATGTGGAATCGCTTCAAATTTTGGAAAAGGTAAGTGGTATAAGTATTCGTTATCACTATCATTACTAAGTACTATTCATACGTTCATTTGTAAAATTTAATATGCTGCTATATATTGAGCGAGTAATGTATGATTTACAAAAACAATGGGTAGTTTCATCAACTCAAAATATCGCGCATACTTTTATTAATTTTTATTAATCCCGCAGTCAATATTTTCTTGTGTAGTACCCTCATGGTCAGTGGCAAATAAAATAATTATAAAATAACTGTCACGCATTAACAATGCCCAATTTTAGTATTTAATTTGTGCTGCACGCTGAACAATACAATGGAAAAAGTTTTTCCGTTACGAGTTAACCTTCGTAACTGTATTAAAATCAGCACGCAAAGACCTCATTCAGTTTTCTGATAATTAACAATTTTGTGCCGCAGCCGATGTTAAATCTTATTAGTTATTATCATCAAAATGTAGCATTGCTGGATATATTATTTTAATCTATTTCACGCCGTATTATCTATCATAAATCTCGTACGGAAAGAAGTAATTACATGGGAAGGTTTTTATATTTACCAATTACGTTGCCTAACAGTGCGGCTGAACAGTAGGTACCCGAACGATCGCCAGAGATCACAAAACAATCATACGTCGTACTTATCGTTTTAGCGTGTTTGTTTTAAGTTAAGTTACCGTTTGCGTTGACAGCGCTGTTGACGTAGGTATGATACAATAATGTAGCTTTGCAGAGCACGGTTTTAAATTTCAAAACTAGCTAATTATACGATATAATATAAAGAGTCGTTATCCAAAAGCTATCTAGTTTCCTTCTTTTTTTATTGAATTTGTATTTGATAACAACACGTAATTTTTTTGTTACAGTATTTTGAAACTCTAAAAGGCAATGAGGATTTGGTGGAGAAAACCTTAGCTGAAAACATGTTCTATCAAATCCCGGCAATCAAATGCCATCACGAAAATCTTCTAACAGAGCTGAAAAGACGAATGGAGTGCTGGGATACGCGACAAAAAATTGGGGATGTCATAGTGCACGAAGTAAGAATTACAAATGTGCCGCACATGTACATTTTGCTAATAAAAAGTTATATACTAAAGACGGTATTGGTTATTTGGGTTCAACGTTCAACGTCAGTAGTGTCTGGTTATAGATGCGAGATTTATATGCAATAAAATACGTTAAACTTCGCCTATAAAAATGATATCACATAAGATTGTATGATTACATTCCCAAATTTGTTTGCTTTTCAGTTTACCAAAGAATCAGTTATCGATACATATACGGCATTCATAAATAACTGGAAAACGGCGAAGGATGCTATTAAACTTGCGAAGATCACGAAACCTAATTTCGCCAAATTTTTGGAGGTACTCTTGATACCTATTGGACATCTAATTAAATAATAATACCGGAAAAAATTTTAGCAATGTGCACGGGAACACCGAGGAAAATTAAACTTGGATGCATTATTAATTATGCCGGTACAACGCATTCCCAGATACGAATTGCTCATAAAGGTCAGTAGAACGTGCGTAGTACAAAATCTGTGCGAATTTGTATAACGGTGCGAACTGAATCACATGATTTACACAACTAGAAAGATTAAGGAGATTATTAAATACGACCATCCAAAGTATTTTTTTGTGATGATCAATCATCATTGTCGTACGTGTGTTTCTTCCTCAGGAATTACTGAAACACACAGCCGAGGATCATCCAGATCGGATAGATTTAGAGTCAGCGCAGAATCAAGTTCATGAACTGGCACTGAAAATCAATGCCATGGAAGCGGAGGTTGACGAAGCCGAACGAATGATGATTCGATTAAAAGAGCTGGAAATGTACATTGATGGATTGAACGACGTAAGTGACGATAGTATCGGCAAAAAAGAATCCCTTGAAGTGTTATTTAAAATTTTTTTCATTAAGTTTACTTCCGCGTCTACGATAGCAAATTAAAGTCTGCCAGTAATCCGTTCAGATGCCGATAAAAAGATCAACCTTAAATCCTTGACGGCAGATCATTCCTGTTAAGTCACCTGAGTAAATCGAACGTTTTGTACTGATTTTCTGAACATCGCTTATAAAAAGTTAACCATCGTGTACTGCAATTTTAATTGCCATTTGAATAAACAGACTATTTTTGCAGCTGGTGGAACCTAATCGGAAGTTCCTCAAATTCGATATGGTGACGATGGCTGTAAGTCAGAAATAAAATTAGATAGGCTCATATATTCTGCATACTCGTACTTGGCGACAACTACAAGTGGATCACTTATCCTGCATTCCATCTTGTAGAGTGGAAATATGGGACTCAAAAAAGATCGCTGCCTCTTCTTATTTTCGGATCTCCTTGTAATTACCAATTTAAAGCGTAAATCGGGCACAATTCGAAAACCTTCTTCTAACAGGCAAGCAGTAAATAATGACGAAAAGCCGAAGGTCGATAAATGATTCGACCTTTAATGGGTAGCTGCACCATGATGACCTTTACTGCCTTTCACAGCTGTAGCCCGCAATTATATCCTACCCTGGAAAATAATAAGTACAAGCTGCTCATGAAGATCTCCCTGGCTGATTTGGAGCTAGCACGATGTAAGTCAAAGCAATCGCGGAAGCATAATCATTAGTAACTCCCGCCTACGATAACACAATAGCGGCATGGTTTTTGAGTTATACGAGTAACACATGATGTAATTGTAGCGGCACTCACAACGGCGAAAAAGCCGTTTGTTGAGCGCGATCTACTGGAAAGTGACCTCGGCGTTCTGAACAAGATCAGTGAACTCACCGGAAACTTATCGGCATCCCATCAGCCGCTGGATGATGCAGTGCGCAATATGATCTCTGTGGTTAATCGTCAGTTAACCGACCGACAAGCGCATTCACACGATCCTAATTTATCCAAGCTGGAACTCACGGTTCCCACCCAGTAAGCAACGAACGCTTGAAATATTTATGGGATGCAGTAGCGCAGCGGCGGGTAATGTTTGGTTTATTGCTGCTTACATTATTAAGCGCTTGTCACTTATAATCGCACACTTAACACCTGATGGACGGTTTTAATTATCAGCTGCACTTCCCTGTCTGCTGCTGGAGAATGCTTACCAAAACGGGAAACTGCTTAATTTTATTTTGTGGTTTATGATCAAGTTTTTTGTTTAAATTTGTGGCGTTATACACATACATTTGCGAAGTAAATTTAGTAATCATAATTTTGATAACAGATTTTTAACTGTTGGAATAAATTTTAAATTAAATAAAGTTTGAAAAAGGTAAATAATAACTGAATAAGTTCTTAAAATGAAGTTCGAATCATCACTGTGAGTCTGATAACAAAGTATATGACACTGCGGCATTACAGGCATGGCTTAGAAGCTATTTCTATAAATTTCTTATCGGCCGGCAAGAAGAATGCGTGGGAAAAGGCGTTTCTGGAAGCCAAGCAAGTGTTGGGTTTATCAATCGACCGGCGACCACCTCCTGACTTCCTATGTTCCATACCCATCCGCAAAACACGGGCGGGAATGCAGGCAAGGCCACTAACCGCACCGCATACTGCATAGTATCATTAGGCAGCAAAGAGCTGCAATATCGCATGATTGCAGATCACCTGCTCAGCGGCAACAACCGATCTGAACGCCTGCGACCTACGGGATGTGTGGGTATGCAACAGTGACGGCTACGTTGGCCAAATCTGTGTTCTCAGTATGCAGCCGGAACCGGCGCTGACCTCGTGCATAACCGCGTGTGGATGTAAAATCACGTGCATAGCATCGGTGCCCGCTTCTACGGGATTGTAAGTGAAGGTCAAACCGCGGCTCAAAAATACAGAAAGTTCAAAGAATTTTAATCGGACATTTTTATAAGTAACCACATAAAATGTAGCGTGTGATTTTGTACGTAGGCTGCACTAATAACTCTAATAAACAGGATCAATTACTGGAATTGTTATATTTTTTTACATAACTCTGTAAACACTATACACTTTTTTATATTACAAATGAACACGCATCATATCGAAACAACGGGTTAAAGTGTAAATATTGTTAATAGTCGTGCTTAAAATTTTTATACAGATCAAAAGGATCAGTGATTAATTCGCGTAATACCAGTCCGGTGTCCGATCACAGCAGCAGTGGCGATACTCATAATCCTCCGACACTCAATCTGGAACTGGACAGTGATGACTCCACCGATGAGGACGCCAGCATCGACGACCACTCACGGAGTCTGCCCAACAGCGATAAGGACAGTTTCCTGCTAATGTCCGAAGATGACCACGAACAACTGCTCATGTCAGTGGCCGGAAAATCTCAAAACCCAGTTCCGGATCCATCGCAAGGCACAATGTGGATTGGCACCGAAGATGGATGGTAAATTGCCAGAATAATACAAGAACAGTATGATAGAACAAGTACTTACGTTGGACATTTTCTGAAATAGCATCCTGGTATATTACTGCAACGACAACATCCGAATCAAGAAACCACGACTAAAGCTGCAGCATTCTTCCGCCGTCCAAAGTATAGCGTAAGTCGCGCAACCACCTAACAAGGGTTATGTACAACATTTAATTTAATTATTGTACTTCTATGTCATCCATCTAATTCAGGAGTTTGGCGATGTATTATTTAATAAATGTCTACATAAAGGTTTTATTTATTTGATTTATAAAAACGTATTCTGTATATTTTTTGAAAAAGCGTATACAAATATTTTAATGTTTCGCATACGGCTTATGATCACCACAGCCGTCAGCTATATATTACAATGTATTCAGGTTGCTTATATTAATTTTGTTTAAACGTAAATCATATGAATAGGTATACGGATCAGACAGTGTTCGTTGGTCTGGCTAACGGTCAGGTGGCAGTGTACAGCCGATCATCCCAGGGTGTCTGGGAGACGACGCATCCGGTTTATATCCAACTGGGATCTCCTTCCGCACCTGTCCAGCGCATGACACTGGCGTGCGGCAAAGTGTGGTGCGCCTGTCTCAATGTCATTCACGTCATCAATCCCTCAACACTTAAAGTTGAAGTATGCACAGACAATATTTGGGGAAAACGCTCGTATTACGTGTATGCGATGGCAGATCCCCCGGGGCCGGTGCTATGACGAGTGTTTGACTTGTAGAATACGTTCTCCATCGGATCGGATGCCAGTCGACCGCTCTCCTGTATGGCCGCCAGTGGATTAGGTGTGTGGATGTCAGTCCAGAACAGCGCTGTGCTGCGCTTGTGCAATGCGATCACATTCGATTTCCTAGCGGATATCAATCTGACACCCAGTGTACAGAAAATGCTGGCCGGTAAGAATATTTGCGAGTATGTAGATCCCCGTAAATAGTAATGAATGAAATATAATAGTATTAATATAAAATGAGTGAACCAGGCTAACCAAAAGCTTACACCTACTGATTTTTGCAGTTAACACTATAATAATATCGCAATTCGTTTAATAAGGCCAACTTCATTTTAACAGCTGGCAGAAGCCTTTGATGTAATTTGAAAAGCGCTAACTCCAAAGTTGATTTGTATATATACTACTTTGTGACCTTTCCAATTTCCGAAGTCCCTGTGCACCAAAACAGTCATATTTCCCAAAAGCAATGATTTTGTGTTATTAACCTGATAAAGTATTATATTTTGCTTAGGTTGTGATGAAATTCTTCGGCAGCATAAATTTGCCTGCCTCCGTATTACCGCCTTGTTAGCGTGCAAGGAATTGCTATGGGTGGGAACCAGCGCTGGAGTTATCCTGACGGTCAATCTGCCGCATATTCAGCCAGGAACGACAAGACTAAATTCTTCCCCAACCTTAACAGGTATAACTGGTGAACTGTATTTCCGTACTAATGTTTCCTACAAAATACCGGTTGAATTTGATGAAAATTTAATTATGAGACAAACCGGTATACTATGCCAAGGAGACTGATGGACAGCTTGAATTTACTAACGCTGCACATAGAATTATTAAACTACAGAGTAGTTCGTTAGTTCGCTCGCGCAAATATACGTAACATGTTTTTTTTGGTAAATAGGCATATGGCATGGGCACACGGGACAAGTCCGCTTTTTGCACTGCGTGGAACAGAATATCATTGGGAGCATTGGACAGAGTACTAACGGGAATCGTTCCAATAGACGCCATTCGGCATCGGCTGCCGTTCAAGGGACTAAGATGCTGGTGGTCAGCGGTGGCGACGGGTATGAGGATTTCCGCAGTACATCATTCTCTGTGGCAGCCACTACCGGGACAACCGACGGAGCTGGGAGGGATGACAGCACCAACCATCTTCTCTTGTGGCAGTGTTAATTAAAAGTAACACATATTCGCAAGGTTGTAATTCTCATTACACGAGTTCCTGGGTTCCGTCAGCGATCGTCGTTCTCTGGTCATTGTCCCACATCCTCAAGTAACACTGCATTCCGCCGGGTTTTCACGGATTTAATTTTGTTGGAAGTGTACATAGACGGTTCTTGATCTAGTAATTTCGCGAAACTACACCTTGATGTAGAGGTAATCGGATCTCTGACCTCTTGAGCGGAATGAATGAATGTGTCTGTCTGTAAATAGTGCTTATGCTTTTGCTTTAGGTACCGAAATATGTTTGCTCTGCTTTCTTGGTTTCAAAGTTTTATACTAGTCATATAACGATTTGATTGCACAGACTGAATTTTTGTATTAAATAACACGTATTGGTCAATATTGGAAGTCCTCCTTAATCTAGGTACACTTATTAAGTACCACTGTACCAGTGTTGGCCCGGCAGCGCAATCGGCGTATGACCTACGGTCCCGACCGACATTGATCTCTCCCGACCCGACCCGTTCGCGTTCCCGACAAGTGACAACCAAAATATCCCGATCCGTCCCGACGTATTCGAAAAAATTTTCGAAGTAATTTTTTACGAGCAGGTTTTTTACTAACAGTTATAAAGTTTTTTGCGTCAATAAGCGAGAGAAGTAGAGTTTTGATTTGAAAAAAATTCGCCGTAGTTTTCTCTAAGAGCAAAAATGCTTTTGAAGTTTCAAGCTATTTTTTTGTATTGAAGTATGATGTCATCTAGCCTAAAGACGGGAACGGGAATCGGGATTTTCCGGCACCTAGAAAGTTCCCGTTCCCGACAACTCCCGACCGACAGCGAGCGCTCCCGTCGCGAAAAAACGAACGTGTCGTAAACGGGACTTACCTACAGCTAGTCGGCATCAGTTCCGATACTTCCGCGCCGACAGTTTGTCGGGCCAACACTGCGAAGTACGGTATTACATACCTATATTATATCTATGAAACAGAAAGCTACCGAAAAATTTTACTGCGGCAAAAGGAATTGCCTCACCAATAATCGGAAGTCCAGCATCTGCTACTTTAGTGGATGTAATCACCCAAATCGTGATAATAATTATAGTCTCCAATTTCTAAAGTAAAATTTCCGTTATTCAAAAATCAAGTACGTACCTTAATAGTACTTAATACTTACCGATTATACTGCAAACTGTGAAGTGTTGACTCCAAAATTAATTTCCCGTCATACTTACTGTGCACATTGCAAAATATCTTAGTTAAAAGTTAATTAAGTGTGCAACACCTTTACGTTACACAGTAACAGAAAACTAAGGAAAAAATTAAGAGTGCGCCAAATAATTTGTTTGTCAAGTATACGGGAGGATGTAAGCACTACTTGCATTCCAATAGCTGATTTACGTATAGTATGATTTTATTTGTACTTTCACTTCATGCTATCCTGCAGAACCAAATTTTCACGAAGACGGAAACGGGATACAACCGAAGCTGACTTCTGTTTTTTATTACCTTAATGCCCTTCCATTAACAAAAAATTCAGTTATAATCATACAGCTGGACCCATCCCGCCAACAGATGGACCAATATTTTCTTTCTGTTCGCTCGAAGGAACTGGCTGCGGTTCCTCTTCTTTAGGCTCCAACACCGTCACGTGATCTGGAAGTGGTCGTTTGGGTCCAGTCTTTCCAGCCGGATCGTGTGCCAACATAATTTTAACTTGAATTCCGAGCACGCCTAACAAAACACATAATATTACAGTTGATGAAAGGGAAGGCAGTAATAACCGGAATAAAGCCACGTATTTGGTGATCCAGTCAGCCACGAAACTCTTCATGTTCTGTAATAAGTACACCATTATAAAAATCAACTCACCTTGCCGTAGGAGCACGTGTCGAACAGCCCGATCGACATAATCATTCAAAGGATCACCACTGTGAATCATGATCCCGTCCGTAAATTTCATGGACTTCGCACGCTGTCCACGGAGTTTACCCGATACAACGACTTCACAGCCTTTGGCGCCAGATTCCATAATATATCGGACAACTCCGTAACAGGCTCTGTGCAAGAAATCAACATCATTATTAACGCGGTATTTAGCTACAACCTGCAGTTTTCTTTACATAAAAACGCCAGAAAACACTAACAATAAGAACAGACCACTAACACAAAATATGTCATACCAAAACTCAATGCCATGTAAAATTTTCACTAATAGACTGTTTCATGATCATGAAACCCAGCCGAATATCAGATTCCCCGAGTGATCAATCAAGACTTTACTTTCCCTCAAAATGATAAGTCAATCTGTAAGCTAACAAATCGACTTGCCCAATTATTTGAGGTAACCAACTAGAGAACCAGGTTACGTCTGTTCAATAAATTCCTGCTTACCGACGAACAGCGAGTCCTCCCAGAAGTTTATACCGCAGAGACTCGCACTGGGCAATAGCGCAAAGTCCACGGTGGGCCACTTTCTCCGCGTACAACTACAAAACCACAATCATGTCATATTTTTTTTTCGAATCCAAAGCCGATACGCAAAATACAGAATAAAACGGATGACAGTAAGAAATCACAGCAAATCCAGAAATAATACCTCCATACGATACAACATAAATCCACATCGAGTGCGGCAATATTAAACTGTAATTTATAAAGCGCTCATTGTGGGAAAAAGAGCGAAAATCAGGAGGGTAACCAAGCAGCACAATGCAACGCTGTCGGCTTACGCACCTCTACGGTTCCCTCGGTGAAAGCGAAACGTTTCTGAACGACGGAGGTCAGTTCCCGGATGCGCTTTCCGCGCTCTCCCAGGACATTCTGCGTGCGTGTGGCCAGGATGATGATCTCCGTGGAGGTGGGGGACGCGCGGACCTCGACACCGCTGTAGCCGTCCTCCGCCAGTTCGCGCTTAAGGAATTCATCTAATTCCGCTTTGAACACTCCATTATTGATAAACTGCAAATCAGTAATATCTTTTCTTATTGCAGCAACGATGTTCACGGCTAAAGTGGGCCCAGAAAATGTAAAACCTCCAAACCAATTTCTACACAAGTTTCCAAGTGGGGAACCCGAAAGACGTACTGGCTCTCCTCCACGCGTACTGCATGCACTTACCCTACGTTTTTTCGATACCGGACCCGCGTTCGCCATGATTATTTAACAAAGGGAATACCAATGATCTAAGGAATCTGGTAAAATTCAATTAACAAGATGATATCCTGCTCTTAACGCGGCGAATTCTCCACGAATCAAGATGTACGCGACTTCCGCAGCAATCCGGTACACCGTAAACTGCACTAACTGAGCGCACTTACCGTAAGCACAGTGAATATATTCGCCTGGTACACTTTGGTGCACTGTGCCAGAATCCAACAGATGGCGCTGCATACAAAAAATTCCTAGAGTAGAACATTGCCGTGCGCCAATCTTTCGCGATTTTTGTTGTGCTCTGTTGCTTATCATTTGCTCTATCTGTAGTTGTTTATTAAATCTCGATAAAAACGGGATTGTTCCAAGATTTTATACTTTTATTAAAGCTTCCAAAACCAAAAGTCATGCTGGAGCCTTTGCAGTTTAAATTTATAAAGCATGAAAGTTTGTGCCAGGCTTGCAACTTTGTGTTATTACCGTGGCTCACTGATACCCGGTTTTTTCGTATTTGCGTGTCCACTGTCCAGTGTCCATCTACAGCGTCGCAGGACCTTGCAAGCTTTTTAAAAGCAAAAACCGTTTTTTTCCCTTTAAGCGCTTTTGTTCCATTTATTGTTTCTGATATTATAGAATTACATCATGCATCAGCAAACCAATGTCGCTATAATTGTTATTTTGCAAGGTGCAATTCTGCATCGCGTGAGAACTGATCATGAGAAGTCTGATTATCATTCTAACAAAAACCTAGGTAGGACTAAAATGTCAAGGTTTACTGTTCACTCTTCCACATTTTGCATGACCCGTTGTGTTAAGTGATTCACCCCCGATGCAAAGAAATAATTTCGATATTGTAATGACTTTGTAGTTTGTACCGTACTAATTACTTAAATTTTATGAAGTGTGGTAATCATAAATCAACAGATCTTTGTCTAATCAGTAAAACGATAAGATCATTTATACCAAATCCGACCACAAATCACCACAATTCAAGAGTCAAACATAAAACATACAGCGTTAACACTAATGAATTCAAAGCAAATCAACATATTAAAACATCACAAGGTGGAATGCCAGCTTTGACCAGTTTCACAGTTGCAAGAACAACAATTGCATTTTCCACACAAAAAGACAACATTTGCAAATACAGCGCATGCACTCGATGTGATCATTAGATCAGAATTGACTGTTCCCAATGAGAAACCATTCAAATACTTGAAATAAGTTAAGTTATGTATCGCGCTGGAATCGTCTCAAGTAGGAACAAGACAAGGTGACCCATCAGAAACATACAAGGACAACGCAAACAGTCTAACTCAAATAATTACTTTACGAAAGAGTATGATTATTTGTTACTTTGCACACACAAATGAATGGGGAGATAAGAGATGATGGAATCATATCAAAGAAGAAGAGAGCAAGGAATAACCGCCTGTTGTGCCCAGGTGCAACGGCTTGTGTAGTGATGCACAAGAGAACTCCAAAGCCTAATTCCCTCCTTTTTACTGTTTGACGGCCAAAATCAGGGCAACGATGAGTCCGTAGAGACCCAAGACTTCAGCGAAAATAAGGATCAAAATCATACCCACGAATAATCGGGGCTGTTGCGCAGTGCCTCGTACACCGGCATCTCCCACGATGCCGATGGCAAAGCCGGCGGCCAGACCACTCAGACCCACGCTTAATCCGGCACCGAGATGCATGAAAGATCTACGAAAGCATAAGGCGCACAACGTCAGTTACACAAAAAACAAGCATTCCATCCTCCGTACATTCCATCAACAATTTTAGCAACGGCTCGACATTCAAGTCTGCGATGTGAATATTAGCAGCCAACACAGAATAGTATCAAATTACTGCTATCACAAGAGAACTGCGAAATAACTAAAGGTAATCGTTTCTTATAACCGGCATTAACGTCAAAACACTGCGATGGTATAAGCGGAAGTTGTTTGCCATGAAGAAAGGATTATCTGTTTGTTGGACTCACTTGTAAAGGCTGTATTCGGCGCTATCGATACCACCGGCGATGACCACAGCTACGACAAGCCCGTAGATGGCAATGATACCCGCCATGACGACGGGAATGACGGACTTCATGATCAATTCCGGCCTCATGACGGACATGGCCGCAATACCCGTGCCGGATTTCGCTGTTCCATAGGCGGCTCCCAACGCTGCAATGGACCAACGCACCGTGTGAACATTTTTTGAATGAATAAAACGGATCAATAACGAAAGCTTCAGTCTATGACTCTATGCCATTGTGATTTGGGAAGATAATACAGGATCCACGTGACCACGTCATTGATGCAGTGTATGGATTTACGGTAAAACACAGATACACCGTATCTAGTATCCGAATATGGCTGCTTGATTACCACTGCCGTGAAGGGAACACGCACGCTACACATGTCTCTCACTCAGTCAGGCGGAAACCAACAAGAACTCGGATGTCAACCATAATGCATCCCATTGCAAAGTCCCAGGGTGTTGCTTATGAATGAATGATTGTGAAAAGCCAAAAAGTACGAATTAGCATCCTTCACAGGGCACATCAACAGTGCCAGAGTGCAGTAGTATCAATTCTGGCTCTTAACCTCTTTCAGTCTTCGAATGATTAACGATTAACTAATTACGAGAAAGGTGTGAAGATAAAATTGTTAGGTAAGATAAAGGAGTAATATGAACCAGGAATGTCCAAGATTACACCGCAGGTAACGCATATTGCTCGGTGGGTGAGCTTTCGCATCGGAAAGCCAGCGTCACGTGCTCTGACTAATTCATCATCCGAATAACTTAAGAACAACTGAATCTTTCTTAAATAAATAAAAAAATTTACTTTACCTTGACAAAAACAGAAGCATTATCGTAACAAATTTTTAAGTGATAGAAGAGGCACTAATAATCCTTTTGTAAACAAAAGTACATACTGCGACAGTAGCCCTGATAAATAGTACACGTGAGCTGGTGAGCACTACAAAAGTGCCAATCAAAAAGCTGTACTTCAAGCGGCTTCCTTGATCAACATGATTTTAAATCGATGCAATTCTTTGTAAACTGGAAATCATCAAAGTCTGAAAGAATTTAACAGAACCTTTTATAGATAACTGCGAACATATGTGAACATTATTGGAGTCTTTGCGAAAAGCACGAAAAGCGGAAGGGGTACGACCGCTTATCAAGCACGTGATTCAACATAACACCCTTTCAGTGGTTGGCGCCACAAGAAAACCTATGCCTCCCATAATTAAAGAAAATTATATCATATTATAATGCCAATTTCTGTCTGGATAGAAACAAAAGCTAGGTTGAAGACACAAGAGGCATCACATAGGTTATGGTGCGTCAGTGATTACTGCAGAATGGTTACTTTCAAGTCTCACAAAAATGGGCAAGAATGAAATTATGGTTACTGTCGAGCGAACGAAAAATAAACTTGAATTTGTAGTACCCAAATCAATCGATTAACACCCACAAGAGCACACAGGGAGCGGGACATGTGTATTACAAGACTTCAACAAGAGCTATAGGTACAAGACTAGCGCTATCCGGGAACGGCACTCACCGCTGAAAATCATGGCAGATGTTGCGCCCATGACACCGAAAAAAGGAGTATACTGGGGTGCTTTATCGTGCTCGGGCATTTTTGGGTTTGGTAAGAAAAGAGGATGAGCTGCCGAAAACAAGGATCCAAACAAAAAACTCAACGATTTGAGCTGGAATCCTTGGAGCAAAGTTCCTCTTTTTGAACTTGGGAAATGATCAATAAAATGTTGCCGTCAGAATTCAAAGAGGCAGACTGATCAGCGCCGATTTTCCCTGAGCAGGCGATGTGCTACAGAATTCGCATGTGAAGGAGTTTTTAAACGCCCCGGTGCTTCGACGCGGAAAACAGTCCGCCCACATCATTCGTAGTCGTGCTACAGGGAACCTTATGATAGGTACTGTTAAAAATATGGTATGGGACCATTTATTTAAAACTGGCTGCTTATGGTATTATCCCGGTTATTGCTCATACGTTCGCTTCGTTTCCAAGTTCCGGCTTATACGAACCTGTGCAAAAATTGCCATCAGGCCTTTGAGGTTTGCACAGCAGCGTCATCCTCCCACATCGGCTGTCTGGTAGCGATATGTCAAGCTGTTCGCGCCAACTGTAAACAAATCCCACAGGCCACAGCCCACTCAGAAAATAACGGAAAAATTATGAAAATAAAATATAAGTACAGTACTGTACTACTGTACTGTTATTTAAACTATTAAACAATTGTAAGTATCTGTACTGTATTAAAAGTTTTCTTCTACAGTACCCTCTAAACGAAATAAAAATGTGCCAACAACTACTTAGTGCTCTCAGTCTCTCACAATAGTTAACGATTTTAAGTATTTCACTGTAAAATAATATTTTCGTAAAAATTATCGCAATCCACTTACATGAATAAAACACCAAATTACGTTAATAATCCAAAACTACACTAATAACCAAAAAGCAAGCGACCTTTCGGGAATCGGGATAATAGATTTTTATGCTTCGAAATTTTAATTTGCATTACTGTACTTTCGAATGTGCATTGTCCATACTCCATAGCACTGAATCCTTAATTTTCTTAAGCTAGGGCGTCGAAAATACGGTTCAGTAATCATTATTGAATAAGGGGTTCATCTCATATAACCACAACAGCGTAATAATAAAATTAATAATAACTGGATCATACTCAATCACAATTCACAATCATTTCTGTATGATCTTTCACAGTGTCACAAGTACAAACAAACACACAGCAACTAAAACTGGATAAAACCAAAAGCCACACATTACGTTAGGAATGCAGAAACTGATCAAATGATGAAGTTAATGATTTTGTGTAATTATCGCACAATTTAAATAAAATTCGGTAAAGACAGCAGCTCTCAAAGATTCATGTGAACAGAACATCCTGATCCACTTCATCGTCTAATATTGTCTTTTCGGAAATATCTTCCGCAAACGCTCCCTGTGATAAGAGTTCTTGTTTTTTCTTCTCTTTTTTATCTTTTGCTTGTTTCTTTTTCTCCTGAATCTTTTTCAGTCGGAAGAATTCCTCTCTTTCTCGTTCATCCAATTCACTGGTGATGTAAGCCAAAGTCCTTTCAATTTTGGGGATAATCACGTGCTCAATGGCATTGACACGTCGATTGGTCACTTTAATAACTTCATCCAGTGTTACAAAGGATGTCTGAAGGGATGCCAAATCCACGAGCAGTTTCACGGCGGTCAGATAATTTTTCTTCAGCTTAGCGATCTGCTGACCACCTTTCGCAATCCCCGTCAGCTCGTAGCTGTCGCCCCCCTCCACAAAATGCTCAAAAACTGGCAAATTCACACCAGCAACGTTGTCTTTTCTTGTGCGCACTTTGATCTGGGCTTTCGCCACGCTCTGCAGCACCGTCTGGTTGATGTCACCAGCAGCAAATTTCGTTTCCGCCAGTGAGAACGCGGCTTCCTTCATCACTTCTCCCATCTGCACTTTAGTTTCAATGATTTTGCCCAAGATAGCACGGAATCGCATTGTGAGCGCGTCTGATTTTTTCTTTAACAGCGAATGCCCTTTTTGTGCTCCCTTCAGACGCGTCTTCATCAATGTTAACGCCATACGCGAGGGGAAAATATTGATTTTCTCGTCTTTTCCCGACATCTTGCGCAGATTCCAAAAATATTTGCACAGTAGCAAAACCTGCAAAACGACCACATGCGCTCACGTGAGCACGGTTTGACTGTAATTCTCCACCTTTCAAGGACATGTTCAGGCTGAACTTACCGATCACTCCGATGAACCGCAAGGAGTCGTACGTAGCTCAGGATTTGCGATATAACAAGAAAATAAAATTAAGAACTAAAACTGCATGAACCCAAAGGAAACTGTAATTTCTACGACAAGTCTGGTGTGGGCGACAAACAGAGATGCCAGAAGTCTGTGCCTGCTTCGTTTTACGTTTAGTCGGTAGCATGTACCCCTCCCGAGCGGCGAGCGCCTCCAGCCAGCTGCAAGTTAACACCATACTCCACAAGTCACCATACGTTTTTGCTGCTCGAACATCAATAGTAGGCAACGTTCGAAGTCTGAACGTGCCGCTGCAGCTTGATTCAAGAGCTGAAATGATTTTAATTTTTTTAAAGAGGGCGGAAGATCTGTAAAGCAAATCGTTATTATTGTAAATGAAACTCGTGAAGCAGAAAGGGCAGTTGAAAAGTCGTAGTGGAGTGGCATCGTCTCAGCCATTTGGTTACAGGGGTGTGGCTTACCATCTCATTGCGCAATAACAGAGCGACTATGCATTTGTTCAACTTGCGATCACACGTTTATATTGGGAATCTGAAATACAAAAGTCTGGAAACCGCTGACATGGTTTTTTGATTTTTTATAGATTTTTTCAGCTTTTCTTTGCTGTGATCTTTCGCGATCTTTTGTGATCGTCGTAGTTCAACGCAGCATAGCCAGTGTATGTCTTGAATTTTCAATTGATCTTAGTTTGCAGCCGCGAGAATGAAGTTCGCTTACAAGGTATGCAACGTTTATTGTTCAATGTTGCAACGCAGCAGATGAAAGTTTTGTCCACGACTTTGACGTATTGCAGCGTTTTCATTAATGCATGATTTTAAATGTTACACTTTCCGAGTTTTTTAGATCATTTTTTGTGGGTTTCAACTTTCACGGTAACGGAGCAAAGGCATTAATCGTTGTTGGTTGCAGTTCTCGAACCTTTTGGGGACCGTATATCACAAGGGGAATTTGGTGTTCACAGCTGATGACAACCGGCTCCTGAGCCCAGTTGGAAACCGCGTTACGGCTTTTGATTTGAAGCAGTAAGCACCAATTCCTTTGGATTTTAATCCTTTACTAATGTTAGATTTTCTGTGGATGTCGATACTGGCCGGAACGAATACCAATCTCCCACTCAGTTCATCGCAAATTATTTGTATAAGGTTTCTAGTATCGGATTTTTCTTATAGGAATAAGTCGCAAACTCTTCCATTTGAAGCCCACAAAAGTTTTGACGTTATTGCATTGTCTCCGAATGGAATAATCTTGCTCGGCGTGACAGAAGGTACGTTTGCGCTGCTGTGCGCTTTCGCTTGAATTGGCCTTTTAAAAAGTACCTGTGTCGTGAAATAAATTGTGTTCGTCCGTATAAACTGACCGTGCAAGCTTGCCACTTTTTTTACTTTTTAAGATGGTGAAGCCCTGCTTATCAGTTTAATAAGCAAGTCCATTCTTCACCGGCATCGGTTTAACAGGAAAGTTTTGGATATCAAATTCAGCCCGGATGGAAAGTAAGTGTTTTGTTACGTTTGATAACGTTTTGTCTGAAAAAGATATTTTCAACCGTTTGTGAATGGGCCAGAATTGAAATTTCAGTATTTTGGCGGTTTTTATTTTTTATGACCATGCTACCAGAATAGCTTTTCTTTTTTGATTTTTACTGGGTGATACTACCGTGATAGCACTAATAAGCTTGTTCGCTTTCCTCTCAGCGTTGGATTTAGTGTTCGAAAAATCCATTACTACTTCGGGTTCAGTTGTGTTACTCTGTAATGGACAGCGGAAACAACGAACTCGGTGAACTGATATTGATGAGCTTTTATTCTCGGTTTTTCTCCAACGGATCTTTTTTTCTGCATGAGTTGCCCGATTTCATCATGCTGCATTCTCTAAGGTAGGTAATTGTTGATTCTGTATTTTGTGATCACATATGATGAGCATCAAGGTTTTTTCTAGTTTGGGCGAGCAAAGCATAACAACTGCAACCTTTAATCGGGCTGGAGACTGGCTAGCACTGGGTACGAGTGATCTCGGACAGTTGGTGGTGTGGGAATGGCAGAGCCAATGCTTTGTTTTGAAACAACAAGGACACTATGATCAGCTGCTGGCGCTGGAATATTCCCCGGATGGCCAGTATTTAGCAACAGGTGGAGCAGATGGGAAGGTGCGGAATTAAGATTACTGTACCTGACCTTGATTATAATATTTTTGTGATTGCACATATTTAACTCGTTTCTGGCCATTTTTCGTATGTGTAATTAGAGCCACTCTTACAGGTGAAGCTGTGGAATACCTCTTCGGGCTTTTGTTTTGTGACATTTTCGGAACACACAGCTGCCACTACCGCGGTAAAAGTCGCTCAAAGCGGTAAAGCAGTAATTTCGTCATCATTAGACGGAACAGTGCGTGCATTTGATACAATACGGTAGGTTTTTACTTGCTCAGCCACTACAGTAGTCACCATACTGTAAGTTCGACGTATTGTTTTAGTTATCGAAACTTTCGCACATTTACTTCGCCGCGTCCTGCGCAGTTTAGCTGTTTAGCAGTGGATTCAAGTGGTGATGTGGTTTGCGCAGGAAGTCAAGATTCTTTTGAAATATTTGTCTGGTCGATGAAAAATGGACATTTGATGGAGGTGAGCTTGGGTTCTGCGTTATCTGTATTCGGAATAGTAGTAGCATGGGGATATTTTAGATTCTAAGCGGTCATGAGGCACCCATTAGCGGCATCTCCTTTGGTAATTGTGGCGCCAATCAGCTCTTGGTTAGTTCGTCATGGGATGAAACTGTTCGTGTTTGGGACATTTTTAAAAGCAAAGTGCAGCAGGAAACCATCCGTATACATTCTGAGGGTACGTAAATAAATTATTGCGGAAATTAAATAGCTGTTTTGGATTATGTTTTTGATTAAGACTGTTTCAGTTTTGGCCGTTGCCTTCAGACCAGACGGCAGTGAAGTGGCTGTTTGTGCTCTGAATTGTACCATTCATTTTTACGAGCCCGTTTCTTCACTACAAATCGGGCTGATTGAAGCTAAAGCTGACCTTGGCCGCTTTCGCCGGGAAACCGATATGGTATCAGCCAAAACGGCATCCCAGGGAAGGTAAGCTATCGATTACTATCCTAATTATCTCTGTAATTTCATTCATTTAAACCTTTGTAGATGCATTCCATTATTTCCATAAAAGATTTACTGGTGCTGTATTCGCTGTAATAATACCTGTTGCAGGTCGTTTACAACTTTGTGTTACTCAGCGGATGGCTCTTGGATCTTAATAGGTGGTCAGACGAAGTATATCTGTATTTATCACGCGAAGGAACACGTTTTACTTCGCCGGTTCGAAGTATCAAAAAATTGGTCATTCACCGGACTGACGGTAAGGATTTCGGTTTTTTAGTACGAGTACGTAAACGCGGTTTGTGCTTACTGAAACTTTGCAGGAATTCCTCAGTCGCCGTACGAATACTGAATTCGGTGCCCGTGCTATGATGGATGTGGAGGAAGATGATTCGGATCGCCGAACACTCAGCTTGCCCGGTGTGAAATCTGGCGACATGGCTTCACGCCATTTTAAGCCGGAAGTCAAGGTCTACTCCGTCCAGTTTTCACCAACCGGTACTTAACTTTCGATTTTCTTCCCTGTTTTAGTGATTAGCGTTCTTAGTATTAGACAATAACTTATTTACACTTATGGTATAGTTTGCAGTGGTGCAGCTCGTATCAGTACAACAAAAAAGTGAAAAACGGAGGAACTGCTTTCCTTGTTCGCATAGATTTTGCAGATATGGTATTGCAGCCCGTAATTTGTGGTAGTTACTTTACTCTGCAATCTGTGAAGTAGCTGTTAATGGTTTATATTTATGTTTTTCCTTTTCTAAAGGATATTCGCTTTGTTGCAGGTCAATCTTGGGCTGCTTGCACAACGGAAGGCCTGTTAGTATATTCAACACACACAGACGAATTATTTGATCCTTTCGATCTTGACCCTTCCATTACGCCAGAAAGTGTCAGGAACGCTTTGCACTCTGTACCTTGCGATTATGGCCGGGCAGTCATCATGGCATTACGACTGAACGAGCTAAATTTGACGACAGAAGCTGTGGAGTCGGTTCCCGTCACTGAAAGTAAATGGTGTTTGGTTACCATATTTTCTTTATATGTGCACTGCGCAGCAATATCTTTGTTGCAGTACCCTTAATCAGCCATGCTATCGGCGAACGATATGCCCGGGTGCTTCTTGAGTTTTGCGCTTTGCAATTGGATCGATCACGCCATTTGGAGTTTTACTTGACATGGATTCAAACACTGCTATTCGAGTACGGTGCGGCACTGAAAAGAAATTCTGCAGCCATCATGCCCCTGCTGCATCTACTGCAGAAAGCTCTTATGAGAAAAAAGGATGACTTTCTCAAACTGTAAGAAAATTAAATTGTTATTGTATTTGTAGTACTTTGTATTACGCTTTCTTTATATATTGACTGAATGATCGTCTGATTATCACAGTGTCATCTTTTGGAAACACTGTTTGTAACAAATATCAAATCTTTTTTCAGCGCCCAGCGAAATGCCTCGTCGCTGAAATATGCCGAAGTTTTGATGAAACTGGCGCAAGCTGATTCCACAACAGAATCTGTGATGCAGGAGTGAAGTGGATGAACCGAAGATTGCGTGTTCAGAATTGTTGCTTGTGTTAAATATCGAATTTTGTTTGACTTTTGTTGTCTATGGTTTCGTAGTCAATAATCGTGCCGATTCGTGCGTGTAACCTATTCAAAGTTAACAAGTTTTGAAAAGCCGGAATTATTGTTATTCCCGTTGTTGCTTCATATATAGATATATCTGTACGTACAAAACTGACCACGACTGCGGGTTTGAGGATCGCAACTCCTGTATTTATTTCGACTTCGTGCGAAATGGCTTCCACATTTATGTACAAAAAGGCAGCAACAGAAGATTCAGGAATCAGGAATTTTAGAAAAGTTTAGCAAGATCATAACAGCCATCAGTTGCTTCTGCAACGACTCAGAAAATCCAAAGAAGATAAGCGTTTCCAGTTAATTCTTGTGAACTGAGCCCAACAGGCAGGTCCACAATATCACAGCCACTATTTGAATCACCGCGGTAGACCGAAATGATACTAACTACAATCATGCCCCGTATTCCTGGGCAGCCGCATGCAGTTGACAAAATCTTTTGCACGATGGGCAGTTCACCTTTTTTCCGCGGTATGCGAGATCACAGTGGGAATTTGTTAGCTTTGTTTCCGACAATGGGCATAATGTGCTCGTTTCCAAGGCGAACGCCAAATCAGCAATAGTCTGGAAGCTGACCACTTTGCGAACCGAAAAATCTCCGGGAGTGTACGGGCGATTCCGCACAAGAATCTTTATTTCCAGCCGAGCCGAAACTGCGACAGTAAAAAGGGTTTCGAAGGTATCAGGATCCAGTCGCAGAAAGACAACCGTGCTTCCCTTTTCCAATACGCATGCGTTCCAAAACGGTGGAAGGCGCACCAGATCCAGATTGCTCTCCAGCCTCGTATAATCGAACAAATCTTCCACTGTCCGTGCAACTACTTTGCACTCAATTTCGGGTTTCTGTGTGCAAACATCTTTGCGTCCAGTTTCCCCAGTGGAAGCATCTTCAGAAATGTAATCATCTACTTCGTCGGAATTGCTGCTCTTCTTGGAGCGTTGGGCATCACTGGTTGCGTGGAGGAGTCGTTTACCGCGTCTCAGAACCAGTGGCTTGAATTCCTTGCTGCTGTCGAGCAGTGGTGAGTGGTTGGCGAAATTAGAGTTAGGTTCGACGCCCAAGATTCCAGCAGGCTGTAATGCAGCATGACCCGGCGCGATAGTTGGCACTGCAGTGGACTTCAGTCTCAAACGTTCTGTACAACCTTCTTCAGAACAGTCTTTAAGGAAATGGTCAGAACACAGATATGAATAAGTGGAGGGTTTCCCCGAAGGACCGCGCCGCATGAAAGCGATCCACAGCGACCGTCGATATGCATCGTGTCTGGGATCAGGAAACTTATGAAACGTCCGAACACAAGAGATTGTTGACTGATTGCTTGGCCGAACGTTTGGGCAGGCAAATGCTGAACAACGACGACCGCCCATTCCTCGACAATTCAAATAAACCGCCAGAAACCCACTCACACCAAAAACAGTAAAACAATGGCTTATCTAGATACGGTATTACAGCGTGTGTATATTCAGCCACTCTGAACCGGAACCGACTTGCTAGCCGTGCTTCGTACTCGTAAACTGTATGCTCGTACTTCTCGTCGCCCTGCCCGTCGGGTTTCTGATTGGATCGTAATTAAACCTCACCAATCAGATAGCAAATTCCATGCTCTTTCTAATGGTGTATGGTGTGCCCGAAATACCACTAAGCCGAACCGTGCAAACAGTCGTAGACCCTCTTGCACACTGCGAAATCCAGTGTTCTTCTCCATTTATCTTTCGAATCAGTGGCCTAAAGTAGAAGTAAACCAAGTTTAAATGATATTTAATATTAAGTTCTTCAAACTTTTTTCGAGCTTATTGGAGAGAAATCCCCGAGTTCTTCCGAATCTTCGAAACTGTGACCCACCATTTAAACGTTGTGTTTCTCGGTTAGGTTCTCGAACCATGGCATACTGACAGACTGCTTTATACTGTGTTTGCCTGAGCTAAAACGTAAAAATTAGGTTTAAACTTTTATAAAACTGCAAGTGTCTAGCAAATGAAGCTTTTTCTGAGTTTTGGGAAGTCGCCAAAGATGACCTAAAAGCGTCTGAAAGTTGATGGGCGACGTTAGGGCTACCGCACACCGGGATAAGCTCAAACGGAAGTGAATTCTAATGGTGCTACTGGCAGTGCGCATTCAGTTACTTTTCTGTTTGGCACGGCTAAATTTCGTGCTTCCCCATAGACCCTATGCTGTAGCGTGTATTGGTAGTTTTTTCACTTTTGCATCAAATTCGTTATGTTTTTTTGTATTTGGAAGATTCTAAAAAATTCTAGATTTTTTTCTCTACAAAACTGATACACATACGCCCAGAGTTACCAAGTGTGACAAAAGTGGATTTTCCCTAATACCGTATCTAGGCTTATCTACAGATACACGCTAGTCACTAGTACTTATCACTTAATTGTAAGTTATGTATCATTTTACATTCATAATACATAACGCCAACGGTAAAATTGCAATTAACCGTAAAAATTTGAAACTTGTACAGTAACAATAATCAAGTAACATAACTATATTAAAATTTTCTCAGGCTTCTTTTGAAAAAACGGGCTTTGTGTCACATATGTATTATTGTACACATTCCAGGGCCACAGACTGCAAATAATAAAAAGTCGCTGCACATTCCATAGTTTTTCAGGAGCCGACTGCCACCCGCGGTCTGTTAAAGTAAAATAATATCATCTAGATCAAACTCTTTGCAATTTGCATGTATTTGGTGTATTATTAATTTTTAGTAGCGCAAGCGAAGCACAGCACGAACGTTTTCGTTTTTTTAATAACTTCACCACTTTTAATAATGCAGTCACACGTTCAACTGCATATTTAGTAATTTACGCTGTATTTTTAAGCTCTGACCGCAATCCACCATATAGCAAAGATATGCACAGTTTGCAAACCATTGAAAACCAACATTTGTACGAAAGCTCTACCGGAGTAATACACCAACTGAAAACCGAGCATAATATTTTAACACCAAGCATCCATCCACACAGGTTTTGATTATCAAGCGTCCGACAGTCCCGCCACACCAGGAAGCGTTTTGCCTGCAATCAACAGGTAGAAATGTAATAGAAGTTATAGAACTAATTATCCCGAATCAGCTTATATGAAAGTGAAAGCAGAACAGTTTACCTTCCAAGAGCTCCAGACTAGCCCCTCCTCCGGTGCTAACATGGCTGACCTTATCTTCCGCACCGAAATTGGCGGCTGCCGTAGCGGTGTCCCCTCCACCGATCACCACTACAGCGCCCTTTTTGCAGGCTTCAACAGCTGTACCCATAAGCGATTTGGTACCATTGGCAAAACTATCCCATTCAAAAACTCCAACAGGACTGTAATACAATATTGGTTAATAAAAACTATCATGTACATGATAGTGAAGCTCCAATACTGGTACACCAAACTAACTAACTGCAAAATATGTAATTAAAACTATTATACAATCGAGTGCTCACCCGTTCCAGATAATAAGTTTGGCCTTATTGACCACTTCCTGGAATTTTTTGATACTTTCGGGTCCTATATCCATGCCCATTTGACCATCCGGAATTCCTTCGGCAGCCGTTGCCGCGCCCACTTTAGCACCTTTCTCGAATTTATCGCCAGTAACGAAGTCGACCGGCAGATGGATCTGAACATTCTTCGATTTGGCTTTATCCATCAAATTCTGCACAATTTTCGATCCTTCTTCGTCAAACAACGAGTTTCCAATCTAAGAAAAACAGCCTATGCAAAACAGTATATGTACCAGTGCAGTTTTGTACAGTTGCACGGTTGCACCAGTCAAAAACTTTCCGAATTTATTGCAAATCGTTGCACTACACGTATGTACCTTCATTCCATTCAGTTGCTTCAAGAAAGTAAATGCCATGCCTCCTCCAATAATTAATTCATCCACTTTATCCAGTAAGTTTTCAATAAGCTGGATCTTATCCTTAACTTTTGCACTACAACAGCAACAGAATTTTTAACAATAATTTTAATGATAATACGCAACAGGAATTCACGCATCATGCTGGCAATAGAAGTCTCAACATACCCTCCCAAAATAGCAAGAAACGGGTGATCTGGCTTCTCCAAGCAACGTGCAAACATTTCCAATTCTTTCTTCATAAGGAAGCCAGCAGCTCTCTTATCGTGTTTCACTCCCACCACGGAGCTAAAATAAATGGGAAATGCTAAACAAAATTATACAACTACGAGAACTACTTAAAAAAGAAAAAAAGAGTAAGACACATACTGATTTTCAATTAATTTCTCGACAAAAGTGGTGCCGCCACTTAAGAAAACTGTGAAAAAAATATTTACACGAAGAGCAGAAATTCCGTATAAAATATCAGTGAAAAGAAAAATGGAAAGATAGATATATCAGTACGAACGGCTGCAGTACCTGTGAGCTCTGTGCGCAGTACCAAAAGCATCATTAACATAAACGTCGCCCAGTTTCGTCAGCGACTGCCGGAACTGCTCCACCTTCTCCTTATCGGCCTTCACTTTCTTTCCAGAGTCATCTACCATACTGCCTTCCTCTTCGGGGTGGAATCGAAGATTTTCCAAGAGGATAATTTCACCATTCTGCGCTTTGCTGCAGTGTTCTTCCACTTCTGCTCCGACGCAGTCAGGCAGGAACGTCACTTTCCTAAACCGTCATAACTCAATGCAGTGCAACAAAAAAACGAATGAACAGATTGATGCACACTTGTTTAACAGCTTCTCCAGCTCGGGGACAATTGGTTTCAGGGAGTACTTGTCCTTCTTCTGTCCATCCGGCCGACCCAAGTGGCTCATCAGAACCACGGATTTTGCTCCATGATCCACGGCGTACTTGATAGAATCCAGCGCGGCAACAATACTGTAACCCGCAGCATTCGCATGAACGCCAATTAAAGAGATGAAAATCTGTGCAGAACTACCGTTGGTTGTTGGCAACTTCGCCATTGTCCTTTTGGGGCACGTTGAAATCCACCCGCATGAGGACGCGTTTATCCTTCAAGTCCAGCTTATCAATGGCTAACTTGTTACCGATCGACATTTTCGGCTTGGTGCACGGTAAGATTCGCTCTAGCTTCGCCGAAGCTCTAGAGAAAAACTTTTCAACCGGATTTTGGTTCAGAAGCCTGGAGAAGCGAGAAATTCTAGAGTGCGCCAGCTGTGCGTCCCGGAATTCCCTGGATTTGAGCAATAGCGATGATATCCGATCTAGGTGTTACTTGCGCTACTGTATACAAAGTTACAAACCGGAAAGGCGTGGTCGGCTAGAATTCAATATACTGCTGCGCGCAGGCGGTATTACTAGTGACAGTAGTAATACTGCAATTTTGCAATGTGAACAGAAGGAACAAACGGAGTTGACCTAATCACTCTTTTTCTTTTCGTTGAAAGCCGGAAACCTCCAGGATCATACGCTCCCAAATATTTTTCCCACTTTTGCTCTTTTGGCGTAATTATTGGAAGGTAAAATAGAAACGGTACCCACTGTAGCATGCAAGAAATGTGTAACATACTGTAGTAATGTACTAACAAGCTTAAAGGCTTTGTGCGAACCCATCAATCAAACCTACATAATTCCTAAAGTGGTCCTGTTTACCTGTAGACATTCCTATGGTATAGTCCTGCAGGTGTGGGATACTATCGATCGCAACCACCAATGATTATGGACACGGCTGTTTGTATTGCGTACTGTACATATGTACATGTGGAGCAATCGAATTATGATTTATCCACAGTGTGAAAGTTGAAACTGTGGATATCCATATTAACTAATATGTAAGAATGTGAAATTCTCTTTCGCTTTCTTCAAAAATGGACGGATCCAGTCTAGCGCAGCAATTTCTAGGGAAGCAGATTTACGTACAACGAAAAATTGCCAAACCCGAAATCGACCTGAACGTTCAGTTCGAGCTTGTAGATAAGCCGAAGAATAAATGTTATGCCGTTCGAATCGCAGCCACGGTTGCGCTGGAAGGAGCATGGATCAGTTGCAGTGCACCGATTCATTTTCTTGTGCCGGCCACAGCATCGTACGAGATGACCAAAACCGAGTCGGAAACAGAACAGAAACTGGGTAACAAATTCAATGCCACATTGCGTTTCCGCCCGAACTGTACCAGTGCGGAATTCTGTTTTCGCACCGTCGAAGGATGCAGCGGTTTCTTGGAGATCTTCGTATCCGCTGTCAACAGCACCGGCCGATGTACACAACGGGAAACCATTCGTATTGCACCGCTGTCAACGTATCGGCGGATTTCTGCGGTTGACCAGAGCAGGTACGTTTTAACTGAAAACTGTCTGAGATGAAGGGTAAAAAACTAACTGTAAGTTCACAACACATGCTGTACTACCCGCATCGTAGTTTTTTACGGCTGGGTTTTTTTGGTTATTGTTTGTTTTACTCGTGCGTATAAATGTAAACTGACGGGTGAACTTGTTTTAACAGTTTTGTGTGACAACAGGCATCTGAATGGCAATAAGTATTTCATTGCAGGAGTTTTAACATACTTCAGATCAAGGGAACTTTCAGCCCGTTGAAAGTGCAGTCTTGGATGAGCAGCTGCTTTGAAGACATAGAAAAACTTGGGTACAAATTATCGGACCATGAAGGAACATTTAGCTTTGAATCTATTTTGCTTGGATCGCACCTTTTGTGCCAGATCAAGTACGTATGTTTACCAGTTAGTATATGTATCATGTACCATTCAAAAAGGATAATAAGTATACATGTAATAATGTGCGGTATCTGGGAGCCGCTTAGTGCTAACTAAACTGTCAAAAATGATTGTTCTCAACTTCTCATATAAGTACTTAGACATTTTACCGCTTCTCCGATGGCAGCGTTCTACAAACCTTTTGGTCACTTTCAGTCGAGTAAAAAGCACACTGCCGCTATTTGCTAAGCTACGATAAAGACCACGTAGATAAAGCAGAGTAAATATTATCATATCATTTAAAAAATTACTGTACGATGCAGGAACGAAATCTCTGAATTAGAAACATCGCTCGGCCATGCACTCTGTAATTGATCTATTAAAAGTCACTCGTACTAAGTATGACCTTTGCGTTCTGCATACTTACCCCTTGGTCGTATGCTTTACTGCATATTAGAGTAAGCTTACGTAATTTATTACTGGGTTGCTCCATAAAGTCCAGATTAAATAACATGGGACAATGATTTGTGAACTTTTGGATGCCGTATGTTATTTTGTGTGCGGTTGTCTCCATGCTCGGTTCACAATATCTGCCGTACGAATACTCGAGAACATTTTTCGGTTACCCACTTTCATACGGAGAAGTTGTGGTTGCAGTTAGTAAATTTTGCTTGATCGGATATTAGCACCGTGCAATGATATAGTAATAAATTTCGTGTTTCGGCCGGTGAGTGTATTTACAACTAACACTTCTCAATTCTGAAAGGTTGCAATTGCTCTGCTTTTTTATTCAACAAAGGCACTTTTCATTAACAATCGTCCACAGTTGAGCGTGATAAACATTGGTCGAATGTACAACAGTACAAGCACCATAAAGCATACTTTTTTTAGGTTCTGCAACGCCACCTGACGTACTGCAGCTGATCAATTTTCGAGCTCGGTTTTACTTTACGCTCATTTTAGGGAAGAGGAGCTGGTTTTCCATTGTGAAAATCCCACGACATTGGCCGTCCTAATGCAGTTTTTCACCCGCCAAGCGACACAAGAGAAGACCAAATTGGATATTCGTCCAAGTATCAATCCACTTAAAACCGCCAAGTGCGGCGCCCTCGACATTTGGATGATCGACAATGTTATTAAATATTTGCAGAGATCGTGCCGGAGACATGTGCGGATACACTGGCTCGCATTGACCGGATTCTGGCTCCCATCAGCGGACGGGATAACATTAAAAATCTCCGGCAAGCCGTCACTGTACGTGAGATTAGCTAACTGCACAGTGCAGCGCGCATGAATTATTCATCGCGCATTAAATACCGCTACCGATTGCATGCAATGCGTTGCACACACTGCAGGAGATAACGGCAGCCGAGGGCGCGGAATCAATGCTGCATCCCGCTTTCCGATCGGACGGCTGGAGAAAGCTGCAAGGCATCGACAGCGGAGTGGATGGCGATTGCGAAATCAGCATTGATTTCATGCATGATATCCTTTTTCCCGTCACTACCATACCATGTCGCGATTAATGGGTTTCCTTTATTCCCTGGTGTTTAACTCTAATTGTAGATCTTATGAAAGATTACGCCAAACTCTGCGGGAGAAGCATCATGCAACGATTACCGGAGCTGGCCAACATTCTCAGCAACGATTATTCCCTGAGAAATCTGCACAATTTCCTCAACTCTGTTTGAACACTGTGAATTACTGACTCATTGACGAGATGACTGTTTGCATTTCTGCAAATAACGACAAAAATAGAAAGCCATCATCAAATCGATTATTTGAACGGATGTTGCAGCAGAAGAATACGCATTTACAAAGATACAGTAGTTGCCGTTGTAACGCATAAAATCTTTATTTAACTTGTTCTGTTGACCAGTGAGCACAATAAAAACAATAGTCAAAATTTCAATTTACAAACCCGCTTAACTCAGATTTCAAATTTTCAGAGTGATACTTATGGTTAGAAAATAAAATTATGTGAAACAAAAGGTCAAATTATAAAATACATAAACAAAATTGTTTAACAAATGCCAAGGAAAACACGTATATAATTCTGTTTCCTTCCTGTTGATCACAAACCAATGTGGTCTCATAAGAGGTGCAATACAAAATTTATCCCGCCAATCGGTTGAATTTCGTTGTAAAATACGCAACTGCGTTGTGGTCAGGAAGTCAAGTGTCACAGTGGAACATTGATGGTGTCCGTCAGGGTTTGCAGTAAATCCCAATGAAATACGTGGCGCACCAGGATATTAAAAAGGCCAAGAGCAGAGAAAAGTGCCATAGCTCTTAACGCCTGCGCACTGCGCCGGAACGGTGTGATCCTGTCAACAGACTGGGATTATTTCAAATTTTGGGATAATAATGCCTTAATAAGATTATTAGCACACCTTCCATCGCTATTTCTGCTGTAATCCACGAAGTAATTTTCCCTTTCGTATAAATAGTAAAGGCCAAGCAGCGAGGCCGGCACTGCAACAGTTACGTAAAATTAACAGAATGCATAACCTTTCCGGTTCTGGCAACTCGTCATTATAAGTTACAGTGCTAACTCCCGCAAGCTAGATCAGATCCGTTATTAAAAGCTACCGTAGTAATTAAAGTGCAACTAGTAGTACAATAGTTATTGTTTTTGTCGTCTCTTACACTGATGGAAAAATATGCCGGACAGCCACAAAACAGTCATAAAAATCGGGAAAAACTCCAAACAGTTTTGCCTGCAAGTAGAATAAATTACACATCATAGAGAAAAATAATTAACTAGACAAGCCGCCACAAAATAAAGTAATGCTAGAGAGAAACTCCTTTCAAAAATCATTGGTATATTTCTGTCCCTGGATTGTCATTGCCATAATTATTGAGCAGGTTAATAATAATAAATACTTCTATACAGTATGAAAGGGGAGGTGCATAATGCCGGCAGTCGGCTAATGAAGAGGATAATGATCGCACACCTTCCGTCATTCCTTTTTTGTATAAGAAATGGAATGTACAAACAGCCCAATTTGTATGGGCCAATATGCAACGGAAATCACAACACTACCCGTTAGAGCGACCAAAATAAGCCGACCGGAAATCTACATGGCTAATAATAAATGTAACAGAAGCGCATCATATTCCGATATAAAAACTGTTACTCTTACTGGGCTCGAAAGCATCTTTGGAAAGCTTCCTCTCCGTCAATTCGTGGTGGTGTAATTTTATATTTTCGTCTGCAGTGACCGACCCTTTTAGCAAAACTTGCTAAAAAGAAAGAAAAATATGCAGCGAATTTTCCCTATGCGATTTATAAAAATTTAGTAAAAAGTGCAATTAAATGTACCTTTACCGCTCTGAGCTTCTATGAACCAAAATACTAAACTGACTAAACCCACACAAGCAATGTTTCCCTAAGTGAAAAGGTACAAAAAGTCGTGTACTTGTAACTTATCGCTCGTTTGACTGGCATTTTTCTCACCTAGCTGGAAACCGGAAAGCAATGTTACGACTCCGACGAGGCATAAAGTGTCCTGATTGATTGACTTGGTCGGTATCTGGAGGAAATGGGATAAAGGCGGCATATTCAGGTCCAAATGCAACGTTTGTTGCGATGAAAGTGAATAAGTTATATCTATATGTGGTAATAACCAGGAAAATGTTTGCAATTCACAACAATGCAAAGTGTCAGGCACAAAGGTATAGCGCAGGACTGAGCGTTTTCAATTGGCAAACCGAATGGTTTGCATGGTCCACATCCGGAAAGTAATGAATATGCAACACCGGTCTTTCCTGTAACACATGCAGCTGTGAGAAACAGGACTGCTTCCTGTAGATGCCTTCCAATCGCTCTGTTTAATCTCTCGTATGGCTTCCAGCCGGATACATGGCGAATAATTTGTTCCCTACTGCGCAAAATTGTATGCGTTTGTTTGGGTTTGCTGTGACTTGTGAGTGTACAAATCCCGATGCCTGGTGCAGTACGTACGTGCCACATCTAGCATGCATACGTCACCCATTCCCGAGGGTGGCTGTATGCTTTGCCCCTTCCCCCCTGAATGGCAGTTTCATTTACCTTAAACGTTAACGCTACCAGTGGCAAGTTGCAACTTGCAGGTTAATTTAGCTGTTTGCTCCGGGCAGCTACTGTAATTATCTTTTCTTCAGCAGAAGTTTTACGTGTTTTGTCGGACAGACGTTTATTGGTAAAACCAGTTGATTTTTCTGTAAATTCCCGTGGAATTCTGCGGTCTCAGTGATATCTTCGAATCCCGAAGTATCACCGTTGACTTGTGCGGAAAGGCTCGTTGTGGATGTTGCGAACTTGCCGTTAGTTACGATCGCCTCTGTTGACTGAACTGGTGTATCTCCTCTTCTTGGATCTCAAAGTAACAAAATCTGCCAGATCCATTCTCCGCATGCATTGTTGATTGTTAATGTTCCCAACTTCCCACCATGATACGTTCCATCCACTCTCTCCCGTGTACGAATTTGCTGCGAATCCAAGACGTGTTCAGGTTGGGATGCAGAACCTGCCGTAAGTCATGAGTGCTCTTACCACCACTGAAGACGTTAAAATTACTGTAACTGTTAAACTGCAGACATTCTGTTCAGTCCGTGTTATTTTGCCAAAACGTATGTGACTAACCTTCTGCCGTTTGCTTGCAGAGTATTACCACACCGTCGGCTTTCCCTTCGCGATATCGACACAAAGCTCGTGGCAGTGGTACGTGAAGCGCAGCGTCGTTGCGCGAATCACGCATGTCCGCTGTGCGAGCACGACGCAGCCCGCCGAAGGCAGTGCGACGCCGAAGAGCATCGAAGAGTCGGACCGGGCCAAGGCGGAGGCGAAGAGGATGCGGCGGGTGCCGATCGACTACAGCCAGGCCTACACGGACAACAACTACATTCCCGCTGTGCGTGCCCTGACGGACTACCTTTTGAAACCCAAGTAGACGCGCCTTGCTGCTCTTGCACCGTTTTTACTGCGCACTGTAGGGCGGCCTGCATTTGCAGAGATCTGGAGAATCTGCGGAAGACCACACGACGCAGCCCGGTGACGGATACCCCTCCTTTGACCGTGTATTTGAGGAAAGATGTCGAGCAACGGTAAGGACTGCTTATCTAAGACGAACGTAATTTATCTCTACGTACGCGCAGTGCGATAAAGTATTTTGCATACTTTATCGTTGAAGTACGCAAAATAATAATTTTGCATGATATTTTCTCTTCGTGGATTTAGTGAATTACTGCAAAATTTTATTAGAGTTTCGGGTTTTATACTCTCCTGCATACTCTTGCACTTTTTATTCGACTACGAAATTGTTCAGAACTCGAGGGAGTTGTTGCTTAAAGTCGTATGATAGCTGTTTTAAAAACCGATAAAATAGCGTTTTTCTTCCGTTTTGCATCGGGATATTTGTATATTACAAAATATTTTGCGGGAAAAGTCCACAGTTAGCATTGAAAAGTACTACTTTTAAAAAAAAGCACAAACAGTTGTAAGTTACACGATTTTTCTCGGGCAAATGACAAGCATGTAATGTATTTCTGTCCCTTTAGAGCAGTTGAAGTCTGGGGAAGTATGGAAGCTCTGCAGCGAGAAAAGAAGAAAAAACGTGAAGCCGATGTGGAATACAATTTGCGTAAGTATAGTTCTTACTGGTTGTTTTGTGTTTCTTTTCTTGCAGATGTCGCTGATGTTTGTCTCGTTTTCAGAGGTTTCTAACGTTAAGCGTCTTTTGCGGGATATTGCCAGAGGACGCGGCCAAGAAGGGAAACAGGAAGATCGAGATGCTTTTCAGGTTGGCATTGGCTGTTAACTTGTTGACGGTCCGAACGTTTATATGCTTATATGAAGGACGTTCTTACAGAATGATATGTTGAAAGGATCCAGGAGAGTTGTATATTCCGCTATTGTGATGTAAGTTTGTAGTGGTCGTACATAGACTATGTTTAGATGTCTGCTGTAAAATGCGTAACTCTAGCCCTCTGTTTTCTAACAGAAACGCCGCAAATTTTGCTTTCAAGTTTTTGGCCTGGTTATACACGGGTTCGCACAGTATGTTTGCTGAATCTATCCATTCATTCGCGGATACCTGCAATCAGGTGAGAAAAATGTTTTTGATCTTTATGTAACTATGGATAAAATTGTTATATTGGCATTCTAGATTATTTTGGGCGTTGGTCTGATGGGATCCGCAAAAAAACCGGATCGACTGCATCCGTATGTACTGGATGCGCATTTTTAGTTTCTACCTTCTAGCATGTTTCGTGATATTAAGTCTGTAATGCGTAGCCTTGTGCTATTAGAACTACGTGAGAAATTGTCAGATTACGAAAATAAACTTCTTTGGAGCTATAAACAACTTCTTTACGTTAGAACAACCGTTCGCAATATCTGTAAATGACAAAGTTCTTTATCACTTGATGTTTGAGCCTGAAAATCGTTACCTGGATGTGTTTTCGAACAGTTCCTGATATGATGCAATTTGTAGATACGGATATTCTAGTTTGCGGTATGTGTCTTCCTTGGTCAGTGGCTTGGGAATTTTCTTCTTTGGATTTGGATTATCTGTCTACCACGGAATAATGGGTTTAATCCATCCGGCACCGGTGCAGTCGTTATATTGGGTATGTACAGTTACAATGACTGGGTGGTGGGTGTTACGTTTACATTAAAGAAGGCTTTCTAGCCAAATGTTTTGTCAGTATCACTTTGTATTCGTTAAGAATTACGTTACTGTTAGAATTAAAAGTACGCTCGCGGAGCTTGCGTGTGTTGTACAAGTATCCATTATATGAAAAAGGTTTCAACTTCCCGGGTAGATATGGGTAAAAAAGTGTAGGTCGGCTTACGATTTCGAAATTGCGATTCCCGGTTGCGTGCAAAGCAGTGTTGCTGAAATTTGAGTTTTGAGATTACACTGATTTTTTCATAATCGTCTTCTTGTAGGCATTTTTTGTTTTGGGTGGATCCCTTTTATCGGAAGGAGGTGACGAAAAAAGTTTTTTTTTCGTTTCCAAATGTGTTTGTATTGTATTTTGCTAATGGTTGTAGGCACATTGATGGTTGCACTTGGGCAAATTCGCAAACATGCGCGGCAACAAGGGGTTACTGTATGGAATTACGGTAAGTTTTAAACCGTTAGTTGCTGTTTACATGTGTTAATAGCTGCGGCTGGAACCTTAATCATCTCTCGCAATTTCGCTCCAGTTTTGCGTGGTCAGGACCCCAATGTTAACGTGGTTCTACTGGAAGATCTAGCGGCCGTCCTCGGCGTGGGTATTTGTGGATTGTCCATGGGTTTGGCCACACATTATAACAGTCATCTACCAGACTGTATCGGATCACTGTGCATTGGAGGTTTGTTGGGGGCGGTGGCTTCTTTTATTATTTACACCAACACTGTCGCTCTTGTGGGAAGGTGAATATTGAAAGCATCTTTTTAAAAAAATTGTCTCTCACCGCATCTGGCTCTTTTAAAGGTCAATTCCGCTGGATTTACAGCAGGATCTAACGAAAGTTCTGGAAAGCGATGTCCTTGTACGGTGAGTCCGTTTTTCCGCTTGATTTCTGCTTGAATAGTGAATTTGCTTTGGTGATTATGACCGGATCAAGATGTCATTAAGTGTGTGTTTGTGGCTTGGTAGATCGGTGTATGATGTGAAAGCGATTGATCTTGGTGGGCTGAATATTCGCTATAAGGCGGAAATTGATTTTGATGGTCGCCAGTTAACACGCTCATATCTCGATAAGCAGGATATGGAAAGGATGATGGAGGTTGGTATCGAGCTGAAGGCAAATATTGTATTTGTGGGCTTAGTAGGCCTCTTAGTGAGCCGCATTCATTATGCAGCAGCGCTCACTGCGTAAACTATGTAAATGAATAGGCCCAGTTTCTGCAGCAATTTTGTAGTTTGTATTACTCTGTATGGCGGCGCTGCCCAATATGTCAACAGCTTTCATGACCTCCTTTTGATCTTGTGCAGGAAGTGCAGAATATTAAAACGATCGACGAGCTGGAGAATTTCATGAGTAAACACGGCGAGAACATTGTTGATCTGCTGGGATCCGAAGTCGATAGAATCGAAGCCAATCTCAAGGTAATTATGGAGCGAATAGGTTTTGACTGTTTGCTAACTGTGCACGTGCTGTAAATTTGGGTTGTGAAAAACGAAACGAGATTTCGAAATCTTTCTTAGTTTAGCGCATAAACGCCAAGGATTAATTACCTTAATGAAACCTTAATTCCGTGAAAAGGTGTGCTTCAGAAGTTTCACCGGTTTCGCTTGCAGAAAAAATATCCGGAAGTACGCCACGTTGATCTTGAAGTTCTGTGATGTAAATACCGTATACGGAAAGATTTTATGCATTTGATTACCTTGGATGTTGAACAGTATGGTTGCTTCCGGGACATGCCTTTGGAACTTGTTGGAAGATTTTATTCTCCTGTTTTTATTTGTTAGAAATTGAACATTATTGTTTATATGTATGCGTCTGTTTGGTCAAACCGTTTGAAATCCCGGTCCGGTTTGTAACAAATTTGTTGTGTTAAAGTGATCTGAGCCATCGGTAACAAGGAAACAAGGAGCAGATGGGCACTGGGCAGTGTATAAAAGTTGGATTGTGCATGCACATGCAGTTAAGCACGCATTCGCCTTTGATCAAGTAAATTCGGCAACTTGTATTTTAGGCCCGAACTCTCAGTCTCACGCATTCATTACACAGGTATTTTAAACCAGAACCACACAAATAAATATAGCTCAGACAATCTTCACCGAAAAAAAAAACAGAAAAAAAGCAAAAATAATAAATCAAAACTCTGCAAATCAGAAAATTGCTCCACGTTTCTAATATCCAGATCGGGGCAGTTATTGCACAGTGTATTCCCGGAAACATCCCTGGTTCTCATCGTTCGTCGTTACTTCTATCACAATCGGGGGCGAACGTGCTAATCAACAACAAAGCGCTACAAAAAACGAACGAAAACCATGCACGGATGCAATCTTTTCGTCCCGTTTCTCTCTCAACTCTTTTTCGTCCGTTCTTAAGAAAATTCCGGCGGAGGCGCAATACTCACACCGTTCGATTCGTAATCTAAAGTAGGATTAAAATCTAAGGGCGGAACTGGTACTAATTCAGGTAAGATGTCTATACTTGGACTGAATTTATTCCCATACACCGGGCGCAGTACATGATGATGATCCGTCCACAAATGTTCACCGGTTGAACCGTACTTCAGCGTCGGAGATTCATACCCGGACGACAATGTCGACGCCGAGGACTGTGAATTGATGGAGGCGGAATCATGGTCACGCAGGTATGTGTTCACTCCCGTCGTGCGAAACACACCGAACCGGGTGGCGGTACCCTCGTCGATCTCACTGTAGCCGCTGCTGGCGTCCCCCACCAGCAGTGCACCCACCGTGTGACATGTGTCAGGTTTACCCGCGCGAATACTGACATTCATCGGCGACGTGACAGCTGCTGCATTCCGCCCATATGACACGTCTGTGCCACTTCGAACATCACCGGCATCCGGCACGTTATCCGTCGAGGACTGATCGTTGGTGATGCCGGTGATTCTGACACTCCGCGGTCCACTCACTGTCTGTCGCTCAAGAAAACTAATCCGATCTTTCACCGATGATGCCGCTGCGTTGTTCGCCGTATCGTCTTTCGTGTTAACCGCGTCAACATCCGTACTACTCCGCCGGCTCTCGCTATCACGATCCTGACTGCGCCGCTGGATGGCGCGCATCAGCTCCGACTGAAACCCGTCCAGTTTGGGCGTGGCAGTTCCCACGGGCGTGGACGCTGCCGCAGCCGCAGCGGCAACCGGTTGCACCGGTTTCAGGGGCACGGCCGACGGCGTCGGCTGGCCACCGCCCTGGGCGTCCGCTTTCGCTTGGCGGGCCTGGGCGGCTTTGGCAATTGCGGCGGCGAAGGAGGTTTGACCGCCCGTGGTGACAACGGGGGGCGGCGGGGGCGGCGGTGGATTGGCCATCATGCGGGCGCCGGTGGCCGGCACGACCTTGGTGGCGTGCATCGGGGTGGGCTTGGCCGTGGCGACGGTGGAGGTACTCCTGCCGGACGAGGCAAAGGACAACCGGTCTTCATCGCTAAAGTAATCCGGCTCCGGATCCTCCGGGGCGGCGGTGGGCGGGGCGTTGTAATAGCGCACCTGCGCGTATGCCCGTTCATCCAGACTTTGACTGGGTTTCATGGAGGTCAGCACAAAACGCGGTTGCGAGGAAGCACGGTCGGTTGAGCGGTTTAACGTGTGCTGCTGCTGTGCAGGAGGAGGATGGTGCACGGCAGCCGCGTGCGAAGGGGGACGGTTGGGCGGAAGGGGCGGCTTGGCACTGGCGGTATTATGATTCGCGATGATAGGCCGCGCGTATGCCGAATGCTCGGAGGGCGTGGTTGGAACGCTGCGGTAACCGTTGTGATGCGGTAACTGTATAAGCAGCCAATATGATCTTGTTGCAATTGTAGATGTCGATCAAACTTTGTTAAATAATGTCGTCAAACTCGGTATGTGGGTCAGTGTGTGAAAAAGCTATTTTTAATGAGCTGACCAAATATGTTTGTTAAAAAGATGGCATTCTCAGGCGTCAATGAGTACAGCGTCTGCCTTGGCACGCGCTTTAAAACAAATACGGATACTTATCACCGTGAAAAGACCGTGTAATCAACGGCAGTTGCTGTTTGGCTAACCAAACATCCTGACCATACAATTTATTCTATTGTTTGACAAGGAAGAGCATGCCGTGCCCAAGCGCGCTAACCGCAATCCGTAATCGACAAGTGACTGACCGCCCTGGCTGTGGCAATGCCAATTGACCGGCACAGCTAAGTGTCGCATAGTGCAAATTAGCGGCATAATTATCCGCCGACTTTTGCGCTCCCTACTTGTATGTCCACTGTCCACGCGATCAATAGCGGAAATCAGTAACTAACCTGTTGAGGACTATCGGGCACTTTGTTGAGCGTATGATAATTAGCCGCAACCGGGTGGTGGTGGTGGGCGTGGAAGACCGTGTCACTGTACAGCTCCTCGGTATCGTCGTTATTATGTCCACCGGCACCCGTCTCAAGACCGTCCGGTGCTCCTTCAGCGGACAAATCTGGAGTGCTATGGTAGTCTTTATGGAGACTGGCCGTACTAACGACATCCGTCTTGCGACGCTGCTGCTGAAGTGCCGCGCGTTGACGTTTCATGTGGGCTACACTCGTGAAGACGCGCGACGATGTTGAGGCTGCTGATGATGACGACGCTGAAGTGGGCAGATGGCGAACGGTGTCGGGCCGGTCGTTGAGAGGCAGCGGGGCAAATGACGATAAGTTGGGAGCGGGTGAACTGCGGCCCGTGGACGAGGCGGCACTGCCGCTGCCGCCGCCCGCACCGGCACCCTGTCGCACTAACAGCTCCTCAATCTCGCTGGCCGTTATGCGCTTCGATAAAGGTCGTGCGCGAATGGAGGCAATTTTTGCCGATTCACTGGTCATGGTGTCATGATTGGCTGCACCTAACAGAACACTTAGTGTATTGTTCAGGATCGTAAAGAATACGAAAAAAACGGCTCAACACTGGCACTTATTCATTTCCAGCCAGACCGATTATACTTCGGCTTATGCCCACCAACAAAACACTTGCTCCATTATGAACCTCTAGTTAACTTTGTCAACTGCGGAAATGACAACTGTAGACCTAATGTTCAAGCGCCAACAACAGCTTTAATGGTTCTTAGAAGCGAAGCAATAAACCTATTCATCCATAATATTAAGGTTAATTTCAATGCGCATATTGACGAGTGACGGTAAAACTGCAGCAACCGGAGTTACGGAGCCATTCGTTTCGGCGGAACCGAATTCTCACACTTACCGATATCGTTTAAGCCGACGTATGACCTCGCTCTTTCCGGACCAATGGTCAGCGCAGTTCGCGGGTCTCTCCTCGGAGGCGGGGGAATAGCCATGCGAGAATCTACAGTACGATCAACTAGTAAGATACATGGATAACAACTCCACAAGAAAAAAATTTACGATTTAAGCATTTTATTTTTATTTTCACTGCAGCACTTTGGGTCATTATTTTATGTATCGCAATATTGAATATGTATTTAATTATGGAACAGATGTCCAATTTCTATTATTATTCATTATTTAAGTAAGTGTTACTAAAAAATTGGATAAACAAATTATCTTGAATCTTTTACCATTTTTACGAAATTTGCTTGTGACCAAAGTAGACTTGCTACTTCCGCTTCCGGCGCGACTGGGAATCCTCGGAGGAGTAAGCACCGTCAACGTGACGGTATGTTGAGCTTGTCTTATCAAGCTGACGGCCTTCTCGTGAGGATATGTTCTGACATCTTCCGAATTTATCGTCAACAAATAATCGCCGGCTTTAAGTCCAGCCAGATCAGCTGGACCGCCGCGGTCCACTTCATCCAAATACTGCAACGCCGGCGGATTGTCGCTCATCGCGACATTAATATCCCGATTAATACTCATATGGCCACTCTTGGAGCCCCGCAGGACAAATCCATAACCATGTCCCCCGCGCATCAGCGTCACCGTGCGCGGTACACCCATTAGACCGCGCTCCGACGGTGACGGATCACGTGACGAGAACGGCATAGAATCCGAGGAGAACGCACTATCGGCCCGCATCGTCGGCACACTTTTGACGGAGAACGCCTGCGAGGAAGACCGACTGAGGGTGTGAATCTGCTCGGAGCAGACGCTGGGATGATGGGCACGTGAGCGCTGTGTCGTAGCGATGGGGGGCCGGTTCATCGGTGTACAGGTGCTCTCATCGCTGCAGGAACTCTTGTCCGTGACCACGCCGGAGGAGGAGAAGTCCGCTTCGCTCGGATGGGAATTCTCACAATTACTACCGTTGCTCGAAACACTTCCGGTCGTGGAGAACATGAGACAGCTGCTGCGCATCGATGGCGAAGGACTGGCTAACGGACCGTTACGCAGGGATGGCGAACGCGAACCCAGCCGGTTGACGCTGCTGGCGCGGCTCAGTGTGCTGTTCGGACTACAGCTACGGCGCCGGCGACGCGGATTAAATGACGGCTTCTCTCGTAAAGGCACTGAAGAGAGAAAGATTTCTTAGCAGTTTTGACAAAAAAATATCAACTTACATTTAACACAAACCCTCTCGAAATATGTTACTTACTCTAAAGTTTGATTTGTGGTTACTTGCAGTATATGTTTTTATTAAAGAAATAGTTATTAATGCTTGTAATTGCACATCGGCAGTAAGCACCCATGCGCAATTAAATGCCCTTACAAGTTAAAACATTGCAGTATCTGTAGTAACGTTTTTCGCTATTTACACACTGTGTGCAGAAGAATTAAGTTGCAGAAAATTTCGAAACATGACTTTGAATTTGATTACAAAAGATTAACCTTCAGTTACCAAGTTATCAGGTACTTAACTCGGGATAAAAAACGATACACACGACGAAGTAGCATTTTGTTAGCGCCGCATGGCGTATACACTAACGTACCGACGTCTTTGGATGAATGGCGCTTAATCACTTCCGCTAGCTCAATGGCTTGCGCTATAACCGCAACTTGATACGCGGTCTGATTGGCATAATTCTTGGCATACTTATCCGCCCCGCGAAACAGCAACACTCGCGCACAGCTCTCCTGTAGCATGATTCCGAACAACGGAAATCGATTAATAAACCATATATGGAAGATCATGTAATGTATAACATGCATATGCCATTGTCCGGAAGTACTCTGAACGGCAAGTTTTTCCTTTTCTCAAGTAGATCAATAAAGTGCAAAGTGACGCAACTATTACAACACTCCCGATGGTCGTATAAAGATCTTCAAAAAACTGAAATAACGCAAACATATACACACATATACACGCACCTGATTATTGACAGCGGCAGTGTGTAGCGGTGTATTGCCGCTCGCGTTACGCGCATCAATATCCGCACCGTAAAATATCAAATGTTCCAAATGGCGGACATGACCATACCGACATGCCTGTCGAGAGAAAAAACACAAGCACACTCAAAAGGAGGACAATGTTGAGCTTTGTTACAGAAGCGCTGAACTAGACAATGGACCTTGGGCAAACAGCTGGAACGTGAGTGTACATCGTGTTCTTCACTGCTGTACGGCATCAAACGCCACGCTCAGTTACGCAGATTAACCTCAGATTTGAGGACAAACTGGCCATAAGTGTAACTGAAGCTAATTTAGCTGTCAGAAGTAAGTATTGTGCTTTACATAACTCTTCAACAATTATAATGATCTAATGCGGTTAACTCAGCATAATGTAAAAATCGCAGTAACATTGCTAAAGGTTTTCCAAAATTTTCCATTGCAAAATTCGAGCTTCTATTTCAATAAATTCAGAGATTTCACAAAATACCGTCGTCATTATTTTTACCGATCAAGTGGTAAGAAATAAAAATGTTTAGTAGAACTGTTTAAGTATAAACAGGATGTTTGTTTTGGCTATAATATGCTTGTAAATAAATTACGTCAAGAAAATGCATGCATATATATAGCACAAATATTAAATAATGCGTCAATGATTTACCTGATGAATTTCCTCCCAGCCTTGTGAGTCAACTGTGCCGAGAATCGCATAATTATGTAATAACTTTTCACATAAATTAGGGTCTTTTGCGTGGGTAACGGAATAATACAGAGGCGTTAATCCTTTCGCGTCTTTGTAATTTGCAGACGATCCCAAGTCTAACAAGCCCTATAAAATAGTCAAAATTACAGTAATTTAATCCAGAATATAACAAACAAACAGCCGCTACTACTCGTATTTTAATAAAGGAAACGTTTTGCAGCTTTAATTTTGTATTCATACATATCTAAGAAGTTTTTTTAATACAAATCTTCTACCACGCACAGTGCGTGCGAAATTTGCGAACGATGATCTGTACGAGTACGGAAGAATGACAAAAGCATGGGAACCGTTACAAAGCTAACGAAACGGAACAGGTAAGTATAAAAGAAGAACAACGAGCTTCGTTATAAATCACTATATATCGTATACTTCGGAATATCTATGAAATAATTATGCGTTCTGTTCTTTTATTACAAGCTATAATTTCCGCTAAAGCGGATCACCGCAGCAATTTATGATGGACATCTCAAAGTTAAACAAAAGAACTACAAGCAAAACTCATTTTAGACTATTTAACAATTCAGCAAAGCTGTTTAACAATTGTAGGTTAATAATAGATTATGGCGTTATCACGGTCGTCTTTAAGGTATCAACTCCTTAATCCACTCAGTCAAAAACATTTGCCAAACCGATATTAATGTATATTACACCACATGTTTTCACTCTTGTTCTGAATAATTACTATGATTACGTTTGCGGTTTAACGGACGAATAATTAAACTGCTTTTATTATTTCCTATCTGGTTATAAACCTGGTAAATAATTCCCAGCTTTTAGCCATATTAAACGTGACCGCCGTAAATCACAGCAGTTATTGCAGTGTACAGCAGCACCGCTAAAGACAGCGTCAGTTATATAACACGGCTATTGATTGCCTATCTCGCTTCTAATCTTATCAATTTGGAGCGCAAAACACATTTAATGCCGCCGTAATCTACTAAACATACTTGTAAAGCTTTGAAGTTATCCCGTTGGGCGGCTCGGTGCAGTGCTGTACAGCCATCAAGTGCCCGGAAGTCAAGATGTGCGCCACCGTTAACGAGAGCCGCCAGAACAGGAGCCGGCTCAGTCAGTGCAGCCGCAATCGTTAAAGGTGTTTCTGAAAATGTAAAGTGTAAAATTCGTATTAATACAGATATAACTACTTAACGATGACATGAAAATATTTTTTCAAAAATGACGATAGAATTAAAAGCGGACTTTCCTCCCTTACCTCCAGAATCTAAATCATGAAAATTTGGATCCAAGCCTTTTTCGCACAACCGACAGATTTTGTCCGATTGTCCCGTGAGCACATAGTCAATGAATTTCCGCAGATTGGCCTAATGCATAATACTCGTAAGATGGACTTGCATCAATCCGCGCATAATATTCCAAAGCACAGCACAAACAAGTGGACTACCGCCGAGTAGCCGCTCGCACACAATGTGCGTCAATATTGGTATTATCAATGATAACAGTTTCTGTACTCGGTGCCGGTCAAAGAGACGAGTTCTTTACCTTTGAATGCAACTGTTTCAAAACTTTCTCGTCCAGATTCATCATCTTGTAGACACGCCGTTTGTATTTGAGCTGCAATGCATAGAGAGAAAGAAAATTACTATCTCGTGTTCAGCGGCTAACATCTTTTTCCAAAGGTGTCACTTATGTTGGGGCGGAGCGCCGCTGAGGCCGCCGCTGCGGTTCGCTAATGAGCCGGAAATTCGGGTTAGTAAACTTAGTCAAGACCGAACCGCAGTCGGCATCGGACTCTTGACTAATAATTCATAAAGCATGCAAAATGCAAAACTAGGCATCTGCATTCTTTTATGAAAAAATATACGCAAGTATAGAAAAGCAAAAAACAATGTTCGCATATTACCAGATATGATATATCCACGACAGTCTCAGAACATTTCGCAGAAGCTAATTCGATTAAAGGACTTATAACGCAACCGCCTGTGTTTTAGATGATTACTTTACAGTATCGACCGCAGATTTTAAAATCACACCAATAACAAGTTAATTTCTAATTAGGTACCAATTTTGTGCAACCACACGATGTCTAGTTTAACAAAAAAACAACCAGTATGCAGCCGCAGAAGCCGCAGTTCGGACACAAGTACAAGCAATTGATTCTGGCTCATCTAGCTTACGGTAGCCGTGACATAAAACAGCCAGCCGAAAGTCGCAACGCCATCACACCGAACACCTCACTCCATCATTCTTGAATGTATTGCCCGATCGGCACACGAAAGTAAGAAAAAAAGAAGAGCGCCGTACATAACAATTACAACCATCAATCTGTAATCATCGTGTACAGTATATCATCCAGCAACCTTAAGTAGAACGCACTTACATTGTTGGTTGTGCATGCAATATTATTTCATCTGCGATACTACATACATTTGCCGTAACTCACTCGTTTTTCTCAGAGATTACGCTGCGCTGTGCTTGAGCGAAATCAAGGTCGTCAAAACAAGGTAAAGCAGCGATGGGGCAAAAAACATGGTCGGAGAATATACTTATACTTATCACCCCAGCTCAACACGGTCAACCGGTATCTTAACGGCAACCTCCTTTACGGTTTGTAGTGCGTACTCCATATAGAGATAATAAAAAACCCGCTAAACAATTACCCTCTGATCAAGAGTTCAAAATCACCACTAACCCTGATTTTAATTCAGATTTTCCTAAGAGCCGGAGGAGTTGCTCGATTGTAAAATGGAAATTAATGTCCGCCGGCTTTGCGCATACACGTACGCCTGCATGTATCCAAACAGTTCCGCAGTGTATTAAAAAATATCAATCATTCGAAGGTTAAAATTTTCTAGACTATCGAATGAAGTTTAATTTTAATAAAATTAGAAATTTCAAAATTTATCATTTTCAGCAGCCATGGTTTTTGAAGAGCAGGGTATTCGAAGAATTATGTGGAAAGTGGGAATCTGCAGCACTCTTTTATATTAGGGCTCTCGGGTGGTCGCGATAAACAGTACAAGAACTACTTCTTAAATTGAAACAGCAAGAACCTACGTATGCATGCATATGAATTAGTAAGTGCTTCGAGATCAATAAAACTAATCACCCCCTACTGCGACACCTTTAATCAAGTCTGTGACAAAAAAGCCACACACAATTTATTGCTTTGTGAGCGATGGGAAAAAATCGCACATCACTTCCGCTATGACAAAGAAGCAGATTTCTTCCTCCAGATTAACAGTTTTTAATATCATCAGTCAAACATTTCTTCTGTCGTTTCGCACAGCTAATCCGCCCCGGTATACCGAAACCTGTTTGATCATTTGCTCACAACTGAATCAGTGAACCTAAAAGTATCATTGTTGATTTGCAGCTAATGAGAACAACAAAACAAATGTGGGCGGAAAGACAAATAAACGATCCACGGGAAAAAAATTTGAATTCGTTATTAAAGTAAAGACATGGTAATAATTACCGTATTATGATATGCCCACAGCGCATAAAGAATACAGACAGAGCCATTGCGAAAAGTGACTGCATCATCGGCAGTGTTGTAAAAACGTATGTCGATGCGATAATAGAATCGCTACATTACTCATAAAGTTTTACAGTTTTTATGTTATACAAAAATTATTAGTATTTTGTTTTCATTAAAACAGGTTTGCGTGCATGCTCAGTGAATCATATTTATTGAATACGGCCTATAATCCAATAAAAAGCACCAGCGAAAGGCGCAGAACTATAAATTCGGATTGTGAATATTTGGAAAACAAATGCAAATATCGAAGAAAATGAATAACACTTCATAAAGTTTTATTCGTACGCCAATCTGATGAAAAATTTTAAATTTTAAAGGTAGCTTAACCAAACAATGCAGATATTAACTTTCCCAGCGTAATGCAAAACAGATTAAAATTAAAAAAATGTACGAAATGGTTAACCTGTGACAAAATCATTTCAGTTTTTTCTATAATGCGCAATAAACTAGCGGAGCATGATCTGATGTAAGTAAACTGCAATTATTATATCTTGAGAAACTGAAGTCGTTGATGACAGGAAACAATGGACAAACGGGTGGCTGCACTGAAAACTGCCGAGTGCGAGTGCAACATCACGTAATTCAATCTAACACTGCCATGTACATTTTGACATAGATGGACGGGTTCATCATAAATGAACTTAAGGTATATGGTACTATGAACGATTAGGACAAAGTCGTTCGCCAAAATTCTGCTCTCTTAAAACTTGCGTTAAACCAATCAGTTATGATTGATATTGTTGACGATATGGCATAAGATTAGCGCCGGCGTTTGTAAATCTATTTGTAGTGGTGTGCGTACCTCCAAATAGCCAACATGTCCAGGCATCGGATAATCCTGCAACATACGCTCGTCGTCCAAAAATTTCCCGGCACGACCGTTGTAGGGCGGACAGAAGAGGCCATAATTGAAGCTGTCTTTCAATTCCTGAAAAAGAGAGACAGATTTCATAATAATCATTTAGGCAAAAAATATTTTACGCTGCTGTCGTTTGTCGCTGGCACAACGATTAATACTGCCGTTAAGCCTAATGTAACTTGGTAATTTCCGTGCGTGAACGTTTAATTACGTGGCACCCACGTAGTTAACAACGATAGTTAAGGACGACAGGCGACAGATAAGGTGGCGGAAAGCAACAGCTGCTGCAAATTACAAATTTCCGAGGCATTTTCATAAAGACTTTATTTACCAAAAAGTACATATTTTTTCCAAAACATAGCTAAAAATGTCTCAAATACTGTTTGAATGCGTTATACTCTTCGCACACTTGGCTATACAAATCAGTAATTCATCAGAACATACTACATCATTAGTGGCTTCACTCTTCGGTATTACTGTAATTTTTTGGAAAGTTCAAAACCAAAGTAACGAACAGGGTCGGATATCTTACTATACCGCACTGTCCGTATATATCATTAATAACGCGGTGACAATTTTAATAACACGCTTTTAAAAGTTTGTGTCGTCGCTTGCAACCGGTTTTTATCGCCTATAATCTGCAGATGCGCAAAATCTGTGAGCTACGACAATGAGAAAACCAAATAATAAATGCAACATATGCTTTTGAGCGAAGAATCACAGAATTTGTATCGGTCATTACTACGCACTACGTGATATTACATTCACAAAAACCTGGTATATATTTGTTAGATGGGTTTTGAATTAGAAAACAATTTTACATCAACTTATCGTAAAATAAATAAATAAACTGAAATAATAATATTACCTTTTCTCTTGCAACAGTATCATTTTGCACTAACGTAGTGAAGCATCGTAGATTTAAATACCTGCCGGATAAAATTGATTGGTTACCTTTGGCAATGTTGCAAACAGCTTCTGCTTGACTTCCCAAATTGGCGTTGTGGGTGGAAATTGAAGACATTTCTGCAAAGAAAATACAATAATTTTGGTTTGGACGTTTATCAATGCGTTAATCCAGTAAATGAGCAATCAAAGCAAACATGTTATCGACTGGCGCATATTATACATAAAAGAATTTCCGGCTGATAGCAATTCAAATGCACTCTGTTAATACAAGCAGAGATTCGGAGAAATCTGCAAAAGTACTGCATACATTGGCAAAAATAATAACCACTGACGATCCAACATAGGCCAAATGGACACGGTTGGAGCGCGGGGTGTGCATATAAATTTTATCCATGGGATTAGCTAAAGGTGGATAATCATCTGGACTACCAAATTCCGATGGTGATAGTGAATGATTATCCATGGTATTTCGTAACAGGTAATTTTTTGTTCAAATGCTATTTGGGAAAACCACAGCAAAAAAACGGATTTGTATATTGTGCAATATTAGCAGCACTGTTCCGGCTGCTGTCCAAATTCGGTGAATAGGGGAATAATTTATTCATGCAGCAAATACATATTTAATTAAGTGACAGCAATCAGAAGCTCGGCGCTCGTTACGATCAAGTTGCAACAAGTGCAGCAGTGCGAATGTGCCATCATTCCATCAATACAAACTGACGAAGAACATTCTGACCAGTATGATGGCAAAAAACATGCAGAAAGAAACGGTCAAGTGATACGGTTGCGACACTTGATATCGGAGTCATATTCAAACACACAGGAGCCTGTACATGTGTTTGGCCGGGGCAAAAATGCTGCACCTGCTCGGCAATCTCGACGGCATTTACGATCTATCGAGATGCAATACGGAACCATCAGGAATTTCTCAGTTTTTTCGCTTATAGTATACAAACGAACGAAAAAATCTTGACTACGTGCGTAGTAAGTCAAACTTTAAAAAAAACGACGACACGAAAAGCAGGTTCTGCTAGCCAGTTCAGGGCATATTTCTCACTGGTGAAAAATTAATTCCAAGTACCAAGTACGCGGTCGTAGTAATAACAATTTTTGCTAGAACATTGTATGCTGCACACATTCACGACTGAATGCACCTTAGGCAATCAGACCGTAAGTTTAAAATCTTATTGAACCGGTAACTTATCAGCCACTGAGCTGTGAATCGTAAGTACGTGTCAAGGTAACGCCAAGGCATATAAAATGCTTGTGCATGAATTAGTCGCAGATTTAAGACAAGATTTTCAGAAGAAAAGGAGATCAACGGCAAGTTAGTAAATTCGCTGAATGGTCTTTTTGTACAAAGCTCTTAATAATAGATTGCGTAACAGATTAATTCACGATTTTTATTGATAAGCTTATGCTCATAAATTCTTAAACTGACCATTATTAATAATTAAGCACACTTCTTGTTAAACCGAAAACTTACAGAAGTGTCGTTTCCCATAGACATTCAGTAGACAATTCTTAACTATGCCGCTATACATTTATAGAAGATTGCTTCGATAACACACGCAGTTAAATATTGAAAAAACACATTTTTTATTTAAGTGCTCTCCAAGAAAATTATTAATGCGCTCGCCATGTTGTTTGTTATTTATGGTTTGATGAATTTGTAATTGACTTAGCGCATCAAAGTTCGCACTCTTGCTACACTTTTTTGATACAATGCGATTAATTTGTAGATGGCCAGAAAACAGCATGCAGCCTGTATTCTAGGTTAAATCCATTTAGTCAACTTACTAACGATGTTTTCGTGATCAATTGCTGCTACCGCATTTTCTCAATATAGTCAACAGCAAATCCACGGCGACCTTCAACTTGGTGTTTCTTATGCATGGGTGGTACTCTGTTACACCACAATAAGCGTTATTGCAAGAATTAAACATTTAGTGCCGCACCACTGCATTAATCATTTTGGATGTTATCGATAACCTATTGTCTACTTTTGCAGCTCTACAGGAGTGCTGATGATATTTCTTTACGTTGTTAAAGCAAATTACTGTATGAATTATGAGCAATTTCAGATTATGTAGTAATCTGTTTTCTAGAAAATCATAAAATACAAAAATTAAGCCCGGCATAGTGCACACAGAAATGATATTGCGCCCGTTTGTGAGTACATAACAGTAAATTTCACAACTGCCGCTGTAACTATAAGTAAAAAGCTGTTGGCACAAAATTTCGCGATCGTTTCTTTTAAGCTGAGCAGTATCTGATAATATCTGGAATAGAGGATAATATTAATCTTTATTTAATAATAACGATTCACATTTCAGAGTTTCCGAAAGTTACGCTTGTGGTGTATATATATTTTACTCTTTGCCCGTGAAAATGCTTACAAGCATGATGTAAATTTTACACTCCATCGGATACAGCATTTCTCATGCCCACTTTAATAAGGACAAAGTCAAAACTGTATAGACAAACAAGCGTAAACAACGTAAACAAATAACGCGACTGTCAATGTTACATATTTTTCAAAACTTATTAGTTCAAGACTTCAAGTTACCGCCTTCCCTCAAAAATCTGCATAAAACGCAAATGTGCTCTGTATAAAAAAGTTCTCACTCTATGGCTGCAAAAGAAATCAATACACCGTGTTACTCAAACCGCTGCTAAACCAACCAATAGCGAATTCAATGGTGGTTACAAAGGGTACAAGTATTGCAAGGTAAATGTGATATAGCAGCAAATGAACGAGGTCGACACGCGTGGATTAGCAATGAGTAAATAAAAAATCCAAGGCAATGCCAGTTTCCCTACAGGAATGCCGAACAACCGTATAATGGCGACGTTGCAGCTGCGTGGAACCAGAACAATTGTCATATGCAAGAAAACGCACGTACCGCCGGTACCGGTATCGGCGGTATGCTATATTTCGATATGTAACAAATCGTCATTTACGTAGGAAAATATTTCTGCGGATAAAAAACCTAAATTCTGCATATTATAATGAATGCGCAATTTAAACGATAAAACTGGCGCAAGAAAATATCATGATACCTTTATTTGTAGGTACAATGGCACCGGTATATTAAATCTAAAGTAAACGCATTACGCTCCTATACCTATGGGCAATCGTACCAAATACTCGTATTATTGGTAGATTCCTATCCACAATGTGTGTAATATTCATTATGTAATAAATTTCAAAGTATAGATTAAAACACAAAACGTACAGAAAATACGATATACTCAGTAACTCATGTTTCCTATAACTTCCATAAGGGTCCTGCCGTAACGTGACGGCCCCACCACATAACAGACACAAAAGCGCGAGACAATGCCCAAAAGCATTCCACTTGATAAGTGCCGAACCAAAGAACCACTTAAACTGTAGCGTGAGAACGTTTTTTTGGCAAGCGTTGGAAAACGAAACGTTATGATCAGAGACACCTCATGATAATTTCAAAGTACCGTAGGCACCTTCCCATGTTCACTTGTGCACAATATTTTCGAGTCTATTGAAAGAAGGAACCGGAACAGATATTCTAAAACAGAGCATCCATTTGCAAAGACGCCTACATTCTCACAGGTACAGACACCGCAGGATTGCGAATCCAAGAACAGCATATAAATATATGAACATTCAACAATGCACACAACAGATTTGCCAGCTACTTTCAATATCACCCCACTATTCGTAGTATTTTCCAGGGTAGGTTGTTTATATTTTAATCAGTACCAAATGCAACAATACACTGGTATAGTTGCGCAATATTCGTGTCATTAGAGACAAATTTTGCCTATAAATCGTGTAAACTACGATCACTTTCGATCATTTAAAGAAATCAATGACCTGGAGTGCCGAATTACACTGAGAGAGCTGGAAAAGATACACACTATCATTCCGTTTTTTCACGCAGAAAAGGAAACGCTTGACAAAGATTATTCAAATCAGGAAGATAAATCTTCACGAAATGCTTTCTTCATAAATGCCGTAAGCTTCCTAAAGAATTCATGATACGCCAACGTTTCTGGAAGCTCTGTATGTAGGTTAATGGCAAAACTCGATAGCCATCGTCATCATGTTTATGAAATGAAACGAAGGATTCAGCTTTTTTAAACATTACGCAACTTGACAAGCGCAACTGCAAAATCTAAAACAGACTTTTTTCAAATGTGCACGTCCATTAATCTCGGACTTTGGAGAGCCACCAATAACTGACACAGCGGCTTATGGTTCTGTTGAAAGTATAATAAGCACGCTTCCGTATATGCATAACAGAATAATATATGATTTTACGCGCAGGGCTAATTTTAAATATGGAAAAAAACAAATTTATACCTTGTAATTCAAAAGCTTAAAAAATATTGTGTGACATAAACCTATAAACAAATTCCTGTACGCATGCTCCCTGATTAGGGAAAAACGGAAATTTAAAGAAAACGTAATGAGTCGCGTCCAATTTATTGCAGGCACTGTCTGTTCGAATGTCACATGCATTTGTTTGGGACGAATGCGTTTCAATGGAAAAACCTTTTGTTTCCAGATATCTTCGTATCATACTTGGAAGTGTGTATGTGACCTTAATACGACCAATTAATTAAGGTTTTCATGCCATTTTTGCATTTTCTGCGAAGTGCAAACTCGGCTGCAGAATCTTGCATGCATACATTACGTCTGTGTTACGAATCACGATCAATTGTCAACACGAATTCTTCAGCGCACCGGAAATCTATATTCGGAGCACAATCAAACTTGGTCATTAGGTAATGCATTGCGCCACAGTCCAGAAACTGTTTGCCCTGGATTCCAGGCACATAATCATCGCCTGCCATCTTTGGTTATTTATTAACCTTATGCAACCTGGATGAATCAGGCGCTCACTCACCGTAACATTGAATTCCCCGACAAAGATGCGAATGAAAATCGATGGCTGGTATAATGTATCATCCTGGATACTGTTCCGGTCGCCGGCGGAACCGTTGCTCCGACCTGTGCCGGTGCTGCTGCTAGCCGTTAGTGTTTTGGCGCTAATATTGTCGGCATCCGCATCTGTCGATCCCGTCATCATGGTGGAGAGTTAAACGACAGGAATATATATATGATCAACAACGTGTCTCTATATGAGTAATTTTAATTCCTCCAGCATAACAACAGCGTCATGGCGCTTTGATCCACTTTCACCCAATTTCCATGCTCCCGAAAGGTTTCCGCTACTCAAATCGATGGCTTGTTTATCGAAACTCTGTGGACGTTAGCCAATCTATAAGTGCAAAAATGCCAAATGTCAGCAACTGCAAAACATATCGCGAACAATCCACTGGTGTCCTTGCATGCATGGATATTTTTGCAAAGTTGTAAACTATGAACAGTACATAGTACTGATAGTGACAGCAGCAAGTGACTCGTGTTTCTGCACAACGGCAAAGTACTCTTAACTGAAGCGTGAATAGCGCTGTACGCTGTACGAAAGGTGATTATTTTAATCAGATTTTGGCGTAGCGGTATCTTGAAGGCCTGAGTCATTCATCACAGTCACCTTTGCGGTCATTTTTTATCCAAACTTTGAGTTTGCATGCGGTCAAGTCGACTGAATGATATAAAACGTATCAAAAACCGGTCACGGTTTTGGCATGGATTTTAACTCGCTGTTATAATGGAGGGTGTTAGATCGCTGTTGGAGAAAGTGTTAACTTGTAAAGCCAATAATCGCCTGGAATGCTTTTACACTTAAAAGTTCTCGAACTCGAAGGATTACTCGAACTCGGGTGTGTGATCATAAATTCATCGGTGCGGAAGTAATATTACATGGATAATGTAAAGAATTTTGAATCGATGCATCATTACGTAAATTTATATAAAAATACCGTTGCGCGCATGCTTCGTAGTCACTTTGACTTTACACCATAGTAAGCAGAAATATTCCGATAAAGCGCCTTAAGTTATTTGAATAATTGTCGGGAATGCCAAAGTTGTATGTTGAGTGTACCTAAAAAGCTATCAACTGTAAAAAGCCAACGAACACTTAATGGTTGTGTGTACAGGCGATCGGAGAGTACACGAGAAAAAGTGTGCAAATTTGTACAGTGAATCCATTTTATCGCATTGCCACAGAAAAATGGACAAATCTATCTACACTCAGCCCCGAAGTCAGTAAAGCATAGGCTAATTAATTATGTGATTTGCGGCTGACCTCGATTCGCCGCAGCCGAAATCGGGTGCATGACACTGGGAATAACTGACATTAATTCCCAAACAGTTTTAGAAATTGATTTTGTCCCGCCGGGACTAAGTTCACTAGATCACCATTCCCATATATACGAGTACTCTGGAAAACGACTGTAGACCATTAACCGCAGCATAAGAGATCGCCATACAGTTCCAGTGAATTATTTACAGTTTGTAAACAAGATTTAAATTCAAATCGCGAAGTAACGGGATTAAAGTGGGGCGTAAGAATAGCACAGATAGTGGTTGTGTATCCCATGGGCAGTAAAAAATCCCCTTTTGTAAAGAACAGTGCCGTAGACTCTAAAATAACAGCACTTCGCACAATGCATTTATAACAATCCACTCATCCATTTGCCCGCTGTCGAAACAGACGATATATAGTGGATTAGTAAAATTTTAAAGTGCATGTGCGTACACAGAAAGTGCGATGCACTTCAGCTATGATAAGATTGCGAGCATATCGGCGCAACCGGTATTGGAATATCATAATCGACGCTAATGCGAGCACGTTAGCTGTAATTTAAACATCGGTGCGAAATCCATCAGTAATCCGTCAGGTCCATCAGGACTGAAAAATGTACGCTATTGTGTAATACTAAACGTGGAGAGTAATGCGAGAAATAACGTTTGCATAGCGGGCAACATGTTCGTCCATTCAGGAAATAAGCTAACAAATAAATAAATTTGACATGAAAATATACAAATTTTAACCCGTGATTGAGCACAGTCATGTGCCGCGGAATTGGTAGACTGCTTTACATTGCTGTTTATTAAACGTTAACGTTTTCCTCATTCTGTCGTGGACAGTTAGAAAATGTAAATGGATAGCGAATTTAAAGGTGTGCAATTATGATTCTTTAACAATTAAAATTAACTCTCTGCTTACAACCAACGTTAACAGCTGTGTGGTCGTACAGGACGCCTTGCATAACGTAGTTTCAACTTAATGGCTTATGCGACGGCTTCTGAATTTGTAACAACTGTCAATTCTGCTTGAGCAAATATGCTCCAGAATCCATATGCACACGCAGTTCATTCAACTAACCTTTCTTCTGACCGAATTTTACGAAGACCAGTAGTAGTTATGAATAGCCAAAAGGATAGGAATATGACGCCGAGACAAGAGAGTAGAGGCTGCAACATTTATAGCCTTTCTCTATGGCTTGTTATTACCGCGCCCGCATAATTTTCATAAAACCGGGCGACCTGATGTGATCGATCGCCACATGTCCACGGAGAAAGCAGGAATATAGGCACTTCCACCTATGCTTTGAAATGTTAATAAATCCACGCCTGCTCACTGATTAACCGCGGATGGACAAACTACAATGCTAAGCACAGAAGTACACTGCACTAAACGTGGGTGGTGCGGACGAGCTTATGATCGGTGATCGCTTCCTGTTATTGGAAAATTCAATTTTCGAATTGTTTTTACTGTATCAGCCAAGTATTTATGACAAATTCATTTAAAGTGTGCAAAATGAACCATTTTTCGTTGACAGTGGCCCCAGAAATTCTCATTATGAAAAAACCCTGTAATAAATACGGGAATTTTTAATTTAACTTTATCATGGATGATTCTATTGCATTGCGGAACGAAACTACGGAAGAATTATTGTACGAGTAGATAAAAATATGAGAAATGTTATCATTACAGTTAACATTGGCAACTCTCATACGCTTATCATTCCAAACAACGAGAAAAATTATTTCATGCTGTACATGCTGAGAAACATCTTATCAGTACCACAATTATGACTAACCACCCACCCTAACGAGAACAATGCTCAATGCGTATTAAATTTACCCAATACAAATGTACGCGCAGGGATACAACACCTGCGTAATATGTATAAACAATTTTAATGCACCACTACGGCTTTTACTTATACCAGTAATCATTAAGCACCGAACTTATTCTGTTGCAACATTCAGGAGCAGAGAGCCATAAATAAAAAACTGGACTCCCTTAATAGCATAACCTACTTACGTTATTATAATATCCGTGAGAAGGCGGAACGCATAAAAATTTAATGTTCTCAGTTTAGGAACGGGACTGCAGGCATGCCGGTCCAACAGGCTGGTCGTAATTTTCTGCAGAAATGCATATTGCGTAAATACGAGATAAACTCTACAAGTTATAAAGCGCGTAATATAATAAGTAATATAAATATCGATGACGGGCGTCGGCGGCATACAACGCTATTTCTGCGACGTTATTGTTCATATATTGTCGACAGCCTTACGTAAGTCAGAATCCCAAATCAGGCAAGCTCGTGCCAGATAGCGTTAACGAAGACCATCTAATTTTGCGATTAAGAAAAATTATACCGACGCGTGCCCATGAAGTCCATATTGCATATGACATGCACTGCATATCTTATCGAACAAGTGTCCCACATTATTGATAAACTTTAACGACATTTTTACGCACGCATACCATTTAGAGAGCCGCAATTTTACAACCACAAAGCGATATGCAGTATCTCGATATGTGAAGTATTCCAAAAATGAAATCATTGAAATCCGCATTGGAGAAGTGAATCCTAAATCCCAGTGGCAAGCGCAATAACAACGGCTGTAGTCGTTAAAAGGCACCACTGGCGATGAACCTTTTGACCAGTTGTATCCATGAGAAATATTATTACTACTGTTTCTGTAAATTGTATCTACATAACAGTACTAGTACAAGTTGTCGTGCGGCAAAATAGTAGTAGATAAACTAACCACTGATAAGCCGCATACTGGTATCTATTTTGGTCCGAAACTTCAGATGAGTAGGGTACTGGTTCACACAGAAATAATTTTTAGCCTATGAGATATGAGAAACACTTTCATTGGATTGCCCCGTAGTTTGTTTCTTGGACGTCAGTTTAGCAGTTCAGTTTGCTTCTGCTACCGCAATGCTCGCACACAGCTGCTTGCAGTATCTGTGTACGCGCAAATCATCGTTTCTCTACAGTGCCCGCCCAGCAGATTTCCCAACCATGCTTTCCATTCACTCGTACAGGTCACAGGAGTAAGACCAAAAGGAAACACCAATACGAGTATTAAAACTGAACTTGAAATTGATTATAATTATGTAATGCTTAAAAATTACAGAAATCCAAGCATTTATGTGTGGTTTGTGGACAATCGTGATCAGGCAGTGCCCTCTGGCACGGTAAGTATTTAAAAGCATTTGGCGATTAATGTAATCTATGTACAAAGTACTTGCTGCACTCCCGGTCAGTATCATAATAATCACCCGCGCAAAATCTTTTAAAAATCTTATTAACCTTTTTCAAAATCTTTTTCAAAGTCTTAATTAATCTTTTAGAGATCATCCTACAGTTACACAAACATCAATCAAATGACTAACTAAAGTTAAAGGCGATACTAAAATGGTGTAAAATAAAATTAATAATACTTTTTAAACTTAAAAATCACTTTGCTAAGTTTGTGATAAGGAATTAGAACAGACGCTAAAGCAAGGAAACTTACAGCTGGAGCCTCGGACACTATTTCGCCACTGTAAGTTCTTAGTTACGGACTGGTTAATAAAAGTGCTTATTTTATGTGTGGGGTTAAAATTAATTTCCTAAAATTCGTTGTAAAACAGGAAAAAAAATTATTAACGATAAAAATGCCTAAGATCCACCGCATTTGCTTCGCCGGTAAAGTTGGCTTTATGTTAACAGTGAGTCAAACAGTCAAAGCGCTAAAGTACTTGCTTGATAATTTCAGTATTGGCATTTACGTTAAAACAAATTTCATTTCAATTAAGCTACCGGCTGAAGTACCTTCAACACTCCAGATTTCTCTAAACCTACCGGAAGTCATGCCATAAAATCTGGAACCGGGACCGTCCCTGTAATTGTAAACCACTCGTCGAACGTTTCAGGATGAACGGGGAGATGCGAGCATTCTGCTAAATTGTTGGTGATTGTAAAACCAAACGGATTAGTGGATTTACTGAAAAGACCATTTCCCTGTTTCGAGACGTCCCACAACCACATTCTCGCATGCGATCGCTCGAAAACGGAACCGTAAACGGTATCAAATAAAAACTAAAATCCAAAACAGTCGAACGACTGTTTTTAGCTTTAAATCTGGTTAATCTAGTGGCGCTAATCTGTGATTTAATTATCTCTTCTGCAGTTGTTGATCTTCATGCTGTTAACGACAATTCTTTGATTTGAATCACTTTGTTACATCCTGAGTCTCCTGACACCTCCGTCGGTTTACAGAAATTTCAAGCTGGGTTTGAAATAAACCGTCATGCAGCGTTGAAACCATATGGACCGATACAGTAAGCTGATTTATTGCTTCGTTTATGAACGTTAATAGTAGCTGCAGTGTTAGCATCCGTAAATTTTTTTGTAAAGAAAGGTTTGGATAATCTTCACTTTGCTGTAACCAAGAATGCTAAAACAGCGTTCCGGTGGCTTAATAATGGGAATGTTTCAGATGTTATTTGAAACTGTTCCGCAGCTGGATGAAAATCCGTGGCTTTTCGATTTTCTCTGGCGTGCTGATTTGAATTCCGCCATGTTGTACTAAGAGATCTTCTCACTGGAAGTTTACAGGTAAGGACCCACTTCATTATGATTAAGTTTTCACTATGATTAAAATGTGAATATTTCTTTGGAAGTTCGATTACGAAGTCTTATGTAATACTCGTACATTGCAACTAAAATTTTGAACCAGTTATCATTATGTATTGTATTGCTGCGAAGTTCGCTCGCTCATTTTGTTTTCCTAAAGAATTATAAACAGTTTGTTACATAAGACCCTGAGCCTAGTTCACTAGCAGAAAGTGGATGTATCTTTGCTTCATTTGTTTTGTTTTCCGCTTTTGATTACGTTAATTGTTTCTAACAGAAAACACTGTTTGCCTTTCAAATGCAGCTTGCAGCACGGTTTCTTTCCGAATCTGTTCAGTGTTCATGCACTGACAGCGTCGTAATCGATAAAGCTGATCAATATTTCGCACTTGGTTGTAATTTGTCATGATGCATTGCGATGGAGAATTTGCATTTAGAAAGACCACAGAAATCACTTTTCTTCAACGCGCGAGTTTAGGCAAGGATGTATAAATTGCAGCCAAGCGCACTACTTAGTCTTTTCGTTTTCCGTGTTTCTGATTCTTTGGCATTTTTTTTTATTTTTTTGGGCTGATTTTTGCAGTGGTTAAATGATGACGCAACACAATGCTGCGGAAGAGCGGCGCGAAATTGTGGAGCGCTACAAGCGCGGTCGTGAACCGGGAGCTAACATCGATCCCTGGGAAGATCCACAGTTTGAGCACTACCACAAAACCGACCGCTACGGCTTCATCCACGATCAACGACTTCCTTCCATCGACAAAACTAATAGCAAAGTACGTCCAATCAGTCTCATTAGCGGCGGTGTAGTGTTTTTCAATTGCTAGCTAATGTTTCGTGTTACAGCATCAGAAAATGCTGGCCGTTGAATGGAAACGGACGGACAAATGGACGAAAATGATCGCTAAATGGGACGAGGTGGTGCATACGGATAAAGTACGGAATACACGGGCGGCGATGCTGTGTTTGTGAATGTTTAATTGATTTAATGCTTTACTCCAGTTCCGAAAAAGGATTTACAAAGGCATTCCCAATCGGTTGCGCGTGGAGGTGTGGAAAAAGCTGCTTAAAATTGACGAAATCAAAAAGGAACAAGTGGACGTTTATAAGGTTGGTGCCATTATTTTTCATGTGAGTGCTTCACAGCTTGTTTTCATCGATTGATAATTGCCGTAGACGATGCGGAATCAGGCCTACTTGAACTCGCCCGAAATCCGACAAATTGATCTGGATGTTAACAGGACATATCGTAACCACGATATATTCCGTGAACGCTATGGCCTGAAACAGCGTAGTCTTTTTGACGTCTTGGCAGCTTATTCCATTTATAATACGGTGCGTGTTGGGATTTTTTCACACACTGTCATGAGCGCATGAAATAGGCGTTTATATTGTAGGAAGTGGGCTATTGTCAAGGGATGTCACAGATTGCTGCGCTTTTGCTCATGTATATGGACGACGAAGTATATCTTGTTTTCATGTGGGCTGATGCTTGATCTCTTCATTGATTGTGTTCTTGTGCTTTTGAGGATGCGTTTTGGGGGCTTTCTGCTTTATTAACGGATCGGAAATATGCCATGCACGGGTTTTTCCTTCCCGGATTTCCTAAACTATTACGATTTCAACAGCAACACGATGCCATATTGAAAAAATTTTTGCCTAAACTGAAGAAGCACGTGGACAAACACGATGTTCATACCAACATCTACTCTGTCAAGTGGTTCTTTCAGTGCTTTCTGGATCGAGTTCCGTTTCATTTATCCTTGCGTTTGTGGGATATTTATCTTTACGAAGGGGAAAGAGTTCTTATTGCCATGGCGTACAACGTTTTCAAGATGCACAAGTGTGAGTAAAAGGGTTTATTGCGTACAAAAATTGTTACATCATATCTCCGATTGAATTTTCATAATATTGGGAAGTGTTATAACTCTCATAATGTATGACAGGGCCAGTGCAGCATAAGTTTTTCTTGTTCATGATTTGAGTGGTTTTTTTAAAGTTTTGGTCCATGATACCTTGGTATTTTTTCTTTAGTTTGAAAAGCTAGAAAAAGAAAATATTTGTTTTTCAGCCCAAATTTCCAAATTGAAATCCATGGAGTCCATAATAGATCTGCTACAACGAGAATTAGAAAAAGATTTCGGCTATGCGGATGACGAAGTGATCAAAAGCCTTACTGAGTGCATGGATGAGCTGAGAAGGCATAAACTGGACGTCCCGGTATCCGTGGAGAACGAACAGCCTTCGAAGCCTTTTGGTCTCCTGTACAACCCTACTGTAGGTCAAGTAAGACGTGTCATTGATTCCAGTGTAATGTCTGGAAGAACATCACAGATCGACGAGAGGGAGAGACCTGTCAACGGGCATCCTTCCCATCCCAGCCCCATGATGATTATGAGCGGAGTGAATCCGAGGCCCATATCGGAGGAACGATTATCCAGGCCACATTCCCGGCAGATGACGCAAACGCCTTCGTTCTATGATAACGTCGAACTCCCTCTCGGAAGGATCAACAAGGTTCGGCCTAGCGACCATGAATCTTCCGGTGATCATCATCATCAACGATATGTCAGCTATGTACAAGTGAATACCGGCGGACAGGATCGCGCTTCGACCCAGCCTATGCATGTCGTGGAAACGTCCCAGGAATATACCAGGGAATACACTTACGGACCGGTGAAAAGTCCCTCAGGTCAAGAGAATCATGGCCTTGTTAAACGCGAGAGTCTCCGAGCTACGTCAGCCAGTCCGCCTCGGCCCGGCTTGCCGCACACCATGGAAATGACGATTCCCAGTAAGCCGTATGGGAACGGACGCGAGGTGGCCAATGGCGGTCCTACTGTGATTAGAATTGGATGAAAGGATTGTGGAATAGTCTCCCCTGGTAGTCACTGTCCGTGTTTGTTAAATTGGCGGTGTATTGTGGATGGCGGGTGGGCGTGGATAACGCTTCGCTTTGTGCAGGATTTCTGTTGAGTTTTTAACTGTTTTTAATATATTCGGTACGTTGCTGAGCTGTTCTGTGCATTCCTTTGGCAACTTCTATGCCATAGCACAACAAAGTCCAGTCTGGTGAGGCTGCACGCTCCATAGGAAGTATTGTTTTACTGCAGTACGTGTTCGGTGTCAGTTGAAGAGCTCTTTATGCTTTACAGTGATCAAGATGATTATATCTGCTTTATATTGCCAAAAGAAAAATTGTTGTATTACGATATTTACGCGCCTGGAGGAACTATATCAAGGTAAAGATCTATATTACAACGGAAAACCCCGTACGATCTGGTCAGAACAAACCAAAAAAATAATCGAAAAACTGCCAATGCCATTCGATTCAGCATGTCTGGAAACTGTGTCACATGCATTTTGTTTTGGTAATTATCCACTCCGGCTCCCGTGTACAGACGCCGGTGCCGGTAGAGCTGAAAGCTCAAGGTGACCTTGAAAACAATTTCAGAGTCCGGTTTCATGGAGCAAAAAATCAGTAAATTTATTAAACTAGTACCTTTTTAGATCAGCAAATTAAAAAGGTTTAGACTTTTACTCCTCCAAAACTAGAAAAGCCTGTTAGCAGTAACAAAAACGGTGCTGCTTATACTGGATGTCTTCGTTTCAAAATATCGTTAAGTTTAAAGTGCTCAAAAACATGACTTAAGAATACAAACGCTCGTTAAAAGCCAAGTGAAGGCAGCTGCAAAAGAAACTGACCCCAGTAATCGTTCAAACGGGTTGATCCTTCATTGCAGTCCGAGCAAAACTAATGACAGTGATTAATTAATCAGTATATACGGTCCGGTCCATAAATTATTCCGTACAACACGAAATAATAATTCGGTATCTACTTTTTAGATTTTTGTTATCACAAAAAAATAAGAAGGGATACACAAACCCGGCTTTCCCGTACAGAATTAGCGAAAACCATTTCCATAACCTGAAAGCCCATATTCCAAAACCCGGCCAGACGGTCTCAGTTTCACAAAGCCCGTTAGATGAACGAGCGACCGAACACGAACACAAAAAGCACGAACCCAGCTTTCCCGTACAGAATCAGCAAAAACCATTTCCATAATCTGGAAGCCGATATTCCAAAACCCGGCCAGACGGTCTCAGTTTCACAAAGCCCGTTAGGTGAACGAGCGACCGAAGTACCGGTACTGTCCAGAACACACAGCCCGCTAAGTGAACGAGTGACCGAACTACCGCTACTGTCCAGCACACGAAGCCCGCTAGGTGATTGGGTGACCCAACTACCACCACCATCTATTGCAAGCATTCTTTATGTTGAAATCAGTACCTGGAAGACTCAGAATCGGGATGGAAAGTTAACAAAAATTCCCTTCTGAGTCAAAGTGAATGCGTCTGAATGCACAAAGGCCTTAAATTCACGTTTTATCGTATCTGCGTTTTAGCGCTATTTTTGGACCATTTTTTTCTGAAGGAATAAGATGTTAACTATAACTGATCGAAATCATTTAAATAAACTGGCCGTAGACTGGGGACCACAAGAAACGCGGAGGCGAAGCCGAGGCTGTTTCTTGTATAGATATACTAGCGGGCGGATTTAAACCATTTACCAGTAGAAATACATAGCTTTTAACAGAAGAGAAATATGTATATAAGGTAGTTTCATCACTCACTAAATTGTCAGTAGCAACAAATCCAGCCGCAACATTGATGTTTTGAGTGACCACTGGGCTTCGGGAACTGCAGAACTGATACTGTGGGTAATCCAGGTCCATCGTCATACCGAGAGGTCATAAAGGTAACGGCTGGGTGCCTTTGTAAGATGTACGTACATGTTAACGGTGTAAGATGTTATTAAACTCCGGCTTTGTTGAGCCAGTACTCTGGATGCAGTGGAGTACTTACGCCAAGCCGGATCCTTTCGTACCAGTACATGTATGATGTGACTGTGGATAACATCCTGGATAGTTTCGTTTTCGGTTATGGTCACTTGCACAAGTTGCACTTGCTCTGTGTGAGAAAATTAGGAAAACCAAAAATCACTTCCTAGTTTTCAAACTTGTACCGAATACCTTAAATTAGCCGGCATCGACTTTGGAACTTCTAATTGGATGTGTGTTCCAGTCGTGGCTGCCAATATTGACGAATGCACGTAGTCGCGCCATGCAGATTACTCTCGTTGCAATTATCCCCATTTCCGCATCAAATAACTCGCCTTTATTTTTTTAGGTGGTTATTTTTTCGTTTCTGTCTCGCGGTCGTTTTGATTACAATCTGAAATACAGAGTAGTACAACAGTTCACCAACAGCGATGTGACCTATCATATGGCATTATTTGATTTCTTTCCTTATCATACGCAACCAAAGCTTTACCGTATTCAGCAGCTTTATTAGTTTTATAATTATTCAGGTAGCGATTAGATGTTATGGGTTAGTGTGGATAGATCCATGTAAAAAAATTATCGACAGAAAACGAATTATTTCTATTTTTTGTGTATTGTAATTTTTGATAAATGCAGCCGCATGCACGTTTACCAAAGTTTTGTAAGTTTATTTTTAAGAGCAAAGCTTGCTAAATTCCTGCAGTCAATTTTTTTCGAAACGGAAAAGTACAGTGCGGTAATACAGCATGAAAGAGAAACGGTAAGTTGATTACCACTATTTTAGATGTAATGCAGTGCGGCATAAAGAATCGAGCGCCGGCTTGAAAATACAAAATTCAATAATGGCACCCTCTACATATACTGTGCTCATTTAATTTTTGGGGAAATATGTCTGGCACAAAGGCAAATATGCTTTACGCTCGTGTAATGAAAAACTAGATCGGTAACTTTGCGGAAGTACTTACTCGATGTCACTGGTGACGGATTTCCGTCTGGGGCGGGTTTTGTACTTTTGTTACAGTATCGGCACAGGTCATGATATCATGAAGATTTAGTGAATTGTTTTTAAATAATTATAATTTAATGTTTGCTGCTGCATAAACTGAATTGTGAATTAAATTAAATTTTACGATTTAATTTTCTAAATATTGCACTAGCGTTTGTAAAGGCGGTTGTTTACTTACAAATAATTTTCGCGTTACGAGTGGGCAGTACTGGAAGTAAGTATATTAAGTATCACTGTGTAAAGGTGGACTTGTACAGTACGAACGATCATCGACTCATCGTACCTACAGCCGGTACCTGTCTACTTCCACCTGCACTTCACAGGAGACAGGTTTTTGGTTTACACTTGTACAATTTGAGGATTGTACCTGTGGATCCTCTGCAGCGGTGTGAAATCTGTGGTATCCTACGTCACAGCGACTCAGTTTGCATGACCGTTGAGACTGTAAATCGCACATGGACCTCACTGTTTACCGGTGTACTTCCTTCGCACCGCATCTGTTTTTCCATTACTAGTTGATGTTTCCGCTATAGCCAAATATTTTTGTCTAATTAACGCTTCCTTTCTGCGAAATATCAATATAGCCGAAAGGGGCGCTGCATTGTAATCACCACGCATTTTTCCTTGATCTGTGGTATTGATGGTTATGTTGCTGGAAATGAACGAATCCTTCTACGGATTCTCTACGAACAATCTGGGCACGGATCTCATTGTCCCGCCCAGCCATCCGTCCCCGCATCATTTATCCACATCGGGCTGCTTCGGACTTCCGTCGCCAAATCCGAATGGAGCATTTGGCGGGATGTCGATGATGGGATTAGGCAGCAGCAGCGCCACACTGGATCTGGCCGAAGGGAACACCAGCGGCAGCAGTTCGGACCGTGAGCCGCCCGATTCCAAAGTGGACATTGATGATGAACTGTGTCCGGTGTGCGGCGACAAAGTGTCCGGCTATCATTACGGACTGCTGACGTGCGAAAGTTGCAAGGGTTTTTTTAAGCGGACAGTGCAGAATAAGAAGGTCTACACATGCGTCGGAGAACGTAGCTGCCATATTGACAAAAGCCAAAGGAAACGATGCCCTTTCTGCCGATTCCAGAAATGTCTGGAAGTTGGCATGAAGCTGGAAGGTAAGATGACGAACTCCAAGCTTTGACTGAAAACCTTATTTGTTTTCAAAAATTTTGCTGCAAAATTAAAGTTCGAAGATTTCACTGTGTAGCAGTACACTACATTACAGATAGGAATAAAAACCCATTAGATGGATGGTAAACATACCCAAAAAGCACCAGTATTCAGTAGATAAGCATACGCAACAGGTGCATGCAGTTTCACTTTTGCGATTTCCTTAACATTTTTTTATAGCGTTTCCTTTCCCCTTTCAGTTATTTTTGCGAATACTTAGTTTGCTAAGGACTACCTTTATCCTGTTTTCGTGGATAACATACCGTAGTTCACGAAGCACTTCGCGTGTACGCTAATAATCAGATGGACGAGCGCCGGCATAGTACAGCATGATGCCGGTATACCAATCAACGTGGGATACCGGCATAAAGCGAAGAAACTCGCGTTAAAGACAGTATATTGCGGTAACCAAACCGGTTGCTCTTAATCATTAGATTTATTATACAAATTTAGAAAAATATATTACCGTTAAGCGATGACGATGTAAAGTCCAACGAAGGTCAATTTCGGCGAAATACGCCGTAAAGTGGACGATGCTGCGGAATGGCATTGGCTGCCGCAACCGTACCCACAACGCCGTCATCTAGATCTTTGTAAGGGATGCTGTTACCTCATTTTTCTAGGAAAGATTATCAATGATTTTTTAAAATAACGCTGCGCAGTTGGACCGTCGAGTATTATAATTATAAGTTATGTATATTAATTTTAAATATGGACAACAAATGTTGACGTTTTCTGGAGGGTTGGTAGTTTAATATAAAACCGCACTGGAGATATATTGCACACCTACCCCTAAAACAGTGGCTATGTAGTAACTGATAAACTAAATCTAGTTTTCATTCATTTTAACAATAGTTTTCTTCGTATTAACAAATTAATGTTAGAACCGGTTACATATCCTGCTTTATAAAGAAGGCATATTTCGAAATTGTCAAATTATCGTATTGCAAATGATGATTTGATATTCGTTTGCTGACTAAAATTGTGAGTTTTTGAGTCGAATTAGAGTTACTGTAGTGACTGTAGGGAATTTGGGACGGACTTAATGCGGCAAATTAAAAAGAATGCAAAAATTAAAGCATGTCAGTCGCATGCAACAGGTAAATATTTGACTGGTCAAGATTTAGTCACATGTTAAACAACTATCTGTGTCGCGAAGGAGTAAGGAAAATAAATTTTTGTAATATGAGTAGTGAATAAGGAAAAGTAAATGTAGAAACGCTAAAAAAACGAGGCCAAACGCGCGCAACAAGTTGTGATTTGGCAGCTGCAGCGACGATGCCGACAGATGAAATTAGCGCAGTCTAGGTGCATGACAAAAGGATCTATGTAGCTTTGCGCACAGCGTATGTGCGTATGCAAACTGCGCCCGTGTTCCTAGTGTTTTTTTCCACATAGCAAATCTACCGGCTCTGATCTGTTTGTAAAGCGAGGAACTGTTTTACTAGGTCAAGTATACAAAAAATGACGCCATGTCCGTAACCAGGTATACAACAAAGGTAAAATGAGATCAGGCTGCTGGAGTGCGTAAGCATGAGAAAACAGTCAATTTAAAAATGGTTTAAGCTGTCGAGTCGTGCCGGCATCCACTTACCTGCCGTTGCCGGTTGCCGTTGCCGCGTCCCACGTGAACCAACACATCGCGTGAGATGCAGGCGATATACCGTATTGGGGTCTAAAATCTTATCCTACGTCCACTCCATCATTTAGAGCCGGCAATTAACTGAGTGGCTATGCGCTATCGTGTTTTAAAGCAATCTCGGTCAAGGATTTCTAATTCATTATGCCGTATTGACAGTTAAAATGTTGATATTTGTAAATGTTGTTTCTGATGATTTCTGATTATCATGTACCGCTGTATAGGCAAATACCATGCATAAACCATGCCGACAGTTAATCATAAGAAAAACTACTGCAGATCGCGATGAACGAAACCAATAGCTGTATGAGGTACAGCCTATTGTTACCATAGTAAAATGAGTACTTTTGCAAGATTTCATTTATTAAATAATTATACTACGTAGTTTTGAATAAGCCAGGGTAGTTGAAGTCGGATGACAAGCAAAATAGTTCTTCTACGCAAACTAAAACAAACGGCAGTAGTCCATCAATAAAGCTGAGAATTTTTACAGATGATTTAATATTAACGCCGTATAAACGCTCAATTGTGTTTTTTTGCCGCCACATAATTATTTCTAAATCCTTAATAAGCTAATACAGATACATGCCCACGCATTAAATTACCTGAAGAGTTGACTGGCTTATTCAGGTAGCTAAATGGGCAATATTAATCACAATTGCGGTTTTTCTGCAGCTGTCAGATCTGACCGAATGAGAGGCGGAAGAAACAAATTTGGACCAATGTACAAAAGAGATCGTGCAAGAAAATTGCAAGCTTTAAGGACCCGTCAACAGCTGACGTACAATCCTCTCGGCCACAACCATGGTTTAAGCCATTCCCGATCCAATAGCGGCAAATCGGATGATTCTGCTAATTACGTTCTCCCGCCCATCGGCAACGGTTCCTTAATGTATGATTTCCATAGCGCATCGGCTTCTCGGAAAACGGAAATGATCCAGATTCCCCATCTCAGCTCTACGAATTCCCCAGAAAACCTACATCTGGTGGCTGCCGATACCAACAGTAATTCCCATGCACCGGCATCGTGGTCCGGCACAGGTTCACCGAATTCCGGCGCACCTTGTAATCAGAATATTGCGCTACTAAATATTGGCGGTATGCACCTGCATGGGACGCGATCCCCCGGACAGCCCTTGATGGAGGCCGGGGAACCGGGGCAGATAATCCTCCCGCGCAGCGTAACAGAACTGCAGATGACCTTAATTGACGATAAGATCTGGCAGGATAATCTGCATGCGCTGCTCCACCAGCAGACATACAACCAGTGCGAAGTGGATTCGTTTGAACTGTTGTGCAAAGTTTTGGACCAATGCTCGTTTTTGCAAGTGGAATGGGCAAAAAATTCGGCCTACTTCAAAGATCTGCAGGTACTTAAAACAGTTAGTCAAATTTAATTAAAACTTGTGACAATTGTTGTACCGGGTACGTGTATAGCTGTAAAGGTCATGCATCGGTTAATGGATCTTATGTATTTCCATTGCAGTATCTGACTCTGCACACACCTTCAGACGTATAATTTAACGGTTTTAAACTTTGAGCAGTCGGTCCTGTTTTCTTGTTTCCCGTACAACAACCTCGCTTTTTTTCTGGCATAAGGCAACTGACAGGTTACTTGATGCTTCCTAGAGGTTTGAGAATATTAGTCAGACTATCTTATGCGGTCAGGCATGATTGCCGGTTTTCTTTGGATGAGTGGCCATCATTTTGAACTACACTTCCAAATGATCGTTTTTCTTTGGTTAGGATGATGACCCTCTCTTTTACTGTGGATAATCCTAGTTATGATAAAGACGTATCATAATGTAATTATTTAACCTTTAAGTACTTACTTCAGTGCAGAATTAACTCAGTCTGATACCGTATATTATTACGCAGTACTAATATGCTGTACGAAACAGTATATCAGTCTGACAGTATGGCCGTTTGAATTGGTGCATAACATTTAGAATTTAGCCACGCTGATTTAAGATCGATCTTGATAACCAATAGCCAAGCTGATACAAGCTCAGTTTCTAGAGGCATTGCTAATATATTGCACTGTTTCTTTGTGTTCATAATCATGAGACGTAACAGTTCATTATCTGCATAATGATGCTTTGATTTCGTGCACAGCACAAGCAGTAATTTTTTGATTGTTTTGGCTCCGCTAACAAGCCGGACTGCTTTTTCGAGCCGTACAAAAGGATGATCTGTAAATAATCGAAGCGGAAGGAATGATTATCACGTTAACCTGAAACATTACAAAAAAAGTAGCTTTTCTGGTTGGAATCACTCAGCTATGGCGAAGTCATGAACTTTCAGTAGGAAAAATAGTATGCCGACTAATGGGTGGCTTCCAGATTGTGTTTTCGAGACAATTAATACAAGTACATACGTAGATCAGCCTGACTAAACATTTAGCTATATGTGAGAACCGCCATTAGTTATTAGATTTTACAGCCTGGAAAAATGTCGTCTGACTGAACTTTCCAACAATAGAATGCGCAAATAAAATAAGGAGCTAACAAAAGTTAGGCAGAACATTAACATGGCAGCGTTAATTGAGTGCCCGGCGCCCGCAAAATGATAAAATTAATATCTTTGTAGATCGAACACGTTAATAAATTATCACTAGCTATTAAAGTGTTGTAAAATATGTCCCGAATTACAATTTTTTATTGGCATTTATTTACAAATTCGACACAGTATACAGCTCAGTTCTCAAAATTACGACTGCTAACCGCTGCATGCATGTCCAGGTGGAAGATCAAAGCTCATTAATCCAACATTCGTGGAGTGAGATGGTGATTTTGGATTTTGTATATCATCGTCTGTTTAACAATTTGCCGGATGAGACAACGTTGCCCAACGGTCAAGCATTTTGTTTTCTGGACCTGGTTATCTTGGGAGCCAATACCAACATAGAGCTGTTACATAGCTTTACCGCCCGATTACGAGAGCTGAAATTCGACAGGAATGATTATGTATGCTTCAAATTCCTTTTACTCCTAAGATCTGGTGAGTTATCGGCCATTTGCATTTTATTCCTATATTTCAGCTGATTGTGAAACATTAACAATAGAAAAGCGCGGTTTTAACTGAACGGTTTGATATTTTACAGATGTGCCTCGATTGATAGACAGAGGTCACGTGCGAACAAGTCAAGAGCATGTTCAGCGTTTATTTCTGGAACACTGCATTGGAGTTTATCCACACATGCCTGAAAGATTTAGGTAAAAAAACGCAAAACAGCTGCGAATTACAATTTTAAACATGCGATTACGCGTTTTGTTAATTATCTAGTTAGTATTTTATTCATGTATTTTACTTACGATGCGATATCGAGTGGCTGTACAGCATCGACATTCACCGTAAGTTTCTCGTTTTTGAAAAGACGCGTTCATCATATACCGTATGTTAAATATGTCCGCTTCTGCCAAATTCTCCATATGTTCGGCATTTTGCAGAAAATTGTTTGCTTCAAGGCATTTAAGTAATAACTCATTTTTTCACTGCAGTCAGCTTCTTCTGGTGCTTTCGGAACTAACCGTCATGGCTAATCATGGAGAAGAATATTTATATTACAAACATATGACCGGAGCTGCCAGCACCAAAACGTTGTTAATGGAACTTCTCTCCGGACCGAAGCGAAAACATTAATTTAATCTAAGAACTCTTCGGAATACTCTACAGTCATTCCGTAACCTTTGGTATTATCAGCTATCATTAATTTGGATAGTTCGAATACCGGTCCCGGTCATTCTCCTCCTGAACCACAATCAAACGTGGACTCTCATCCTGTTGTGTTCGTTTCCACCGACGGTGAGCAGCACTCTTCCGGTGAATCGGTTCCGGTACAAATACGATAGTTTCTTTCTTACTGCCGCGCGCATCGGTCTTCCTCCCTTCATTGAATCGATGCATCAAGTTATTATCATATTGATGATTAATTTGTTGTTTAACCTATTGTGTTTATGGAATTTGTTATATGCTTGTTTTGTGTAAAGTAATTGTAAATAGTGCCAAATATTGTGTACTTAGTAGTTTGATGCATAACACTGGCAATGGTTTGTGAGCTCGTTTTTCTGTTTTTTGTTAAGCTGTATTTTGTAAGTTGCAATCAGTAGTGTTTGTACGTGTACTTTTCTCGTAACTGCGATTGTTAATTTTTCCGGTATCTGTTCCTCTTTCCGATAAGCCAAAAAGTTGTTTTTGTTATTCTCAGCTATGCATCATCCCGCAGCGTTATAAAGCGTTTGTTGTTAGATTTTCACGTTATTTTAAATGCTGCGCTTGTTGGCGCAGTGGGCACGCCACCTGCTTAATAACCCTAAGTTCTAAAATTTTCCTAACAAAACATATAAGAATAAAGTCAAGATGGAATGTATATAATCAGTATCGGGACTTGAAAGTCATCAACAAACAAAATGGTTATGTTGTTTTAATCTTAGACCTCTCCTACTGCAGTATATACTTTGTACGTATCGTCGTCGCATCGAACAATTTGCAATAGATCAATAAACAAACTATATGAGCTTTTCCACCGTGGTCGTTATCAAAGATAAAGAAATTTTCCTCAGAGAATCCATACTCATACTTCTACATATATTATGCGCCATAAAATATATTACGCCGAAGCTTAACAAGAGTATAGTAGACATCGTTGGTGTTCCTGACAGTGATCAAGTGGAGTACCGGAAATCGACATTGGGACAAACATAATATGATCAGGTTCCTGATGGAGCAGCTGCCGGTAGATGACAAGGCTACCCTAGTATATGATTATAGGAAATCATAGTGCGCACGCATACAGTGGCACATTGTAATCTATATTCCATCGCCGGTCTAAAGTTTCGTTGCAATGCTGACGGAAGCTGTTTAATAATTAACAAAATCAGGCCTATTGAACTTATTCCAATATATTATTTATTGTATGAATAAAATATTTACGGGACTTCAAGAAAAGTACCCATAGTTTCATACGGTACAATGCAAGCTGAAAGAGCACCGGATCCAGTCTCTTCTAACTTGGTTTACCGATCTTCTCAATCGTTGCCACTTATAAAACGATAGAGTTTGCAACACTGTTAATTTAGATGAAGCAACACAATCGTTTTTTAATCCTGTCGACAGTAATGCTGGAAAGAAACACTTACGCAGTTACACTTATCAATTTATAGTTTCTTCGGTTGATTGGCCTTCATAATTCTACTGTTGCATCTATCTCATGTATATGTTATGATATTATGGATACAACATCTTGGTATTGCGAATTAGTGTGATATGCGGAGCTGTGGAAATACAACTGTAGGATTATACGATAATTATATTTTATGGTATGTAAACTTGTGTGCGAAGTTGACTTGGTTTTCGTAAAATTTGGGCTTGATGCTTTCATACCTGTTATATAATAATTCAGTGTCCTGCGTTCATGTTTGATTGCTGAGAGTCTGAGACCATGCTGCAAACAGTAACGTATATTAATTAACAGACAAAGATTTTTAGAACGAATTACCGTACTTTTATTTTTATGTTTTATATAAAAAGCGAAGATTTAATGCTAATTCAACAACTAGAATTTTTCGTAACCTGGCTTCCTGTTTAGTGACCGCGTAGTATCTTCTAGAGCCATAAGCGAGCGTGTTTCCTAAAATTAATACTTGTTAGCATGGTAAGTATCAAAATTATGAGATTAGAATTCGGTCTGAAATGCCATTTTAAATTTTATGTCGGTATCTATTTAAGCTTGCACAGCTGGACAAAGCTCTAGTGGCACGGTTTTATAATTACAGCTTGTTATTATGCCTATCCAGTGTATTGTACCGGGTGCACGGGGAACAAATGTATGCAACAAGGTCAGGAAGGTTATGTTTTGGTTTCAGCAGGTGTGGACGGAAAAGTGATGTTATTATATTATTCCCTTTTAACAGATTCCGTACATGCACATACGGTGTCTGTCTGCATGGCATACGTGCAGTGTAGTATGAATTTGGAAGGTTACTACAGGATGTATTTGGATTTGTGCCCACGTGCACTCATTAATTTTGTAAACTTCATGTTACGAGTACGTGCAGGTTGATACTAAACTGATAAACTGTCAGAAATTCTTGTGATGACCACGGTACAGGATTTTGTTATTAAATTATTTACAAACTAAGGCATTATAGCTGCCTTGTACCTTAGCTTACGCGTACGAGATACACGACATAAAAATTGTAACCAAACTTAGCCTACGCAGTCAATGCTTGCACTGCGTGATCAGTTAATTAACATACCAACCATATCAATAATTTATTGTCAGAGGCAGCTGACTTTAAAAAAACAAGTCTCGTACTTAAAGGCGTCGTTAAACTGCATATATACACATGACGAGGGTCCGCTTAGAATGTTTACAACATGCACGTAACTTACACACGCAATTTTTATGGTTAATTCCGAAGATGATCAGTCTTTAGGCTTTTAAAATTAGAGTTATGTTCCTGCGCATCTGCATAGATGCATAATACCATTTGATACCTGTTGTCACAGTGTTGTGAAACGCTAACAAATCATCTTCAAATAAATGAATGGTTAAGTAATGTAATTTGGATTTGTTTTTGTCGTCCGGGTTTGACCGTTCATGTTCTGTGATATGACAGTACTGTACATGTTCTGAGATACTGTACAGGTATCGTATTAATAAAATTCGTTTTCATTTACATCGTTCTCTGCTGTACATTCGCCAATTTGCACATGTGACGATTGAAGAAGAGACAGTATCAGAATAAGCATTTATCCAAATAAGGCAAAACTCGATGCATTAACAATAAGATCCATCCTGGCAGAAGTTTCTTATAGGCATAAAATTGATTGGTGTCTTTGAAAATACGATAACGATAATTGCGAATCTTTCCTTCCGTAATTGCAGATGTCTTTACGATTTTAAATCTGCTAAACGCGCCGTTGATGTGCTGAGCTTGACAATTCAGAGTTTCAGAGTCATGCAAGCCATACAAGTCACGTTTGTCATCTGCTACACAAAATGTAAGAACTATAAGTATAACATTTATATTGTCAAATTTAATTACGCCAGTGTTGTGGCCTAAAGTATAAATATACATCTTATCTTACTGTGTCTACATTTACTCTGGGAAATGTAATGTTCATAGTGATATAGTTCACAAAATAAATTACCGGTATCAGTATTTATCAGTTGTTCTCAGAATGCACATATTCTCGCTATAATAATGGGCCCTTTTTTGGTAAAGTAATTAAACTGACCTGACCTCCCGAGGAAGGGATTTGCAATGCTTGATCCGTGCAAACTGCGAAAGCAGTTGGCACGGATATACTGGGATGGGGCCGGTAAATGTACTGTGGTAGCTAAACAGGCGTAGTGTGAGTATTGCATATAACAGTGTTTGACCATTGGTTCTTTTCAGAATCTGTTTGCTTCTGGAGCTAGGTTTACGTAATTCTTTGTCTGTTATACATACGATAGAAGTGGTACATCCTGGCTATGGATGGGAACACCAGCTGGGATGGATCGGATTTCCGGAGAAAGAGTAGCGATATGTCAGCACGTTAGGTTCTTCACAGGCGGCGAGTAAATGTCGATAATGCTTCCCGAAGTGTACGTGATAGTATGATATTGACCACTTTGTTTCCCGGCTGCTCCCGACTGTTGCGCCCGCTTTCCAGATGCAGCCGATTGCGCATATTTTCACTGGAGGATGTAGCACGAGTAGATACTTTTCAGCTCACTGTGCAAATTTTGGAGAGCACTTTATGCATACTCCTGCTGCACTTACCAATTTATTTCTACTAATCAATACTTCGATATTTATTGCGAAAGTGTAACCTTTTAACCATACTAATTGTTCGCATTCGACGGTTCTAAAGCTCCAACTACTTGTATATGGTTTGACGTTATATGCCGCACGAAAATCATGCCATAATACCATCGTAATTGTTTATAAAAATCAAAAAATTATAAAGTAATGATTTGCAAACACCACCTTATATGTATGACTAATGTTTCGTGCTATGACAAGACATATGGAACTTACAGGAAGTTGTTATGTGGAATTAAGTAATAATAATTGTGGGCTTAATTTTTTAAATATTTATTTCGTCGCACAATAGTGATTTGTTCCATCCTGTTTATTGTGTCCACGCTTAATCAGTCAAGATAAAACGTCGTAAAATTAAATAGATCATAATACTAAGTCAGCTACATTGCTTACAAGGGCTGATGCAGAACTGATTTCCTGAAATGCTAAATTGAACTAAAGTAATTTAAGCCAAACTACGAGTAAAATATCTTAGCTTTGCAGGAACAGTTATCGTTATAAGCAGCTTCTTATCATACCAGAATTTTTTTCACAAAGGCTTCGTTGCGGTTGCAGTCAACCAATAAGGGGATTACATTTAATTCTTCAGCGTGATAGAATTCTTCACTGTTTATGTCTAATTTGTGCGCTAGTAAGATGGACGAGACGACAGTAACTTAACAAATACATGTACAGAATATACTACAGACTGAAATTTTTGGCTGAAAATATTTTTACTTCCTTGAAAAATTATTTTTTCTCTCCAATAAAGCTCTTCTTATATTTGTTATGAGTATTGCTATGAGTACGGTCAAAACTTCACGCGAATCTAGTTTGCATCTTGTTGCTGTGTAAAGAGGCAAACACCATACAGCAATGCCATACATAACAACGGTTATTTTCACAGTTTGAGCGATTGTTTATTCACTACTGTATAAGTGAATAAAAACAAAATTTTACAAACGCTTAACTTACTTAATGCAACACGAGTAGAACGCCCTTCCGTATGGCATTTCGGCATGACCCCTTAGCGTGAGGTTGTGATCCGTAATCGGCATCCTGCTGCGTGTACCGATATCGATAACCTAAACCAGCGATCACCCAGCGCGAAAAGTATATTAATTACGTATGTTGTGCTTGTTGTAGCGTCAAACCTTTAATAGTACTGATTGTGAGCAACCTTGTTGCTGACTGTATTCATTATTTTAAATAAATGTACCCAAGATCGCCCATTTGAATATGACGGATTGCCGTTACGAACAAAAAGTGGCAGCTAACATTTATTGCACTACTTACCATTTAAGTATATTAAACGAACCGCAAGCTAGGAATGGCACACATGCGAAAATATGTGGAATTCTTCAGGGCAGAAATGAAACTGGATGTTTGCAGAATAATAAGTTGATTGCCACGATTGCCACCAACAATAATATACTGTAGTAATAAAAACAGTTTTTTATATTTTAGTTGATGTTGCTAATAGTAAATTGAACCGATGTACAGATGAGTCTATATTGTGTTAGTACAGAAGTACAGTACGTGGGCTATTAGCAATTTACGAATAAACTCAAAATTTCCGGCTAAGTTCGCCAATTTAGATTTAGCAGCGGTTAGTAAGAGAGTAAATGAAGCACAACAAGGACAATGGCCGAAATTGCAGCCAGTAATAAGTGACATATGGTTGACTAGATAGGAACATTTGGAGAATGAATGAATCTCCTGAGGTGTCAAAGGAAACATTTTGGTGGACTTAATTCGACATTAACTCGGAGCGGTTTGTTCGCGATCTGTTTGCTGGATATCCTGCGTGGCTGCCTTGTACATATGGACGATAGACTGGTGATGTTATTATCACCACATCCTTCAAATGTCAGCATAAACTGTCTAGGAAGTCTTGACGACCACGTCGGCAAAATTGAGTACGACATTGGTGTCATTCGTCATTCGAGCAGCAGTAGCAAAGCGTCGGGATTAGTTATATGCCATCACAAATCGGGTTCCGCGTCGTTTATTGTGAATGTATCCAATTCCGTGTTGTTGTGGCGCAATAATTATACTGCCATGTTTTTATCGTAAAACTTCATATTTTTAAAGAATTAAAGAAATTTTACTTGTTAGCTTTTGTCCCCCGTTTTGTATACAATATTGTGACAATTGTAGCGATTTAGTTGCTGTACATGAAAATTTCACCTTTTATTTAATGCGCCGCTTACTAAATTTTTCGCTGTGGTTTAAAAGAATTGTGGGTATTGCGTACCCTGAAATAATTATTCTGGTTCCCGAGAAAAACACCGGTGATTCCAAATAAGGAATACGTATTGTTAAACGCAATGTCTGGAACGCACCAACAACATGCTAAAGCTGTCACATGCGGTACAATGCGCAGGTCGTTCTAGCGCAATGTGGCTCCGGTTTCCACTGCAGTATTCACAAGTACACTATGCCATAAGTATAGGAATTCTATGGGTTATTCCATTGTTTGTACTTAAAATGAAAAATGCTTTGAGCATCATAATTCGAGACTGATTGAAGAATAATGACATGGGGCGCGATCTACGGATAAAACTTAATTGTCTTAATGGAATAAACTGACGTGCGCATCTATACCCATGTGAATTACCCGAATGGAATCACAGTCACGCAACACTTGGGCTTCGTTCACTTCGCCGTGTTGAGAAAGCATCAAAATCATTAACGGCCGATTCGCACGAATGTAAGCAACGGTGCGAAAATGGATTTATACAACACATCCCGCGCGCAGGAAGGTCTGAGCGAGCACCGCAGGTTATGCCGAGAAAATACACTCCTTGAAAATAACCCTACTCCAACGAAATTCGGTAAATATTTTATTATGCAAGGCTTAGTGAAGTCAAGCATGCATCTGAATATTTGATACTTTGCTGTCCATAACTCATCACTTTGTTGTAATTGCATTTTTGTGGACAATAAAAGCCAAATCATATTTGTGTAATGTTTGCTATACAATATAAAAAGCCAAGCGTATTATGTTTTCTTATTGCAATCTGAAATATGACAATACCGTGCGCGAAAATTATCCTGTTCAGTTGACTACCTAGTGCATTTAAAATCAACAGACAGTTTATGGAAATTGGGGGTCCTGTTATCCAGCCAAGGTAGTTGGTTGACACAATGTGCAAGTTAGGTTGAATGATGTTGACATAGTCGTGTTTACATCGTGCTGATTATATTTCTCTCCAAATCTTTAGCCGGCTCATGATACCGAAATGTATTTAGTTTGCAAATAACCAAAAGAAAAAGGCCGAAAAGACTATTTCTTGAACAAAAAATTCGACATTTACAATAATAGGAATGGCAAGGAATAACACATTGAACTAACGATAAAAAACGTCTGTACGAAATACTTTCCTGAAGTCAGTATATTTGTATATGTAATACTATTGTGACCTTCATCGGTGCTGGGCAGCGGCAAATTTCATGCGCTTTTGTTTCTGGCGCTGATTGCAAAACCACACGCGGACAACGTTCTTCTTCAAATCCAACTTCTCGGCTATGGCGGCAATTTTCTCACCGGATGGCCGCGGTTGCATGGCAAAGAAAGCCTCCAGATGACGCTTTTCCGGTGCGGCGATAGAGGTGCGCTTGCGTTTTTTATCCATGCTCAGCGTGGAGTTGTCGGATGTGGGAGAGCCTTCTTTGGCTTTGACTTTGGCTTCTTTTTCGGCTTGTTCGAGCCAGGCGTGCAAGATGGGCTTCAGCGCCACCATATTGTTGTGGCTCAGCGTGAGACTCTCGAACCGGCAAATCGTACTCTGGCTAAGTGATCCAACACCGGCAATTTTCAGGTTAGCCAATGCCTTACCGACATCGGCCTGTGTGACCCCTAATTTCACTCGACGTTGTTTGAAACGCTCGGCAAACTGTTCCAGTTCACGGGGGTCAGTATCCAAACTCAGGTCATGCATGGACGACGCAATGTGACCCAGGCTGTGAGCGGATAGGCTGGAATGACCCATTGAGCCGAATGCAGTGTGCGAATACAGCGAAGGATGGATACCATGGTTATGCGACGATACCTATAATTTCTGAGTGTTAGTATTGTCGCCTTACATGAACAGTCACCAGTGCATATTGGATCAGGAAAATCGCTGCGCAATCTGCGCGCCTTGATTATCTGCGCCTAATTTTTAGAAGATGAGAATTTAAATTATTAACTGTGTCCAGTGTTTGTATCAGATGATGTACAGTTTTCTGTATTTGTTAAGCTTGTAATGTGATGGAGAAAAAATTTTATTAAATTATCAAAGCTGTGAGGATTTGCGCAGTGTTTTGCGTGATTGCTTACAGTACTGTGATAATACTCATGACTGTTTGTAATATGAATTCAGACACGACACAGCAATTTGATTTATAAATTTTGAAAACCATGCGCAAAGGTGGAAAATTATTCTTGAACAAACACTAGAAATACTATTATGGAGTAGGCATGATCAGAATTGTTCGTAAAGAACAGAGAACAGTTATGCGGACATAATCATTTTTCAATACATTTTTATCTTTTTTTGTACGACAGTGTATGTGCTTGAATGTACGAGTACATATTCCCTGACAAACATATTTGGCGTTTTGCAATTAAAAAAGTGATTGCTTAAGTGACCATAGGATCGCTTATTTTACAGTACAATGTGTCAAACTAAACTTTCGGGATAATACGATAAGAAGTATACGAGTGACTCGTATATGACTCGTATGAAGGAGACTTATATGCTAGACACAGGAGTATCTGTTGTGCTTGATCCTCTAATAAACGTTTAAATTATCATGATAGCTAATCTCGTATCGCTGAGATTGTATCCCGTTTGTTTGGTTTGTTTTGCTGTCGATAAATTAAAACGCTAACTACAGAGATGCCGGTTATATTGTGCAGTGTACTACAGACGCATGTAATTACGTAATTATGATTATGAGGCGCTGGACGATTGAATTAATGGTTTGCCATTTACAGATCTCAAAATAAGCACAGACAGAAAGGTCACTCATTAGCGTATTTAGCACTACTTCTTCTCTGTTTACCGCATTATGATCTCCAGCGAATCCTGTTAGACCGGAGTTGGTGAATGCAGCCGTGAGTCCATCATGGTGGTAAAATTCCATCGGTCCAGCATGTTCCATGGAATGAGAAGTGGACGGCATTCGGCTGGCATGTGTCGCAACGGATGGATACATTGACACATGGGGATCGGCTTTGATGTTTTGTATGGTTTGTACTGCATGATCCGTACCGGAACCTTTCAAATCAACCGCAGTCAGCGCGTCGGCCGATCCAAGAAAACGCGATGAATCGTCGAAACTGAAAAATCCCGTCTGGCCGGCGCCAATCAGGGGCAAGGAAAAACTTATTTAAGCGTCATGAACATATACATGAATGCAAGAAATAAATTTACAAAGTAGACAAGCATGCATTGTTTCATTATTAATGTACTACTGTCGGTCTAGTCTATCTAAACTTTCACACACTGTACCGAATCAAATTGCCCAAAGGTACAAGTGTTTACACTGGCAGAATTGATCCCTACATAAGCAGTCCTCATAAAATATGGAGACGATTAAGGGAAGGCCAACAAAGTAAATTCACACATTTACTGCATACGCGTACGTGTCAATGAGGCGCTATACATATACACAGACTTCAATTGGATTCCGGGATCGAACCATTGAAATATTTCATGTATCAATGACTTATTTCCGTTTGCTGAATAAGTCTGTGTATAATTAAATAGATCGCTTCCGGACAGTAGCCGGTGCATGGCTTATTCAGTTAGCCTCGTCTAGTGCCGCGGCAGTACACTTATTCATAAAACATTTGATTTCATTTACACATTCCCGTCTGGGTGTTAATGTAAGTTTTCTTACCAGTTTACACATGCCGCCATAGTGTATTATTAATATTTAAAACTTAACTTACCGCTGGCATCTGTCGGCGCATCTGATCGGCGGCGTTCATGTTAGCACGATATGCGGAAGTGGGACTGTATCCGCCGCGTCCATTCGCCAGTCCGGCCGGACTGGCAAAAGTTGGTAATCCAAACGTTTTATTGCTCATATCTAGACTGTCGCCGGAAAGGTGTGTTCGGGACAATGTATGGAATATTGTGCTGGACATTGTGTAAAGTTGTATATTATTTGACTATGCCGAATTCGACGGCAACAAGGATACAAAGCGGCTGCGAGTGATTATAAAATATGCAAAGATTAATGCAGTTAAATAGCTTAAGAAACAGTTTAACAGACAACAAGCGGAACTTAAAGCCGTCTCGCACAGAAAGGGATGAGCTGATAAAGCCCGAAGGATATGTATACGCGGCACTGGCAATTGACGGGCGGGAAGAGGAGAGCAGTCATCCAACCCGATATATATATTTTCCCGCGATGTCGACGCTGAGCCGCGCTGCCTGGGATGCATAACATATATATGGATGTGCACCTGCAGCTGTGCGGCATCCCACGTGCTGCTAGCTATTTGCACATTGGTCCATTTCCACTGTGTGTGCCCTGCGCTGCGATCTGAGCTTCTGCTGCTCCAGTTTACAGCCGGCTGACTTTGCTTGTGATCTGTTACACAGCAGTAGCAGCATCCCTGTGGTTTACATTTGCCAGCCGTTCAGCGCGTAGCTGTGTAGGCAGTCGGGGGATGGGGATGTGGTTGTTAAGTTAATTATCAAGTCATTAAAATTGCAACCGAAAATATGCGTCTTCAGTGTGTCCCTTTTGACCTTTTTGCGCTTTCGATAACACCCGGGTATTTGTTGTATTTCTCTCATGCACAATTTTTCTGCCTAGTCAGTGGAAGATTGACTTGAATACATACACTACTATGACATTGTGCTGTCTAGCGCTCGGATATGCACTGGAAAATGCTGGAACTCGCTAAATGTTTTTTATGGGATTGTGTAATTGTGTAATTGACTAGCATACTGGGAGTCTTAATAAATTTGCTAGAAGTTTATTCTGCCCATGCTCAGACCGGCTAGAATTAAATTGAATAGATTTGAATTATACCGATAGAACCCGTAGAATCATGCTTTTAGAAGTGAAAAATTTAAAGAAAAAATATTCGCAATGATTGTACATCTGTTATTTGTACTGTCAAATTGTACATCATCTACTGTAGCATCAGGTAGACGCTGGCTATACAAAACGGAAATTTTTGGTACGAGGAGGGGGTAAATACACGGGATAGACAGAAAAAACGGCAATAATAAGGGATAACCATTCACGTGTTGTGCAACACGGCCAGCCACCAAGAGAAGGCAGTTAAGTGTCACAGTGCAGAAAAGCCGTTGAGACTCCAGTCTCGAGCTGTTTCTCCGTAGACTTCTATGTTAAACTCAACCACCTTCGTCTTGCACATTTCAGAACTAATCCGCACAAGCGATAGCTCAAAAGAACAAGAAAAAATTTACAAGATTTTTGATACCAAATAACTCGCCACTCATCAAAACTGAGGCAAGATTGAGTTGTTTTAGTTTCTCGTAGACTAAGCATAAGAGTTGGATGGCTTGCTTTCACGAAGCTCCTTAGCTTTGTCTATGGGAAACTTAATTGGCTCTAACTTGTCTCGTTTCTCATAGATCACGGCTTGCGTGGTATCGAAAATCTTGTTAATTATTTCTTGTTCTTTTAAGATATAGACTGCACGGATTGATTCTGAAATGTCCAAGATGCAGGTGTTTGAGTATAACATAGGATTCTACGGAGAAGGCAGCTCGGGTCTCAAAGCCTGAATTTTGTGTAGTGTCGCTGGATTGCCTCCCCTTGGTGCTGGCCATGCTGCACAACATGTGAATGGTTATCCCTTATTATTGCTGTTTTTTTTGTCTATCCCGTGTATTTACCCCCTCCTCGTATAGTATGTGTTCACGATGTTCAGCACCATAATTCAAGTTGACAATATAGATAATTGCGCGGTCTACAGCATTATACGTCGGAAACAATAAAGGATCAGTTAAAACGTAAATAATTCCTTGCTTCTTTTCTGCTAGTGTTGGATGAGCTGGGACGGCCGCGGTTTACAACGCACGGAAACGAGCATTTCATAATACGCTACAGCATGTACTAAAATAGCTAATTTACGCCTCGTTGACTGTTTTAATAATCAACTATGCCGAATAATTAAGATATAATTGACTTAGTGACTTGATCGGTCATCTGTCGCGATGAACTCACCGCCGCCTGGAATTGTAATTAAACGTTATGCAACAGCATAGTACATTGTCCCTTCGACGAAATACTCACCGGGCAGGTAAACGTTTCGCCAATGCTGGATATTAATATGGATACAATTACAGACAGTGCCTCAAAACCTGTTCGCGACAATATATATTGCTATCTAACTTATATAGATATTAGTACTCGTATTGCTATACTTAAATTACGATAGAATAAATGGCGCTGCTGTATATGGATCGTAAGAGGGTACTGCAACGAATCAACGTTGATTCGTTTCTTTAAACTTTGATATTACTAAAAATTTATAAAAGGTTTAAATTAGAAATCTCTGGCCGCACTGCATTTATAGATGGTCGAAAACTTCAAATGCTTGGCCGCTGCCAGTGATCGTACGATTCAAAACCACACCATATGAACGTCGTTCTCACAATTTTATCACACAAATAAATCGTTGCTTAAGTCAGCAAACTACAAAATATACACATCCTTTTGAAGCACAGTAAACCGATTCCGATAACAACTCGTATGCATCGCATTAGATAAAAATAAGAAGACAGCTACGGTACGTCCATTAATTCAACACTCATATCCACAATATTATGAGGAAATTATCATTCACTATGTATGTCACGTATCCACTGCTAAACCACAAAAATCATTGGCCCATTGCTTGGAAGAGCTATCGCTCGCTAGGATTCTCGGCAAAATAACAAAACTGTGCGCCTCACAACACAGCGACTCTATTTTATATCGCAACAAAACAATCAATTACAGTACTTATATCCACCAAAAAACGTTGAACCGAAATTAGTCCAACAAAACGAATTCCACGTTCCCCATTCTTTGTACTGCGGCTGTCAATTTTCACTTAAATTTATTCAAATGCTGATTGACCAAGAAGGTGACCCGTTCCTCTTTATTGCCGCGTTCAAGACGTAGTTTGCGCTTTTCCACCAGTGGGAAAATGTGATCTGCAGTAAGCAACAATCAGATTCACAGAGACAAAACTTTTCCATTCTTCCGTTATACTAATACCTTTCATGCAGTTAAGAAACTGCGATCCCAGCCAGTTTGTTACACCTCCACGATTGGAGTTCTGAATCAGGGTGCGCAGATTGTTAGCACCCGGGCCATTTTTCAGTCCAAGCAGCAAATCCATCAAACCTAAAACAATCAAATCATAAACTGTAAACAATTAAATATTCCCATAGGTGTCAGCCCATCTACCTGGAACGTAATGCTCGACAAACTGTATGTTTTCCAGTTTTTTCAATTCGTGTGGGTCAACAAAAAACGGATATTTCGAATGCAGCGGCACCTTTCCCACACTTCGTTCGAGATACGGAAACTTATATCCGCCTCGCTCCACACCTGATAAAATCTCACTATAATGCTATTCCGAATTTCCGAACGTAATGTGACGTTGCGGGTAAAAACTGCTACGTAGTATCTTTGAACTCACTGGCCATCCGCATGGAATCACGGTCTCCAGCATCGCTTCGCGCCACAGAGCTACGCGCACCTAAAAACACAGTCGCATTTTTTTAATTTAAATTAAAACCTACCGCAATTCAAAAAAAGGCTAATATCACATGTAGTCTTATGACTTGGCTTGCAATTTTGAATGCCGAAAATTACTAGTACTTTAACCGGTATTCGGTAAATCTGTTCTATCCCTAAGGAAAAAGTTCGTAGATTAACAAGACTTTCAATGATCCGAAATTGTAGCATTCACAAATATGAAAAAACCGTCACGTGAGAACGTGTCAGCTGATAGACTGGTAAAGTAACGACTGTATATTAATTAACGGAATCTTAATTTTCATTACCGTCATTCAGTGCGAAACTGCGAATCTTACTTGGAGCTTCCACAGTGCTGGCGCGCGACGCACGGTCTTCAACGCTGACGACAGGGGGCTCCGGTTGGGCTGCGTCCACTTCCATAGCGTTTTCAGCTTCACCCAAGACTTTATCCGCGATAGCATTCAGATCTCCGTCCTGCAAGGCCTAACGAAACGAGCGCAACTACTTTCAAACGCAGCAACACTTTGAGAGTATTTATCCGACAAAACCGATAATTTAATTATCATCAGCGCTCAGCATTAGCACCGTTTAATGCAACCACACATCCGCTCGCCTATAATTCTGCCAAGAAGGGTACTTGCTGATTTTGTAGTAAAAAAACTTACAAGAGGTACTCAAGTACACTTAAACTTACACTTAAGTAAGCTTTGACACAACGCATACAGGTTTCTTCTTCCAGTGGAGAATTGACGACATAATGGACCGTTGCCGTACGAAACACATCTTCTGTTTGTATCTGCATGTCCTTGACCATGATTTTCTCTCCACGCTGCAGCGGGAACAAGTAGAATCCATCAACCGCCGCGATAGGCCTTACAAATTTGCTACGCGCTGGAACGCAGCCCATTGAATATTCCATGGAACCAGCAGTAACGTGCTCGTCCACCGTGAAGACAAAGCGATCTGCAATTCAAAGAAAACAACCCTTTCGAATTGTTAGTTTTTATACTGGGTTTAAATAATAATTATTTAAATACGGTAATTATTTTTAATAGCAAAAAAAGTATGCATGCGAAGAGCTGCGTACTACTAAAAAAGTCTGAAAATACGAACTTAGTGCTTACCTCCGCGAGACCGATGACGCTCCAGAATATCGTTGAAACGGAAGTCCACAAAAGCAATACGTTCGTCATTTTGGGCGGAATTAGGACTGCTGCTGCTGGCCGTGGGCTGGGTTGATCCTGAGGGCATTACTGAAGCAGCTCGAGGACCTGGACGTTTGAATGTATTCCCATTCCCAGCTGACATTGTGCAGTATACGTACACGCACTTCGCATAGACAAATGTCTCGGCGAGACTTAGACACAAGCCTCAAAATTTCGAAAATGTGCAAATAACTCCGGACTCAGTTTAACAAGGTACAACCGTAACAAACCATTGCAATTTGAATTGCAAGACAAACGATAAATCACAAATTTTTACAAATAAGTTATAAGCAAACAGTGATTCCTGGCAGATTAATAAGAAAAACTAGAAAGTAGAAACGCGCCAAATCACGTTTTCCACCGACTTGTTAATTCCATAGAGCGCTTCCAATTCCACTGACTACATAACACTTGCGCCACCTAAAGAATTCTAAGAAATCTGAGAAACCTAGTAAGTAGAAACCCTAAGAAACCTAAAAAAAATAAGAAACTTAAGAAGCCCATAATCTAAAAAACCGAAATATACGGTGGCCCAAATGTCAGACAGCCAGGTGGCCATTCCATTAACTGTGGCACCTTACAGTTGTTTTGCAAACAACGGCATTTCATATACAATACGCGTCCTCAAACACTTTTGGCTTTCTTATCTCCGGTCTGGTTTTGTTTTGACCAGGATTATGATTCATAACAATCCGAACCGATCTGCTTTTTAACTGGTCGAAGGAAAGATACGGCACGTTTTAGAAATACCCGCGTGAACAGCTCCGTTTTGCAAATACGCATCACGGCATCAGGCAGCAAGCATGAAAACAACAGTCTACTACGCACATACACATACACATACATGTAATATATCTATATAAGCGTGTACATCAGCAATTAAAAATTCACCTGTTTTCAGACCATTAGGTAATTTATCTACTTACGTTAATTACAATTACAGTTTACACTGCGTTAATTCATAAATGTACTGTGCCATGTCGGCTAACAGCGGTAAACGTTTCCAGTTTCATTCAGCGGCACAAAATGAACTGACACTTAATTAGCAACTGATCTGCTTAATTAGTTAATTGATCTGCTTAATTAATTAATTTTTGACAAAGGCGAAGTCTTCTTTGCGAAAAATATCCCAGCTGCACATTCTGTAGAAGAGCGGTGCAAAACATTTTGATCCATCGCGCTAATTGTATCCCTCTTATACGCGCAATTAGCAACGTACTACGAAGCTTCTCGGTAGAAAATTTAAAGCGACAATTATTTTGTAAGGAAATTATGAGGTTCTTTTAGTCAAAATTCTTGAAGTATCATTTCCTGTTATTTCTTATTCCTTATCCCTTCGCTGCTCTCCGAGTCTCCGGTGCCGCCCATGCAAATCGTCTTACGATAAGTAAATGCATTTTACGGTGATGCATGACTAGTAAGCGTAGCATTCAAACATCGCTCGCATAAGTCCATCGGTATGTGTTGTTATTGGTTATTGCTTATCTCTTTGGACTTCGAACCAAAAAAATTGTTAAAGCAATACCAGGCTGGGAATGATAAAGCTGGATATGCCTGAGGTCTGCTAATACATGCATCGACTATCGGGCAATTCGTGATTCTCGCCGGGATTGCAGACTGGCAGTGTGTCATTTTGACGTCACGAACTACAGGAATTTCGCAGTGCGCCAAAAGGGGAAATGCGCATGCGCCATGTAACACCCGAAAACGGTCGCACGTGAGGCGTTCTGTAATACCACGGCAATCGGCATTGCCGCACAATTTACGGGGCACATTACACTTTTTTATCAGGCATGTGCCGCCCAATTGGTAGAGCTTAGTGTTATATTAATTTTTATGTGATTGCCGCATTAGTAAGCAGAATAATGTGCGAACTCGCGCTGTTTAAACAATGCCTGGAAAAGCACGTGTTGCTATGGGCCGATGACTTCTGGGCGTAGCGTGGGCGTACGGCTCCCAACCGCCACGGGGCGCCATCCTGGCGAGAATCGTCAATGGGCATTGCTCAAGTAATTAAATTCATAGCCTTAGCCATGATTACGTCAGAAGACGGTAGACCGACTCAGACGTCGGAAATGGGAAATGATTTTACTAGATGCTGGACAAACAGCGGATAATATTCATCGAATTTCGTATTGATAATTTGTACTTTCTATGTATTACTGCTTATATTTACATCCATGGGAGATAAAAACACAGTAATATCGAGCATGGTTGGGCAGTTCTGCCAAATTTGCCGCAACGGAAGAAATAACGTCATTTTACTAAATTATCAATGGAATTATGGAAGACAAAATCAGACAGTGATCTATACAGCAATAGTAACCAGTAAGTAATAATCTTAATAACGAAAAACACTTTTTGGGAGTCACTCGATTCAAGACAAGCATACACGGTAAAATGAAGGTATGCCAGACATAAAGAAAACTCCGAATATCCATCCCAACGACAGCAGGACCCCGAGCACGAGTAATTAAGTAAAACACACACAATACTAACGCACAGTATAAAAACGAAGATCCGTCGTCGGCCACAGTATCACGGTTGCAGATCTGCACAATCCAAACGAACTAATACCACAACCACTGAGTGCTTTGTACATCATTAGTTACGGCGATGGGCAGAACAAATTTCCATTTACACATGCCCACGTTTCATAGAAATAACGGCCGCAAACTGTTTTTCTTGTACTTCTTGCGGCAGACAGGGCATTCTGGTGGCAAGCTCTGCGAACACGGCTTACAGAGAAGATGACCACAAGGCGGCACCAAAAGATTGACGTTCTTTTCCATCAACTACAACAATACATAATGATAAGAATTTGATTATTACAGCATCCCACATAGCAAGGATATTAAATATCAACTAACACGTCTAACAGTACCTCGGCATTAGTATCCAGACAAATTGGACACTTGAAAACGGTCGCTGGCTTTGGAGGTTCTGGATTAGGAGGCGGGACCACAGCAACCGAAGTCGACGCTTCTTCGCGTTTGCGCTTGTTTCCCTTCTGCAAGAGCTACCTTTTTTTTGTGACAGCAACAAAACAAGGAGCCCAGAGCGTACCGCAATCTGCAGCCATGCACAACAGTAAAGCCATTAAAAAATCAAATACCTTCTGAGCGGATCCGGAGCGACTCTTAGGGCTGTCGATCACGATAACCGCAGGTTTCTTTCGTTTAATCTCACCGACGACGATAATATCTCCTAAACAAATCACCTTAGGACATCGCAAATCGTACCAAATTATGCACCGTGCTTGCGCTACCATTGGAGGATGCAGACTGCGAACGATGGCGGCCTGTACGAACAGGTGCGACATCTACGATACAACCGACAAGCTGTGAGGGATGTACGGTTTGTACGAGTACAGACGGTTTCAATTAAAGCGAATAACACGACCAGATTCACGATCGCCACTCACCTGGTGAAGCAGTAAGATCAATGCATTCCACGGTCGGACCTGAAGACTGTGGGGCTGCTGACTCACTCATCCTTATTGTATATCATTCAGGCTCCAAACAAAATCTAAGGTAAATGCGGAATGCCAGTGGATCACACGAACACTGCTTACCCTTAAGTTAACGGCTTAGTCTTGTCACTGTGATGACAAACTTCTAAGGGATTTACGGTTTACCACGATTTACGGTTGCCTTAACTAGTCCGTCAAAATCCAGAGTTCTGACTTCCGGCACAATTAAGAAGGCTGCTAAGCGTCAACGGTTATACCGTTGCGTTCATTCGCAGTTCTTGTAACTTTTTTGTTACAGTAAATGTTAAGTACTTATAGTAACACTTTGTTTTTTAAGTCGTAACTTTCCAGTCTTAAATCTTCAATTCCGTTTACAGCTTTACTGCTCATCTTAAGTTCAGATGAACTGTGAATTTCTTTAAAACTGAACGCTAAGGCTAAGCATGTTGCTATTGCAACCAACTTACTTGCTAAGGAAAGGTAACAAAAAGAACTTGTACCAGGGAATCTTCAAATCGAAACGGATTTACCAAGAATCGGGATGGTCTACTTTGCGAACTCAAATCGCGCTCATGGCTAATCGTCTCCGAAAGCCCGATTACAGTGCTAGTACGAGCGTAGAAATTAAAACAAGAAAGTTTTCTATCTGAGCTTTGATGCACTCTGCTTATCGAACGATCTCGTAGTCAACTCATGTTTAAAAGAAAAAGTAAAAAGCGAAGAAAAAAGTTCAAAAAACGTTCGAAAAGTCGGAAAAGACGAAAATCGATTTCATAAAATTTTTGTTGCCGTTACATCTGTAACGTAAGTTGGGCCATAATCATTCGAGGGCAAGCCGTTCGGTACAAACCACAAGCACGAAATGAATTATAAGTACCATACCATACGCGACAGCGATCATTTGAGCCAAGCTGCGCAACATGTGCATTCTCTCGGTTCTCATTGCCCATGCGCAGCTTCAATGTGGACGACGAATGAGCCAGTTGCGACCCTACATCACGAATTTCACCGTATCTGACGGTTTCCGAAAAGGAGTTTAGAGTTCGCTGTGGTTCTCTGCTGATCAGACGTGTTTTTTCACTTTTTCCATCTAAAATGGGTCGAGTAATTCGATCTCAGAGGAAAGGAGCTGGAGGAGTCTTTAAAGCGCATACCAAGCACCGAAAAGGAGCTCCTAAGTTTAGAACATATGACTTCGCGGAACGACAGGGATACATCCGTGGAGTTGTCAAGGTACTTAGACCAAAATCGTGCAAGCGAGGTTGATCTCTTAGAATTGTTACCGATAGCGTCATCATGTTATAAAAATTTCAGGATATTATCCATGATCCTGGCCGTGGAGCGCCTTTGGCCGTTGTAGCTTTTCGGGATCCGTACAAGTACCGTACACGCAAGGAACTTTTCATCGCAGCCGAAGGAATGCACACCGGACAATTCGTTTACTGTGGAAAGAAAGGTGAAACCTTTCATTTTGTGGCTTGATTTGGTTACTATTTATTGTATAGAACGCATTTGTGCAGGCTGTCAGGCCTTGTTTAAAGTCTTAACATTTAGCATTTAGCCCGTTAAACACTAAGGATAGCCCAATAGTACGTTTTTTTACCGTTAAAAACACTAACTGGGTATGGCTTAGAATGCGAAAACGTTTGAATTGACGGAAGATAGCTTTTTGCAGCTTCCATCCACGTGGGCAATGTTTTGCCTTTGAGTGCTATGCCTGAAGGAACTGTCGTATGCAATGTGGAGCATAAGAACGGAGACGGTGGATCACTGGCTCGTTGCTCCGGAAACTATGCGACTGTTATCTCGCATAATCCGGATGCAAAAATTTCACGGGTGAAGCTTCCATCGGGCGTCAAGAAAGTCATCAACTGGACCAATCGGGCTATGATCGGTGAGATTTCCGTTATAGGAAACGGCCATTCAGCTTGAAGTATTTATCTGGGGATGTTCGATTTGAGCATTGTAATACGTTTCCAGGAATTGTTGCTGGAGGTGGTCGTATTGATAAGCCCATACTTAAAGCTGGACGGTCATACTTCAAATACAAGGCTAAGCGTAACTGCTGGCCATACGTGCGTGGTGTGGCTATGAATGTAAGCTGCTCTGACACAGAATTTTATTTTTTGTGTACTGGATAAGCAGTTCGGGAACTTCGGTTTTTCTTGTTTAGCCTGTTGACCATCCTCACGGTGGTGGTAACCATCAACATATCGGAAAAGCCTCCACTGTTCGCCGGGATACATCTGCTGGTCGGAAAGTCGGTCTTATTGCCGCCAGACGGACGGGTCGTATCCGCGGTGTTAAAGTTATTGCTGGAACAGGCAAAGAAGAATAAATTTTCTTGGTTGATTCTGAGTGCGCGATGTTCGTATATTCTTAAAAACGTACAAATATGAAATAAAGAGCAGCGATTTATTTGGTTGGGTTTTGATTGTCCGAAGTCATAAAATGCACTAGCAACGTGTTAAACTGTTACCACAGGACAGTAATTACTTACGTAATTTTGATTTTGGATTGCGTTTTCAGTGGTTACCAAGTAGGTTTTTACTGTTCAGCATCAGGTGCTTTCTAAGATTTTCGATTCTCTAAACTGTTTCAGTAACTTGGCAGTATCCATCACCACTCCTATAGAGTGTTAAAAATCGTAAATTAATTTGATGTACTTCTTTTCTTGATCGCTGATAGCAGCCTACTACTACGCAAGTACGCGTACAAATTTTCCGTAATTTTTACCTAAGTGCTATTCACGAAAAACAGCGCTACTACAATATTCGTACAGAAATAGTTTCGCCATCGAGAGTGGGAAATTTTATTGCGAAACGAACACCTGAGAAACAAAAAGCAAATATTGCACACAACTCGTAACTCACACGTAAATTTCAGCTCTGAGTTATGTAAAAAGGTGCGAAGAAACACCGACTCAAATTTAAGTCAGACTGGTAAAAGAACAAAGAAAACAGTAATAACCATAGGAAAGGGTGCTTTATTAACATAATGTGCTTTGTTAGCTCAGCTACCGTGAGATTCAACACTGGAGATCATCCACGGTCGACGCAAACACTAATTCTTTCTGTATTTCTCTTCAATAATTTCGCGAATCAGCGTGACTTTTTCCCGTTTAGAGGGGCTACCACCGACAAGTGCTTCCTTTCGCAGTGGGCTACAACTCATCAGCGATTCCGGCTTCCGCGGCGTTGTCACCGGATCTTCTTGGCGCAATATTTCCACATCGCGCAAAATCATAGAACGCCCTCCGCTGCCCGTTGGGATAAATTGACCTTTGTACAAGCGAGTTTCAACGGAGCCATCGGGTGTTGCTTTCTGATCCTCCAACACATACGCATCGCTTTTCATTGCATCGGTCAAGTTAATACTAGTCACAGCCTTATGACTTTCGCCCCGATCGTAGCCCATCCGTAAACGAGTTCCCAACGGGACACGATGCTTGGCACGGTGTTCCAGGACATCATAGGATTTCGAGCGACGCTTGGCGTATCTCGGATTATGAAACGGAATGTTCTAAAACCGAACCAAACCAAATTTTTGCATTACGCCAAACGCCAAACTTGAGAAACAATTTCCAGCTTCTTGCATGTACACTGTACAGACATTTGTAGTAAGCAATAAACCAAAACTGTCGCCCAGAAATTTACTGCCACAGCATGGCGACTATAAAGACCGTTACACCACATGAATGTTTTTCGCTCAAGATATTGATTACTTTTGTATTTCATAAGAAAATTTTTTTGCAAAGGGCAGCTTTTAGAGTTTCTTAGTTCCATTTCAGTACTTTACCGATGAACTGGTGCTGGATGGCGTTATTTGTTGCACCCGTCTGTAATCGCGGCTGCGATCCACAGATTGGACGTGAACGTTCTTCTCACCCCTCGAAGACCATGTGCTTGATGGTGAGGAATCAGCAGGAGCGGACGGTACCAAATTGCTTCCGGAATCATCAGCCGAAATAGCATCACGCACTCGATGCAATCGACTTTCTCTGTCTTGTAACCTTGCTTCGAAGGCGCTTTTCGTGTGCCCCAAACGCCGGTCCTGCAGAAAACAGAAAAGAAAATTCAAAAATCATAAGCGAAATTAATGCCAGTAAATGTCCACGAAATTCTTACGATTATTAATTTTTATCTACAGTATCGTATTGAACATAAGAGTTACTGTATTTATTACAGCGAATAAGAAAACGAATATTTGCGATTTTAATGCATATCAGCAAGGATGTATTATGTTGGAAACGAAACATTACGCGCGCATAAGGAACGGATATGATCTTGCGGTATTTATTTTAGCTCACCCAGAAATGTGAAATTTATATCTGGCTGTTGATATGAGAGCCATTTCACAGACTTACAAATTCTTGATCCCGTGATCGATGATGCTTTTTCAGGCCCCCTTTCAACTGCGCCCGATAGCCTTTCCGGTGGCTTATCTGGTCTTGCACTTTAGCGTCTCGACGATTCAGCAACAAGGATAATTCCTGTTTATCCCGTTCGGACAATGCAGAATTCCTGACCACAGCATGCTGAATATCTAACTGTTTTTGGATTTTCTGCTTCAGCGACTGGATAGTTGCTTCACTTTCACCCATGCTTCGGTGCAAATGTTGCTCTTCCTGCGGGAAATTGAAACTGAATTTGTTTACGGTTTACCGAAAACAGTTTGCTCGATGTTTTTGAAGTGTGCGTTGAAGTTTACCCGATGGAGTGCCGTGTTTTCGGACAACAAATTCTGGAATCTGCTGTGGAATTCTCTTTCTAAAAAAATAATAATATAAAAGAAATTTGACCAAAGAATTTATGAAACGAACCATCAGATTGGATCGAAGAAAATGCAGCCCGGTGAGATTCAATTCTTTCTCTCAAAAATTCCTGCAACTCTAAATAGGTGGTGTTGTCGTCTGGTGAAGCGATCTGCGAACAAAACATGCTCCGCTTTTAATATTGCATGTTAGGCTGTTAGGCATACACTATACACTATACAGTACTACTACTATACAAAACACTATGCCGTGCCGTGCATAACAATGTCTTACCTTAAATTTAGGAAATCTTCGCAAAACCTCCTCTTCGTGATGATAGTGCGACTGCTGAACAGTCTCATTTTTTATACGCCTAAAAATTAAAATCAATTCAAAAAAGTAGGTAAATAATCACATAATAATGTGATGCAGATGCTAATCCAAAAACGAAAAACATTCACAAACAAATGCAAACTTTTAACAGTAAAACAACGAAAAGCCAGGCAGATTGCCAAAAAAGATGGATTACCGTGAATGGTCTCCTGAAGACTGGTAGTTCCTCGTTGTAGTCTGATTCTCCTCAAAACGCACTCCAAATGGCATTTGTTCATCGGCAAACTGTTCCAGACCACTGAGACCAGCTCGAGATTGTTTGCTCGATATAAAGTCCACAGTATCCCTGTCTTCGTGGCTATAAGAAAAACCCAATGTAACGAATCTGGTCGCTGCTAGAATTATGGAGATAACAGCAATCACGACATTATTACAAGAACGTAATTAAACGGTAATTTTTATGACTTATCAGTTTATCTTTTTATAACTTTCTAGATGCTTTACGGCTTACGCAGTGTGCTGAGGAGGACGTGCCGTCGGTTTCGACTTCTTGGATTCAGAAAGGCTTCTAGTTCTCCCAACAGGACTGTTGGCTTTGCGGACAAACTTCTTCATCTCCCGTGGCTCTCGCAGCCGTGGCTCTTTCGTTGACTAGACACACCAAAGTACTGTACGTAAATTAGGACCGATTCAAAGATAAGTAAAAAACGATTCCTGCTGACTCCACCATGAGACAGTACACAATGTGACTGTTGGGTAGTAAAAGTTATAAAATGCACATCGCTAACTCTTTAAGCTTTATTACTAATAATTAAATAAATCAATAATCACAAGAACAAAACCTCACTTTTTGATTGTCTATTGTAAAAATTAAAATCTATGAAATGAATCGTTATCAAACGTTTACGCAATCGTTTGATTTCTCAGGGTTTTCGATTGCGCGAGTCGCAACGGAACAACAGTGGAAAGGTGCATTCGGGTCATGGCGCAGGAACGCGTAGTGCATGGGCAGTGTGTATTTATTTTGCACCTTGCGCAGCTGCACTGCACGATCGAGGGTACTGTACACGTACAGTACCAGTACAGTATATTAAATTATACTTACAGTACTAATACTTACGTCCAGGTTCCATTCCGAAGATTTAGTATGTAAAACGGTAAAAGGAAGTATTCAGGGCTGCATGCCCGGAATCCTAATGGTAAATTAATGCTCGTACTTGCTTAAATAACTTCACAATTTGAACAATTTAACATGCTGGGATTATTGTTTCCTAGGTAACAAAATTCGCAGTGGATCACTGGATGATTACTGTACTTCCAAGTTGCAGGTCTTCCGACACTACTGACCTGGGCGCATGGTCAATCCAGTCATGTTTTGCGGCCGATCGCATCCTTATTAATTACAAGAGCTACAACGCGATCCTATGACTATCATCGTCAGTTTTATAAACATTTTTGTTTTTATACTATAATATTGCACTTACAGAATTAATATTAGTTTTACTAGTTATTAACTGTTAAGCGCCCCTTGCCATTTTGTTTCAATTTTATAGTTGACTAGTTTCGAGTTATCCATTAATCCAGGCACAGCGCTGAAACTCCTTGTTTGATTGCTCTCCGTGCCACGCCTTGCCTTTGCAATCGTTTTTGTTAAAACTGCGATATTTTTCGTAGATTTACCATGGCTGATTCTACCGTAATCTCGGAAGTTTCTTCGATGATCTCTGAAGACGGAAGTCCGTCGCATGATTACTCTCCAGGTACTAGTACATAGGTCGTAGCTGCACAATGTAGCGGATATGCTCTATCAGGACCGACTCTATAATATAGTCGATCCCAGTTCTATTCAACATGAACGATGCAAACATCGTGTTGTACGGTATATTTGTACAATGCGAATCTGCGAATAATGTGTCGGTGACCGGCCCGGAGTTTTTCTGTACAAGTAATCATCCTACCCAACGTTTTCCTATTTCCTGTGTGATTTCTGATATTTTGCCCACTTTTGTGACAGGAACTTATGTGTTCGGGTTGTGCAATGGCGACAAGCGATGGTACGCGGCAGTAATTCGTCATTACGTTCAAACGAGCAAGTAAGAGCCTGAAATTGATAACATCTTCTGTGTACAATAGAACTGCTCGTAAAAATTCTGTAAGCTTTTATAATGAAAAAAATTGCTGCTATGTTTTGTAATATTGCTTAATATTTTGGGTATAGGCGGTGTAGCTGATGAAGGCGCGGTTTCGTAGTCAGCGCCGCAAGTAAAGTTAACTGTGAATCTATTATAATGATGCACAGTTTTAATTCGAATTCTCTTCTGCTTTTAGAGCGTTGGACACAATTATTACTTAATGTTATTAATATTAATCGTAAGCTAGCCAAAAGCGCTTTGTGTTGAGTAGCCGGTATAGTGTCACTTGGTGCGAGGATAAAACCCATGCCTTGCTGGCTCCGCAAGAAATCCGACTGCCAAAAGATATACTGGGCGAAGGATTGTTAGTTCATCTGATTTCCCAGCAGCAGCAACAGTTCTACGAGGATGCCGTTATCACCCATGTGGGCGACGAGAACTCCCATACCTGCCGGACTCTGAAAGGCGCCATCATACAGTAAGTCCACGGTACAGTGAATTACACGAATATATTTCAACGAAATGGCGCGCAATTATGTACAGGAGTGGCCGCAGTGGCAAATTTCTCGGCACTGGCTCATGCACTTTTCTAACAGGGTCCATATAAAGGACATTATGATTAAAGGCTCAAAGTTGAACAAGTTTCTGCAGAGACGTCAGAATTCAGCAGCGCATCAAAACCATACTCGTACAGAAGCACGTAAGCTGGAATAATATTTAGTACCCGTTGACTGCAATTTATTCGCGCTGCATGACCTTTAGCCATGTCGTAATTTTTTTTTTGCAGATAGTATATAATTTATATGAGACTAATATCTGGGTACACCTGACTGCTGAAGTGTTGCAGTTCATTGCTGCCAGCCAGTTGTATAGGCAGATTAATTAATTAATTACCTTGGTCGAATGACCAAATATGAAAACAATAATATTGAATGACGGCTAAAGTGTTCCATTACCTAACCGACACTACCGTTCCTTTCAGGTGATCCAGGTTTTTCAAAAAGATCTGTCTCCGTTCTATCTTCCGAAGAGCGCACTGAATCTAGTCCAAAACGACCGGTAAACAATACTTCTACAGGTAAGTTTTATTAGAATCTAAAAAAATGTGCAAAGGCAGTTAATTTTAGCATTTCCCGCTTTGTATACTGCAGTGCCTATGAATTTGGTAATTATGCAACCGATTGATAGCCAGTTGTACAGCATTTTACTATTCTATAGTATTACTGTTATATTCTAGCATTACATCACAAAAAATGATTTGTGGGTTTGATTATCTGTCAATTTTTGTGCAGATCCTAACTTGCTAGCTGGATATACTTTGATCATTACCCAGGCTAATCGAATTCCATCATGGAAAAAACGGGATCAACTTATCGGGAAAATTGTAACAATGGGCGGAAAAATCGTAAACAATGTCAGCGATTTCCTTGAGGCAAATATTTGAATTCAAAAATTCGTTTACAAATGAGTTTCATTTATTTTCGTTTGCCAAATTTAGGATACAGGAGAAAAACTCTTAATCGCTCCAGAATTTTTGCGTACGGTGAAGTATCTACAGTGCCTTGCAGCAAGCATTCCCTGTATTTCGGAGAAATGGGTGGATGCGGTTTATAATTCCAACCATTTGTTCGACTATACTCAGTTCCTACTTCCGGCTGGCATTGCGAGACCTAGCGGAGAGTTAGTTGGCTGGTAAAGAATGAAAAAAATGTTTTTATGGTAAAATTTGGCATTGTATGATTGGCATTATATTTGTATCCCAAGTATTTTCGTGTGTAATTTGTTTATTCTAGCGGCATACTGCTGCATTATTGTCACATGGCGTATTTTACAAATTTACGCTACGTATCACAGTCTGCCATCGGCATGTACTAACCAGTAAGTATTATAATTATGATTAAACGTTTGATGGTTTTCTTTTCTCAGTCACCTTACACCAACATTCTGTTTGTAGGCAGTCTTGTTCGATCCCGCTGGAAGGTATGCAGATTGGGTTATGCGGTGAACGATGGTTTAACGACATGTATACGGAGACTCTAAAGGTTTCCAAATCGGGAGCGGTAGCCGTTGTCCTGGACGAAAAGAATCAGTTTCAAAGTAAGCATTGTTTTACAAGTGAAAGAAGCAATTAGCTGAAAAACAGTAAAATTTTATTGTCGTGATGTAAGCATGGCAATGATGCTAAGAGCGAGAAAAAGATAATAATTATGTAAAGTAACGTAACGATAGTACACGTTACAGACATAAAGTCGTGCACTTTAATCCTGATGGACGAAAATGAAGCAAAAGATGAACTGTCACTCCGGAAGATATTAGATGCTGCAAAAAGTGCCGGGCTGGCAGTTTTAGGATCCGAGTGGCTTATTCAGTGTATTATCCAGAAACGTGCTGTCGATTTCCAACCTTTCGTTTTTTCCGACTAAAGTGTTGACTGTATGTTGGGGAATAATCGTATTGATCAATTCTAGTCCACATCCGATCCCTGTGCTTTACTGTTGTTTAACGCTTCGATTTTTTAAATGGTTAACTTCTTAATAAAAATTCTATATGCAGCTTTGATATGCAATCTGTGTTTAAATTATACCCAACATCCTAGACCTGTCTGTCCGGAGTGCGAAATACGAGACAATTTACGTGAGCGTGGCCATGAGTAGCGCATACTATACCGGCACAACATGGAAGTGTAGCGTTCGCTGTCGTTCGATGCATTCAATTTTTTTAAAAGAGCGCCGGACTCCACTGTGTTTTTAACATAACTATGCGTAAATCTTTTGTATACATTTGTACGTGTGCTGTTTGTTTTGCATGCACAGCGATGCATATCCACGAGATTATCCCACACTTAAAACGACTGATCTTACGTTTTAAGCCGATGATGTATAGATAATTCAGCCGGATAAGACTTCCTGCCCATCTTTAGGGTTGGTGCTGCGTATTCTGCATAAATACCGTGGAATTTGTTAAAGCGGTTTCCATGTTTGTAGATATTCTTTAGGCGCAGCGGTTTTAGGTAAACAATGTAGATGCTGTACGAAAGCTCTTTTCGACTCAGTTATCGTTCTGTGAATTTTAAAAGGCAGTTAGTTGTATGCCGGTGATAACCTGCTATATGTTTTAAAGTAAAGTTTGCATTACTGAATTTATTTCCAGAATCAGACAATAACTGAAAATTCTGTTTTTATTGTTAGGTCATGTCGCTTTTTTGTAGTGGTTTGTTCACCCACCGGAGATTTTAATTGCACAAACGCCGCGTACAAGCATTGTACAGTGGGTTTGTATTGACACCGTCATTTGTTTTGTTAGCCATTCCAGTTTGCTGACTAAATGGATATCAACCACATTTACAGTACGACAAAGATAATCAAGAGCAATCTTGCTGGTTGGCCAAAACGGCATACGCTAATAAAGCCGGCATTTTTTGCAACCTGCATGCGTGTGTATGTTTGTTTGTCCAGCATTGATCGGTGGCAGTTGCTCAGACTGTATCCCGCGGACGATTTAGCAATCAGTGGCCGTGATGTTCCTTCTCTGTTGTTTTACTTGTCGCGAGTCTAGCTTTGCCAACTGATTATTCTTGGGCATGATGTTATTTGAGGTGCTAGGAAAGCTGATCCATGACCTATTCAAGGCCAACGTTAACCTTATAGCGTAACCTGTGCGCGCCGCTCTTGCCATTGTGTCATTAATCTCCGCTGATTAATCTCCGCTGGTATCATATTGATTTTGCGAACATCTCGAGATGCTCGTTGGTCAGCTGGACACGGCAGTCATAAAATATGAATAATATTTCTATTTGCGAAATGAAGTGAACTAACGCTGAGATCTGACAACAATTTTCTTTATTTCCCGGAATCTTGGTTGCATGCTTTGTGAAAATTACGCAAGAATGGGGAGTAATGGACAGAACAGGGATTTCGAAATCTTCGGCTATTGTACCAATGCCATTTAACTCTCCGCTGGGAAGCCACACGAAGCAGGTACAGCAGCGTCATAGAATATTGTTGTTATAGATTTGTTCACAATAAAATTACGTCTTTCACCGGATTTTACTTGTGATCAAAATGAGTGGATACAGGTACCTGTAAGGCTGGGAAACCGTTTTTGACACGAGTATATTTTGAGACTTTCACCGTAGAAGTGCTTAACAGTACGAAGTATTAAAAAATGGGAAGTTCCTGCATCAATGCATAGCTATTTAAGCTTATCCGAAAATTTACGCAAAAACGATGCGGTATTAGGGAGCTTGTAAGCATCTGCATGGATACTCGTAGTCTCGTACTGAAGATAAATATTACTAATAAAATTTTAGTAGCTGCATATTTATTGTTTTGTGTTCTTTTATTGTCTGGTAGTATTCGTACAACTTGCCATTAGATACATATTTCTTCTTTAATATTTGACATAATCGCTATCAGCTCCTGCTGCAGAAGTCATTCGACGATTCGACGATTATATATATAAATTTTTTAACACATACGCATTTTGTCATAACATTGCAACCTCTAAGTGACAATACAGTATTGTGCATAAACACGTGGTGCATGTTTAATACTTTTTCCTGTATTTGCTTACGCCAACTTTTTGCAGTTGTAATTAGCGGTATTATTTTGCCGAAAATAAAAGACACAGTCAAATCTGACTGCTTACTCTTGTTGCTTATCGTTAATTGTTTCCGCCATCATCCTTTTTATGCACGTACCGTGCTGTGCGCGTGCGCATTGCTTTTTTTCGCCGACACAAGGCTGTGTCCAAGGTTGAGCAAAACCTGCAAGCACGCTTTTTCTCTCCAGATTACATCCGTATGTGCATTGCCTTATCAATTGGTTTTTTATTGGATCTGCTCGGTAATAAATAATTACGTATACCTCGAAAAATTTGCATTAAATAAAGAGAAAGGCAAATTTAAAATTAAGATAAGCTCGAAGTACTTTCTGTGCTTTGATAAAACCGTGATGCCGATTGGCGAATCACCATAATTATAATAGCAAAGTGAATCGATTCGGTTTTCTTGCAGGAGTCAGCAGGACTAAAATAATTTTTTCTCATCGCTGATTAATGAGCAGTGCAAGTCAATCTGTCAGCCAAACTGTTTACTCGAGGGCTTCCCAGTTTATATCCGCGCTTGATCTGTCCGGAGCCCGTTGTACCTTCTGTAAAAAAATGTCCACTTTGCCTCGTAGTACCGGTAAGTGCGAGTATAAAATTAGCCATACATGATGGTCTAATAAGAGATCAAGTGTTAAAGTGCAACAAACGCCATCCTTCGTGACACTCTTTACAGGTAGCTTTAAGAAGTTACGCGTAGTACGCCTAGTAACACAATTATTTCGGCGACGGCGACGGAAATCCGCCAAGGAACCACGCACTCCATTCATTTCCATTTCGTCGCCAACACCTATCTTGACGAATTTTTCCACCATGTCGCTGATCATCCATTGCCGGCATTTAAGCCGCAGCGGCGATCTGGATTATTCCATAGCCAGTTCTCCTACTTGTGAGCTGGTAATGTCGGGATCGGTTTTCGCCGATGATGATAAATCCACAAGGTATGGCTCATATATATAGATATGCATTACGATATCAAAACCATATTGTAGAAAATACTCGTAAAACACTCGTATAAACGTTACTTATACAAAATTTTCTGTTGTGCATTAGATAATACTAGTACATATATTATGTAAGAACAGAAATAATTTCTTTCGCTACAGTACACGTATTACAGAGATTCTATCGAACAGATAAAAATTACTCGAGTAGTATTATCGCTATAATGTACTATCGCGGCATAATAAGAACCCTACCCACTACGGGCCTTACACTACTCGTAATGTATTAATGTTCTCGTAGGATGTTCTCGTAATGTATTAATGTGCCGGGTTCTAACTTAGTTTAATACGTAGTTTATTAAGATAATCTTTATGAGAAATGAGTATATAAATTTCGCAGCTCGGACTGCAGATTTACACATAATGGTGGAGGTCAATTACATTTGGGTAACTGTTGCGCGTCGGGTAATCGAGAGCCGCGTAAAAAATTAGCCATGACTCAGCAGAAAAACAATCGTCCAATCGTGAGTCGAGTACGCTTCCGTGCCAAGAAAGAAATTGAACACCGTAGTGGAACTGAAAAACTCATTTTTAATGCTGTAATGTGGTAAATGTGGTATCACGTCAAAAAAGTTAATTATGAGTTTTGGATTGTGACTCTGGGCCGTTAGATTTACTTTTGGTCCAAACACAGACAAATTTTGTTAATCTGTACAGGAGAGTTACGAGTTATGCTAGGGCCACACTTCAAGTGCGAAGGCCTTCGCACAGTGCGAAGACGAAAAGTGCTAATAAGTGTGAGCGCAAAATGTTCTAAGGGATCCTTCGCATCGAACAAAAAGTATGAGCGCCTTTCGCACTTTTTTCTTAAAACGAGTGCGAAGAGCGTCTTCGCACCGTTTTTGGTGGGAGGGGATTTTTCTTCCTCCTTCGCACAAGTGCGAAGGAATTGACCAATACCGAGCATCCGGATGTGGTTGTGATTATTTCAAAAACAGACATTGATTGTATTTGTGCAATTAGTTATTACGTAGCATCAACAATAAAAGGTCATTCCTCTGCCAAAACCATAGTACGGTTTCATCCGGGTGCAATAAAATGCTAATTTATTCCGGATCTGGCAAGCTACCATTTGCACAGATAGAAAAGCAACTTCGTGTAGTACCAGCCTTGTAGGATCTTGTAGGATGATTGGGATTTTAATTAGTTTCAGTACCTCGTAACGCAAAATATTTTTGCTGTATACTTCGTATCAATAAATAATTTTTTAACAATTACCCAAAAAAACCTTGGAATAAAATGCCGCCTAAAGTACCCACCGCTGAGGAGCAAAAGCTTGAAGAGAACTTGATCGACGCAGTGGGAGACCGTCCGGTTTTGTGGGATCGTGGTACCGAAGAATTCAGAGACCGACAGAAGAAGGCGGCTGCATGGAAAGAAGTGGCCGCACTGGTGGACAAGAAACGGTCTGTCAAAGATGTTAAAAACGTTTGGGAAAGTCTGCGCTCCCGATTCCGCAACGCATTCAAATATAAGCCAACAGGAACGGGCGGCAAAAGGTCAAAGGAATGGTGGGGAACGCAACCAATGATGTTTATCAAAGATAGCGCCGCAGCAATTTGGAAAATTCCACCGTCGTTCGAAATCCTCAGCGCTTTTTGCCCATGTTTTTAGCGTAGGTGCCGGCACGTGTTCCTTACGCAAAAGATCCCAAATGAGTTCCAAAGTTTCTTTAAAAATTTTGTTGACGGTGCTTTTTCCTAGTCGATATCGAATTGCGATATCGTGCTGAGAACAACCGCTAGCCAAAATTCTGTAAACAAAATTATTTACCTGTAGATAATTTTATGCAGTATTTGTACAAAAAGCTACACGTATATCTATATATACAACTTTGACGTACAGTAGATGTTGACAGGTTACAGTGAAACAAGGTTAATTTTACGTAAATGCATAAAATTATGTATGTGTACCGTACCTTATCGTTAGCGCAAGCCGTTCTTCAGGACTAATAGGATATTTGTGAGTTTGACAGCGAGCCAGTCCATGTTTTAATTTGTTGAAAAGGATGTCAAATGTCGAGCGGGACATGCGGAAGTAATTGAAATGCCGCTGAGGATCGTGTTGACGGAGATCTTTTATCAGAATGGCAAACTCTCCATTTATGCCCCGATTAATATTAATGTCTCGCACATGAAATTTTCGTGAGGATTTTTTGGCGAAATGGCGCGAGATCAAAACGCTAGACAGCAGAATGGTCAACAACAAACGTTTTTTTGGCAGAATGTTTGGACGCATTTTTCCGGGGAAGAATTCAGTTCGGAGTGAGAATATTATTACGGGTTATCTTATTATCCTAACAATATTCAAGATTTTGGCCGGTTATAAATTTACTGCAAAATGCTGTGGCTCTCGACCTGAATCCCGTAAATTCTGCGCTCATGGCCTGCTCAAGGCGGAGCTAGTCTCAATTTATTTTAAAAGTTCGATGAAGTGTGAGTGCTCACATTTTAAGCAAATTTTGTTCGAACTTTTTCTTCGGTTCGCACCTCTCGCACTTTTTGGTGCGAAGAAAAGCTTCGAACTGTGCGAAGGAAAAAAGTTCGATGAAATTTGCATCGCACTTGAAGTGTGGCCCTAGCATTACTCGTAGTTTGGGTAATGGTTGCGCTTCGACGTCGAAGCGCAACGCTTACGCGGACAAGTAAGCTGAAAACCCATCCCAGATTTTGTGACTGCGAATCAGAATGTTTGCTTGGTTACACGCTGTTACGTCACATTTTTACGCGTTTTCCCGTTACGCGACGCGCAACGCTTACCCAAATGTAATTGACCTCCACCAATTATAAATATCTACAGTTCGAAAGAAGTCTACCATAACTATCAGTGCAGCTAAATTTTGGACTTCTCATCAGTGGCTGCACTGGATGGTCAGTTGATCGCACGGAGAATGATAAACCACGAGTAGGTAGCAGAAATGCTGAATGAATTAGGTTGTAATGTTACTTTTATATTATTTTTTTTTTCTTGGCAGTGCATAAACCAAATTACTAACCAAAACTTGCGCAGTAACAGAGAATACTGAAATATTATTGCCTGTTGACAGAGACTTCGGTTGTTTCTTCAGTTTTTACATTTTGACTTTCAAGTAGTGTACGCCTGCGATTATTGTTTTTGGGTTTCTGTTGCCAATGTTTTGATGTGACAGTTGCTACCGTTTTTATTTCTGGTATTGATAAACGGTTGGCTTAATAAATATTGTAGAATAGGAGACGAAAAAAGATTCGTTTATTTCCCCTGTTAATAAATAATAATGGGAAATAACAAATCTTCATTTACATAAATTATTTATGGAGCGGTATGGTATCTAGTGTCTACTATGTTGCATAACTCATAACCAAGAATTTTTATTGTGCATCTATACTTTAGTATTGCCGATTTTGCAATTAGCAGTAGGTAATACTGTTAGTTTACTGTTCAAACTGCAATTATGTCCAATACATCTTTGGTATAAAATATATCGCATTACTTATTGTGCTTGCCAAAATACCAATATTATTCGTAATAGTTTTTATGATTACGAAATCCGTAATACGAGTACGTACGAGTACACATTTTTAGAGTACGATATTATACAGATGCTGTACGTTGTATCTGTGTTTCTGTATGCCAAACCGGTCATGGAGTCAAATTTATTCATAAAAAAGTGTTCGTTGTTGCAGAACAAGTGTTTTCGTAGTTACAGTCATATTCATTCAGCTGCTACATAATTATCAACGTAGCACAAATCTTCGAAGAACTTGATTTATGGTAAGCTATCGTTAATTTGCAGCGCTGTTATTATTTAATTTGACATCACTCATCGGTGACATTATTGAACGATATTGAACGATAAATAAATGTTCGGAGTGCGCATGTCCAAATTTGATCTGCAACAATTCGGCAGTTCTCGACGAGCCGCACGTGTAATATTACAAACGTTGTTACACATAGTATTGGTGCTTTGGCCATTTGTACAAAGTATTAGTACCAGAGCCTGTGGTTTGTAGGAATATTTCTTTAAAACTGCCGCTATATTGCCCTTACGGTGAGATAGTGTTTATAATCTGCAAAGGATCTGCGTGTATCAGCTAAAAAATATCCAGTTATAAGCAGTCTCTATTCTATTGCATTACAACGTATCGGAAATTTGTTGTTTGCTTTTGCGATAATTCGTGGCAAGGAGGTGATGTATTGCACAGTGCACAATGTAGAATTAATTTTAAAAAATGCCGTTTAGTAAGTGCGTTTTACGTTTAATAAGCGCGTTTTACGTTGCCTGCAGTCTTAGTTTTTATATGTACTTATGATACTATATAAAGGCTATGGAGAGCATCAAATTTTCAAGTCTTTACGAGCATGTCGTGATAGATCAATTCTGTTTTACACTGGCAAAAGGTAACAGAAAAAGTTGAATAATAACTCAACTTCACAATAACAACGACGAAACATTACAGCAATACAGTACGAAATGATTTTCAGTGTGATTATATTTTCATTAGCAAGCGCAGCTTGCGTAATTTATTTTGATATCCTTGTCTTTTTTGTAATTACACGTATCATTCATGTGCAACCTTAGTCGTGAATATTAATCTAAAAAATAAATAACTCAATAATTATTGATTTAATAATAATAACTTAAAGGGTGGCGTCGAGCAGCAATGTAGTACTGTACTATTGACCCTTCCTCTTGCAACATAACACGTTTCAGAATAATGCAAGATGAATTCCAAGTCCGCTTTTAGGCGTCGAACTTGATTATATAATTATCTAGATAGCGGAATTTTTTTTATTTTGTAAAAATTGCTACTATTTACTCATGATTTTATTAATTTTTGCCCGCAAAAATTTTGTACTCGGGGTAAAATAAATAAGGGTTGCATAAATATTAAATACCCCGTAACTGATGCGAATGTTTATGTACTCTGTACATGTAGTGTTAATACTACAGTGCATATACTTCTGCCATATTTCGCTTCCTGCCGTTTTTTCTAACTTAATAGTTTGTTACTTTAAAAACGCTGGCAGGTAATGAGGTAATTATCCATTAAAACGCTTATCCATTGCAAAAAAAAATGTTTGCAAAATAAAAACTTAATTTTATGTCATTTTGGTTGGGCGGGCCTTACTATCCACGCAGTAGCACTGATGCACTATAAGGATGCTTTGAAAGACCGCCTTGTTCGAATGCAAGCATAATAGCCGCAAATGCAGATTGGACGTACGGTTTATATGCGGTACTCAACAGTAACCAGGCACTGCTTTATGGTTAGTATTGCCCAGTGCCGTTTTATCAAGTAAATTGCTGATATGCCCTCGTGCATATGCGCAGAAAGTCAATGGTGCTTTTAGGTTTTATCTTTCTGGTAGCCAGTTTCGATAGTCGCGCATGAATAAAATGTTTAACCTAATCGTCTTTAGTAGAGATATGGCCCATTCCATAAGCGGGCATGCAGCAGTAAACAGCAGCATTTCCAGACTAGACGACGTATGAGTGAAAGAATTTTGACGTTCTGGTCGATTTCAGTTATTGTGAAGGGGATCTGAACGAAGCGGACAGTGTTGGCCTACGCAGTGTCTCGCATGACAGCGTTTTCCAGCCGGACAACTTTCGGTCAGGAAAAATGCTCAGAAGTAGTTCACGTCCTTCATCCAGGAATTATGGCAAAACAGGAAATGGAACAGCCAGCAGTTCTCTTGTGGATGTGTCGGATGGTGCTGTGCGGGTAAGTGCATGGCCACAAGTTTTTCGATACTTTCAGAATATGACAACGTTTTCTGGGCGTTTTGTCTGTGGTTTGTTGCAGTCACACAGTCGTGTTTTGTCAGCAGTGTCACCATATTAATTTTCAGTGATTTGAATTGACAAATCGTGATAACAGATGAATTCTGATGAATGTTTGCTTTATTATAAGTAATTGTTATTATTTTATTTTTTCATTAGAATTTTTTTCTTATTATTCTTTTTGCCTTGATTATGCTGGATGTTTTTGCGGTAAGGTTTTCGACCGCATTTTGCCTTTAGCTTCACTATTTGACTTACAATAAGTGTTTCATTTCGGTGGGTTCGGTTTAAAAATTTTTTGTTTACATGTATTCAGCCATTCATTGGCATTCAAGTGGTCAGTAAGGATCTGGTCGTTTTTATCCTATCGAAGTAAACACCGTTTTCGTGTTTTTAAATTTTTCATGGAGATGATTTTATCTTTATTACCGACAGCTGGCATCTCTGTAATACCATTAGCGAATTTAGATAAGGAACTGAAGTAACAAAAACACTGTCAGTCCACTGCGGTAAGATATTAAATCGTCATTTACCACGGTATTTCCATATCCATAAAGCGCTGATTAGTCCATCAAAAGCAGCAGACCGGCTTTATCAGAATTACAAAATGATAAGCTTGCTTAACGTCATAAGTCATAACCACTGAGCAAACAGCTGGAATGGGTCTGTTTTATTACCGTTTTTCGGAAATTTTGTCTGGTATTTTTGTAAACGATTTTTATTATAGGCTGAGTTGGAAAACAAGATATTCATTCGCGCCAAGCGCATGAATTCCGGAACGAATGACCCAACTGTGAGTGTACAGCGCTCGCGCGCCAACACCTCTCCCATGCCCATGGACGTTAATTCCCTGATGACGCCGACTGGCCATGAGCAAGGCCGCTCCCGCGTGGACTGGTCGGGCTCAGTGGATGCAGACCTTGATCAGCGGGCTAAAGTGGAGCATGCCTCCTATTTCACACTGGAAACGGGCACACAGCTCAGTTATCGCAAACTGCCCAGTCTGGACGTGCAGCCGACATTGTCGTTGACATTGCCGGTCGCCTATGCCACTCAGACCTTATCGAATGATGCGGCACGGCATCGGATTGCGGTTAAGCCCAAAAATCGACGACCGAAAAGTTACCAATCGGTACGTGCTTGTCGGTTGCAGTACCGCTGCAGTGGGCAGATTAATTTCCGGGTGTTTTCGCTTAAATTGAATACGCTTCATTGAATTCACTTCAGTTTGCGTATTATATCTTTACTTCCGGTCGCTTTAATGCCGGTTAGGAAAATGCTATCCCGTGTACTTTATGGGCTATGCTTCTGAAATTTGTTTTGTAGATGATTTAGGATATTTGGGAAGTTTATTTGATTCCAAATTTTGTTAGTGCCCTCTGATACAGTTAAAACTTTCCAGGGTAGAAAGGCGGCAAAGTTTTATGATTATTATAGGACAGTATCATGTATTCTTCCGTCCCAGTTTTTAGAACTGCATCGTGGTAGCGTTGGTGAATTCTGCATGGAATTGTATTCATAATCCATTCCATGAGTGCGCATTTACATACATTGCGAACGTTACAGTTCTGCCTTGAAGTTTGTTTACACGACATCCCTCCATTTTCTCTCTGTTTAGAGTGGCTGATTGTAATACATTAGCGATGAATTTTGTGCTCACAATCAGTTCGATAAGTGATTCCCTGAGAAATGACCGGTTTTAGATTTGTTTAGATCGACAGGCACAGCGCAGCCGTGTTAGGTTATGAAATGATGTACGCTTGATGGGGAAAATAATAAGCCAGCTTTCTCTGTTGTTGTAGTGCGGAAGTAAGCTGGTGATATCAATTTGAAACTCGTTTCCGACCGTTTTTATTGACAAAACTAATAACATGTAGCTAGTCGCGCTCCCGTAGGTACGTTGAGTATCGTGGCATGCCATTGAAAACAATCCTCAGCGATCTCGCTGGAAATTAGCCGGTGTAATGATTATGGTCGTGACTGGACTAGATGTGGCGTGGTTGTTGCGAATACTGAATGACCTGGTTGTATCATATTTCTCTCGCAAGGTGTTTGTTTTTCTCGTATTTGCTCTTGTCGTCTTTCGGGATTGTCAAAACACACAAAGAGGTTGTGCCGTAATCGATACTCAATGTTGTTGCAAGAGTGCAAGTGTCGAAGCATTCAGAATTTCGCAGTCAGTCCATATGAATTGCAAAGCTGCAGTGAAAACCATAAAATTGACGTTTTAAAAATCTTTTTGTGGTTAAGGGATCCGACATCATGTTTTAATGAAGTTGTGACACATGAATTTTACACTGTTTTTAATTTTTTATGCCTTTTGTATGTATCATAATTTTTTGTAGTTAAATTCATGCATTCTTGGTTTGTCTGTTTCCATCATATGTTTTTGTTAATTAGAAATATGACTGTCGATATCTTCAAACCGTTGAAATCGTTTTCAGGGGTTTCGTTTTCCATATTGATTAAACAGAAGTTAATTTTTCTGATTTTCGTATAGCTGTTTGGGGTCTTAAGAAGTGACACTGTTTTTGCGCTATTTCGATTGTTCTTGTGTAACCTTACATTTATTTGTACGTTCTTACTCAGTATACAGAAAAGCAAAGTGGCTGTTTATTCATGTGTAGCCTTCAATAACGTGAACGTAACAATTACTGTCGTTTTTTATTGTTGGTCATAAATTGCTCAAGATGCTAGTTGATGACAAGTTAGAGGCGGAATACGCTTAAACGACAAATCAATGGGCGGTGTGATTTTTTCATCGCATTTTTTCCATTGCAGAAGTTAGAAGTCGAAGTGGCCCCGAAACCTGTTGCGAGATTCAGAGACTATGCACCCGCGACGGACAATGTGACCGTGCCGAATTATGCTAACAATACGACAACCAGCGAGGCTTTGACTGCTGAATTGGCCACTGTTCTATCGGAAGTGGAAGCCACCTATGAATTGTTCAACATTCCCGCGCCGACACCACTTGAACCGCCACAGCCCGCGGTGCGACGATCATCGGCTACGATGACGTATTCTAAATCATTCCACATTCCACGCCGGCCGGCGGAGAATGCACATACCACCACCATAGCACTATCGACATCGCCCGCGGTAAAATCATTTGTCAGTCCCCGTCTAACACGAACCATGGCCATCGATCCGCCGCCCATTCCCCCGAAAACTTTCAGAGCCAACGATAATGAATTCCTACAAGTTTTAACCAAGTTTCGCAAGCACATCGAACCTAATCAACAGTCGGATGAGGCCGGTTCAAGTGGCACTCCGCCATCGACATCGTTGATCTCACAGCCGAGTAGTCTGCGCAAAAACACTTTTAATCTGGTGCAAGTGCAGGATAATGCCAGATTGCCGAAGGAGACGCTTGATCCATTCACGACCAACCACCGCACTGCGGCGTCGAAGACGGTTTCGTCCAGTGATAATGGCGTCGTTACCGAGCTAATAGTTTCAAAACTGCCGCTTCCCCTGACACATATCCCCGCTGTACAGGAAGTTTTTCAAGAAAACACAGCACTGCCGGTTGTGCCGGTTAATCTTGCAGATAGTGATAATCGATCTACTGATGATGGGAGCAGTAAAGTGATTCCCCTTCAGCCTGTTGATCCAAGCGTCCACAAGCTCGTTAGTCCCGGTCCACCGATCATTTCTCCCAAGCCACGCCTGCGTTTGAAACTCAATGCCGTTCGGGTTGACAATGGTGAGAAGGAACTCATGAAAGTGCTTGCCAAACGTAATTCGGATATGGAATTGACCAACACTTTGTCGGCTGTTAACACTGAAACAGGTTGCACAAAGTCTTCTTCGGATACCGTGAAACGAGCGCCGAGTTTTAGAGAGATGGAAATTGGCAGTCCATCGGGGATAAATTTTCGACGGACTTTACAACCGGAACTTATAAGTAATTATTCCACTGCGAAAGATAACGACGCGGCAGATAAAGAGAATCAGCCTGTGGAGCGCAGTCAGCCCATACCGGCAAAGCGGCAGTCACAAGCAGAAGTTACGGCTGAATTACGACGCAGTTTCTTCAGCGGTGATAAAATTGGTGATACCAAATTATTACGCGAAAAAAGCACCGGATCAGCAAAGTCGTCTTTTGATAAGGAAGACGTTCCGGTATTAACCGTGGCATCCACTCTCCGAAAAGTATCCCTGGAGACAAAGGATTCGACAGTTAATTCGACAGGAGCAGAATGGGGTTCATTATTGAGAAAAGTTTCCATTGACAAAAGTGGTGAAGGGACATCCAACGCCAGCACAACTAATTCTTTGCATCGGCATTCCTTGAAGTCGGCTAGCTATACTGAGGGCACCGTAGATGCACCTGTATTTCCTGTCACGTTAAAAAAAGTCCCTTCCATTAAGCGAAAAGAAGACAGTTCCTCCACAAAGAATAACAGCACTTCCGGTTCAGTCTTTACCGAGAAAACAGCTGTCGTTTCCCATCGTGAGAGTGTTACCACTCCCAGAGAGGATGAGCCACCGGATTCCGGACGCAGTAGTGTAATATCGCGTGCCGCACTTTTTCAAAGTAAGGTGGACACTGGCAAACCGATTTCTCCTCGTTTCGATGCCAATAAAAATATCAGCGCCCGCACAGTACCGGTTCCTAAAAGCCGCGCCCTGGCGCAACCGTTTTCCGTTACCGTTGTTCCTAATGAAAACAGTGCGGTGGAGACTGTAATGCCCAAAGCGGCCACATTCTCGGGAGCCCAGCTGCAGGCCACCATGTGGAGTGCACCGGTCACAGTGCCCGCGCTGAAACCCGTTATTCCGGCGAAGACCGTCAAAGCCGTCGCGCAGCCGGTATCCTGCGGCTCGGCAATGGGTGGTTCTGAAGTTCCTTCCTGGGTTATTCTGGCGCAGGAGAAACGGAAAAGATTGAATACCAGTATGCTGACGGACAGTAGTGAATTGGCGAAAATGAACAATTCAGGACTGTCGTCGAAAGAAATGCAGATTGTTAATGCCAGTTTTGCTTGAGAATTTTCCAAGGCGAATGGGCTTTTTATGCATTAAATTCTTGATTTTTCCATTTTTGTATGCATAGTGTGATTTTCACGCAGATCTTGTAATTTTATTCAAGGGAGTTAGTATAAATTTTGTGTATGTTTACACTTCGGATTTATTTATGGAGTAAGAGTCCTGTTTACACAATGGGTAAAAGAGAAAATTACGAGAAAGATCTTTGTATGCGGTAAATCCGAATGTTCATGATTAAATTTTCAGCAACACAGTTTGGATTTTGAATGCGCTATTTTGCGCAGTAAACATTGTAGAGCGAATGCCCCGTTTACGACTTAAGTATTTGCTAGAAACGAAACTGAATCTGTGAATCAGGATTTCAAATATCAATTACAGTACGAACACGGTAAATATAGATACATACCGTGGTACGACTCGTATTGTTTGGCTTCAGCCAAATTTATCAAAACAGACGGCGGTCCATGGAAGCATCATTTCGCACCGTGCACATTGTACAGAATTCTCCCTACACACGAAATTGGAACCGCACATAAAAAGTTTCATTTTCGGCAGCACCAAACTGAGAGCATATAAAGGCGTTTATTAAACGACAATGTTTACAGAACTATGGTACAAGAACGCGTAAAAACACAAACCCGCAAATTTTTGAAACTCAGTGCACAAGATAAAACATTTGTTAAACCTAACCGAAAATAAATCGGTGACTATACAAGGCCGAACTCTAGGCCGTCACTGAAAGCAGAAAATGCCCATGCCCCCTCAACGGAATAAACTTCTAACCATTTATTACGCGCACCCATCAGGCTTTCACTGACTGCTCATCGTCATTACCCAAGAAGAATCACCGATCTGCCGCAGATCTTCCACAAATTTGTCAAATTCATGTAACTGTGATTCCATTCCCATCAAATTCTGGTTCAACGATTTTACTGTGTGAGCAAGGTTTACTCCACGTTTTTCCAACGATTTGAGATTCACAGGTGCCAGTTGGCAAGTATGATAAAAATTGGCTAAATCATTTGATCCCGTTCTGGTTCTAGATGGCGCAAATGCAGGCCTCTGAAAGAGTAATAATAATAACAATGTTTATTGTCCTCTGTAAAGAGGCAGGTCTCCTTTAAGCTAAAGGCGTGCATCTTAAAAAAAGATGACACATGCATAGAATGCATTCAGGGTATCGCCTTTAAATAACGAATTAGTAATTAAATAGTAGGAGTAGTGGTTAGTACAATAAAGTAGTAGTCAACGACTCAACGTAGCTAGTACAACAAAGTTTTAGACTTCAGCTAATACAAGAAAATGTATTCGTACGAGAACGAAAGTAACAAATAAAACCCCTGTCTTACAAAGTTTCTTTTATTAAAAAAGAAGCAATAATTATGTGATCCATCAAAACTTGTGCACATAATCGGTCAACTTACTACTCGTTCAGCTTCCAGAACGTCGTCTTCATCAAATCCATCATCAGGAAACGAAGCATGGGAAAGCAGGGAAATCTCAGGTTGCAATACAAACTCCACATTCTTCACCACGACGGCATCGGTTTTATCTCGTTTCAGGGCCTCTTTAACGGCTTTCGGAGACGATTTGCTGATTTCTGGTAAAACGGCCGCATTGTCCGTATCGTCTTCATCATCCACAAAGGGGTAAAGAGTGGCAAAAGCTCTGTCAGGAAGTTCATAACTATCGTCGTCAGAATCCGATGGGCTTTTAGAGGGAACGGCGAAGGCACCAGTGCACTGGAGATCAGCAAAGCGGAGAACTTTTCTCTGCTCGTTTTTGTAGCCATGCAAATCCTGATGGGCCGGAAACTGTCCGAATTCCACATGAATTCTGAAAATTTACAACAGACTCGGTTGCCGGCTGCTTCACTTCAACCAGTTATTCTACGAAATAGTTCAAGATCGACCTGCTTTTGTACTTCTCATATTTCATACGAATGTATGCAATACAGTATCAAAACCAACGGTGCGAGCTTTTTCTTGAATTGTAGAAATTTTAACAAAATGTTATGGCAAATTACGACCTACCGGCCTTCGGATACGGGCGATTCTGCTGGAACACTGCCGTGTGATGACGGCGATTTCTCCGGAGTTCTGGATAGACTGCTTCGGCCATGGAATGCAAATCTGGGATTACCGGAAAACTTCTCAGTCGCTACCGGAACTGGATCGGAAACTGAGCGTGGACTCTGCGTTTCAGAAAATGCCGTTTCTCTGCAGGCTCCCATGAAAAAAATCGAGCCATATGGAGTTTTTAATGGTCCAATCTATAAAATAAATTCCAGTATCAATTAGAGATGCCTGCTCCTCAAAAAACCTCACAACCACCAACCTTATAGTTTTTGGCAATAGGGCTCAAACTGTCCAGATTGGGCTTGCCAACAAACAGACGATGTGAAAATTTGAAATAATCATTCTGCCGTACCAACCTAAAACACAGCCTCTGGGTAAACTATTTCCATTTTCGCATGCCGGTAAGTATCCGTATATGGTAGTCATACTTATTAACAGGACTGGCGCGTAGGCTCACAATAATGGACTTCAACAAAACTGCCATCCGGTTGTATACAAGGTACCGAACTCGCACATCTTGATCTCGAATGTCTTCATCAAACCACAACCACCAATATTCTATTGGGATTTCCTCCGTGGATGTGGGCAAACGGGCGATGATTTCCACTCCGAACGGCTTATCCAGAACAGCTTTATGATCCTTCGTCATTTCCTTGAAATCTTGGCGCACATTGGGAACTTCTCGCACAGCCAGTCCAAACTGAAAAACATATTTCGTACAGCTGCTTCATCGTACATCACAAAAGCATGAGCAAAATTAGCAAAAAGACGGAAAAAATGAAAATGATCATCTGAAATTCGTGGTGCCGGTATTACAGTTGGTAACCAGGAAGCAAAAGCAGATTTGGCACAGAAAAAGTTAGAAACGATTTATATGAATGCAAAACGCATGTGCATGCATGTCACTGCGCTGGAGCGGTAAAATAAGGACACCGTGCACAAATTTGAAGAATATTTTTTATACCAAATATCTAATTAATATATTTGAAGAATACTTTATTATATCTGAACCATAAATTTATAAGCCGATCGTAGAACTAGAACAGGACCTACAAAATCGCGTCCAGCGTATTACTGTTGTGCAGCTGTCCCTTATTTTGTGTAGATATATACAGTATCATTATTCTGAGGCCATAAAAAAACGGTATGGCTAGAATAAAGAAAGGGATTAGCGAAATAATAATGTAAACAAAGCAAAAATACAGCTAGCCTTGCACCACAACCAGCTGGTCAAAATGAGACCACACACAGCAAAACTCGATTTGATTGTGCAATCATAAGTGCTGCTGTGATGTGTCATGTCCGGATTTCAACTTGCAATTCGAAGCTGTCGAACTTTGCCAGCAGTTCGTTCACGCACGTTGATTGTAATCAGCGAAGCACACGACAACAAACAAGAAGGACAATGGGTGGAAACTCGCGAACTACATTTTGATGTCAATATATGATTCAATTCAAAAATCTGCATTCAGAGTTCGCAAAAAACAAGCCAAAATTTTATTATTGGATAAAATCGGCAGCACAGAAATATTAAAAGAAAATTCAAAGCGTGTTCAAAGTTTCAACGTTTAAACCTTATCTACTGATGTCTAAAATTCAAACGGCGGTATTAAACCTGTGAATCTGCATCCAGATACAAAACCACAATAGTAAACGCTTTCAAATTAGAAATCTGGAAAAACGCGCAATTACATTTACCCAATCCGCATTAGATGGTTTCGAGGAAGTCGAGCATTTCTGACCAGTTCTGGCTTCCACAATTAAACTGGCTGCTTTCTGTGCGAGTATGCTGACGTATTTCTGCAGATCGTCAAATTCATCCTGATCAAGAACCGCCCAGGTACCAGTTCCTTTCTGCGACATTCTTCGTAAAATGTGGTGCAAATAAAACCAATCTCATAAGCAAGGTTGCCAGCTCAGCTAAATCAAGCTGGAAGAATCAAGATCCCGGACTCCCAACGGCAGTCATCTGTTATTCTGGATGTTGCAATTTCTATCGGTCATGCTTCCATCCACAATCACTTTTCTTGTGCAGATAAGTATAACTTAAATGTGGTAAACATGACAGGTGACTGGTGACAGAAAATATTTTGACTACCATTAATGACTGAAGAAGAAATACTCCAGTGCAGACTAGTGCTTAATCAGATTCGATAGATTCCAAAACAAAACGCAAGTTCCGAGATAATGTGGCACTATTGTACACACCAAGATGTCATCACTATCTTATCGACTATCGTCCAATCATAACTGTATCGTCCGGGACAAGATCTAAACAAGATTTCATCACTTTCATCAGATTTCATGCACTAGTTTAACTTTAATGAAATTTCTGCAAAGGCCAACAAAGAAATAAGTTTGATTGTTGTTTACGCCAAAAACCAAAACACTGGTCTGCGAAACTTGTCCTACATACCACAGCTGCGCAAGTTGTGCCAATTACAACGCGCCACGCTGGAATGAGCGTCTACCAGTTTAATAAACGGCCACAAAGTGGCGGTACAGTTCTAAATTCTACCCAACAAACTCCTCCTATCGAACAGCCCGAAACCGACACCGTCTGACCGACCGGCCGAATCTTCGCTTTTTAGCCATTTACAAGGTACAAGGTACATTTACAAGGTACAAAAAATTGGTTTTCTTATGAAATAATTAAATATTTTTCTATAATCCCCGGATACAATACAACGCACTGTTCTTCATTCTGCAAGTGAGTGGAAAAAAACGGTAGACCACAACTCAAAATTTTAGATTACCGCACTTCTAACGCGGATCCGGAACACAAAAAACTAAAACAATACACTGCTCATCACTCATAAGCCTAAAATTCTAAAGCTGCTTGCGCACCAAACATAACACCAAGCAGATCAAAACTGAAAGAAAATTATTGCGCTTATTCTATAAAAAATCAAAACTGAACGCAAAATTTACATTCCCAAAAAGGCAGGCCAGCAAAACTGCTCCAGAGGAGAAACACGTTAACTAAAAGATATTATTCAGGAAGCTTTCCAATATCTGTTCGACAATAACCGGAGAGCAGCGGTCAATGATCTCCGGACCGTATTTCTGGCTCTCCACCACTGCTGCTTCCTCCAAGAACGTCTGAAAAAACGATAAGCCCAACGTAACCACTTTGCTCACCTTTCCGTACACTAATTCACCTTCTTCCACAATTCCTTCGCTGATCACGACGTTTTCCGCAACAGGCAGGTCATTCAACGTCGTCACGTCGGGCTTTCCAAGTTCAATATCTGTTGAAGGGGACTCCCTAACTGCATTTTTTTCAGGCAACTTCTCCCGCTCCGCTGTTTCCAATGTCTCTACAGTGGCGCTCTTTTCGGATGGCTGACTGGTAGCTTCAGACATAGTGTGGGATTGTTGTGGAGTGCCTTCAGATGCAGGAGTAAGATAAACAGTGTTATCCAAAGCATTAGATGCAGGAGTCGGAGGTTCGCTTGCAGCAGACGCCGTTGATGTTGTAGTCTCGGTTGCTAATGTTTCATCCACTTTTTCTTCCCCAGCCTTTGGCTCCTTGGCGGAAGGCACCGGTGTACTGGTTGATGTAGAAGGCATCTTGACTAAAAAGCATAAAAATAGCAGCACACATGTTCTTTTATCGACTACTTAAATTTTTTTCAGTTTTCAAACAACAGCAAATCCAATATTTACAGAATCAGCTAAACAAATCAATGTTTTTATGAAAGCCGCTAATAAGCTTCTCTCAGCTAATCATAAGAAGATATAAATTATCGTAAGTGAAGAGTCATTTATCACAAACAGAATAGTCGACTTGTAAGGAAAAGGGTAAATGTCATACTATGGCAACTGAGGAGTGAGGCACAGTGACCAACATACCCGCTGCATCCTTCAACGGCTCCAGATTTTCATTCGGAGCTGGTGGATTTTTAGCAGCACTGACCACTGGAACCTTCAAAATTGAAACCGCTGCCGTCTTTTTGGGGGCACTGCCTTCCGTTTCCGCCTTCCGCTTCAAACTGCCTATCAGCTGTTTTTCATGACGGCCTTTTAACTCGTCCCCAATTTCCTTCATACTGGTTGCAAATGTCGTCACAGTCGTTATGAACTTAGTAACCAATTCTGGAGACCAACGCCGTTTATCAGCAGGCCCTTGACTATCTAGCGATAAATGCGACGTCAAAGAAGCCATTTTGGCAAAAGATGCAGCGGTCTGGGTGAAAATTTCACCAACGGTAAACGGTGTGGCTTTATCGGGATTCAGCTTCATAATGGACGTCTCCAGTTTGTGCAGCTTCATCATGCTGTCCCCGATGGCCTTCCGATACTGCGCAGCGCGGTCAGCGGAAGTCGTGTTCTTATTCGTCAGAACACGCGCCGCAGCTGTTGCGGCAGCCGGTTTGGCTACCGTTGTCTTCCCAGCAGCCGTCGGTGCTACTCGTGTAGCTGCGGGCTTCTTAGCAGCAATAACGGGCGTGACTGTCGTTGTGGTGCTGGTGGTCGGTGCCGACGTTGTCACAGCCGCCACAACAGGAGCCGCCGTAGTGGTAGCAGCCGGGGCAGCAACGGTTGGACGCGCGTGAAAGACAGTGCGGGCTGCCTGCACGGGCTGCGTGATGGTCTTTATGGGAACTGCTTTGGTGGGTGACGCGCGACGCACCAGGGGAGTAGCGGTGGCCGCGGAAGGCCCCGGAAGGTAGACAGATACAGTACTCTGCCCCGCGGTAGACCCCAGCGCCGGCACGGTTATCATCTTAACAATACCCGAAGTGGCACTCGTCCCCGCCGGACCGGGTACCACTTGTCCTGCACGAGGGACGATGGTATGTCCCTTGGGAATGGAAACTGCCGCTCTGGCGAGAACAGGCGCAGATTTGGTCGTCAGGGTGCCGGGACGAACAGTGCCGCGTTTAATCGTAACCGGACCTCCTTGAGCGATAATATTAGCGGTTGGGATCGTTGTTCCGGGGCGTGAAGTGGATCCGACAACCGTGCCAATAACAGTGGTTCCTTGTATTTGAGCTGACGTAGCGTTTGTGATGCCTGAAATTTGTAAATATTTATTATGACCATCCCTATTTTTTACCGCAGAGGAAAGCGAGAATGTTTTCTCTAATCTACTACAGTCCTAATCTATTAATCCTCAAAAGATATTCAAAACAAAAATAAATCTGAATGCAAATGCGAATCAAAATATCTAAAACAACTTTTAACATAAATCGGAGACAGGTGCAATGCGGAGAGAATCTATAATTTTTTTGTACGATTAACACTTTGCGCGCCACTATAAAAAATTCTACAATGACATACCCGCAGGAATACCAGCCACCAAGCTATTCGTGCCATCCGCTCCAACCACCACATAATACTGCTGTCCACCCAGATCGCTTCCCGTGGCATTAACCACGGATATTGCTGTTGCTGTTGGGGTCGTTGTCGCCGTGGTTGTCACAGTGGAGATGGTGGGTCGCAAAATGATAGAGGTTTCTGTAACTGGGGGATTCACCACCGGAGCCGGAGGAGGAACGGGAGGTGGTTGTACCACTGGTCCTGCTTCGGTCGAATTCGATGCAGACAGTTCGTTGCCTTCAGTGGCAGGCTTCTCAGCGACAGTCGAAGCTGACGGAACAGCAGCAGGCTCTGCACTGGTCTCTCCTTCCATACTAATAACGAACGACGTTTAATGTAACGCTGGTACGAGGGCACGATTAACTAAGCACCCCGATGAAAAATGTGAAAGTTTATCTCAGTTTCAGGTTCAGCAGTCTAGTTTCTCAACTTGCTGAACGCAGACTGCAAGCAACCTAAAAAGTTTTGGTTTCGCTGTGTACCGGAATACTTTTTTAGTGGCTAAAGTCTAAACTCCGCTAAAGTCGCTAAACACAGATTAACCGAAGGTTTCGAATATAATAATCTAAAAACTATGAGGGCCCAAGGGCCAAGACCAGCAAATAAACGAAAATTAACAAAAAAATCGCAAATAATCAAGGGGTGCTATAATTCGAAGAATTCATCACACTGCCAGTGCCGGGACTGCCCAAAGGCCAAAAAGTTCAAGAAAGATTAGCGCGCCATGCCATTCTATACCATGGGCAGGATCTAACAACCTGGTCTTTCGCGTTCCCTGCAACGGCAAACCCATGTAACGCACCTGTTCTAATCTGAAAAATTTGTATAGTCAAAACTAATATCACACAAATACAAATGTTGTAAAAGGAATAACTAAAAACACAAATAAACAGTAAATCGTCAATCGAAAAGAAACCCAAACGATCCAGGACTGATTTGAAGCAAAAATTATTGAAAATTGAGTTCCACTGATCCAGGAAGTACTTTGATCTTACGCTACGGAAACTTTTAACGCTTGAACGATGGCCGAACGATAACGTACGCCACCGTACGTACAACGTACCGTGCTTCGTACGACGAAAACGAAAAAAATCCGTCCTTATGTACTGCTTTTTTTTGGCGACTTGCTCTAAAATTTAGCAACATTCTTGAAAAATTTCAGAAGCACAATATTGAAATAATTATTATTTTGAGAAGCGTAGTTAGTATACTACTAGTAATAAGTTAGTAACAACGGAAAACCGGTACAAGCACGGTGAGTTCGGCTCAAAGTTAAGCTTTTGAAACCCTGCACTTTCCGGTAACCAACTATTGTAATTTGCAGACATACTTTTTGTTTAATATAATGATATGCATAATCATATTCATGTACTAACTCAGTTTCGCACAGGGAGCAGGAAAATAAAAAACAGTCATCAATATTACCTTTTTACCAGCTTTTCACAAATTTGGACCACACACCCAAAAATAAGTGAGATTTGCGTTCAGCAACACTTCGATTTTAGAAAATTTTACCAAATACAACTGTGAAGGCTTCGAAACTCGAAGGTTGAGTAGGCTTGCAGTAGCGGTAAACCAGAACAGGAAATGCTGACATCATGTAGTAGTACTTTTCTGGCGCTGCCAAGCGATATGACTTAGTATCACTCCTGCAACGAAAAGCGTTTTAGTTTCCGTTTACCCAGTCTGTAACGGCGTCACTTTGATGCCTTTACCAGCTGCAACAGAAACGTTCAGACAATCAGCTCCCTCTGTTATATCATTCCGACCAGGTTGGATTGTCACCACCGTAGGACACGCTTGAAGAAGCTCCCAGTCAATGCCTTTATTTTCATTCCCTAACAAAATGCGCATCAGTCGATTACAGTTGTATCAAACTCCGTGGACACAGATTTTCTAATTACCAAACACAAGTATCACGTTGTCCGGAAGCTGCAACTCATGGATGGAACACGGTTCTGCCAGGTTGGCTTGTTTAGCTTCGTTCTTGCTGACGGTGCCCACAATGTCCCATTTCTGTTCTTTCGCCAACTGCAATAAGCAGATTATTCCGCCGTATCCGATAGTCACAATCACACTGCTTGTAAAAATACAGCATATGAAATAAATCTAAATATTTACGTATATTTTTATACAGTCGATTGGATGGTTATGCGACTTATGCCATACCTTTACAAACTCCTTCAGTTGTGCTCTCTTCAGCACATGGATAGGCAAAATTTCCATAACACCGGCACTGGCTTTGCTGACAATCGGGGATAAAGGACAACTACGAATTCCAATTCAGATACTTATATCAGTTACGGTAATTCAATCAGCAAATTATTTAGCACCATTCTGCAAGCGACATCCGTACGGTGTCGCATTTTTATTCCAAAATATGTCCCAAATGCCAAAAAACTACAGCTAAAAGAGTGTAGAAAAATTTACAACAAACCTCGACCCTTCCATCAAGAATATTCTCTCCACGCCAAAAAAATATGCCGATCTCATAATTGCTCCAAGATTCATTGGATCCTGCAAGATTCATTGGATTCTTTGCCGGTAAACAAGTAATAACGCAGTCCGTGCAATTTCTGCAAATGAGTCATCTAGAACAACTTTTTTCGCAATCGTACATAAATTCCGTCCAACAGAAGCCAAAGTTTTTGTTGTGCAGCGTCTCGCAGAGCGGAAGAAAGCTTTGAGTGCAACATCTCCGATGGCACTAAAGGCGAACATTCTAAACATAACCCCTAAGAAATGATATACTGGTGACGATAAAAAATCGCAGTGCTCACAAAATCGCATTACGACAACAATGAAACGTTATGTAACAATGCTACCATGCAATTATGCATTCAGGTAGGGAACATATTAAGAACGCTTTAATTTCCCGTACGGCATTCGGCAATAACTTCAACAAGCAAAGCGAGTAATTCGCTTAATATTGTACAGAAACGAAGAACAAACTGGTCTTTTGCCGTTGACAACAGCGTTTAGCGAGTTTTTATGTACGCAGTTTATTCCTAGATCGCTAAATGACTACACCAGTACGTACATCAGCCAATCAAATTCGTACCTGATGGGGACGATCACAAGAAATCTTTTTGAGAACAACAGCTTCCTCAATTTTGACCGGAATGTTTCGTTCCGAACACAAGCGAAGGATTTCTTGGTTGTGATGTTCCTGTGACAAGGTCTTCGCTTCCGTTATCAGCAGGCGATAGAATTGCCGCTGTCCAGCTCGCAGTGCCAGAAGTACAGGATTGGTTCCGAACAGAATTTCATCAGATATTTCACTTGGCATAATTGTTTTCCTTCGATTTTTAGGGTTCAACCTGACATGTGAGCAAAGTGAAGCATGCGGTTAAAAGTATTTCGACTAATTTTACGAACATGTGTGGTTGTGCACTGCTCCAAGTCATTACAGCGGAGGCAATCGTAATACATAAGTAGCTACAGAATTAATGCAAATTGTAAAACATACAACATTTTACCGCGGTGACGGGCGAGTCTTTGCTTCTTCATCTTGAATATTCCGACTGTTCCTCTGCTCGATATCTAAAATGTCACTGGTAATCCATTGTTTACTGCTGAGATTTTTCCGAATTACTGTTGGCTTGCAAGAAGAGGAGCGAAACAGTGGCTGAACAGCGGATCGGCCAAGTCCTTCAAAAAGCCGCATCGCGATACCAAACGCAAGCGACATTTGAAATTATTCTGATACGTACTCCATTTGAAAGCCCAAAGATTCAAGGAGTTCCCACGCTTGCTGTTCACAGTATACTAAGTACAATTACTGGAAACATCATTTGCTTAAGAAAGAAATAAAAAAGTTTGCATAAAGTAATAAAAATAAAGAAAAAGTTTATACAACTGCAGTTTGTTGGTTAGTAACTTTTAGTTGCAAGCAAACGGAAAAGATGATCTGGCATACAAAACCACAACAAGATCCTCGCGATGACGTCACGGGCATCTCAAAGCACTCTCTCACACCTGAGTCACACGGCAAGTCGCATTTCGAAAACGGAACAAAGGTTTACATAAGATTTATGCAAAAGTTACGGTAAATTGGTAGCAGTATACTTACAACTTTCTGTAAGAGTTTTTCGCACTTCTAAGGACAGTAAGATAATTATTTTTCTTAGTTTTCTTTTCATTCTGTAGCAATTCTTGCTGTCATGCAATTGGTGCGTTGCATGCATATTTAATTTTTGATTCTGCTGTTTTTGTTGGATCGTTTTCCGACATTCTCAAAGTGGCGTAGTCAAAGACTTGCAATCCGAATATTGTGTGGATTGCCGAACATCGACTTCTCCTAATGGCCTCCCAATCATTATCTGGTGGACTTTTAAAAGTCCGCTTCGAGACCTTTGCGGTGATCACTTTATCGCTTCCTCTGCTCAGCCTTGTGGCCTGCGTTTTTCTGTCATTGTATTACGACTTCGAACGATCCGTGGCGACTCACTGCAACGTGAGGATACATCTGGAAACTGTTCTGCAACTTCTGGAAAACTTTTATTTATTTTAATATTTTGATCTTTTTTGCTGATATTTGTGATCATAAGTGCTGTTATTTGCAACTTTAAGTTACCTGTTACTTGATTATTTATCCGTGGTTACGCTATTGTCAGTTATGGTTGACTATTTTTTTAGGTTGCAAACTATCTTCCTTCTCTTAGCTCTTCCATTGGCGGATTCACTCCGCAGAGATACATCTGGCGAACCGGAATTGCTATCCATAGCGCGCCGCGATTGTTCGTAGCGTTTCTGTATCTCAACTTTTATCGGACCTCCTCTGCTATATCGCACAATCGATTATTATTGCGTTTAGCCTACCTAAATTTTGCTCTCAATCTCCTGGAAAATGCTGCACTTGTAATTCTTACATATGTATCCTCGACGGAAAACTACAGTGAGTTTTTGTTGTTGTAATATTTGCATACCGGGTTAATGCTTAACCCTTATTATTTTGGTACTGTAAAGAAACTAATGATATTTTTTTACAGAGATACATGAAGCAATGTTCGTATGCTTTGTGGCGTTCTCCGTCTGTTACATGATCGACACTTTATTTCTTTTCTGGCGCTTATGCCGGGAATACAGCGCCGATACTGACCTGAAAAAATCCTTGCGATATAAATTTGTGTTTTTCGTTGTCAACGTTTCCGTTTTTCTTATCTCGCTTTATTTTTTCTTTCGGCACAACTGGTACTGTGAGCCAGGAGGTAAGTGGATTCACATTAAAACGTCAACCAGAGTAATAGTTTATACTGATTTGTTGAATAGTACTGCTTTTTACAGTTTTTTTTAATTGGATATGCTTGATTTTTAGTGCACCTGTGTGGCAGACAGTTTAGCCATAGAAAAGAATAATACTGTGTAGTACGTGCGCTCGTAGCCGATCCTCTCTGCCAGTCTTAACAACCTGTGGTCGAGTTGTAATGAATTGTGTAAACACGCTGTGCCTGCATATTTAATGAGAAGCGATATCTCGAGATATTGTGGTCATATTCAAAAACTAAACAGACGGTTGTGATCGTTAAAGCGTAAGGAGAATGAATCTTAAAAAAAATTTGAAAAAGAACATACGCATAAGCAAATAATTCATTATCCAAGCTAACGGGGGGCATAAATCGCGGATGGAAATGCATTCTCAATGGGGCATGCTGACCTTCTGTCCGGCTCCTGGCTCAGTTCCGACCAGTAGCACTGCACGTGTGCCTTTGTTTGCATAGACCGGCCGGACCAGCGCGCTATTTCTGCGAAATGCTCAGTGTATTTCTGTAGCTCAACATAATAATATTATGCAACTTAAAATGCCACTTTGTACTCAAATATGGATGGATGCGTGTTTGGTTAATGATTACAAATCTTTTTGAATGGACTCAATGCACATCTCGGAGATATAGTCTGATTGTGTACCTTTAAACGGCTGTTTATTTGATATTGGAAACAGCAAGGCAACCAAACCCGTATATTGGTGATTGGTGAGTACATTTGTACAAGAACCTGGCGCATAACTTATCAAAATACTTGAAAAAGGCTTTTCTGCATGACAGTATTTGGCCATCCGTCGTAATTAATGTTAACGTTACGCACAACTTTGCAATGAGAATAATTGTTTTTTCGTCATAAAATACGTATGTAATAACATGTATGTAGCATGCACCTATTTAAATTTTCATGTTGGCAACCGCCCACGGGAGTCAGTTACAAATTTTAGATATTTTGCAGGCATTCTAGCACTTATGTACCTAACTCCACGGCGTTCTTCTGCAAATGGCAACTAAGCCGAAATTAAAAAAATACGAAATTGTCATTAAAGACGGATGTAGAAAGATCGGTACTTTATGGTATCCTTTTTGGAAATAGTAACGGCTACTGTGATGGAAGTACTGTAAGTGCTTCTACGGCTCGGAATTAGTTCAGCTCTGAACTGCAAATTGCCTGAGCCGTTGCTTCGCCGCCCGATCAGCAAATTGTGGGTACAGTTTGTTTGCACAATTCATTACAACTCGACCACAGGTTGTTAAGACTGGCAGAGAGGGTCGGCTACGAGCGCACGTACTACACAGTATTATTCTTTTCTATGGTTTAGCTGTATCGTCATACCGACTTATACCTACCATAGGTACAGTAACCCCAGATTTGCTTGTTTGCAGTGTACACTATGTTTGCCATTTGTGAATATTTGGTCGTGCTGAGCAATATCGCTTTTCATGGAACCGCATATTTGGATTTCAAGGATGTGGTCTTAATAGCCAAATCTAATCAAGGTCACAAGAATCGTTTGGATTGATATTGACGGTGATAACTTCCAGTTCAAGCAGTGTGATTTTATAGACTCGTATGCATTTAAAAAGCTCCATAATACTGCCTGAATCTGGACACGGGGAGAGGACACTGCAGTTTCTGCCATGCGCATCAGATGTGTTGCAGAGGGATAAATTTCAGCGTTTCTACGCTTTTGCGGCAGCCTTAAAAATTTTATACTCTTTATGTTTTACTGATTGTTATTATATTAAGCCCGTGGATGCGCATACAAGACAGGAAAAGTTGATTAGTTGATAGCTGATCGCAATTCCTAACATTTAATGTGTCCACTTTTAAGCGAATTGGTTAACATACAAAATGACTATAAATGAAGCAGATATATTAAAATATATTAGTGATTTATTGTTATTCATTGTGTGCAACTATATAAATATAAAGTTCTCATTTTATTCAATATTTAAACGTGTCGTCAACTTAAAAGAGACAATCACCTCAATGGAGTTGTGCAAAACCTCCCGAAATCATATCACCTGGAAACTTCGCAGCAGAATCGCCAACAGCAGCAGAAAGACCGCTCCACCAGTAAGATGCTTCCAATTTTCCACCACAAAATTCTGCTGATCGTCCGCAGACCCCCTTCGATCTCTGCGTCGCTTCCGACCTCGCATCTTTCTGTCGTACTGCTCCTGCAGTTCTTGCTCAGCTTTTAATTTTTTATCGGCTGCATCTTGAACACGTTGCTCTTCTTCCTAAACACCAAAACCGACAATCACACACTGGTACCTTCACTCCGACAATAACTCACCTTTCGTTTAGCGTCTGCCAGAGCCTGGCATTCAGCGTTACATGCAAGTTTATATCCACTGGTGACTTTATTACAGGAATGTTGTTCTTTCAAATTCCCACACGGGCACTTCACTTGCACCTTCTTCTTGCAATCAGAAATGTTGGAATGGGGTTCAACGGCAATATGACACAACTTCGAGCACGGATGTCCACAAGTCAATAAACTCGGACACTGAGCTTTGCATGAAAACAAAACCCTCTTTTCTTCTTCACTCAATCCGAAAACTTTGGCACAAGAAAACTTCAGTATCATGCTCTGGCAGTGGCATTTGATACGAACGATTTCCGCACATTGTGAACACGGACCGTGATGGCAAGGAAGGATACACGGATGACCACATGGGGTCGCGCGAGTACAAAGAGACGTACATTCTTCGCAGGCAGCGTCAACCTGAAAAATTTTACTCTGGACTTTCAACAAGTCATTATGGAATACCTAACGGCGGTTCGAAAAAAAGACGTTAAGTCAACGCGAAACAGTATGCTCTCAGGGAACAAGTAATCATCGCAATGCATTCTGTCAACCAAATTAATTAATCTGTTTCGTTCGTACCGTGACATCACCAGCCGCTCCTTCCAATTCGTGACACGGTAATGGACACAAATGATTACCGCAGTCCATTTTTCTCCCACACGGACGTCCACAACTAGCTATTCGTTTCAGGTAGCATTTCATAAGCGTTTCGTCATGCCCTCCAAAGCAAGGGACCGGGACCAACTGTTCGCAGGGAGGACACGGGTAGTTCCGTATTTCCACATCCGGCACAGCCTTCATTTCCCATGGTCCGGCCGGCCGGTCGCTGTCGCTCCGCAAAGTTACTTCCACGGCCGAATGACATTTAGCTTGACACGTGTGGCCACAACCAAGACGTTTTTCACAAATCTGCACACACGGAGGACATTTTCCAAAATGGCAGGGATGTCGGGTGCGGACGGAATGATGGCAGTTAGGTGGCTGCTCACATGCATATGAGCATTTCGGTGCTTTAACAGAACGCTGTAAAATTAACGAAAATCTCAAGTACTGTGATAACAGGTAATGGCAAAATGTATTTACAGTTAGTTACTGTAATTACCTGTCTACCACACGGAACACTGATCACACTTCGGCCACAAGCACAACCAAGATCCACCATCTGCGAGCAAGGATAACACGGACCGGAATGGCATAAGCTGTCGCATTTATGGGTGCGACAGCTGAGCATGCGCCCACAAATCTGTAAGAAAGAAACGCTTTTGTAATTAATTTTACACTTAATGCAAGTAAACAACACACATAAACAACTGCAATTGCACCTGGTCACAAGGAGGGCAATTTCCCATGCAGCATCTCTTGTTGCAAGCATGCCGGTTGCAATTTCTCATAGACTTGCATTTCGTATCGCAAGTGAAATCCTTGGAGCACGGGAGCTGCTTAGTTTTTGCGCCACAAGGACATGTTTTCTCTGTAAAAAGGCGTCATACACAATGCTGCTTTCATATTTCGAGAAAAATTTTGCACTTTACTTGTCGACTGCATGCATGGTCCACATTCACCAAAATGGCATAGCTGCAACAGTGAAGTTCATAGTTTCAGATTAATTTTGCAAAAATTAAACATGGTTAGTATGTACCTCTAAGCAAAAGTGGTGTCCGCAAACCGGCTTGCCGCACGTATTGTTACACGGTTGAATTTCTGCAATGCAGTCAGTAACGGCCTTTGTTTTACCACACGGACATGATCTCGGCATGCTTCGGGGACATGGTCCACACGAACCACTGTGACACTGCGCGCTGCATTTATGCGCACCACAAGCAAATGTTTTGCCGCAGATACTGAAAAGGAGCGACACGGTACACACATGGAAGAGAAACATAGACGTTGGAGCCGCAGTGCACAAAATACAGCAGATTGATCATTAATAATATTACGTCAGCAAAGTATAAAAACACCAATGACCTGGAAACAAATACTCGTACAATCGAAGTACTCCTAACACTGTATGTACTGCTTGAATTCGTTTTTCTTTCACAATACCGTTGACAGTGCCACTCCCGTGTCCCACAAGGCTGTGGTAGCGTTTCCGTACCGCACGCGCATTTCATTGGTAGTGTTTGCTCACAAGGTTGACAATCTCCTGGATGACACGTTTCTCTGCAAGAATGTTTTCCACATGACAGCATTTTGCCGCACGCTGTTCCACAGCTGGCAGGAGCTGTACCACAACGCGCCACGTGTTTTTTCTTTCCACAGAAGCAAGAAATGCTGCACGTGGCTGGACAGGGAGGGCATGGACCTGCATCATACATGAAATACACGTCAATATACGGCAATCCCGGTTCGCAGTGTAAAACAAGCGTAAACCAACCTGGATGGCAAAGCAATACGCATCTGCAGTGCAAAAAGAACGGTCAACTACATGTAATGCACGATGTAAACACTACACACTAAGGCATTTTGGCACTGTTAAAAACCGAAAATCTTAATTGCAGAAGTTTACCTGTGCTCACAGTTACTTTTCAGATGCTTCTCGCACAACTGCCCACAACTATGCGGCAAAATCCAGGGATCATTTGGCGGATCCACTGTCTTTCCACAGAAGCAGTAGTAGCGGGTCGGCGCGTTCTGAGTTTTATATTCGAATCGGCATTTTGGGCTGTAATAGTACAAAAAACGAAACTATCCAATGTGATAAAATAATTTACTTCAGATTCAGTCATAAGCAGTGACTTTTGTTACCATGCCCAAAATCGATCTTTCTCAGGAAAATATTCATCGGAAAGAAACGACGAGCTGCGAATTACACCGTCCTTTGCCCATTTCTGAATGCAACCGAGATGGAATGAGGATGCGCAGTTTTCGCAGTTCCACAGCTGTTAAAAAAATAAAGTAATGCACACAAACAAGCCCACAGAAGTTACATATTATTTTGTAATTTTGCGTAGTGCATCAGTCCACAGCTAATGGTAAGACACTAGTGTCGATACTAAAGAGCATAATGTTTTTCGAAAAAAATCGATAATTATTTTAAAAATAAAGTGAATAAAAAATAATTTTTATTAAAAATAACGATACAATCATAACTGAAAATTATTTAACAAAAAAAAGTTTACATGCTATTGTAAATTGCCGAAAATTACGCAAGTCTCTTCGACTGGTACAACTTACTGGATCGGTCCGCTTCAAGGAACTGATGCAAACCAGACAAGTCGAAGCACTGACTGATGAGGCATTCCCAAGAATTCTGCGAACATCGATGGAATCTCCGGCTCCGCCATTTCCACCGTATCTGCCATCCACATTGTACTGCCGTATAATGTTGCTGAAAATTTCTTCTTTATTTGCCAGAGGCGCGTCCTCCTCGTCGCTATCAATCTCGTCACCAAGTTTCTGTTTAAGCTCTTCCAGTTTCTTCGATATGCCATCTTGATGCTGCTTCGATATCGCGCCAAACCGTTCAAGGTTGCTGTAGCCTGCATTGCAACGTGCTACTACATATCTAGCTGCGGCATGTTGTTAGGAGATGTAATCGCAATTCGGAACTTCCCCTATCCCCGAACAATTCAGTTTTCCGAAATCGTTAACATACCTGACGTGGTGGCTGGCGTAGCCGTCATTTTCTTGTCGTTTCCTTGCCGAGATTGTACGGAGGAATGTTCCGCGGATTTCGAATCCTTCTTGGCAGGAACGTGCCTTGCTTGCCACGCAGTCTGCGTTCGATTCGACATCTTACAAAATAGTTTATTAGATCTTCGTCGCAAAGAAACCAGCTCAATAACACTTTCACTATTTTTTTCTGCTTCGATGCTTTGTTGACTCCAAAAAAAACAGACCTGCAATTTGCAACTACAAATTAGACCTAGAACAAATTACGTACTCCGTACGGGTTAAAATCGATAGGGTTTTTGAAATTTTATTCAAAGAATGTTGATATTCAACTTCCCGCAACTGCTATCTGCAGGCGGCTGCTCCTTATGATACTGCTGTAATTTTCGCGAAGCCTCGGTACGTACAGAAGTTGAAGGGTGCCCACTGCCCAGCGTTTTTTGGAAAAGTCGTATTGTTTATTTTAATGTATTGTATTCTGAAATTTCTCGACAAAAGGTAATCTTTTCTAACAGCTGTATACCTGCATCTTGAAGACTTAGTTACCTGTGCTTTTAAAATAAGCAGCACCTGTGAGGTGTGGCTCACAACTGCGGTCAGCGCTTAGTCACTTTTCACAGTCCACAATACAATAAGTACTGCCATGTGATATTAAGAAAACTAGTATCAATGTATTATTTTGTTTCCAATAATGTTTGCTTAACTCGATACATATCCGAAGCGATTTATTTAATTATTCCGGTTAAAAAAACGTGCAGATAAAAGGTACACGTACAGACGCTGTAAACAATCGCAAGCGGCATCCAAAGCTTACCAACAAGTCACGATGCGTACTACGAGAACATCAGTAATCCACCGGTCACAAAGCATTAAAAGTGAGCTGGGACGTGTAATTGTACAAATTCAGCGGCTGGTCAGACAAACAGGTTTGTAAACTGACAGTTCGATACAACAATTCCGTAGAGTCAAAAGTTATTAAAGTTTAAACTGAAGTTTTAAATCAACGATTATGAAACCCATTTCACAGTCCGAGATCGCTATGAAAACAATCACAACCAACGCGTTAGAAATATGTATCATGTTGTCTCGTTTGCAACAACTTTCGTTAGATCCCCTTCCGGTTCCGTCACACCCTCTAGACTCTATAAAATGCCAAAAAAAGTTTCAGAAACTACACATATCCAACGGCATATCGATTAATCCACACAAGTTAAGTGCGTACATCATCTGCAAAAGAACGGTTTTCCTCTGCGTGGCTGTAGTCGAAATCTGATTGCGTCGCCAAATCCACATCGTTCGTATCGCCGGATAATTCCGCCACAGGAGTCTGTTCATGTGCTGCAGTGCCCTCTGCTTGTTCCATATCTTCTTCAGTCTTTGCCGCCTCCGTTAGCCACATTACAGCTAATTTTCTTCCGCTGACCAAACCGGCCAAATCGCGCAAGCACTACAAAACGCACATTAATTACCAATCGAAGCGATTCAGAACTCAATTTTTGCAGATCATATTTGTGTAAACGTACCGCATCACCTTCGTAACGAATGTTGAAATCTAACACCATGGAAGGCGGTTCATCGGGGTTTGTGCTGTTTGAAATGACTTTTGCTCCGCATGACTACGAAAGAGCAATATTCACTGTTGTACGATTCCGTAACTGATACTATTCACTATACCGACTCCGTATTACGGAGTCACGTAACCGTCGAGCAGATATTCTGTTGCCTCTAAAGACGGATTATACCTGGACATGTCGAAGGATATTGGCTCGTTCATTCTCCAGAAATCCAGAAATTTTCACCCGTTTTGGACGTCGATCAATCACTCGATTGAACGGTCCACCGCGTACTGGACGACGAAATCTGCTACCACCAGTAGCTCGACGAGGCGACTTGGGCGACCGATATGGAGCAGGCCGATTATGACCGGCGCGAGCTGAGTACGATCTGGCGGAATCCACATCTTTCAGCTGAAACCATGTAATCGTAAACATACCTTCAGGCAACCGGAAACTACTTTCAACTGTTTCAATATTACGCAACTAAGAGTTTACGAGTAAGGTCAGAGTCATCATTACACACCCGTGACCATTTGACTTACAGTATCCCCAGAACCACGAACAGACGATTCCCCTTCCAATTTGGCTTTCAGAATCTGAAGAAAAAAACACCGAATAAAACTTAGTTTTCTTAACTAAGTTTTCTAAACTTAGTTTTCTTTTTCTTAACCTGAATAACTCTTTTCTCCCACCGCCCAGTAAATAATCTTAAAAACATTGTAGAAAGCCCTTAGAGCATAATTTAACTCAACTGGTACTTACTTCATTCTGAGATTGCTGGAGATTCAATTTCTGCTCCATTACAGTCCGTTTCCGAACCGCTAGCAGCTTCTCCTCTTCGTGTTTCTTCAGCTCGATCTGCCACTGAGCAATCTGTTTCTCTATTTTATCCAGTAACTATAAAGCCAAAATATCGATCCACAAGGATCTAAACAGGTAGCACTAGAAATATTTATTTACCGGGCCAATTTCTTCTTTCTTTGCAGAGGGATCCGTTTCCATTCGGCTGCGATACTGTTCGCTGATGCCGTGGTACGAGCTGATGGATCCGTTCAATTTACTAATCAATTCGTCCAGCGTTGTGATCTGCGCCTGTAGAAAGATAACAGCAAAAACAAACTATCCAATAAGTAGTTGGATAAGTGCAGCGTACTTGGATTTTATCAATTTCCGTTTCAGTTTTGGTGACCTCCAAAGTGGAATAAATCAACTTCTGGTGGGTAGCAATCGAGTTAGCCTGTGAAACATTGCTCTCCGAAACTGCTCTTCCACGCGTCGCACCACCTCGAAAACGTCCCGCCCGCGCTCGCCGACTACCGACAGGATACCGTACGCGAACACCGCGCGTGAAGCCGGGGGTAACTGCGCTTTCTACGGTTTCCTGAAAACCGCGTTAGTTAGTATGCATGAAGAAAATCACAACTGTGGTCTCTTTACATCTGCTGACGGAGCGGTATGAACATCCGTCCGCTGATTATCCGGTTCAGTTTTTGGCGCGGGAGCTGGAGCAATTGCCTTCACGGTGGCAGCGGGCGCTACTTTGTTAATGGGGGAAACTTTGGTGGTGTCCTGGAATAAATTATTGGCAGAACAATGCATGAATCTCAAAATTCAGTCATGAAGATTTCAGCGAAGGAAATCTGTGACACACGCTTAAAAAAATCGAACTTTGAACCTTAACAAACATCAAATAACTGCACGGCAATGATGCATCACATATCTGCATCGAGCGGGCACTTTTGGGAGCGCAAAAACATGCGACATTTTGATTTACGGTGTACTTTCCTTCTAGTCTGCAACTTTCTTTGCAGTTTGCACCTTACTGCTGTCTATATATTGCCTACCGAATTCAGTGCTTCAAATTAATTAAAAAAGATACTGTAGTTAACGATTAATTTAAAAAAGTTAATTAACGCTACCAGTTGCAAGTTAATAAACGCCAGCCGGTCAGCGAATTGATCAATACTCTGCACGCAATTTATCCGCAAAACTTTTAATTCTAATGAACCCGTAATTAATTAATTATTTTAATTAGACATTTTTACACGTCGTGGTAACTTATAAGTTCTGTTAGAGACTTATGCGCCCTACGCGCGCTTTCTGGTTTACGCTACCAGAATGTGTTTGGATGAGCAATTAACACTAATTATAATGTTATTAATTATTATTAAGATTGTTCACGCAGCAGTGTCGATGATGCCCGATAGGCGTTAGCAGTATTTATTAAAGGATAATTATTGAAGTGTACAGTTACGGTATATCGTAGTGAAATGTAAGCATTAAAATGTGTGCATATGAGTTTGTATGAGAAATATCCAAATTGGCGACTTTGACGCTCGAATATGCTACTCTCGAGTAGCTTTTTCTAGAAGCAACATTTACGAATATTTGGGGCGTGGATAGACACGTGCAAAAGCCCGCATCATCATAATATGGACCAGTTATGAGCGCTTATCTTATCTCGTGCGTTACTCAGCGTTTGCAGAATTCTCACAATTGCCAGGATTTACTAAATTTTCAGTCGATTTTGAACCGGACTAATGCAGTAAATCTTCATACCTTTGAAGGGTCGGTATGCCACGAGATAGCAATAAAACGGTTATTAAGGACCGGTTCAGGGCTTCGAAAAGCACGAGCAGCAGCTTCTGGTGTTTGAAACGTAACTAATGCTGCTTTATGATCGCTTCCGTAACGCACCTAAAAACGTTTCGATAAGAAAGAAAACTGTAAGTTGTAACGCAAATCCTTTGCGACGTGAAAATTGGAACAGAAATCAAAACAAATACCTGCACGTTTACGATGCTACCGTATTTCGAAAAATGAGCATTTAAAGCCGATATATTGTTCAGTTGGTCGGGCACATGGCGAATTTCAAGAGTACAATTATCCGTTGGCTCGCTAAGAGCCAGACGCTTCAAAGGAGAATCCATCAAGCTATCGGACTCGCGTTTCGTTATATCCGGCCCCCGGAACCCTTCGCCTAAATAATTTCTGTTTCAGAAATCATCCAAAGGCCAAAATTCAAGAATGCATGCCGCAAGTACCGAAATTGAACGATGAGGAACCACCCACGGACAACCCTACAAGTTCACGAGGACGCATACTAGATGCTTTCTGTGGACGGATATAGGGAGGTGGCAGAACTGCAGCATCCGGTCGAAAGCGCGGAGGAAGAACAGGCCTAACTACAATCCCAAGACGAAACGTACAATTACAAAAACAGAAAGAAACGAATGTGACATACTCATGGGAAGAGGCATGGGCGGGAAAGCTGGAAGACGCACGGGTTGTGGAGGCAGGGCTGGTATATGGGGCCCTGTATAGCGAATTACTTCTAATGGACGGGCGTTTTGCCATACCACCGGATCGCTGCCATGATCAAATGGACAATATTGACCACGCATGCAAAACCCTCGCTCTGGAACAAACCATTTTCTATTATTCATCCAAACGATTTTCCTTACACTAAAAATTCGGCACTGCTCGACTACCGTGAAAATATCGATTTACCAGTGAAATCTTTGCAGGTAATCCTCGAAGGAGCAACAGCCGTTCTCTTATTCCGTTTCCCATCATCTACCAGAACGCTTTCGGATCCAGGATTCCGTGCTGGACTAACAGATCTTGTCTTAGGTTTTACCGATGATTTATCTTGCGACAGACTGTCGTCTCCGAATTCTTCCTCATCTCCAGACGACTTTCCAAGAATTCTGAAGTATAACAACTTTTGCGTGTAAGTAATCAACTATTCTAGGACCAAAATTATTACAGGGCAGTTAACATAAGGAGAAAGCTGCACACACCACGTTTTACCACCGAAGTCTCCGCACACCACCTTTCACCACCACCAGGCTCCGCACACCACTATTCGCACCACGTTTTGTCTCGGGCCACCATTTTTACGCCACCACCATATATATTAAAAACGTCGGCAGTCTCGGGACACCACATTATACTCGTAGTTTCGAAGATATGCGGTGGTCGGTCGTATATACGACTAATACGAGTTATGTTGTATTTTTCGTGTGTGTAACGTGGTGTGCGGAGCCATCCCTTTAACATAAGTACTTCTATTAGTATCTGATTGCAAGCGCTTCAGTGAGCAAGTCGCTGAATACGATAAAGAGACCCGCCGCAAATATTTTAGAAATTATGACTAAGCAGTAGAATATGCAATAATACACTTTTTCGCTTTTTTGATGACTTTTGCCTATTAGTCTTATAGTTAGTAGTGCTGACTGCTGAGTATGTGTAGACAAGATAAGCTGAAAACATTACATAATGACAGTGTGACAAAATAATATCGCAAAATTAGTGAAACAACCTTACTCTGCTCTCTTCGCATCCGGTGAATCCGCTCGATAAGGTTTATTTTCAGTTTGCGAAAATTCACTATTTAACATCTGTAAGCGTAATACAAAATTACAAATACTTGGGATTTTCACAAAACAATCTACCAGAAGAAATTATTATCTCGTCACCCACCACAGAATTAGCGTCTTCACCCGTATTCGCGTAGGCAGGATGACTACGGACTTCTTCATACTTATGGTTTTCCGCGGCACTGACTACTTCCTCACATATATCATCAAGTTTTGCTTCTGTACAAAATAAGTATGTTTTTAAAGGCATTGTAGACTTACAGTACGAGTTAGAACCATATACTGTAATCATATACAGAAAAGTATTGTACGATGGCAATCTACAGATACAACTACTGAGTGACAACAATACATACTGTCTTCGAAAAAGGCATTCAGCTTTCTTTTGCACAGGGATTTTAAACTCTGGAAATCTTTGTCAATTCCGTTTTTCTTGATAACTGCCACAAGATAGGCACTCAGTCGCTTAGGGTCGTATTTCGTCCTGAAATTCAAAAATCAAATCAGAGTCGGGCATGCATTGCTCTGGCCGTCGTGTTATAATTCATTTCGGTAGCAAACAAAAGAAGACAACGGACTGCTTTGATGTTCTTGCACGCTATTTTCAAAAGCTTGGTTTTTCATCACCCTTCGCGTAAACTAAGTACCTCTACGGATTTGCGCAACCAGATTCGTTAACTTACAGAGATTCCAGCTTTAATGAAATCCATGCCGTAAAAGCCCGTTCATCTTCAATAGAAATGGTCATTCCTGAATCCTGTGTCGTGGGTTGGATAAATCATAAATCCCAGCACCGAAGTATTACTGTGACGGTACTCGTAAGTTGTAAAGGAATAATTAACGATAAATCTGTAAACCAGAAAACGTACAGAACGGGGATGATAATTAAATCATTACACTTGAATAACGTTATAACGAAACGACAATTTCGCACCCTGGCACACTGTGGTTCTACTGTACTTCTGTCGATAAGTACTTTATCCAATTGGAATAAGCAACTAATAAGGATACAAGATTGAAAGTTCTCGGAAAAGTGCTCTTGCTGAATAGAAGAGCTCAAATTCTTCGCTACTTTCCAATCTTCGAAAACTGCAGATCGGGGCTTTCAAGATTTTCTCGCACTTGAAGCAGCAGTGAGAATTTCGTCCAAAATCCAGATTCTGACGGAGAAAAATTTGGAATGATAAGAGAAGTACACGCCTTCCCGATGTGGTTACACCAGCGACAATAATGTTTTTTTAGCTCTTTCTTTCATACGAGTACAGTACTAGCACAGAAAGTACAAGCCTTGTACGACCTGTGCTAAAATCGAAAGCGGGCCCAAAACCCAGCTACGCCACTAACGCCAGGCGGGTAGTATGATGACGTAATCTCACGCCTACGCAAACGTATCTTTAACAGAGGGGCGGAGCGTGTGACTTACAGGGTCCGAGTGCGTGTGAATTACAGGGAGTGTGAAAGTTACGCTAGGATTACTTACTCTGTTAACTATCTCAATAGCTCAGTGCAGCCAATCCGCCTTGATACATTGCTATAGCCAATCCGCATTGATAAAGACTGCCATTGGTGGACACACCGATTTACGTATTGTCCCATCTCACGCAGATAACCTGCCGTACGCTGATCACTTGGTTTCTCCCTTAATCTGTAGCTTTCAGAAGGAAATAAGAAGGAGCAAATTAAATTATCAGTTTCGAAACAAATAACAATCAAATATCAACAAAATGAACTTTCACGAGAAGATCACCAAATTCGAAATTATGCATTTGGCATGTCAGATCGTTCAGATCCAATCGCACTGCATGGGAAAGATAACTTTTGCAGTCAGCTATGGCAAGGTATCTACACTTAAGTGAAGATACCTTGGCTATGGTCTAATTAGCGAAAAAATTAAATTACATCGTAAGTTAAATACTTTTCTAAGTCCAGAGCACGAGAAATAATACTAAAAATTATTATTACTTTTAATAGAATCATTTAAACAATTATTCTTCTAATTCCTGTTAATTTGTATTCGGAATCCCAATTTGCTGGTTTCTGAGATCGGTAGCTCAAGAGAGGTACAGTAAACCCCTGCACACAGCAAAGTTGTGGTTTCGGTTTTTTTCGCTTTTCATGCGTTTTACGCTCGGCAAGGGGTACAGGGACATTCAGACAGAGCAGTTTCGGGCCTTGGCGTGTTTTAAAGCGCCTAACACAGTTTGTGCATCGACAATATACTTAGAGGGGCCGTGGTACTAGCACAGCGGATACATGCTTAGTTGTGACCAAAGTTGTATTGTTAGGCGCTTTAAAACACGGCCCAAGGCCAGAAACTGCTCTGCTTGAGTGTCCCTGTACTTGCCGAGCGCAAACTATGCAAACCGTAAAAAATCGAAACCATAACTTTGCTGTGTGCAGGGGTTCTCTGTACCTCTCTTGAGCTACCGATCTCAGAACCCAGCAAACTGGGATTCCGTATACGAACAACAGGAATTAGATTATTAGAAGAATAGTTGTTGAAATGATTCTAATAAAAGTAATAATTTTTAGTATTATTTCTCCTGCTCTAGACTGTAAAGTATCTAAACTTGCGGTGCAGTTTAATTTTCTCGTTAATTTTGACCATAGCTAATTGCAGTTATCTCGCCATGCAGTGCGAACTGCGATTGGAGCTGAACGATCTGACATGCCATGCGTAATTTTAAATTTGATCCCCGTGAAAGTTCATTTTGTTGATATTTGATTGTTATTTGTTTTGAAACTGATATTTCATTTGCTCCTTTTTATTTCCTTCTGAAAGCAACAGATTAAGGAGCAACCAAGTGCTCAGCGTACGGCAGGTTATCTGCGTGGGGTGGAACAATTCGTAAAGCGTGTGTCCACCAATGGCAGTCTTTGGCAATGCGAATTGACTGTAGCAAAGTATCAATGCGGATTGGCTGTACTGAGCTACTCGGATAGCTAATCGAGTAGTCCAAGCGTAACACTAACTAACAGACCGAGCAATTCACATATAATTTTCTTTCTCTAGACAGAACTGTCTAGAGTTCTTGTTTTTTCTTGCGATCTAAGTAATTTTTGGTGAGCTTTTTCGACCAAATAAGAAGCCCTGCCATTTCTGGTTCAAACCAGATTGGCAGGGGCGAACCATCTCGCGCATTCATTCACCACGAACCCATCATTACTGGAGCGCCTCATTTACTGCTTTCCAGCGCATCTCTCCATTCCTTGATACTCATTACTGCTCTCACTCATGACTGCTGATCTGATGTCGCACCCTTTCCTCGTCTTTTCTATGGAGCTCTGCGGGGGCTGGAGTTTGAGCCGCGGGGAGGAATTAGCTGGCCACGGAGGCGGATTGTGGGGGATTTCTGGGCGCTGTGCTCGATGTGATCTGGGGTTAGTAATTCAACGTTCTGCGTTTCGACCATTAACCAGTGAACTAGTTAGTGCAGTGCTTTGGCGTTCCGTGCGGGCTTCTTCCGGGTCTGGTGAAGTTGGGAACCGTGGATCTGAACTCTGGAACCCTGGTGGACATTTTCACTGCTGCTTCGCTCATTTCATTCAACTGTCTTTGGCCATATTCATGAACCTCTTGAATGGTGAATCTTCCGAGCTCTGTGGACTGGCGAATGGGACGTGGAAGTTTGGAGATGGATTTTCTGTTTGTTGCGCAAGATGTGATCTGGGGTTATTAATTCAACGCTTTGCGTTTCGACCGCTAACCAGTGACCTAGTTTGTGTAACATGTGGGGGTTCTGTCTTTTAGGCTTTCGCTAATCTCGTTTATCATGTTTTCAGGATTGGTAGATTTGCTGTTGTGCGGATTTTTTGTTCGAAACCTGTATTCCTTGTGGTTAATCATTAAAAACACTAACTTGCACGCTCCTTGTAGTTCACACGCACTCGGACCTTGTAAGTTGCACACTCCGCCTTCCTGTTTAAGATACGTTTGCGCAGGGCGTGAGATTACGCCATCATACTACCGGTAACTACCCGCCTGGCGTAGCTGGGTTTTGGGGCCCTTTTGGATATTAATAGTTTGGTCACAACTAAGCATTTATCCGCTGTGGTACTGTACTAGCCTAGACTATGTACTAACGGTAAAGTACAGTATGTTATAAGCTCGCTGGCACTGGTAAGTAAGCGGTAGTTCGTACTTCGAACTCATGTGGAAAGGAAAGTCGTGTGGTCATAACGGTCACCACGGCCTATCGCGTCCCAGCAGCAAAGGCCGATGGTCCAGGCACCTCGAACTGACCACGGAGACGAAGCGAGCCTTGGAACTTGCGGATTACCCGTGTCGAATAAAATAATATAAGCGAACCTACGGGGCCTTAAGGCAGACATAACAAGCGGATGAGACGATCCTGGTCCCCGTAACGGGCCATACGTGATGGAAAAGCGCTTGTGTGAGATGCTGCTTGCTGGGTCACGGTAGCAACGTACGACGTGCGGGCACGCTCGAAAGCGTCCGGCAGCGTCACACATATCTGGCGAAGGGCAGTAAACGTCGTACATACGCTTTCCTAGACGAAATGGGCTACTTGTTTTACCCCCTGGCAGTTGACACATTCCGTAGATTTGATAGGAGTTCATTCGCTTTGTTGGCAAAAAGATTCGCGGCTTGACAGGGAACTTCTACGGCATTTTTGAAGCAACGATTAGGTTTGGCTGTTGTTAAAGGAAATGGGCTGCTAAGCTGAATGCGTCTTAAAATGTCAGACAGTGCTAACGATTTGGTGTTTTTGTAATGTTTATATATCTGAATCATTTTGATTAGTATTACGCGAATGCACTTTTTGTTATTTTGATGGCTTTTTGCGCAATAAGTGCTACTCGAGAGTTATAATACTACTGTACTAGCATAGTGAATATTATCTGGTAAATAATATTATAGATACAGGCTTACAGCATCAATATTAATATTAACAAACTTCAGTGCGTAATACCATAATATTACTAAACACAGAGGTATCCAATCGACTAACATGACGTCACGGCAGCGCACCTGCACTGTGCGTCGGTGGAAACAACCCTGCGGGTTTGGCACTTTCGAAACTCCCAAATTCATACAACTTGTTCGTACTATGGCTCAAAAATGGAGGAAAAATTCAAGTTTGTGAAGCGAAAGTTGGCTAGTAAAAGTTATCAGGGAAACGAAACGTTTGCGATTTATGTAATTCAGTTTCAGCACTGAGGTCTATGAGGCTGTTTGCCATAGACCTCTACGGTAAACAAAAATGAATTTTTTCATTGTGATCAAATCAAAACATTAAAATGTAATCACTTAATTAAAACAAAACATCCAGAACTCTAATCAGTCAATTAAACAACCAAACAGTTAAATTTTTGATCAACTGAAGTAGTTTTTGTTTAGCATTGATGTCTATGGCGAGCTGCCTCGTAGACCTCAATGCCAAACAAGAATTACATAATCGTGAAGTTTTCGCTTTCTTGATAACCTTCTACTCGCCAGCTTTCGCATTGACAAACTTAAATTTTTCCCTCCATTTTTTGAGCCATAGTACGAACAAGTTGTATGAATTTGAGAGTTTTGAAAAGTACCAAACCCGCAGGGGTTGCTTACTCCGACGCATGGTGCAGGTTATCTACCGTGACGTCATCGCACAAGGTGCACGCTCGATTGGATACCTCTCAGTTTAGTAATATTATGGTGATACACTTCGTCCAACCTCTTACCGATAAACGTTCCATTAATTATAACGGAACGTGTATAGTACAATCCTATTAATAACATATAATATAAAAAAAAATTGAGATATAGAGGGTAGGAAAAGTGTCAATAAGATTCATCCATGATTAGAGACTCTTGAAAAAATTAAGATTTGTTTCACGTTATGTTGAATTATATTATGAATGTTTCCAATAATATATGTACCACTGTATACATATACCGTTTGTATAATCCAAAACAAACCACTTTTCCGATCCAACTAAATTCCGTTTCCTAAATCTTTATAAAACTACCACATCACTTTCTTCAGTTCTAAAAATTCTCAACGGAGGCCGGAGGCCGAGGTTGAGCTTGTAACAATAATTTTGGTACGTAGTACGTAGTACGTACAGTCGAACACGGGTACTTGCACGTAGGACGTCACCATTCACCAGCTACTCCACCAACTATGGACTGCTGGGCGTGGCTTCTTTCGAACTTCACTTCGGTTGGCCGATTCAGCGATTAGTGTTGGTAGCAGTTAACCAGCCAAGGGGTGTCACAGCCCACTCTCACTACAGTTTGAATCTGGCGGTTTCCTCGATCTGCTTGAACTTGCTTTGGTTTTGGATACGATCAGATAGACAGGATCCGCAACGGGCAAAATTGCGCGCTCAAATTTTATCTGGAAAATAGAACCTCACCATTTTGATTTGCCGCCAATTTACGAATTGATTACATAGACGATTTAATCATTTGCGTTAGATAGCAACGTTTCTATAAAATATACTCTTTTTAGTGTGAGATTGCACACGGTTGTGGAAGTATTTAAGAGTGAAACCGTTTTTGTTGTTGCCAAACGGAAGGTCTTTTTGTTTTTCTACTTTGTCGGATGAACTCTTCAAGCTCCGAACTTCAGCATTTGGGAAACGCTCTTTTTTCTTATCTTTGCTTTCATAATGTAAATCCGACTCGTTATCTTTTTTTGTTGGACGTAAACCTACTGGTCCTGTAACTTATGTTTTGGTATGCGTAAGTGGAAGTTGGGACGGGTCTTTCGACAATCGACGGTCGACAGGAACACGTTAACTTCAGGTAATTTAGAGATTTCCGGTCATTTTACTGGCTTGTAGCTGCATGCATGTTCGCAGGTTGCTACCTGCTTATTTCAGTCAAACAGACCGTTCTCTTTTCATGCGCTGTATCTCGGTTGCACATCAGTGAATGTGTTGTCTTCCTCATTTTTAAACGATGCTAATAAACGTTTTGGCGAATAGTCGGTAGTAATGTACATTTACCGTAAGGACGTAAAAGATTGACATGCAAGGAAGAGCAAACACTTTTGTCTTGAACATTTTGCAGGAGGCATGCCATGAAACTTCAAAGTGCAAAATTAAAAATGTTAAGGAAGTATAATTATATTCAAATGTAATGAATTATACGGGTACAATAAAGACGTAAGTTGTAATTGGTTTTATTTCTAGTCGGTACAACGAAGATCCCTTGTCGTCTAGGATCCGCATGGACCGCGTTAATCTTGTAACTTATTTATTTATAACATTTTAAGTTTTTAAAGGTACTTATTTGTCTAACTTAAATAGAGCCCATGGGTTCTTATAAGGCGGTATAACATGCTGGTTTTGTTTTTTTAGATTTTGTTTCATTGTGATTAGTCTAATCCGCAACATCCTACCTTCCGTTGGTTCTGAGACTTCGAGTACGTAATCAGGATTCGATCGCGCGATGAGTACTAAAAAGCTGCGAAGTGGAAAGAAGGTGGCGGTAGATTCGGACGTTGAAGAGCTCAGTGATGGCTCAACGTCGAGTAAGCGCCTAACGGCCCCCGAGGTGCTGCAACTGGCCATGGACGGTCTACCTTCACCCCCGAAACAGCGACGCCCGACGCGCAGCACCGTTCCGAAGAGTGCGCATGAGGCCGAAACGGAAGTGAAGGAGCCTGCTGGTCGACTGCGGAGCGGACGCACGAGGGTTGCCAAGAAACACAGCCTGAGGGAGTATTCGTCATCTGATGACACAGATCAAGAAGAAGTGTATAAACCTAAATCCTCCAGAAAGAAAACGGTAAATTTGAAACCGCGATTTTGATGGGCTTGATAGGGTAATTTGCTTTTGTTATCCAAATGTAATGCAGCAACAATAATTATACCAATAATGTATCAACGATATGCGAATAATGAACTACTTGCTTATAATAAATACTGAATTCGGAGCCGAAGTTTTTTTTAGTTGCGTAAATATTTCTAATAATACCCATAGTTCTTATAATGATATAAGGCTGTTTTTGTTTGTTGTTTTTTAGTTGCGTATGACTTGTAAAACATATACTGTGACCATATACGTATTAAACACGTTTGACTCCTTGAGCACATAATTAACTGGTGCAGCGGAAATGGTAAAAATTTTCCCCGAAATTATGTTTTCGTTTTAAATTCGATGTATTGTTAGCGAACGAAAGATTAATGCTGTTATCTTGCAGATTATCCCCATTGCTCCTGAACCGAAACCCTCACAGACTGAAACCTGGGAGGTGAAAACTGTTCATAAAAGTGGAAAGTCTCGTGTTGAAGGACTCTCTGAAGGAGATCTCGTAAGTGTTTTTGTTCTAGTTGTTTTAAAATTGAAATGACTTTTGTTCAATACGCCTGTGAACTCTAGAAAAAAGACAAAAAGAAGCGCTTGGAGTATTTATTGAAACAGAGTGAATTATTCGCTCATTTTATGAGCTCTGGAGGCACTGAATCCGAAAAGCGAACAACAAGAGCAGGGAAAGACGGAAAAACTGCTTTCGATAGCCAGCCGTCTACTGAGTGAGGTTTACTGTAGCATTTGTTATGGTTCTGTATTTCTTTTACTAGTGTTTTTGCAGTCATCGCCATGCGCACAAGGATGACGAGCAGGAAAAGATGGAACTGCTGACTACTGAGACGAAGGCGATCCCACGTTTTGAGAAAACACCTTTCTGTACATATGCCCGTTTTACATACTTCGAAGGATAGTTACTGGATATACAATCGCAGTTGTCCTTAAACTTGCGTTGCAGATATCAAAGGAGGTGAAATGCGCGATTATCAAATTCGTGGATTGAACTGGCTGATTGCACTATGCGAAAACAGTATTAATGGCATTCTGGCCGATGAGATGGTAAACCTAATTTTTCTAGACTTACTTTCATCCGTCTCCTATGCAACGTCGTTACGCAATGGTTTTATTCTTATCAGGGCTTGGGTAAAACGCTGCAAACCATTTCCCTTATTGGTGAGTGTGATTATTGTAGGGACACTAGAAAGAACTGAAGGGAAATGATTTTGTTAGTAAGTCATTTCAGTGCAGAGTGCACTCCGTTGTACCGAAATTTCGGTACAATCATTGAGAAATGTCAGAAATTGGTCATTTTCTTCGCAGGTTTTGGTATTTATTTTTTTTATATTTGTAATAGGCTACATGAATCACGTTCGTGGAAATGAGCACCCCCATTTGATTATCGTACCAAAGTCAACGTTATCCAACTGGAGTAAAGAATTCGCGCGCTGGTGTCCAACAATCAGTATAGCTGTTCTGAAAGGTGATCCAGATGAGAGGGTATGTCCCGGTGTGACCTTCATTTGCAGCTGTACCCTCATTTATTTATGAAATTTAATTATTGCATTTTTGCCGTAGAATGAATTCATGAAAGCCAGCCAGAAAGAGCGAACATGGGATGTCCTTGTTACATCGTATGAAATTGCTCTTAGAGAACAGATTTTTATTCGTCGGCATCTATGGAGCTATTTAGTTATTGACGAAGCGCACCGAATTAAAAATGAGCAGGCAATGGTAACGGCTAAATACTTCATAGTTTATTGGTTTGATTGGGTGTATTGAAGCATTTATTTTCACTTAGCTGTCTGCCGCCGTACGATCTTTCAAGTCCTATCGGCGGTTGCTTTTAACGGGAACGCCGCTTCAGAACAATCTGCACGAACTGTGGGCCTTGTTGAATTTTCTGCTTCCGGATGTTTTCGAATCATCTGATGATTTTGATTCTTGGTTTGATGAACAAAGCTGCGTTACGGACGTCGCACTGGTCGAACGGTTACATTGCATTTTACGTCCATTCCTTCTGCGCCGAATTAAAGCGGATGTAGAAAAAAATTTGCCACCAAAAACAGAAATCAAATTGTTTGTGGGACTAACTCCTATGCAACGCACTTGGTATGCTTCCATGGCTAAAAATTTGATATCTGGTTTTTAGATTTTTAGATTTTTAGAATCCATTTAAGTCACTACCATTATTGATGAAATGAAATGTTGATTGAACTGAACTTGTTCCATTTATTGATTTGTACGTTTGCTTGTAGGTATCGCCAGGTTTTGCTGAAGGACATCACAGCGCTGAATGCCTCGCACGGTGTTGGGGCGGGAACACTGCAAAACATTCTCATGCATCTCCGGAAAGTTTGTAATCATCCTTACCTGTTTGAGGGCGCCGAACCAGGACCACCTTACACTACCGATCGACACTTGGTCGACAATTGTGGGAAGATGATCTTGCTGCACAAATTGCTGCCGCGTCTAAAGAATGAAGGTTAGCGTAGCAGTGTGCGAAATTTAATTTTGTTTCACATTATGCCTGTAATTCGTAGGGCACCGCGTGTTAATTTTTTGTCAAATGACGAGGCTGCTAGATATACTGGAAGATTACTGCGTTTGGTCAAATTATGAATATTGCCGGCTGGATGGCAGCACTGCACATGAAGATCGAGAGGTTTGTTATGATGAAAATTTGCATTGTTGTAATCATTGCGAAAAAGGGGATGTTTTGGCGTAGGAGGCAATTACTGAATTTAACTCTCCGCGGTCCAAGAAGTTCTTGTTCTTACTGAGCACTCGCGCTGGAGGTAAAGTATTTTGCGGTCTTCAATTTACTTCTTACAGGTTCTCAAAACTTATAAAAGTAAAGTGGGATTAATATGTTTTTTCTGTGGTTTATTCTGTTTTTTGTAGGACTGGGTATTAACTTGACCTCTGCCGATACGGTCATATTGTACGATTCCGACTGGAATCCACAAGTGGATTTGCAAGCCATGGTTAGTTTCGTCTGAGTTAGCATTAAACGGATTTACTTCGAACAATTTGCGGGTTCTTCGTTGCAAAAAACTGATGGAATAAGTTAATGTGCCTTCATAGGATCGCGTTCATCGCATTGGTCAAACCAAGCCTGTCACTGTGTTTCGTTTGGTAACCGAAAACACCGTAGAGGAACAAATTATTGAACGGGCAGAACGGAAATTGCACTTAGATGCAATGGTTATTCAAAGCGGTCGATTAGTTGATGTGTCCAAGAAACTGAACAAGGACGAAATTCTAAAGATGATCCGCTTTAATGCCAATAACATCATCCACAGCGATGTGGGCAATATTACGGATGAAGATATCGACACGATCCTTACCAAGGGGAAAGCTAAGGTATTTACTGAAGAGCGATTACTGATTTACTTCGCACCATTAAGTATTAACGATAGATTTTCGTGGTTGCAGACGGAAGAAATGCACAAGAAGTATTCAGAGCAGACGGAAGAAGGGTTGCGCGGACTGACCAACGATTTTACGGAGAAACCTGCTGATTATTTGTATCAGTTTGAAGGTGAAAACTATCGCAATAGGAACACGACGACCACTAAAACTGATGATTTGGATAACTGGATTGCGTTACCGAAGCGCGAACGAAAGCAGCTGTACGATTTGAGTGGATCCATTGCCGGCTCGTCAAGAGATTCTCCTCCGTATAATCCCATGAAAAACGTCCAGAAGTTGAAACGCCCAAGTGTACGCTTTGCGCTCTGTTGTTTTGTTTTAACTTTCAGCTAAATGATATGTTTCTGCGTTAGATCCCGAGACCTCAGACGTATCGATTCATGGATATTCATTTTGCTCCTCCACGTCTTATGAAATATTTGGCCCAGGAACAACTCGCATACAAAAAGGCTATTGGCTATAAGGTGATCCGAAATTTTTAATACCTGCTGAATGTCTTATAATTTGGTTTTTGTTTAAGGTTGATATTGATCCTGAACTAGAGCCACAACTTCTCGAGCGTTTATTGGCCGAACAGGCAAAAATTGACAATGCGCAGGCCTTGACGGCTGAAGAAGAAGCTGATAAGCAACAGTTGCTCAGCGATGTAAGTCTGCTTGAAAGTTTGAGAGTACTGTGTTTAATTACAGTAATATAAATTGGCACGTGATAAATCCCTTATCTGTTGTAGACCTTCACACAGTGGCGACGTTCAGATATTGCGTACTTATTGCGCGGTTTTGAAATTTACGGTCCAGCACAGCCGGAAAAAATTGTGATTCCGGACAAAACGTCTGAAGAGGTTAGCAAATGGTGAACATGCTTGCCAAGTTTCTAATAATAAAGCAAACTCGAGTTTTCTTCCAGGTGAAAGCGTATATCGGCGTTTTTCTAAAAAACTATGAAAGCCTTCCAGACGCAGCAAGAATCAGAACGCGGATCATAAAAGGGATCCAACAGCAGGAAAAACAAAAGCGACGCCGTGAAGTTATTAAACGGAAAATAGACAGTTCGGATTTCCCCGAGGAAGATTTGAAAATTCCCTACCCAAATGGTCAGCGACATAGTGCAACGGGCTTGGCCAACGTTTCTAATGGTCGAGTTGCTTGGTTTGAACAAGAGGACAGGTTTGTGGCTAGTAGTAGTTACTTTCTTTGATCTTTTTGTGGCTGATTATTTTATTTGGCTTGGTGACATGATTATTTTTGTAGGTTTGTCCTTTGCGCTTATGCAACTGCTTGCGAAAGATATGAAGATGAATGTGAAGAAATGTACGAGTTTATTCGGGATTCTATTCGGGCGTCCCCGCGTTTCCGTTTCGATTATCTTATGCGCGCTGTTAGCACGGAGGTGTGTTAAGATTCACACAAGCTTAAATTTGAGTATTTCAGTGAATCAAAGTCATGCACGGGCATTCTTGTCAAACAAAGCATTTTCTCGGTTGTTTTAGCGCGTCAAGGAGAGACTAGAGCAACTACTGACCTGGTTAGTTCGTGAAGCTTACCCGCAGCAAGCCAGCCAGAAGTACAGCTTTACGAATACCGCCGCTGGACTGCTGGGTCAAGCCAACCGGCCAGACACGCAGGTGCTAGGAAATCTCGCAGTAGCTTCCACGAGCATGCCCAAACCGCTTCCGTCGCCCAGTAAGTTTGGATCTATCTTGAATCGTCAAGGTCCATCTTTGTCTGCTGGAAGTGGCGTAATATCCTTGGCGTCCATGTTAAACGCAAGTCCAACCAAGTCTACAAGCTCACAGTATCCGAAAACGATTACACTGAAGTCCAGCGATACTAAAGCACTGGAGGTAAAGATTTATCTGTCGAGAATTCTTGCGTTACATTGGTTGTGCTGTGTGCATCATACGCTCATATCCGTACTTCTACGGTATTTAAAATGAGTAAAGTGCATTCTGTTTGGCGGGGCTTTTGTTTCCATCTTTCCGGGCGAAAGCATAAAGAAAGCTAGCGTGGTGATTTAATTGAGCGGATGTTAACACTTTTCGCTGGCTGTAATGTAAAACATGAATTTGCGCGAACTGTCTGTTATTTTAACGCTTGACCGTAGCTTTCGTCTGTATAGGGTGGTGTTGCGACAAACGTGCCTGGAAGCGCTGCGTCCGGATCGAAATATGTGAAAGTGCCTCCGGGAACATCGGTTGTTATAAAAAAGATTAGTCCTCCGACATCTTCCGCTCATAAAGCCGATCTCTCGTTGTTCAAAAACGTGCAATCTACTCAGAAGGTGGCTCCCGGAATCTCCAAGATTCCGACATGGGCACAGGGAAGCGCTTCAAAAGCTGGACCGTCCAATGCCAGTGTTAAGCGTGCAGTAGAAACTGACTCGGACACGGATGATGACGAAGTGGAAGTAGTGTATTCTAATGTTAAACCCTCAGCCAAAAGACCAAACACTGCTTTGTAGGCCGGAGTTTATTGTTAGTTTTTACACGATGTACTAGTAGTTTTCTTGCATTTATCACGGGTAATGTCAGTTGTCAAGTCCCTTTGTATGTACGCTGCAACTAGCGCGGACGTTTCAATTTGTCAATTCAATCTGTTTGGTTTATATCCGGATATAATTCCGATAAGCAATTATTGTTTTTCATCGTTGTAAAGTCAAACTGATCTTACCGTTTGGCACCAGTATGTATTCAGCTAAATGGATTAATAAATTTGAATAACAATTTTAGGCAAAAGCTCTGACGATGAAGTTTGAACAAACGATTGAAACTACTGATATTTAACATTAACGGGCTTCAATAAGGAGAAATACTTGGTGGGTCGTTCGCTCCCTAACACGTAGAGCCGAACTAATTTTGTCGAAAAATAAAAATTTCTGAATTCGGGCCCCGCTAGCAGTACCTTTCTCGAAAGTTGATGCGGCGAAGTTTAAGGAAAAGTTTATTTCATCTCGTACAGCTAGATGTTAGACAAAGCATTCATTAAGACTTTCTCAACAAAACCATTCATTCCTGACCAACCAACAAAGTGCGCTCTTCCGCCTGTTCTCGTTCACGCTCTCGTCCAGCGCCTCCGCCGGTGTGTCGCTGCGTCGGCTGACGATAGCCACCACCCGGTTCCACACTCGGCATGCTCACATTAATATTAGCCAGCTTCGGATTAAAATTCAGAAGCTTAACCAACATGTCCTTGGTATCCGGATCGACATCAATGGAATCCTGCGCGTCCAGTGCAGAGATTTCTGGCACGTAGTTGTCACGGCGTTCACGCTCTTCCTCTTGCAGCTTGATGCTAATGCCGCGTACGGGAGCCTTCTGGATCCGTTTCATCAAATGTGTTATGAATCTGTGTAACCAATCCGATTTTTTTAAAATTATTCACAACCACTCTGCATTAAAATAAAATGAAAATCAACGAGCAGTCGACAAATTTTCAAAGCTGCATTAAAATAACGTGTTTTAGCTTAATTATTGCGGTTAGGGCTCGTTGGACCGTAAGGGGCTTCAAAAACCCGAAAAGGCTAATAATATTATTATAACAGAAGAAATACAGGGATACCAAGAACCGGTGAAACACAAATGTGAAGAACCCTAAGTCAAGATTATCTGCTCTACAGTATCCACTTACCCCGCAACCTTGTTTCGTAGTTTCTTTGTTGGCAAAACCGCAACTTCTTCGATTACTTTCTTGTTGGTATGAAAGTCCAGCGTGAGTTTGGTGTAGTACTTCTCAATGATCAGGCGAGAAGCCTTCTTCACAGTCTTGGTCCGCACACGACCCTGTCCACCGAAAACCAAGATAATCAAGATTTCCAGAACTTAGAAGGGCAGTTCTTACCATTTTGCTAAATCAATGTCCTTCCAGGAAGATCAAGATGCGAGAAAAGTGCCGTTAGCAACTTTTTTGCTGGTTTTTCTCCAGAACGCTAAACAGTCGGTATTCCGCGTGTCGCCACAAGCAAGCACGTCCCGCAAAAGCGCAGTTAAGCGTAAAAGCATTAGTAGTAGAGTATCACCAAGTCTGTCCAAAACACCGGGTCCGATCTTGTAATAACTTCGACTCGCTACCTTTTGCAATTATTTTTGACGGCACGATAATATGAAAACTTATAAACCAGTTTATAATTATTTTATCACATCAGTTTTTCAGCATTGCTGTTTGTATTTCTTTATTTCGGGAATATCGGTGGACTTTTTTGCCTTTTGATAGTCGATTGCAGTCGCAGATATTTGGCCTTGGCGCAACCGTTACAGGATACCTGTCCTTCAGTATCACAGCCTTTGACAGACTGTTTTGGAGTCTAGCTGTCCTTACCCAGCGCACAGCTGTTCAACAAAAGCTGCAACATTCGATTAGGTGTTACTAGGTAAGAGTGGGTATGAAAGCCTCTTCCTCAATGTGTGAAGAAAACTTACAAGATCCTTGATTTTGGGATTACTTGCCCGCTTTTTGATTATATTTGCATACTAAGTTGTTGTTAGTTTAAAACTTTAAATGATTAAAATCACACGCATCAGTCATATGCGCTGTAGAGTTAAGACGCTCTTCCCGTCGATGGTTACACGGTCGCACTGTACGCTGTTAAGAAAACTACGGTCATCGTTAGTTGTTGTCTTTTTGTTTACAGTGAAGTTTCAAAACTGCAAATTGTGTTCATGGTTGCTGGATTTGGACATTCCGACCTGGGAAAACATGGATCTTAATGTCGGCAAAGCCACAGTGGTTGAATTATCCAAAATCAGCAAGAACGGCACCGATCATCCAGCGATGCATGATCATGCTGCGAGTGGGTAAGTAACGAATCAGCGAAAAAATAATTTCCCTGGTATATCAGCTCAGTTTATGGCTGTCAAGCACGGTAAGCGGGGTGGTATTTTGTCAGGAATGCGCCTTTTAAAATTCCTCCGATGCGAACGACATTTTCTTGAATTACAAAAACTAGCAGCAGCTTTCAGTTGCAGAGTCGGGTTTTAAATCCCATCATTCCCATGTTAGATTTTCAGCCAAGCCGGAAAGGCGCTACTTGCTCTGAGTACAATTAAACTAAATTAAGGAAAAAAAGAAACGTGCTTGTGTTTGCTTTTGTTTTGGTACGCTTAGCTGACCATAAGTAGCAGTTTGGCTTTGTACTTGTGACTGCCAGTTTGTGTACACACTATGCAACGCATTAATTAGCCGTTAAATTAACTTTTTTGGCATATTTCATAGGTCAGAGCATGAAAAATATCACGAGAAGCACAAAGGACATGAGAGTATGCATGCAGAGATGTTTCTTATCCTTATCGTGACGCTAGTTCTGGCCCACATAGCACTGACAATCTGGAAGAAACGTCACTTCCGTTCCTATCAGGTGGGTGGATTGTTACTATGCTTTGATTTGAACGAACAAGAGAGCTGTCTGGTATATACTGCGAGAGTAGTGGTCGTGAATTTGTGCAGGTTAGCGAGATTTCCACAAAATAGGAGAAAACCTGAAAATGCTGACTGTGGCATGGATTTTTAGAAAATGTTGCTGCAAAAAAAAATACATATTCCTGCAGAATCCTGCAGAGCTTTTTTGGAAGGGATTATCGTGTTGTAAATTTATAGGCTGTTTCGTTGGTCGGGTTGTTGGTCGTGCCGGTTGTGATTTCGATAAATCATGCATGGTATAGATTCGTTGCGGTGTGGTCTGTCTTCTGCACAATAACGGCACTGGTTATGAGCAAAGGCATGCGGAAACCGGTAGCTGCATCTACGGCAAGGTACGGTATATTTTTCAAATCTGGATAGCAGTTTTTTACCCCAACATGCACTTTTTATTAATATTAGACTGGTGTACAAATACTTCTACGCAGTCCACCTGGTCAGTGGATTTCTCAGTGTGACTGGATACTGCATGCTGCTTTTTGGACTTTTCGGGCTTAATGCTTTGTTCTTCGTGGATCCGAAAACATGGTTTGATACGGGTCTGCATCTTCTTTTCTATGGATTTTATTATGGTGTAATAGGTACGTCAGTTTCTACTCTCTAGCAAAATCAGTGCGTGCAGCTACTTATAACTTTCGTCTTCAGTATTAGTCCTGCATTTCAAACTCAAGAGCTTAATTGATCTGTAGCGTAATTATTGACCTCCTTGTTGAAGCTTGTTATTGGTGCATATTCTATCGCTTATCCTTTACAAATTTGTTTGAATAATTGTAGGCAGGGATTTTGCCGATGTTGTCACCCACAAAATGGCATTTCATATCGGGGTAGGTGAACACTGAACAGCAGTTGTTAATTTTTGCAGACGTTGCGACTGTTTAATGGAGTTACAGACGTCAATAATAGTGTAAATATTATTAGCCATAATTTTTGGATGGATCTTGTTTTTGACCTCTTCATGAGCAGTGCTTGTGTTTTATCTTCACTACAGATACTACTATATGTAAAAATAGTTGTACTTCATAGAAAATACAGACATAGAAAATGCATACTGAGTACATTCATTTTTAATTGATTTATCGAGCGTTTCTTTGTTGCATTTACTAATGATTACGAGAAACTTGTTATTCTGCTGCAGTATTATTCCATAGAAGGGATACCTTCGAAAAAGCTTGATTCGCGCACATGTGCGCTTTGTGGAAATTACCTGCTTGTTACGGAAACCGAAGAAACAGCCGTAGAAAAGACGTACCGCTTAAGTTGCGGCCACCAGTAAGTTGTTGCAATGGCTTAATCAATCTTCACAATTTTGCGCGCCCAACGCACTGTGCCTGATTATTTTAAAAAGCATTGTTTGCTGTGCTATATGTGATATGTGGTAGGTTCCATGAATTCTGTCTACGAGGCTGGTGTATCATTGGCAAAAAGGATGTTTGTCCTTATTGTAAAGAAAGATTCAATACCAAAGCAATATACCAAAACCCATGGGACCGTCCACACGTTCTACTCGGACAATATTTGGATATCCTCAGATATCTCTTAGCGTGGCAACCGTTGATACTCTATTCTGATGGTATCCTGTACGAACTATTGGGTCTTTCCTGAATTCCGGCCTACCGGAGGTGATCCTGCCCAGGGCTGCTGTACTCCAGACCAAATTGTTTTTTTTGAAAGTTTTTCTTGTACGTAAATTATTTTTGTTTTTAATTTATTTGTTCAGCTAGGGAATACCATGAAATTGTGTACTGTAATGAAATTTCGAACGTGATGTGATACGAAAGCCTGGTGACATTGGTGTGACCTTGCAAAGGTCAGAATATAAAACGCATTTGCATTCTAAAATTCGTGGGCCTGCAGGTTGTTTATATAGAAGTACTGGTTTTTCGTCCGTTCTGCTGCAGTTCTGTAGATGCCAGGTACTGTGGAAAGAAAAGCACTGTTTTAGTCGAACGGCAGTGATGTCCACTCCATTGGATTATGGATTTATGGAAATGAGTTCTATGAGCGGTAAAACAAGATGTGAACCATTCATGACAAAGATTTCCAACCATACAGAAGTTTAAAATCAGGCTTTATGCCCGCATGCTGGAGAAATATGTATTGGGTATGACATCTATACAGGACAATTTTCCGTAAATTCCATTTGCAGAGCTGGTTGTACAAAAGCCCCGACATAAGATACAGCAGGAAGTTCCCTTGGATGCTGACGGAAAATACATAGCCAGTACTATCAAGTTGAACAACAACAAGTTCGTAACCATGGACGGACTCATGGAAGCGTTACCCAAAATCATATCAATGCCGGATTCCATAACATGGATTGACCTTTCCTTTAACAAGCTGACTCGAGTTGAACCTGTTTGTCTGTACATTAAACCATTCGCCTCTGGTTCGTCACAAGCAGTCAATACAGGATGATTTCAGGTTTTGGTACAGCTAAAAAATCTGCATATACTATACCTTCATGGGAACGCTATCGCTGATTTTCCCCATTTGGAAATTCTGAATCGCGCGACACTACTGAAGACACTAACATTGCATGGAAATCCGGTCAGTATTCATATATTATTGTTAGACTACTTATTTCCTTTTTCTATTATACTCGTAGTACAAGAAGCAAAACTTGAGACCACACAACCCTTGTACGCTAAATTTATTGAGCACTAATTATTGCGCGTAGAACCATCTAGTATCTGCATTAGCGAATAACAGTTAAAAATCTGCAAATTGTGCATGATTTAATTCTACCTAGGTAGACCGAACATCAGGCTACCGCTTCATTGTTTTATCCTGGCTGCGGCAGCTGAAGAACATGGATTTCAGCGCCGTAACAGAATTTGACCGAATGCAAGCAGAGCTGTGGGGACGACGGTGGTCGGTGCAGAAAAACAAGATGCACGGAAAAGGATATTAACGGCAACAAGCATCAACACTGCCAAAGGAAACGATGAAAACCGCCAAACGAGTTAGCCAACAATCAACTAGTTACTAGTCAAAAGATCAAAATTTACTTGTAATACAAATACAACAGCTTAAATTATCACGGAAACGGGTATAAAAACTGGTCAAAGCTCCAAAATTCAAGCCACTGGAAATTGGACGATAAGATCTTCCGTGTGATTCACCGCGAAGTGCTGGAAAGCTTCATCCATGCTTCTCGAAAGATTGTTGATCTGCAAAACCGCAATTAAAGAGTGCGCACGAAACGGTAGTTGTCTACTTGTGAAGTATTACTACGCCCATTACGGCAAATGCTCGCTGTCGGAAAGAAATCATTACATTTCAAAAATTGTCTAATTCCTACTCTACTTCATGATCACCATCGCATAATTAAGATAAACACCAAAGTCTACCTGGCAAATCCGGATATGTAAGATTTTTAAACCTTTCCGTTTCGTTAAAAAAACGTACCATTTCCAAATCGGGAACCGGTAGCGGAACGAAAGCAGCTAACCGATCAACGGGAATGGAATTTTCCGGCAAAATTTCTTTTTTTCTTAAGCGAGTTCGCAACTGTAGACCGGCGTTATTCAGTTTCAAACTAAAATTATAAAGCGTTTTAGTTCCAGGAAAACTAGGAAGCGAAATAAAATATATATTCACGTCTTGATTCTCGTCTCTACGTTTTCGCGTGTCCGGTCAAAAGATCGTGATTCTGCTGATTCACATTGCAAACGCAAAGCGCACCGCTAAATCGACTATGTATCTGCATTAATACGCATACCGGAAAAAAAAACAACCCTCAGGAATCTAAAGTCTAAATTTTAGTTACTTGTAGGTTTTGGCTCTTTCGCTGAATTCGTGGTGTTCCATGCCGTGCGTATCCAGTGCGGCAACATCGATAACATTACTGGAAAAATACAAAATAACTTGATATAGCTAAAGCTGAGCAGCCCCACCAGTACAAAATAAAAACTGGTAGGATCATCAAAATTCAAATGTATAAACTGTTTATAAATTCCGCACCTGGCTGCTTTATGGATTATCCTGTTCATGGCACTCTGTTCGTCATTTTTGCGGATCACAGAGCTAGTACGCTGATAATCCCCCGCTACGGGCTCAATCGGTTGGGGGTGGCTGTTGATGCCGTTGATGAGTCCCTGACGTTCGCTATCGCGCTGGACAACAACATACACAAACTGATAAATATCCAACTCACATGATCTTATCAACAGACCGCGCATGTTCTCTTACATCACCCGCATCATCTCCCGAGCCGCAACAAGAAGCACATATACCCATTCCTAAAATGCGGCCAGCTTCTGGTGTCGGAATGCAAATAACAGAATCGTGTATGCGATTCGGTTGCAATCTGCGAGGCTGTGACGAGCTCGGGATTTATGAGGTATGGCTACTTGTAAGTAGTTGTGTTCCTTTCTTAGCGGACACAAATGAAGTTTGATAAGGCAAGCACAGCTGTCTCCTTTTCAGATCACAAACAGTACTACATTCCGAATAAACAGCAAGTCAGCAAACATTATAGTAAATAACGTCGTGCATTTACTTAACTTATACTTTTCGTATCAAAACCTGTAAGAATTAAAATGCTATTCCCTCAACTAAAAAAAATTCGCTAAAATTTGCGGAATGCTAGTTTGCTGCTTGGTGAAATTTGTTTCGGGTGGATTTCTTTTCCGTCTTGCATGATGCATGTACAGAGTACATATCGGACGGCATGTTAGGGGGCATCCATAAATTACGTACGCAGAAAACCACGACTTTTACCCTCCCCCTTCGAAGCGGTCCGTCACGTTTGCTTGACCCTCCCCCCTGGTTCGCTCAATCATAATACGGAGCTGACCACCCCTCCCCTAGGTTCGCCGGGGGCCGTCACAACTTGTCATTTTGGACCCGTCCTCCCTGGTTCGCTGCGTACGTAATTTATGGATCCCCTTAACCGCCTCGCTGGATGACAGGGGCATCCATATTCACATACGCAAACCCACGTTTTTTCACCTCCTCCCCTTCGTAGCGGTCCGTCACGTTTGCTTGACCCCTCCCCCCTGGTCCGCTCAATCGTAACACATGGGCTACCACCTCCCCCCTGGGTTCGCCGGGGCCGTCACAGCTTGTCCGTTTTTGGACCGTCCTCCTGGTTCGCTGCGTACGTAATTTATGGATCCCCCCTTAGTGAAAAATGGCACTGCTTTGAAAATGGGCAGCCTGGTAGTAAGTCGTTTATACGATACGAGTATTAAATACTGTACTCGTAATCTCGTATACAAACTGATAATAATAATATTATGATTGTAGTTTTGAAAATGTATGTAGTTTTGAAAAGATAGGTAGTTTTGAAAATATGTATTTTTGAAAATCTACGCTGAAACGCAATATGCAGTTATCATGAGTTATGTACCGCTCCTCCACAGCATCCACAGCATAAATTTAATTTGTAACAATAACAGAATTTAATAATTAGTGTTATGTGGAACAGATGTGCATTGATCCGTAAACTACAGATAATAAACTACCAACGTAGGCTTATTGTTACACTTTTGTTAGGCTTTTACGGCTTTGCCGTTTTGTAACATTTTGTAAAACTGAATTTGAAATTTGAAACACTTGCAATGGTTTGTACTTTGCAGTCTATATTCGTATTTACTCGTACAAACCAAGGCAGTTACACAAAGTTGCTCTCAACAACAAATTTCCCATAAACGATCACAGACTGGAATCACATAAATATCAATTAAAAGTAACTAACAAATTTTAAGGAGGCATATATTGTTCTGATTGCTGACTACAGTCAACAGTCGCGACGAACACTTCCTTAAAGCCCGCAGCAAAGACGGAATACTGAAACTTTTGGAAACCATGACAAGCAGCACCTGAAACGTCAACAACACATAGAAAACCCAATCAAGGTTCAGTTTTACTTATTTTTTCACAGCTCACCATATCGCCCAGTGTTATCAGCAGCCACAATAGCACCGGAAAAAGCCGGATAAAATTTGGCAACCTGCTTAATGGATTCGGTAGCTGCGGCTGTCGGGTCCATACCATTTCCCATATTTAATACAGCCCTGAAACTGCAATCGGGAACACAAATAGGCACAAACAAACAAGGCAAATATTCACCGGAAGCTCAAACAAAATGAGATAAACCGACCTAGGTAAAAATCTCATCATCAGGTCTCCGTCGCCGGTGCCGACCGCTGCGCCGATGTTATCGTCGGCATACGCTCCTGCTCCCGCAATGGGTGAGTCACCCACTCGTCTATACAGGATTACAGCATCCATTATGTATTATATACGCCTATACGGTATCTGATATACAAGTATGAGTCTGTATGACAGCGTCAGGTGAAATCGAATTTCACTAACCCAGGAATTTTATGGGACGCTCCGTTAGTTGACGTTCCAGCAGCAATGTGGCCGGTTTGATCAATGGCTATCATGCCAATTGTGTCGTGGTTTTTCCAGTCGACGAGTTCTTCGTTCCGCGAAGAGAACGCCTTATTCGCCGATATCCGCGGGTGATACGGACCGCATGCTGACTTCGGGTCAGGATTGACATCCTACAATTATTAACCACTCAATAAAGTCCATGCAATGCGAGATATAAATACACTGTGCATCACCCAGAGGGCAGTGCAATTGTGTAGTTCACCCTTTGCAGATTACTTCAGGCAAACTTAAAATGGGATAAAAACTGAATTCCAAGGCAAAGCATCATAATACTAACTTGCCAATAATTTGGTTGACAGTTATTTTTAAGCCATTTCTCCCATATAGAATCCGAATTACTTGTGTTCAGATTTTGCTCTTCGAATCCCATCGACACGGCAAACTTAGTAGCTGTAAAAATGAGATAATTAAACTACTCTGGTACTATAGTTGGTATTTCAGAGATAATCACAATGCTGTATGTAAGAGTATGCTGTACACGTCACATATTTTAGTTTTCCGTATTCCTTCTCCAATACAAACATTCATTATTCGACTTGAGAAACATAAAAGTATTCACTGGTGAGAATGCATCTCAAAATCCCATAGCGCAACGTTTGATCGCTGAAAAACTCGTACACCAAGCTTTTAAAAAGCTCACCATCTTCTCCGACTAATAATGTATGCGTGGTGCGCTCCAACACAGCTCTCGCTACTGACACCGCGTCTTTTATCCGCCTCAGACAACCAACTGCACCCACATCCATGGTTTTCCTACGAAACATCAGTCAACAGGTGGACACTTCAGCGTTACGGACATACAGGCTTTTGCAGTTTTGCAGCTTACCCGTCCATAATCATAGCGTCCAGTGTCACTTCGCCCGTCTCATCAGGATGATTGCCGTAACCCACAGAGCCATCGCACTGATCAATTTCGCACTGCTTGCATCCTTTTTCCACGGCATCCAAGACGGTTCCTCCGGGTGCGGTCAGGGCTTTCCATCCCACCAGGGTTGCATTGGTAAACGGCCATGTATTAATTACGACGGGAAGGGTTGCACTTTTGGCATTTGGCACGGACATCAGCACTGCGTTTGCATAGACAGATAAAATAACAACAGCATGGAGAACGAGCAAATCCACTTTTACTACGGAGAACGACATGGTCGTAAGTTACAAAACATGGTCAAACAACTTGACTGCAAGTTAACAGCATATAACGACGGCTTTTTCACAAATTTTCCCTTTAATAACAAGCGATAGTGATAAAGGCTCATAGACAACATACGAACATAGTGCACAACGAATTATGGCTCACGCGGGCAGGATTTAGCCGATCAGGTTCATCGCTCCGCGCTTACATACATCTCATCAGATTTCTTGATAAGATAAGATACAGTACTTACCTTAATTATTAATTATTATCAAGTTATGCATGAAAGTCTCTCTTCAACACCGCGCATTCATAGAGAAAATAAACACGGACAAAGTGCTACTGCACATACTGTATTGTACAAGTACGAGTATTGTTTTTGGTGTTCTACAGTTACTTACGCGGTAAGTGGTGGCCCACTCGTGCGCACCGGTTGGTAAACACTGCTTTTTTTATCGACCAAAAATTGTCCGATAACGTATAAAAATGTAAAAACACAAAAACTTCATGATAAATTTTGAAGCAAAGTAAAACTGAATTTGAAATTTGAATGGTCATTTCGCGGTCTCACCATGGTCTGATCTCACAGCCGGTGCACTAAATGTCTTCCCATACTACTGGCATGAACCCATCAACAGCAAAACAGCTTTTGGCCTGCTGTTTTTCCAACGCGTCCGCTGCCCTTTTTGCAGTTTAATATCTCCTCAGTTTTCAGATTTGTTCTAGAGAGCCAAAGGAATGATCCGCATCTGTCATACTGTGTAAGTAACGAACCTTAACTTTTATTGAGTCAGTTTGAGTTCGAGTTTAATGCCAGTCTGACTGATTTCCCCGCTTCGTGGATGCTTGGATGGTGAACCGCAAACCCAGTCAACCAGTGCCATCAGCCGTAACTTCGTAAGTTGTTAGTGTTGAATACATGGCGACGATGGCATTTGCGACTATAAACTCTTAACAGCTGCTTGACATAACCACAAATCAGTTTTGCTGTCATAGACTATGATAACGAGTACATTTGGCACGTACGGCGCGGCGGAAGGCAATGCGCATTCAGAGTTCCAACGCACCGCGCTGGGCAGTATACGGCCGAACTCCAACGGAATGAGCGGATTAGGCACTAATCGCAATGGCCCGGCATTTGCGCATACCGCTGCACCATCTCCTGTGATTTCATCCACCAGCAGCCTTCAGAACGTGGTCCGTCGCGTCTTCGAACCTCAATTCAGGAATCTCCAAGATCTGGAACAGACTGTCGATAAGCAGCGTAATTTACCGTGAATCCTTGATTTGCTTTGAGTGAAGAATCGCTAACAGACTTTGCAATTTCAGAGGCCGGCAGTCTTCGGTTACTCAGGATCAGCCAGCGCGAGCGACACCGCATCATCACGGCGCCTGTGGATTATTTTTACCGTAACATTCTGTTGCCCAAACTGGGACGAGCCATTATCTGGCAGTTTCTCTACACATTCTTCCTTCTGACTGTGTGGATTTTCATTGCCAAATTCATCGATGTGTTCTACATTCATCTGCATCTGCGCACGCAGAATATGTTTTTCCATGATTTTAAACATTTGTTCAGTGTGGAGTCGGTCTTCAGTTGGCGAACGGTCTTCGGGACGCTGTTTCTCTCTGTGGCTGCGAGTTGGCATTTTGCACGCTGCCTACGTGTTCCGCCACCGGTTTTCATCCGCCGAGAAGCCAAAGTAACCGAAATGATTCACAATGTTTTACTGTTAAATGGTCCGTGGATTTTGGCATGTTTGGCGCTGTTGGCATTGCGTCCGAATGTTCCTCTCGCAGTGGAGAAAACTGTCGATGGAAATGCTAGTCTGACTCGGGAAATGGAGCTGATAGAAGCAGCTGATCGGAGCACAGCGGTGCTGTGGTGGGAAATTTTTCTCTGGGAAATATTATTTAAGATTCTTGTGGTAAGTTTGAATTCTTCGGCTGAACTCTCTTATTGGCATTAATCAGATTTTTGTTTCGTAAATTTACTAAACGAAGTTTTAAAGTAAGTCTAAAAAATTTTGATTTGTTCGTATGAAAATTCGTTTACTGCCTCTCACTGAACGGAAACACAATTATATCCTGTTGGTTTTCAGCCTTTCATATTCGTTTATTCACTGATTGTGGCAGTGGACATATATCGGTTCTGGAAAGGAGAATTTTTTATTGGATTGCTTCGTGATGGAATTGCCGGTACTCCATTATGGAGAAAATTCTTCAACAGCCCCATTTCATTCATAATGGAAGCTAAGGGCGCTGCAGTAATTCTTATCAAAGACAAGCTGAACATCGTTGTTGCTGTTCCAAATCAACCCTTTTTGATCGTTTTGGGTTTACTCTTCTTTTTTCCATTGCTTTTTCCACTTGGGATGCTGTTTCGTATATGGATTTACTATCACTGCTTGTCGTTTGCCATTATTCGTCTATGGCAGTTTAATTTGGACGTAGTCAAACAGTCTTTGGTAACCGCGCATAAATTTACACAGTTGAATTTCTTCGACATTGTGGCCCTTCCTCCTGTGCTGAAGGATTTACGTCGCATGAATTGGGTGTGGTTACCATACCTGGAGTTGCAGTTGCGAAGTGGAATACATGAATGCTTTCGAACCGAAACAGCACTTTTGAGGGAATTTTTCACAGTTAAACTAAGCACACGGGATCTGACTCAACTGGGAAGTTTTGTTCAGTTTTGGATTAGCCCGCTACGCGATTATGCCATACAGTTGCGGAAAATTAAGAATGTGACATCACTGCCACATTTCGAGATGACGCATTTTAAGGTTTGTGCTGTAGCATGGCATAAGAAATTTTTGGAGCGCAGTTGTAGTGCTTGTAGTATAATGTAGTACTTGCAATTTCAGAATGTGATCTGGGGTGTTATTTCATACTTGATGAAAATGGCTAGCTTCTATGATTTACGCCTGATGGATTCTCTGGATGAACGTTATGATGGTGCAGGCAAAGCACTTCTTGCCACACCCTCGTTGCACTGCCTTGATGACGTCCGGATTCTTTCAGAGCTGTATGTTCGTGGTGATGCTATGGATGAAAAAAGCATTCTTACACAGTATTATGACGCGGCTATAGAAGCTCTCGCCGGCTTAGGAGTAGCCCTAAAGACAACCGAAACTAATATTGACGGCACAACATTAAATGAACTTCTCCAAGACTCCGCGGAGCTGGAGCCCGCCATCCGATTCTATCTGAAGTCTTTGAAACAACTTCAAGTCCTCGTTCCTTTGTATTTGCGTGAACTGCTCAAACTAGTGGATGTCAAATCGTATGATCTCCGTATCAGCGACTCGGACTGCAGTTATTATGTCCAACAGCTTCGACGTGAAAATTTGGTTTGATGTTTTGTTATTTTTGTGTATATACATCCCAGGTCTACTCATAGCTTTCCAAGTTTGCGAATTGGGGACAGCAGTTTGTAGTCCCGTTTTTAATGGCATTACATTGGGCTTTTTAAATAATAATCGTTCTGTTGAGAAACTCATGTCGAAGCTTTTCATGTCATATATCTGTACTTAAATATTTAGTTGAGTGGATCAACAGACTCGAAAATAAAATTAGTGTTCTTCCTTTAAATTTTTAGAGTAAGTAGGCGTGTCTCTGGTGAAGCGTCAATGCTCAGGTTTGCTAAAACGTTATTCACAAGCAGGAATGCACAATTATATCTATCCGGAGCAACGAGATGAATACGGAGTATCTAAATACGACAACACTTCTTACGTTAGTAACATTTAAAACATCTACAGCACTAACCACGTAAATAATTTAGCGAGATTATCAAAGCAAAAGAAATATTACAAACAAACCAAGCCTTGTACTGCAAAGATACTGCAGTTTCAACTCAGTACGTAAAACTAGTCTTCGTTAGCTGGCTTATTAACATCCAGCATATTGGAGAATGAGAAAGGCGTGAAAGCATAGCCTTGTCCACCGTAGAATTTGTTCTGAAATTCCACCCTGAAAAATTAATTACAGTTCAGCCATCAGGAAGAACTGTTGCTTTTACGCGTTTCTTGCTGTTAAACTCTAAATTATTAGTAATCACGGTTACTCAACAAAGGGTATCGTACTTTTTGCATAAAAAGCGGACACAAAGAAGGTAAACATACCAATGGAGACGCAGTGCATGCAAAAACGCACTCATCCCTTCCATCATAACCAAAATAGCCAGAGTCAATCCAGCCCACGCCCCGAAGAGGAAAAACAATAATGGTATTCCGCCCCATCCATCCATGCTAAACGAAAATTTCATCACCATCGTCCACAACACTTCCGAGAGCTCTGCAAAATTTCAATTATGCTGAAAAAAAACAATCCACAAAGCTAAACGGGCAAAAACGTACGGGCATGAGCCAAGCTGAGCGCCCACAAACGCAGATAAGAAGCCGTATTACTGATGATACCCAAGCAGAATTCTATGGTATGAATCGCCTGGTAGATTATCACATTGCCGGTATCAAACTGCAAAAGAAAAGTTTTTAAGATTACAGTACTTAATAATTATTCCATCGAGGCAAAATTATTAAATGCAGTAAAACTCAAAGAAAAAAAGGGAGCATAATAAATTACCGTTCCGCTTCCCTCGCCATGATCGTCATGTCCACCGCCACCACCATGATGTTCTTTGTGGTCAGTGTGGTTGCTATCATCAGCCACATTATTCAAGGGCATTGCGGCTTGCTGTAAAACAAATTTTGCATTTTCGGTGAACTGACTAGTCGTGCACAATCAAATCACTTACCGTTCTTTTAAAGCGCCGATACATAATAAATGGTTTGATGCATAACATCCATGGCACACAAATCAGAGCAAGTAAGACCAGAAATGTTTGGAAGCTTTGCTGCAATTGAAAATAAATTGAGAAAAAAAACGTTCAAGAGCCTCTAGAAAAACCTTTCCAACCTGCGAACTATAAATTATGTTCTTCAGGCATGGCCGTCCAGACCCATCAGGAGGAGGATTTGGCTGATATTTTAGTAAAAACATATTGATCAACCCAATCAGCAAGCTCGGTGCACATCCTGATTCATAGGCAGTGAAATTGACCCATTTGTAAAAGATCAGGACAACCAGGTACCCAAATAAGCACATCAAGAATAAGACTTGGGGAATGAATTCACAGAACACATTCAACATTTTCCCGAAGAATCTGTAAAAGAAGTCGCCTTTTAGTGGTCAATCCCAACAGAAAAAATTCGATGTACTACTCACACATGGTTGAAACAGCTAAGAACAATTCCGAACATCATCTGGAAGCGAGGAAAATGCACTCATGAAGGCAGTAAGGCATGATTCACATACCGAGAACAAATTAATTATCGAAGTCATACCTGCATAACGCCCAAAATAACCGACATCTTCATTTTGAACGAATTGATGAAGGAGATTTTATTGGAAGCCAAAGCCCAAATTGGGTCGATGCCGAACGGATATGGACCGCTAGCGTTCTTGTAGTCCAAAATCGGATCCAATTGCCAGTAATCGGCCTCCGCTGGGACATGGTCTTTCCGTAGCTAGCATCGAAGTACGATGGTTAGGTATTAAACATAAAACAGTAAATTTTCGCATAATAATGAGAACTTACTGGTAAATAGACCTATTGGCTGTCCATCGACTTCCAAAAATATTGAAGGATTTGCTGAATATGTCATTATAGATTATACCAGTGTAAATACTGAATAATCCCATCATAAAGATAATATACCGTCCTCCAAAAATGGTTCCAAAAATCTGCAATCACGTGACCACTGAATTTTCTGAATCTGAGTAACTGAATCTCCACTTCGCTATTGACACCTCTTCGAAAAATTTTGAAAATGTGATTTACATAAATTATTCAGTTAGCAGGGATCCCTAATGTAGTTAGTATTATTGATAATTATTATCCTTTTTAATTACCTCGCCTTCAATTCTCCGAGTCATGATCCAATTTTCTTTCCACACCAAAAAGAATGCAAGTGCCGCCATTACAGCACCATGACCCGTGTCACCGAACATGACCGCAAACAAAAATGGGAAGGTGATGACCGTGAAAGGGGCCGGATTAACCTCCCGATAGTTAGCAATACCGTACGCATCCACGATATTCTGATATCCAGATGTGAATTTATCCGTCTTGTGATAAGTTGGTGGAACTTCAGAAGTATCCATTCGATTAAGAATTGACGGAACTGTTGCACCACTCAATTCCTACAAATCATAACATAAATTATAAGTACTATCGTAGCAAAAATGGCAAAAGGTGAAATTAAGTGAAGTACCGTGCCACGACGCAATGCCAATCGGATACGATCCAAATCGGCCACCGGACACCAACATTCCCCGATCAGACATTTCTGGGTCACATCCAAATTGAAAAAATTCAAAGTATGGTAGATCGCTTTGATCTTATGGACTTTAATGAACCACATATTGATGTTCTTAGCGGCTGCCACGAGCACTCGATGACGATGATCTTGAGTTTGACCCAACACCTGCAAGAATCCCGTAAACATTAACGAAACTATTAAAAAGGCCAACACAAAATTATTTTACCGTTGTCAAGTCCTCAATTCGAGTCATAACACCAAATGCCATTTCGCGACGCTCTGCGGGAGTTTCTGGACATGGGTACAATGTTGCGCGGAAACTAAAAAAACCACCAGGGTGCATGCAGTTGTTGGCAATTTATCGAATTTTCGCCTCTGCCTTACGCTTCGCAAATTTTCTTAACGCGATTCTTCAGTTGGTCGCCTTGGAAGAAAATGATAAACACAGACTTGAACACTTCATTGCCAGTGTGAGGATCTTCTAGTGGTGCTTCGATTTCGGTATGTCGAAGGAAAACGTTACCCCGACAGACTCGCCACAACATCCGTTCGAACGCTGGTATCCGTTCACGCAAAATAACTCCAGCCACAAAACTACAGGAAACTCAAATGTTAAAAACTGAACAAAAACAGTCCCACCAACAAAGCCTTAAATCAGTAACGCTGCTTTCTTATACCTTACCACAAACCTTTCAAAACAGGAGCTGTACTTCAGTCACACGGGCATTCTATATACCTATTTACCATTTGTTCCAGGCTTTAGGTTTTCTCTTATCAAGCTTTTTCCTGCATACCACCATACGCACCCAAGATTACTGGCCATTGATGACGGACCCTGTCCGTCAGATGGAATAAAAAGACCTTTATCTGATGTCAATCCAGACGCTTCCGAAGATGATGAGAAATGTTCACTTTCGCGCTAAATTTTTACAAAAGTATTTATGTAGCGTCTTCTCGAAAATAAAATGACACAAACAACTTAAGTCCTGCGTCCCTCCTATCAAGGCTGTTAGCGACCACCCCGGTTAATTGTTATGAGTAAAGAAATAGAGCCCGGTTGTTAGTGAACCTCTGCAACATGCGGATGGAGTTATGTACGTACTGACAGAAGAAAGCAGCGTTAGGAAGAGTGTTGTAGTTATCAGTAAATAAGCAAGGTCAGTGGTGAAACCCCTCACCCTAATTTTAAAGCAGCATGGCTGCTGACTTCCGTCGGTCCCTCAGCAGGCTGCAGCAGACCAGCATGCTCGTCTGGTCGCATAGGGTTAGTATCTTGCTGCATCTGTGTTTAGCAAAGTAGCTGGGTTATTATAAATTGTGTTAAAAAAGCCCAGATTCCACCCATTTGAGCAAACAAAAAAAGAAAACCACCAAACCCACAAGCGCGCACTTGTCACAAGTTTCTGACCAACTCACATACTTCACAAAATACGCAAGCTAAAAAAACGTCCCACGGTTACAGCAAATACAACTAACCTCATCAAAGAAATTCTGGGTCTTGCGAAGAATATGTTTCAGTTCCGTAAGCTCCAAATAATTACGTTTCAGCGCTTCCGAATTGGCATTGATTTCCTTCATTTCGTTTTCGAGCTTTTCAAACGTCGCCTAAATTCAACAAATAATTTTTTTTTCAAAAATCTTATCAAAAACGAATTCTGTTCGTACTTCTAAATCAATCATTTCCCTCGGCTGTGGCGCTTCTGGATTCTCTCCAGTCTCCAGAATCGGAATGCCGTCTTTGCGGACTTCCTTATCCAAAAATCCTACGGCACACAACAACATTTCATTTCCGCCTGGTACGTACGCCTTAGTGCAATGGCTGTCATGTGACTTACGCAAAATACGTTCCATTTCGTCGCAGCGACGAATTTCGTTAACGAACTTCCGCTGGAATGCATTCACGTCGGGATTCAACTGAAAAAGAAAGGTTCAGTTTCAAATCGTCGAACTCTGACGTAAAACGGCAGTGCCTTACATCGCGGAACTGGACCAAGCCCAGCTCGCCCAACTCCGACACGCACGCATATGCTGCTTCCGACTGCAGGAAGAGCTGACACAAAGTCATTTCCTGACTTCGAAATAAGCTTCCCATTTTTGCGTGGTCCTTGTACGGAGGATAAAAAGTCGTGAACCTTCTGCTGAAGGTCGGAAAGGTTCAACTAGGAGATGAAGACGCGCATGAAATCAGATTCTCCACATACGCAAACGGAGTCACCTGATCACTACTACCAAATTTTTCACGCCAACATTATGCACTATACTGTTAACAATCCACGGCAATTTTTTAAAACCTTACGTCAAGACTCCAGAACTATAAATTAAGCATTGCGTCCGACCCGAACAAATTACTAAAAGCATGTCTTTCACTTACATGTTCCCCAAAATCCCAAACGCAGATATCTCCTTTGGTAGAGAAGATTATAAGGCGGTTTCTACTATTGTACCATATGACTTGCGCAGTTGATGTTCCTCATTCAATCCATAAAAAACCTCCGATAAAAAATCAATACCCAACCCAGCAGACAGCGATGTGAACGTCTGAGCGGCTCTATTATTGCTCACGTTAGGATTCATATACTGTACCGTACAAAACCAGTTTTGCTATGCTTCCCCAGAAACAGAATCAATTTGTTGTCGCGTAGCCTGTAGTAGAGGCATATGCAGACGCTCCAAAAACGCTCTGAATTGTGATGAATGTCCGAATCAATCGTAAGACTCCTACCAATAATAATACTAAAATATGAGAGAAATCTATTGCCACTCAGTCGGGTTGCAAATTACCCTTTTTTTCAACGCAGCTAGAAAATATTTATGTAACCGTTGTACAGTTTTCAGACAGCTACAAAATAAAAACATTATCTGATTACTCAACATCAGCTTCTAGCATTACGCGGTTAATTTTTGGGGGTCTGGCTCTCTTGAGCTAGTCGTGTTCTACTCTGGTGCCCTGATGTTAATACGGTGACGGACACATATTATTCCGCTGCCTGCATTGAAAGATTCGGGAAGAACTGTTGGTACTTACACTTTTGGGGATAAATAGATTTCTTGATTTATTCGTCCATTAATTCATCCAAAATGCAGAACGACGCCGGAGAATTTGTGGATCTTTATATCCCAAGGAAGTGGTAAGTATGGAGCATATGGTGTATTGTGGTTGTCAGCGACCTACGCGTATGAAGAACCTATGTTTTGCAGTTCCTCCACGAACCGGCTCATTTCCGCCCAGGATAATGCCTCAATTCAGATAAATTTAGCGGAGGTAAGCGTTGATATAAGATCACCTAGCCGCTGAATTGTTATAGCTAAACGGAACTTTGAACGAGCAGCTGTGTACTGCATGCTTTGTGCTTTGCTGCTGTCTTTGCTGGATATTTCGGTTTTTATAGCATATTCATGGCTTTGCTTTGTAATGATGAAACTGCAATCCTTTTCTTGTTTATAGTTGGACAGCGAAGGCAAAGCAACCGGAAAAGTGAAAGCCTATGCTATTTGTGGAGAAGTACGGAGGATGGGTGAATCAGACGATTCCATCAGTCGCTTAGCGAAACGCGATGGACTCTTATCAAAGACCTTTTAAGGTTTTTTGAATTTTCGGAAGAGCAGGCCTGTTCAGCGTCATTTCCAAAAGCAGACTGGATAATGTTATACGGGAAAAGTGTTTTGTATCGATTCTCCAACAGTGATGATTAAAGAACATCCAGTGATCGAGCTGGTAGAGAAACATAAGATAATAATGCTGAATTGGAGTGGAAAATGACACGAATATCATCCTTTTGATCTTCAGTGTTGTTCTATGACAAGGGCACGGCAGTTGAGTAGCGGAGCAGTCACTGTGACCCTGCTCGGAGAGATAGCTCTGGAATCCCAATGAAAATTTACATTCTGAAGCGGGTCGATGACGAGTAGTGAGGAAGTGACATTGCTAAAAAAGCTTTGACGCTTTTGCTCCTTGAATTAATTGTAACGGGTTTGGATTTAGGCTAATTAGATTAAGGACGGTAGTGGCCTGATCATTAGGCTCCGATATATTACCTAAACCGTCCAACTATTAATCTGTTTGAGTTACCAGCAGGCTACTTTCGTTTAGTCTGTTCTGTGCGCAGTTTATTTCACTTTAAAACCGAAATACAGTATACGTATAAAGTATACACCTTTAAAACCGGCTGACAAGGAAATTCGTCTCCCCTCAAACACCGTTTTAAACCACAAATATTCATTTACAGAGTTACACAAGAATCACAACGAAAAGGAACTAAGGCAAAAGCCTACCGTAGGCAAAAGTGCAAATTAAAAAATAAAAACTAAGATTAAGAATCTCACATATTTGGCCGTACAGCTATAACGTTGCTGCCTAATCAAAATTTGGTCTGTAAAATAACAATAAGTCCTGTTCAAATTTTTGGCTGCACAGAAGGAGCAGGTAAAATCGACTTCAAAGTGGACGAGGGGAATGTAGATCACGGAGCAAGTCGGTATCAACTTCCGGCAAATGTCTCACACCAGGAGGACCCCAATCACCCAAACCATCCCAAGCGTTAGCTACACGCTGTTTGGTGAAATAATGAATATAAAACGAGCTGCCGTGAGAAGGAGATAGGACACATATCACACATCTTGAGAGCGGAGGAATGAGATCCACGGTCACGAGGACGCCACGAGTACTGACCACATCACGACTCTTAGAACAGTCGCACATCAGTTGCACACTGCAAAAATTTCATAAAAATTCCTCCTTTCCTTTTGTTTAAGTATACCACTCAGCTAGTCCCAGTGCGATAGAGTTAAATTATTAATATATGCTAGTTTGAGAATTTTCTAGCAAATACTCGAATGTTTTAAAGTGTTTGTTTCTTTTCGAAACCGTATGGTCTGACGGTTGACTGTTTACACCTTATTACGCCAACGTATTAAATAAGAATACTATACCATCGGAAGTTCGGAACTCACTTGTGATTCCGATATCGATTTTCGTAGACTAAAATCAGTCCACCAGTCATAACGGAATATGCAACTACTCCATCTCTATCCTGGAAAACAACCAACATAAAGTCCTGGAATTACTGTACTTCATTGGTAAACAAAGATTCTCATGACGTAGACAAGCGGTCTCTTACATATGAAGGGGATCCGCTATTCAGAGCCCAAGCAATAACAGCATCCGCCAAAGCAAATCTGGGTGCCGGTAGTCGTTCCACCACGATAGATTTCGCACTGTGAACTGCCAGCACGTTCTTCGGAAAGGTTTCTTCCGGCAGAATCATGTCTACAAACACGAAAACAAATTGAAAGAACTAAATCACACGTGCCGGCAGACTATAAGCCATTTCGATAACAAGCGTACTTACCGTTGAAATGATTAAATGCCATAGTCCAACACTACAAACGTAAATAGTATGACTCACTGGTTAAAATAGCACACTCAGACAATGCGCCCTTACAACGTATTGCCCCGGATCAAGCAGCGTCGATTCACCAACAAAGGAGAAAGCTGTGCGTTTAGAAGCAGCCACCAGTTTCATCACCTTTCCATCTCGACTGATCGAAAATACCAGCAAAGCCAAATCCAAATGGTGATGATTCATTTCGGTTGAAGCGCCCCTATTCAAAAGCCTCACCTTAAATCAGCATCTTTTTGCAGAATCATTGTGATCTCACATCAGTAATTTGAGCCTACCGGTAGCCTTGTTGATACAACGTGAAATCCACTTCAGTTGTTTCGGTCACGCTCAACATCCACACCGACCAATTGGTATGCAGAGCGCAGTTAGGAAATTTTCCTTGAACCCGGATTTCCTTCCAGTGTTCCCGATATTTTGAAATATCCACACTTTCGAAATACCTTCCGATAGAAAAGATGTTAAATGTCATTTGGACGATCACAGCCAGAGTCGCCAGCTTTGTGAGCAGTAAGACTTCAATTACTCGACATCAAGTTTAAATACAGTGTCGATATTAATCAGTGTTACTACACTCGTATGGCAAACAAAAATTATCCATTTCATCATTGATATTTTGACTTTCTTATTCCATAATAACATACATCTATGAGTCTATGACTATTTCTCAAGCCATTGAATAATAACAACGTTCACCCACTTCACAAAATCGCTCAGAGAAATCCAAAAGAGTCCCTCGGCATCACCATGAGGTAACAACTGTTGTCTCAATGCCGGTGTCCATACTTTGGATCGGTCACTCCAGTCTCCTCTCCACGCTTGCCGTCCCCACGGGTCTCGTAATCGCACGAGCCTACCAAAATTTCAAAACAAACGCTGCAACCATACGCTCGATCGATCGAAAAAGATTCAGCAGAGACAATTTACCTATTTCCATCAGCATCCATGACATCGAGAAGGCTATAACTGTGCCGCGGACGAAGACCAAGGCTTAGGCATTCCTGTTCATTCAGCGACTGATTCAGTTTTCCACAACTTGCGCCCATTAAAAACCTATCAAGCGAATTTAGTGAAATGTTTTTCATTCGCTTTACAGTATGAAAATTGACTCAAAATTCACTACCGTGAGCTATGGGAACTGAGCAATCGAGCCCAAATCGAATCATACTCTTCTGGCGAAGTAGCTGCAAAGCAAAAGTTAAAATGCAGAACGGCTTAAAATCTTCAGGAACGTGTTCGTTTACCATCAAGATTGATGCGTTCGCATGGTGCACCAGTCAAAAACATCAAACCTTCATTTACGAAGCCTCCTTCAATAGAATAATAACTGCCGTGTGCTTTCGCCAGAGCCTTTTCGATCAATGGCACCCACAGCTGCTTCCGCCCGGCCTAATTTAACAGCAAAGAAATACAATACGTGTCGTCGATTTTCAAATTACTTAACAGTGTCAGTATACCTGCGAAAAGGCCAAATTTCCGTACCCATCCACTGGAAATAAGTCATCCACGAGAATCACCTAAATCAAATTACATGACAGACATGAACATTTCATAACAATGAACAGTACGTATTATTGATTATGTACCTTCCATAATCCATCGATACACAACCGAATCAAGTACGCTCCTTCCTTGTTATATTCTTTAGTCAAAAGAACATTGTAAATCAAAGCCGGTCGCTCTGCCACTACCGATAAGGAGCACAAAAACCAACAGTCTCCCAAAATCCCTATATACGAAAGCGGCATCAGTAACTAACTCAAGATCAGGTGTCCCTTTTGAAGTAACTTTAGTAACTTGTTGTACCTTGCCGAATATCGGAAGCCAACGGGGTTCGGCACACTGTCCAAGCATCCCGTCGATTCAGTGGCACAACTCCATTCACGGGTGACTGCCTCAGCTGAGATGGTCGCAGCCAGGTTTGAACTTTGGCAAACTCTGATGGCGGCTTGCAGATAGACAGTGACGCATTGACGGGCGGGAAACGGTCATCGACAAATGGATTTTTGTCCTTAATTAAAAATAAGCAAATGTAGTTATAAGGATTAGGAACTAATTATAAATCCGAGGAATCTATAATCCTTAGCAAATAGTAGTGTAATGTCACTACTGTATATATTCAAAAACGTGTAATTTGCGGGTACTGCTGTGGTTTCCTCAAACAAACCCGGTTCGGTGAACCAAACGATTAGTCACTTACCCGACGACAGAAAGAAATTATGTTTTCCCATTGCTGCACCGCTTCCTGCTCGTGTATTTGCCGCAAAATTTCCACATCTTCGCCTTCAAACTTATCGACAGCTTGCAGACCACCTGCGGGATCTTTGGATGCGGAACACATCAAGCACACATTTCCGGACGCTGAATTAAGAAATGTGCATCGCGGACAAGCCCATCCTTGTTCCGCGGATAATAAACGTTGCAGCGATGCTTTGGGAGTCGTCTTGCTGTTACCGCACGCCACACACGTACTCGTCGTATTACTGTTCAGGAGTGTACAATGGACACAAGCCCACTTTGAGGGATCACTGACAGACGGACTCTGAGTAGCAACGCTGGAAAGTGAAGGATACAACGATCCTGTGCTTTTTGACTGATGCATATTGGACGTGTTCGGATTCAAACCGATCTTCTCATTGTCCTCGGAGTGCTGTGAAGGACGACGAAAAACTGTCCCAGTGCCAACCGCTCGCGACTTTTGACACACTTTACACCGTTCCCGTGAGGCGGAATTGGACGCGTAGGTACAGTCCGGGCATGTCCAGAATGACGGCGTCTGACTGCTTTCCTGTGGAATATAAAACCGTGGCGGCTCGGATAAAGTAACTGGAGCCGCATCCTGGGTTAAATCAATAACGGGAAACATTTCCACGACGTCATGAAGGCGTTTCTCAATGGCGTTTTTTGCTGATGTCACTTTGGAGCTAACTTCGGACGCCAAATTTTTGAGTGAATCCAGGCTAGACGGCCATATGGAGTTCGGTACAGAAGGACGCGTTGCTTCGGCAGACATTTCGCGTGCGACACTTTTATCGTACCCGTACCAAATGGATCCAGATTAGTCAGACATTACGGACTAAATCTTCATAAGATCACAGAAAAAAACTCAGCAGCGCCATTTACGCTGGTCTAACGCGAAGATTTTGCTAATACGTATTAAAATTACAGCGTTTAAATGCAGCTCATGGATACATACATTACTTTAACATCTGGTTTATTAGTTGCTGTCAAATATACTACGTATTGGGACTCTGATGCGAATCGTATCTAGGCCAAAACTCTCGAGTGCGCAACAACTCACGCACTGATTTGTGAGTCAGACAGATTCACTAATAACGCCGCGCGCATTGGTCAGATGGAGAATCAGTTGCTGAATTAGAAAACCGAGCTGTTGAGCTCGGTTTTATAATTCGCGCTCACATTCATGACCGCTTGTCAACTCTTTAAAATTATCCTGCGCTGCTAATAAACGTTCGTAGTGAGCCAGGCTGAACTGTATGTAATTACGCTGTGCTTACTGTAGTTCGTCATTAAGTTTTAAGATAATAAGGTTTAATTAATTCACCTAATAATTAGTAATTGAGCGAAAATTTGATGAACTAACTAGAGTCATTCACGCCTAATTAGCATACATTTAGCAGCTAATTAATTAGCGAATCTGCCCCTAATTAGTAATTTCGCACCTGATTTTTTTAGCACCTAATTAGCAAATTTATTACACATGAAGAAAAAAATAATTACTTGTCATTAAGCTATGTGAAATTATTTTTCTTAATAAGCTTGCACTTGCTGTGTTGCGTTATCCATGGTAGTGAATGGCACTGAAGGCAGATTTATTGCGGAATTCACGGTGCTGTCAGATTTGGTGTTTATTTCTACGAGTGTATCCGTTATCAGTGGTGGGAACATGTTTCAATTTTTTTCTCTTAGTCATAGCGGAAAAATGAGTAACCGATACGTGCGCAGCAGTCGTGCCGCAGATACAAACGAGCTGCTGATATTTGACAGTCCTCATTAAAGCAGTAAAAATTAATACGCACGTGCTCAGAATGATGACGCAGCTTCAATGCTGTACTACTGTACGGTTGTACCGAAGGCAAGCATTGGAATACTACTGTACAGTAGAGCCCTGCAACGGACTGGTAGAATCCGAACCGCTCGAATCCACTCGATTTTCGGGCGGATTGATGATTTGTTTTAAAAAAATTCGATCGGAGTGGTTTCGGAGTTTAGAGCTTTGCCTGAATGGATCGAGATTCGGATGTAAATATGAATCCGAATTATCCGAATTAAAATTTATATTTTTAACTAGTTTTATAAATTTCTATTATTTTTAGGAAAAAAGCATCGTCCTTCGCTCACTTGGGCTTCAGTGTAACTCAGGTAAGCACTAAACGTAGCTACTTCTACTATTACGTTAACTTCACAATCAGTTGCTGTACTCTGTGCCCTTTATAGGCTGAAATCAAAAAGGAAATCCCAGTTATAACTTTAATGAAGTTTTGTTGAGAACTAAGAGTTGCCAATAACACCTGAAAGCAACAACCAAAACTGTTGTTTTGCGACGGCAAAAATACAAAATTTTCGGATGTCATTACCCGAGAAACGCTCAGATTTGAACAATCTATGGCTAAAGTGACGCAGAATTTAAACGGAGAATACATAAAAATTTAGAATAAACGTTCTGAAGGTTTTGAAAAAATGAAATTTTATTGATATCTTGGCGTTAGCTATCTTAAATTGTTGCACCGGATAGTATAGGTATTATATGTAGATTTTCCTGGAATGGATAAAAAATAAATATGACAAAATTTTCAGACGGATCGGACTGGATTCGGATTTGTAAAATATTTACGGATCGGAGTGGTCGGAGTATGATTTTGAAAATTCGAGTCGGACTGGGTTCGGAGAAAATTTAATAGTTCGGTTCGGACTGGACGAAGTTTTCGACTCCGTTGCAGAGACACTACTGTACAGTAAGTACTAATATTCAAGCACTAAAAAGCGCAGTCGTATCATCGTATGAATAGTCACCGCAGTTGTGCGGTGTACGTAAGTCCAGTGAAACTTCAAACGTCAACAAACTACGGGTGGGTACAATCAGGTGTGTAATTGTAGTGACCGTCAGAATAAGCGAAATTTGGGTTTTTTGGTTTGTTAAACTGCTATTGACGCCGCCGTAATGCCCGGAAACGAGTGTCAGCATAAAATTAATCAGAACCTGGACCCAATTAATATTACTTTACTGTGCGATTAATTTTGGCAATCGGCAACAGCCAGTGTCGCTTATGGACGTAGTCTAGTGTCCTGCAATGGACTGAAAAAAAACGCACTCCACTCCGATCCAAAAATTTTTAAAATATACCAAAACCACTCCCAATCCATTTCAGGTTTATTTTCACCAATCCAATCCGGTCCATTCATATTTTAAAAATCCATATCCAATCCAATCCAGTCCATTTAAAATTTTACAATTAAATTATTAATAAATTTAACAGGTTATTGCTTATCGATTAACTTCCATGAACATAACGCTTCACGACGGCCAACATAATCTGCAGTTCATTCGTTACCATAATAACTTTTCAGAAAGAGTAAATCATCAACTTTCTCCGATTTCAGCCTGTTACGTCGTTCGTCTGCCACAAATCCCGCCAAGCTAAAAGCGCGCTCGCAACCGGTGCTAGTTGCTGGTATTGCGAGTATGCGTTTAGCTAATTTAGCTAATTTCGGCATTGTAGTCTCGTGACCTTTCCAAAATCTGAGAATCCAGTCTTCTTCGCCATCATCAACTGGTTCTGCAAGCTTAAGATAATGAGTTACTTCATCGATTTCTGCTGGCAGTTGTTCATCATCCTCGAATTCCGATAGCGCGGTAGCTTTCCTTTTCTTATCCGATTTGATTACCGAGTTGGGTGTGTGGACATTGTTATTCGCGCCGGCACAAATATTCTCCCGAACTTCAGCGTACAGCCTGTCCTTCTCCACGCGGGTCATCATCTTAAGGTTACGCATTCGTGGGTTGAGGAACGTTGCAATGTCATGAACAGGCTCCGTTGTGAATTTCTGATCCACAAAATAGTGCAGTTGCTTCCGTAATGCAGCAATCGAAGGCGATTCTTCAATATCCGTTGAAATCGATTCATAAAACTGCAGTAGTTTTTTCCGCCATGGAAGGACGAGATGAAGTGTGGGCGTTTTCGTAGCAGACAGCTCCTCCGTTGCAGTCTTTAAAGGGCGTACAAGGCCAACTAGTTCTTCTAAGAACTCTCGCGGTTCAGGAAGCAGTTCATCTTCCTTTCGCTCTTGCAACAATACCTGAGTAAATGCATAAGCGTTACAAAGTATTCTATATGCTAACTTTAAAAAATATTCGTTTACATATGTATTCCGTAGTCATTCACTTCGTAATTTTGATAACACAGGCACTAGTATGTTTTTATAAAAATAACTTTTTAAGTAACTCCGAAACTGATTTACGTGTAGTTCATCGTAAACTTGTAGAATCGAGTCCAGCATGTCGACTAGTGTATTCCATCTGGTAACCACTTGCTGTTTAACCATCTTTGGGAGCATATGTTGAATGGTGGTTGTCTTAATGTGCCGCACCAGCGCTTTGGCCTTTTGTACAGTTTCCGACACAAGGGAATGTCGTTCTGGCAGTTTTTTGAAGGCATTCTTTGATACGCGGTTCAAAAGATGGCCCGAACATAGGTAGCGAATCAACGTTGGGTAATTTCGGAGTTTCAGGGCGCCGACTACATTGCTGCCGGCGTCTGTTATAAAGGCAACGTAAGCGCACTCCGTCTCCTTTAAGCCGATGTCCGCAAGTCTGGCGCTCAGATATTTCCGCACATTTACTGCAGTTTTTCGAACAGTAGGATCGTAGGCCGAGACAAATACAACTTGATCCTTCAATTTCCAGTCAAGTACGTAGTGTGCCGTTACCCCCATATATTGTACACCCGTATACTTGTCAGTCCAAAAATCGAACGCAAGGGCGCCACCATCCTCGTGCAGGAGCTTTACAATTGCAGGATACAGCTTTGCGCGCACATTTTTGGCTTCGCTTTCGACGTTGCGGCTGACGGTAACGGGATGCGGGAGGAGTTTTGATGCCGATATTTTCCCGTGTTCTGCGCCAATATTAATCGCTTGCTGTATAAGCCCCACAAAGCCATCACCGCTGACTGACTCGAAAGAACGCATATCCTAAAAAATATGTCCTGATTTATTTGAATTATACATCTCACTAATTCTTAAGAAAGAAATTTAAAGCAAAAATATAGATACAGAAAGAATTAAAATAACTGCTCATACTAGAGTCAAATAACGTCATGGTATAACTTTCCCCAGTTTTTAAATATAAGTAAATACTTAAACAGTATTGTTACTTACTTCTGCTACGTAACGGACGCAGCTACCGGTAATGAGAGCTTTGGCGCTACTCGGAACTGGAGCGTCATGTTGGTGTTCTTTTTGGCAAAATGATGCGATCTTTGGCTGGTTACGACAAGCTGGCCGGCATGTCTCTCTCAAGTGCGAAGACAAATGGGACGTTCCGTTTTTCACAACGTGCTTGAAGACTTCGTTGCAGTCAGTACAAACAACATAGGTAATCAACTCAGTCGAAGCAGTCTCACGAATTCCATGGAACTTGGCCCAAACTGCTGAACGCTTACTAAGCTGTACTTTTTCCAGCGTACCATCTGCTAATCCCGCAACAACCCCTCTATGCGTATAAGTTTTCTGGAGTATTTGTGTAGATGGCATGGGTGAGGGGTCATCATCGTCGCTCATAACTTCGATTGTTCGCGACATTAGAAAGGACTTTGTTCAACGCGGAGTAAAAAAGCAGATATGTTTTAATCTTTTTTGAAAACCGATATCAAATTTATCAGGCTTAACGCATATATATATTATATAATGCAGTATTTACAATGTCCGTAGAAGTAGGTCTAATAAAAACGACAGCGCTATGCAAAAACTTAATTAGTACGTAGAAAACTGGTTTAATATTTTAATTTATTTATTCATAATGGAGTTTCAGGAGTGCTACGGAAACTCCAAATCCATACCAAATTCTTAAACGCAATCCCAAACCCAATCCATATCCATTTCAATAAGGCTTACTCCGATCCAATCCGATCCAAATAATGGATTGGATCGGATTGGATTCGGTTTTCCAGTCCAATGCAGGACACTAGGACGTACCGTCACAACCGGTCTGCGCAGGTGGACACAATAAAAATTATTCCTTTTATTCGGCACCAGCCAGTGCTCATATCACTACGCCTGCGCATATTTAAAGTACCTAAAATGACTCGTGAGAAGTTTCAGCTAAAAAAAAACATCCAAAATCTTTGGTGTCCTTCGTGATCTTATGGTTAGGACGTGAGTCCAGTGTATCCAAAACCACTGATGCATTCCCTCAGACTACCGCTAGATTTAAACGTTGTCTCAAAAAGGTCAAGGCTATTTATTAAAAATTCACAATTTAATACTTATCGGCATGGGTATGTGTAATGTGCATTAAGTTTTTTTTGCCAAAAGTGAAGATTTTTAGTAAGTACAGGAAAGGGCGTGAGTTTCTGTCGATTGCAGTAACCGCCGGAGATGGCGTTCAGTTTGTCTTATGCATAAAATTCCAATTTGTGCTACAATCTGCAATCATAAACTTCAATAATGTGCAGGATTTCATAAAACGTTTCATACCGTAAATTTGTGTAAATTTGTACTTCTCATCGAAATTCGGAAGTTCGAAACTCTTTAAGTTAAAACTGGCAATAGGCCAAGTTACCAACAGTCAGTAAGTACAGCAAAATTTGAATTTTGGATTCTTCGTCACTTCATGGAATAACTTTGGTTCTCCGTTTCCCTTTGACAGATAGGTGTGTGTTAGCAGTGTCTGAAATTTAATCGTGGTTGAACGTTTTGTTTACTAATAAAAATAATTTGATACTTTTAATTTTCGGGAATGTGCCCATTTTTATTTGTCTGAGCGCAGCCTGTTAACAGTAAGTGAGTACTAGACGATCATCCAAAATTCCGAGCAGTCTGTAGTCTGTAGAGTAATATATATATCAACGTGTATTCATCGCAAATCCTAAAGTTGTGGAACGGATTTCTTCAACTTTGTTTTGCCATTTAGGATGAATAGGATCAATAGGCTATCCGCATTGTTTGTGTTTTTGCGATCTTTCTTATTATTGCTAATTTTGTTAGGCTGTTTGTTTACGTATTCGCTGGGCTGTTTTTATTATGGAGGCAAAGTCCATGAACTACGGTATGCCAAGTATGCGTACAATGTTCCACTAACTACGGAGGTCTGCGTGAACCGAGCTGGGATCCGTTGACATTGTTCATCTTTGTGGAATACCAACCGTGGCCCGCCGTGAAACGGAATTTCGAATAATTATTCTAATAATTCCAATTTCGGGCCAAGATGTCAATTCTCCTGGAGGGCTACTTGTACAAGAACAGGAAATTTAACACTTCGGTAAGCCGTAAGTCATTTTTATTGAAGCATCTCCGCCTAGAAAAGCAATCTGGGAATGCTCACTACTGATGTGTCTTTCACCAATTTTACTGTACCTTTTACCAAACATCGTTCTGGAAGCTTATGAGTTTTTAGTTGGCATAAATCTCGAAGTGTGGTTGTTTAATTTGCGCTTCAAAATTCGCATCAAATCAATATTAAATTAATAAATATCGTAAATACATAGTGTTTTTTCCTACCATTCGCTTACACGAATATGTACGGTATTCGTTTGCGTTCCAGTTAGTACATTTGCTCTTTCAACTTACTTATCGGTTAACCAATATCGCTACCACCTACGTACCTTTTGAAGTTTAAGGAGTTGTTTGATAAATACCGCATAACTGTACTTTGCACGCCGGGGAGTCTTGGCAAGATACATGACTTGACGCACTTGACCATTGTCGAGTTCGTTAATAACATTGAAATATCTATTTATACGTATTTTGTTGCATATATATACTATACGATAGTTTATATTTTTTTCTCGCACATTTTAAAAGGACTCGGCGGAATCTGCATCAATAAAATACTTTCACGTTTGCCACATAGGTTTCTCATACAACTTTAATATCATTTTGTTGCTAAATAAAACCTGTTGCTTTGTTTCCGGGTGAATACTTGCCTGAAAATGATGTGCTTGTTAACAATAAATTGTAAAAAAAATAACGTTGTTTTTGCATTCTGCACTTGGAATACGTCTTGTTATAGCTACCGAGGTAATTTTGTATAATTTCGTTATCTAGTTCTACAAATGCCATCTCATAGGGACTACCTTTTGAAATATTGTACGCAGTACGAGTATGGATTATTACGATTGGGGAAGCTTTTTTTTCGATGTGCGCTCGTGACTGTTTGTGATAGAATTAATTTGTAAGAAGGCTGGTATGCGTCTGGAATACAGCAGCTTTTCGAAGAAGCTCGTAATGAAATGGCTTTAGCTTTCTGTGATACTTATCGCTTTTCATCCGACTTCGATGACTCATAAGCATTTTCGGGTTTCTATTGCTTACTTCGAGTACTCGTTTTAGCCGCCGACATAAGTAAATCTGTAAATGTACGAAATGTCGTGCCGCCATGCAAAAGTCTGCTTTATACTGCATGAATCACTAAACAAATTGATCGGCCTGGTTGATCTGGCTGTTAAGGTACTGCAATTTTTATAGTTGGTAATCCGCAAATTTTGGTTTTCGGTTTACGGATGGATAAAACCGGTGCTCTGGCATTGCAGTGATATGATAAAACCCGTACCCGGTAGATGATTACCAGAAAAATTAGCTTATTGAGACATTACCGGTAGCATTGTTGTGCTTTTTATGTAGCAGTAGAATGTAGTTTTTGTTAGATCTATGTGATATGTAATTTGTAATATAGAACTGGTCTGTATATCTTCTGACTTTGTAGAATTATGCAGTTTTATATACAGCTTTTAATGCATTTAGTCATAGTCTGTTGGTAACTGTTCTGTAGGACTGGAAAAAGCGTTGGGTTGTGCTGCGGGAACAAAATAGTAGTCCCGGGCGTTATGTTCTGGAATACTACCATAATGAGAACAAGAAGAAATTATCCAAAAGGATTGATTTGCAAAAGTGCGAAGAGGTAAGAAGAAAACTTTCAGCGCTGTATGTTGATGACCAGTGGTCATATTGGAACGTTCCAGGTGCGGAGAACCCTTCACCGTATCAACTTGACGAACAGTTATCAATATATGTTCGAAGTCAGAACCATCCATGATCATTATTATCTTGTGGCGTCTTCTGAAGCCGAAGTGATTCGATGGGTCAAAACAATCTGCGAGGTTTGCAAACTATGTGCGGATACAGAGGAAGACCAGACAGGAGGTACTAATGCGTTAATTCTGCTGTAATAATTAACCCAAAAGATAGACAGAAATGAATGAGCGATTTATAGCCGCTTATGGCCGCTTATGTTAATTTCACCGCTTCTTCCTGCTTGAAGTGATCAAGATCAGTCGATCGGTTTGTCCTGCTTTTAAACGCTTGTGCTTATTTACTTTCAGTAATTGACCCCCGTAGCCAGCGATCTGCTGTTGGTGCATTTTCTGGCTCTACTGCACAATCGGAAAATGCCAGGCGTAACGCATCCCTTCCGGCTGATCCATCTGACGATAGGATGGGATCTTTGCGAACTGCTGCCCTGAAAAATGGACTGACAGTCCCTTCATCTTCTGGTGCCGAAGACAGTCCGTATGTATTGTTGAAGAACTGCTTCGTCAAATCTCGACCTTTCTCGCAGAACGGAGAAAATGTTCCTAACAGTGATCGGATTATCAAACGCCAACCCAGCATTCCAGAGGAAGTAAGAGCTGAAAATTTCTTTCACGATAATGATAATAAGCCGCTGTGACCTTTTAACTGTTATTTATAGACCGCACCTCCACCCCCGCTTACTGTGGAAATGGAGGAGGAGGAGGACGACTTTTACAAAAAGCCTCCTCGCATCATAGTGTATGATAAATCCAGGCGGAATCTTCCATTAACTCAGCGAAGCATGAGCAGTGAAATGGTGAGCCCCACAATCGCAAAGACGTACGATGTCGCTCCTTCCCGTTCAGAAAACGTTAAGCCAGCTGTTGTTTCGGCGAGAATCGTTGCAACATCTTCGGCTGTGTATGAGGATGCTTATGACCACGTTCCCAATCTCAACGCTCCACGACCTTCAGAAGGCGCAACGACCTATAGCATCGCATCGCGGTCAGCGAAAGTTACCCGGAAAAATTCTCTGCCGTCCGAAACTGTTGTGGTCGAACCAGCCACATATGATCAATTACCGAGAATGAAAACCACTCAAATCTCCAACACTTTACCGCATCGACATCGCGCTATGGACGTTGTAGACTATCCTAGCCATACAGATAGCAATACGTATGATCGTCCTCCTGTGCGATCCAGACTGAATGAAACCAGTGCTGCAGAAAGAAGTCCGGTAGCGATAAGCTCGCTATCGTTGTATGACCAGGTTCCCAATGCGCCAAAAACTCGTACGCGCAATATTGCTCGGGAAGAACATGGTGATCGCTCAGGTAAGTTATCAAAGTGATGCCCGGTTCAGTTATTAAAGAAAAATGAATCTTGATCCTGATTGCAGGAGTTCGCAACAATTTTATTTCCGATCGTTCTGTCAGTTTGGGCGGCCATGCTGCATTATACGCCGCTGATACGATTCCCAGATCCGCTGGAGCGAAGTACAGCGGATCCCATGATACCATTACTCCTGCCTCTTTTACAGCCATGAGAGGAAGCGATCCCCCTCAGCGTGTAAGAAATGAAAGTTTATGTGAATAATGTAATGGCTGGCTTATTATGTATAGGTTGCATGCGATTGTGTTTTGCAGAATTATGTGTCACCAGTCTGCTCATAAGGCATTTCGTTAGTGCCATGAGTGTTCTGAACTATTTTGAAAACCGTTGCTTTTGCCATTGTTACATCATATCTGAAACATCGCAGGATTTAAAATCTAAAACATAATTGAATGGTCTTAAATTCAACATTTAATTTATTTATAATTAATATTATGATTGCACTTTTCTAGCGGAACACTGCGGCGGCATTAGCAGTATCTGGCAGTCCGAAAGCCCTTGGAGGGGAATATATCGACGTCCATTTTTCAGACAGCGCTGATACTCCTTCGAGGCCTGTTTCGAGTTATCGCAGCAAGACTCTGCCTAGACCACCTTCTAGACAGCCTGCCAGAATTCCACTGGAGACGATTCCGGATGGCAGTGCAGCGGGTATTGAGTATAAACCCATCGATGAGTTGAAGACAAGAGCTCTGCAGATTACCAAGAAGGAAGTAGAAACCTTGAGCCGGGATCGTCCATAAGCTGCACGTGTGCTTGATTATATATTTACTGATGCCAACATGCCGAATGTTGGAATGGTCCTGCATCTGTTGATATTCCATATTTTTTTAATAGTTACTGGCAATGTGCAAATCGTTCTGCTGATTTTTACAGATTTTTATATGAAATGCAAAATATTACGTTTGATTAGTTAAGAGTTGCCTGCGTTCGCTTACTGATCCCCGTTTTGCACTGCTTGTCGTTTGTCCTTTTTAATTTTTTATATGTTGCAGTTTATCGACGGTGTATTTTTGGAGTATTGTAGCATCAGTCTATTATCAGCATGAGTGTAGATAATGATATTAATTTCGGTGTTCGAAGGGAAATGCAGGAATTGTGGTTTCTTTGTAGTGCTAGTTTGTAACACTGAACAGTTTGCGTGCAATAAACATCATTAACACTGGGGAGCGCACGTTTGGGAAAATCATTGTTGCTTTTGGCTTAGTTTCTGATTATGTAGGTTGGCTCGGTGATGGTTCGCAAATCGAAAAAGAGCATAATATATGCTTCATTGCAACAAGTAATTGTACTGCGTTGACCATGTATCCAAATTGCGTGAAAGTGTGGTAATTATTGCAAAGTAGGTCCGCTGAAGATATAGTGAGTTTACGGTGCGGCTGGGGTTGGTCACTGATGTTAATGTAATAGCCTTGTTACGTCAGGCAATTATGCAAAGCTGCATTTATCACTCTTGTAGCATATTCATCACTTTTTTTAAAATTAATGATATTTGGTACAAGAGCATATGTACAGTTTTCATTTATAACACTTTAAAAGGGCAACATAACAGATACTTGTACTGAGTTCACTTGGTCAGTTTTCCAGAACTGTAAAATTCTTTCTGATGCTGGCTATTCAATACTCAATTGTACCAGTTGTTTTATTGTACCAAGCGCTGTATTGCACCAGTTATTTTATTTTTATATTGATCATAATGTACTAGAAATTATCTTTTATTAAAAGTCAAGCAAACATCAGGATTACTTTCTTCACAAAAGTCAGCTAGTCCATTCTCCCGCCTAATCAGGCGCATTCTTTTGTGTAAGCGAAAGCTTCTAGATCTGTAATTCTGCACACAAGCTTTTGCATATTGCATGTTTCATTTATACTGAATAAACAGAATGCTCAGTTCTGAAGGCAGATCCATGATCACATTTTCCAATCGATTTATTGCTTCTGAACAATAACAGATTTACTAATTGCAACTTACTAATCCACACTCGCAGAGCTTCGTATCATGCTGCGTTTTGAAGTTTGAAGTAAGTACTCTGTCGAAAATATAAACACCAACATACGCTAAAATACTGAAAATTCCACAACGCGCGTGTAGGTACTACGTACACTGAACAACACGCAGTCCGACATTGCACTGCAAAACGTTTGTAGCATTCTGTGATGTTCCTTCTTACTTACGCTTTAATTAATGAAGTGAAACATTTAGGTGAGTAGAACAGTCAACACAAAACACTCAGTCAGTCTTAAAAGAGCAGCATCACTTAGCATACAGTAAACACTCTATACACCGTGCAGTGATAAATTCTTAACTGTTTTTCAAATTCCGAAGATGTCATTGTAAATCGGCCATCGTTGAGTCTTTATGTACTAGTAAAAGAAATGCAAAAAACGCATCGCTTAGCGAAGCTGATAGACCGCACGGTGATACAAGTCGTAATAAAATTTGAGTGAATGACATTTGTTGGAAACGTCCAGTCTGACGTATTGTATTCATCACCTATAGCATTGTGGATGTACATACAGATATTTGTGACGGGCAAGGAAGGAGCTGTCAACTGTACTACCTTGGCCACTGCTTATTTGCATCGCACTCTTAGCAGCCACAAAAATCGGTCAAGCAATTGGTGGCATTTCTGAGCCATTAGTTTGCATTAGAGTTTGTTTGCTGTTTGACTTCCCCCGATCGTGATTTCAAACTTTTATATTATGACACTACTTGTTGTGCAGTGTGCCGCCGCCGCGGCAGAATCCTGTACAAGCATCAGCAGTGTCCGGACGCTGCCGGCCATGATAATCACGGACGTGCATTATGGAAAATGAATAACTGCCGGCCACATCATTCGTTTGTTTCTTTTATCATGAAATTACATATCTCAGTCTTATTGATGCGTTAATATTGTCCGACGACGAATGTTGTGTGTTATTTTTTCTCCTGCTGACACACTAAGCCGATTAGTTAAAACAGCTTAATTTGTCCAATCGTTCATGATTATTTTATCTGCATATGCTTGGTAGCTGAATATTGTACAACTGTGTCGCTGCTGACCGTTATGGAAAAAAATACTAAACCAATTGAGTGGAACAAGGCTTGATGTACTGTGCACATATAATTAACTGGATTGATCCACAAGCCGCTTATTGTTCCGATCACATGGAGAATCGCGCTGAAACGGCAATTCGGACACCGGATCGTATTACGTTGGCGGTGCTATAGTGAAAATCTAATATACGGCATCGGAAAAGCGCTTATCGTTGGATTCGTTTTCGGAGCTGTACGCCACGGTTTTCTCATCAAGCGGGAATTAAAACACTACATTTATAAAGGTGGATGTTATGTCATATGCGAATATCGATTGAGTGGGAGATTGTTTTCCATTCTGCCTGGTCTGTGCCTGCAATATCCGGTTGATGTCCATGGGTGAATTTTTCTATATGATTTACGACGACTGCATTTTCCGGCCATATCGTCAGAGCACGGTTATGCATTAATCTAACAATTTATATCATGCCGCCAGCCTCCGCGTTACCCAAACATATTGCCCATTCCCTGTACGGTGCCAACACGAATCTCAGCAAGAAGGGACTTCCGTTCCGGCCAAAGGTCACCCATGAAGCGCTCAACGCTGTACTGCAGCAGCGCAAATCTCTTAATGATCGTCAGCCGGATGCGGTGGCGGAGTATGATCACTATACCGGAAATAATAATCCCTACGAGTCGTTGTCGTGCGGCGACAGTGACGAAATTGCCAGCGATAGCGTCAGTATGACGACGGAGAAGTCGGAGACCAGCACCGATGACCTTGGGTCAACTGTGTCGTGCAGCAGCAGTAGTGGCTTTGAATACGATCACCATCTGAAATTCCACTGTAAGGAATTCCAAATGGAGCCGGATGATCATTTTATCGCCTCAAGTATCTTGACACGATCACCTTGTGGGACCTCTCCCATCGTCAGCCGGAAGGGATCAACGCGAGGCGTACGGGGCCGTGTCAGAGCCACCATCGATAATTTCAACGAAGCCGCAGACGCCGGTCTCCATTGCAAGGTTATATAAAACTGCAAGTAGATTAGACATAAAAACGTCTTGAAATATTTGTATTTAACCGTTGTTTTACGCAGTCTTGCACAGGACGCAAGTCTAGATATTTATTTATATTTTCTAAGATTTCCCATTTTACTGTAAAGTACTGTGTACTCCGCGTCATTTTAATTGACACCTATATTTATGCTACTCGACTAATCGGCAGTAGGTACGAATATCCAAAGGCCAAAGCATAGTGTTTGTTTAAAATCCATTTGCCGTTTTTTTCGTTCGAGCTTTTTCGGTTTTGGCTAAATCCTATTATGCTTAAATATTTTCTTCGACTTATCTGATATTAATGGGAATCTTTTAGCTTCAATCACTATTTTTTCTCATTTGTAGAACTATCAGCTGATTGAAAGAGGACGCGCCGTCTTATATGTGACATCTCTTGCTGTGTGCCGGAGTCCATTCCTTCGTTGTCTGGAAATACGAAAAATCCTACATAACCTTATGGTCAAATATACAGAGTGTGATCTTTACATAAATCGAGATTACCAGCAGGAATTAAAGGAGCGGCTGGGTTGCGAAAAAAGTGAAGGTGTACCACAACTGTTTGTCGAAGGACAGTATGTTGGGGTAAGAGCATACTACTCTAGTGCTCGTACTTCTGCTAATCTCGTATGCATAATGTACATACAAAAATAGTGTACGATATAATTCTGTATTCAGATTTCGCACGTACGGAAGTGCCGCATATAATTTCTCTTTTTCCTAAAATTGCGCATACAGAAGAGCAACATTACATTACCTCGTGCAAATAAGATTTGAAGCTGTCGGATACATCCTTGTGCTACTGCAAAACAGAACTTTTTCCAAATACTGAGCCGATGGGCAAATGTTGTCTTTGCCTTGGCAGTCAACATTTGGATCAAGGCTGTACCAATAGAATTAAAAGCCAATCCATCTTTTTCGGCTCAGTATCCGTTACATCCTGAATATGCTGTCATATGAAAAACAAGATCGCTGCTAGAAGATCCATGTCACTCAATTGTTCTTGCCGATCCTAGCTCTATCTTGTGACAACTTGTCTGAATGCCGGGAAAATAAATCGTTGATTATTGCTTTGATCTTATAGGATTTTGATGTCATACAGAGACTTAACGAGAGTGGTCAGCTGCGGATTCTGCTTAAACCTTACAAGGTATTTGTTGACTTACATAAGTGTCTTTAGCTAATGAAGCAACACTTTTTGGCTTCATCTAATGCAAAATTTGAGTTATGCTACTTAACCGCATATACATTATGCTATCTTAATTTGACGTCTTTGTCATTTGCATATATACATATGTATATCTTGGTCAAGGAATGTTGCTGTCAGTATAATGTGTTTTTTTTCCGGAATTTTGTAGATGATGGGTGTCCTTCCACCATGTCAGCGTTGTGGTGGATTTTCCGTCGTTCCGTGCACCGTATGTTGCGGAAGTAAGAAGAGCACACACCGCAATGCTTTCACGGATCAGTTCCATGCTCTGCGGTGCTCCTCCTGTGATGCCAATGGTCTGCAGCGGTGCCCTTTATGTACAAGTGCAACCTGAACAAATGATTCTCACATTTGAATGTTTTGTACGGATAATACTAGTTTTTTGTTTATAAATTACAGGGATTGTGCATTAGCTATAGATTGAAACCATCTGGTAAAACAAAAAAGCTGTACTGAATAAATGCTCATATCTGAAAATGTGCTGCACGGAAAAAGATGTAACAAAATATGCATCATTTTATGGACGTTAGACAAAATTTCGTTGTGATGCAGAAGATTCGGATTTAAATTGTAACATCGATATAACGTTATGCCTTCGAGCAGTCGTTTTCACGCGTTCTGTGCATAATATTACTGCAAATAGAAAGGTCATAAATAAAGCTCACTGTTTTAGTTGCGTCTACGTCAGTGAATATTAATTTTAAAAACCATGAAATTTTTTATCTATTAATTTTCTTGGAAGTAATACTTACTCGTTAATACTTGGAATATACGGTAGATTATTGCTTGGAATGGTTAACAAATGCACAACTCGTCAAACGTGCTGTACGTAATACAGCTAACAAATGACAGTAAGGACATACTTCTATTGTATTAGCATTTGTCGTAAATAATTTGATACCGTTTATCGCAAAGAAATTGTTTGTGTGCAGGTACTGCATTATTTGTGCAATTTTGTTGTCGACGAAATACAGGATGAACAAATTCGGCAATTTGTCATATATTTATTCCGGGCACGTGACCGGCAAAAAAAACCTGTTTTCTGTTTTCTGGTGAATATGCAAATGCTTTTAGGGCTATTTGGGATTATGTTTTCTTATGCGTATGTGCGGCCAGACTGTGATAGAAATCTTTCTTGCATTTCCATACTCTTGGGATTTGCACCGCCGATCTGTAGGAAACAAAGGCATGCAGTGACTCCAAAAATATGCCAAAGCTACTTGACATTAGTGAATGAGATGCGAATGGCATTCTCATCCTCTCAATCCAGGCCGGATCAGCCGGAAAATCATTGCGAAGTATCCAAAAACCGCGTCGCCACTCTCCCGCGAGGCATTTGCCGTGATGACTGCAGCGTGGCTGCCCAGTGCATTGACAGTCTAGTACAGTAATAATAAACAGATCGAGTACGTATTTTTCCTTCAATTACTTAATCATCTGCTTGAAGAAAGAAATTTAATATCGCTACTCGGCGCTACACTTCCCCCAGGAAAGATCGAATGATCGCGCCGGCCGTGTAAATCCGTTGGTTAAAACAGCCTTTGAGTATTCTGGAGATGAACTTGCATCCAAAAACAACATTGGCCAACCTTGATTATGGTATCCGTAATCAACCGCTGCTGTTGCCGATTAGAGTGTAAAACATCGCTGCGTTCGATTGTAGTTTTTAATTATCCTCTATCTGTGCATGCAGGAACATAATTAAATACCTGCTTGATTAATTTGCCTGGTGGCGCTTTAGAAAGATCGATCACAACAAATTTTGAATAATGTGACGCAGTAAAATAGAATAATAAAAACCATTTTCCGACTGGTTAAATGCAGTGATTCTGCTCACAAATAGCATCCCTAAAGTACTTTTAATCTCTCAGGAAATCCATTACCATTAGTGCAGTTAAGCTGTCGCTACTTATTAGAGCTTCCTAAGAATAACTGATGTGATACACATATGCATATGACAGCGCCATCATATAATAAAATGGGCGGATCTCTGAGAATTCGGCGATTCGCGTTTGCGTTGGACAATACAATAAGCATAAAAAATGTAAGCAAAAAAGATGTTAATTTGAAAAAAATCAAACTAGATCGAGAACTGAAAAAATCTCCAAAAACTGAAATAACTTTATTGTTAGTTATAGCATTGTGTCATGTGAAAAAATATGTAAAATGATTTCCTGAATATCTCTGCTAATTACAACCACAATTATGGCAATAAGGTAGGCGATATTGTTGAAGCGTGCCCGTGGTTAGTGGCTGAGTGGCGTATAAGGTTGCCATAATTTCTGATTAATATGATCATTGAGATATTGACTTTTTTTCCATATGGAAAGAGAAGAATTTGAATATGTACGCTTTCGCTCCAGTTATAAGCCATACATGCTCCGCAGCGGAAGTATATAACATGCACTGACACATGCCAGCATCTCATTAGGCAGTACCGTCTGGTCGTATTATAAGAATCCGATCTTCTGGAAGCGCAAATTTATTTTGGTACAGCTTTAATTGGAGCAACCTATGCGGAAAGACGGCCTAGCTTATATTGCTAATTTGTTCGCTGCATCACAATTTAAAGCCACAGCATGATTTTAATGCCGGTAGCAGATGGCTCTAGGCTCTCGAACAGTGTAATCCTTGTCCGATTTAGACCAGAAGCCGGCGCATTTGAAGAAGTTGCTCCACATACTGGCCGGCCGGGGCCCTGTCGTGTCGTGCGCTTAAGCGTCGACGCTTATCCCAGAAGTAAATTTGTAAAATAATGTATGATGGCATATTTAAGACCTCAAATGATTCCCTTTAGGCTCATACGCTCCTGACACGCAATCTTACTATCGAATCGAAGATCGGTAATAATATTGCACCACGGCGCACAGCACAACTCATGACACACTCACAGCACAACACGGGACACACAACGCCAACCCAGTCGATAGGAAGACAGGATGATTGGTTGGTATGCTGTGTACATCTGTGTATATACACACATTCCAACATCACCGCATTGCGCGGGCCCGCACAATATATATTGTGTATATGCAGATATCCCCCCACATGCATGGGAAAAACATACATCGGGCACCCATGTTTAACGGATATTTTTGATGAGTTAGCCCTGGTGTGCGCTTCTCCGCGGCGCCCTCAACTACCGTTTTGTACATGTTGAATATCTGACATTTCTGACTGTTCACTTAAAATGACTATGGCTGGTAACGGGCATGACAGATAGCAGCGCATCGAGTGCTAGATGTCGTCGATGTATGTGTGTATGTATATACAGAAAACGCGTGGAATTTTTGTCCTATGGATAAAACCGGAACATGTACCAGCAATCCTTGTCCTGCTGAAGATGCTTTCCGGCACAGATTTAACAGCACAAGTGTATCTCGATCAGACATCATACTTCCGGACTGCGTGCAGATTTGGCTGTGTTAATTGCCCCTGTGACCTAATACAGCGCCTCTTTAATTCGCCGCTCTAGGGCCTTTTAAGATCTCCTTATATTTCTCTCAGCTTTCGTATTTATCACTAACGTCATTCCAAATTTGCGAATTAATCATTATAAACGTCTGCGATATCTCAGTGTTAAATTTTTCTTGAAATACGTCGGATGCTTTGGATGTACAATGTTGTGTGCAGAAGGAAGCTCATAATACACGGTAAGGTTTGTGGTACGGTGTTGCTCATGATTATGCTAGGGATGTGGTAGGAATGCGGCGGAAAAAAAATCTTGTGTGCGTTTGTCAAGAAATAGTTGAGATTTATGGCGGTGGCAGGCTGCAAAAAGCGTCGGCTCATAGTATGAATTATGGAAAAATCACTGTAGATTTCAGTATCATTTACTGGGCATAGCGGAGGCGGTAAAGGATATAAAGATACATTTCCCGGTCTTGTGTCAAGATTCACTTTAATCATTTCGAGCCACAATGCGGGACCAGCTTGGTGTGCCTTGGAGTGTAAGGAGAAAATTACCAAAATTGCGTTGACGAAATAGTAAAACTGCATGCACATTAGTGGTGCTATCTCCGATGCCGGTTGTCAGCGTATTTGTCAACCGCGCCGAGGTGATGTGTATGCTCGTTATACTGATTAGGCGGCTGTGTGTATGAATATGGTTGTGTATACACAATACATGCGGTAATACGCGGCATTCAAGGGAAAAATGTGCCATATAGTGCCAGTATCACTTTTTGCTTATTGATGTTTTCTCTATTCAATTACGCCCTCGAGAATGCTAGAAGCAATCCCAGACAGTGATTCCCAATTTTCCTGGGTTGCGGATGTGTGTTGCCATAGTTTTGCGCCGTGTGCGCACTCTCAGCGCGGTCTAATCTGTCCACTCCGCTGCTCTGATCCATATAGACACATTTTGGCAGGCCTGAATGTTATATTTACAGATTGCGTGATAGGCATACGAAATTATATATCCTGGAATGGACGTCAAAAAACCAAGTTATACGGGAATTTTTCCTATCCCGCACTGTCTAATTATGCTCCACATATTTCCTGCTTGTACGGCAGGGCTTCCCGCTCATATATAAAGGAGGCTGCATACATATGCGTAAAAGTATGGTGAATAACTCCGAACAAATGCCAGAAGCTGTCCTCAAACGGGAGCCCATGAAAAGCGCATTCATTGTCGGTCTTATATTGACCAACTCCTTGCACGAATTTCCGTTATGAATGGGCGCAACAAATAACAAGGCAATGAAGAATAAGTTTGTTGACTACTTCATTACGTGCGGCTTTCAATCGGACTATCATCCGTGGTCTCGAACCGCACATTATTTATAGATATCATCATGAACTTTATTGTTTGCATATTGTTAGGTACCAGCCCAATAGAGTCTGCGGACATCTCTGTTAAGCTCTGAATTCGTGAATATTTGCAGTGTAATAGAATATCTCCCTTTTCTGTGTAATTTGCCAGGAAAAATCGAATTTCTCTAAATTTTCTTCGGTCTTTTGAGCCGTACATTTGTCAGTCAAATCCACTGCATCTAGATCTTTTCTAAACTACCGCTTTTTACGTCCCCGTTTCAATGGATTTTTTAAAATTGTATTTCATTTAATATGTCTAACCATGTAAACTTCAAAATACAATATGTATGGGTACCTTCCTTGAACCATTTCTACACCGCTAATGCAATATTTATCACCAAAAACAAACTTTTATCGTACCCGGTTCCAGGATTGAGAAATAGTGTGCCTTTTTTATCGTACGTCATCGAAACGGTAACATACGCGCCTGGTTAGCGGGGTCGTTTTTAGATTTGGAACGTAACCGATGGATCAGATAAAAAACGCTCATGATCATTATTACAAATATTATTTTAAAGCATGGACAAACCACAGTAGCTTTTAACACAAACATAAAGTGCTTTTGAACGAGTAATTATAAATAAAAACGTTGCGTGTTACAATTACTACAGTATGTAGTATTTGGTGATAGTCTCAGGGAACAAATGAAAAGAACGTAAATAATGTAAGCTGGGCTGTAAAACTGAAGGTATTGCAGATTGCTGAAATAAATTATTCCGTGTGATGCTTGTTTCGTTAAATAATTCATATTGTTTTTAGTTTAAAGCAACTGCCGATCTTGT